GACAATGCATGCCTTCTTTCATCATTGTTTTTGAAATATGTGTCTGCTTCTTTGAACTTCTTTGCCTCATCTCTTCCTAATTGATTTAAATGGGCTTCATCAGGACCGTCAGCAATTCTTAAAGTTCTGGCATGAGCATACATTCTGGCAAGCTCAGTATCCTGAGAGACCCCTTCTGCTCCAAATACTTGAATGCACCAATCAAGGATTTTCAAAATAGTTCTTGGAGTTTCAATTTTTGCCATAGCAATTTCTTTCTTAGCTGCCTTAGGTCCTGCCAAGTCAATTTTATGAGCTGCATCCAAAATTAAAAGACGGCATCTCTGAATGTCAATTTTATGCTGAGCAATAGCGTTCATGAAGCTCTCTCTTTCGCACATTCTTTTACCAAATATTGTCCTATGGTTAGCCCTATGGATGGCTCTTAATAACGCAAATTCTCCAACGCCGATGAGTCTCATACAGTGGTGAATTCTTCCGGGACCCAATCTAGATTGAAGAAGCTCAAATCCTCTTCCTTCACCGGCCATGATAACGTTTGGCATTTCATCCTTTGATACCTCGTAATCACTAAAGACAATCTCGCAATGACCATGTGGAGCATCGTCGTATCCAAATACGTCAAGAGGTCTGATAAGCTTTGCTTTGCCCGTTCTTAAAGCCTTCTTTGCATCAAGAACCAAAAGGGAATGGTTTCTATATTCTTGTTGTCCATTGGAAGTTTTACAAATCACCAACCAGCATGCTGTTCTTGGATCACCAGCTCCGGAAGCAAACCACTTAGTCCCATTCAAAACGTAATTACCCTTATCGTTTAAAATTGCGCTCGTAGTTATATTTAACGCATTAGACGAGGAAACTCCCTTCTCTGTCATCAAAAACGCAGAACGGATTTCACCTTGTAATAAAGGCTTCAACCATTTCTCCCTTTGGTATGGCGTACCGTATCTGGCAAGCAACTCCATATTTCCTGTATCAGGTGCATTGGTGTTCATCGCTTCGGGTGCAACAAAAGACCTACCAAGATATTGAGCCATAAGGCCATACTCTACATTGGAATACCCAGGGCCATCGCTGTATCTCTTCGATAAAAACATATTCCAGAGTCCCAACTCCTTAGCCTTGGCCTTCAAATGTTCAGTGATCTCAGGAGTCGATTTCCATCTCTCTTCGGGATTCTTTGAAATTTGCAGGAAGTATATTTCATCTGCTGGTAAGCAATATTCATCCACGAAATGTTTGCACTTCTGAATCGCCTCAAGTGCTCTAGGTGATACAAGTTCTGCGACAACTGCCGGGATATCGTCTTTTACTGACATAATGCTGAACTGATGAAATTTAGAAACGATTAGCAGCAATACTGAATAATACACTGAAGAATCCGATGATACTTTTTCAACTGGTTCCTCAAATATATATAGTACTAGGTAGCATTTTTCCATTTTATAAACGTTCTAAATGCGGGGGTTATCACCGAATATTCACCGAGATTGATAATATAACCGAGCCGTGTAACATGCAAAACAAGTACAGTTAACTGTAAAACTATATGCAGTCTCATACAGAACGATTTCTTTGCCATCCAGATTTATTGGTGGACACTTAGATATTAAAGTTTAAGAATCAGTTTTAAGGTTGAGATATATTACCAAAATGAATGGATTAGATTCTGAGGTTCCTCAGATTCCTGATTATAAATTAGCAGAGAAGCAATTTCTCTTGACAAAGGATGGAGAAGATATTAACCGCCAACAGCTTATCTCTGAATTACTAAAGTCCATAAAGGATGAGAAATTGGCACCCTATTATAAGTACATAAGCAATGACGTTCCAGATATCAAGTTTAATGAGAAATTATATGAGGAGTTGGCGAAGGAAAATGACGAGCAAATTAACGAGTTGAAAAACAAAATCAAAGAAGCAGAAGAGGAAGATGAGACCGATTTAGACGTCTTGTCTACTACACTCAAATTAGCCGAATACTACACCAAGATCATTGATAGAGATAGTGCCACCGAAACATATAGAAAGGCATTAGAACTTCCCCAAAGCACGGGATCTAAGATTGATATTTTATTGACTCTCACTAGGCTTGAGTTTTTTTTCAATGATTACGCTACCGTAGGCAAATATTTAGAAGAATCGAAGACTTTGATTGATAAAGGAGGTGATTGGGAACGTCGTAACAGATACAAAACATACAGGGGCCTCTATTTGTTGGCCAGTAGAAATTTTTCTGAGGCAGCAAAATTATTGATTGATTCGTTAGCAACATTTACGTCTACTGAGCTTTGCAGTTATGAGGATGTTGCAATGTATGCTATAGTCTCTGGTGCCATCTCATTAGACAGAGTAGATTTGAAGGCCAAGATTATTGACTCGCCAGAAATTTTATCTATCTACTCATCATCTCAAGCACTAGAACCATTGGTTAATTTGACGAATTCATTGTACACCTGTGAGTACAACTGCTTTTTCCAATACTTGTTAGAGTCTTATGACAAGCTCTTACTTCCAAACAGACATTTGAGTCAACATGCGAACTACTTTTTAAGAGAGATGAGATGTAAAGCTTATGGTCAACTCTTAGAGAGTTATAAATCATTATCGTTAAAGTCAATGGCTCAAACGTTTAACATAAGTTATGAGTTCCTTGATAGAGATTTATGTAAGTTCATTCCTAACAAGAAGTTGAATTGTACAATTGATAAAGTGAATGGAATAATTGAAACCACAAGACCCGACAATAAGAACAGTCAATATCACCAGTTGATCAAACAAGGAGACTATTTATTGACTAAATTGCAAAAGTATGGCGCGGCTGTCAAGTTAAGTGGTGCTGAGCGTGTTGCATAGATTTTTATAATGAAATTTAATCAATCGGCTTAATTGTTGAATAGTAGAATAATCCAAAAAGTAATTAAGGAATCATATGTAGGCAACAAGGATGATGACGCCAACCTTGACACCAAATGATTGACAATATCTAGTGTCCATACTCATAATAGATAGATTCTCGTCTTCATATTCATTCCTCTTGTGCCCGCTATGGTCATATTGGTGTTCGTTATCCGCAAAATACATGCAGCTAGAAATTTCCCATTATACATAGCAACTGTTATATGTTTAATTGACCTCCATTAGCGTCTCGTTTAACTACAGTCGGTAATCCAGTATCCAAAAGCTGCTATATCCGCTGATATCAATGCTACCGTAGTCAAGCAATTCTTTGTACAAGTCCTCGTATTGCCGGCATCTCGACACAGCTGTATTGTTTCTTCAAATTGTAGGCCAGTTGCTATAATCAATGAAGCAGCACCAAAAAAAAAACCACACCGGATTCAATCGTTTGTTATAATACAATGGAATATTCATATTGTACGAGGAAAGTCCAGAAACATACTCCTGACTATCATCAAAGTTTACTGCAAAGCTATTATAGAAATGTCATCTTGCTACCAGAAATCCTTCCCGTGTCAAATCTGTACCTGGAATTACATCGTGTTCAGATAAGTCAATAGTGAGAGCTTCAGTTAGCGATATTGATGAAATGACGAATATCAACAATGATAACATTGAAATAAAAAATATAGCCATCCACAACAGACCATAGTACACTGTCTATTCATCGAAGGCCATAACCTTTACAGAATTCTTCACTCAATATTTTCGTCTCATGAGTATTTATAACCTTAGGCAGCTTGAGGTCGTAGAGCATTATTATTTCATGAGTATAGTAAAAACAACAGACAACTCTCATATATGTAATCTATTCTGACTCATGGGTGCCCAAACCACATAGGCAAGCTACTAGACATAACTTATCTAATCCTACTCTATTTCCATTGAACAGAATGCAACAAGAGACAAGTGAGAGTGTTAGGGTCAGTGCTGTAAGAAACGGTGTGAAGATTATTGTAAAATAGCTCTTAATTATTGTTGCAAAAATATGAAACGCGAGAAACGCTTATTACTTTCGTCCAGTGAATATAGATGGTAGCACACTATCATAAGCTTCGAGTAATCAAGTCTTCAATAGCAATCACCTGGGTATGATAGTAATCCTTATAAACAATTAGTAGAGCTGTCTTAAACAATTTATTAACGAAAACGAATTCATGTAATCTAAAGATATGACTCCCCATCTATCTTACTTTAGAATAGGAACAAAACTGATCTTTGGCCCTTTTCTTTCCGTTGAAGGATTATTCATATGCTTATAAAATTATTATAGGTTCGATGTATTAACCGTAGAAAAAGAATTTGGAATAAGTTTAAAATTGTTTGGTGCTTAGAAGATGGGGAAGTCTGCGACTAAAACGGCTTAACAATTTCAACGAGCATGTATTACTCAATGGTTTTTTGGTTTCAAATTTGATATTACTTGGATTTATACTTATAACTGAACATATATGAGGTGCTGACTCACATCTTAATATTAGATAGACATACATTTATTAATATATTGATAGAAAATACAATGGCTGATACAACATTAGCGGATAGATTACATGAGTTCGAAAACGACTTATTATTTTTACATTCCATGAAGATAGATGTCACTGGCTTTGAGCCACTTGTTTACACTAGGGATGAGACGGATGATGCCCCGAAGAGTCTTTACTTCATTTTGCCCGAGCTCAGCTCTTACCGTTTAACTATCAAATATGGTGTAAAGGAAAGGCCATTAAGAAATTTAACCTACTATCAATGTGTGATGAGACATGGCATTCCCGTCAGAGAGAATACTTATGATATGGGCGAAGAAGTAGTAATCACTAGTGGTGACCAATATCACGAAATCACATTTCCCGCAGAAAAGCTTCCTGGTGGCGTACTTTCCAGGGGCATTTATGCTGCCTCTTCGACATTCTTAGAAGAAGGAGAACCTATATTTAAAAAGGATTGGACTCTAGAGATCGTCAAGAAAGGGACAGTCCCAGCCAAAGGAGATTATTGATCCAGATATATGTGTCAATTAATGGTGGTTAATAGAATATCAATTTGACTCACTTATTACATACCTAGCAGATTAACAAATGCTATGCGTGCTTATAAAACACATCCTCTACCTAGATTATGGAGCATGTAATTTCTTCTCTCAATTGCCTCTCATAACTAAAGAATTTTTTTTCGTTATGATGTTCATTATCATAAGAATGCAATTGAAGATATGAGAACTTGATCTATTTTAAATTAGCATACCCAATGATGTTAATTCAATAAACAAGCAGATATCAAAGAATGACTCTTCCTTATCTGCATCCTCGGGATACAAGTACTCTTATAGATGTCGTAGCTACACATAACATAAGCAATCATGTGACTTAAGTTAGCAACAGGAATTTCTAAGGAGCTGATATTCGGAACCCTTGGAGATACCAAATTATTTAACAAGTAACTAACTTATTCCTTATTTGATATTCTTCTTCAAGAGTTATAGTTGATAGCTAAGAGGAATTATATTAGAAAACAGTTGTAAGGGAAATGAGCTCACCAAAGAGGCGTATTGAGAAAGACGTCATGGATCTAATGATGAGTGACCATGATGTAACTCTTATTGACGACTCTATTCAACAGTTTTATGTCATATTTCGTGGCCCAACTGATACACCCTATGAAGGGGGCACTTGGAAAATTAGAGTGGAGCTACCAGACCAATATCCGTTGAAGTCTCCGTCTATCGGGTTTACCAATAAGATTTATCATCCCAATATTGATGAAGGATCTGGTTCAGTGTGTCTTGATGTTATCAACCAAACGTGGTCTCCAATGTTTGGTTTGCTTAATATATTTGAAAATTTCTTGCCACATTTGCTAAGATATGCGAATCCTAGTGATCCCCTTAATACTGAGGCCTCAAATTTAATGACCAAGGACGAGTCTAAGTATAATGATACTGTAAAGCAGTATGTGCAGCAGTATGCTTTGAATATAAGTAACGACAATGACGATTATGATGAAGAAAGGGGTAGCAACGACGAAGATGACGAACTCAGTGACGTTGGAAGCTTATCAAGTGACGATGACGATGAGAAAGACGTCGCAGGAGACATGGAATTATGATACACTTAGAGGGATTTTGAAGTGATCCCTCGCGTGCCAGTACTCTAGTTTGCTCTGTCTTGGCATTGAGTAACGATGTAGGATCAATGGCTATGGTAAATGCACTTTTATGCTCCTTTTAGAGCTCATGCATGAAATAGATTGAAAGCATATAATGAATAAGACGTCCTCCAATTTCATTTATTTGACATCACAGGTATTATAGGTGCGACCTATTATCCGATTTGTCTTGAGGTTATAATAGGTCCAGTCGATTATCTCTAAGCTTGCAAAATTCTTAAATTATCCCAGGAATATCTACTCCTAAGAAATACACGCGTTTTAATATCATTGTTAGATTGAATCTTGTAGATCACTGTTCTTGAAAAACGTTTCTATTCATATGTAAATAACGGTCTTGTTAACTAATACAATACTGAATTCGGAAGTCAGCGGATCCGTCCTATAAAAGTTGCAACTCTCGATATAGCAATTATCCATAAATAATAGTATAACGCTTCTTTTGATTAATTGAAGATTTAGATTGATCAGGAACAATTGAATCAGAACTGTTTAGTAACCAGAATCAATGATGTCTTCAAGAGTAGTGGCTAAACTAAGTTTGAAATGCTATTCGACTTCGGCTTTATCTCAACTAAAGAAACAATCGCTTATCAAAACCCAAGGCTACTTAAATGGTAAATGGGTAAACAGTAATGCTAATACTACATTTGAAGTTTTCGATCCAGCATTTGATAACGAGAGCTCTAAGCTAGCTGATGTTTCATCCTTTTCGGAGAAGGACTTTAATCAAGCAATTGATGCTGCGTACTCGGCTTTTTCAACATTCAAGAAGACAACTGGCCGCCAAAGATCAGAATTGCTATTAGATCTATATAACTTGATGATGGAAAATCAAGAAGATTTAGCGAAGCTTATAGTTATTGAGAACGGAAAGCCTTTGGCAGATGCCCTTGGTGAAGTTAAATATGCTGCATCTTTTTTTCAGTGGTTCTCGGAAGAGGCTCCCAGAATAAACGGATCCATTGTTCCTTCTGCTACAGCTACTAATCGAATCTTTACATTGAAGCAACCTATTGGTGTGTGCGGTATCATGACCCCTTGGAACTTCCCTGCAGCCATGATTACTCGTAAACTTGCCGCAGCTTTAGCAGCTGGCTGCACATCGGTGATTAAGCCTGCCACTGAGACCCCTTTGTCTGCTTTGGCGTTAGCGCATCTAGCGGATAAAGTCGGTATACCTCCAGGAGTAGTCAATGTACTTCCCGCACAAGATTCTTCTAAAATCGGAAAGTTAATTTGTGAGCATCCAAAAGTCCTGAAGGTCTCTTTCACCGGATCTACTGCCGTGGGAAAGATATTAATGAAGCAGTCATCGTCAACTTTAAAAAAATTGTCAATGGAGTTGGGAGGTAATGCACCTTTCATTGTATTTGATGATGTTGATATTGACTCTGCGGCGGATGGTGTGATTGCATCAAAGTTTAGGAGCAGTGGGCAAACTTGTATTTGCGCTAACAGGATATTTGTGCATGAGTCAATTTACGATGAATTCTCCAGCAAACTAGTTTCAAAGTTAGAGAAGACAGTAAAACTTGGAAATGGTTTAGTCGACGGAACTACCCATGGTCCTCTCATTCATCAAAAATCAATGAGTAAAGTAAGATCACATGTAGAAGACGCAATATCTAAGGGAGCAAAACTCTTATTTGGTGGCGCTAAACGTCCTGATCTTGGTAAGAATTTCCATGAATTGACGGTTTTGGGTGATGTGACCAGTGATATGCTTATTGCACAGGAGGAAACGTTTGGACCATTATCTCCTTTGATTAAATTCAAGAGTGACGAAGAAGTGATAAAGCTTGCCAATGACACTGATGTTGGATTAGCTGGCTACTTCTATTCGAGCAACGTCCAGAGGATTTTTAAAGTTGCAGAAGAATTGCAAGTAGGAATGGTAGGTGTTAACACTGGTGCAATTTCGGAGGCTGCAATGCCTTTTGGAGGGGTACAGCAATCTGGATTTGGACGCGAAGGGTCTATTTATGGAGTCGACGAGTACTTGATCAAGAAAAGTGTTGTCGTTGGGGGCATTGATAATTAAGTTTGTATTATATAGTCTACTATACACAAAATTTCTATTTGTCGTGTTTTGTAAAATGAGGAAGAGTGGCTCTATCAATATAATGGGGTATTAGATGGAGTCTGCAATTCTCTCAGAGGTTCACCCTGATCTTCTTCACCTAAAATTTCAGATGAGGTTTGAGAATTCTTCTTAGCATACGCCAGCATATCAGGGTTATTCACATCCTCGAACTTCTGTATCTTTAAGTCAGATGGCACGCTAAAATTCTTTAAGAATGTATACTGGCCATGAGAGAACGAAATCGCTTTGTCGGAGCGTTCGCTTTCATATTGCTTAATGATTTCTTCACCAAATGGAGACACATCTTTTTTATCATGTACAATGGACAGAAGCTGTTCTTGCTTCACTTTAACATATGGCTCTTCCTTGCGATCATTTGTTACTTTCTGACGCTTATTTTTGAGCGTTTCTATTTCCACATTCAATTCTTGGATTCGTGTCTTCGCATCGAATCCTTCATCGTTAATTTTGGGAAGTTGAAGCCCATCCTTGTAGTCCTTATATAATGTTTCTTTTATCATGTCAAATTTTTCGACCAAATCAACAAATTTAACAGACTTAAAAGTTAATGAGACCAATCCTCCTTCTCTCGTTACACCATTCATCACAGAAGATGGGAAGTTTAACAACGTTTTTTCCGGCTCTTCATACACCGTCGAAGGTATGACAGATCTATTTACCGTCCCATTGGAAATATTCTGCCTTTTATAAACGTTAGGTGTGATTTGTGACATGATTTTACTACCCTTATAGTGTTAGCCTTATATTTATCCCATCTATTTACTTCTTTCTCGAGCGACCTTAAAAATGGTAAATGCACTAAAACATTTAAGCTACCATCCAAACCGATAGAATTACAGCTACTTTGTACTAATAATTGAAACAGTTCGTTAAATTTAAGTCTGATTATAGATAAAATAGAGTCTTTGAATGCAATATAGTGAGGTTGATTACAATGTACTTTAAGATATGACAGTCTCGGATAAAGAATCGTTAATTCCGTCGATCAAGCCATCGATATCTTCAATATTCAAGCCACAACTCAAGCTGATAAGTTTTCTGTATTTATATGCCTTTGGGTCTACTCCGTAGCATTTTATCCCACCAGCAGCCTTCTTAAGAAGGGCGAGCCTTTGATGTTGGAGTTGACTCAACTCAACTGCCAATTCAAACTTATCATCTTCGTTCTTTGAAGCATGATCTTCATGATCATCGATATCTTCGTCTTTCGATTCATATTCTTGAACCAAGTTTGCCAATTTGAAGGCATGTGATTTTTCTAAAAGTTGCAGAAGAGAGGCTTCCTTTTCCGTTAAGTCTCCTTCATAATTTGCAATTGTTTCATTGAGCAAGCGTTTACCTTGTTCTGGAGAGTCAAAACCAGTAACACCACACTTTGCCAACAAAGATTTTGTCTTGCTTACCCAAGACTCACTAAGTTCATTCTTTCTCAGTAATTCTTCATTCAAAGATTTGAACTCTTTTCCAAAATTTTGCAACAGCACACTATATGAGTCGGAAAGTGAATTAAACATTACATTAAACAAGGAGGATAATTCCTTAGCCGGTAGCCTAGTCAAAGTTCCCCCTTCTTCGTTCACGCTGTCAACAATCTTACCATTATCATCTATAGTTGGTGGCTTAATTTCCAATGTTTGAAACTCTAAGCTCCCGGACTTTTTATCATCTGATTTAATGGGAGTGCTTTCTACAGTTCTTTCGGTGATAACGGCTAGAGGCTGATGTGATGCCCCAAGTACGCTTGATGATAATTTATTGCTAGGAGTGGAAGTTGTTTCGAACGATTTCAATGCCGAATCGTCAATGAAAATATTTTCTTTATTATCACCTCTCATTAAGTGGTCCAATTGTTCTCGATTTACCCTCGCTTGTCTAATATCATCGTCATCTTCGTCTTGAATAGTAGTGCGTTGTGTGTCTGGCGTACCGAGACTCTCGCTAGTAAAGCTTGCTTGAATTGGAGTCGCTAAACCTTGTTGCTTGATTTTTGATTCGGACATTCTTCGTTGATTGGCGATGTTATTCAGCTGAGTGACGGATGTCAATAACTGATGACTCTGGTCGACCTTTTGGTTATAAGAATCTAATGCATTGTTATGAGCTAGGAGCAATTTAACAGATTCCTTATTAACATTTTCTAAATCATCTCTTGCACCATATGATAAAAGGCACTTTGAGAGCTTGAGATTAGAAGCTTTGACGGCTAAATGTAAACATGTATCACCATTGACATCTTGATGATCGAGAACATTCTTCAATAAGTTGACTTGTTTGTTTGGATTCATGCTTGAAATCGAAGTTAACTTAGTCAAAATTACATTAAGATAATACTCAGAACTTTCATATTTTGACTTGACTTTAGCAAATTGACACAAATAATGTAACGGAGTTCTGCCATTAATATCCGTATTAATCAAACAAAGTTCCAAGTCATCTAAAACTTTAGGAAAGTTCTTCAATTCGTAGCAGTTGTTAAAAGAAATTAATTTTGATAATGGATTCAACCCAAAATTATTTACAGTTAAAGGGTTAGCTCCCTTGGAAAGCAAAAGACGAATCATCGGGTAGTTTCCGATTGACGCAGCCCAATGCAAAGCCGTATGTCCTTCATCATCAATAGCTTCGTTAATGTTAAAATCATAAGGTGGATTGTGAAGAAAGTAGGGAATTTGACTTTTATCTTCACTGAAGAATTGTAATAATTGAGAAGAATAGGAAAGCCTGTTATCACCGCTATCATTTTGCCCGGCTACTTTTTGATCCTTCAAGTATTGGGAATGTTCTTCGTTTGAGGAAACAGATGTATCACTATCTTTCGTTATTGCCCCATCTTCCTGAGACCAATTAGTTTCATTAGTAGATTGAGACAGTGGCAATTTGCTATGATGTATAGTTCCCATTAGTGGCTGCTCAATCGGCATCTGTGTATTGAATGATAAATTTGAAAACTTTTGCTGTTCTTGTTGGTACCGCTGAAGTTGTAGTTGATAATTTTGAAACTCATTTTGAACGACTTGTTGGTGTGAAGTAAAGGTTGGCAAGCCATTGGTATTTCCATTCACAGTTAAAAAGTCTTGATTAAAATTGGAAGGAATTTGACCAGATTGATGAAGTTGATACTGCATCTGTTGAAGAGATGGTTGACTACTTTGAGTCGGTATATGATACCTTGAAAGAGAATTATAAAGAGCCTGGTTTTGCGATCCGTATAAATCAGGGGCTTCGTGACTACCAGCATCTGACTTAATTTTCTTTGACGGCGTTTCTTCGGCCTTTTTGGCCTTCTTAGTGTATTTTCTCTTTACTGGAGTGCCATCTTTGTTCATCTGTTTGGTCTTTTTGGGAATATTGATATTGGGGTCGCTTAAGTCAAGATATAGCACCGGTGCTATATTTGGCGTTACACCATAACTCGCAGCTAACCGCTGAGCATCTGGTAGCGGTATCCACGTCCCTTGGAACCTTCCGTAGCCACCTTGTATTTTTTCATGTAGCCCTTGTTGAACTCCTTTTTCCAAGATTTTTGTTCGCTTGGCCTTGGGAAAATTACAACATTTCAAAATTTGTGTGGCATTAACCCAATCGTCCTTACACCTTCTCATTATGGGAGATTCATTGATCTGACATTCGTATACATCAGTCTATCAACTTGTTAGTATCTTGTTAACGCGTGAGCTGAGCCTATCACATCTTAGACACAGTTTATTCTACCAGACATAAAAAAAAAAATCTAACATACACTCGAATAAGTAGCGATATATACCTGAGGGGCATCTTCTGACATTATGTTCTTGTTCTATCCCAACCTGCCTATTTACTCAAGATACAAGAGATCTTACTTAAATAATCGACTTCCTTTCCAATGCCGGAGCCCGACAAAAATTTGTGAGATGAAATTTAACGCGTTAAATTACATACAGGGTCGCGTCCATTTTTGGGGCAATTGACGGAACAACAATTGAGACCAGCGGAAAGCCGAATAAACCTTTGCGGAGTAAAGCCTGTAGTAGAATAACGACTCGACTAAAATAAGGCGACAACAATTGTCTATTCAAGCCTAAAATTTAATTTATATGTTTGTATTTATTACAGATCGTTAGACGTGAATAATATATTACTAGAAAAATACAGATTATTGAAAGTACCAAACTTACAACTCGCCCTCCAACTCTTTGACAGACTTCGCAACAATACTAACTATATTATCTGCATCAACTTTCGTGATAACGAAGGCAGGTGCAAGCATGATTATATCACCAACTCCGGCATTACATCCCTGGGTTCCCATTACGGTAATTCCGTTCGATAAGCAAATATCTTGAAGACGATGGGCGATGTCTAAACCAACAGGAAAACTTTCTTTCGTATCTCTGTCTTTGACTAATTCGACGGACCAAAATCCACCAAGGCCCCTGACATCTCCAGCTATTTTCGAATCAGCCAAAGCGTCTTTCAATTTCTCTCCCATATAATTACCAACGTTGAAAATATTTTCAGTCAACTTCAATTCCTTAATCCGCTCTTGGATTTTTAAGGCTACATAACAGTTAAAAGCATGACTGGAATATGTTTGTGCACCAATGATAGATCCAGACCCTTCAACAAAAGCCCTTTTAACCTTTGGAGAAATCAATACCCCAGCAATAGTGACATAACCTGAGCCTAAAGTTTTGCCCACTGATTGCAAGTCAGGACTTTCTTCCGGCGTCAAAAAGTTCTCCCAGCAATTCAATTTACCATTGGGATTAATTCTTCCCGTGCCACACATAACTTCATCAACCATGAAGACTATATCGTACTTGTTACACAATTTTCTAATACCCTTCAAGTAATTTGCCGGTGGTGGTACAGTTCCAAGTGAGGAGCCTGGAAGTGTTTCAACGATAACACCACCAATAGTATCTGGGTCCTCTTTTAAGATCAATTCTTCCATTTCGTCAACTAATCTGTCTCCGTATTGTTCAAGAGACTCTCCCTTTTTCTTGTTACGATAGGGATAACAAGGTTCCACCTTTAAGCACTGCGATGTCGGCAAAAGAATTTCTTGGAACATTTTTGACCTTGCAGAATTTCCAATGGAAAGTGCACCAAGCGTAAAGCCATGATAAGAAGTATTTCTGGATATAAATTTTGTTTTTTTAAAATTCTTTTTTTCAAGATGATATTGCCTTATTATCTTCATTGCATTTTCATTTGCTTCAGACCCTGAAGTAACCCACAAAGCACTTGCAAAGGCACCCTTTGGAGAATTATCAATATAAAACTTCGCTAACTTCTCACTGAACTCATTGTTCATCGAACCTGGGTACGAATAAGTGGTAGCCATTGCAGCTTCGTTGATGAAGTTAACAACTTCAGAATCACCCCACCCTAATGCACCGACAGCTGCGCCAGTCATTGCATCAAGAGCTTCGGTGCATTTACCAGTTTTCGGATCCTTAAATGTTATTTTGATACCGTTACCTTTGATAACCGAAAGCTGCCTATGGGCAACCTTTGATTGGAAAACATATGACTCCTGTTCTTCTACTGTCATGTTAAAAAATTAAAAACTACTTTCAGCTTATTTTTGCAGTTTTAGCTGGATCTTTAGCACCTTCGTTATTTGCTTAAGTGATGGTAGCACCTCTCCTATATCTACTTGAGCTGAATAACTCACTAATCTAATTTCCCCGAGTACTCTAGTGTGGCTCTGCTACCTTTTTTATACTCTTTCGGCTATTGTATAGATAAGATAAAAAAGTCAATCTTATACACAGGACTGTATCGAAATCTGACTAGCAATAACGCATTCGAACTGTGTAAAAAACAACTCAATTATTCGAGCTCTGCCAAAAAAGAATATATATATATATATTTATATAGTATCCTCATTGAAATGTCTCAATTATGATCCAAGAGTCCGATAATTTTCAGCAAGAACATTGGAGACTTCAAGAAAGCATTTTCGGGAAGCGAATAGCGAAATCCAGCAAATATCAAGATAAGCGCATAACTAACTCTAAAATAGTCAAAAAAAAAAAAAAAAGAATTCGAGCCCTGCCTGAAAGGCTCGCTGGTGACAATTTAAGGAAATAGCGACAAGATAATCTCTGTATAGGGCAGAAAATCAAACTGTTGGAGTACAAAAAGCGACCGCTGAAAGGGGTTATCGAATCCTAAATAATCCCAGGTGGACTCGTTGGTGCAAGAAAAGAGATACAGTGCTATGAATAAAAAGAACTCTTTAAATGAATAAATCTCTTCGCTGACATCTAACTCAAGGAAGCAAGACCGTTTTGTTGAAATTTGTCATTGACGTTAGATAAGTTACAAAGACTTTGATATCACGAAAAAAAAAGATGCTAAGCTTGTTAGATATATACAATTAAAGCTTATTAAGTATCGGGCCCCACCTTCTATTTATAAAGTGATAATAATGCTCATTACTGTTGTTCGTCATACCTGTATATAACAGGTAAAGTTCGTAACTTTAGTAGTTAACAGTTGACTCGATCTTAATTTTATTTTGAAAGCCCTTTAATTACTGCAGAATAGAAAATATCTTTTTAAAGCTTGATTCATCTTCATCTTACATTAGAGGTCTTCGAGTCTCTCTTTTCAAAACGCAAGAAAAAACGTCGCGTTTTTGGTTTGCTTTCTGAAGGACATCACAAATTTGATCAACACAGAAGTACACCATGGCATCCCAATTGGGCATAAAGCAGCCCAAGGCCAAGCTTGTTACGGGAACGATTGTCATGGTTGATAATGCTGACAAGCTGATAATATCACCTTCAACTCATGACACAGTGTCCTTAAAGAGGACGGAAGAAGGAATTATCCTAAATCCACAACCACATGAAAATCCAAATGATCCACTTAATTGGCCGTTATGGAGAAGAGATTTATGTATGGCTATCATAGGTATCCAAAGTTTTTTAGGAGGTGGTCAAACTCCCATCTTAGCAGCTGGAATGCTGGGATTGGTAAATGAATTACATAAACCTCTATCTGTCGTCTCCTATTTAGTTGGTGGATTCATGTTGGCAATGGGAGTTGGCTCTGTGTTTGCGTGTCCCACTGCTGTATTATATGGAAAACGGCTAGTATACTTATTAGGTATTCTATTGTTTTTGATTGGATCCTTGTGGGCTGGAGGTTCCCAAAGTTTTGGGAGTTTAATGGGAGCAAGGGTAATAACAGGTATTGGAGCTTCACCCACCGAGTCACTACCATCCGCTACGATTGCAGAGATCTATTTTGCTCATGAAAGGGCTTACAGAGTGGGAATATACACGATGTTGATGTTGGGAGGCAAAAACATTGTTCCACTTTTGTCGGGCTTAGTTTTTCAATATTTAGATAGGCATTGGCTCTTTTGGATTCTCAGTATGTTTCTAGGCACAAATTTAGTTCTTACCTTTTTATTTGTTCCTGAAACATTTTGGGATAGGTCGCCAACTCCAAGTAAAAGATCAAAGGAAGAAACCGAAGCAGCTCAAAATGTGGCTGACTATCATCCGCCATCTGAACGTCCTAACGCATTCGCATTAAGAAACATTACATCAAATAGCAGCATGGTAAGTACTAGTCTCTCGTCAAGTATTGGATACCCAGATGCGAATGGAGAAACTCCGGTAGGGATCACTGGTGGTCCAGTCAATACAAACCATCCTGCAGAGTCCAAAAAAACATTTATTCAAGACATATCGCTTCACTCAGGCAGGCACACAAAAGATAGCTGGTGGATGGTAGCATTGCGACCTTTTTTCTTATATACATATCCGTCTGTGTTATTTGGATCACTCATATATTCGTTGGCAGTAGTTTGGTTGATTGTGATTTCTGAAACTATTTCAGAAATATTCAGGGGCGAGGGTTACAATTATGATCAAAAGACTGTTGGATTATTCTATATATCGCCATTCTGCTTTGGCATTTTGGGATCTCTATCTGCTGGACTTATAAGTGACAGGGCAAGTAGATATATGGTGTCAAAGAACGGTGGTATTTACGAACCTGAATTCAGATTAATTATGATAATCCCATCAACGTTTTTCATTACGATTGGATTGATGGGATTTGGATGGTCATCTCATATAAAGGATCTTTGGATTGGACCGATATTATTCTTTGGAAGTGTCAGCTTTGGATGCTCTATGGCAAGTACGACGGCAATAACTTTTGCAATTGATTCTTATAGAGTATTTGCGGCTGAATCGTTAGTATCTTTCAATTTTTTAAAAAACCTTTTAGGTTTTATATTTTCATTGTTCAACACAAATTTCTTTCATGCTAGAGGCGGGAAAACAACATTCATCACATATGGCGCTGTACAATTATTCATCAGCTTATTCGCGATACCCTTATATATTTATGGTAAACGGATACGTAGCTGGACCGATGAGAAAGAATTACTAAGATGGCTCTATTATGTTGAAAAGGAAAATTCAACAGCAAATAATAATGATAAATATGAAGTTAGAGAGATGAACTCATCTAACAGATGAGTTCTTGAAATCGAAGTCAATAGTCAAGCCCAAATTAATAAGAAATTTGAACCATACTAAATAGATTATTTATTCATGAATAGATGCACATCCCTCCAATAAATATTTAGAGCCAATCTATTTTGCTTTTATCAAAATTTTCAAAAAGTCCTCGATTAGCATTGATATAAGTATCAAATCTGGTTTGAGTAGCTAGTCCATTCCATAACTCTTTACTCTCTGATAGACTTAAGCTCGGTTGTCCTAATTTTTCAATAATGCAACCGCTTGCTATATTTCCACAGAGGCCCCCCACTAGCCAATCACCCTTAGATAAGTAGAAACCAACAACGAAACCACCACAATATGAATTTCCTCCACCAGTGATATCTACTACTTGAGCTTGATCAGAATGATATGCTGGCATCAAGATACTCTTGTCTTGGGACTTTATATAGCAGCCCATCTCTCCACACCTAAGAACCACCCCTGAATTCTTTAAGGTCAAGTATGGTTTGAACACCGATGCCAATTGCTCCAATTCTGCAGAGTTCTTTGGTAGCTTCAAGAAGCCAGCTAACTCGGCTCCCTCATTCAAATTAGGCGTGAAGATGTCAATGTTCTTTAGTACTCTTTCCAACTTCAGCAAATTTTCGGGTTTACAATCATCAGGCAAAGGCTCGAAAATAAAGATAGGTTTCAGTTCCACTTTTTGTAAAATCTTTGTTACAATTTCTTCACATCTATCGAAAGAGCAGAGAAGATGAATAGTCTTGGAAGTTCTCAAAGCCATATTTCCTAAAATATCGGACGATTCAATTCTCTTTTTTGGAGCTATATACTTGAAATGCCTCACTCCATTCTTATCATATATATTCATTCCTCTTGTAGTCAATCTATGGGGATCACTACGAAAGAAAATACTAGTATTCCATTGCTTGAGCTCATCTTCGACTGAATGAGGAAAATCTGACCCCATATCAATTATGGCACTGAGCTTATTTGATAGTTTTGGTCCGACTATGATTCTAGCACCGGCTAAAGCATAGGGCCCACCACCACCAACAATATCAACGTCGTTCTCTCGAGAATCAGGATAATGATTTTCGTCTATAATAAACATGCCCATTGAGGCAAATATAAGACCATTATCATCATCATTTATCATTACGTTGTTGATCCTTTATCGGCGTATTTGTGTTTAAAATTAAAAATATCAATCAAACATATTGTAAGTCAAATTTTTTTCTTTTACACAGGGAGTCGGAGATATTGAAGCGTTGGTGTTCTATAAAGTGGAATAGAGACACCAGTGAAGGATCTTGGATAGTCTCTTATTAACCCAACGACCAAGATGTTTGATATAATGACGGGAACTAATTGCGCCGCCTTGATAAAGAGAGAGCGTGCTAGTTGCAAATCTTGTATCATATTTTATTAGCGGGGAGATTTAGTAGTTATCAAAACACGAAACACATTTTTATATTACATTTAGAGCTTTTTAGAAAAAGATGGCCGTTGAAACTAGCTCAGTAGCTGGAATTGTAGCGGGCAGGAATCCTCTTGATTATTCCAGCTCTGCTCCATATACGATCTTTTTATTTCAGGCTGTCTTTATTATCTTGTTATGTCAAATTGTTCATTATCCTTTAGGAAAACTTCGTCAGCCTAAAGTGATCGCAGAGGTGGTGACAGGGATCTTGCTTGGTCCTTCAGTTCTTGGAAAAGCACCGAACTTCACTGATACGTGCTTTCCAGCTGCATCTATTCCAGGTTTAACTCTCTTTGCGAATATCGGTATTATTTTGTTCTTGTTTATTGTTGGATTAGAAGTTGACATTAATTTTATAAAAAAACATGCGAGGGTTGCCGTTTCCGTAGGTTTGGTTAATATGGCTATTCCATTTGCCTTGGGTTGTGGAATATCGAAGGGTATGTATGACGAATATAGGTCGCAGGACACAGACTTGCTGCCCATTAAATACACCACATTTATGGTTTTCATAGCAGTTGCAATGTGTATTACAGCATTTCCTGTTTTAGCACGTATTTTAACAGAGCTCAACTTGATTGGTGATAGGGTTGGTACAATTGTTTTGGCAGCAGGTATTATGAACGATTTGACAGGGTGGTTGCTACTTGCGTTATCAGTGACACTAGCAAATGCTTCAAGGCCAGTGAATGTGGTGTACATCTTACTTTTAACTGCTGGGTGGTTTGTATTTTTGTGCTTTCCTGTGCGCTTGACGATGAAATATTGCTTACGGAGATTTACAGATGACTTAGTTACTGGTGAACCATCACAATCTCTGATGTTGATAATTTTGTTGATAGTGTTCATATCTGCATTTTTCACTGATATCATTGGAGTTCACCCTATCTTTGGAGCGTTTATGGTTGGCGTTATCGTGCCTAGAGACAATGGTTATGTTGTTAAAATTACTGAAAAATTAGAAGATTTAGTCCATATAATATTGATTCCACTCTACTTTGCTTTAGCAGGATTGAATGTCAATTTAGGGTTGTTGAATAAAGGGATTGATTGGGCATACACAATTGGTATCATTTTATTAGCAATGGTTGGCAAAATATTTGGAGGCTTCATCGCAGCAAAGCTTAATAAATTATTTTGGAGAGAATCGCTAGCTGTGGGTGTTTTGATGTCGTGTAAAGGTATTGTTGAAATTGTTGTTTTGTCTGTTGGTTTAAATAGTGGTATCATTTCTCAAAAGGTTTATTCAATGTTTGTTGTAATGGCCCTTGTTACGACTTTCCTTACAACCCCTCTCGCTCTATGGGTATATCCGTTACAATACAGGGATCGGGTAGCAAATTTCTTGAGTGGAAAGATCAATTGGAATGGAGAGCCTAAAAATAAAGAAGAAATTATCTCTCAGCTTAATGAAACGAGTGTCTCTTTAAATGACATCCTGATTGAAAATTTAGGCGAATACCGGGTATCTAAGGTTATTTTACTTTTGAAAAAAATTGATACTGTATCATTTTTAATGTCGTTTATTAAAATATTTTCACGAAGCACACATACTGACATTAAGGCAATTCATATGAGAGAATTCAGTTCTAGAACTTCTCATTTGTTAGAAGTCTCAAGTAATATTGAAAATTCTACGCAGAGTGACAGCGAACTCGATTACAGCAATTCTTCGTCAATATTATCGATTATCAAGGCATTCAGTGAAATTCTAGGTATCAATTGCGTGGTGCAATCGATTTTGGCACCCGCCCGCAACTACGTTCTAGCTATCAATGATCAGATTTCAGAGCGATCAGATTTTTTGATCAGCAGCATGAAATCGTCTCAGCTTTTGGGAAGTTTAGCTACGGAGAACGAGGATAGTGAAATTAATTTATTCAGTAGATTATTCCGCTCTTGCAAATCACATTTTGGGTTATTATTGATCAATGATGGCGAGAAAAGAAGTAATCGTCTAAGCACAGTCCATGAAATTGCAGAAACCAAGACCTTGGTGGGAGACGAATCAAGCATCGCTAATATATCTAGCGATCTTAGCTCGATTAATGTGATTTTGTTTCATGACAATATTTTAAGCGCTAACGACTTTTTTACCTTACATTTGGCTTCTAGTTTATCAAAAGATGTCACAAGTGTCAACTTGTTTATCAGAGGAAACTCAGCCGATTCAGAAGGCTTCTTGTCCAAGATCAACTCTTTGTTCGAATCCTCAAATCCGGCCATTAGGTTGAGTACCCGTTATGTAAAAGGATCTTTGACAGAGTCCATAGTATCCTCATCTTTTTCAATTAAGAATCAGCTTTTCTTGATTGCAAAAGATACTCCAAATGATGACTCGTTATTTACTGACGAAACTATTCAGCTTATAAAAGCCAGCGTGGACTCTTGCTTCAATATATTGGTAGTGAGAGCTTCCACTGACGATTGATGATCTATATGTATATTGGTTTTTTTGTGAATTATATACTTATATACTTATATATTAGCATATAATCCGATATCATGATTCAAAATCTTATGTAAATGTCGAATAAAAATAACAGTGTAGGATTCTAAGACAATGCTAAACAAATATGGATGGAATTAACAAGCAGCTGTAGCTGTTCAAATTAACACAACGCGCATTTCATGAAAAGTTCTTTACCAATACTGAAGGAACGATTTTGAATCATATTCAGTTTGAAGTTATAAACCAATCATTGAGCATCTTTAGACATGTACTCTTTTGAATAACATAGAAGAAATGGCGAGTTGATTTTTGATTTAGTTAAAGAACAATAACATGCTTTTGAGGAAAATGTTATTATTTGGATCTCAAATTTCTATCCTCCACTTATACATTAAACAGAATTCAAAGCGAGGAGAAGAATGATTGAATTTTGTGGAAAAGCTAAAGGGTTGCTCAAACTTATAGAGCTAGCAATCTTTCTGATAGGAAAGGATGGTATCAATCTGCTTATAACTCTAGCTACTTTTCTCATAAGTACTTAATAATTAGATGGAAACCGCATGTAGCTAGCAAGGGTAGAACCATGATGAGTCTGCTGGTGGGCTAAAGCCGTCAATAAGATAGTTGTAACTCTGAAAAAAATATATTTGAGAGAAGGACTACGATGTTCCAACAATTTCAAGTATAGCCTTACTTTACATATAGCACTATATAGAAGTATGCTCGGCTCGAGAATAGGGAAACATCGGCCCGCTTGGCCCAGTGGTAAGGCACTCCACTCGTAATGGAGCGATCGCCGGTTCGATTCCGGCAGTGGGCAAGATTTACCCTTAATTCTTTTTTCTTTTTTCTTGCGAAACACTATACAGTTACACATGATTTTTCATTAAAAGCTATTTAGTTCTAGGTGGTGGAGGTGCAGATGCAGTGTTTTCCGGTTCAGTTGAATTATATTGAACATCCAATCTTTTAGAATTCGCAAGTTCTGCGTTCACTAAATCGTTGATGACATTCAATGATCCGGTCGCATGTTTTTTCCTTCTATTTGTTGATCTGTGAGGAAGAGATATAGCTGGCATCGCTTTATTAGATGGAGGAAATATGGGCGGAGGAGCAATTGCTGAATGTTCTGAGTTGACTGTAGGAATATTAGACACCGAAACATGTTTCTCCACGGAACTTAATGGTGTGTTGGTTATTTCAAAAGTTCGGTCTTGTTCTTTAGTCTTAACAGTCTCTTGTTGCTTATGTAGTTCCAGCGCCGACGATACCCGTGGGGGAGATACTGATGTCTGTGGTTGTGACGAAGTACCTGATTCCTCTGGAACAATGTAAGGTTGCATCATTATCGAAATCGCCAGTGCAGCTGCCGACTCTCTCAGAGGCAGTTTTTGTGACGGCTCTTGAACAAAAGAAGAAGTCTCAGTTCTCGAACTGTCAGATACGACTGAAGATGGAGTATCGGTTGGATTATAAGAGACAGTTGCATTCGACTCGAATAAAATATCATCGTTTAAAGCCTCATTCGTGAATTTTCCAACAACTTCGGGTAGTCTATGTAGTAGACCATAGCCTACATCACAACCTAGTATCCCTTTGTTTTGCGTGCCGCCCCATTTCCTATTTAAATTTACCACTACTGGTCGGAGAATATCGTAATCATGATTGTAAACGTAGATTGTAATCGGTATGCTGTCTATCTGACTAATCGCATAATGATGATTGTAATAATCTTGAATTGTTTTTGTCAACAAGGTCTCACCCCCTCCAGAAAGTAAGCCTTTGTCAGGTTTGTCGTCTGAAAACATTGAATCGCAGCCTACTACATAATCTGAGGAGGGTACCAATTGTGATTTGAAAGCAGGAGACCCGGGATGTGAGCTTAGAATCCTCCATACGTACGTAGCTGTGATGAGATGCTGCGACTGAAGAGTAAGTCCCAATTCTGCAAATCTATTTTCAAAAAGGTTTTCAAGGGAACTATTATTTGGATCTTTTGCAATATATTCTTCTAAAGGCAAGACAACCTTCCTTATAATGCCACCTTTTGCATTCCAGACGTGTATGGTAATCTCCTTTCCTGCTTGAGTAATATTGTCTACTAAAGCATTAAAGTCAATTGCAGCAGCCTCGTCTTTGGAGTCTCCGTCATAGCTTATTGTTCCATCCTCTCCGATATTGTAAGAAACCCATGGAGTTAAAGGATGCTTCATAGGTAGGTTTTTGCAATTGATCTGTATAATGTAATCAAACCACGATTCAAGTCCTCTTTCAGATGCTATAGAATTTGGCTTAACGTTCAAGACTCTCAATCCATGGCCCTTGTTATTAATATCCAACGCATTTTTAAAATATGAATCTCTCAAATCACCAGCTGAACTAGTTTGCCCATCTAGTCTATCGACTAACTTTTTGGCAAAAGAAAACATTGAATTTTGTACTAGATACACTGAACTCTTTATGTCAATGTTTAAAAGGCTCTCCAAAAGTGACGCCTGCATATATCAAAAGACACAAAAGTGGTTATATAAATGTTCTGATATCGCTTGGCTGCTAAATCTCGAGAAAATCAGTTATCGATCTATTATAAAATACGTAGTTAAATGTGAGTTAGCAACATGGTGAAATGTTAGCAATATTATACAAAGAGCATGCAATTATATACTCTGGATTTTTCAAGGGACTTATTTTCTAGGAGGAGTTTTTGACACCACCTGAGAAGGCCAATGCCCAAGTTCTACTTTGTCCATTATCCAAGTAAGTATCAGACCAGCTGCTGGATGAGAAGAAACTGTAAGATGAGGATGCATCGTATAAAGCCTTGTTAAGATACAAGATACCTGTCCATCCACTGTTAACTTTACTGATAAATGTAGACACTTGATCAGTCCACTCTTCTTTGACATAAGAGGGGATTCTAATCAATGATGATGCAGGGGTGATAGGCAACATGTGAATACCGTGGACATATTCAGGATGATCAGAAGGCGAGCCAAAGTAAGTTGTGTAGTCAATTTTGTTTTCAAAGAGAATTCCGCTAACCTTATTAGGAAGGATCTGTGATGGTTCAACTGTGTTGTCACTCTTGTAATAGAAATATTTGTTCATCGACCGAGACATCAATGCAAGCATTAAGTCTCCTCTTGACTCCATTGAATTGTCACAAATCACACTTCCCCAAAGTTTCATACCATAGGCAAAATTATAATCCTCTGATGAGGATTCTTCATTTTTACCATCACCGCTTGCAAAAAGGCCAGCAGCCCAAGAATGACCATGAAACCAATCAAACATTCTGGACACCGGGAAATAAGTATCACTGGTTGAGGGATTTGCAACGTCTCTGATTAAGGAGTTCACCCACGCCTTATTGTCACTTGCCCAGGTCCCCCCTGCTTTCTTATCAACATAGCCAACTATCGCGGCTGCGTGAACAAAATAACCGTAATGGAAATGATGATCGTTGTAGTAACCGGACCCATAATCTGCACCAGTGTCTCCCCCTTGACTAGCAGTTGATGTAACTCCGAAGAATTTTGTGTCATACATTAATGGATAATACTGCTTATTGCTTGTGAATGTTTTGAAAGCAGTTTTCATTTGCAGCAAAAGGCTAGCCGTGGCTGTCTTATCTTTGATGATATCACTTACCACTAATAGAATGTAAGCATATTTGTCAATGACCTTACCTGAAAAGTAATTAGAATTCATCGAGTTCACGGTTGCTGCGATGTCAACGGCAGCTTCAGTAGTTGCAGCCTTCGCTATTAAGCTAAGTTGAGCAGATGTGTACGTAGGCGCACTTGTCATTCCTTGGACCCACGGCAAGTACTGCATCGAAGTTTCTAAAGTCTCAGACATGAATAGGGTCTTAGTCAAGAATGCTTCCATCGTTCCTTTTGTGGTTGACGCAAGGGTTATTCCCGTTGAAGTTGCTGCAGTTGCAGAATTCAAAGACTCGATTTGATGTGGGAATGCATAAACTATCGGTTTTCCAGAACGTGAAGAACCTTTTGTGGTATAAGTGAAACCGTAGGAAGCCGATACCCCACTTGCAACAGTTCCCAGAATCTTTGCATCTGTCACGTACATTCCAGCCGCTTCATCCAAATAAGTATCCTTGCTTGAAGAAGATGGTGCAACCGAAAACTGAATAATCAAACCGTCGACTGCTTTGGAGCCTACGATATGGTTCGAGTCGCTGACTTTCAATGAGAAAGAAGTAGAAGCGGATGGCTTCGTGACATATATCAACCACTCCACTCCATTGAAAAGAGTAGCTCTATATTTGATAGTGGTAGACTGAAGCGAGCTAGATGTTTCTTGGACCATTGTCTTAACTCCAATCAGTGATTTAATTTCAGCGACGAAGTTTCCATAATAAATACCAGTTGCGAAACCCATACCTTGAACGATAGGAATATCAACTCTATTAGTTGTGTCGGAGGAAGACCTCGATAAACTTGCAAGCACAGACATACTTTCCATGTTTGATAACCTCAAATAGTTAGAAGTCTTTGAAATAGTAGTTGACGAAAAAATCAACTCAGGAATAAAGGTAGGGTTTAAATAATAAGATGACACGCCAGGATTATTAGTGTCTACAGATCCGTAAACCCTGTTGCTAGGGATTGTATGCTGCACAGCAAATCCGTAGTAACCCAGCTTCTTCCAAAACATGCCATAAGGATAAGACCAGATCATATCTGTTTGAGAGCCTAAAAATAAATTAGCGTAAAACTTGTTAGTTCCAAACGGAGAACCTGTGCTTACACCAGATGGAATGGTTAAAGGCAATTCCTTTCTTGCGAAGACCAGTGGAGGACTATCATTAGAGATCATTTTAAAAAGGTCACCCGAATAAGTAGAATATCCTTTGGAATTATGATTGGCACAAGTTGCTGAGCTTGAGGAACTGGAAGTAGTTGTCGATGCCTTCGAACTAGATTTACTCGACGTCTTGCTCGTTGTTGAAGATGAAGATTTGCTCGTTGTCTTTGACGAAGACTTGCTGGTTAAAGTTTTTGAGGACGTAGAAGAGGCAGTAGACGATGTTGCCTTCAAGAGAAATCTAGGCAACGATCTGGAACTACCAGTCGATGAAGTAGCTAAAGTAGTACTTTCATAGCTTTCTGAGGAGCTAGTATTACGATAATAAGGATACCATGCTGAACTAGACAGAGGCAATGAATCCGTTGTACTATAGATATCTGCAGTTGCCGACGGTTCTATAGTATCGAAACCAGTGGTATACAGTTCAGCTTCCGATATCGGGTACTCACTGTACTCGTCCGATATACTAAATTCAATTGTGCCAGTATTACTAAGCTCTTCTGAAATGTAACTGTCACTCAATGTGATGGCAGGGTCAACCCCATTTTTACTAACTGAGGAGGTAAAACTTGAATCATCTGTGATGTAATCATCTGAGAATTCAGACCCCGTTTCGATTGCACTTAAATCAGGTACTATTGTTGTCGTTATAGCTTTGGAGATAGCAGGTTTTGTAATGAGGGGATTGACATGCGTACTAGTTATTGATTCGGTAGGTTTTGGGGCCTCGAATAACGATTTGGGAGATGTCGGACAAGTGTAAATAGTCTTAGTAGTAGTTTTTCCCTCGTAAAGGGTAGTAATAGCTGCACTGAGATAATCGATATCAACTGATGAAGCAGAAGCTTCCCCTTTCACTTGGACCTTTGAGGTTGTGCACACATTACGTACACAGCGTGTCGTTGTTTCTGCATCTTCTTCCGTTGATGTAGAAAGGAACTTTTTTTGCAGGAATGACAGCTGCGGCAGTGCGATTCCTGTCTCTTCAGAACTGCCATAAACAAACACGATCGGGATACCAGTAGTTAAACCTTCATTATTGTCAGATAACACACTTGCTGCACCAGCAGGAAGGCAGCCTGCCGTGACATAGTTCGTATGAGTAACTGTAATAGTTGTCTCACCCGAAGCGAGCACATTGAAGTATCCAAGCACCAGAATCAACAAAGATACTTTGAGTTTCATAGTACACGGCTCTTTTTCTTTTTTAATTTACTAAACCTGAAATGAATTTGGCAGCAAAACTAGAGTTCAGTCCAAACACCGTTACTAACGCGTCTATATATAGTTAAGAATGTACCCCCAATATATCGCTCAACCAGCACCCCAGTCCATGTCAAAATACGTGCTTTTATTATCTATCATTTTGATGGCTGCCAAACCTTGCTCGCCTACCCAAAAAGTGCATTAGATCCCCATAAAGGTGCCAATCACCGTTGACGACATGCATCCGGCTTCCAAGAAAATCATTTAAAATCCTAAGCCGTAAAATTACTTGACAATAGATTTTAGACATTAGATGGCTGGCGCTGCATGATTTCAGACATTTCGCGGCTTTCGAATCCAGCAGTACCGCGCGTGCGGCCAAATTCTGACAGAATTTTGACAGCAAACGGACAAGCTAATTTTTTTGACGGTAAGTTAACCAGCACTTGAATAAAAAACCAATCGTTAGCTATTAGGGGTGGTGGGTGGTTGTTATACTGTAGCATAAAACTAGCTTGCTGAGAACATAATCTGCTCGGCATATTCTTTTCAATTCGTGTTTGTTATGATTTGGGTGATGTTGCGCGTGGACTAAATAATAATTCGGGAACGATGATAGACAGAACATATACGAAGATAATCCCGAAATACGAATGTCAAAGGAACGAAGGCGGTAAGCTGTTGAGCTATTAGATACCTGTATGGATAATCCGATATGCTAATCTAAGTTGATGCGAAATATAAGGCTTAAACAGATTTGCATAACACCGGGGCTTTTGACTACAAGACTCTTCGCATACTTTGTTCATTTTCGAAAGGTCAATTGTAGGCAGAATCTATCACATATACGTCAAAGGGCGAAACAACATTTAGTGTAAATCCAGCATAGTAGGAAAGTACGCTTGATGAGTGATGCGCGATCTGGTAATGTGGACACCTGTGCAGATTTCCAGATATCAGATATCCTGTGTAGATTTTGAGAAAGATTTTCTTTTAGTTTATCTAAATTGGTAGTTAAACATGACAGTGGATATAGTAGTAGTGGGAGCTGGAGTATCTGGGCTCACATCAGCTTTGCTTTTGAAGCAATCTAATAAGGACTACAATGTAACTGTAGTTGGTTACCATATTCCTGGAGATTTGGATATAGACTACACCTCACCCTTTGCAGGGGGGAACTGGCATTCATTTGCTTCAAAAGAAGATAAATTTCTTCAGCAAATCGATGAGCCTGGATACAAAAAGTTCATGGAGCTAGCACGGACTGAGCCCCAGGCGGGTATATGGATTCAGCCTAATGTTGAATACATTACAAAATACGATTTCGATAAAAAGGGACGCGACCCACTGAAATATGTTCCGTGGTTTAAAGACCTTGTCGAAGACTTCAAAATATTAGATAGTCATGATCTTCCTGATGGAATTGCTTTTGGATTTTCCTTTTCAGGAGTCATTATCTCAGTTCCGATATACTTGAACTATCTTCTCCAGAAAAATTTAGAAATTGGGAACACGATAAAAAGAGTAAGAAAATTGAAGGATATTCAAGAAGCTCGCTACGTGAATGGGACCAAAGCAAATATTGTTGTCAATGCTACTGGTTTGTTAGCTCCTCAATTGAAAGGGTATAAGGATCCCAAAAGGAACTTCCCTGTTAAGGGCCAAGTTTTGCATGTCCGCAATAAAGCAAAACATGAACTTAGTGTAGAAGGTTTTCCTGGTTACGATAGTGAAATGCTTTACATTATGCCTAGGAAAGAGGGTGGATCAATTATAGGTGGATGTTTTTTGATCGATGATAATACCCTGAAAATAGATGATGTATTAACTCAAAGGATTATTAAGCGAGCTGTCAAATATATGCCTGAGCTAATCGACAAGAATTTTGATAACAATCCACCGGAGATTGACATAGTAAGAACGAACGTGGGCCTCAGACCATTCCGCGAAGGTGGAGTCAGAATAGAGATTGACCCAGATAATAAATGGCTCATCCACAACTATGGAATCGGCGGAGGAGGCTATCAGGGAAGCTATGGACTGGCTGAAAAGGTGGTAAGCTTAACAAACAAGTCATTGACGTCTAATAGTAGTAGACTTTAGAAATAAATTTTTATGATCATTAAATTATATTATGTTGCTCTATCTAGCCAATTGAAGACATTTTTAATCTTCCAAACTGCGGAATCTCTAATTACACATTTGTTTCACTATGAAATTGAAAATACTCTTTGCGTACTTTTTCTTATGGCTCTTGTCTGAATGTGATGCAATAAAATCATTAACTTTGCCCTGTTCAGCGAAAATTGGCGTGGGCTTGTCTGAGTATTTTTGGGTCTTTATCTTGAGGTCTGAATATCCGTGCTGTGGACTGAAGAACCCTTTCTCTGATGGCGTCTCTGGAATACTCATATTACTCTATTTTCAACAATAACTTACTTGGTGTTTTTGCTAAAGCAACGTTCTAAGCTTAATATATGGTTTCGGTACATCACGTGCTAATTTAACATGGCCTAGGTATATTAAAAAATTTCCATAAATGGAGCGAGAAGCACAGAATTAGAATAACGGCTTCCCATAACTTAAGAACTCTTTGGCTAAATCTTCTATAGTCGGATATGAAGGCTACTGATACACTTAGGTTTCACCAAACGTGCGTTTCAAACTTGAGGAGACCTTGGCAAACATTTAGAGATGGACAAATATGGTATGGTTACACCACCAGAGGTTCAAAGAGACACCAGTTGACCACCAAGCAAGGAAACAAGCATTTTTACAAGGGTACTGGCTCTTCGGGGTACGGAAAATTGAACAAGAATGGATCTTTCGTAATGAACTGGTCAAAAGTGAGAACTTATGTAGTTCCACAAGATTTAAATGTGAGTAACTTAAAACCCTTAGTTTCGCCAAATGTTCCCCAAATAGAGCAGAAATATGTTGGATACAAGGATGGAATTAAGAGTCCTGAGTTGGCTTGGAAAAATATCACAGATTTCATAGAATATGGTGAGAATTACGACAACATCGACTTGGAAAGCAATAACTACTTAGAAGAATATGTTCACCCTAAGATTGTGGAAAGTGACCAAAAAAAGAACTTTGAACCCTCATCTTAGCCCATGATATTGTAATTAGGTTAACTCTACTTTCCAGTTGATCATTGATATCACTTCATTTGAATTTAAAGGATTAGAAAGCTCAGCATTTTGAAAAGTGTCAAATACGGTTTTCGGTTTATGTATATATTGTCCTAGTATTAAAGTTACTAATTATTCAAGTTATGTTCCATTGAATATAAGGGACTAAACTGTAGAGTAAATTTTTCAAAAGCAAGTATTGCAGAATTGTCAGATTCAAATTACAGTGCTTATTGTCACTCGACATTCTCAATGTTACTTTTGCTCTGTGCTCTTGCTCTCTTTGTGCTGTTTTCCATATCAACTGCTCTTGAAATCATAAATTCTTGATTTTACTTTCCGAGGGTGATGCGCTTAAAGTAATATCAACATACTAGTAGAAAAAATACCTACTCTATATTCACGAATGGAATCCCCAGAACGAATACTATCGTTTAATGCCCGAGAATTAGATGATATGGATGAAACAAGCGAGACACCTAATACTACACCTCCAGCACCTGTTTCCAATGGAGCTACCCCAGATCGGGAAGCAGCCATAGACGAGTCTCTCGGTAATGAGCTGAAAGTTGATTCACAGACTAAGACAGAAGAAAGCGAAAATGGGGAGCTGAAGGTAGATGATGGGGATGATTTAGATGATGGTATTCAAGAAGATGAAGAATTGCTCACATTACCTTTATCCAAAATCAAAAAGATATTCAAAATGGATCCGGATTATCTAGCTGCGTCAAAAGGAGCGGTATACGCTACTGGTTTAGCTACTGAGTTGTTTATTCAATACTTTGTTGAACAAGCTAGTTTACTTGCTAAAATGGATAGGCGAAAGAAGATACAATATAAAGATTTGAGCAATGCAGTTTCAAGTCACGACTCACTCAGCTTCCTCTCAGATACAGTGCCAAAAGCCATACCGATTAGGGAGCTTATGGAGAATAATAAGATCAACTTGTCGAAGGCAGATCAAGTCAAACTTTCAAAAGAAGAAAACAAAGCAACAGGTATTAATGACGAAGTTGTTCCGGTTGAGGACGTTGAAAAAAATACTTTGCCTAAAGGTCAACAACAGCTCAATTTTCCAATTAGCAAACCAACTAACCCTCCTTTCAAAAAGTCTGTTATAAAAGACCTAGTAACACTGACTGACGAAAATGATAGTGAAAAGCTGATAGAAGATGTTACAATGGCTACTTAACATCATGATTTTACTCTATTAATACTATAAGATACAACTTGATGGCTAGAATCAGGATTGAATCCTTAATAGCCAGAGAATATTATTGGTATCGCGTCCTAAAGGTAAGTTCTTTGGAATCCCAAGTGTAATGCAAAAGCTTGCCATATTATAAGCAGTAATATCAGGAATAAATCTCTCGTATATTCTCATTCCAGTTAAAATATACTTCACGTACATCCTCAATAAATTTGGATTTCTTGTAGATAACATATCATTCCGTGCTACTCTAGCCAATTGAGTATTAGGCATTGATCTTTCTTTATTCGATCGTTTAGAACTTTCGATTAAGAAGTCCCAAGATTCAATAAATTTTTTACTCAAAAATTTTTCATGCGTGTCGTTGTTGATGATATCTATTGCCAATTCCACTGCTGGAATACTTAAGTTCTCGGCATCATGAGACAGTGGACCAACGAATTTGGACACTGAAAGAGTTCCACTTATCAAAGACATCAAAATCGACCAATTTGATGCGACCAAAGGGAGCAATAACTTATAGTCAGTGCAGAGAATTGGGTAAATGCTTTTCATTGTTTTAATTATTTGAACTTTTAAATTAGCCGAAGGATGAGATAGTAGCCTGAAACCGTAGCTGAACATTCTTTGGATAATGAAATATATGGACTTCGGTATAGGTGATGTCCATGGCGACTCTTCAGGTTCTTGATCATTATTCAGGTCAACGTCTGTCTCATCGTCTGTTTCATCATCGGAGTCTCCATCAGGTTTCTCGAAGGGAGCGTCCTCTTTTCTAGTAAAGTACTTAGAAGAGTCTTGATCAGCAAAGGGATTCAGTAGTTTAGAGGAGTCGTTTACTAGCTTGATGAGTTGCTCGTATTTGCACATTCCCCAAGGTGTATAATTGGACCCATTAATTGAATTAGTTTCGAGATTAGGTTTATGGCTCAAGAATTCTTTCTTGACTTGATCAGTGAGCTCTTCGAAGACTATGAAAAATCCTTCAAGTAAAGTTCCATAGCCATGATATGAATCTATCAACACGAACATCCTGGTAATGATATCTGATAACTGGTTGGTCAACAACAATTTGATTCCTGACAATTTCATTATGATCAAGAGGATTCCTGATAAAGAAGGGGTTAAGTTTCCCAGAGATAACCTTAAACTCAAGCAGTTTAATAAATAATCTTGGTTGTCTATTATTAGTCTTTCAACCGACCCATCGTAGTGATTTTTTGCAATTAGCTGTACGCTTTTTAAAGAATGCGATTGCAATAATGGATTTGACTGATATGTCAAAGATTCAACAAGGGGGTATAAGTATTCAATCAATACATCAGACTGAAATAATGGTAATGGTAGGTACGATGAAACAAGTCCAATGGAATCTATTGCCATTGCGTAAGATATTTCTAATCTTTTTAATTTATCTTTCTCATCAAGCAGGAAGGGCAGATCTAGATACTCAGAGACTTGATCAATCAAATCTTGAGATTTACTCAAAATTAGATAGCAAAGTTCTTCATTATGATCCATACGTATGCTAGAAGGCTCGGCATCATCCAATGTCAAATATTGAGCCATCTCAAGTCCATCATTTTTTGAAGGAATGGCTGCAGAATTCATATAGAGATTTGCAATCCAAAGAGAAATACCTCTTCGGATCGACGTCATTGATATGTCAGTATTTGAAAAGTCATCGTCCAAAATATCTTCTATTGCAGAAAATAAGCTATCTTCAGGAGTCGCTGAAACATCAATTGCTGCTAAAACACTAATTAAGCTTTCCAATTTGTTTTCTATAGTCAAGGAAAAAACTTTATCAAAATAATGTTCTTCAACGATTGCACTGAAGTTTTCTTCTCCGTTTGCCCATTGTCTTCCAAGAAGCAACAAATGTGACGAGTACGCGTCTCTCGAAATCGGCATACTCTTTTTCCGCTTTGTAGAAGTAATTCTTTTTGCATCAATTTGAGGAGGAAGCTCTATATTATCTAGCTGATTCCCTTTGTGTCCCATTTCACCGAACTCTGTTACTGATTCTGACTTCTTCTTTTTGCCTAAAACATCTCTGAAATATTCATTAGATAATTCTTCTCTAAGTGTTTTCATTACGCATACCTTGAAACTGTTCAAAATTGTATCAGATTTGCGTAATGTGCTCGATAATTTCTCTAAAATCTTAAAGTGCAACATTAAAGATGATATCAAGAGCCCTATCCTTTCTTCGTCAGTCGACATCATGATTGATGAAAGTTTATTATTGATCAAATCTTCTAACTTGACCCGGATACCTTCAAAAAGGATTTCCAGCTTTATATCGGTGAAGCTCCCTTCCAAATAATTAGGCAAAACCATCCACGACAAATCGTTAAGACATATTTGCTCCTCCCGAATATTCTTAAAATCAAAATTTGACAACAATAATGATAAAACATCTAATGCTATTGGCAAGAATTCATTACCTAAAGAAAAAAAGCAACTTTCTAGTACATCTTTAACAAAATCAGTGATACTTTTAGAGACTTGCGTTTTAGTACGTACCTTCAATTTATTGGAAGGTGAAGTTATAAGTAGTTGTTTGAACATAATAATCAAAGAAATCTTTAATTGCTTCGAAGTAGCCGTGAGCCATGATTTAGGCCTTTTAACGTCTGACGACATCTTTATTTCAAAATTGGATGTGGTATATATCATATCGGAACTTTCAATTGATGTGTCCTCCAATAAACCACGTAAGCCATTCAAGTTTCTTTGAGGCTTTGATGAAGGCTCTACATGAATAACTTCATCACCAAATGCCTTAATAATGATCTCTTTCAATAGCTCCATAACGTTGACAATAACTGTATAATATATGTTTTTTGAAGTAGTCAAGTAGTTGACTAACTTTGACACGTTCCCCGGGAATACCTCCTGCAACATGAATGTAGTAAGATGCTTTTTGTACAACAACTTTAATGTGCAAAGTATAATGTTTACTAATTCAAAGTCTGCTTGAGTTGCATTGCAAGTTGACATAATGTTGAGAAGAATAGTAATTGTAGACCCCAATAAACTGAGTCTTTTTTGACTCCCTTCAAAGTATTTTGGAGGTAAGTATTCAATTAATCCGACCATGCAAGAAACAACAGCCTCTTTAAACTGAAAATCTTTCTCTGACATCTCTACACCTTTTTCTGAATTACTTCCTGCTATATGTAAGATAACCGGATAAAGTTGATCTAATAACTTCTCTTCAGAATTCAAACCCCATACATGCCTCCAAAGAAAACTAATGATCTTTAACACACCTGTTGCAACCGCATCACTCAAAATAGGCTGCTTTAACAAATTAGACACTGGAAAGAAAATATAGTCCGCAACTGTGGACGTGAGAATATATGGACCGTCGGCTTTGTTTATTTCATAATGCAGATTAAGCAAATCACTCAATGCTGATAAAACCCTGATTAACTGAGGGTTATCTGGTCTGAAAAGTTGAGGTGGCATCAAAGAAAGCTGTGAAAGCTCTACACATTTTGGCTTAACGATTTGAAACAACAGCAGCAGCAACTCTTTCAGAGCTCCAATTTCTGAACGAGAAGTCGAATTTGTCTCTCTTTGCATCTGACATCAACCTATAATCAATCTTTCATCGATTTATCTTGGCCACTATTAAAGTGTGCCATCTTTATCTAGAATGCTACCAGTATCAAAATTACACTACATTTGATAGTCCTGTATATTGAAAAAGTTAAGTGTGAAAATTTTTTTCAGTAGAGCTCAAAGTAATAACTAACCCAGTTTCTGTAATAATTCCTTTTATCAGATAGTAAAAGAAGTAAGTTGGTTTACAATTGAAGTGTTAATCGATAAATGGATTGATGTTGAAGAAAGGAAAAAGAATAAACTTTTCTTTTTTGCGCTGTCAAATGATTTGATGAGCGGACCAAATAATGAAATATGATGCCAGAATCTACTTGTCTTGAAGATATTTTTGAAGCTCGATTCGAAGAACTGTAGTTCCAATGATATGTTCATGTCCTTCAATGGCAAAGTGCGCTTTCCACTTTCAACAGTATTGGAAAGTCGGCGCTCGAGACGATAGACACCTGGCATCAAAATATCAGGCTCATGAATCCTTATTCATTTCGGACACTCATGCGGCTTTTTGATGGATGGAAGACGATGTACTAACACTCTATAGTTTAAGAATGACTAGAACCTCCGTATTGGCTGATGCCTTGAATGGAATCAATAACGCTGAAAAGACAGGAAAGCGTCAAGTATTGCTCAGACCTTCTTCAAAAGTCATCATCAAGTTTCTCACTGTGATGCAAAAGCATGGTATGTATAAGCTTAGTTCGTTTTCATTATCATAACCGGATTGATAACTGGATGGATTGATCGGTGTTCAGTCCCTTTCTGTCTTTTAAGTATTCGGAAGAGCAAGTCTGGGATGCGTTCATTATGGCTCTGGTCCTCCAGCTGGCCTTGGAACGCTTTTCACACAAATCTTAAGAAAACGTAATTTACAAAATCTTGAATTACTAACTCCTTCTAGGCTATATTGGCGAATTTGAATATATTGATGATCACAGATCGGGCAAGATAGTCGTCCAATTGAATGGTAGATTAAACAAATGTGGTGTTATCTCTCCAAGATTCAACGTGAAAATTAACGACATTGAAAGATGGACGGACAACTTATTACCAGCTAGACAATTTGGTTATGTTATTTTGACTACCTCCGCTGGTATTATGGATCATGAAGAGGCCAGAAGAAAGCATGTATCCGGAAAAATCTTAGGATTTGTCTATTGATCACTTTTAATAGCTATGTATACTATTCTTCTCTTGACAAAAAATGTAACCAAAAGCTTCTTTAAATAAATATTGAATCAATCCTAGTTACCTATATGTTTGCAGCATCCAAAAGGAGTTTGTACTTAAAAGGTCCGGTCAGGTGCCTATAAAACTTAAAACGCGAGCGGTACTGAAGAATTTATCTTGCTACTATCATGCCTTTACCAGATACTTTAAGGTTCTTAGGATTGACTCTATCTTGGACTTTAAGAGCTGGGTGCTTACTACATGTGCTTCATGAGCATGCTTATGAGTTCACAGAGACGAGGGGCGAATCCATGTTACCGACTCTACAGAACCACAATGACTATGTGCATGTAGTAAAGAAATATAAGCTCGGTAGAGGTCTTGATATGGGAGATTGTATTGTTGCAATCAAGCCAAGTGACCCTGACCACAGGGTGTGCAAAAGAATAACGGGTATGCCGGGAGATATTATATTAGTTGATCCATCATCATCTTCGGAATTGACTAATTCAGCTGCAGAAATCATTCAACACGATGGTTACAACAAATTTGTAAGAGTTCCAGAGGGTCATGTATGGTGTACAGGAGATAATCTTTGCCATTCGTTAGACTCTAGGTCATATTCATTTATGCCTATGGCTTTAATAAAAGGAAAAATAATAGCTGCCAACTCTATGGATAAGGGCCTAAAAGACAAAGAAACTGGAAAATACTGGTTTTGGAACTTTAGATGGATTGAAAATAATTTCATCGCCAAATGATCATTGCATTGTTTTACTTCTATATGTGTATATTTTAATTTAGATATAACTCGTTCAAGGGTTTGATCTATTTAAGCCTTTCCTATTTTGCGAAGGGCATACAAATTTCTTAATACTCTCGAGCCGAAGTAAATAGCTGGAATAACGAGAATAGAACCATGAAATAAAGTTTTAAAAATTGACTCGTACAAGTAATACTTTATGACAATTAGTTCAAACCCAACTAGAGTGAGTATGAAACTAGCATTGTAAATGATTTGGGTTGTAGAAAAAGACTTGAAATTTGCAAATATATTGATACCAACAAAGATGATCCAACTTGCAAACAAACCTATGAATAATAAAAGTGCTCCCCAAATGAAAAATGCAGGAACCAAAGGGTTCACAGTTTCGGTTTCTTTCTTGAATTCATGATGAATCTCGGGTTTCAATCCAAATTGTGATTCAAATTCGTATTTACTGGTGGATTGAAATTCTTCAGAAGGACGTATCTCTGTAAGGAACTTGTACAAGTTAGGACTTGAAGTTGAATCGCCAATTATTAAATTGAGAAATAATGTATCTTTAATTTTCAATACCTCTGGAATCTTACTAGCTGCTATCACCAAAGATAATTTGTTTTCCTTCAGCAGAAAGGAAGGCACGTATGAGGCATCCAATCCTTTCCCATTTCCCAATGTTACGACAACTTGATGTGGTGCTTCAGTAACCTGTTCTTTCAAAACAAACTCTATTTCGATTTTATCTTTATGTGACAAAATTGGTAGCTGCTTGAGTTCTTGAGTCTCGATTTCTCCAAAATGTACAACATCAGAATTGATTTTTACAAACCCTTCAGAGATCGAGTAAGCGAACGCATATGATATAAATTGGTACAAGGCGATGAAAACTGTCGATTTCAATCTCATGTTGGATAGTTGTGATGATAGCTCCCCTAATATTTAGTATGACAGATAATACGTGGTCGAAATCTCGTAGATTGAAAAAATCCTACCTTACACAAAAGTTATTAAGCTCAAAAACGCCATATATTAAAGGTGATCTTGATCAAATTTAATATTTGTACAAAGAATAATATAGTCAATGATATTAACTAGAGAGTATTGAGGTAGTATTATTTGAGGTCCTGCGAAAGAGGAGGTGTAGAATTCAGGTTTCCGGTAAGCTGCTCGTTTGATTCTCTATCGTGAGGTTCAAGTAAGGGACTAGTTTCAAAATGACAGTCTTCAACGACATCTGTTGGTTTGTGCAGCCTGCTTTGTTTTATATAATGGTTTAGGTCTTTGCTGACTGGCTCCCTGCTTTTTTCTACATTGAATTTTGTAGACTCCTTTTGATGTTCAGTTCCAATCAACATTTTTGCAATCGATTCATCTTGCCGATCAGCCTTGATCAATTGAGGCTTTTTAACGCCATAGCTTAGACCAGTTTTAGGCTTTGGAAACTTATCAGCAATATCTCTTAATTTCGCATTGAACAGCTTGCCCTCATTTGAAACTAAGGAATCATAGACTTTCCCTTGAGGAGATGAAATCAAGAAAGATATTAGTAAGAATGTTCCCCCAATGATTATGGCAAACAACAGGAGGGGGACTAAAAATATTGCTAGAAATGGTTAGTATAGATCGTATGTCAAAAGTTAGGACTACTTACAAATAATGAAAAATGCAATCAAAGAGGCCACACTGAGAAGTGCTATGGCAATTGAAGAAATCCCAAACATAGACGATAATATTATTAAGACCACAATTAAGAAGGGGAAAAATAAAACCGAAAGGATCTGAAACAACTGTTAGTAGATGCTTTATAATAATATAATTAAGAAAAATACTCACTGGAATATAGATGATTCTGTATTTCAGTGTCTCGATAACAGAATTAACAAACTTCCCTATATTCTTCTTTATAAGATATACTGCTTTTATTGTGAATCTAGCTTGGTTAGTAGTAATTCTTCTATCGAATTATTTTACTGCAAACGTACGTTATCACTTGAGGTCCGAATGGCAACTTCTCTGTAATCGTAACACTAATATCAATCACGCTATAAACTAGAGAGCCTATCAAGTGGGAAATGCTTTCTATCGCCTTAGACTTCAAACTTCTTTCCCTCGGTGGTTTTGTTGTTCTTTTATGACGAGCTTTATCCAGTTTCCTATTTTGCAGCTTCTTTTGTGTAGACTCGAAATCACTCTCTTTTCCTTTATATTTAAGGTTGTTTCTAAACTTTCTGTTACTTGGAGGCTTGCTATATGGCGTTATATTTGAAGCTTTCTCTGAAGCCATATTTAATTGATAAGATATATGGTATGTACTATTGTTTCACTTCAATGGAAAATGGTTGTAAAAGTTATATTAAATGAATATTTGTAAATACACAACGAAAAGAAATTACCAAAGCAACTGCCACATTCTGAAAGTTCACTACAGAAGAGCACATGGAGATAACAGCATCCATGAAAAACATCTTGCTCTCAATACCCCCAACGAATGCATGAAATTTTATACAGAAGTATTTAGGGAAGCAAACCAGTTTTACAGGTCAATTAAATACGGCTGTTATGAACAATTACAGGGCGAGTATGGAAAACGAAGGTTCAACTATAATCCTTAACTATTTTTCCCAAATCCACGGATTGTTGTCTATCTTGTTCTCTCAATTTTTTCGTTTCTATATCTACAGCTTCCATTCTTGTTCATTCTTTGATGCCATCTTTTTGTTAAAAGAGCTTTCACTCTATGAAAAGATGTAGCTCTAATCAAATACAACGTAGCCATGGCACCTTATATAAGGGAAGCTATTGAGTACACTAACCATTCTTTAATCTAAAGATTTTGCAATTTTGGCCAACCTACCAAACTTCTTTGCCGTCAAACGCGCTTTAAGACATGAAAAAAAATGTGATGCAGCTTTCTTTATAGCCCGAAGAAAGAGTTGGTTGAAAGATCTAAAATGCAATTCTTAACCGCAAAATCTTTGTTGTATGTTCGTGTCATCCTCTTACTGGTGATTTCTTTCCTTTTAGTCAAGGATCCGGAAAGCTTAAGTACCTATGGTTTTATATTACTTCTCGGGAAAGCCATGCAAGTTAAGCTTACCATATTAGATCCTAGTAATCCTTTGATTGGGGTTTTGGTTACCATAATTGGCACATCTGCAATAAGTGACTTAATTCCATTGTTAGCAGACAATATTGACTACTTTGAGACTGTCGTACCCACCAGGCTAACTGGGTTCTTTTTATTGGCAAGTTTTTCCTATTTGGCAGAAAGTCAATACTTCAGCACCAGTTTAGTTTTCACGTATGCCTTCTTTGAAATTTGGATTAACTTCTTAATATTCAACAATTTGAGAGATGAGAAGTATTACAGATTGAAGAAGTTTGTTGAAGAGAATGCAGAAGAGATCCAGGAGTTGGAGAGTAGGAAGGTTGTACCCATTGTCGATTAGTATATTTTCTAAATAGATATCGTTACAGATTAATGAAATTCACAATCGGCCATTTCAAGCAATCTTCAAGATCATTAATATCATTGAGGTTTAATTGTAAAACATTTGTACCATTGATATTAGTTTTAAGATCATCCAAAGACTTGAATCTCGTAATATTAAGCTTCAAGATAATGTTGACGAAAAGCTCACTTGTTGTTACTTCAAGTTTTACATTCAAGCATTCTTCACTTCCCAACTTCTTGATGGTAAGATCGAAAACAGATAGAGGTATATCAACAGCCTTTTGAAACGCATTGCGGGTTCTTTTAGAAAGGTTGACAAACTTGTCGTTGATGAGCTCAATCTGAACACTCTCCTTGAATTCGCTCTCTGTTTGCTTTATCATATCTCCTATGCGGTTTAAATAGCCTTCGTGTCTGATTATTCCTAAAAATGGCCTAAGTATCAATGGATGTGAATTGAATTGCTTCCATTTAGTGAATGCCGTAGGAACCTTTTGTCTCAAAGCTAAGTTATACTCATAAAAACAGCATAACATAAGTTTCATATATTTCAACATTAGCTGTGCTCTTATATTATTTTTTGAGGAGTCCTCATTGATATTTTGATAATAATTATTTAACTCGTCTTCATTATTTTCGTCGTACACAATTGACTCTAATTCAATAATATCATTGTTTAACTCTATTATTATTTTATTTGATATTATTGAAACGTTGTAACTTATGAGCAATTGTGCTTCCCTAATCAAATGATAAAACAAATCCTCTTCAAATAAAAAGAATCTTGCCTTCTCTATGTCATTGATTACTTTGAACTTACTCTGATCAAATTTTTTCTCAAATATGGACTGACCGGTAACCATATAATCATCATCAATTTTACTAAGAATCTTTATCCTCAAATATTTGTAGATCTTCTGCATCGGCTTTAAAGTGCTTGAAGAGATTGGATTGAAGGTGATTTCGTGGGTATTTCCATTTTGACGTAAAATGGCCAATCCTTTGTCATGAAAGCTAGATCCAGAGTCTCCGTAGCCATATCTTATACCGACAACCCTCAGGCCACTCAAGGGATCTTTCGTACTAAATAATACTTCATCATTACTGAGAACTTGAATTATCATATCCCAATACTGTTTCTCGTTTGATGTCTCTTCCCTCACCCTCTCACTGGCATCTGTAAAAGACACGATGACTTTACTAATAGCATTTCGCTTTAACCCCTGTCCAATTTTTGCTTCATTAGAGTACTTAAGCGGTGTTGTTACTTCCGAACTATCTTCTATCTGTAGTCTGTCCAGACTTAAAGATCCCAAGGGTACATTCTTGGAGAGATGAGGAGAAATCGTAGACTTTCCAATATTAGGACTAGCAATAGATATCAATAATGATACTAGATCCATTGATAAGGATGTTTCGTTCAATGCTGAGCCAATGCTCCTCGCAAGCTCTTGTCTTTGTTGTTGAAAAGTTTCAATAGTTGCTGTATCAACTATATTACTTTTTTCATTTCCCAGCTCTTGTTCATCTTCTTTTACATCGTCTCCTTTTTTTGGATTATCTATTTCCTTCTGTAAAGATTCCTCTGATATGTTCAAAAACGAGGACCTTTCTATTAAAATTCTAGGAATAATCTCAGTAAGTTCAAGGCTGTCCCTATCACTTAAGTTAGTAATGGAGCTTTGAGGAAAGCATAATTTACTAAGGTCAAATAACTTACTCATCTTGTATGAAAGGGTCTTTGTAAAACTCGCCATAGAAATCAGAGTTTAAATTCAATTGCATCCTTGTATTGGTGTTTACTTCTCTATTTCTTTGGTTTCCAAATTTCACATATTCCGATTTTAAAGAGATAACCAAAAAAGCTCAAAATTTGAAATTAGAACTACACTAACTTTACATATTTACAAAATAACCTCTATCGTATCATTAATGCATTTGAATGAACTATAAACTAATCCATAAAATCATCTAAATCACCATCCTCTATAGCTTTTAATAAATCTATCTCATCTTCCTTCGATTCGAGACTCTTTTGATTTAAGTCTTCCTTGTTATTGTCTTCACTAGGATATCTCATGGACTTAACGCTATCGTTGTATAAAGCCAAGCAAAATCTGATTCTTTGATCGAGCTCATTCTGCGGAAGTTTGGTTGAATAGATGTCAAGTAATTCCTTGGACTTCATAAAACCTCTTTCATGATTCAAATTGGCTTCTATAACCCCGTCCCTAATTGATTTCGATACTATATACTCCGTCGATTCTTCAGAATCCAAATGCAACTTAATACAAATATCCTTCAAAGAAATTTTGGAATACGCTAAGGAAATGATTCGGATTCCTGTTTTGATAACATTTTGACGCAATCTCAACACTAAGGTATAATTGTCGTCCTTTTTGAAATAAGGCTCATATTTAGATAATGTGTCAACAAAAAGCTTTAAATCACCTTGTCTCACAGCTTTTGTTAAAGAAAGATAAGGCTCGAAATTGCCAGCCTGTGTTTTGAAAGTATTCAATTCAGGAATATCACCCATCAATAATTCAATGATAATGCTCAATTTCGTGGCACTTTGAATGAATCCATTAGCCAAGTGAGTTTGAGGTGCTTTTCTAATAGCTGCAATGACATATTCATGAGCGGTTGAATAGTCCAATTGAATGGCACTAATACGAGCAAGATAGTAATAATGCCTTGCTACCAACGCATTACCTGCATTTTCAGGAAATTCTACTTTTTCCACCAAGTTTGATGCCTGATTGACATCGTGAGTCAATAAATAATTTCTCAGCAACAAAGTAATGATAGATGCAGTAGTTTCAGTATCGTGTCGCAAAGTAGCAGTCCTTAAAGCATCATATAGAGCAGGACGAAGGGATTGCAAATCATTGGTCAATTCGCTTGTCCTGGCTACATAAAACCACAACTTCGCTTGAATGAAATCCAAAGTTCTTTTGTTATACGATTTCACTAGACTTATCACCTTTTTGTTGAATGTGGCCAAGTCGGATAATTTTTTATTATCTAAAAGGTAAATCTGAACAAGCAAATGAATGTATAGATCAATTTCTGGTAGGACTGAATTCCCATTGAGAGTGACAGAACTGTCGACTTCCATAGCCTCATCTTCTTCGACTTTAGAAACTGTTTGTACACTTTCGACTAAGTAACTTCTTTCAGGTAAAGCTTCACGGTAAACTCTATTAAACACCTTATATAATGCATCACCACTTAAGCGTCTCCTCAAGGGCCCCAAATCTCTGAACAATTTGGAGATATAACGATTATCATAATTGGCTGACGCTTTATTCAATAGGGTGAATGATTGAACGATTTCATTTACCAATTTTTCAGTTTCACTTTCGGTTTCAACTTCAGTTCCTGGAACTTCATCATTCTTCATTTCGACGTCCGCCTTCGCTTGTGACATTGTTTCAACTATTTTGTATAGATTGACACTTTCTTGCCGACTAATATCTAGAGAGACATTAGAATCGCTGATGATATGAGAGTGGATCGCACAATATTGCCACCACGCAAAAATGGTCGATTACCCAATTTGGAAGGCACTGGATCAGGATAGAGCTTCTCAAACTTAGATAGCTTTCTTAATGTAAAGCTAGACTATAGCCTTGAATTATTCAACTATCAATTAATTAAACACAATGACAGACATTGATCCCTCCGTTTTTCCTTCCAAACCAGAAACACCTAAGTTGGTCCCTGTTTTTGTGATGAACTTCAAGTTAAAGGAACCAGAACCAGTTTTCTCTAATCCAGAGTTAAGTAAAGCGTTGACCTTAGCGACAGTTGTTAATGGAGAAATCAAGACAGTTAAAAATGAATTGGGCTTGGAATTCGATGTGTCCAGAGTGGTTGGATATGATAACTTGACTAGTGATTTGCATAGAGATGTTACCTTACTAGATTGTAGGTGCTACGGAAGATTGCCTAACGGTAAGGGTGTCTATATCAAGTATCCTGGTGTTGTCCATAATAATGAACCTACAGTCAATGTTCAGCTGGGTAAGACGAAGACCTCAACATTTGAAGAAGGGTATGTAACCTGTAATCCTAGCTTTGAATTTGATGGAGGTATTGAAGATAAGTACAGATGGGTGTTGCGGGAGAATTTTATCGGTAAGGGTAGGTTCGTTAGAGGAAATAGCAATGACTTGTATGTTCAATATTACATATATATCTTACGTTGATGTTTTTTTACGTGCCAAGTATATCTTTTTATATTCAACAATTAGCTACGTCTTCTCTCAAACAAAGATTTATAACATTAAATATATGGACTTGCAACAGAAACTTGGTACTTCTGATAAGAGCCATAGGTGGTGGCTTAAGTACAGCTGAAAAAAAAAATAAGGAACAAGAGGATTATGAAATATCGCTATAAATCACATCTTTTATCATTTAGCAACATGAGTTAGACTGGTTAGAGGTTAATGACTGGCCCCTTAAGTTAACATTAGACTTTGCATTACCTCCGGTTGCTGAACCTGAACCTGCGTTACTGGTCATCTGTGCCTTGATTTGCCTTGCCATCGTGTAAAAAGCTTGTTCAACATTCGTCGAGGATAAAGCAGATGTTTCTAAAAATGGGATGTCTAAGGCATCAGCAAATTCCTTTGCAGCAGTATATTCAACAATTTTCTTGTCAGATAAATCTGCCTTGTTTCCAACTAGTAACTTCATGACGCCACCAGTTGCATACCGATCAATTTCTTGTAACCACTGTTTAACATTATTGAAGGATTCCTGATCTGTGACATCGTAAACAATGATAATACCATGAGCACCACGGTAATATGATGACGTGATAGTTCTAAATCTTTCTTGTCCAGCAGTATCCCAAATCTGCAACTTAATAGTTTTACCGTCCAACTCTATGGTCCTGATCTTGAAATCCACACCAATGGTTGAAATGTAATCGGGAGTATACGTGTCATCAGCGAATCTCAACAACAAGCATGATTTACCGACACCTGAGTCTCCAATCAACAATAGTTTGAATAAGTAGTCGTATTCGTTATTCATGGTAGCAAGTAGAATGTAGCTCAGTAGTTATATGTCTAAACCCTTAAACTATACGATAATTCACGAAGGTAAATAATAATGGTGGCAACAAATGAGTAGATACCCTTGTGTCCGCGTTAAACTATTATAAAATGATTCTATCTATCCCTGTTTATGCTAGTGCAATAAAACCGCTATTTTGAATCTGAAATCTCAAAGCAGCGTAGGTATAAGGTATGTTTAGGTACTAATGAAGTAAGTCAAACAAGTCTTTTGGCTCTTGTTGATTACTATCACGATTAAAAAATTTGTTTCTAAGACTCCTTTTCTGAAGAGCGACTCCATTCTCTGTGAGTTTGACTTCCGTCTGTAAATGTCGCCAGATCATCAAAAGTTCGCACGCGCACTACTTTACAAGGATAAATACTTAAGTAATCTATATTCTTATAATAAAGCTATTGAACTTTCTCAGTAGCGTCATTTGTAAGCTTCTTTGTAGAGTCTGTTCCAGTGAGCTTTTTGTAAGCAATACGTAACATCTTCGAAAACCAGTATACGTTCAATACGTCCAACACAAGATTGAGCCCCAAGATGGAAAGCGGAAGGAAAATGGGAGCTTCAGATCTAACACGGAACATATCATAGGCTATCAATGAAACAGCATAGAACCCCCATGCAATTCTAACAGAGAAAAAAGTGAAAAGCAATAAAAGACCGTTAATTAAAATGGTCTTTTCACTGAAAGTGCCCTGAGGTAACCTGGATGCGAACCAATTAATATTGACAAACGGACTACTCAACTCAAAAAGCAAAAACGCTGGAGCCCAAGGCATGCTATATGGCCTTAAAGCACAGATGAAAACGTAAAGAGCTGCAAATGCGTGAAGTAAAAATCCAATGCCGAAAAGCCGGAAATACTGGACGCAGACCATCAAATCCCACGCAAAGTAGCCAACCGTCATCGAAGAAACAAAACCACCATACGGGGTGTACCCAAAGATAGAGCTGTGAACATCATCAACCCGATTGCTCCAATTTTTGTGGTTCCACATTGGTAAGAGAATGGCTATTGAAATTAAGCATTGCACCATGCCCACAACATGAATATCAAAGTTGATTCTGGTTTTCACGGACAAGTCAGTATACAGCCTTCCAAGATAACGCTTAGAAAACAACGGTGATAGCTTGTTGATCAAGAAGTAAAAAAGAAATGAACCCAACACCTCATGCCAATGTTTGGCGTACAAGTTTGTTGGTTCAGCTGGAAACGGCCGCAATTTCAAGAATATATCTTCTTCAAAGACTGGAAGTATTGAGTTCAACATTATCGCTTTGTAATTACTCCATCAATGGTATTCCCGAATGGCTTGCCAATGGGAATTCAAATGAATGTTTGAATAGTTTGACCGATCCGATCTTAAGAGTCCAAAATCGATTAGAGATACGAACGGTAGTGCTTAAAGCTCAATTCGAAATTTTTCACAGGCTTTCACAATATTCAACGTGTCCAACCACTGGAGAAAGAAACATAAGTTCAACTAACAGTATCAGTTATGAGTTATCCATTAGTATGTTTAGGTAATCCGTTATTGGATTTACAAACCGAAGCAGATGCAGCTTACTTGAAGAAGTACGATCTTAAAGAGAACGATGCGATCTTAGCAGAAGAAAAACACTTCCCAATCTACGAAGAGGTTCTTAAAAAGCCAAACTTGCACATTGTAGCAGGAGGAGCAGCTCAGAACACGGCAAGGGGTGCACAGTACATCTTGCCACCTCACTCTGTAGTCTATTTTGGTGCAGTTGGAAAAGATGTCTATGCTGACAAGTTAATTGAAGCTAACAAGCAATATGGTTTGAGAACTGAGTACCAAGTTCTCGATGATGTTTCTACCGGAAAATGTGCTGTATTACTCAATGGGCCTCACAGATCCTTGGTAACTGATTTGGGAGCTGCAAACCATTTCAAAGCTGCGCATTTAGACAAACCAGAAAACTGGAAGCTTGTCGAAAATGCAAAATTCTTCTACATTGGAGGTTATCATTTGACTGTTAGTCCAGAAGCTATTGCAAAGTTAGGAAAGCATGCAGCTGAACATAACAAAGTCTTTGCATTGAACATTTCTGCTCCATTCATTGCTCAATTCTTCAAGGACCCTCTTGATGCTTCTCTCCCTTATGTTGATTTTGTCATCGCCAACGAGTCGGAGGCTGCTGCTTATGCTGAATCCCACGATTTGAAAGATAAGTCAGATGATGTGGTAGCTATTGCTAAAGAAATCGCCAAGTTACCTAAGGTTAATAAAAAGAGATCGAGAACTGTCATCTTTACTCAAGGTACTCTCCCAACTGTTACCGTTACTTACAATGAGACGTCTAAAGACTTTGAAGTACATGAATATAAAGTGAAGGAATTAGCTCCAGAAAAGCTCAAAGATACCAATGGTGCCGGTGATGCGTTTGCAGCTGGTTTCATTGCCTCGTTAGTGAAAGGAAGCTCTATTCCTGAAGCTGTAAGTGTGGGCCAATGGGCTGCTGCTTTGTCAATACAAGAAGACGGTCCTACATTCCCTTTCCCTAAGCAGACTTATTCTTCTTAGATATGTTTACAAAATCCTGATCCGTGTTTGATACTACATTACTTTAAAGGGTTCATTTCAACATGGGTTCGAATAGGAAGTGAAGAACACTTTCTCTTTATTTTTTTTTTAATTTTCTCTCTTTTTATTGTCCAACTAATAACCAGTTGTGATTGCATGGGTTACGGGTAACTTCTAAGTATATTTATATAAGACAATGATTCAACTTTTTTGTCATAACTGAGAAGAATTGCAATGTAGATACTGAGCAGATGTTAAAGAATATAAAATTTTCACGAAATTTTTTTCAATTTTTTCTTTAAATAGATTAAGATCCCTTTAACAGTGCTAGAGGGTCTAACTATGTCGTCGTTGAAAGATCATTACTATCGATTAGCCTCTGAGGTTAACGATGAGAGAATAGAAGCTGCTTCAGCGTTGTTATCTCTGCTCATCGAGGTTAATCAATCGACCGAGTGGGACTATGCTTTGAATAGATTGATCAAAGGATTGACCACAACGAGGCAGAGTGCACGGTATGGGTTTTCAATGGCACTTACAGAGCTAGTTAGAGAACTTTTATACAGAAAAGACTATGAACTCTCGATGCTTCAGTATCTAGAGCTTGTATTAGCAGCAAGTGAAGTTAAGTCTAATATGAAAGGAAAAGAAGAAAGGGCCGTCTTATTTGGCAGACTCTTTGGTTTGCAAGCATTGCTTAATTCTAAAGTTCTATTTGATGAGTCTTTAGTCTCAAAAGGCGATTTATCGAAGTTTGTTGATGCCTTGATATCGCTTTCCGTTGCCAAAACGTGGTTGAGAGAACCTGCAATGTTTACTTTATGTCAATTCATATCTCTTTTATTGAATACAAGCCTGGAATCCGTTGATCACATATGCTTTGAAATCTTAGAGAAAACTAATAACGAAGGATTGAGCTTAACGACAGAGGGTGTTGCAGTATTTTTGTCTATTCCAAAAGATATAAGAGACATTGCATCAAAGAAGATCAGCTATTCCAATGAGACATGGAAAAATTGGGATCCTTTATCTAGAGGCAACTTAAACTTATTGGCCAAAGTCTTGAAAGAAACTACCGTGGAAGAAGGAATGGATAGTGAAAGGCAAGTAAATCTTTCGAAGCAAAAAGGGAATTGGTCTCCGAGAGTATCATTCGTATGGGATATTATACTTGAAAGATTCATGAACCCTGATGGAGATAAAGAAGAGTTAAGTATAGAGAAGAAGAACAAGAAACGTAAATCTTCGTCTTCAGTGGGGTCTAAAAAACACAAACCAACTGTAACCCACATTTCTTTAAAGGAATTCTGGAAGGTTGTGATTGATGAAACATTCTTTTCAGAGAAATCTTCTCACGAACGCAAGTATTGGGGATTTGTTATATTCAATAGGTTCTTGAATGCTGTTCCTTCAGAAGACATATCATATTTATTCTCTCCTAACCTAATGAGATGTTTAATCAATCAAGTGTCCCAATCATCAAGATTTTTGTATAAAACCGCTAATGGCGTCTTGAACAATATGACTGGAAGGGCTAGAAAGGAATTTCTAAAAGCACCTTCCATTTTATCATGTTTGTTAGACGAATCAAAAGGTGGTTGCTGGAATTTTGATTTCGTTACCAAGACAAAAACAGTGGACAGTTTGATAACTATTCTCGGCCAACAGGATTTAGATAAGGTAAATGGGACTGAGTATTCATTTGCTTTATTGCAGATCAAAGATATATTGTTTAAAGAAATATATAACGCTTTGTCCGACCTGTCAGATGATTCTTCAGTTGACGAGGAGCCACTTGCAAAGAAAGCAAATGACCATAGACTTAAATGGTTCTTAGACAAAGTCTTACTACTTACGAGAAGTATAAAGTCTTCAATTTCTAAAAGTGATTTCGATTGCACCGGTTATTTTGAAGACGTCTTAAAATTATTGATTAAATTATCCTTTTTCAAGAAGAGATCCAACAGCAGGGTTTCTTTGAATTTTCAGAGCTTTGCACAGGAAAAGATAAACTCATGCTTAGCCGAAATTATCAACACCCAGCACAAAAAAACATCCTGGCCTTATTACTGCATTTCTTGTATCAGTAAGTTGGAAGGTTCTGAGAAATATGAGAGTGTCTTGACTTTTGATGATGAATTACAAATGGTCAAAGATGAAACACTCAAATTATTGGACTCTATTCTAGACTTACGAAAGTCCACCAAAAATTCAACCAGAATAAACCAGCTTTATTGCTTCGAAATTTTATTTTCGATGGTTTTATTACTTTTTTACATGGGCGATGAAGAAGCTATTCTGGTTTTAGAGGAAGTGAAGCTTTGTTTTGAGAGCCTTTTCACTGTTGGTGAAGATGAGGAAAATATCGACTCATCTATTGTGCTTGTTGAAATTATATTGTCATTTGTATCTAAGAAATCCAATCTTTTGAAGAAGCTTTCGTTTACTATTTGGGAAACTTTCCTTTGTACTCCAGATGAAAATGGGAAATTGCAGATATCAGAGAAAGGTCTTCAATTGTTATACGATGTTTTGACAGCAAGAGAAAATTTGGACGGGCTTAAGGCTTTGTTTGATACAGAGGATAATTTCACCGAAGAAGGAAACGAAAACGACAAGCTCGAAGAGGATGATGATGTTGATGATGACTCTCAAAGTGCTTCTCAAAGAGATTCGGGTGACGATGACTCTGAATCGAATGATGATCTCTCTGATGACAGCGATGAAGATACCGCCGATGCTGAAGATGCCAGCGAAGTAAATGTGATTGAAAAGGAGACCAATTTGAAATTAGCAAAGGCTCTAGGAATTCCTGAACACTCTGGAGAAGTCAAGTTTGATGAATTAAGCTCTCTGGATGAAGAATCAGGAGAAGAGTCCGACATGGATGATGATGATATGATGGCAATGGACGAGCAGCTATCCAAGATATTTAAGGAGAGGCAAGATGCTCTCTCTCAGATAACATCAGGAAACCAAAAAAAAGCAGAGGCAGTAGAAGCAAAAGAACAAGTCATTTTATTTAAAAATAGAGTATTGGATTTGCTAGAAATATTCGTGAAACTGGCACCCAACTCTCATCTCAATTTGACAATGATAAAACCATTACTTGTCTGTATCCGCCTAACTTTAGACAAGAATATTGGCGCAAAAGCACACAAGCTTTTGAAAACCAGGATAAGTAAAACCAAAATCACAGATGCTCATTTTAATAGCGCAGCTGAACAAAACTCTTTTCAAACAAGCTTGCTTGAATTGGTTGAATGGATTCAGTCAGAATTAGTCTCATCTAAAGCATCAAATCAGTCCCTTAATGCAGCAAGTAGTCAAGCTTGTATCATAGTATCAAAGAATTTGGTAAGTCTTGATCCGTTATACCTCGACCAAATCGTTGATATCTATTGCATATTTATGAAAAAGTGGGCTCTAAACAGCAAAGCCAAGATTCAACCGACTTTCCTTTATGATTTTATCAATTGGTTGAGCTCTAAAAGATCATAAGATTATCTGTACATAAGATCAGGTGAGCTCTTTGTTAACGTTAATGCTGTAATATACCCTAGAATTTAAAATGTGTAAATATCAGTACCACGACCTTTCTCCAATCAACTGAAGGTTTCAATTGCCCGACATCGACTTATATATGATTTACGAACTTAATAATTTTTATAGTATTAGAGCAAGAAGTTATAATCATTATGTCTGCCTACAAACAAGCTGGTATTTCATTAAACAAGGCCTTGGCTCTTTCTGCTAAGGCATTAAGGTCAGCTTTAAAGCCGGAATTCAAGGCAGCTGCTGAAAAAAGAGGAACCTGTGAAGCTAAAGTAGCTAAGTTCGAAAATGGTGAAGCAACCGAAGCAGTTCCTTTGAACAAGGCCTAATTGAGCAAACAGATACTTAGTGATGGCAATAAATTTCTCTAAAGAAGAAAACGACCGAATGATAGAGCAATCTCAACTTATTGTGATCATCAAAGTCAATATCTAGGGTAGTTAAACGGATCCTATTCGACAAAAAGGGCAACTGATAAATAAATACATAAATGAATAAATAAAACAATAAATAAATTGTGTCTTAGAATGTAATGATGAGGTAGGAAGGATCGTACCAAAGGACGTATTTACAAGATTATATAGTTTATCATGAAGAACGAGCTTGTGGTCGCTCTGTGGTTTCGTCAACGTCTTCCGGAGCAGTTTCCGGGATAGGCTCAGGTTCTTCCAAAATGTCCTCTCTTTCAGACTCTTCAAGTCTTTGCGATAATTGATCTATAAGGACCCTTTTTGACTCCAATGATAAGTTGTCCATTAAAGATCTGACTCTTTCTATTTCATCCTCTTCTTTTTGACGATTCTCTATGGTTTTAACCTTTTCTTCTAGTCTTTCCTTTTCACCGTCTTCTTCAGGTGTTGTATTATTTTCTGATGATTGTGCCGATTCATCCAACAATTTCGATAATTCTGATCCTGGATTACTAAATAATTCCACAAACCTTCCTTGTTCGACGACCTTTCCTTTCTTACCTAAGACTATGACGAATTCAGATTTGGAGATCGTCGATAATCTGTGAGCGATAGCGATAATTGTCATGCTACCACCCGATGTTAGACGCTTTAACGTTTCATTAATTAATTTTTCCAGCTGGGAGTCTAAAGCAGAAGTAGCCTCGTCTAAAATTAAAATAGAAGGTTTTTTAATTAAAGCTCTTGCGATTGCAATTCTTTGTTTTTGGCCACCTGAAAGAGATGCGCCTCGAGATCCTATAATAGTATCATACTGATCTGGAAATGACATGATGAAATCATGACAATTGGCTTCTCTGGCCACATTCATAATGTCGTCCATTGTTAACAGTCTAACCTGGGATGGTGTCAAGCCATACACGATATTCTCCAAGATACTTCCTGATAAAAGAATAGGTTCTTGTTGAACAATTCCTATTACGGATCTTCTCAAATCACGTATTTGGAAATCATTGACATTCTGTCCACCAATAAGTATCTCTCCGGAATTAATATTATAAAACCGCAATAATAAGGAAGCTATCGTTGATTTTCCGCATCCGGAAGGAGCAACGAAGCAGGTATTAGAAGAAGGTGGCACTTTAAAGCTACAGCCGTCGAAAATCTTATCGTATGGGCGTGTGGGGTAACTGAAAACCACATCTTTGAACTCAATCCCATTACCTAGCAGAGGAGGTACCCTTTTACCCTTCACAGGTTCGACAGAATCGCCATGGTCAATCAAATCGAACAACTTTACACCTGCACCAGATCCCTTCATTAATTCCATATAAGTAGTTGTTAAACTGTAAAGAGCCAGATTGAATAATTCTGAATACATTGTAAATGCAACCACATCACCAGTTGTCATTTGTCCATGTAAAATCAAATAGACACCAATTGCTATACATGACAAATAACCAGTATGGTATAAACTATAGATTGAAACCAGGTAATTCGATTGAGCGAGTGCTTCTTGCCTTGCAACATTAACCACGTTTCTCAAACGGTTGGAGTACTTTCTTAATTCCTTCTGTTCGCCAGTGAATGCTTGGATTAACTTAACTGAGTTGAGGGTTTCCTCACTGACTTTCGTTAAACCAGCAGTGGCATTCTGCAACTTGGTTGATAAAGCTCGAATCTTTTCACCATACCAAACAGAACCGAAAGTAATCGGAGGAGAAATTAATAACATTACACCGAATAACATTGGGTTAATAGAAAACATCATATATGAGCTTATGATACCAAACAACAAATTTTTCAAACCATCTGGTAAATTATTCGTAATTGATCTCGACACAACATAAGCATCACTGGATAATCTTGAAATCAAGTCTCCGACTTTATACTTTTCTTGATCATAAAACCTTGAATCATGCCTCAATAAATGTTTCATGACCCTGAGTCTTAACCTTGCAACTAATCTTTCACCAAGCACTTTCAAAACCCAAATTCTGGCCCAGAAACATACCGCACTCACACACATAAATGGAACCATGACAGCAAATACTGTCGAGTACTTGTAGCCCCATATCAAAAGAGTTCCGTCGGCATCTGTTTCATGACCATTAAATGCATCTATAGCAGCACCAACTAGCTTGACTGAAGTCGTAGGATATAAAACTGCAAAAAATATAAAGGCCAAAGCATAAAGAAAAAGTTTGAGATCGGGCCTTCCTAACTTTAGAATTCTTACGATAGTCCGAAGATTCTCTCTAAAGCTTTTCTTATTCTTGGCTAGAGCTTGTTGATCTCTCTTTCTGATCTCCCTCTTCCTCTCCTGTGTTACTTGCAAATGATCTTGTAAGGAATTTGGATCTTTTAATCGTTCTTGAATGCTATTTTTGAGAGTGTCTTTGTCTTTGATATTGTCCACAGAATTTGAGTGAATTTTCATAAATCTAGAAGAATTTGTCAAGCGGCGAACTTGACAAGTCAAACTATACTTTGAATAGATATAGCCATTTCTGGAATATGTGTTCAAACCCCTTCGATACAAGTTCTTATCTCGTAAGTTTAAATACCTATGAAATATAACACTCTGATTGATTGACGAACCGGGAAAGCTCCGAGCATGTCCAATATTGACACCAATTTGAACAAAGCTCAACCGGGCTTTCAGATTTGAAAGCAACATAGATTATTAATCCACTATATCTATTACACGGCGTAGAGTCCAATACCTTAAGTCAATTATGGTGCTCTAAATATCAACTATAGAATCGTATTGTTCATTAAAGTGAAATAAGTTTCTTGACGATCTTCACGTGCAAGTAAGATGCACTATCAAGGATGTAAACTGCAATACAAAAATGTAGATAGCAAATACCTAATACTAAGATAACTACTTTCTAAGTTTCTATATATGATTAGGTTAAGGAATTCTTCAGACTCCTCTGTTGAAATAGCTTTCAATCATACCAACTTCACTTTCATCATACTCGTGGATCTCGACTGCGTTACCGCCACTAAGATGGGTATTAGCTTGTATCAATTGCTTTCTAGGTAGCTTTTTCTTAAGCACTACCTCCCTGAAACGACTATACTCATCTGTAACATTCGTAGCATCATTATAAAAGGCTACACCCTCCTTTACATTTGCAGTTGATTTATAAACATGAAGTTTATTCAAATAATCCCCGAGTGCATCAACAGCAGCAGTTTGGAGTTTGCTGAAGTCAAAAGCTATCTCCAAGTCCTCGTAGTCCTTTTCATCTCTATAAGAAAATGAACATACACCAGCGCTTATTAAGCATTTCAAGATACTGAATCGAGCTTGCATGTGAGGTTGTCCCCATTTTCTAGAGGACGGGTCCCAAAATTCCAAGCTTAAAAGTCCAGCGCGACACATAAGAACAGTTCCAATTTTCATAATCTGTTCCTGGGAGTCAGTTGCTATAATCCCAAAAATAGGTAAGACTTTTAAGGGGTACTTTAAGATAAGATATAAAGCAACGAGTTCTGCACGACATTCTTCAAAGGAACCAGAAGTTGTTCCGAATAAAGATGACCAAGTATCAGTCGGCTTGTAGTAAGTTTTAGAATCTAATATATCTTTGTCAAAATTGAAATGGCCTGGTGAGGTCTCTTGTAACAATTTACCTGAACCATGGCCCAATAATTCATGTAATCCAACTTGAACTTCAAATGCATCATCTCTCCATTTACGAAAAGGATCCTGTAAAGATTTAGATATAAAAGTTATGACTTCTTCCTTTCTAGGTTTCTTAGGGTTTGCTGATAAAACATTTCCTAACGAGACATTCTTAAAACCATAATTTAACCGAACATCATCATAATTTGGGATATTGATACCGGCAGGTATTCCAGATCCCGCAAAGGTTAAAACTTCCAAAGAGGTGAAATCTGGTGGAGTGAATGTGTCCTTTTCGTAAACTTTATCCCAAGGTAAATAGGAGATTAATTCCGTAGCATTCTTAACTAATGTAGAAAACTTCGCAGTTCTATCTTGGTTTACCATGGCGACCAAACCTTCCCATTCCCCACGGACACCAGAAGGGTCTCTATAAGTCTCTATGAATCCTATATTGGACTCAACTTGTGGACCCATGTCTTTCACCCATTCAATTTGAGACTTTTTGTGCGCATTCATTGAACCAGTCTCAAATGCTTCAATATAATACCTGACAAGATTCCTCTCTGTATCGTTTGCAGCATATTCTTTTGCCTTTTTCAAATTTTCAACTATTTCTTTAAATTCTTTGTGGTGATCACCAAATTTGAACTTCAATTCTTTGCCATTCAGAAATTTTATTGGTTCATCTGGATAATAGCCTGTTTTATTATCTGTTCTCGAACTGGCGACATGAACAACGAATTTTGTTCCAGAAACCTTCTCCACTCTAGTATTTTCTGGCATAATACCTTTATTGGCCAATGCGCTATTAACTTCGTCAACCTCCTCTTTCGTAATTATATTATCACCAATATAGTAACTTGAGACATGTCCACTTTCTGGCCATCCCAATAATTGAACTGTTGTATCGTACAACGGACCTTCGATTCTCTTATAAAGTTGAATAACCTTTCCACTAGGCACTGCTCTCACGAATTGTTCAAATTCATCAGAACTTAGTCTGGGGATAAACTTTTTATCACCAAAGGATTTAAAATTACCTAAATTTGATAAAAATTGTGAAGCGTATTCCAAGTATTGACGGATTGCCTCTTCGTTATCAAATCTGCCAGATAACGCTTGTACGTACTCTTCTTGACATGTAGGTTCACCCAACGCCGCATGAATATTCAAAATTAAGTCATATATGTCTTCGCTTTCCTTCGATACAGATCTTAATACTACTCTTGTTCCCCAATGAGAAGCTCTCGAAAGATAATGAGCATATAACTTGGCATCTTGTGTGGGCAATTGTTCAAAGTGCCTTTTAGCGCTCAATAAAACAATTGGAGCCTCAGAATCTGCAAGCAAAGTGTTACTTGACATGGTTGTATATAAGCTTTAAAACTGGGTTTAACTCAAGCAATTAGCAGGACCAATATCGTTCTTCTAAAGAGTGTATTTGCCTCCACAATTTCGTGAATAGATTAATGTCGTTTTATTTTAATGTCGTTCCTTGATAGCCAAAATGTCCCATTCATACGTTTCAAGTTATATATAACCTGCTGAGAAAGAGGATAAGCATCGATCACACGTTTGTTGATGGCTAAGGTAAAATTCGAAGATACGCCTCAAGAAAAGGGTGCCTCTTTGAGGGTAGAACCAAATGACGACCTTGATGATAAAGAAAAAAACAACGAAGATTATGATGAAGAAGAAGATGATGACTATGATCCAAACAAAGTAAGACTAGAAGGTGATGAGCAAGAAAGCGACGACGATGACGACATGGACAAAGAATCAGTTCCAGACTATTCAAATATTGAAACTTCAATTACTCAAGTGAAAACTAGGAGTCAAAGAATTCAAGAGGATGAGTTAGCCAAGGATTTCAAACGAGGTATAATACGAACGGAGTCAGGTTTAGTAAAGGCCACGGATAGTGGTTTAGATTTAGACGCTATGTTTAATGACATGAAAAGTTCAACATCTTCGAGAGATGTTAGTGGCTGGAAAAAAGCCATACTGCATTCTGATTCAGAGCAGTCATCCGAATCACCATCGTTAGTAAATGAGAGCAATGAGGAGCAAAAGAAACCACTAGGAGATGAGAATAAAATAAGAATAGAGTCGTCGTATCTGTTTGCTGGAAAGCTTATTACTGAGTCTAAGCTCGTAGACGCGAACTCTGCGGAGGCAAAGGCCTATCTAAATTCTACAAATGTTTTAACCAATGGATCACGTAACAATCTCGCTGTGAAACGGTCATCTGTCTCTATCATGAGGTGTATACCAGGATCTGAATCAGACGAGCCGGTAGAGCTCAAGATTAAGCTTAAACGACCATCCTTGATTGATAAATTTTTATCTACCCAAAATAATAAGAAACAGAAGTTATCTACTTTGGAAAAGTCACGTCTTGATTGGGCAAGCTTCGTTGATAGGAAGAAAATAAAGGATGAACTTTCCATAGGAAATAAGGCCGGATACTTAGACAAACAGGATTTCTTGGGCAGGTTACAGGACAAAAGAGATGTACATTATCAAAAAGCTAAAGATGAAGATCGCCAAAGACGTTGGAAGCTACAACAACAACAAATTCAATAATAATATCCTCTCTTTTCTTCTATAGGGACATATATATATATAGTTAAAGTGTATTGATGGTGGGTTATCACCATAAGGAAAAGTGACACAAAACCTCTTTTTGACCATGAAAATTTCTTCTAATAAATTCTCAAATAATGTGCATAGAGTGTTTGATTATTCAAATTTATAGACTAATTATAAGAATTTTGAACTGTGCAGCTATTTCTTGATTTCTTTGTAAAGTGAAGAAGAAGATCAATCAAGGAAATTGATAGAGTGAAAGACTAAGATATCAATAAATTGCCAAAGATGTCGACGAATAGCAACATTTTGAAACGTAAGAATGAAGATTTGGAGTCGACATCGGATGACCAACTTAACAAGAGAGTTGCGTTGGATAGCGAGCAGCTCGCAATAAGTGAAAAACAAGAAGAAGAAGCTCAGACAGCGCCAATTATAGGAAGTGCCAATGGATCGATAGATTTAACTGATGGCGCTCACGAAGAAGAGAGCTCAGAGGAACAAGAAAACGTACAAAGTGAAACACAGAGTCATGGCACAGAAGAACCGAAAATTCAATCCCAAGATCTTCAGAATGAGGTAAAGGAAACACAAGAAGTAATACCTGACTTGCAAGAAACTTATCAACCGAAAAATGATAGCGACTTGCAAGAACAAGTTCCAGAAGCCGGCAAAGATGATACTTACTTTAATGATGGGCAATACGACCAAGATTATAACGATGGGGATGATGACCAATTTTCAAAAGCGACCTCCAATCACAGAGAGAAGGAGAGTGACCCTACTTATGTACAGTTTCGTATGTATTGTCCTGTGAAAGAAGCTAGCTGTATTGTCGGCAAGAAAGGAGAGAAAATAAATCACATCAGAGATAAGGCTAATGTCAGGATTAATGTAAGTGAAAATTTGAAAAATGTTCCAGAAAGAATCGTTCTGGTAAGAGGAGCAGCCGAGAATGTGGCAAGAGCCTTTGGATTAATCGCACGTACGATTTTAGAGGAGCCTGAAGACGAACCAGCTTCCATGTTAAGCAAACAATACAACCTTAAAGTCTTGGTTCCACACCCAATGGTTGGCTTCATTATCGGAAAGCAAGGTAGCAAATTTAGAGAGATTGAAGAAAATTCAGCTGCAAAATTAAAAGCTGCCGAACAACCACTTCCTTACTCTACTGATAGAATTCTTTCAATTACGGGTGTAGGTGATGCTATTCATATTGCTGTTTATTATATTTCTCAAGTGATGATAGAGCATAAAGACTGTTTAAAGAAAAATAAAATTGTATACTATAACCCTGCAAACTACCATCATACAAATTTAAGTACTAACATGATGAACATGTCTATGATGCCATCAAATTCCAACATGATGTTAATGGGCGGTAACTCTACAAATCCATTACTTATGCAAGGCGTGAAAGATAATACCTCTAGTAGTCCCTATGCACAGCAACAAAAGCAACCTTATAATTTTCAAATGATGTTTCAACCATCAGCACACCCTCAACAACAATATGCTAGCCCTGTGAGTGCTACTACGAGTCTCAATGTACCTCCACAGACTCAATATACTGACGAGCATGGTAATACAATGATTGGCGATGTAATCACAAGCCCCCCTGTTCAAGTAGGGCCAAACCCAGATAAATTTAACGAAGATATATTTGTCGCTAACTCAAGCATTGGCTCTGTCATTGGAAAAGGAGGAAACAATATAAAGCATATTAGGGAAAATAGTGGTTGTACTTATGTCAAAATTGAACCTGACAAAAACCAATCTATTATGGTTGGTGGAAGAGGCTTGACAAATATTAGGAAGCTCACCTTGACGGGATCATTAAGTTCGATACAGACAGCCATCTTTTTGATTAACCAAAGAATAGGGGCTGATAAGGAGAGGAATAATATTCATTAAAACTTCAAGTAGTTTAATAATATAAGTTAGGCTAGAATGTTAAACGCTAATCAATCTTATTCCGCTTCTTTCTTTTCGGTATATCTTCATTAAAACTACAGTAGGATTTCTTAGGCTGTTCCACATAATTCTAAGGCTGATTTCACCTCTATAAATAAACCAATTTACCTAAATAAAGAGACATTGATCAAGCAAAAAAACTAAAAGTGCTTCACGCCCAAACTGGTCAAAAGCATAGTGAATCCGCTGAGGAGACCCTCGCCCAAAACCAACCCACTACTGAATATAACCATACCTATTTTATTATCCTTTCCACTCTTGATCCCATAATTGAGGAACCAGAATGCGATTAACCCTCCGAGGAATCTTGCTAATGTAAAATTAGGGGAGTTGTAGATACCAATTCCAACAGCAACACCATTGGGAAGATAAACTAAATATTTGTAATAAATATGTGATCTCGGTACAACATTTTTAATTAATGAAATTGAACCAAATATAATACCAAACAAAACTGAAAATTCAAAAGACTTTGGAGGTAGCCCCTCACCAGTCACTAGTCTAGAACAATCGATCCATATAATTGCGGTAGGTATTCTAAAGCTATCCGATGGGATTTCATAAACCATGTTATAAATCTTGTACATCACTGAACTTAGTACAACTGAATACAATGTTCCAATGAGTTGACCAGTGAAAAGTGCCTTTGGAGAAGCACCGAGTAAATGTCCAGTTTTCAAGTCTTGCATCAAATCTCCTGCTTGCTGAGCTCCTGCTTCTGCTATACCCCCAGCGATTACATTAATCAAGATTTTTGAAGGATGGTTTGAGGGAATTACAGCAGCAAAAATCAACTGAGAAAGCTTTCCAATTCCGCTCACTGGGTTCAAGTCAGTTTCTCCAAGCGCTCTCACTCCAAGTATTGAGAAAAGTAGAGCTAAAAATATAGCAATAATAGTGGCGTAAACAGGAACTATGGAACCAAACACCCCTTTAATAGTAAAGACACAAATCGCCGAAGATAATATAAGGCCTATGACTGTCGTTTTTAAACCGACTAATTGGCTAGCAGGGACATCCTTGAACTCTTGTTTTTGATCATTTCTTACTTCTTGCTCTTCCTCTAGATTCTCATCTTGATTCATAATGCGATTTGATGACTGTGTAACTATACGAATCTGATGGCGTTGCTTTAATGATGTAATGACGCTTTTAAATGATTTGAATGATACTACAGCAAAAGAGACTAAAGAATCACTTATCATAACACTCAAACTCAACCACAATATCCAGCCCTGGCCGCCATCAACCCAATCATCTATATCACCCGGAGCCCAACCTTTATACTTTGCGAGAGGAGCCAATACAGCCCAGCCTAAGATAGCGCCGAAAAGCATATAGGAAACAGTCGGCAATCCCATTATTATACCTTGTCCAATATATGCGGGAGACGGTTGGAAATTCCATTTGTAATTATTTGATAAGTTTGAACCGAATATGGGAAGAGCCTTTAAGATGGGAACAAAATATGATATCACAGTATATGCTGCTGACACCATGAATGTAATTTTCATTGTCTTTAGATTTGAGATAAATTTCTTCTGGTTTTCAACTTCCTCCTGATCACGAACTGGTGAAGTTGATTCGCTCATCTCAGCGTCCCTTGAACGGATCTTTCTGTTTACAAAATTTTCAGCTTCAAGTTCACCTTCTTCAAGCCTGTTTTCAGTGCCATACAACACTGATATTAAAGTGGCCGTTGCACTTCCAGATGGAAAAGGCAATTTCTCTCTAACAATCACCTGTTCTCTCAAGGGAACTGCAAAGAAAACACCAAAGAAGGCTAAGCCAAAAGACCAGATGATCAACTCACTGAGACTGAATTTTATCTTCTCGTGTAACCCACTCTCATCCTTAGTCAAAAACTTTTCGATTGCAGGCACAATTCCAATTAAACCGTATGCAAGGGGACCAGTGCCAACGGCGACTGCAATACTTTGAACGTATACATTTTCAACATCGGTGAAATCCTTACCAAAAGAACTATACTTGAATATGGCAAATCCTAAAAGAGCCGATGGTAAAGACATCATCGATACCCAGCCTGTTTGGAGGCCGAATTGAAAATTCGATATCAAGACCACTGATCCAATTAGCAAGCCAGCTAACGTACCCCTTAAAGTAACTTGTGGGATATAAACTTTCTGCTGAAAAGCATAGTCAAAGCTCGTGACATCTCCCTCTGCTAACATATGATCCGTTTCTCGGGTGCCAGGTGGTCGTTTTTTGTCTGGTATTAATGCTGTAGTCATTTATAAGCAGTAAATTGTTCATGAATTCTTCCCTTTAAATTGCTGAATGATAAGAAATTGAAGCAATGTGTGAAAGAGAAAAGAGATACTCTAATCTAAACTTTCTTTGGAACACTGAAGGAGCTTTTTAGGGGTATTTGTTTGGGTGAATAGGTGGCTGGGAATCAATTAGTAAGTAAATCTCGACAAAGTGATACTTAAATTTAAACGGTTCCAAAAACAGATAAAATATACGAAGTATGCATAACTATATATCTAATGCTTTGAAAGTCAAATATATAATGACTACAACGCTTGGACGATAATTAGTATATAGTATCACTTTAGAGAGTCAGAAATGAACATATAAGCGCAAAAAATATATAGTCATGATGCATTATGAATTAAGGCTCTGAAATCGCTAATCTTCAGCGAACAAGAGATAAGTTAGAATGTCTCTTAATGTCACAACGGACACAAGTTTGCCTTCTCCGTCGACGACAAATAATCTGTGTAATCTGGACTTCCTGATTGTATCCATTATTGTGCTTAATCTATCGTTGAGGGTACAAGTATGTACACCTTCAAAATCGTCAGGTCTTCTCAAAAGCGCATCTCCCACGCTTAAGTCCAAATCTGTATACATCCCACCCTTAACCAATGCTAAAACATCAACAGCTTCGTAGACGTTAATAAGTTTGCCCTGTTCGTCGACTATGGGGATCGAAGAAACAGACTTCTCCGCAAGCAAATGAATAACTTCAATAACAGGAGTGCTCATAGTACAAGTTGAAATATCTCTCACTGTTCCCAAATGTGGCAAATCTTTGATGGGTTTTAAAAGCATCTTTGTTTCTTTGCAATTCAAAGCAACGAACTTTAAAATTCTGTATTGTGTCAAAACACTAACTACAATTTCTCTTTTAGTTTTTTCATCCTGATCTATCAAAGGAATTCTTCTAGCTCTTGACTCCAGCATCATGACACACGCTTCGTACAATGATTTAAAAGGGTGGATTGAAACTGTTTCAATTTGATCGGCCCCGATAGCCTTTTCGATATCCCGAAGACCATCTAATGTAAGCTGGTCTACCAAATCAAATTTTTCCGGAAATTGAAAGTAATATTGAATTACGTTAATAAAGTCACTTGAAGTCAATAATCCAGCAAATCTTGATGTTTTGTTGTTCCATAAAGGAGCACTAACAATATTGTTTTGAAGTAAAATATTTAATGATTTCTTCACCAAAAGTGAAGTATCCAATACAATCAAACGATAACTCACGGGCAAGACATCATATGAGGTTTTACTCTGAAGGAATAATCTAATGGCTCTTACTCCGATCTTTTGATCATGCTCAATCTGCTCCAGGGATAAACTTAGAATGTAATCATTGGGTGTCGCAGACGATGGTCCCACATCCATAGCATCATTCATTACTGCAGAAAATTTTAGCTCCTCTAAGATTAATCTCTGTAAAATTGTCTTGTGGAGACCCGATATAATTAGTATTTATAATGTTGCCTACTATTCTGGTATTGAGCATGGGGTTAAACTCGACAATCTAATGTCGTCCGTTAAAATGTCGTATCTACTACGACATCTTGAATAGAATAGGAGCACGGATACCTCTCAAACCACTAGCTTCTTTTGTTAATTAAAGTTACTCAAAGTATTAAGTTTACTGTCTATTACTCTAAAGAAATCAAAATTATTATAAGATTAAGATAATAATTTTACATGGCAATTAAATTTGAAACAACTTAAGCCCATCTACCTAATAATGCCATAAGGCCAGCTCCAAAGCAAAGAACGACATACGCCAAAAGCATCTTCTTAAAGCCACCTTTGCCCTTGAACTCACCCGAGTACAAAAATTCGTGAGCCATTAATTCAACAATACCAGTATAGAATAAGATACCCGCAGATATAGAGTCGAAAATACCATTTGTAATCAATGCTGTTCTTGATCCAGGAGCATATGATTGTCTTACACCAAGACCGATTGCAATTGCAATTGGGGTACAGACAGAATATCCAGCAGCCAATAACCATGGAGTAAATCTTTTGCTCTTGGGCCACGGTGCCGTTGCGATCCTTGTTCCAAGACCAAGACCCTCGAACATTTGATGAAATACCAAAACGATATATAATGATTTAAACTCAGGCCCAGCTACAGATAAAGAGAGACCAACAAAAACAGAATGAAATATCACACCGAACTCTAATACAAAAACAGATAGCAATTGGCCATAATATTGCTCTCTATCTTTAATATTAACGGGGGTGTTAACAGCCTCAGGATCTTGATGCTCAGCAGCATGTTGAAAATGTTTAGGATAAAGATTTATAGAACCATCGGTCCTGACTTCATCGTTGCATATCTCATCATCTTCCTTGTTTTCTAATTCAAGTTCCTCCTTTTTGACGTAAAGATTTGCATCTCCAAAATGTGAATGGGAATTTTCCGATTGAATTCCTTGAACCCTTAATTCAACAAACTGATATGCACAAATCTCAAAGAAGAACAACATGAAAAGCGTAATGAGTGCGATGCCAAATGCCCAAGGATAATTTGTCCAGCCTGATCCTAAACATTCTTCGCCCAAACTGTCAGAAGCAGGCTCTAACAAATGAATGAATGCAGTCGCAACAATAACCCCTGAACCAAAGTACTTAGCAATGAAAAAGCACCAAGAAGGCATACGGATGAAGGAGTACCGGGAAGATAAAATAGGGAGGAAAGCACCGATAGCAGATGTTACCAAGATGACAAAAACGGCTGAAATTCTTGCTCCCCAATTTTGGCCGTCATATTCATTATCTGCTTCACAAGTATCTCTTGCACTTAACAAAACTTCCGTAAAGATACCACTCATATTTTATAGTTTCAATTCCTTTGAATACCTAGTGAATGAGAAATGAAGTCCTCTTCAAGAAGTTCACTGATGCTTATAAGGACTAATTTTTTGCCCAATTTTTTCACTAGTGTTAGTGCCTTCTAAAGTGCCCAGAAACTTGAAAAGAAGCAAGGATATGTAAGTACCACTACCGTAAAGGGCACCTCATTTTTTAGGTGATGGGTATGTAAAAAAAAACTTCCTTTACGGATAGCACCCTGGTGGTTTCATTACCGGTCAATAGATTCCCGGTTTGTCACCTATGCTTACTTCAAGTTGACTGTCAGACCAAATGCTGTCCCTCGTTTTTGGTCGCACTCTATTCACTTCCGACCAACCATAATTTTAATTTCAGTAAGGATGCGGCTTGAAAATCTCTATTGTCCATTTCCACCGTTGTGGCCCCTACGTTACGCGTAAGCATTTCAGTTCTTGGGTAATTGGCTTCAGAGACTTAGAAATGCAAGGCATTTTGTAGGTTTTGTTAATTCAGACATGATGTCGGGACCCCTCCAATAACAGGAGAAGGGTGTCTGCATACGATTCGCACACCGTCATATGCGAGGCCTAAAGCTGCAACTATTACTGGTAGTTTTGCAGAATTCATGCGAGAGGATTTTAACGGCTCCATACTTTACTACGAATTCTCCTTCTACGACGACAGATTCACAAATATTATATTATAACAACTCATCTCTCGAAATGAATTGACAAAGAGACACACTACTAAAAATTATTGATTTATTCGCTAGAGCCAATGATTGGCAAAAGAATAGTTCTGGCCCTTAAATAAGAGTTATGCTTAGTGGCCACACCAGCAAAGGCATTGTACCAGGCTACCAACGCCGTAATGACGGCAAAGATACCACCTGCCTTTGTCACCAGAGCGCTACCTGTAAAGTTTGCTGCTGCAAGAAGAATGAAAGTTATTTCTAAAACCACAAAAAGGAGGACAAACATCACCGTAGACTTCAAAGTGCATAGCAACAACAAAAATGTGAAGATAATCCATCCAATTAGAAAGAAACCTATTCCATTCGAAAGTTGTTCCGGTGCATCAGCATATGCATCAGATATTCCAAAGCTTTTCACGTAGATGGTTCCAAAAGACAACCAAAATGGACCGTAACTAGTGAAGGCGGTACCTGCAAAGGTGTTGCCAATAATCATTTCAAAAATTCCAGCTACCATTATGACTGCACCTCCGTAGAAAAAGGCAAGTGATATTACAACATTAGGTACCTTGATTCCCATTGCTCCTGAGTAAAAGAGACCCAATACAAAGGTGGTCAATGAAAATGCACAGAGCCCCAAGGCTGAAGCATTACCAAATTGATGAACTGGATAGGTTGCATACCTGTCTGGGTTAAATGTTCCTCCAAAAGCTTGCATCAATTCATGTTTATAGTATTTCTTATTTCCGAGAATAACAAACTCATTACCATCTCCTGTTGTGTGGACCCTCAGAACTTGGCCCTCCGTTGCTTTGTCAATTGAAGAAGATGAAGACATTGTGATCAATTTTTAATAGCAATAATCGAATCAAGAATTTGATAGTCGACGAGATCAATCTATGAAACTGTCTCTTTGGATTAAAGTAGAATTTATGTCAAGATAATGAAGAAATACCCCAGATTTTATCTAGATTTTAAAACTGGTCTTTCTCCGCAAAAGAGCAAGCCTTTCAGTTCTCCGAGAGTATGCCTCTTCTATTTGACCCACTTGTTTGTTCTCTCATTTTTCTAAAGTGGGCGTTACATAGCCATCGTGCTTTTGCACCCGTTGTGGGGCTGCAAATGGTGGTCACCCTTAACGCCGTTTTGAGCAATTACTGAATTACACCATGGATACAAAGCAAGAAACCGCAATGCATTCAACTTCTTAAGAAACCCGGGAAAAATCAGTTTTATCTACACGGTCGGAGTTGATAGTTCGTCAGAATGCGCGAGAAATGTGGGGTCCTAGGAAGAACTCTTTTTGTAACGGAAGGCATTGTTAACTAACTCCAGATATAATGCCCTACAAATTCTCTGACATACTGCATTGACTTAGATAGCTACGTCAAATTATGAAAATAGTATGATCTAGAGATGATGAGGTAGAGGTTCAAAAGATCTCTAGAAGTATAATTTTCAGCTATGATTTGTTTCTTTAGTAGTCTACTGCCCCACCTTTTATCGACGGAATGTACACTTCTAATCCAGGCCGCAAGCACCACTCTCGTTCGTTCCCACTTCACATGGAGTTAGCATCATTTAAGGGGTTTAGGGTTTTCTCATGTTCTGTGTACGGGGCAGTCCGAAGACAACAAAAATGGGGGAGCATCCGCCCTCGTGATCAAGTATGCAGTTCAGCACATTCAATCAATTTCAGAAACAGGTGCTTACACATGTTTTATTGACTAAAAGAGGAATGATAGCTGAAATGACAAACAACGATGATACCATTGACATTGAAGTAAATGATTTATCGAATGAAGTGAAGTTGGAAGCTGCTCGTAAGAGGTTTAATGCATTAAAAAAGAAGAAAATAAAACAAACTTTGAAGATGGTCGAGAAGACAATAGACAAGAAAAGTGGAGATGGGGCAGATATGGTGGATTCTAATAGTGACTATACAAAACAAATTGATGAATTGAGCATGACAATCATACAGCAGAAACATACTATCAAGAAACTCCGGGACGAGAATACAGATCTCAAGTTAAACAAGATGGACCTTGATGATAGAATTGCAGAGTTGGAGGAAACGTTGGCAAAATTGAAGACCGGTGATAAAACCCTGTTTCCATCTGCTGTGCTGTCAGTTGGTGTCAAGAGTAAGCCCGATGTTCTTCCTATAAAGGAAAACAAGTACGCATTAACATCCCAAAGTTTCGATACCTATGTCACTTCAGGTGATTTCAGAGAGAACTTGATGTTCTGGAAGAGCTGGCAGGTTGATATGACTGATTGGAATAGCAGTTTTCATGGTCAAAAAGTAGCCTTGTAATAAAATAGGCAGCTGATATCATTCATTGGCCATACAATTAATAATAAAAGATATATTCAATTATTTGATATATACAAGTGAAATGTGGCAAAGTAATAGATTAAATATGTAAATAAAGTTCCGTCATTATTTTATACGGCATAGGACCATACCCTCTAAATCTCTTTTAGCTGCTTCTTGAACTTCCAAGATTTCCTTACTCTTCGTCCTCATAAATATGCACTCTGCAGGCTGTAGCGGTTTGATGAATCTTACAGGAAGTCCAGATGCTAATGCCTTCACCTCAGTACCAGTTAGATTGACTTTTCTCCCTGGCTTTGAGACTAAAGAAAAGTCCCTAATTACAGGCAGATTATTACGGTATTTCAAACCCAACCACAAACGACGAGTAGATATGTTATCAGGTGTAACATCAACGGGATGCAAATCTGGGCCCGAGGTAGATCCTTTTTGAACCAGAGATATGAATCCTTCCCTATAAAGACTAAGTGCTATCTGTAAATGCAATCTGCTGAAAGGAACTGATGTAGTTGCGATATGCACATTAATACAATTCTTTATATGACAACAGAAGTTAGCCAAATGAACTAAAGACATCACCACGATCCTTATGTCTTCTTTACTAGCGCTATTGACTATGCCTTTGACTGATTTTTGTTTCAAACGTTGAGTGAAAAAAAAAAATATTCAATTTTATGTACACGTGAAAAACTTCATTCTCCAATCGATCTTTTATGGTTCTGGAAGTAACGGATAATCAAGTACAAGCTATAATTAGCGTCGATACTAACATGTTCGGCATTAGATACTCAGGCAGGAGAATAGCCACACAATTACCAGTTATACAGCGCCTTTCGTTGAAAAGCTTTCCTTCGAAATCGATTATTCGGCCCTTCAGTAGTAAAAGAGCATCAAGAGAAGATGCACCCAGAATCCGTTATTTATTTTATATGTTCTTGTTTTCATCGGGTTTGTTGTACGTAGTTGGTCGTAAGATCGAAAAAAAGCAGCCAAGAATGTCCTTCTCAGAGAAAGAATTTCAGGAATATGAAGAGGAAACTGGATTGAAAAGGAGACTGAAACTCATTAGCAATGAAAATAGTGAAAAATACAAATTCTACGTTATTCCCTATGTGCATCTCGAATCTACCGTTGATCAAATTGCAGCTAAGTTGAAGAGTAATGAGATAAAGATTATAGACCCAGCTAAATTGATTGAAAGAGAAAAAAACGATGATTCAAGAAAGTACAGTTTTCTTATTCAAGATCTAGTAAGCAATAAAAAGCCGTTTCCCAAAGGATTGATGACCGCGTTGATCAAAGAAGATCTATATGATTTTATTAATTCAACCAAGGGAATATACAATACAAATATTATAATTAAAAACTATCCTCAAACAACTGAAGACGCTATTAAATTTGAAAATGATATCTCTGATGTCCAAAAGTGCATTGAATTGCATTATGATATTCTTAATGAGTTACCGAAGGAAAAATCTCCTAGAGATGTTAGATCCATAAACAATGTTATCGGATACTTTCAAACTGTTGATAAAGTTAAACGCATTGCCAAAGAACACGATGAAATGGATGACAAGTTAAAAGAAATTGTGCTTGAAGATTACTGATGTTATTATTATATAAAGAATTCCTCTGGCACCTTAAAGTCTTTGAGATTTACATTTTTGCAAAATTGTTTGTCACTATCCAGGAAATCAAGAGGTCTGCCCGCAGCATCCCCTACATAGAAGCTCTTGTCCATATCTACATTAATGCCACAGGTATTGTTTAAAAACTTTTCTAATTCTTTCCACATTCCGATATTAGGCTTTCTCATTAAATTATGCAATTCCTCTGAACTTGGAACAACCTTTTGATTTGAAGTTGAGGGTCGCTTTGGTGATGCAAATACTATTATGTCAACGACTCTGCCCTTTAAGTTCGCATTCAAATTTGAAGTAACTGAATTCACTCTTTTAATGAAATTGATATAAGACTTATTAGAAGGGGTGGCCACCACGCTGCCTTGGTTTGTAAAAATCACGATCAAATAGCGTCCCTCTATGATCTCCCGTAGCTTCTTCACCACCTTCGACTCTTGTGTGCCCTTCGGTGACCACCATCTCCAGTCATCAGGTCCCCTAGCAAACTTTGAGCCGGATTTAGTATCAATTAAAGTTCCATCAAGATCAAATGCGGCTACCTTTATAGTATCAGATTCTTTCGCTAATTCCCTTATTCGTTCCTTTGACGTGGAAATGCTCTCTATTAAATGTGTGCCTATGATTCTCCATTTCATTAGAGAATTAGATCTCTCATGTGCATTATCTAATGAATGGGACAGGGGAAAAGTAGTTGCCGATCTGGGTTTCGAAATTTTATTGAGTGCTTTTGTATCTTTCTTGAGCATTGACAATACATCACGACAACTCATTGTAAGACAGTATTTTACGCTGTTATCTAAATAATATATATTATTTTTTATATCGCACCCATATATTTCCTAAGAAATTGACCATTTTTAATGAATAATCAGTTAAAGGGCCATAATGTCAGAGGAAGGGAAGACAAGTGTTGATCAGTATGGTAGGAAAAAATGGAATGTTTCCCTATATGAAGAGGAAGCGAAATCAAAAACTAAAAATAAAAGACAAAAAACCCCAGTTGATATCCTGTCTGCCATTGATAGTAATGAATCATCTTCATACATTGCCCATAGGAATAAACTTCTTAATGAGCTGATGGCATCAGTCAAGGTGGAGAATCTCATTAATCCTTTGAATCTAGGTGTTTACGGAAAAAATAAGAGATTTGGGTTTTTCTGCCCTATATGTGACCTCTCTTTCAGAGACAATTTAGCATTAATAGATCATTTTAATTCGCCAGAGCATATTTCAAGGGCCAGAGTGATCAAAGGTCCGCTGGGCGGCGATGCAGAGAGCGAAGAGATCGAAAGCGGAGTACGACGTGCAACGATCGAAGAAGTTGTGGCTACAATCCAGCTGCTTGTAAAGCAACAGCTTCGAGAGCAAGGAAATACAAACGAAAAAAGCGGATTTACTGAAAGAGTTGAGAAAAGGAGGAAGTTCGAAGAGAAACGGGCAGCAAAGAGAAGAGAGAAAAGGAAGCGAATAAAATATAGCCAGGCTTCAAGGGAAGAGGTCCCTAATGCTGCATCAGAAATGGAATCTATGATAGGAATTCAAGGTTTTGGATCTACGAAGAGATAGTCATAAATCGAATCTTTTGTACTACAATCCTAATCGCCAATTCATGTGCTGCATTCGACTCATTTTTATCTATTCTTACTTTTTGAAAATTGGCATACAAACTTCAGATGCCGAATTATAAAACCAAATTGATCACAATCCCCATTCTTGACACTCGAGTCCTTTGACTGTTCTGCAATAATGTCTACTTATTATACTCCATTGTATATACATGTATAATAACTGTGTAGCTAACATGTAAACAAATATTTTGCATTTTTATTTTTACAGATTATCGACATCGAGCGCTCTCATTTATCCAATAAAAACGATTTGAAAAGTAGTTACGTTAAGTGATACTTCGAATAACATAGCTGTATTATCGATTAGTATAAGTTAATAATCAAGAATGAGATTAACCTTTAAAAGTCCATTTGGAGGATTATTCAAGTATAAATTCGGGAAGTTTAATTACCCTCTTGAACAAGATATCCGTAAAAAATTGGACTCATTATCAACAGTTAGCAAAATATATACCAATCCCGATGGATCTCCCAGAGTACCCACTGATGAGGAATTTAAAACGTTGGCTGAATTGCAAAATTTGTACTATAAGAGGAATCATTCAGATTGGAACTTTTTACTCCCTGGTATTCCCAAAGATCAATTACAACTATTCAAAGATAATTCTCAAGACTTAAAAAACTTTCAGTTTGTTACCAAAGATGCTGGTAAAATTATTGATAAGATTCCTTACAAGGATGAAGCCACTGGTCAATTAAAATGGAGAGTGATTCGTGAAACCGAAAAAGCTGAAGGTTGGGAATTTCCCTATTTTTACTTGGTTTTACCAATTTTTGCGTACATAGCTTATTCTAAATACACTGCTCAAATGAAGAAAAGGCTGTTGGAAGGTCCAGAGTGGGCTGAAAAAGAGTTGAGATTGAGGGCCATGGAAGATTACTTCCATGGCGATACTGAAAAGGCTAAGGAATTTTTGAGCAATGAGGGTAAATCTCAAAAGGACATAAGAGATAGAGATGACTTAGTCGTTGCTAGAATCTTAGGTGGTGATTATGATAAATTGGCTCAATTGAAAAAGAAATTACCTAAGGATTTGATTCCTAAGGAAGAGCCTGCTGCGCATATTGGAATTTGATTCTAGACTAAGAGGAACTACTTTGCATATTGGTAATAATAGAATCTATCCCAATTATCAAAAGGTTCAGACCCTCGTTCCTGGTCTCAAGCTATTACAAATGCATTTAACACGAATATATGTTATCAAATAGATCAGTTACTGTTCAATCAAAGAATATTGAGAAGTTGGAGATGCCTCTTGACATCAAGTAAAAAATTTTAAAAATAACTTTTAATTTACCGATACCCCGAAACGTAGAAAGCACTTCATAGTGATATAGATGACTTGAACTTGTAATGTGACTTTATTAAACGTAAGTGATATACTTTTATCCTTTTCTCTGAGTATTGTTGGTAGATACAGTATCTTCTGTAATGCCCATTTCTGGATACAGTTTACAACTATATAATCAAGCAGCAGCTTTTCACTCAGAGACCATATCAATTATATCGACAAGACTAGGTCTTATGACTTAAGTTACATTCAACTACAAACGTTACAGCAATGGACAAATAAAAACATTAACAAATTACTATTAAATAGTAGTAAAATATTTTTAATCCTTGATTTCACCGCAATCTTCGATAACGATTGGAACCTTTGTAGTTCCACTGTTACTTCCCTGAGCCTCAATCTTCTTGACAACATCAAACCCATCGATAACCTCACCAAAGACAACATGTGCACCATCTAACCAGGGACAAGGTACTGTGGTTATAAAAAACTGCGACCCATTGGTATTTGGCCCGGCATTTGCCATTGATAATAAACCAGGCTTTGAATGGGTCTTTTTAAAGCTCTCATCCTCGAACTTACGTCCATAAATGGATTTTCCTCCATAACCCTTTCCAGTTTCAAAGTCTCCTCCCTGTAACATAAAGTTAGGAATAACCCTATGGAAAATCGAATCCTTATAACCGAATCCATGTTCACCGGTACATAATGCCCTAAAGTTTTCGGTAGTCTTAGGAACAACATCATCATACAATTCGAACTTGATAGGAGATTGAGTTTCTCCATTAATAGAGGGAGTGAAAAACACTTTGGTACCCCAACACCTTGTTGTGCTGGAGAATGTCCTGGAGGCAGATTTAGCAACGTTTAAAGATCTTAACATTTGGAATTGATGAACGTTTTATAAAAAATGGTATTTGATAATTTTGAAATTTTTCACCTTTTAAATAGTTCTCCGAGCAACTTTTTTAGTAGAATTACTATGAACAATATCTTAACTACATTTATTCCAGACGATCATGTCTATTTTTAAAGAGAGTAACTAATTGGAGCAATATGCTCTATGTAAAGTGAAATACTTAAGAAGTTTACAAACAAAAAGTAAAAAAATATGAAATATGGGAGAAGTTTAGATAGTCACTAGAAGCTCAATAAATCAATTTCACCATCATTGTTTTTGGTAGTATTAGACCTATTGGATTCATTGATTGGCTCTTTTTCATTAGAAGCAAATCCTCCGAATCCATCGTCATTTAACTCATTCCAAGTGGATGAGCCATTTGTATTGGATGCCACCGGCGATTGAGGTTTAGGAGACGATGATGCCCTGGTTTTCGCAGATGAAAATAGAGAAGAGAAAGCATCGTTTTTTGGTGCAGTCTTTGTATTTGACGAAAACCCCGTGGCACTTGATGATGAAGGTGTTCGGTTGTTGATGCCAAAACTGGGGGCTTGCGTCTGAAAGGTACTTTGGACGGGCGCCTGTGGTGAAGCGAACGTATTTTGCTGAGAGAACACATTTTGCTGAGGGAAAAACGAATTTTGCGGCTGTGACTGGTATAAGCTTGCTAAGTTATTCGAAATGTTAGGTTTTTGAGGTTGCGATTGAGTTTCGGCGGCCTGGAAATCGTCAAATTCATCATCATCATCATTGCCACCGGCAGCAGGAGTAGAGTCATTTCGGGTATTTGAAGAGCCTTCGAAGGAAGTGAAATCGCCTAACAAATCTGGCTCCGGCTCGGATGCTTTTTTGGCCCGTGCAGTCACCTTAGAAGGGCTTGTGGTTGCCTTCGAAGTACCATTTGACCCTCCAACATCATATTCTTCGAAGTTTTCATTTGAATTACCACTTTGTCCATTGTTGTAAGACGATCCAGTGTCATCATATCTAGCTCCATATACACCACCATCTCCGTAAACTCTATTGCTGAAGTCATCATCTTCGAAGGTTCCACCAGTCGTAATTGACGAAGCGCCACCAAAAGCTGCTGATGAAACACCTCCAAACTTCTTTGCATTAGCTCTCGCCTTTTTACGCTCAGATCTAATCAAAGCGTCATCATTCAATAAAGCAATCAAATTCTTGGCCCTATTTCTAACATTAATTCCCTGATCTCTCCCCTTAGAATCAATGTAATGAAAGGATTTCAACATTTGAATTAACGAAATATTTGCCCTCACATCATCAATTAACCTCTCAGAACCATTTTTAATCAAGTAATCAAGTAATTGTAATGACTTGTATATTTGTCTCCATTCGTTAGCTGCCTTCTCTGTGAAACGTCTAAAGATAAAGCTGATGATTTCTTCCCTCTCTCTATAGTTGTAAGTTCCGGAAGCTATTTGCGCCATTAAGGTCGTCGGCGATCCCCATGGCTCATTATTAGTAGCTTCTCTAACCTTGGTCTCCATATCAGTCAAGTTCATGGCAACTATTAGCATCCTCAGTTAGTATTCTAAAGTTCGACTTGCGTGAATATAATCGGAGGCTATATACTCCCATTATTCATACTTACCATTCTGAGCCTTTCGAACATATGCCTTAACCTCGTACAAATTGAGGTTTTTAGCTGCATCCTTTAATAGATCCATATTGTTCTGATTAACTTATAGTACTTGTGTATCTAATAGCACCGTTCATTACTCGATCTTTCCGTAGCCTCAACTTCAACTTCTAGCGTTGATGTGTCTATGTGCAGGATATAATCAATGGAGTACAACCTACTGTATTTCAACAGGATCTTATTCGTATCAGGAGCCAAACAATTGCTACATAATATGCTTTATGTGAACTTAAAATGCTATCTAGTACATCTTAGAAAAAATTGGCTCAAAATATAGGTATTTTGTTTAGTTATTTTTGGTAGACATTTACGGTAACCGAGAGTCTATGATTTGCTCTACGTGGCTCTATTAAACAAAAGATCTAAAATTTTGTTTATTAATTGATGCTAAATATATAATGCATGATATCTATTATACATCAGAATGCCTTCTTTAGAATTATTTCTTGTATTTTGCACGGATACTTGCCGTAAGCTCTCTTAATTGCTCTAGGCTCCGTGGCACATTATTGGGGCCTGGTTTAGCGAACTTCTTCGATTTAGGAGAGTTAAAGGGTGTACTTTCTTCAATTACACCATTTCCAAAACCAGTCAAATTCGACACATTGTTAAATGAGCTGTCACCGATGGAATTATTAAAATTCAAGAATGTTGAGTTGTTTAAGTTGCTTAACGACTGGTTGATACCGATCCCCGACACGTTATTAGCAGTCATGAACACGCTTGAGTCATTCGCCGACATACGTGACGTATCAGGAGTACTCAGAGACATGTGCTTAGAAAGATAATCATATTTACGTGCTGACCTTGCTTTACTTATTAATTTTGCTTCTTGGGCCCCAAATGTAGAATTTGATATTTGTTCATGGCTTTCTCTTTCAGCTGAGGATGATGCTTTCTTACGCTTTGTCAATTTGTCCTTTTTCTTTGCCCCCTTCAAAGTCAACTTGCCTTTAAAGTTTTCGCTTATCGTATCAAATGCCTCAGCAAACATATCATTCACGTTGACACCTTTTCGAGTCATATCGCAAAGTATGATATCTTGAATAGATTCTTCTTGGCGATACTGTTTTACTTCTAGGATCTGAGAAATTTCATGAGTGCTCAAATTTGATTCCAAGTCATCGTAGAACAAAATCAAAATTTGGATCTTGAAATAACTGTACTTCCTCACTATTGATATAATTTTATTCAACACGTTTTTGTCAGAAGCTAATTTCTCCCGTGTTGACTTATACTTCGTACCTTTCTGCAAGATTCCGCACTCGTAGATGATAAAAGAAGTGTTTGAGAAGAACTCACTGGTAAGATACTTGTTGCTTGGTAAACTTGTTATCTTTAAAGATGCGTATGCATTTTTGACTGAATTCTCGTAGATCATTTTTTCCCTGTTGATGTTCAAAGCAAGTTTTGTATTAAGCCATTTAGAATAAGCACTACTCCAGTCTTCAACAACTAGTAATAGTTTAATTTCAATGTCCTTAGTGTCAATTCCAATCTTCAAGTTCTTTGTGCATTGGTCCAAGAACCTTCTGAGATCAAGCGGCTCCCACAAGTGTCGAACTTCTTTTTGCTTCTCATAGATTTCAGATATTGGAGCCACTCCAGTTCTTCTACGCTTTGATGCCTCGAAACTTGAGTCTGAAGAATGAGAAACATCAGTCTTTCGCTTCGTATGTCTACCAAAAGATACAGCATTTAGCTCCTCGAGCTTTTTCTTTTTGATTTCTTGCTTGATTTTAAGTTTAGTTCCGACATCAGCCAACTTTCTTATTACTTTCACCTTTAACATTTTATCTCTAAAATATGTAGCCCTCGCCTCCAAGGTGACTTGGTAAGTGTTCTCGGCAAGAAATGCACTGAAAAGTTCCTCAGTAAAAAGTTCAATTATGTCGTTCCGTTCTCTATTCATATTTTCATGCCTGATTATTTTGGGAAGCGTCGCATACAATTCCGAAGTAATGCTTCTGTTAAAAATATCATTAAACACTTCAGTAACGCCTCTTTCAAATAATGGATGATCCTTTAGAAATTTCTGTTTTACTTCAGCTGTCATTAGACTCGATTCAGGAATCTTTGGTTCCTGAACATAATGCTGTTCATTTTTAACAACTGAAGTTTGACCATCATCCTTCAGAGGGATACTGAAGGATCCAGAAAATGCTGCAGGTGTTTCCTGGTTCTCTGATGGACGTTCCAGCCCAAAACTGAATTTTGGTGCTTCGTTTTTTTTTGTAGGAAAGTTTGATACCAGAGATGGCGTACGAATAATCGATCCACTTTCTTTGACTGGGAGTGCAGCTTGTGGCTGAGATTGGGCATCTTCCTTTGTTCCTAATGCCCCAGGAATATTGATGTTGACGTGATTTATTGAAGGCTTTAAAAAATCTGAAAGTGTTTGGGAACTCGAAGGAACAGCTGGCCCTGAGTTAGCAAAAGAAAACTGTGAACCACGTCCAAAGCTAGAATTAGTTCCTAATTCAGAAGAGCTCTTGGTTGTCGAGGGAAAGTCATTAAATGACTTACTTTTAATTACGCCTCCCCCGCTGGGATAGGTCAAATCGGGAGCTGCCTGGACCTCGCTGTTTTGGCTCATAAATTTCAAGTTCAAGTCGACATTCGGATTGCCGCTATTAACAAAATCCTTCATTCTTTTACCTTCAGTCTTAAAGTTCAATTGTGTAGAATATGCTTGCAGCAACTTTGGTTTATCGTTTAAAGAGCTAAGCTTGTATTTAGTTTCGAGCTTGTCTTTGTTGAATAAGTCAACCAATACCTCTCCATTCTCATATATCAAATCTACTTCATAATAACTGACAAACTTTGTCAATTTATCCATGGAATCAAATCCGAGCATTGCTTGTAGTGATTCTGCTGGGTAGGCTTTGCCCTTCGTATGGTAACATCTTGACATTGCCTTCAATGCGTAAAATCTAATTTCATTGAAATGAGTTTCCAAAAGACATCCCACTAAAAAAGGTGTTTCTTCACTGTAGGCAATTTTAAAAAACTCAACGAAGAAATTAAGCGCACCAATTTTATTGACATATCCCCTGTCGACTATATTATTTTGGCTCATTATTGTCCTAAACATCAAAGCTAGCTGCACTAACCTATTCTGCAAAATATCGTCCGGCAATTCTTGAATTTCCCTCTCTAATTCCGGATCTCTGAAGTGACTTAGCAAATAATAAGCTCTGAATTCTGCTTCATTGGGGGACCTACCACCGTGGTTTCTAACATCCTGGTATATCTCCACCAAAGTTTGAAGAGCTTTGTTAAATTGCTCCAACTCTTGCTGCTGTGAATACTCCACGTCACTTCCTGCCATTACGTGTAATGAAAGCAAATGAATCCTAACTATTCTTTCATTGCAATCAATTGCTTCGGGGCCATAAAAGTTTTGGTATATGAAATCTTGTCTAATCGACCGCGTTCTATCCCACACAAATGAATGTGCTTCGGGCAATTTGTCAACTATATTATCGACCAAGTAGTCTAACGTCTTGACTAAGACATGAGGTGGGCGAACGTCTGATGGTAATGGTGGCGGCTGACCAGCAGCTGGTCGAGAAAACGCTTTCACTGCTCGCTCATGAGATATTTTATTCGTATTTGGGTCTTTTTCTAAGTATTTCACATTGTTCTCCAAAGCCCTTCTCACTCTTTCAAACGTGGGACACATTTCTAAACATGTTCCTCTGAATACAATTGCATCATTTAGATCTTTGCTCGTATTCTCTGCATCCACAAGACCCAATTCTTCCATCTTTTTCCTTTCAACCTCTCTCATCTTTTGAAACTCTTCGTATAATCCTTGATAGTCTTTCCCGCTGTTCGATATCTCTTTAGAACGCATATTTTCTTGATTTTGAATGTCCCACGGATCAGGACTAAATGGAGGAGTCACAAGCATCCTAGGTTGACTAATCATATACCTTGGCTTTGGACGTGGTCTCAAGGATCTATTATGTGACTTTTTGAAGCCGAAGGACTCTGGATTATGAAATAAACTTCCAGTTTTACGAACCTCATCATCGGTATATTGTTGTAAGTGTGCTGCTTTTTGTACTTTAGGATCTTTCACACTCAGGTCTATTGAAATATCAACATCGTCTTTAGACTGCTGTTGTTTTGAAGCTTTTTTGGGGCCGCCGTATCTCTTTTTTTCTTGGTTACCAGCAGTTCTATCATTATTCCTTTGGCTATGATTATTTCCTCCCCCAAGACCATGCGTACCATTGGATTTAGTGTTTTTTCTTCTATTTCCACTAGCACTCCCATTTCCACTGGCTTTTCGCTCCCCAGCCGTTCCTCCATGTCTTTGATGACTGCTCTTGGAAGACTCACTCGAGTGAAAAGTGCTTGAGCTTGGCTTCCCTCCAAAAGTAGACATCCTATGAAAGTAAACAACCTTAGACAAATTGTCCACCTAATGTAAGGTACTAACTTTTGAACAACTATTTATGCTACGATGAAGCTTACTCAATGGATTAAACTTAAGTAATGATATATTTATATCAAAGTTTCTAAACGATCTATTTTCATGCCGGAATCTAATTATCGACTCCAGCTAACTAATGGTAATATAATATACAACAAATCCTAATGTTAATTCGGAAGAAAGACAGCTTGGAGGTACCGAGTAAATGGTAAGATTATTCCTCATGACCTCCTCAATGAAAAATTGAGTCACTGATTGGTCTCTTAACTGTATAGCAACGAGTGCTCCACTCTCGCTATGCATTAACCTCTTAATGGCTGCGACAAACTTTGGTACAAGAAATTCATTATATATGGTATCACATGCAATTATAAAGTCTGGTATTGGTTCAGTCTCCAAAACTGAACTCAAATTTTGATAGCCTACTTCAGGCTCTTCCCAGTCATATTCGAGAAAATCAACTCTAGGGGCCTGTAATCTTTTGGAAGTAGAGATAGATGGAGCTTGATTTCTGTAAAAATTTCTCGAAAGTAGCCTAAGTAGTTCCTTCTGATCTGTAGCTATGTATCGATTAACTAAGGGCGAAAGAACCAAAGCACATATTGCGCTTACTCCTGCTCCCAATTCAATTACGAGCAAATCTTTAGCTTTCAGACGAAAAATGCTATGAAATGGGCATTTGGCATCGCCAAGTATCCAATCGGAAATATGAGCAGCAGTTTTCCAGCAGAGGAACCCAGTAGAGACTCCTGAGAATGATTGCTGTATTGAGATATCCATCCCTGACTTTTCAAGGCTAATATCAATGATCTCGCGCGATCGATCTATAAACCCAAGATTCAGGTCATCAGGTGGAGGACGATTAGTGAATATATCAAAGATGTGTTCGTCAACTTCATTCGAGTCTATCTTTTCGAATCGAGAACAATCTACTAAAGTGTTCATTTGAGATAAGTACTAGACTTGCATAGTATTCATCCACTAATTTAATATAGTGAAGTTTATTGCGATAAAGTTTATGTAAGGCTTATACAAAATACAAAAATAATTAAATCACATTTTTGGCTTTCAAAATTTCTCCAATCAAAACACCAGCCCCAGCAGCTCCTATGACTGTATTATGAGATAAAACAACCATCTTGAAATCAAGAACAGGATCTTCTCTGACTCTTCCTACGGAAACTCCATATCCACTATCTCTATTCCTATCCAATCTCGGTTGAGGACGATCTTGTTCTTCTAACACATGAATTGTTTGCTTAGGTGCAGAATGACATCCCAACTTGTAAGCATCACAAACATAGTCAGATAATGCCTTCTTCAATTCATCGACTGACGGTGCTGGTCTTTTCGCAAATCTGAAAGAAATGCATTCGGTGTGGCCATCACTGACCGCAACACGATTACATTGAGCACTAACTTTAATGTCTTTGTCCGACAAAAGAGCAAAACCATTTCCGTCCTCACTCACGCCACCCAAAATCTTTTTGGTTTCCCATTCCATTTTGTCTTCTTCTCCACCGATGTAAGGTATAATGTTGTCTAAAATATCAATGCCAGGAACACCGGGCGAAAAACCAGCTCCTGAAATTGCTTGCAAAGTAGTTGCTGTCAAAGCATCTATTGGGCCGAACTTTTCCACTAAAGGCTTCAACGGAGCAACCAATCCTGCGGTAGAGCAATTAGAAATGCAAATAATGAAACCCTCTTTCAGTTTTCCTTCTTTTTTTGCATCAGATACTTTCTTTTCAACAACAGATAAGTGTTCTGGATTGACTATTGGAACGATCAATGGTACAGTTGGCTCTCTTCTATAATTTTTAGCATTTGAAACAACTGCATGTCCAGCATCTGCAAATGCTTTTTCAATTTCACCAGCATAATCAGAATCCAAGCCTGAAAATACAATATCACATTCTGCGAATGCTCCCTCTGGTTTACATTCAGATACTTTTATTTTCTTTGCTATTTCTGGCATTAAATCTGTTTGCTTCCAGGAAACAGCATCTTTATATTCTTTACCAGCTGAACGAGATGATGCACCCAATGCATGTAATTGAAATTCTGGGTGATCTGCCAATAACAATATAAAACGCTGACCCACTGAGCCAGTCGCTCCTAAAACACCTGCTTTTTTTATACTCATTTTTTGTACTTGAATACTCTTAGCTATTATTGATAAATTAACGTAGTAAAAGTCGATAAATTTTTCGATGATTCATCATTGCAGTATCATGACATCACGTGGTTATATGGAATCTCCGAAGAATGATTCAGTCAAGTGTAATTTTTGTAAAGAATCCCGAGAGAGTTTAAGCTCTAATCTAGCTTGAGGTTAACGGAGAGTTGCTTTCGGCATTTTGACATTGTCATCGATGATTCCCTAGAAACCCCTAACAGCTGCAAATTGATGAAAATAAAACGACATCAAGCTCTCACGACATTTTATCTTGACGACATAATGTTGAACGCGTTCGATGTGCTTAATTTTCAGATTAAAATAATAGGAAACCTTCATAAGAGGCAGAACAGGAGTTATGGCTACCATTACATTCGAAAAGATTTATCTCAATCAGTCAAAGCTGGTGGGGAGATTAGGTATTGCTGAATCTGGTTTAGGATGGAAAAAATCGGATACCAAAGGTACACCCAATGCTCAACCGTTTTTATTGCCATCAGAGGATATTTTGGCAACACAATGGTCCAGGGGCTCAAGGGGCTGGGAATTGAGAGTTCAAACAAAAAACCAAGGTGTTGTAATGTTAGATGGGTTTGATCCTGAAGATTTTGCCAAAGTGAAACAAGAGTTAAGTAGAAACTTCAATGTTTCATTAGAACGGAAGGAGCATTCATTGAGAGGCTGGAACTGGGGTAAACCAGATTTGGCTAGAAACGAATTAATCTTTCAAATCAATAACAAACCGGCATTTGAAATTCCCTACAATGAGATCAGTAACTCTAATCTAACTGGAAAAAATGAAGTTGCAGTTGAATTTAATTTAGAATCTGAAAATAGCAAAGCAGGGGATGAGTTAGTCGAAATGAGGTTTTATATCCCAGGTACTGTGGAAAATGAAACGGAAAAGCCAAAGAGTGAAAATGGTGAGGTTAAGAATGAAGAGGGTGAAGAAAGTAAAGAAAGTAAAGAAGGAGAAGAAGCAGATGCAGACCAGAAGGAAATAGAGGAAGTAAGTGCGGCAAGCATATTTTATGATCAATTAAAGGACAAGGCTGATATCGGTCAAGTAGCTGGTGAATCTATCATTTCGTTCAGCGATATTCTATTCTTGACTCCAAGAGGTCGTTATGATATTGACATGTATCCTACCTCTTTGAGATTGAGAGGAAAAACGTATGACTATAAGATTCAGTACAAACAAATCGAGAGAATATTCTCACTTCCAAAGCCTGATGAAGCACACAACTTAATAATTTTGCAAATTGACCCACCTTTGAGACAGGGCCAAACTAGATATCCATTTTTAGTCCTTCAGTTTTCTAAAGAAGAAGAAATAGAATTGGAGTTGAATGTATCAGACGAAGAGTATGAAAGTAAATACAAAGATCGTCTAAAGAAAAGCTACGATGCGCCTACCAATGTGGTCATGGCTCATTGTTTCAAAGGGTTAACGGAACGTCGTCTTGTAGTTCCAGGATCTTTTCAATCTCGCTTTTTGCAACCAGGGATCTCTTGTTCTTTAAAAGCTTCTGAAGGTTACTTGTATCCATTAGATAGATGTTTTTTGTTCGTCACGAAACCTACGATCTATATTCCATTTTCGGAAATCAGCAGTATCACGATGTCAAGAACGGGTGGCGGTGTTTCTGCATCAAGGACTTTTGATTTGGAAATAAACTTAAGAGGATCAGGCCCTCCTCATATATTTGGAAGCATCGACAGGGAAGAACAAAGTAACATTGAAAATTACTGTACGCAAAAAGGATTGCGAGTCAAGAATGAAGAAAAGCTCGCAAAAGCAATGTTAGCAAAAGTAATGAAAGAAGATGATAACGATGATGAAGATGTCGATATGGGAAGTGCAGGAGACGACGGAGAAAGTGCTGATGACGATTTTCAATCTGATACAGACTCTGACATCGCAGAAGAGTTCGATTCAGATGCTTCTTCTGATTCTGGCGCAGGTTCGGACGCCCCATCTGAAGAGCCTCCTAAGAAGAAGAGTAAAGGTTAAACCATAATCTTCAAGTTGTTAACGTTTATATGGCGAAAAATACATAAACATAATTCAGGTCTCGAAGTGCCCATTAAGTAGCAAGACAAATAGAATCAGTGATGTGAATGAGAATTTTTAGTAGAGGTTTCAACATAATAGTAGTGGTGATAAGTTAAAGACTATCAAGCACATTTTGATATACTTGATGCGCGCGGCTGAAGCACTTGGCGTTCAGATTATGACAATATATTACAACCAAGTAAGATATACACAATAAGCCTATTTTTGCTTTAAAATGAAGGCATCAGTCTGTAGCAGTAGTCTTGTCCATTGTCAATTTAGCCACTTGCTCTATGACCTTCTTTCGAAAGCGTTCGGGTTTTTGAATGCTTTTTCCATATCCTGTATATACGAATTTCCTAATCGGATTTTTTTGCAAGAAAACGTTTTTGTTGCTCCCTAATTAGCCACCCAGCATAGGCAATGAAGCTATCGCTTTGAGCCATCGACCAGCCCTCGCCAAAAATTTGTTGTGGGCTATTCAATCAGCAAAAGTATGAGTATAAGTAACATGCTTTTAGGTCTTATCAGCTTTTCAAGGGTAAAATAATATACTACTTAAAAAGAGCATTTAATCTTGAAACAGACGAGTTGCCTTCTATTCACATAAATTTATGAAATTATGAGCTTGGAGTTTATTAAAAGTGGGTCAGGGTTGAACGTTGAAAGCTTCGATAGTAAATACAATCTCGAGCAGCTCAATTTTCGAGATGCTAAATGTGCCAATACTGGGGGCATTATCACTGAGGACATGGATGAGTGTAATTACATTGAAATGAATGCCATCTCAAGTTCCATTGTGGACATTAGTACTTTCCAGGATAATTCATTTATTCCTCGAAGATCACCAATGCGCCCAATTTCTTCAACAAATACAATAAGGGACAAGTCTGTAGACAGCTATGTCTCGTCAAGAGACTCGGGTTCATTTGAATGTAATCCGAGCTCTTCGCTAGGTTCTTTTGAAGACTCAATCTTCTCACATCAAGAGGAGATACTCAATAATGATCATTGTAACTCAACAGAAGAAAATTTTCTTAATCTTGACGGTATAGATGATATTGACGCTTTTCTTGAGGAAATAAATATCGATGAGTGTGGCAATTCAAATGTCGTTTACAATGTAGATGAGCTCGTTCAAGTATTGCTTGTCCATCATCCTTCAGAATCTTCTATTTTAATCGATACTGCTACTATTGAAAAATTAAAGGATTGAACTTAAAGTTATACGCTTCACCTAATGATAACGAAATTTCTAAAGCAATCTTTCTACATCTGTTCTTCTTTCTTTAGCTTATTTATTTGCTGTTAATTTAATACCCATAATGACATATTATTAGATTTCCTCCACAGTGGTATTTCGATAAGGCTGCAATTGACCCCCCACCCATTGCTTCTGTAAAGCGTAGTTTCCTTTCGCTATTAACGTACATAGTGGGGATATACCGGAAATTCTTGCCGGAAATCAAGTTCTCCCGACAAAAAGTGATGGACGGTATCTTTTTTCCACAGACAAGATTATGACTGACACGGAAGTCTATCAGCCTTACATTCGAAATTCTTTCTGATACTTAGGTACATTGATGTTAATTTACTATATGTGGCAGCTTACCTATTGCTTAACTTAGATCTTATATTTTAAGAGGGAGTGATAAAAATGACGGAGCATCTTCCTTTGGGAACAGTCATCTATACATCGGTGAAACCGATTTTCAAAATCTATTTTATTATATTGCTAGGCTTCTATCTAGCCAAAAGGAACATATTATCAGTAACAACATGCAGAGATATTTCAGATTTAATTGTGTCTGCTGTCATGCCATGTTTGATCTTTGATAACGTTGTGTCAAACTTAAAAAGTTCAGATATCAAAAATATTGGAATCATTTTTTTAAGTGGTACTATTCTCTTTTTCAGTGGAGCCATGATAGCATACGTTATATATTGGATTACAAATGCCCCAAAGAGGTGGCTAGGAGGTTTAATTTCCGTCGGATTTTTTGCAAATATATCCGATTTGCCAATTGCATATTTACAGACATTTTCAAAAGGTGGATTAGTCTTCACAACTGAGCAAGGTAATAAGGGGGTTGCCTATGTCATTATATTTTTGGCTGCGCAGGTATTTTATCAATTTAGTTTGGGTGGCTACAGATTAATTGGCTGGGACTTTAGAGATGAACTCAAACCCCAACTGGATGAAGATGAAGAACTGAAGGACTATTCTAATGAAAAGGTTCTGAAAACAGCTAGTCATAATAAAAGTTCAGTTTTGGGATCTTCAACTACAAATAGCTTACGAGATTCAGATGGAAGACTAATGGAAGAAGACCGGGAACATGGAACTCCTGAGCAGCTTAGTGCCCATATGTCCCCCACTCAACAGAACTTAGTTGCTAACTCCTTAGTTAACACTGATTCAGCTGCATCTAGATCAATAGGATCATTCACAGGAGAAGAATCACTCGCATCCGCCGCTTCAAATTCTGGAATAAATAGATACGAATCTTTGCGTCCCGTTCGTACGGCTGAGTTGAGACAACAAAAATCACAGGATATCGGTGATGTTATAAATGAATATTCCGAGTTTGACAGATTAAAGCATACCAAAAGTAGGGTTTCTCCTTGCATCACAAGTGAGGTTGGTGTAGCTGTTCCAGAGCCGGATACTGATGATTCAAATCCGCCTTCCAAATTTAAAACAATATCATTGTCTTTGCTCAAAAGTTTTCGAACACCTAACTCAATGGCACTCATTATCTCTATAGCCATTGCTATGTCACCACCCCTCAAGGCCTTATTTGTCGTTGCAAGAGTACATATACCACCAGCTCCTGACAAACAGCCACCCTTATCCTTTATTATAGATTTGACTAGTTATGTCGGTGCCGCTTCGGTCCCACTAGGACTTTTAATGCTAGGTGCTACCATTTCAAGGTTGAAGGTTAAATCGATGCCACGAGGCTTTTGGAAGACTGCAATTCTTCTTACTGCTTTGCGAACGATTGTTTTGCCCATTCTCGGTGTTGGGATAACAACTGGGATGTATAAAGGAGGCTGGTATGGAGATGATATAGTGGTAAGATTTGTAAGTGTCTTATCGTTTGGTGTGCCAAGTGCTACAGCCTTGGTTTATTTTACTGCATTTTACACAGATCCTTCATCGGAAGATCATTTGCAAATGGACTGTTTGGCCCTTTGCTTGATCTTTCAGTACGCAGTTGTCTACATTTCATTGCCTTTCTTAATAACGTTTACACTTAAAGTATCTTTAGGTTATTAATCATCATATATCATAGCATTCAGGGGCGAAAGCTGAAGCTATGTACTGGACATTTCATATTACACACTATCTCATATAGATTTAGATAAAATTGCAGTATTATCTTTTGGCTTGTTAAAAATAATGCTGACACATAAGGACGATGGCTTATATTAGTTAAATGTGTCGTATGATGCACGTCACTTTAATAAACATAGTTTTTCACTTGAATTACATTCATGGCATGAATTGATTTCTATTTCTTATCATAATTTTATGTCCATGTTCCATATGACTTTCCTGTATATATTAGCCACTTACAAAGATTCGAGCTATGATTTAAGAATATGCTAGTTCTAATATGTTGCACACGAATTGCCTCTTATGTGTTGCATAGACTTCGGTGAACGAAAGAGATGCTGTACTACAAGAAAGATTATCCTTAGGGTTTATATCAGAAAGCGTTTTTTGTACGTAGGAGAGAATCGTATATGAGCTAAAAAGGAGACATTGAATAAAACGAGACAAAGAAATTGTACTATCACCATTACAGCTGTAACCGCTTTAAATTTACGCTTTTAATGACGTGAAACATAGTAATTTACCAATGGTCTTTCTTATGCCTTTTTACTGCTTTTTTCATTAGACACTCATTAACAAAACATCACTAAAAAACGGAATGTCTCGCAAGCGACCCCCAATATGCTCCACTTGAAAGCTCCAAAGCCCAAAGTAAGACAACTCTGCAGGAGACCCTGGAGTGCTACTCACTTTAAAATATTCTCTTTCACGTATCTATTTTAGCAACTATGTAGCCAAAGTAGCAACATCGGTCACGTGCCAATTGTTGCATCATCATCATTTCTCTTCATATAAAGGGACAACGAGTCAGATACTCCCACACTGAAACACGATATTTTGATATCTTTTAAGCGAGAGAAGTCTAATAGTTCATCTGCACTTAAATCCATATAACATTCTAAACTTATTTTAAAATACATAAGCATCAATTGAAACACAATGGCTTTATATTATTCATTAGTCTTTGGGTTGTTAATAGTTGAGATGGCGTTTTTCGCTGTTTTATCCTTACCGTTCCCAAGGAAAATCAGAAGGAGCGTTTTGAAGTCTGCTTCTGCACCATTCAGGAATGAGAAGTTCCAAATAGCTATTAAGTGCGTACTAGGTTTTGTCCTTGTTTTATTTATTGACTCTGTTAACAGAGTTTATTCAGTAAGTAGCGAGTTACATGGCAAGAATTCAATGTTGCCTGGCCAAGGCACTGCTCAAAGTTTGGTTAACGACAGATCAGAAGTGCAAGCCAGAAGATTTTATGCCCAAAGAAATATGTATCTTTGTGGTTTTACTTTGTTTTTGACCTTAATTTTGACTAGAACGTATTCTTTGGTTGCAGAATTAATTGTGACCAAAGACAAATTAGATAACTTACAGAAAGATGGTGGTGATGACTCCAGTAGTCCACAGATTGAAAAGTTGAAGAAGGAATTGGCTTCTAAAGATGAGGAATTGGAGAATTTGAAGGAACAAGGCAAGAGTTTATCAAAGGACTACGACTCTGCTACTACTACTGTAAAGTCGAGGAAATCTTAAGCAATGAAAATTGTTTTAGTTATGATTGATGTAAACACTATTCAAAAATACATGCTCGATATATCTAAGCATTCTTTTCGTAAGCATTACTTTTATGTTTGGGAACAAACTGGAAACCTGAACCTGTCTTGCCCAAAAACATTTCAGTAATCTTGATCCAATCTTTGTAATCCCCTGATCCTAATAGAGTTTCCAAATCGTTTCTGCCTCTCCATTTCGGTGGACGTTGGTTGATACTAGGTGGGAGTCTTTCCAAGATTCCAATAGGTATATACCTATGTGTAAAACTTAGAAACTCACACATGAATCTCCTAGCTAACCCTACTCCATATTCATCAGATCCCCAGTGCTCGATTGCAAATTTTGCAAATTTTTCTAAAATTTCTAACCTTTCTGTTGCTGATTTATCCAAGTACTGCTGGGCTTCTATTTCTTCGAAAATCCAAGGTTTGATTAAGGCTCCACGAGCCACCATGACCGAATCTATTCCTTCAGTGTTTACTGCATCATAAAAGTCCTCGTGCGTAAAAACATCACCGTTACCTATAAAGAATGTTGGTTGCGTTTCGCTTCGGTCTTTATCCTCTTCTTTCTTCAAATTCCACTCATGTACCACTTTACCAACTTCGCTGATGTAAGACCAATCTGCTCTTCTAGTATACCTTTGTTGCCTTGAGCGTCCGTGCATTGTAATTGCTGCCACGTCGTTCTCTGGAAGGAGTCTCTCAACTAAAGTCCTGGCTGTATTACGATTATCTTTCGTACCTGTTCTAATCTTAACTGTCACTGGAATATCACCTGAACAATAGTTCATTCCTTTCAAAATCCTTGATAATCTAGCTGGCTGATCCATCAATGCTGAGCCTTGACCTTGACGATATAATAAATCTATCGGGCATCCACAATTCAAATTAAGCTCAGAAACATGAGATGCTTCATTGCTAATGACCTCTGCAGCCTTTGACGCAGCCCAGTGTTTGGAAGCCGCAATTTGTACACCAAAACCAGGATATTCCGATCGATGTGCCTTTGGAAGTGCCCATTCTGCATTTGTAGCCTGAAGAAGAGGAACAGATAGTGCCATCTCACTATAAGTGACATCTGCACCTAGAGTCTTCATCAAGCGACGGTAAGGCAAATTTCCTACAGTAGTCAATGGGGATAAAATCTTTGCATTCTTCAAATTCAATTTTTTCTTCTCCGAGGGTTTGAAAGGCGCTTCGATATAGGTAGCTTGGTTATTTTTCGCTTGTTCTTGGGCTTTGGCTATGTTTTCTTCGTTTTGAACTAACGAGTCGAGATACAGAATCATTTGGTCAGCAAGTTCGAAATTATATTTTTTTTTCTGTAACTCATACTTCTTGTCACTGCTTATCTTATTTACCTCGTAGTTTTCTTCTTCCTTTGCCTTTTCGGCTCTTTTCAAATCTTTTACAAGCTTCTTCGTCTCTCTGTTGTAGTGTGACTTCAACCAGCGACACTTGAGGCCAGCTGGACAGTAACCGATTGCTTCAAACACAGGACAAATTCCATCTATGTCATCTGGCTTCTGCGAAAGGTACTCTTCTACATTATGAGTACTGCGACAATGCTCTGCACCAAATTTACATTCCTTGATATTATCTGGATCAACCAAGGAGGAACATAATCTCACTTCTTCGTGACGTTGTTTCAAATCTCTACCTTTGTTCTGACCCCTATTCTTTTTCTTTTTATTGTCTTTGGGTTTGGTTTGCTCTCTATCACCACCCTCGGCTTCATCGTCATTCACATACTCCTCTACTACCTCAGAGTTTTCAACAATATATTCTGGCTTAATGGGCGCGATTCCGTTACTAAAATGGTCTGAAGAGTTAGGCAAATGGCGCTTCTTTGATTCAGCTTCAGTAATTGGTTCTGCTTGTCTCTTTCCCTCTGTCGTAGTCATGCTCTATTATAGTCCTTGGTAAAAGAGATCAGTTGAATAAAGACGGAATGAAAATTCTCGTGAGTTTGTGTGCGTATGAAAGATGCCTTCGGAAGAATAAATTTAATTATTGAAGGAGCTTGTCTTGCTTGGCTGTAAAACTCTGAACTGGTCCAGATTACGCAATGCTTTTGATCTAGCTACCGATCTTACTTCCTTTAAAGATACTTGGCTCTAACTCATCAAGATGGGCATCTCATCTCTCCAAGGTGTTATATGCAGGAATATTGAATAAGTTTCTAAAATTTTTCGAGTCAATTAGATATTTCATGCGTCAAATTGAAACTGAATATCACAACCTAAAGGATATGTCTGAAGCTGTGGATAAAAGGAGAAAGGTTGATAATGGTATATCGGACGTGTCGAAGCAAAACCCTGTTCGAAAGTCTAAAATTTTCAGTCCTTTTCGAGTACTAGGTAATGTTACGAACGAAACACCATTCGCAGTAGGAAGTTTGGGGTCTACATTTTTCATAGTAACATCGATTGGCAGAGTATTTCAAATATATGATGTTGCAACATTGCATTTGTTGTTTGTCTCGGAAGGGCAAACACCTCTGAAAATAACTTGCTTGTTTGCTCATTATCATTACGTCTATGCTGCGTACGCAAACAAGATAGGAATTTATAAGAGAGGAAAATTAGAGCATACTTTGGTTTGTCCTACTAATAATTCAGTCAATAATATCTTGGTGTTTGGAGATTTCGTTGTAGCTACTACGGCAGAGGGTGAAATTTTTATTTTCAAGAAACCAAAAGATTCGAAAGTTCCAATCCAATTTTATTCTAGTTTAAGTGTCATAAATGCTCAGTTGGATGGCGAAGTAGTTGCAATGATCCACCCCCAAACATATCTTAATAAAGTTGTTGTGGCTACTACAAATCATCTTTTTATTATTAATGTAAGGACAGGCAAGTTGGTATTCAAAACAGCTGCTAATGCATTCAATGAAAGCATATCATGCATAGAAGCAGCTCCTGCTTTGGATATCATAGCCGTTGGTACATCCTCTGGAGGAGTCTACTTGTATAACTTGAAGAAAGGCAGAGTGTTGGGTTCTAGGATCGGAGTATCTGCATCTGATGAATCATCTAAGGTTGTAGCTGTCTCATTCAGAACAGATGGCTCGCTGCATTTGGTAGCTGGTTTATCTTCTGGAGATCTTTTCTTTTATGACTTGTTAAAGAAGAGTAGGATTCATATTTTAAGGAATGCGCATAGAGAAGAGCATGGTGGTATAGCAAACGTGAAGTTTTTGAATGGCCAGTCGATCCTTGTGTCTAATGGAGGTGATAATCATTTGAAAGAGTTTGTCTTTGATCCAACATTGTCGGCATCCAATTCTTCAATCGTTTCTCCCCCTCGTCATTTGAGATCAAGAGGTGGACATTCTGCGCCACCAGTTGCCATAGAGTTTCCCGACGAGAATAAATCCCATTTCATATTGAGTGCCTCTAGAGATAGGTCATTGTGGTCATTTTCATTGAGGAAGGATGCACAAGCTCAAGAATTATCCCAAAGATATCCTAAAAGTAAGAATGGAAAAAGGCAACCAGGACAAGTATCTTCTTTCCGTGAGAAATTCCCCGAAGTCATATCCTTGACAACGTCTCAAGCTCGTGAAGGTGAATGGGAGAATATAATAAGTGCGCATAAAGATGAGACTTTTGCAAGAACTTGGGATTCAAGAAATAAAAAAGTGGGTCGCCATACCCTCGCAACTGTGGATAGTGGTTTCGTGAAGGCAGTTTGTATATCCCATTGCGGTAATTTCGGTATAGTGGGTTCTTCTAAAGGAGGCATTGGTGTTTATAATTTACAATCAGGATTGATCCGCAAGAAATACATTTTGCACAAGAATGCTGTGACTGGCCTTTCTATAGATGGCATGAACCGTAAAATGGTTAGTTGCGGCTTAGATGGTATTGTTGGCTTTTATGATTTCACCCAACTGAAGTATTTAGGCAAATTGCGATTAGATGCCCCTATAACATCAATGATTTACCACAAATCTACAGATTTAGTTGCCTGCTCATTAGATGATTTGACAATAGTTGTGATTGATACATCGACCCAAAGAGTGGTTAGAGTCTTTTATGGTCATACTAATCGGGTAACTAGCATGGATTTTTCACCGGATGGTCGTTGGATTGTGTCTGTGAGCTTAGATGGAACCTTGAGAACTTGGGATTTACCTACTGGGGGATGTATTGATGGAATCATACTTCCAAGTGTCGCCACAAATGTTAGATTTTCTCCTATTGGTGACTTTCTAGCTACTACGCATGTTACAGGAAATGGTATTTTTCTTTGGACAAATAAATCACAGTTTGGACTTGTCTCAACTAGACACATTGACGTAGAAGAATTTGCAACAATGTTGCTCCCAACACCAGCTGGTGATTCTAATGCAAGTATCATCGATGGAGCCTTAGAAAATCACAATAAAGAAGATGTTGAATTTCATGCATCATACACTTCTGTCGACCAAATAGATGAAAAGTTGGTCACACTCTCTGTGGGTCCCAGGTCGAAGTATTCAACTTTAATACATTTAGATGCTATCAAGAAACGTAATAAACCTATTCAGCCGGCAAAGAGACCGGATCAGGCACCATTCTTTTTGTCTTTGTCAGGAAATGTGGTTGGCGATAGGGCATCGGAAGCAGAGGGGCGTACACCTCATTCTAGGGACTTGGACATTCTGGAAGATTCTAGCAGGCTACACAAATTAAAATCAGATGCTCTGCATACTTTCGAGTCCAGGTTCACGAAACTCTTAAGAGAGTGCAGTGAATCGGATGATTATCTGGACTTTTTGAAATACTTGGTTGAGGAATCTCCTTCTTCTGTCAATTTAGAGATCAGATCTTTGAACACATTTCCGCCTTTGAGTGAATTGACTAGCTTTGTTTCTGCCTTGAACCAAGGACTTAGGTCTAACAAAAACTACGATCTTTATCAATCTATGTTTAGCATATTTGCTAAGATACATGGGGATGTCCTTTATTCAAACGATGATACCGATTTGAAGTCATCTCTCGAGAAATGGAACGAATTGAACGAACAGCGTAGTGTCAAAATGGACGATTTGGTAAAATACTGCTCAGGTGTTATAAACTTTTTAACCACTGTATAGTTCAATCAAAAATATAAATATAGCTTAGCTTTACTGTAGATAGCGACATAATGTAACACAAAACTTCGTGCCTAAGTTAATGCGCTTGGTTTATTATCAATCACAATTAAAGTTTAATGAAAGAAACCTACGAGAAATTGAGCTGGCCAACCTGTACCTCGCAAGATGAACATTGACATTTTGACTCCGTCTAATCGAGTTCATTTGTCTTCTAACCAGAAAATATCGGCAATTCATTATTTTCATAGAAAATTGTTCGTGGGATTTTTTAATGGTGACTTGAGTATTTATTCGACTCCCATCGGTAAGACTGAGTATGACAGAACAACAAGTAGATCTTTGAAATCGGCGAAGTCAATTAGTGAAATACATGGGCTATTTAACAATGATGACCAATCTCAGAAAATTACGTTGGACAATACTTTCAAAAATGCTTCCCGGGACCAATCTGGTATTACTAGAATCGAATGTCTCCAAGTGCTAGAAGGGGACAACAGGAATATAATTATATTGGCTAGCAATGACTCAATCAAAGTTTTTGAGCGCGTTGGCTACCATTTGAACTTCATTGCGGATCTCGAAGACACTAAGAATTTTACTGACTTTTATTGTTTCTGCTCACAAGAGAGAAAATTGATCATAGTTGGGGTTAAGAAGAAGTTGATATTCTATCTGTTGAAAAAAAAGTCACGTAACATTATTCAGGTATTTAAGATAAAAGAGTTGACATTTAAAGATAAAATAAAGGCTATAGGATCTAGCTCAAGCCAAAATATGTGTTGGATTATCGTGGCTCTTACAAGCGATTTTTTTGTAGTTGATGTTGACGACGATTTCAATTTTGAACCTTTGGCTTACAATGATACATTGTCTGGCTTTAGCCACTCAAATTCTTTCAGCTATTTTGGTTTGTCTTCATCAGGCCCCAAAACCTGGATACTTAATGCCTCCCAGGATAAGGTACTACTTGTGAAGGACAATCAAGTTGCAGTTTCAATCAGGAAAGAGAAAACATTCTCAATTTCATCCGTGCCAATAAAGTTTTCAGTGGCTCCATTATACATTGCATTTATTTACCCATTATACCTTTTAGTAGTATATAATAAGAAACTTGAGGTTCTTGATGTTGACACTGGGTACTTGATTCAAAAGTTCCATCATCATTTAAATTCTGGCCAGATTCAAGTTACTTTTGAGAATGAGTCGTTCTTTTTAGGTTCTGGAACTGATATCCTAGAGTTTAATATATTGGCATATCAAAAACAAATTGATCAATACTTGAGTATAAGTGGAAAGGACTCCTCATCAAAAGGAGCGAGAGATCCTCATAATGACTTGAAATATATAGGGCTAGAGAAAGCTATATCACTCGTATCCAAATTGAGTGCTAGTTGTTCTTTCTTTGAGGGATCGAATATTGAACCAATGAAGAAAAAGCAGTTGATTTTGCGTGACTTATATAAATCGAAGGCTTTCCTCTTGTTCGAATCATATTCAAAGTTTCATGAATCCCTAGTTGAAATATGTTCTGAGTGGTTGATTGCGTATACTGATGTTTTAGACTTGTTTCCAGATTTCATTCACTGGAATAATTCTCCTTCTAAGATACAAAGTGACACTGAAAGCATTAGCTCCATTAATTATAATATTGTAAAGCGAATTTCTTTAAAAGATCTTCAGCATTCCAAAGAGACACTAGGGGAATCGGGAACGGAAAACGAAGCTCTTGAACGTCAGAGTCTAAAGTCTGGCAATATTGTAACAGGACGAGCTCAATCAAATCTAATGAAGTCTCAGAATGTCAGGAAGTTTAAAAAAGCGGTTTTCAATTTAATCATATACTTAACAGATCAGAGAAGAATTTTATCTACTTTTTTAGATGACCCCAATTCCACTTTAGCTTGGAAGGGCCTTGATATTACTCCATATGATATCTATCCACATATTGACTCTCACGACTTGACTCTGGAGCTTACTAAGATTGCAGAAGACATAGATACGACCTTGTTTTTATGTTATTTTCACACCAAGCCTATGTTGATGGGTCCCCTTCTTAGATTACCCAATAATCATTGTAATACGTTGATTGTGAATGATTACTTGCTCTATAACCTACATAACCATAATGAGCAGGGCCCTGTTTTCATCAAAGAGTTATTAGACTTTTATTATGGTAGAGGATTACACAAGGATGCTTTGCAAATGCTCTACGAGTTAAGTCACCATAAACCTCAAGACCACGACAATGAATTTGATGACTTTCTTTTGGAGCCTACTCTTACTATCCAGTATTTAAGAAAATTGTCAAATGAGCATTTGGATCTTATTTTCGAGTATTCGAAATGGGCAATTCAAGAAAATCCGAAGACAAGCATGCAAAACAGTGAGCTAATCTTTATGAATGATTCCTACGAGTGTGAAAGTTATAATTGTAACAAAGTATTAAAATATTTCCTTCATGATATCAAAAGCAACGAAATGGCTATTCGATACTTGGAATGGTTAATTTTCGATAGCGAAATTATTGATATATCTGAGAAACAGCACGAAAAGTCTAGATTTCATACAAAGCTTTGCCTTTTATACTTGGAAGAATTATTGAACGTTAGCGAAATATCGAAATCTCCTTATTATGAGAAGCTATGTAAGTTTCTCCAAACCACCAATAGCTATGAGCCTTGGACGGTTTTGAAAAATATACCTACTAATGAGGATGAGTATCTCAGGCTTACTGTCTTTGTTTACAAAAGACTAGGAGAACATGAGAAGGCGATAGATGTCTATTTCAATCAGCTTAACGACTTGGATCTGGCAATGAAATATTGCTCTGAGATTTACAGGCAGCCAAACAACGAGCATGTTGGACAACTGCTCTTGCACAAGCTCCTAGAAGATCTCTTGACACATTCAGAAGAAAACATAGATCGAATCGAAATTTTATTAAATTTACAAGGTTCCAAGATGTCTGTCGTAAAGACTCTCGCTGCGTTGCCTAATTCGTTTCCCCTTTCCAGTGTTGCTGGTTTCTTGACTGAGAATTTGAGGAAAACTACAGAAACTTTACATGATACAAGAGCATATAGCCAGTTATATAAAGTTGGCATGATAAAATTGCAAGATGAGTTGTTGACATCCCAGAGTAAAGGTTACTCGATTGAGTCTGGAAGAGAGTTATGTCCGATATGCAACAAAAGATTGGGGTATGGCATATTCACGGTTGATAAAAAAGATGACGTTGTCCACTATGGCTGTTACCAAAGGCTTAGAGACTCTAATAGCATATAAATTAGCATTGATATATTCATAGTATTAGTGATTTTGTAGTGTAAACGTGGTCGTGCGTCAGGATAAAGATATCCTAAACTAACTGAAAATTAAGATACAAACATCTTGGTGTTAGGTGTGCTCGGTCAAGAGAAGCCTGGCCTCTTTATAAGAACAATGTCACTGCCTAACAATTCGAAAGACCTACCTGAATCGAGGTCTATGGCTGATAATTCTAAAGGAAGTTTTAAACTTCCTCCAATTTCGTTTTTATCACATCAACAACAGACAAACCAACTCCCTCTGGCTTCCAATTTGGGGATTATCAATTTCATGAGTGCTGAAACGAAAAATCAGCCCAAAGAGCTTGAGCATATTGATAAGAAGGTTAAGCTTGAAGGTATCAATGAGAAAAAAATACGTGATGCCAATGATAACCAATATTCGTCGGATCCTGGTCTTGGGTTTGAGACAACACAATCCGAAAAAAGGGAAGATAATGGTAACTCATCTGACCCGGGATCCGCTGAGCAAGGAAATATAACTACAAATACAGGTGAAAAGGTGTCAAATACTATTTCGACGAATCTGGACTCTCAAAATAGGAATAATTTGGATCTTCGTCATCATCATCATCACCACCACCACCATGCAGTGGGCCCTCATCATCACCACCATCATCATCATCACCACTATCATGGGGATGAAGAGAAAAACAATCCACAGGATACTATAGAAGGTACTTCAGATACAAATAACTCCCCGGCTCCGTCATTAAATAACGACGAAGGAAATGGAAACCATAAAGATACACGGGGTCTGATTTCTGTTTCTCCCGCTAATAATGGCTCGAAAGATAAAAATGAAATATCAAGTGTCTTAAAACAGAAATCTATCGAGAAATATAGAGGTCTGGTAAAATTAAACAAAGGGCCCATTATAGATATCATCAAGGAATATTTTCCTGAAAGGCGTAACTTAGGGTCATTAGTGTACAATCCCACAACCAGCTGGCTAACCTTACAAACTGATCAATTAACGGGGTTAAAACCAGAACATCACGAACGATTTAATGAGATAAAAAGAAACTATTTGGATATTCTTCAGGATAAACGTAATGCTCCGCCCACCAAACTTATTCCGGTTATACCACCACTACCTACTGAATATGTGAATTCTATAATTGAGATTAAGATACCTTTTAGGTTCGTTAAATTCTTTAAAGAAAACATGGAAATGCACGAGGGTTACGTTAAGAATAGGAACCTTTGGGGAGGAGCTAGTGGAGTCTATACCGATGATTCAGATATTTTAACAGTGCTCGTTCACTTAGGCTTATTTAGTGATTCTATCGATTTATCTGAATGGAACGTCGAGTGGACTTCTTCTGATTTCATACGACCCTTAAATTCAAATGGTGACTTTATAGGGGATTTGTCAGTTGAGGTGTTATTACTTCCTTCCTTACCAGAATATCATGGATTTTTCGCTAATGGTGTCAATTCCAGGTCTTGGTTGGGCGTCGATAAGCATGACGGTCAATCAATAGCTGTATACAATGTCAAGTGGGAAAATTACGGAGCATTTTTGCAGAACCCCAATATTTTTAAGCAATACCAATTGGAGATGAGAAATGATGAATTCATCTCGAAACAGGAAGCAAGAGAGCAGGAAGGTTGGAAATTTGATTATAAGTACTTCAAGAAGCTCAAACAAAAATACGAAAACCAAGAAAATAAGTCGGTGCTCCTGGAAGGTGTTTCTTAGGTGCCTTGAGCTATTGCATCGCAGAATCATATCTCGATTGCCTGTCTAGATTAATTTGTATTTTAGTGAACATACTTTTGAAAACTTGTCTACCTGTATATAAACTTGAGTCACTTACAAAGTGTTTGATATGTCTCTCATCGACCTAATCTCTTTCGCTTAATACATATCCACTATCAGTTTAGTAATGAATAAAAGGCTCTAGAGCCACTGATTATACTATTTGTCCAAAGATCCAAAGAAACAGTTTTTCATCTTTGGTATCCGGCTTATATAGGTGTCAGTCTATCTGTGGTGGTGAGGCTCATAAATTTAGTAGTCCGACCAGAAACTACCATCTGGCCTCTCATATTAATGACTTATGCTTATCTGACATCCAAATCAGTATCAGTAAGAGAAACCTCAAGCACTAGGTTAGCCAAAAAACAGCACGGTAAGCTTTCAAGCTCTTCAAAAATTAGCGACAAAAAGCCAAGACGAGGTATAGGTGGGTTCTTCAAGAAGATATCTCTTGAACTAAACTTGATCTTTTTGAGAGTCAAATCCTTTTCGGAGGAAATATTTGAACCAGACGAAACGGGAGACCTATTTATTGATGAAAATTCGGGAGACCATTTCGATCAGTTGTTAAGAACCCACCAAGGACATAATCTGACTGAAGAGAAATTTCTAGAGCAGTATCTGAAGTATAAAAGTTTAGACAAAATGTCTGAAGCAGCACAAGAGTCCAACATCAGCGAGCAATTTGGAAGCGAAAACTCGACCCAGACAGGCAGATGCAAGTTGGAAGATTTAATACGACTAGTTGATGCAGATAATGAGGATGATGATGATGATGACGATGTAGAAAGTATGATGGACGACAATATATCTTACGCTGATTTTGATGTACGCAAAGTAAGAGAAGCGCTTGAAAATAAAGAGGCTAATGATAGCTCTGCCAAATCGACGGTGACCTTACAGACAAGCCAAACGAACCAAGGAGATGTCGGAGAAAAATTATGGGAGATTAGGAGAAGACTATGGGTCAGTCCTAAAAATTCTGAGAGGGACATCAAACAAAGAATTAATAATCTGGCAGTTACAAATCTTTCAAGTGAATTGTACATTAAAGTCTACAGCAACTTAATCGACAAAGGAAAGCGTCTCAAGGACGATAAAAGAATTAATTTAGCAGACTTAATTAAAGTAATCAACTGTGGGTGGATAGCTGAAGAAAAATGGGAGAGAGCAGCTAAGGGATTAGCATAATTTCGTATATGTCTTGAAATATATAGTAATAAGAACTACATGTCTAGACTGCTCTCATTCGTATTTCGTTCTTGAACTAAACTCAATGTTTTCTCTAATATCCTCAAGTCTTGGTCTATGGATTCTATGCGGCCCTGTAGCTTGTTGAAACTTTCGAAGATATTTAAATTCTGCAACATTTTGTTAATAAGCTTGGAGAGATCTTCCTTCTCTGTAAGCAAGTTACTAAATTCATCAAATGTATCTCTTAGCTGATCGTTTATTTTCCCGTCAAGTTGAGTTATAGTCGAATACTTGTTGCATAATTCACTATCGCTATTCTCCAACAAGAATGCCACTGATTTTGATAATTCATCAGATAAACCCTTTGATCCAAGCAGCAATTGCCGTTGGTTTTGTTTGGCCTTTTGTATAAAGTTATTATGATCCGCCATTCTCTGATATTACTTCATTACTTATTCACTAAGTTGTTTTGATTTTGGTCAGTAAGACACCGAAAGTTTTATAAGTGCTATAATGATAATCTAATCTCGATTATATTTATCTACATCCATGCACAATTTATATCTGAAAATTAATAGAAACATATCAAAATATTGAATTCACATGATATGATAACTAAGAAGGTTGTCTCTCTGGACGATTTGTTCCTTATACTGCCCTCGGACCTTAGTATACAGCCAAGTTTGGTTGATCTAGAAGAAGCGTTAAAATCGACCTCTACTGGTAGGGATAGAATAATCGACTTAACGTGGCATTTAATACAAAATCAAGAGTTATCGCTAGATGAGACATTGAAGCTATGGGAGATAAGACTCACTCTATTATTGTTTAATAGTCAATTGAACATTGCAAAGAAGGAAGCAATTAACCTCAACAATGCGTTATACTTAAGCGAAGATGATAGTAATTCAACCTCAAGTTCTACGAACAGCTTAATGCCTATATACCCTTTACCCAAGAATAATGATAAAATTCTTGATTACAATTTATTGACCTTATTGATCAGGTTAAAATCAATTCCTAATTTGAACTTGGTCAATGAAATATATAAATTGACGTACCAGCTTCGATTGAAGTACAAAGGTAATTTGATTTACAAAAAGCTTATCAATTTAAGCTATGATGTCATGGTTATCTTAATTATCAATAAGAATTATTTGACATTAATCAACTTGTTAGGCTCTATCATTCATGAATTAGAAATATATCCGGAAAGAGACCACAATAATTACCATTCCAATGTTTTACTTGTATATATTATAGTGAAAGCCTACATGTTCCAGGATGTATCCCAACTTGTTTCAGAGTGCAAAGAAACTTTTTCTGGGGTTAATAGGTTATCTAAGATGGCATTATACTTTGTATTGAAGTCCATTTCTCCACGTTTGACTTTTCCCAATGAGAAAGAGACAATGGCTATACTCCCTCCTAGCGAAGATTTTTCTATCGACTACCTAGCTACTGCTGTCTCTAAAGGTGACATTTCCACTCGAATAATATGTTCCGCTATGGGAATGTGGGATCTAATAAATAGATTTGACTTTCAGTTACTGTCTGACCCAGATATTTCCTTCACAGATCCACATTTGACTCAGGAGTATGAGGGTGATATGTCAGTTGTAGAGTCTTGCTACAGGCTCGTTAATACCCAGTGGGCAGGTCAATTTCAGAAAGTCTATGGGCTTGAGTGATGATCACAAATGCTGATTTTTGACTTGATCGAGTATGATTGATATTGCTATATCTTTGCGAGAGAAGTGGTACTATAGTTGTGAATTTGTTCTGGTAGAGTTCTTGATATTGCCCAAGTCATACTAAGTGCTAATGAATTCATTCCTGTATAATATGCACATTTGAGGGCTAAACCCTAATCGGCTCGTTTGTGCGGTGCACGGTAGATTGAGTACACAAAATTGATTTTTCACTATAGGGTCGGTTTGGAAAGATTTTTTCACTTTACATTAAAGGTAATAGTAGTTTGATATTTTAACTAATCATTAATAGGTAGATAAATCAACGAAAATGGCTTTGCAAGACGTTGTTACCCGTGAATATACTATCAACTTGCACAAGAGAGTATGTAATTTTGATTAAGAAGCGTTTAAATGGCGAAGACCGTGAAGTAGAACAGACAATAATGACTATGATATCATGGTAACACACATGAAACAAATAAAGGATTAATTTGGTGAGAGGGAATAGTTGGTTGATGTTTCATTTGTTTGGCAGAATGATATAATGATTGAATAGTACTCCAGTGAGATGAGGATCCTTTTAAAATTAACCGAAATAAGAACGGAAGCAAAGTTGTACTCAATGTATCGGTCCCCGTCCTATCACGCATTAGATGACTTTTGAATCAATATACTAACAACCATTTAGTTGCATGGTGTCAACTTCAAGAAGAGAGCCCCAAAGGCCGTGAAGGAGATCAAGAAGTTTGCTACTTTGCATATGGGTACTACTGACGTTAGATTAGACCCAAAGTTGAATGTTGTCATCTGGAAGAGAGGTGTTCAAGGTGTTGAACCAAGATTAAGATTGAGAATCTCCAGAAAGAGAAATGACGAAGAAGATGCTAAGGAAAAGTTGTTTGCTTTGGTCGAGCCTGTCAACGTGCCAACCGCTAAAGGTTTACACACTGTTGTCGTTGACGAAGATGAAGCTTAAATATAATTTATCCACCTTAATGTATAAGTAAAACACTGGTCAATACACATCTGTAAAATCGTGAATCAAAACGTAGATTTATTAAAGATCATATATATTACATAAACATGTTCACTGAATACGCATTAGTATCAATTGTTAGATAAGCATAAGTCCAGTTTATTTTTCGATCAGTGTAACTATGACAAAGTACCAGGTCATTGCAGCGGAAGTAAATGTTAGACCAAAACGGTAACGAAGCTTCCTTGTAGCTCTTTTATTGGTACAAAAAGATTAAATTCTTCATCATCTTCGAAATTTTCATTAATCAAGGACGTGGATATTCGTATCCAAACTATGCTGAGGTATTTAAAGCTCCCATACTTACATTTCAATCTAAGACATCAATTTGAAATGCCTGGCTAAACTAAAGTCAAATTTTTATCTCGAACTCTATATATGTACCTATATGTGTGCGGGTAAATTTTTCTCTGATGGTCCTCATTACAAACTTGAGCTGAACAAGTCTTTCTACTTATGATAATTGAATAACAAAGAAGGCATGTGCTAAAGCTGAAACTGTTTCCTAATCCCTCTTATTTAATATTGTTTCTTTATCGATTCAAAAGGAATTGAATAAATGTACATACATACGATTAAGAAAAAGGCGTCTTTATTTTTATGTTGTCGATACATACAATTCAGCCTGGGCCAGGATATCTAGCAACCATTCAATTTTGTTTAATTTACTTGTAACAGCAATTTCTGAAATATGAGCCAATTGAAATGGAAGGTGCTTGCGTTCTATATCTTTCGAGGCTTGTCGCTAGACTAGGTTGATTACCACAATTAATTGTATCTTGTACCACATCAAGTAGCTTTCAGAACTCAGTTTCAATGCTGAACTCAGCATGCTTCGTAGTCTCTCCTTTGATGGATTTCCTTCTGTTTTTTTGCATCATTTTGTGGAAAAAAGTAGACCCCACAAAAACTTGATGCTCGTGAAATTATCCGAGGGAAATGTTAGCGTCACATAATTTAGACTATGACAACGAGTAATATTTAATAGTATTAACGTTAAGGAAGAAAGAGTAAATAGGTGATCTTCCACATAACATGATTTCAGCGTCTATTCCTAAGACAGAATTGTCTTCCATTTCAGCGCTGGCAAGTGTTGAAGTTGTAAGTGACTTGGACACTAATAGATACGATGAAATAGAACTTTCAAGAGACTTATTTAATTTAATATTCCCTGGAGGAGAAACAGTGGAAGATAAATACGTTTTAATTGAGCTATTGGGCTCAAAAGCATTCGAAAAGTATAACATCTTCAAGATAGATAGCATTGATATGGAAAAGACTGGACATGTAGTCAGATTCTTTAATAATAGTCGCTTCAACAGATTCAATAGCCAGATCACTATCAAGGATTGTCACATAGAATCATTGATTTGGAAAGTCATTCCGCCATTGGAACGGATTTATGTTCTTGTCCCAGATACCATGTATTCAATTCTTATAAATGAACCGAAGGATCTAGTTAGACATCAGTTTTCTACTAAGTTTTTGAAGCGTAAAGTGGTTAATACTGGAGACGTTATAAGAAGTATAAATGGAGAAGTAAAGCTATGTGAACCCTTTGACCAAGGTGCGATCGATTCCAATACCGAAATCGTTTTCATTAAGAAAGAAAATGATGAGCTTAACGATGTTCAGGGAACAGAAGACGATTACAATAATTATAGTGAAGATGATGATTCCATTGATAGAAGTCTTTCGGAGCTTGATTTATCAACATATTTATCAGATGGTTTTTCGGAAGCTATAAGCAAGAGATTCCAAGTCAACCCATTATCAAAGAAAATATCAATCACTCAATTCCCCAACAAATGGCAAAAAGAGGATAATGAATTATTTGTCTTTATTAATTCTGATGATTTGATGAAATTGAATTTTCCGCTCTTCAATGGAGATTGTGCAAAACTTGTCACTGATTCTGACGAAGAACTACTCGTTAAAATATTCACCTTCTTGGAGCCCAATCCTTTCGAATCTGGATTTTTATATTTGTCTCCCATTATTTCCATTAACTTGGGTTTAACTGCAAACTCTACAATAAGAATCAAGCCGATATCTCATCCTGATACTTTATTGTCAAACCAAATACCGATAGCCCAACAAGTCACTATATCTAGAATTGCATCTTCCATCACTATGGATAAGACATACCAGCAGCATTTTTTTTCGAATTTGAAATATTTACTTAACAACCAACTAAAATGCATCAAGGTTGGTGATGTTATTCCAGTTGTTATTGATTCTGTTTTGTCCAAAACCATGTTTGATTTGGAATCAGATGATGACACTGTCCCTATCGGTAATCCTGATGCTATAGCTTGGTTTCAAATTGTTGATATCGTAAGAGGAAATGAGGATCTGACGACCGGACAGTATTTGATTGATTCTTCGAAGACTAAATTAATATCTTCAGGAGTTGAGTTTATCCGCCTACCTAAAAATGAGTTTCATAATTGGTATTCGTATTTCGATTTACCACCAGTATTTAATTTTAACAAATTTGTTAGCCTGAAGGATTTCTCGTATGCTTCAGAACTCAGAAAAATATTGAAAACAAGCTTGAATGCTAAGGTGAATACAACGATCTTATTAAATTCTTTTTCTAGAGGGGCAGGAAAGTCGACTTTGGTCAGGAACTTATCCTTGGAGTTAGGATTGAATTTATTAGAACTTGACTGTAATGAAGTAATTAATCCTGGTCAAGAATTGAAGACAATAGGGTTATTGAGTGGTAAAATAGATAAGATTTTAAATGGCTTCCCTGAGAATAGTTCAGAGAGTGTAACGGTCATATATTTGAAGCATATTGAGAATTTGTGTGTTGAAAAAAATGTAAATGATCAAAACTCTAGCTTATATACTTCAGTATCATTAAGAGTTGCAAAATTGTTGAATTCATATCTTAGCAGATTTCCATCTAACGTATTGGTGATCCTCAGTTGTAATGATTTTGATAAATTAAATAATAATGTTAAGCTGACTGTTAAGTTCAAAATCGATGTTTCTATACCAACTGAATCTGAAAGAAGAGAAATATTCAATTTTTTATTTGAAAACTATTTGAATCATGATGGTTCCTTCTATGGCGACCATTATTCTATTAGAAATGATGTTAACTTTGCCTCTCTATCATTACAATCGGCTGGTTTAAACCCTCTTGATTTAATTTCAATTATTAGAAATGCTAAAAAGGCAGCAACAAGAAGAGTCACAGAATTATCTAAGTCGCTCAAAATATCCGTGGCAGATTTGATAAGAATTGGGGATGGTGGTAGCATTGTGATAATACCAGAGGATTGCAATGTTGCAATCAATGATGCGAGAAATCAATTTAGCGACTCAATCGGAGCTCCAAAGATCCCGAATGTCAAATGGGAAGATATAGGAGGTTTGGATTTAGTCAAAGACGAGATTTTGGATACCATCGACATGCCATTGAAATACCCTGAGTTGTTCAACAACGGCTTAAAAAAAAGAAGTGGAATATTATTCTATGGCCCTCCAGGTACGGGAAAAACTCTCTTGGCGAAAGCGATAGCCACAAACTTTTCATTAAATTTTTTCAGTGTGAAAGGGCCCGAGTTGTTGAATATGTATATTGGTGAATCGGAAGCTAATGTAAGAAAAGTATTTCAAAGGGCAAGAGACGCAAAACCATGTGTCATTTTCTTCGACGAGCTTGACTCTGTAGCTCCAAAGAGGGGCAACCAAGGTGATTCTGGAGGTGTCATGGATAGAATTGTATCGCAATTACTTGCAGAATTGGATGGTATGAGTAGTGGTGATGGTGATGGTGTCTTCGTCGTTGGTGCCACTAATAGACCGGATTTATTAGATGAGGCCCTCTTAAGACCTGGGAGATTTGACAAGATGTTATACTTAGGGATCTCTGATACTGATGAGAAACAAACTAAAATTTTGGAGGCATTGACGAGAAAATTCAAATTAGATTCCGAAGTTGACTTGAATAAGGTCACTAAAGAGTGCTCTTATAACTTGACTGGAGCTGACTTTTATGCATTGTGCTCTGATTCAATGTTGAACGCAATGACTAGAATCTCTAAAGAAATTGATACAAAGTTAAACGACTTTAATAATGCATTGGAAGAGCAGGGAAAAGAAGAAGTGTCTATTCGGTGGTGGTTTGACAATATTTCGACAGAGAAGGATACTCTCGTTGTTGTCAAAATGGAGGATTTTGAAAAAGCTCAGAAGAATTTGATTCCATCAGTCAGTATCGATGAGCTCAACCATTATCTTCGAATCAGGGAAAACTTTGAAGGTGGTAAAGATGAGGCCCAAAAGTCTGCAAGAGAACAAGAATCCAAATAGATATGTACATTTGCGATCTTAAATCGCTTTTGCTATTTCTTATTCAGCTTGGACAATTAATTAAACTTCAATTAGTCATTTTTCATCATTAAACATGTAGCTCTTTTCTAAAATATCTTTGGCTTGATTGATCTTTTGTGCAAGGTATACGCTACCATGCTTGTCTGGATGGTTTGCCACCATCATTTCTCGATAACGCTTCTTTAAGTCATTTTTACGCAAATGCATAATGTCTTCAGGATTAATACCTAGTATCTGAAGTGCTTCCTGTTCCGTCATTCGCTGCTGGAAGCCTACTCTTTGAGGAAATGCTTTTAATATCTTGAGATGTTCTTGATAGTGAGGATGTGTTTTATCAAGACTAGTTTCTCTATTTAATTGAATATTATTTAACGAGGCAATCATTTGTGGCGTTAGATGAATAAACTTTCTATAAGCTGCAACTGTAGACTTCGCCGTAAGTGCTATGATTGTGACCCCTACTCCAATGATTATGGGAACGACCATGTTCCGCCTATTATCCTGTCTATTGCATTAACTATTTTATTAAAGGTGGTGCCTTTCAAGTGCGATTCTAATGGTCGAATAATATCAAAAAAAATGTTCCGATCTAAGTTTTGTTGCAAAAATGCCATTCAAAACACCCATGACTATAAATTGGACGGTATCCCCTATATGTCTATAATTGGGATTTAATAAGCTCTGAACGATTGGATGCTATGTAAATAACTATCTTGACTCCAAAATACAGCAGTGGCATATGTGCTAAAAGGGACTTAATACTCTTAGAAGAACGTGGGATAAGTTTCGGTGGCTAAGAATAGCGAAAACTTTCTTCGGGTATTTGTGACTAACATGCTTCATCCACCGGGCCGTCCATTGGATTAAGGGGAACTATAATTCTTCATGTCTGAAAAAATTAATAAGAAAAATCAATAAGATTTTCAGTATGTCTACAACACATATTTACTTAGTTGCAGGGAGAATTCAGTCACTTTCGAGCTACGATAGGTATGATTTGCTTTCGCAAGGCATCAAGCTTGGCACCTTTGCTTGACAGTTGATGTGTCAGGGACTGGTAGTTATCTCTTATCGTCCGGAACACAAAACTGCAGCCGGCTCACATTCCACCGGAGATGTTCCAGGAACTCTGCCAGGTGAAAAATTTATAGGGCAACCTATAACTACAAAAGAAGGAACATTCGGGAAACAGAAGTCAGTACAGCAACTTTCAATTGATAATTCATAAACCCATAAATTGTCATTCTTGATAAAATCTCCGTTTATAAGTTCTTATACAACAGCATCAAAGCTCAAGAAAGTAAGCAATAAATCAAAGCAAACATGTCGTACGCAGCATTATCTTGGTTGACCAAATTGAACACCATGGACACACCTGACGAGGTTTTACGTCGTTCGTCTATCATTGGAACCATCGGTCCAAAGACCAACAGTGCCGAAGTTATGGTTAAGTTGAGAAAAGCTGGTTTGAACATTGTTCGTATGAACTTTTCTCATGGCAGTCATGAATACCATCAATCCGTAATCGACAATGCAAGAAAATCAGAAGAACTTTATAAAGGTAGACCATTGGCTATTGCTTTAGATACTAAAGGTCCAGAAATTAGAACTGGTACCACTGTGGGAGAGAAGGACTATGCAATCCCTCTTGGTCATGAAATGATTTTTACCACTGATGACGCTTACAGTCTCAAGTGCGATGACAAAATAATGTACATTGATTACAAGAACATTACTGGTGTCATTTCTCCTGGTAAACATATTTATGTTGATGACGGTGTTATATCTTTCGAGGTATTGGAGGTTGTCGACAATAAGACGTTGAAAGTTAGATCTATCAATTCAGGTAAAATTTCGTCTCATAAGGGTGTCAATTTACCAGGTACAGATGTTGATTTACCAGCTTTATCGGAAAAGGATAAGAGCGATCTCGAATTTGGTGTCAAAAATAAGGTTCATATGATCTTCGCTTCTTTTATTAGGACTGGACATGATATTAAACAAATTAGAGAAGTTTTAGGTGAAGAAGGTAAGCAGATCCAAATCATTGCTAAAATTGAGAACCAACAAGGTGTCAATAATTTCGATGACATCTTAAATGAAACTGATGGAGTTATGGTAGCAAGAGGTGACTTAGGTATTGAGATTCCAGCTCCTCATGTTTTTGTTGTACAAAAACAATTGATTGCCAAATGTAACTTGGCAGCAAAGCCTGTTATTTGTGCGACACAGATGTTAGAATCGATGACTTATAACCCGAGACCTACAAGAGCCGAAGTCTCAGACGTCGGTAATGCTATTTTGGATGGTGCTGATTGTGTCATGTTGTCGGGTGAAACCGCCAAGGGTAACTATCCTTTTGAAGCTGTTTCAATGATGCACAATACTGCTCTCATTGCTGAAAAGGCTATTGCTTATTTGCCTTTGCATAATGAAATTAGATCGTTAGTCAAAAAGCCAACACCAACAACAGAGACTTGTGCTGTGGCTGCTGTATCTGCTGCTTATGAGCAAGATGCTAAGGCAATCGTAGTCTTGTCTACTTCCGGTTTGACTTCCAGATTAGTCTCTAAATACAAGCCAAATGTTCCTATCATGATGGTTACCAGAAACGACACTGCTGCAAGATATTCTCATTTGTACAGAGGTGTCTATCCATTTATATATCCTCATGATAAAGTTGAGAACTGGCAAGAAGATGTTGAAAACAGATTGAGGTGGGCTGTCTCCGAAGCTATTGACTTGGGAATAATTAAAAAGGGTGACCCTATTGTTACGATCCAAGGTTGGACAAGAGGTTCTGGTCACTCGAACACCGTTAGAGTTGTCCAAGCATAGATAACTTTAAACTCCCTTTATAAGTCTAAATTAGTGTTTTGTCTTTTATTCGTTCTATAATTAAAAGCAAGTTAATGATACGTAGTTTAAAATTGATTTGATCTATTCTTATACCCGTAAAGTGTAGTGTACAGAAAGGTCGACTTTTAAAAATTATGTCCTAAAGGAAATTCAAACCTACTAATAAAGAAATACCTTTAGGCAAATTGAGTAATGAGTCAAAGAGCTATAACAAGGACTCTCCTAGGAGGCAGCAGGTCAATTGGGTTTGGAGTAAGGTACTTTTCTTCGGGACATGATCCGAAAGAAACTACCCATTTTGGTTATAAAACTGTCGATAAAGATGAGAAGGAAAATTTGGTTAGAGGCGTCTTTTCCTCCGTAGCATCAAATTACGATGTGATGAACGACTTCATGTCAATGGGAATTCACCGTTTGTGGAAAAACCACTTCATCAATAGACTCGATGCTGGTATGAGACCTGGTAGCAATCAGCCATTGGAATTCCTTGATGTGGCAGGTGGTACTGGTGATATTGCCTTTGGGCTATTGGACCATGCAGCTAGGAGGTTCAATGACAAGTCTAGTACCATGACTATAGCTGATATCAATCCAGACATGTTGCATGAAGGTAAGCTCAGATACGAAAAAAGCAAATGGAATGACGGCTCCAACAGAGTTAGTTTTATTGAGCAAAATGGAGAGACGATGGGGGACATTCCCAGTAATTCCAAGGATGTATATACCATAGCATTTGGCATTAGAAATTTCACTAATATTCAAGCCGGTTTGGACTCAGCTTATAGAGTGTTAAAACCCGGTGGAATATTTGCTTGTCTAGAGTTCAGTCAAGTTGAGAATCCTGCGCTTGATTATGTATATCAAGCGTATTCATTTTCTATACTTCCATTGCTCGGTCAGTTAGTTGCGAATGATAGAGATTCTTATCAATATTTAGTCGAGAGTATTCGGAGGTTTCCGAAGCAAGAAGAGTTCAAATCTATGATTGAAAAAGCTGGGTTTTATGTTCCTGAGCCAGGTTATGAAAACTTGACGTTCGGTGTCGCTGCAATCCATATTGGTGTTAAGATCTGAAAACCTATACGAGTTTTATCATCTTGTATATATATCATTATTCTATAAAATATAGCTTAGAGTTGCAGGAATATCTTCTGTCAAACTTAGTCCTTTTATGAATTTTTCAGATGCGGATTCGACTTCCATTTCATCTTCCGACGAGACAACCTTAGATATCTGTCCATTAGAAATTTTTAGTTTGGCTGCAATAATTCCACTTATTGATATGATTATGTCATTATTTTCTGATTCAAGGTTCACTTCATCTAGTGATATCACGAGCTGATTATCTGAAGTAGTTTCGTCGGTATCATCATTCATGAAGCTGTCCAAACTTGGCATCATATTCGTTTTAGTATCAGTGATCACATTCAACGCAAGAAGTTCTTCATCCGTTACATTATTCGATAACTTTAACGTTTCTTTCAATTTTTTTTTCATTTCGGAGCTGAGTTCATCTAACATTATATCAGATCTTTGATCCTTATTATCGTTATCTCTGTCATCAAAGGACACAGCTGCAACACTTTTAATTAAATTTTCAAATACCAAAAAGTTTCTAAACAATGATAGCAAATTCTTTATATCATGAATTGTTTTTAAAGAAACTTGCCTTACTGGAACAAACTGAGATACCAACTGTGTTGTTATGTTGATTTCAAGTTTAGATTCTTTAATATTTACAGGATATTTCAAGTCGGAACCACTATTCAAGGTTGAGAAGTAGCCCGTAGCTTCTGAGCGATCATTCTCATGGTCTTCATTCAGTTTAAATTCCACATTATGATACTCAAGTACTATATTGGGAATAAAAACTGGACTAGAAAGATTTAAAGTTATGATCCAGCTATTCAGGGTATCCTTGTCCGATGAAGTATTGAGATGTTCTTCATTGCTTTCATAATCAAACTGATACTTTGTAAGCTCATCATGTGGACTTTGTAACTTCCATACGTCAGTTTTATTCTCTTGCAAATAGTTTATCGGACTACCAACATGTGAGTCAACCCCAATTAATGCACCATAATTCCTTCTCATTGTCGAATTGTTATCCTGAGTCTTCATCTCATGAGCCACAAATCTACTGTCTTTCCAGAACTCGATGAAAAGCCCTATGCGGTTTCCCTCTTTATCGTTAGAGATGATATTACCGACGCTATTGCATAGTCCTTCTTTTATTTCCCAAATGTCCTCATTGATTCCCTCTAACGATTGAACAGTTTTCAAAATCAAACCCACCTTGTTTATAAAGCTGAACAAGTTTACATCTGCAGTGGAGAGTCTATCCAATAACGCTAAGTACCTCAAGTTATTCGGAAATTTGCCCAATCTTGTGCCTTGTAAACTACTAAATAAAATAGACTCAGCCATCGATTGCTCTTCATCTGCATTCTTCTTGAGTATAGACATCTCATTATTTTCATTTAAATCTATGTTGATAACTTTTATATCTTCTCTTTGGCTGATTCTTCTGTTGGTATCGTTTCCATGTCCGTCAGCAATGCTCATGTCTTGATTCGCCAGTGACAACGATAAGTTGATAATTTTATTGTCACTAGTGAAGTCGATATCAACCAAAATTAGTGAACCAGCAATTGACAATCTTTGAGGTTTCAATTGCTGATATAACTGATTGGGATTAACCGTGTACGCATGTTTATCAATAAATGTTTCGAAGCGTAAATGCTGAGCCAACTTTTGAATGCTTTCTATTGAGACCTTAAAGTTCGATGAGAAGTCAAATAACTTATCTAAACATTGGTCAATTTTAGCATTAGACTCACTCATCTATTCAGTACAATTCATTAAATTTGTTTTGATTCAAAGTCAATAAATAAAGCTCATTTCGTACTTCTTTTTGTGTGTCATATGGATGAAGAAAAAAAATCGACTTCAAGGCTTACGCTTCGCATATCTTCGTACAACATTTAATTAAACGGTTACTTAAAAGAAGAGGAAGGCAATGGTAACTCATATTACTCCTGATGTCTCTAACATTTTAGAGCCTGTAACTGAAAAGTTGAAAAGACACCAGTTTAAAAATGATAAAGAAGTGGCATTGGAAGTATCTCATTTATTGATGAGAGTGATATCCACAAGATGGACAACTCCGCAGGAGTTGATATCGCTTATAAGGGAAGTGGGTGTCTATATCTTTAAGGCACAGCCAAGGCAAATTATCCCAGGTAATATTGTAAGACGAGTGTTAGCTATAATAAGGGATGAGATAGAGACTGATAACAGTAACAACAGCTTAGGGACACCTATGATGAGCTCTATGTTTAGCTTACTATCCACTAACAGCACCTCCGAACAAAAAAAGCAGCCGATCCTGAAAAAGGAAACTAGTGACTTAAGGTCGATTATCATACAATCCATCAGAGACTTAATAGATGAAATTACTAATGCAAATGATTTGCTTGAAACAATGGCAGTAGATTTGATTCATGATAATGAGGTTTTGTTGACGCCCACTCCTAGTTCGACTACGGTTATGCAGTTTTTAATTAAAGCTAGAGCTAAGAGAAAGTTCACTGTGTTGGTGACTGAAAATTATCCCAATGATATAACGCTGGCTCATAGGTTTGTTAAAACTTTGGCAGAACACAAGATTGAAGCAGTTCTCATACCGGATAGCATAACTTTTGCTGTGATGTCGAGAGTAGGTAAGGTAATAGTAGGCTCGAATGCAGTCTTTGCGAATGGAGGTTGTTTGTCAAGTTCTGGAGTCGCAAGTGTCGTTGAATGTGCTAAAGAACATAAAACCCCTGTTTTTGCAGTTGCAGGTCTCTACAGACTATCGCCGCTTTACCCTTTCAATAGAGATGATCTAATTGAAGTTGGGAATTCGGGTGAGGTACTCAATTATTCTGATTTTGAGTTAGTTGACAACGTTGAAGTCGTCAACAATCCTTTAGCCGATTACATTCCACCTGAGCATATTGACATCTACATTACTAATATAGGAGGCTTCGCACCTTCATTCATTTACCGAATTGTGCTAGATAATTACAGAACTGAAGATAATATTCTTGAGTAAAATGTGATACTGTACATAATGATTTCATAGAAATGCTATTTAATTGCTAATATAAGATGTCTTGCACCTCTTTTTTTGTCTTACTAACTTCTTCCGTCCTTTGGAACCCTTTTTGTCTCTAAATGGGCTGTTAGATATGAGCGAAATGCTAATATTCTCCTCCGTGTGCTTTTTTCTCTTTGGTGTCGTCTTCTTCGTGTGCTCAGGGATTTGAACTAATGAGACAAACGATTTTCCAGAATTGGATTGTATCGGCGCCCGAGAGAAAAGTGCAGAAACCTGATCGAGAGAGGTAGAGCTTGATAGCACAGTTTGGATGTTGGATGACATGAGATTTTCTGATTCTGAGATGTTCCGGTCATTTGTTATTACAGCAAGAGGGTCCGTCAGACCCAATTCCACACCTTCATATTCATTGAAGATGTCTAGTTCCAAATTTTGCAACTCTGCATTAATGATATCAACGATTTCCTCATAGATATCTGAGCCATTCTCCTTTTGTGTAGAAGAGAAATAGGATGTTGGGTATTGTGGATTTATCGGAGCTCCTGAAGTCATGTTTTGTTCTGTAGGTGTGCTTCCTTTCGCTGTCGTATATTCTTGGTGAAAAGTTGGAGAGTAATATTCAATTGCTTGCTTACTTAAGGTTATACCGCTATCTTGCAATTCTTCTTCCATTTTGTATTCAGCTTCTTCTTCACACGGCATAAGACTGCATTCCTCAAAAGGAAGCAAACTATCCATGTTTTCGTCTTCGTTCTTAACTGTCTTTTGTGGCAGAATCATACTCGTCAGTACTAGACCTATCATTTTTTGTGCTCTCGATAAGAAATACAGACTTAGATTTGTAATATTTAGAAAACCAGCTTGTCGTTGTAGTACATTCGTAGCCTCTTGATAACTTCTTTGCTTTATACTCATTTATTTTTCAAAATCTGTTATCGTGGTCTTTTACATTTAAATAAATTATTGCAAAAAATCTTCATTTTTGTAATCTGTGCGAATATCTTAATCCTACGCAATATTTTTAATGAACTAATTCATTAACCATTCCATACATACCGTATATAGTAAAGCTAATCAGGCTGTAGATCGTACAAGCCCATACTTAGCAAGTGATCATGTAAGCTATCAATTTAGCATTTATTTGTCTGCCTTGACTTTTGGAGCAGTAACCAAGAGGCCACCATTTGTGGTATCAGCTTTGACGCTATCAAATTTTATTGGCTTATCAAATTTTACGGTCCTCTGAGAAGACGAGTGAGTCGATGATGAGCCATGATCATCCTTGTGAGTCACATTGCGGACTGTAGATACCACAAGCTCGTTCTTATCTTTGACATAGTCAACCTTGTAGTTGGTACCTTCGAGCAGGGCACCCTTGAGACTGAGAACATACTTATCCGGCTCTTCTTTCACATCAAGATTGTCGCTGAAACCCAAGAACAGCTTATCTTTCGGAACCAAACTGTCTTCTCCAAACCCACCAAATAATGGAACGAGAGTTCCGTCTCCTTGACTTCTCCCGGTGTTGAATCCAAAAGGATCTGCGAAGAAATCATCGAAATCAGAATCAGAAAGTTTATCACGTAATGAAAGCAGCATTTTCTTTATCACTTAGATTTTTATCAATTGTCAATTGAGTTGTTATACTAATGAATAAGACTTTGGTCAGTAGCATAACTGGACTGCTTTATATATTTCTGACTTGGGTGCAAATGTCCGGTTCTGGCAACTTCGGGAACCACATCGAACTTCCTCTTGATTTGGTTCTCAGACACTGATGACCAAGGAACTATTCGGAGAACCACAGTGCTTTTCGGGAAGTGGTACTTAATCACGTTGTGCAAATTAGGACCTGTAGGAACCTGTCGGAGTATGGGGCATGCATGCAGCAACACTAAGGGATAATTTTGGGGAAACAGGGGTTATCGGAAGAAAGGAAACGCAAACAAAACCAGGAAAGCAATCAGATAAAAGAACTACGGAAATGCTCTAGAATACCAAGAACTTTATATATAGATTTGCTATGTATGACTAGCTACGAACGTATGTGGCGTCAATTTTGGCTAGACTTGGGCCGAGATTTAGCATTAGTTTTCTCCTATATGCAGTTGGATTCTGAGTCTGAACGGGATTACCTTCAAAGTATACCGTATCTAGTACGGGTAGCTTTCCTAACTCCTGTGAAATCTCTTGGAAACTTGAAATTTGGTTATAAGAACACCAAAAGTCGGTGAGATTCACAAGATGTGAAAGATTCGATAATTTAGTTAATTTATTTGAAGTTACGTCGAGCACCTGCAATTTCAAGTTATTATCCAAGTTTTCAATGGTTTCGACCCCATTATGGGACAAGTATAGTTCCTCAAGGTTAATAAGTTTGTCCAAACCTTCGATCTTTGAAATTCTATTAGATTGAATCGAGAGGATACGCAAGTTCAGTAAGTAATCCAAATTTTCAAATTTGTGGATCTTATTTTTTCCCAACCATAGCTGTGTTAAGCTTTCAAGACTATGCATCGTTTGGCTGATAAATTCAATCTTATTCCCTCCCAATTCTAAATTTTTCAATTCCTTGAGAGTCTCTAAATTTTTGATCTCTTTAATCTTATTCTGAACAAAGTAAAGATTTTCCAATTTAGTTAATTTATCAATGTTCTTAATTGTCTTGATCTTATTGAAAGAGAGATCCAAGTTCTTCAAATTAACAAGTTGATTTAGACTGCTCGAAATATGATTGATTCTATTATCATACAAGTCTAACTCTTCCAATGTGCCAGGTGGTAAATCTTTTACTTCTGAGATTGATGTTATCAAGTTTTGCCTTAAGCATAAAGACTCTAGCTTCTTGAATCTGTTTAGATTTAAATCAGCTAGTGATGTGATCTTCAAATGAATTAAATCAATGTAATCGGTATCTGAATCATAGCCACTAGTAAGATCCTGATCTGCCTCAATCTCTTCAGGATGTTCATCGGGTATAACGTTTCCAGGATACTCAGTCGGCAACGGTTCATGCTCCTTTTGATCGTCATCATCGTCATCGTCATCATCATAGTCGTCCTCACCATCATCTTCAGTATGAGAAAGAGTATTTTCTTCTGGATCAGAATCGTTATCGTACGTCCCTTTCTTCAAGATCCCCACAGGCGCTCCTTCATCTCTCACTCGTTCAGTCATTATATTAATACTTAAGTTAGTACTTGGTATCAAATTAATGAGAAATGAGTTTATTAATTAAATATAGATAATGGCAATGTCACGACCAGGGGATACCAATGAAATCAAAGAAAAAAAAACACCTACAATTTTACGTAGAATCAAAGGATTCAGTGAGTGATTTTAACCTAACATCTATTGGCTTAGCTATGAAAACAACGAAAGAGGAAAGCCTCAATCCTAAAACACGTATTTACAAGGCAACTGTCGATCACCCGAAATAAGGTAGTCCCAGTAAGTTCACTCTTACTGGCATCGGTAGTTGAAGATTGGCTATCTTCTTATCTGCTAAAAACCTTACAACTTTTGCTCTTCTTCAAAGATGTACTCAACAGCATCTCCAACAGTCTTGATTTCGTCAGAAACTTTGTCAGGAATTTCCAAATCAAATTCTTCTTCCAACGCAACTAAAGCTTCGACGGTATCTAAGGAGTCTAATCCAAGGTCCTTTTGAAAGGAAGCATCCAAAGAAAGCTTGGATTCTTGTAATGCGGTGACAGATTTCAAAGCTTCGAAAGCACGGGCAGTAACTTCATCTTTTGTAATTGGAGCAACGGCGTAAAAACGAATTGGTTTCACAAAATTTGAAGCCAACGGGGCTCTTAAAATGGGAGTACGAGTTGCACGAACAGCTAATCTAAACATTTGTGGACGGAGTTGGCAATAACTAATTTGATGATTTGACTAATGAAATCTTCATTATTCTTGACAACTTTCTTTGGCCTTATTTTCTCTGCTTACATAATCACATATATAACATTCATGGTTGCACAATATCTACTGAGGAGACACAGGAGGTAAATATGGTCAATTTATTACTTATTTAGAGAGTGTTGTCTAGTATGATTTCTTGATCCTCCGTATATCTGATTATTTTCTATGGAAGGGAGCCGATTCGCTACTTCACGATTCTGCTCCAGTTTAAGATGCTTCGTCTCTGTTTTGCACTGAAATTACTGACTGAGGCATTATCTGCACTAGGTAGTGACTGATAAGATACCGATGATTGCATACTCACGGTTCTTGAGGATGTGTTAGTGTAGTTAGCTATGCTTTGGTTCCCAGACGAGCTAGAGGTTGATCTTTTTTCGATAGTAGCAACAGAGCTGGGATATGTTGAAATAGAGCTCTCGTAAGACGAAGTTGCATGATCTGAATCGAGATTCAAGTTCGTGATTTCTTCATCGAAATTTTTCCTGAATAGTTCTGCTAAAAGATCGTGTGCAGCCTTCATGTTTGGTGAGACCAATTTGGCATGTAATTCAAGACAGCGATTCAATACCACTGTTAAATCATTGAAGGCATCTCTTAGTAACTCGGTAGAATTCGAATCATCTTGAGCGTCACTAAAGAATACTCTGTATTGACCAACACCTCCGTTCACAGGCGCATCTACTGTTCCAGAGAGCTGTCTTGACAAATCTGCAAAGTCCGACGAATAGTCCGTCTTTTGTTTCACTGCCGTGCTAATTACACTTTCTAATAACACCAATTCATTAGTTTTATCAACGATAGCTCTAATAGCATTCTCTAGTGGAGATAATTTTGAAACTTTGATTGATTTGATGTCACTCCTATTTAATAAAGTGGGAAAAGATTGATAAGTTTCATAAATGGTTTCTTCCGTCCACAAGTCCAATACAGATGTTGCACCTGGTAATTTGGTCATAGATGCAAAAAATCTCAAGTCTTTATTCTTAGCATATTGTCTTACACCAAGGGAGGTATTGAATAACTTATCAGATATCTTAAGGACTGGTTCAACAATCTTGACATGTAAGAACTTTCCTACGCTACCATTTTCTTCAATTTTTCTCACCTCATTGTCGTCTGACAATATCCTGGCACCTGGAAATAATCTCTGTAGGCGGTCATGGATTGATGTAATATGTTCGAAAGGCAAACCTTCATATATATGCAGTTTTCCTCTGATTTTCGAAGGAAAGCTCGTCCCGAAGTAGTATACTTTAAAGTATGAAGGGCTCAATTTCTCAGAAGACTCCATCTCAAGATATAATTTAGCCAATTTGTTATGAACATAGGCAAATCTTTTCAAATCATATGTTTTTTGCTCGTAAATTTCTAAAAGTTCGTTGTAGGTATCTGCTGCTCTTTCTAAACAGTTTCCCTTCGTGAAGTTAACAGCGATCATCTTATACAATGCCTCCTTCCTCTCAAACGAAGTTTGCTCTGGAAATTTCGGCCTCAAGGTAGCTGGAAGAATAACATGATGATCCCAGCTGTATATTGATGCAAGAATGTTTAAGCACAAGGCAGCTTGAATATTATCATTTTTTGCCAAGTTGTCCTCGTACATCTTATTAATGAAAGAATAGAGCATTTCGGGTTTATCTGAGTCTTTCAAATATGTATTTATTTTCAAACTTTGAAATAACCTATCACTCTCAAATTCAACTCCTGAGGGAATTTCATTAGAAGACTCGAGTGATTGCAAAAATCCATCGATAACATCAATAAAATTGGAAATATGAAGGAATGCCTCATCACCTTCGTGTAATGTAGCTATTGAACGAATTTTTTTAACAAAATTTAATTGTTCTGGCTCTCTAGGTTTAAAACCGTTTTCATGAAACAAATTATAAAATCCAAGAAGACACTCCTTCTGGACTTCAATTAAAGAATCACTTAATATAAGTTCAGATACCATAAGTGACCAAAGGATTTCAATACCGACTGCCTGGCACTCTTCGTGCTTTTGCAAAACAAATGGCATCAAGTCTTGTAATACCGCATAATCCTTATTAATGAATTCAACCTGATATCCTCCAAATCTGTTCAAATTGAAGCGATTTTGGTAGCTTTCAGTAGCGTCCCACGCCAATGCGCTCCAGGTCTCCTTAATAGAACTTGCAATTCTTTTACGCATATCTCCTGTAATTTGGTAACAAGTAGATGCTTGTACTTTCAATAGGTGCTCAGATGATACAGGAGTCAATGTAGCCAACTTAAGCAATGTTCTTAAATAGCTACCCCATAGAGATCGCTCAAAAGTTCCAGATTCATCCTGAGGAATGAAGCGAGAAATTAATGTGGGCCTTATAAACTCCATAGCCACTAAACAACCCTCAACAATTGAAGCATATAAAGACAACCATTTCTGTTCAGGAAAGAACTTTCCTTGCCTCATAATCCTAACACTAGAGATAATGGCCATTATATCATCGCTTTCAAATTCACTATGATATTTAGATAAGCCCTTATCGAAATCTAAGGTTGTCTTCAAGATCTTTTCATAGCCTTCGTTGCTTGTTGTGGCCATTCCAATTTTTGCAATTGAAGAAAATACAACTGACATTTCAACTAATATTTCAACTAGAGTCTCATTTTTGACAGTAGGATCAACTGTAACCTGCTTGAAAGGATATGCAGTGGGAAATAAATAAGTAAACGCATTCTTTGGTTTGAAGTAATCATTAGATCTTGTATACTTATTGTATTTGATTATTGCTTTACTTATGGTCGGAAGCAACTTACAAAGAGAAAAGCATAAATGAATCTCCTCCTTATTTCCATTATTGACGACCAGATTCCAAAGCAAATTACAAATAGTCATCAAAATTCTTGTGGCGAGCCTTGAACATTCAATATCGATGGGTCCTTCAAGTATTTGTATTGCCCATTCCACAGCTCGTGCAATTAAAACTGAACGAGAATCAACATGTCTCATTTGTTCGGTACCTAACAATCGGTCTATAAGTAAAAGTTTTGTAGTTGTTAACTTATGCTCTTTGATAATGTTACGATTATGGTTCGTCTTTTCATCATCAGCCCCCAATCCTCTAACACCAACTGCAGCAATAGCACTGACTTCATATTTCAAAATTTTTGAACTATCAATATCTAGCATGATAGATGCCACATAATCAACAATTTCAAGAATATACACTTGCGCCGTAAGTAAGGTGTTTGATTTAATTGCAAGAAAATTAGCACTTGTCTCAAAGAATCTTGAAACCGCAGCCTCATAAATATCTGGATTCTTAGTTTTATCCAGTGCTGCAATTGCGAGTTTGAGAAGCAATGGTGCAGTTCTGCAAGTGGGTCTTGATATAGAATTCCAATTCGTTTCTGCATTTGCAAAGACGTCGGCAAACATTTCCAACAAAAATACCCCAATTTTTGGCAAGTCGTTGTCTGCATCCAAAAATGAATCAACCATATAGAAATATTGATCTTGCCTTCCACACACAGCATCTATTAAATAAATAATAGCGCGAAATATATTACTTTTCAATGACTCAGAGCCTGTAACTTCGAGCTGATTTACGGCAAAGTCTGCAATTTTATAAAATGTAGCCATTAATTCTGAAAAGTACTTTACCAACTGAGGAATATCAAGCTCGCAAAAAGCCTTCAAAGAAGAAGAGATTTCATCAATGCCTTGTTGTCCAAGTTGGAAAAATTTATCAAATTGTAAAATGATCTCAATTGATGGATTCAAATTAAATCTTCTTCCCATATACCGTGTGGTAAAGTCTAAATGAGCGACCGGAGCATTATTTTCAATTGATACTATGTCAATTCCTTCGGACTTTATATCATACTCATATAACTTGCAGCCAGCTTTGTATAGTATTGAGCCTGTTCCTTCGAGAATACCGTTGACATATAACGAAACTGCAATGTATTCTGCATTCAGCACTCTGGTGGCTTGATTTTTCAAGCTTATTCCATTTATTTTTACTACTTCACCAATATTTTCCTCCGAACAGACAGAAACAAACGGCCAGACAGATCCCTCTTCCTGATTTGAAGCTTTAGCAAACGTAATAGCATCATTTTTAGGAACGGCGACTGTGATTGTTAAAAGGTCATCCTTGTTACCTTCAAATAACTTAAGTTTTCCAAGTTGAAGATAGACGCGCTCGTAATTCTCGGCCAAAGGGTCGAAAGAAAGAGGCTCAATCCTTGCAATAGGTGCAGCATTAGCAACGGGAATATATTTATTGGTGAATTCATGCTTAAATCTCTTCACCGATACAATCACCTTCTCGGCTCTAGGATTAACCGCGATGCCGACATTAGAGCCAGAAATTATTCTATCCACTAATCCACCCCATCCATCATTCCAATAAGCTTCATCCTTAGAATTTTTCTTGCCTCTGAACGAACAATATAATTTGATAGTGAACTGATAAGCGGCATTTGAATAACGAGAATTCAAATTCTTTGAATATACTCTTGTGACGTCTGCAACTCCTAGTGCAAGGCCCTTTTTGACAGTTTTCAAACTAGAAGCATCGTTTCCCTTGTTACCAATTTCTATTTCTTCCACTAACGAAGCAACCAAATAAATTCTGTTATTCTCCACTTCATTGCGAGGAAGATCAGGAAACAATGCAGAGCTTATATTTTTCACATCTGTCATGGTACCCGCAGATTGTACAGCAAAAGCTTCAGACAATCTTTTTTGATTATTTCTGAGGTAAAAGTATAGGATCATACCTGTTAACCCTGGTGGCTGATAGTTCGAAGTCTTATGAAGTGATTTGAATTCTACCAAAACCTCTGAAGGAGGCTCACTATGCAATCTCTTATTGACAATTGGTTTCAAAGAATAATCACTTTTTTGATTATGTGCATTGATAGGAAAGTTAGGATCTAATGCACAGAGAACTTGATTGAATGCAATTCTCAGAGGAGAAGACTCTTTTGATAACAACTTTCCTGAAATAGCATCTCTAGCTAATATTGATTTGAAACCAGAAGCGCCACTTGTATTGCTCTGTGATCTTTGGGACTCTTCATTTACTGAAGATGATGAGGCTAGTAATTTTGCACTTTTATTTAGTAAGAAGGTTATGGTCTCCTTAGCTAGTTCTCTCTCATGATGAGTCAATATTTCATTTGCAAGCTTTATTCTTGTATTATTCAAGCTATAATAGATTTCACATAGATTGTTGAAAAGTTTAAAATCCCCATATGAGTATGTTGCATAAATGAAAGCACATAACTGCTCCAAAGAGTCTATAATGTCTTGGTCTTGGTCTTGATCTTGATAACCTTTGAAGAAGTTAGTGGACAACCTAGGAAGTGGGTGTAATTCGCTCGAGTCAGAATATGTGTTTTCAGTCGTCTCAGCACTTGTGACAGGGAGAAGCAGATCTTTACTGCCATTCTCAGACTCCAAGTCGCCAAAGGACTCTCTTGCTATTATCTTAGCACAAGACAATGGAAAGATAGCTATTTCAACCTTAGAAGGAGGCAATTCATCCAATTTCGTAGGTATCAGGTAGTCCCTTGGGTATGGTTTTGTCTTGACATAACCTCTTGCCCACTTGCTATCTTTAACCTCGAACACGTAGACTTCGTCACCTGGAAACAAGTTTCTCAAGCTATTTTTCTTCAAGTCAGGAAGTCTATCAAGTGGAAGAAATGGCTTCACTATCACGCCTTTTAAAAAATTATCAGTCGGCTCCCAAGTCATGTTACAGTCAATTTTATTATCTGTAATATATATCCCTTTCAATTCAACCCTACAAAAGCCTTTAAGAAAACTCTTTCAATTCCTATTAATGAACCTTTAGAGATATATCTAACCAATCTTTGCTCCAAGTTCCTCCGTCTTTAAAGGCTTATTTTCAATGAAAGTGCCGACTAGCGACGTTTTTAAGTTATCAATCCCGATTTGGAAATTTCAATCGTCTAATACAATGCTATACGGTTGAGAACAAAAATTTCGTAGATACACAGCTAAATATACACGAGTCTAAATTACACGAAAAAAATTGACTTAAAGATTAGGCTAAGAAAGAGAAAACTTTATGTGACATATCCCGAAGCCTAGAAGAATTATACTCTTTACCTCCATCCCAAATATATCGATCCATCTCTCTTCTTCCTGAGTCATAGTCCAATGCCTCCAAGCTTGGTATACCTGTTCCTCTGACTACTCTGTAGCCGACGTATAATACGGCGAAAAACATAATCGTGCCATAACTCGAAAAGAAGAACATAGTATCCCATTCACCGTTAAGAAATACGACATAACCCATACCAAGCAATAGGACAAGTGAGCCTATTAGCCCAACGTATGCGCAATATGGCTGGAAAGGAGACTTATATGGATAAGCTTTATCATTCCTACTCATGATGTCAGGTCGCTTTTTCAAACCATAGTAAAATCTCAAATAAGAAAGACACATGGCAAACCAGAGAATTATACCTGATGATGCAACCACACTGCTAAGATTTTGAAAAACGGATGTAGCCGCTTTTGAAACGCAAATATAAGATATCAAACCAAAGCTTCCAGAAAAAAGAACCGCACAATAGGGCACTCCATACGACGTACAATAAGTCAAGAATTTAGGAGCCTTAGCCTGCAATGCCAATGAGTACGCAGTTCTCGAACTGACATATAATTGAGCATTTCCACATGTTACAGCAAAAAATATAAGTAAGCCATTTACAACATCACTGAACCCACATAGACTAGCACTTTGGAGCGCAACAATCCAGGGGCTCTGTGCCCCGTTCCCTACCCCCGCAAAAACTTCTGAAGGAATTTTGCAATTCACTCCTCCAACGTACTTTATTGCGTAATTCCCGCTGAATTCGCTTGAATCAATACCTGTATCTCCCAGGTAGTAACGTAACAATCTGGGATCACCAGCGTAAATATTTAATGAAACGACGAAAGCTGAAAGACAATAAAATATCAACACCCTCCAAAAAACTCTTTTAGTCGCAGATGGAAGAGCCTTTCTCGGATTCTTAGCCTCACATGCAGCTATGCAAACAATCTCAGTTCCACTATAAGCATAGGAAGTAATCATTAAAGCAACGAGGAACGACATAAATCTTCCTTTGTTTCCACCGATGCCTTCCTCCGAGGAGTTCATTCCATTATCATGTAAATTAAAAGATGGTCTGAATAACCCAAATATCAAATTATGGGTAAAATCTGACTTCAGATTCTCCCAATATTTGAATCCTAATGTCTCATTTTGAAAGCCTCCTCTGTTTAAAACGATCATAATTATGATCATCGCTAATGCCCATAGTAGCTTGATAAGACTTGAAATATATTCAATCTCTCCAAAAACTCTGACATCTAGCAAATTACTTCCTATTATTAAGATCAAGAATAACGTCACAAATCCAGCAGAAGATCCCTTGTTTTCTAGAACTTTCAAATCTGGATAATAGCTCAACATTATAACACTCGCCACGATTTCACCTGCAATCCCTAATGCAAAACTTAAAAAATACAGCCAGCCAATTGCAAACCCGAATGCCTCATCCACAAATCGAGAACACAACCCTGATACCCCATCTATCACCGATACAAACGTTACCATCTCACAAAAGGAAAATAATGTAGCTAAAACAATTATCCCACAAACTACGAATGCTAACAAGCAACCCAATCCTCCAGCAATTGTGATTGCTTTGCCAGTGTTTAGAAATAATCCAACTCCTAAAGTTCCTCCAAATGAAATCATTTGTAAATGTCGTACTTTAAGCTTCCGCTGCAAAGTCCTCGGTAACCTTTCAGAGTCCGAAGAAGCGGTATCATTATTAAATTTGACGTCTGTAACTATCTCACTTTTACTCGAACTCATCGCATTTTTGTTTCTTTCAATAAGATGCCAAGGATATCTTCGTTTTGATGACTTGACCTTCTCATCTTCGAAATTATTATTTATATCATACTTCTCCGCTAGGTCACTAGGATTAACAACTGTTAACAAGTTTTTATCCAACATGTTCTTACTCATTCTTGAGTAAATGTAATCATTTAATTCGGTCTGTCTATTATATCTATCAAAATCTTCAAGCGCAGACAACCCGAAGACAGATTCGTTATTGCTCTCGTTCGTTTCGTTTCTTGCAAGTTTCGCCTTCCCTAAACTTTCATAAGTTTTCAAATACTTTAAGCGTTCCTGACCATCAAAATGAGTTTCTGAATTCATCATCGCATTCAATATTGAAGAGTCTAGAGAATACGAGTCAGCAGAAGTAGACATCTCATTCCAATTACTGCTCCATGTCAGAGATGTAGTCTTTACATCACTGGCTAAATCATATTCCTCGAAATCATCACCAACAGACGTCAGACCATTAAAAAATATATCCCTAAATCGCTTGATGGAACTGGTATTCCCATCACCCTCGCTAGCAAGATCTCTTTCCTCTTCGTCCAAGGGATTCAAATTTGTAGACCTTACATTAGGAAACAAGCCACTTCCCCTATTGTCTTTGGCCATGGATGAGTTTTCTGAAACTGACCCGGACCCACTTCGGGCCATTTTTTTGAATTTTTGCTTGTCAGAAAGCCTTTAAGGATAATAGCGCCTTCTATCTTAAGAACTCGAGGCGTATAATAATAAATGATTAATATATGAAGGTATAACGTTTATCTCCTTACTCAATAAATTTTGAAATACGCAGCTGAAATGCAGAATAGGTCGCATGGTACCTAAATTCCTCAAAACAAGGCTAAATGGAAATTTGGCTTACGTTAACTACAAACTTAATTTATCTATGAAAAGGTGGGCACATTTCTTTTAGACTGAATTCATGAGCTCACGAACAGAACCTAAAAGAATTGCGTCAGAAGCCAAAGAGTGCAATGGCAACGACACCTTGTGGTGGAGTGTGAGCAAGCTCATCAGTCTCCTCCACGGCTAGTCCAAAAATATAGGTAACATAGTTAAAAGTCATCTATGATGACGTTTCAGTTGTTACACTGAAAAGAACAGATACTACACTTGATCTAAGCCAAAAGGCAAAGAGATTTGGCGGGCAGAATAAGGGAGCATAGGGGAAATGGTGGTATTTATAGTCTCGCCAAAACCCGGGTAACTCTACAAGATGAGAAGCCGCAATTTCTATATTTGTATTCCGCGCCGCATTTGCCTATTAAGGGAAAGTGGCACGCACCTCATCTCATCTCAGGAAAAAAGGTTCTCTGTTCTTCTCTGAGACGAAGTGAAAATTAAATGCATTTATAAAAGTACCAGCAGTTTTACACTATAGCGAATTTTATAGATCATATTATTATAGGAAAATGACTGTTATTAGACCAAGGAAACAGGGCAAGAAGTTTCATGTCTCGAAACCCAAAGGAGGTAGAAAAGGATATAGAAAGTATTTCCATGAACAACCTTCTAAGAAAATCGTTTTCGTTGAAGAACCTGATAGCGAGGGTGACGAAGAAAGCAGTGAAGAATTAGAAGAAGAATTGGAGAGAACATCAACATCTGACAGTAGTGATTACTCAAGTGAGGAAGAGTTTAGCGGAGAAGATGAGGATTTGGAGGAGGATTATGAAATATATTTTGACGGTGGTAGAGATGCCGAGACTGGCGAAGAAGTTTACTTAGTCAACTTGAGCGACTTAGAGCAGCTTGCATCTGACGAAGACCTCGATTTATCTTCTGAGGATGAAATGACTGACTTGAATGATGAATTAGAGGACGCAGTTGATGTGTTGGAAGCTGATGGCAAAGTGTATGACTTGAACGATGACTTACTCAGGTACTACGACGACGAGGACGAGGATGATGAATATGAATCCTACGATGAACCTGTAGATATTTTAGATATTGTTGACTTGAATGACCAATTACAAGCAGAGTTAATTGCACAAGGAACGACAGGAGAATCTTCATCTTCATCTTCACTGGATTCTGAGCTTTCCTACAGTTCTGACGAAGAATTATTAAATGACCAATTGCAGTTAGAAAACGTGAGACAAAGCTGGCTCGAAGATTGTGAAGAATCGAGCTCTTCTAACTCCGATTCTTCTGTTTCAGATATCGACATGATCCCAGAATCAGAACTAGGATCAGAGCTTTCAGAGTTAGATGAAACTTCTTCGTCTGATGAAGATGGAGTAACTATTTACGAACACAAATTTGATTTACCAGAAAGTTTCCAAAGTGAAAGTGAAAGCGAATCTGAATCTGATAGTGACGAAACTTCTGATGAAGAATGTGATGACGACCATTGCTTATTGACGGCAAATGACTCGGATGACGAATTAGAAGTGATTGACTTGTCAGATGACTTGGAAAACAGCAAAGACTGCGAGTTAACTCAGATTGACGACAACATTTATAAATTGAATCTAAGGATTCCTTCTATTGTTAAAGACGAATTGAAGCTTGATTTTTTGAAGTCTGAGAACAAATTGATCATAAAAGGAAAATTAAATATCAACATAGACAGTGACTACGAATCTGCTGACGAACAATATACTGAGTCCGAGTCAGACTCAGAGTCAGACTTAGATTCCGAAGATAGCGAATCTTCTGAATCATCATATTCTGATTCCTCATATAGCTCCTCTTCAGATGACGAAGAAATTCATGAGGATTATCATTCATTAGTCAAAGAATTCAAAAATCAAGAAATTCCATTTGAGAAGCATTTCACATTCGAAGAACCTATTATTTTCGAAGGTATTAGAGCTAAATTTTTAAAAAATGGCGAATTAGAAGTAATCATTCCTAGTGAAGAAGCTATTGGTGCGCAAGATTCCGACAAAGTAGCCATTGAAATTGATTCTGACAGCGAAGATGACAGTTTCACGGAAGAAATGGAATAATTGATTAGATGCAATGTTATGTTTTTTTAGTATATATATGGTCACCACTTTGGATTGCTATTGTATAGTAGATAAAAATCAGGTTGGTTAACAAGACGGAACTGTATAATTTTCTCTCTCTTAAGGTTCAATTGAAATTGTCTACCAAATTCTATTGTGGGAGAAGCTGTTATTGTAACTCGCTAACTGAGCTTTATAGATTCTTTATCATTTTGTTTTAACATCCTTTATAAGCCGTAATCTAGAAATGCGATATTATCATCAAAATTTTTTTTTTGCAACAAATTAACAATATAAGGATATCAAATTTTATATCAGAGAAAAAAACAACATATCATGACATTCAATCAAAACATGATCCTCACTCAAGATCTCTCTTTACAAATAGATGATGTACAGATTTTATCTCAAGAAAGAAGTACCAAGCGGTGGTTTAAAAGTTGGAATTTTCTTGATATGATGATGCAAGTAGGGGATAGATCGTCCCGCGCCACTTACTTTGAAGACAGCTCAAATTCCAGTATACTTGAAGTACTAGACTCTGATAGTAGTGGAAGCACTTTTGAACTATTAAGAATTCACATTTATAGACTAATATTAGTTGGCTGGACGTCTCTTTTGATATTTTGTTTGATTGCAAAAGAGAAAATAAAAGATTTGTTTGAGTTTCGTTACATATTCTGGTGTGTTTTAATTTCAGAAGCTAAGATGAAATCTAAAATGCTGAAAACATCAACTTCAATTATAACAGTAATCTATAACAAATGCAATTATTTATATTATATTTTGACTTCCTTACGTCCTGTCTTATTGCAAACCATTTTTCAAAAGATCTCAGAATCACTACCATCTGGTTTATCTGAATTCAAAAAGTGTATACCTATAGACTTGACCCCAAGAAGCATAGGCGTAATTTTCACCATGAAGAGTTATCCTTTATTGATGTGCCCCAAAGTGCCTCAACCATTTCTTGATGCGGATAGAATTATAAAGGTACCATCAGAAGAAGAAGTTCAAAAGGCTATCTTCTTGAGAAATGAATATTTTACCCATCAAAGTACTTTTATTGCTGCGGAAAAAGTTAGATTGATAAGCGAAATTAGTAGATTTATTACTTGGAATTGTTTCATTTCTACTGTCTCCCAACTTAACATATATGAAAAAGAAGGAATAGTATGGGAGGACCTAGAAGATTGTGATGCAGCAATTAGATCTCAGCTAGTTTTACTTGGACAATCCATTCTAAGTGAATTGCATTCATTCAAAAAACGTTGCAAAGAGTCCGAGCTTGAAGAATTCGAGGCATTATTACCTAGTATAACGTTAGTTGAAGTTGTATCAGGAGCTACCCTTTCTTTGAATAATATTACATCTTGTTCTAAGAATGATACAGATTCAATTGATTACTCCCTTAGTTCTTCTTGTGTGGATCGCAGAAAATTGACCGTCTACCTAAGCGATAACAGATTACGAGAAGAATTAATACTCGAAGGCTTAAAGAGCACTGACAGTAATGAGCTTGAGAGAACCTTGTATGAAAAATTACCGCCATTTCCGCAATTGCTTTTGATACCTTCTCCTGATGATATCAATATACAGACCCAAGGGTTTATTTCAAATTCCACACATAAGGAGGAAGATTCAGCTTTAGTTTACCTGAAAACTCGAAGGCTAGGGTTTAACTTCTTTTCAAGCTCACTTTTTTACTACCGCTGTAACAACGAGGATCTTATATTCAACATAAGTTTCGAAAATTCGATGCATACGTCAACTCAAAGCTTGTTCAGTTATGCTAGTCTGATTTCTGGTCACTATTTGGCAGCTTTCTTTCACAGACTCCGTCAACTACGGTTTTTTGATCTTCATTCTAGCAAGCAAGACGCTGAAAATTCTAGTACTGAAAACTTTTCAAGACCTAGAGGAAGTCAGACAGAGTGGCACCATAGTAATGACCTGCTTTAATTACTTCTCTCGAGCCTTATCTATTGATAAATATTTTTATATTTTTCCTCTACAGTACTGTATCTCGCGCTGCTCCAATACGCAATATTGGTTTACTACTTGGAAGCCAGGTCTTTTTGTACAAGTATTGGAAACATAAAGAAAGGCATACATAATCGTCCCCCCTTATATATATCATCGTTATTCGGCATCCTTATTTTTTTGACTAAAGTGAAATATACCTGAAGCATATTTAAAAAGAACCTTCCTCGAAATGTTAAGGAATGGTGTTTTATTTATTTCAAAGCGCTTCAGGACTCAACAAGCGTTGAGGTGTATACATCGTGGGAACATATTTTGTTCCATGTACGAATCACAAATAGCCTTCCATCAAAGATTCTCGAAAATTGGCACCAGAGAGTACTCTATGCCGACTGAAGATAAGAATGAGTCAAAAACTATCGATGGCTTAAGAGATGTCAAGGAGACCAAAGACGACAAGACCGAAGCCAGTGAAGAATCAGAATCTATACCAAAAGTAGATGAGCCGTCTACAAACTTGCCTCAGGTAGAATCAAAACTAAGCAATGAAGCAGACGATCTTTCTGACAATGATCATGATGACCAATATTTGACTACCATATTTGGAGACATGGAGCCATACTTAGATACATACGATATCTACACGCGACTAATTACAGCTGGATTTACTAGCAAACAAGCAGATGAGATACTAAGTCTTTTAGTGGTCCAGTTGAATTTGAAATTATCTAAGTTATCAGAATTGTACTCACATCTTTATAAACTCGAAAACGAAAGATACCTCTTCGAGAGTGCTCAACAGGAACTAAGAGTTGATGTTACACGCTCTCGAGAACAGCATATAAATGAGCTCTTCGGCCTCATCAATACGTTGGAACGTGATTTCAATATCATCTCTGATGAATTGAATAATGAATTCATTCAAATGAAAAACAATAGTCAAGTTGCCCTCAATGATCAGAAATCAGAAAATACGCTACAATCACGACAAATAATGCTTAAGCTACAAGAAACAAACCATAAGATAACTACTGAATTAAACTCAGCAATGAAGTCTGAGATTGAAAGTTTAAGGTGGCATCTCTCTAGATGGGGTGTCATTGCAATACTAGTATCTGTCTTCTCTGCATGTTGCGCTGTTTATATCCATAAGGTAAAATCAGATGAAAAGCAAACCAAGAACGAGTTCTTCCCTCTTATAATTCACGAACCTAGTGAATTTGACGAAGATGATTATCACACCGATTTAGACAAAAATGTGATAAGCTGACTTCTATTCTGCATTTAGTATATACAACCATTGAATATATATAATAATGTTGCCTCAAATTAAATATCAAAATTATTGTTCAATCGAAGATCTTTCACATCGCAATTATAAATTTCGACTTAATGAAGTTTAATGGTTTTATTTTCTTCCTGAAAAGCTAAAAACAAGTAATAGAAAATGCCCGTGGATTCACCTGAGCCTTGCAAACCGGAAGCATGCGCTATTCAGAACTGCCTAGAAGCAAACGGTTATAATGAATCGAAGTGCAGTAAGCTTATTGATAGCTTATATCTTTGCTGTAAGCAATATTACGAAGAAAATGGCGACGAACAGACGACATGCTGTCCTAAGCTCAACTTACTTAAATTGAAGTTAAAACAGAGGGAATTGGGCCGCATAGATGCAGAGTTGGTAGAACACCGTAGGGGTTGAGATTCTTTGGATATCACTAATCCATTCGTCAGGACGAGATATTTAAATTAAAACTCCAGAGAAAATCGGGTGAAACTCAGCTGTATGAGAATATGTACATAGAGCGCATAGAGATAACTGCAAGGCATATCCTAATGCTGATAGATAATGTAAGTTTAGAACCGCGTAGTTAGCCCATCGCAGGGAGCTAACACGACATAGCTAGGCTGGTAAAAACATATTGATCTGAGGCTTACCCGAGCACGAAAAAATCACATAGTGATTATAGAATATATGTGAATATCATATATACCGTGACTCTAATGGGCGCCTGTTAAAGACATTGTATGAAGAAAAGAGAAGAAAATTTTGTAAGAAAATTTGTCAGTGTCAAATATATAGTTTGTGAATGTGGTTATATGCAGACCCATAAATATATGAAGTTATTCAGCTATTTACATAATTTATTGCTTTGAAGTGCCTTCAATCTTCCTTTTATCATAATCATGGATATCTGGAAGGTACTGCTTGAGAGCTATTATTGTTAGTAAAAAATGAACGAGATTTCTAAAGAAAGCCGAGCAAAAAGTGATCTGAATACTTACGAGAATGGTCATCTAACCATAGAGCTTGTCCACTAATATTCTTCATAGAGTTATCAATCTTTACGCTTTTCTCAAATTCTCTTGTAGCTAATTCCACATCAATAGGTTCAATACCGTTATCTAGCAACTGCTTTCTTAAAATCGCAATATGGAGAGTCATCTTAAAGTCTCTCTTTTCTGTGTCTTTTCTTTCCTGTAAGATTTGTATATCTCTCTTCTTTCTAGCATTTAAGAAATTTGCTTGTTGAACCTGTAGTGCCTTGAGATTAATGGCAGAAGTTTCAATGCTAGCTCTTTCTAGTTTTATCCTGCTTGTATAATTGTCGACCGCCAAATAAGCCAAAACGCACATTGCAAGCAAGGAAGTAAGCTCCCTGAGTGATTTTTCATTTCGATCATGCCTTGCTAAGATTGAATCGTGTACCGATTCCCCGTTAGGTATTTGTTTTCCTTGCGCTTGATCAGAGGAAAGCTGAGGCTTGACTTGATCGAAAGTCGGAGGGACATAGCTAGGGTTTGAAAAATGTGTCGGTGGTATTTTAGAGCTCGACCATCTTCTAGCTGCCAATGGCAATCTTCCGAGCTTATAGGTGTGCTTTAACATGTTCTTTTTAAGATCTTCATAAACTATGAAGCGAAATTCCAGCGAGCTTCATGTCACTGCTACTCATGTTACACAATGAGGATCTGCTTTTATATTACGAACTACAACAAAAGAAGGCTTGACTTAAATGTAATATATTGACATTACAAAAGAGGCATGATTATACAAATTTGATTAAAAGATATGGAATGCAAACTTGCAAGCTTAGTGTCTTCTAGATTGAGCAATGACTTGGTTCATTTCTTCAACTTTTCTCAAAGCTCTCTTGTGAGTACCCAATCTCTTCTTAGCCAACTTCTTAGCTCTCTTTTCACCAGAGTTTCTAATCAATTCGATCAATCTTCTTTCGTATGGAGCCAAACCAGAGACTTCTTTGACAATGTTTCTGACGAACTCAGTTCTCTTTGACAAAGCACCCTTTCTGTAAGAAATCTTTGGAGCTACTTGTTTTGAATTGACCTTGTGGCCTTTGTTTAAACCAACAGCAATACCTAAAAATTGTTAGTTTGACCATTTAATAAAAATAGAATAAGAAACGGATCATTCGACGAGAACATATTTTTCCTTTCGTATATGTATTTCAAAAAAGAAGGGGCGCAACTGCTTTATACATCCTGATTCTTATGGTTAATCGATCTACCGTTTGTCGTACAATGTTATTCATGCCGTTTAAATTTCATACTCATTAAATAGTCGTCATTAAAATATTATCTTTTGAAATGGTAAGAACAGCGTCACTATTACTCATGACCTCAAACATATATTATATGTGCCTTCGTGTCATCATAACTGTGAGTTACAAAGTACCCTGGTAATCTAATATCATCTATTCATGTGTCCTTCAAATTTTTCATGGTTCTTACAGTTCTGGTTTTCTTTGTTACCATATCCCCCATCAAAATGCTGAAAACATCAAACTTCCGTATCTTGGATTAAATATAACATACCTGACTTAGCCATCTTTATTGATAGAGTTTCTTTAAAATTGTTGATGGAAGTATCTGAAAATCTTAAGTCAGAGTTTAAAAATTTTTCAAATATGGTAGTACGCAGTAGAGGGTGAGCACATGAGGCAAATAGCGAAAAAGAAAAAAGAACACAAAACCTGCATTTAAATATTTATATATGCAGTATACAAAATGGTACACAAAAGGGCCCTTAGCCCTAATCAAATGACTCTGCATAACTATATGGCAACCGTTAAACATTCTTTCAGGTATCTTTAGTTCGTCGCTGCAATCCTATTTATTCACCATATATGTAAGAGGACTCAGTTTCATACACATGAAACCAAATATTCGAAATCTAAAATGTTTTTAAATTAGTTTCAACGCATTATATATTTTTCCATTCTATGAACTATGTACATATATGTTTAGGCTGTGACGACAGAAAAATCATAATTGTAGCCTTCTAATTTATCCACTACTTCTTTGAAAGTTAAGTATGAATGGTTCGAAAGAAACAGGCGCCACTCAAGGGGTCTATAACTATCTCTTCTGGTATATTCGTAGAGTTCTCTTAACAATTTTTGTCTTCCTACAATGAAATTCCTTCCATCAGGATGAACGTACCAAACCTTTTGCTCCTTACCATCCTTATTTACAAATGGAAGACTATCTTCCTCTTTCTTCTTCAATACGTCGTAACGTAATTTCCAGCCTTTAAGCCCAAGGGTCTTGATTCTAGCTGGCTTATCTTTCGTAAGATACCTGTCAAGCCCGCCTTCTCTCGTAATTGTCTTGAGAACTTTAGTTGATACTCGAGTTTGAATAGACTTATTTAATGTTTCCGACCATAATTTGGTCTTGACAATGTTGGGTCTGTGTGCTCTCAAATTCTTATTGCCTGACTCTGAACAACTTTTTGATCTTTTTCTTTGTAAGCCACCATACAATCCCCTGTTCTGACGCTTAAAAAACATAGCTTCATATTCGTAAACGGGATACTTGGGTTTGAATGGCATTACAGCTACACCTTTCAGTGAATCTCCCTCTTTGTATTTCTTAGTATCCACCGGTTTGGCATATTTTAATATTTTGAAATACTTTTCTTTAGATGCAACAACGGACAGCGAAAACATTCTCAAAGGTATGTTATTATTCGGTGCAGACCCCCTAAATGTATTCAGTTGTCCAAATACTAGCATTTTACCTGCTACTATCTTGTCGGTCAGTCTGGAGCTGGCGCCTACGAGCCTGACTCTACTGGCCTCCAACAAGGCGCCTATTCTTGGTGCACCTCTACCCAAAACAAACATGTTGAATTATTTTAGTCAGCTTACCCTGAATATTTAAGCGTTGCACCGTTTAGTCGTATTCTTACTTCTCTTTGTTTTACCAAAGCTAGTATGGGCCAATATTCACTTTCCTGATCAATACACGTCCATTTTACTCTCTCATTTCATCCTATATACAGGAAAAGGTCAAAACCAGTTCGGAATTCTTTCTCGCTAGGAATCCAGCTGGACCTATACGCACAAGATGATGTTAACTTTAAAACTTTAAAAAGTTTACTTTACATGTTTCCTATACACAATCTCGATTGAATCTAATGAGCCCACAAATGTGGAGTTCTATTTTATTTCTTACCATTCGCTTGTGATATAAACTAATTACGAGATTTCTTTGTTCTCCGCTTCTTATACAACGGCTGAACACATTAGGATTGCAGAGGCATGTAGAAACTCCGAAATGGGGTTGATAAGATAAAAACTGTAGTGAGGATCAGGGACCTGGGATTTGTTATTGATATTAATTAAAGAAGACTTCGTAGAATTCAGCTGTGTTCCGTAATAAACGTTCCGATCGTGCTGGCAGGCCGGTCAACGGTCTCCGTGGTGAGTCTGGGCTGCGGTTTTGGCGATCTAACGTAATGTCGTGCCGGACACCAAACTACTGTTATCGATCGTGATGGCCCCACGCAAATTAGATCCTTCTTCCTCTCGGAAAAGGCTATATTTATACATAACTGATAGAAAACTCTAGCTTGTTGTCAAGTGAAAGATTGACACTGACGCGCATAAATAGCGATAAGTATGTTTCGTTTTTTCCCTTCTTCTTTTACCTGAATGAAATGATTACGTTTTACTTGGTAAAGTAATTATTTCAGAAGGGCGTTAGAGATTGAGTTTCCGAAGGATGAGGGAACAGATAGTCTGTCCTTTTGCTTTAAAACTGATTTATTTATCGCGAGACCATACTAACCAAGCAAAAGGCTTAGTAACACGGAGATTTGCACATTAGAGGCAAAATCGGAGTTCTTAAGTACGAGGGAGGAGCAAGATTTTTAAACCAACATATCAACTCTGCCGCGGTGATAATACAACAGGAGAGCTTTTGTTGTATCATAAAATCGCTTTGAATCCCATAATTGAGATTTCAGTTCTGGTTTAGTGGACTTAATAATTTTTTTATCCTTAGTTGGCTTTTTGGAGAGTGAAATCCTTTCACTCTTATTATACTCTCTTGATATACTAAAGTTCTAAAATGGCTGACTTTGCAAAATCAATACTTGGATTGCGAGGTTTTTATAGAAAAGATGGAAGTAATGGCATTAGACCTGAAGCTGATCAAGAGAATCAACCTATTGCAGAGGGAGAACAGCAGCACATCGTCGAAAACCAGAGTAAATTTTGGCCCAAAGGTTTGTCGAATGCAGCCCCAGCTACAGCTGTTTCGAACAATTCCCTAGTATATGGCACTACAACGAATCTCAATACTGGAGTTTCAGAAACTTATTTAAATCAAGCTTTTCGGACTAATGGACTAAATTCGGACCTGAGTGCTTCGAGTCAGTACGGGCAACATGAAAGGCAACAGCATAATCAAAATTATGAAGAGCTCAATGAAGCATATGACTCGATTGACAATCCTAAGAGAGCCGAACACTTCACCCAGGGCCAACCCTTGATTATAACGACAGATGAGAACGGAAATACACTCCGTCACCTGAAAGATAGTCAACCAAAGGGTAAGTTGAAAGTTACCATAGTCGAAGCGAAGGACCTACCTGCATCACAGCCCTATGTTGTGTGTACGTTCGAAAGCTCGGAATTTGTCACTGCTGCTCCAGGCTCTTTTGGCAAGTCTCCGCTACATAACCATGATTTTTCAAGAGCAGCTGTTCCAATGAGAAATCATCCATCTGCGATGTATCAGAGACAATCATCATCTCATCAGTTAAATATGGCAGGCTCTACTAATCCAATTTGGAATCATGAGGCGATGTTCGATGTTGTGGGATCTAAATCTGAGCTCGATATATCTGTTTATGATGCAGCTCGTGACGATGAATTTCTTGGTCATTTAAAAGTATTTCCTCCCACAAACGCAGATAAAAATAGCTCATCGGAATGGTGGAAGCTAAAGCCGAGGATTATTGGTGAAAGAGTACAAGGTAGTATTAAAATTAAGTGGGAATATTCCTCTTTGGAAAAGAAGTCTTTTGGGCCCGATGATTTTGATATATTGAGACTATTGGGAAAGGGCACTTTTGGTCAAGTATATCAAGTTAAGAAAAAGGATACGGAAAGAATTTATGCCATGAAGGTTCTTTCGAAGAAAGTCATTATTAAGAAAAAGGAGATTGCTCACACAATTGGCGAGAGGAATATCCTCGTACGTACTTCAGCAGCAGCTTCTCCTTTTATTGTTGGCTTAAAGTTCTCTTTTCAAACCCCAACGGACTTATATCTTGTCACAGACTACATGTCAGGGGGCGAGTTATTTTGGCATTTACAGAAAGAAGGTAGGTTTGCTGAAGACAGAGCAAAATTCTATATCGCAGAACTTGTTTTAGCATTACAGCGTTTGCATGATAATGATATTGTGTACCGTGATTTGAAGCCTGAAAATATTCTTTTGGATGCTAATGGTCATATTGCCTTATGCGATTTTGGTCTTTCTAAGGCTAACTTGAACAACGATGGAACAACGAACACATTCTGTGGTACCACTGAATACCTTGCGCCTGAGGTTCTTTTGGATGAATCGGGATATACTAAGATGGTCGACTTTTGGTCATTGGGAGTCTTGATATTTGAAATGTGTTGTGGATGGTCACCATTTTACGCAGATAATACGCAGCAAATGTATAAGAATATTGCATTCGGTAAGGTCAGATTTCCTAAGGAGGTATTGAGCCCAGAAGGAAGATCATTTGTAAAGGGTCTTTTAAATAGAAATCCTAAGCACAGATTAGGCGCTACCAATGATGCAGCAGAGTTGAAAGCCCATCCTTTTTTCCATGATATAGATTGGAATCTTTTGAGGGAAAAGAATATCCCACCTCCATTCAAGCCACATTTATCTTCAGAGACTGACACTTCTAACTTTGACCCCGAGTTTACTTCGGAATCAACTTCAGTGTTAAGAAAACAAATGGAGTTCGCATCCACTCCGTTGTCTCCTGGAATGCAAGCTAATTTCAAAGGCTTTACATACGTTGATGATTCAACAATGGAAGATCAATTTGACAAATTCCATAGAATGAACACTTTCAAGGGGCCAGGCTCTTTTATACCTGGTGATCCTAACTTGCCCCCTGATGAAGACGTTATAGATGACGACCAAATAGACGAGAAGGATGAGATGGAAATAGATGAAGATCATCATATGGATGATGAAGAATTTGTTAATGGAAGGTTCGATCTTTAAGGGAATTTTTTATCATGGTTTAGTATTATTACACTTATCATTATTACACTTATCACTGTTATATTATTATTTAAATTTCATTCACATGGCTTGTCTTACTCACTATTGATATTATTTGGGAACTGTGGCATGTATTACTAACAAGTATTTTTAGCTGATTCCATCTTACGTCTTGGTCCTCACCTTTTCCGTCTAGATCCTCAATGTTTCAAGTCAATTGTAATGGTCTAACTTTAATTTTCCTTTTTTTTTTCCCTTTCTTTTTAAACACTTTATGCCAAAAGAATATGGTGAATCGACTCTATAGTGTCTCTTTATTTATTAACAGAATAATATCATATTACCTCATATATCATTATTATATTATACACTATACTAATATCTTCAAATTTTACTTCTGATATGTAGTCCATTATTGTGTAATAACCAAAAATTTAAAACGAAGATGTTTATCACTTTATTTCATAAAAGCAGCTGAATAAACAGATAACTAGAAAATAAGTCAAATCCAACGAATATGTCCCAACCTGGACGGCCCAGGAGGCGTGGAAAATTACCAACTAATAGTTTTCAACGGATGCCAAAGTCTTTGCACCAACAACAAGGACCAGGAACTAACATGACAAAAGATGAACCAACAATTCAGTTACACGATGAAGCGGACCTAATTTCATTCCGTAGCGATGCGTTGGCTAGATTCGTAACAAATCAGGAATATTTGGAGAATGTTACCTCGAAGTTTATAAATACTTCGAAGATTATTCCACCAAGCGTCTTTCCAAGTATTGCGGAATCTCCAGAACATAATAAGGAGCAACAACACCAAAAACAATCTATTAAAATACGAAAAGACTTAGAAGCATTAAAGTCAAGACTGATTGGACTAAAGGAAGATCTCGAAAAGGAAAAGAGTTCTCTGTCATATCTTTTGGATGATGATAAATACAACTTTCAAAAGAAGTCTATCGATGAATTAGCAAGGTTACAATCAGGATTGGGCGATAAAGAATCATTTGATAAGCTACAAGAATCCTTGGACCGTATCATGTCAGAATTTCAGAGCCAGTTTCATAGAACTTACACGGCAATCCCTTCCCACAAAAAGTATTCAATTCCTGCTGAAAAGATATCTAAGGATATAAAAATCGTCCTGGCGCCTGAGAATTATGACCCAAGACTGATAAATTCATTCATTTCAATAAATGGTAACGGAAACACGCAGAATGATGGTGAAAATGACAATAGTCATGGAAATGACGAGCTTCAAGATATCAGTGGAGACGACTTCAACGATACCAATGGATTATTTCTCGATCTAGAAGATCATCACAACAAAGAGTATGATAATGATTCCAATATTCCTGACAATTTTGCGATGACTATGGTCAACTCAAATGGCGGTGATGAAAACTCAAATGACATAAGTGACCCTACAGCTAACAGCATGCAAAGAAGCCAGGGTCAAGGTGACGGAAGTGACGCTATAAATCAGCTTTTAGAAACCGGCGAAGGAACAGCGGGCCTTGCTCAAAATGAGTCGGACATTATAAATGACGATATGGGTGATTTGATCAACTTTGATGTAGGTGAAGAAGATCCCATGATTAATGAAGGAACTTTTGATCAAGACTTCTTGAGTCAAATAGACCACAGTATGGAATAGCACGGTCTTTTATATGCTATCTTATATATTGTATTATATCTATATTAATATTACATTTAACCACTAAATATCAAATCACGTGCAGGCGTTCGCTCCATGGCTCTTCGTATCATTTTTGAAGCGAATCTTGGGCATGCAAAAATAATAGTTATTGTTGACAAGGAGGTGAAAATATCCATTACTATAGATTATAAAGAGGTCAACATTAAATAGCAAAAGTGTTGCCATCTAAGCAATACAGTGGACTGCTATGGACCAAGTACAACAAGAAAGCGTGGAGTTTCCCGCGAGGCAACGACTACTCCAACAACAACAACTTCAGCAGGAAACGAGAGCTAGAATGAGACAGCAAAAACTTAAATCAACATTTTTGGGTTACTTGGCAGTGTTGATATTTTTTTCCGCTGTACAGTTTATTGGCATTGCATTTTTCACGCTGGGATTCTTATTATCACGACAGGTGTTACCAAATATCTCAGATTGTTCAGGTCAAGAAATCGATCCGTGCATGAAGCCCGCCAAGTTTGATAAGGCCATAGTTTTAGTAATTGATGCATTAAGGTTTGATTTTGCTATTCCCGTAGACGGGTCTAGTGAATATTACCATAACAATTTCCCTATTTTGTATGACCTCGCTCAACAAGATAATGGAGTGTTGTTGAAATTTATCTCCGATCCACCAACAACAACATTACAAAGGCTAAAGGGAATGACTACAGGATCTTTGCCTACGTTTATAGACGCGGGATCCAATTTTAATGGAGATGCTATCGACGAGGACAATTGGGTGTCTCAATTGCAAAAGAATGATAAAAGTATAGCATTTATGGGAGATGATACGTGGTCAGCATTGTTCAGTCATAATTTTAATCCTAATTTATCATTTCCATATCCCTCATTAAACGTTTGGGATTTGCATACCGTTGATAATGGGGTTATCGAGCATCTTTATCCGTTAATGCAAAAAGAAAATTCGTCCAAATGGGACGTGTTAATTGGGCATTTTCTAGGAGTTGATCATGTTGGACATAGGTTTGGACCTAATCATTTCTCAATGAAAGACAAATTAGAACAAATGAATAAGGTTATAAAGGAGGTTGTATCGAATATGAATGATAATACATTGCTTATAGTAATGGGAGATCACGGTATGGATTCCACTGGAAATCATGGTGGAGATTCCCTAGATGAGTTAGAAAGCACTCTTTTCATGTATTCAAAGAAGAATGTCTTCGATAAGAAGAATGCAGCAACTTATGATATTACCAATTTAGGTAAGAATTATAGATCGGTTCATCAGATAGACCTTGTACCAACAATATCCTTACTTCTCGGTTTACCTGTGCCCTATAATAATTTAGGATTTCCTATCGATGAGGCATTCGCTAATGAGCGTGACCTTAGTAGCGCTGTCTATAAAACTTTATTCCAAATTCGAAGGCTCAGATTGGCGACGCCAAACTTATCTTTCGAAATTACTGAAAGATTTAGCTACTTGATAAATGCTTATTCAAAACTAGGCCGTGGAAAATATCACAGTTTTATCGAAGAAGCTAAGAAATATCAATCTGCTGCGTTGGAGGAATGCAAAATGCTTTGGGCTACTTTTGATTTAAAAACAATAACAATTGGTATAATTCTTTTGTTCATGTCATTCACCTTCATAATGACGTATTCTAGATCTATTCCTTCAGTAAGGGTACTGACTATGTCTTTTGAATTTATAGGATCTGTTATTGCTATGTCTTTACTAGGTCTTGTTTCAAGTCTGTCTATTTACGTTGTCTTGAGTCCTAGAGGGTTCGACTTGAAGCAATGTCTTTCAATAGGGTTATCATTAGGAATAATAACTGGTTTTTGGGCACCGATCATGGACAGATTTAGTGTGAATTGGCTCTGGCATCAAGTGGCAGATTTTTTCACATATAACTTCAATTTTTGGTCTTTTTTGGGTCTCCTATTCATAACTTTGCATAGTTTGATCTTTGCATCGAACTCTTACGTCATTTGGGAAGACAAGATGGTGCTGTTTTTTCTATTAGCTTTTGGTGGTTGCTGCTTATTCCGTTGTGCAACAAACAGAAACATGCTGACACCGGAGAAAATATTAGCTGCGCTGCACTCGATAACCTTCATAATTTTTACAAGATTAGTTTCTATGATAAACTTATGCCGTGAAGAGCAGCAAATGTTTTGCACATCTACGTTCAAGACAAATTGGTGGACAATTGCCCTATTACATTGCTGTTCATATGCTCTTCCCTTAACTATAAAGTCATTTTACAAACTAACAGATTCTTATCACTCAGCCGCTCCTATTTGGATTGGAACGGGACTTAAATTCATGATGACAATGAATGCATTTTATTGGACTTTCGAATACATAGAAAATGTCGAGTTTCTTAAGCATCAAAATTCATTCATTAGTGGGCCATTGCTAAAGTCATTGAAATTAGCCATTGCCAGGATTGTGATGTTTTTTTGCTTAGTTCTTGCGAACTTCAGTTGGTCGAGGGGTCCGCTTTGTGTCAAACTTGCCTTGACGGAGTCTGACGGTGATGCTTTCACCGGAGATCAGCCAAGGAGAACGGCTACGATATTAGGCTACGAAAATGTATACGGTTCATCCTACTTCTTGTTGGTCTTGAATTTCACAGTTGCCGTAATGCTTGTCATGAAGCCAATCGGGGCAATTTCTATCTGCATGCTACTAATTCAAATTCTTTCGCTCTTAGAACTTTATTACATCCTAGATTTGCGGAGGAATTTGATAGCCCCAATACTTTTTGGACTTTTAGGGTATCAGCACTTTTTCAGCACGGGACATCAAGCCACAATTCCATCTATTCAATGGGAAATTGGATTTATGACAACGGAATCTATATTCTTTCCGTTCACGCATTTGAACATTTTATTGAACACATTTGGATCCTTTGTAATTATATGTTTATCAATACCGCTCATCACTTTATGGAGGCTACCACCCTCGAATAAGCCTATCACAGTCTTGTCCCAAATAATCACTGATATAACGACTTTAATGACCTATCAAACCCTAACAAGTTTGTCAAGCTTAATATTTGCAGCCTATTTCAGAAGGCATCTTATGGTATGGAAAATCTTTGCTCCAAGATTCATGCTTAGTGGTCTTTTGTTAATTGTCACTAATATTACATTGATTATATTCACACTCTGGTTTGGAACGGGGAAGATTTTGACCCAGGTCAACAGAATATTTGGTAAATAAATGGTCACTTACCTTTTACTAATCAGCAACCAAGTATCTATTATTTATATTCATAATTAACAAGATGTACTATAAGCAGGTAATAAAAAGCGCCTTAGAACTTACCGTCTGTTCGTTATCTTTTACTTTGTAATATCTTGTAATAATCTCGTAATATCTTGCAATAATGAAGCGTTTTTTATATTAAAACCAGTGAAAAATATTATTATTGAGATGTATTTCCATACTGAATTATATCACTGAATCATATCTAATAATTTCATGTTTCACTGGATAAGTAATAGAAGTGTACAAATACTGACGTTAACTTTATCTGCAATACTTTTTGATTTGGTTTCTGCTAATTTCAACTCATCATTTACCCCAGAGCATTTGAGACATCTTCGAAATCAAACGAGAGGCTTATTCAAGCATGCTTGGATATCTTATATAAATTTCGGGTTTCCAGCTGATGAAGTGAGACCAATCACATGTGAACCTTATGGGCATGACTTCAAAAACATATTCAATACCGTCCAAAATGATGCCATGGGAAATGTGTCACTGACTGTGCTAGATAATTTAGATTCTTTAATTATCATGGAAGAATGGGACGAGCTAAAAAAAATGCTTAGCTATTTGAAAGAAGAAAAAGATACGTTGTTTGAAAAGGACACAATTGTTCAGGTCTTTGAGTCCACCATAAGAAGTTTAGGAGGACTTCTATCTGCCCATTTACTTCTTACGGATGTTACAAATAGTGAAATGAAAATGGAAAAATGGGCACCATTGAAAGAAATATCAGATGCATACGATGGATTTCTTCTTAAGATGGCATATGGATTGGGAAAGAAGCTTATAGTAGCTTTTAAAACACCTTCAAGCATACCTTATCCAAGGATTAATTTGGCTAAAGGACTTAAAGATATTCCGATTACTCTTCAAATAGACAATTGTTTATCTGGCGCCACGACTCCAGTACTTGAATTCAAGCTACTATCCAAATTGACAGGAGATCCAGAGTTTGAGTATTTCACGCAGCAGACGTTTTGGAAACTCTGGTCGTCAAGACTGATGCTTAATTTGATTCCTATGACCATAGACCCAATTTCAAATAAATTCAAGGATGCAATTACTGGAATAGGTGCCTCTGTTGACTCATTTTATGAATATGCAGTTAAATCCTCAATTGTTTTCAATGATGAATATATGTGGAGTGTATTCACGGAATCATATAAAGCTCTTTTGACACATCTGGCTCAAGGTGGAAGTTCATCTGATGGATATATGCTTTTCCCTAATGTTGGAGTGACAGATGGGTCGTTATTTTCTTCTTGGATTGACCTGTTGGGGGCGTTCTTTCCTGGCCTACAAGTCTTAGCAGGACAGTTATCAGATGCTATCAAAACGCATTTATTATATTTGAAGATTTGGGATTTCTTCGATCTGATACCTGAAAGATGGACGTATATGCAAAGTTCAATATCACCAGAGAATGGGTTAGATGATATAATTCCCTTGGAATGGTATCCTTTAAGGCCTGAGTTCATTGAATCAACTTATTATTTATACAGAGCTACGAGAGATCCTATGTATTTACTGATTGGTGAACGAATATTAGATTTATTTGAAACTAGATTTAAAACCACTTGTGGGTTCCAAGGAATTCAGGACGTACGGACGGGCGAAATTCAAAATAGGATGGAAACGTTCGTTATGAGTGAAACTTTAAAATACCTCTATCTTTTATTTGACACAAAAGATGAAATTTTTTTGCATTCTGATTTAATGAGTAACAAGAATTGGGTTTTTTCAACAGAAGCGCATCCCCTATGGTTTAATAAACATTTGGATCCGGCAGTGTATTTAAAGGGTCAGGGAGAGAAGCCATTTCTCAAGTCATTTTTATCCTCAATAAGCAAACACTACAATAGCTCGCTTGATATTAATTCAAGTGCTGTTTACAGAAACATCTCTTCACCTCAATCGTTCCACTTCGATATACCAGGTCTAGAAAGCTACCCCCATATAAATGTTGCTGATCCTTTCGAATCAAGATTTGATCGATGCGAAGTTAATCCATTACAGCAATATAAAAAGAGCTTTTTAATGTCTGGCTTTTATGTGCTAGACAATTTATTCCATGCTGACATAGCATTTGAAAAGTCATTTATGAGACCAAGTTATTTGCCGCAAGAAATTTTAGATGGAAGCTATATTGAACTAAGAAAGTCATTTTTTGACAAGTTTTCGATGTTTCTTCCTCTTACAGAAGAGCTAAGTTTTCAGTGCCCAAGGTTTGCAACCACCGAACAATTTGAACTTATTATGGGAGACCTTGGAGCTATAAATGACATCGAAATTTCACAAATCAAGTTGAACAGCCTGGCTATATCTTCATCACTAGAATCGCCGCTACTTGAGAATGATCTATGGATCCCGGAATTAGTTGCTTTAAGACTCAAACTCGAGCGATTGCAACCTGGCCTAGTTGATGCTAAAAACTCCCTCATAACTCACGACTATATACGTTCCTTGAGACCAGATGATTACGAAGCTATAAATTTCACTGGTACCTCTTCTATAGCGGGCAACACAACCAAAGACGTGAATATGGCTCTTCGGTTGAACAAAGTCAATGGAATCTTTGTAAACTATGGCCTGATTGTGTGGACATTGCCATTCGTAGCTCCAAAACCAGAAGATGGGTCTGAAGCACTACTAGGCGTTAATAGCGACGGCAGAGTATCATTTAGGGGTAATGTCATCGAGAATTTAATGGTTTGGTACGGTTAATGTTATCTAGTAGTTGTTTAAACCGGAAGTCGTGTGAGTCATGGGTGAAAAATTCCGTACTTAAATACCATCTCGGCTATAAATCATCAATGATTCAACGAAATTCTTTAATAGTAGTGTCAGTAAGTATTTATAGAAGCTATTGCTAACGATAGAGTATACTAAACCATCATATATAGAGAGATGAGAATTAATAGATTAGCACATGTGCCACTCTCATCATGGTTTAGATTCGGTAATAGAAATTTTACTAACCGATTAAGATATATTAGTACAATGTCAGCACCATTAGATGCAAGCAAGTTGGAGATCACCAAAACAACAAAACCTCAGGAGAAGTTACCGAATGACAAATTGGTTTTTGGTAAAACGTTTACCGACCATATGTTGGAGGTAGAATGGACACAAGAAAAAGGATGGGGAGCTCCCAAGATTAGTCCTTACCATAATCTCTCTTTGGATCCGTCTACGGTTGTCTTTCACTATGCATTCGAGTTATTCGAAGGAATGAAAGCATACCGTGATGCAAATGGTGATATAAGAACATTTAGAGGCGATAAGAACATGGACAGAATGAACAAGTCGGCCGAGAGAATAGCTTTGCCAAGTTTTGATGGTGAGGAGTTTCTTAAGCTTATTGATCAGTTCTTGTTATTAGAAAAAGACTTTGTTCCCGAAGGATCGGGCTTTTCATTGTATTTAAGACCGACCATGATAGGTACAACTGCTTCATTGGGTGTAGGAACTCCTGATAGAGCTCTTTTGTACTTGATTGCCTCTCCAGTGGGTCCTTATTACTCGACCGGGTTTAAGCCAGTTTCTCTTGAAGCTACCGATTATGCTGTAAGAGCATGGCCAGGTGGTGTTGGAAATAGGAAGTTAGGAGCAAACTATGCCCCATGTATCAAGCCACAATTAGAGGCCGCTCAAAGAGGTTACCATCAAAACCTTTGGTTGTTTGGAGAAGAAGGTTATATCACTGAGGTAGGAACTATGAATGTTTTTTTCGTGTTCAAAGGTGAAGATGGGAAGAAAGAATTGGTTACTGCTCCATTAGATGGTACTATCTTGGAGGGTGTCACTAGAGATTCGATTTTAGATTTGGCTAGAGAGAGATTACCATCTAATGAATGGAATGTTAATGAGCGTAAATTCACGATCCACGAGGTTCAAGAGAAGGCCGCTAATGGTCAGTTAGTTGAAGCTTTTGGTGCTGGTACTGCAGCTCTTGTCTCTCCTATCCTGAACATAGGCTGGAGAGGAAAGGAGATATCAGTTCCTGTTGGTTCTGGAGATGCTGGTGACCTTACGAAGCAAATTGCCGAATGGATCAAAAATATACAGTATGGAGAGGACGAATTCAGAGGATGGTCAAGAGTTGCAAAATAGATAGATTTGTGAAGGAGCGTTATTCTTCTCCAATACTTTATATAAGAATCAATAATCGATTCTTCGTACCTATATAAGGTCTATGTAATGCAAAATATGTTCAATGAATTCTTTCTATATCCGGTAATTTTTGAATTTCACTCAATATATAATCTCGTTCATCAACCAAGTTAAGGTCATTTGAGCTAGTCACATTGAAAGTTTTGAAAAACTCGAGGAAGTTCTCCTTATTTTTTATCAATATGTCTAAAATGCGTTGTGACTTCTTTGGCTTCGCAACGAAAAACTTGAAAATATGGAAGCCTTCGATCTGCAAATTTTTCAGTTTGTCACACATAAGTATCATGATCAATTTCAAGTTATTTGTATCATCAAAATATTTGTTTAAAAAGAATTGATCTTGTCTTTGTAGAACTAATTCTGATAAAAGTCTCACACTTTGTCTTTTGGTCACATAGTTATCAGACTGAATAAGTTTGTTAATGTTAGAAGTGAATGCATCGTAATTCTTCGATAGAAATTCAGACACAAGCTTTTTATGAATAGTTAATAGATCATGCAATGTGCTAAATGCATCAGTGGCAAGCTCGAATACTGGTACTTGGACATACTTAAAGTAATTCCAAAACGTTGGGCTTAAAAGAACAAATCTATTGATCGACTCAAATTTGATACAGTCTCTCAAAAGCTGTCCACATATTAAGCCAATCTCTGGCGTTTCGGGACCCTTTGCCAATAAAAGTATTATTTCTGGCTTCGAAAGCAAATACTCAACTGTGGGAGACTTGCTCCCTATTTGCCGTCGTAATAAAGTCAGAAGTAAATTGAGTACATCCTTTCTAGAGTCAAAATCTAACTTCTTCAAGTTAACGATTAGATAATAAAGACAATCTGTCGAATAGATCTCCTGTGCTAGAAGTGAAATTTGATCTGGCTGAGGATCATTTTCATCATCACCATGCAATATTATCTTCGCTTGTTTCAAATATCGACCGCATTCATCCTGATACTTCTTGTTATTATCACTGGTAGAATCTAGTTTGGCAACCAGTTCATTCAATGCTCTAACTAGTTCTTGTGGTGTCTTGGGATTCCTTTTAAATAAGAACGCCATTAAATTTAGCTGGCGGTTACCTCTAATCTATAATAATCCTTGAAAATATACCGTAAAAATGCTTGCTTCAAGTTTTATGACTCAATATTATATTTTCTTGAAAGACCTTTTAATATGCTAATTCAATGAACTTGAACAAAGTAGGTTGGTTACAAAGAACGTATAATATTCTGGGGACAATTAACTGCACTTAAAGTGTAAATGATCTTTACAGTTTACACCATGTCAAATTTACAGGTTAAATCGTCTTCATATTTGACAAGCCTTTAGTTTGCCAACATATTTGCAGATCAATGGACAATGACTAGTTGGACTAGTGTGTGGAAGCCCATATTTGTTAATCGGAGCAATAGGCCTATTCTCGGGGAGAACGAGCATAATGTATTTATAAGAGATCATGTTGGTCTCTATCAAGGTAAACAAAAGATAACGAATCGACAGAACGGTCGAGTTTATTTAACTAACAAGAGAGTCATATATTTAGATAATGAGAGAACGGAAAACTCTATGGGCTTAGATATAAATGACATTAAATATTCCACTTTAATAGATCGATTTTTAAAGTCTTCTCCGAAAGTTAAGTTATTCATAAGAGAAGACTTGAAGAACTCTCTGCAGCAGAACATTGAAGACCAACCGGCAGTTGCAGATTGGGTTTGTATGATTTGCTCATTTAACAATCACATATCCGTTAATGCAGATGTTGACAAAGAGATACCTCCCTGTGTTTCCTGTGGTATAAGACCGTCGAAGGCCTTAATTTTGAAGGCCATACTGAAGAAAACTGAAACTCAGGCGCTTCCAAAGGTTGACAATCAGTGTCCGAAGTGTACATTTATGAATCATCCTTCATTGTCATATTGTGAAATGTGTGGCACTAAACTAATCTCTGCAGTTCCAGAGGCACTACATCAACGACTTTATCAAAAAGACTCAAATCGTGATTTACAAGCCCTGCAAACTAATAATAATTTGAATATCTCTCTTCAAGGTGATGTGGAATCTTACACGGATGAAAAACCTTACATAAAACTTAGCTTCAGAAAGGGGGGAGAAGTAGAGTTTTACAATCATATGAAGGATGTTATAGAGGAATTGAAATGGCAAAGGTTGACTCAAAAAGGATCAGTTAATCAAAATGGAATAAAAGTCGATAAAAGCGAACCAGAACCTCAAAGAATAAAAGGTGGTGGTATTCATGGTTTAGAACAAATAGGGGAACAAAAAAGGCGACAAAATGAAATAATTTTGAGTAGCTCACTTGATGACCTTGAGCAATTGATGTACAAATACCTGGATTTGCTTAACTTATCAAGTTCATTTAGCAAGCTTGTTAACAGAAAATCTCTCAACGTTGATCTAATACAGCCTTTTAATGTGAAGAAATCGTCTAATATATATTATAAAGAGCTATCGAGACATATTAGTGAATATTTAACGAACTACGAGCTTACAAAAAATTCTTCAATGATTACTTCTCAAGATCTTTTTGCTAATATCAACAGATTTCTTGTCTTGACCCTGGGTTTTGGATCTGAACTAATCACGCCTGATGATTTCAACAAAGCAATTGAATTGTTTGAGCCGCTTGGTTTGCCAATTGTTGTCACTAGATATGAGAAGTCTGGCCTTGTGGTATTATGCCTAAAAACAGATATGGATTATAGTCTGTTTATTGTTAAGCACTTAAAGGAGCTGGAGGAGAGTTTCAAATACAACAAACTCAAGGTTGAAATATTATTGCAACAGGATGATGACAACTATTTGAAAGAAGAGTTCAATTATTTCAAAGGCGATACGATATCAGGTATATCTGGGGCTTTAAACTGGTCCTACAGTATTACTGTCGAGGAAATTGAGAGCTGCGTCGCATCTGGATCAATAGTTGTGGATCATAATATTCAGGGTACATTCTACTTTATCAACAGATTTGGCGAAGACTATGAGGATAACGAAGATGATGATGAAAATCTAAGAGCAGAAATAAAGTCGAACTTGATGGAGGAGCAACGAGCCATCACCCAAAAATTAAAAACACAACATGCAATTAACAATCAACTAATTGATCTCACCCCTAACTATGACTTCGGCATCGTGCAACCAAATGATGTTCCCCTGCATACAGTTTCTCTGCAGTCTTCTGCGAGTGTCTCTCTCAACGATCTCAAAGGATTACAGTTGTAGCTGCTCATAGTTTATCCTAATGAGGAATTCCCGTTATCCTATGCACTGTTGCATGCTGCTGAAACTTACCCTGCTTCTGCCCCCCCCCCCCCCTGCCTCCTCTTTCAGTAGCATAATATTCTTAGGTATTAATTTATAGATAGACGATGACCTATGGGACTTCCCTCTCTAGAATCCCTCCCGCCTAATGCTGGTATTTAATAATCATTTAATCATAATCGAGTAAGTATAAGATATCAAATGCTTTCTATCCAAAAGTTCGCCGGTTGAGTTGCAACTGAGCTGGCCCAGAAGCGGCCCGGTATATTTTGAAAGTTTTCAGTGCGATATGCGCTCTTTCCCAATGAGGAAGAAAAGGCTTTAGTGAGATTTCTTATCAGAAGCAGAACAGTAATCATCATATGACTAGTTTTCCTGTATCTCCCATTGATTATCAGTTAGCGTTTGTCCACCCCCTCATTGCCATGACTTAAACCCCGTTGCAATTAGATAAGGGCAATTGGTCTCTTACACGAGTGTTTATCAGTGAAAAAATTTTTATGAACACCTCACTTATCATGGATCGAGTACGGCAATGCGTGTAATCTTTCGTGACACAAGATGAGCATCAATCAATAAACCTTTGTTGCTATCAAGGACAGAGAATAAGCGAAATATATAAAGTAGATTAAATTCACGTTATTAAGATGTAATTAGCAAAGATCTTATATTCATAGAGAACTCACCAAAAGTAGTTTAAGTTTGAAGTGAATTGAACAATGACAGTTGCATCTTACGTTCCATTGCCCCAGGCGGCAGGTTACGCTGTCGTCGTTGGATTGGGTGCCGTCTTTGCTTTTGGTATGATGTTGACAACTTACGTCTTGAGAAGATACAATAAGGAGATAATGACAGCTGAAGAATTTGCAACTGCTGGAAGATCAGTGAAAACAGGTCTTATTTCAGCCGCGGTTGTTAGTTCGTGGACCTGGGCTGCAACATTGCTTACTTCTACTACCCAGACCTACAATAATGGTATTTCGGGTGCCTTTTATTATGCCTCAGGCGCTACTTGTCAAATTGTATTATTTGCTTGCTTAGCAATCAAGGGTAAGGAGAGGGCACCAGGTGCCCATACCTATTTAGAAATAATTAAAACAAGATATGGTAGGGTTGCTCACTGCATTTACATCTTTTGGGGTCTTGCTACGAACATTCTTGTCACTGCAATGCTTTTGACGGGTGGATCTGCGGTAGTAAGTGATATCACTGGGATGCACACGGTTGCAGCTTGTTTGTTGTTACCTTTAGGCGTTGTCGTTTATACGTTATTTGGTGGTATCAAAGCAACTTTCTTGACTGATTATGCGCACACTGTGGTTATTATTGTCATTCTCTTGGTCTTTTCGTTCACTACATTCGCAACGTCTTCGAAATTGGGCTCTCCAGGAGCCGTATGGGAGGTCATTACAAAATTGGCCGAAACTCAGCCAAGGGAAGGTAACGCAGGTGGTTCATATTTAACCATGCACTCTAGATCGGGTGGAATTTTCTTTGTTATCAATATTGTTGGTAATTTTGGTACAGTTTTCTTAGACAATGGTTATTTTAACAAAGCTTTTGCCGCAAATCCTGCTTCAGCTCTCCCAGGGTATGTACTTGGTGGTTTAGCGTGGTTTGCCATTCCTGCTTTCACAGCCACAACTATGGGTTTAGCTGCTTTGGCTTTGGAAGATACAGAATACTTTCCAACATATCCGAATAAGTTATCGGCTGCTGAAGTTTCAGCTGGATTGGTTTTACCAAACGCTGCTGTAGCTCTTTTGGGTAAAGGGGGCGCTGTCTGTTCATTACTTTTAGTTTTCATGGCTTGTACATCTGCTATGTCTGCGGAATTGATTGCTGTCTCAACTATCTTCAGTTATGATATTTACAGAGAATATATCAATCCTAAGGCTACTGGTAAGCAAATTATCTATTTTTCACACATGGCAGTGATCACATTTGCTTATGTTATGGCCGGTTTTGCCATTGGGTTATACTACGCCGGTATTTCAATGGGTTACCTTTATGAACTTATGGGTGTTATCATCGGGGGTGCAGTTCTTCCATCTGCTTTAACTTTATTGTCAAAGAAGCAAAACAAAATGGCAGCTATATTAACTCCTCCCATTGCAACAGGATTAGCTATCATGTCTTGGTTGGTGTGCACTAAGGCTAAGTTTGGTTCAATCAGTGTCGCTAATACATTTGAGGACGATGCTATGTTGACAGGAAATGTTGTTGCATTGTGTACTCCTTTGATATTTGTCCCACTTTTTACTTTAATCTTCAAACCACAAAATTTTGATTGGTCAATCTTGAGAAATATCAGGAGAGTCAATGAAGATGAAGAGATATTGGAAGCTGAACAGTCAAGGGATGATTCTGACCCTGAAAAGGTTTATCCAGTAAAATCACAAGTATCGATCGCAGCTAATGAGATAGCAATAATCAACCTGGAACGTTTAGAACAAGAAACACGTCATTTACATAAATCGTTCAAGATTGCTGCAATAATCTGTGTAACTTTAACTTTATGCCTTGTCATATTATGGCCAATGCCCATGTATGGACAATCTTATATTTTCTCCAAGAGATTTTTTACTGGATGGATCGTGGTTCTTTTCATTTGGATATTCTTCAGTTCATTCATGGTGATAATAGTTCCAATATGGGAAGGTAGAGACGCATTATTCACTACTTTCAGAGGTATATATTGGGACTTGACAGGCCAAACATACAAATTGAGAGAATGGCAGGATGCTCATCCCGAAAAGCTACATGCTGTTCAGTCTCAAGTTTCTGCTCAATTATTAGCAAGGAGCCAGTCGCAGACTCAAGTCATAGAAGGGGTCAATCACATTGATGATGCTTGGGAAGAAGAGAAGAAAAATTAAGTTATTAGATAGTTAGATTAAATTAATGTATGAAAAGCGATTTTAGAAATTACGAGTATATGTAAAAAATTGCTAATTTTAGCGTACTTTTTTTCTTTCTTAAACTCCAAAATTCGTTAGATGACATAAAACCCCACAATTAGTTTATCAGTAGAAACCCCACGATGGGCTCGATATGATTTGCTTGCGCAGCATCTCCTTACTTTAACCCATCTTAAAATTATTTGCAGCTGCTTAAGAAACGAACCAGGCGATAAGAACAAATATCTTAGCATCTTTGGATGCGCAGTCCTGTATCAAAGGGTTTTGATTTGCTCAATATCCTGTTTTCGAAGGTAGTTGCTCGGAATATGATTATCTCTTATCACCCTCCCTTTTCAGGATTCGTATACCTGCAATATCAAAATGTTTTAAGAAAGAGTGGCTTCAAGAAGACATGCACATCAACCATACGGTCCCTGTCCCTTATGAAATTAGTTGCTCTGTCTTTTCAATAGCGTTTCTATTTTGAAACCCCATTTTTTTGTATGTTTATCAGTAGATCTCGATTAGCCAATAAGAATCATTAAAGATTTGAGGTCACTAAGTGATGCCTTACCGATCGCGCTTTGTTTCCCCGTCAGAAGTGGGCCATAAGCGGGCCCACTATCCGCAGGCTTCCCCTCGGCCCGCCGATAAACGCTCTCGCTCTGCCATGCCGTACTTTCATAGCGTGATAGAAAGAAAACTGTCTTTATATGCCCTCCACCTTAGTTTATCGTTCTGATCTGATAGCTCAATTTCTTCGGACTTTTCCAGATGATTGGGCGTTAAATACAGACGTTGAAATTCTTAAATAGGAGCGAAATCGTTCAATTTCTGATACTACGAAGAAAAGATCCAGATTCCGATTTGCTTTTAGTTGTTAGAGGTCAGATAAATTGTAAATAGGTGCTGTAAAAGATTGGACTTGGCTTACAGGACAACTTTAAATATCCTTGTTTAGCATTTGATCCACTTTCTAATTATTTATTGAGGGTGAATATAAGAAGCAAATTACGTACTCGTTATTAACAGCTAGCGATGAGTTACAGTGGCTGGACCGTAGACGAATGGAAAAACTTCCACTATGATTCCACTCCCGACAAATCTTTAGAATTATTAGCGGAACTTGTGAAATCCCAGAAATCAGCTCCAGAAGACCCTGCCTGGATATCATTGGTAGATGAGGACCATTTGAAGCAGCAGTGGAACATCTTGCAGTCTAAATCTAAGAAATTGACTCTTCCACTTTATGGTGTACCAATCGCTATTAAGGATAACATTGATGTTCGAGGTTTTGAAACTACTGCAGCATGCCCATCTTTTGCATATGAACCTACGGAAGACGCCACTACTGTAGCATTATTAAAAAATGCTGGTGCCATCGTGATTGGAAAAACGAATTTAGATCAGTTTGCTACTGGATTGGTAGGTACAAGATCCCCATACGGCATTACTCCTAATACATTTAACCCAGACTATGTTAGTGGAGGCTCTTCAGCTGGATCGGCATCCGTTGTTGCAAGAGGTATCGTTCCAATTGCTTTGGGAACGGATACCGCAGGTTCAGGAAGAGTACCAGCAGGTTTTAATAATTTAATAGGCTTAAAGCCAACTAAAGGTGTATTCTCTTGTAAAGGTGTTGTTCCCGCTTGCAGGTCTTTAGACTGTGTCTCAATTTTTACATTAAATTTAAAGGACGCACTGACAGCTTTCAAGATAATGGCACAAGAGGACGATGATTATGAATATTCTAGGGCATTGCCTTCAAACCCCTTGTTGAAGTTTTCAAAGACACCAACAGTTGGAATACCTAAGCAATTGTTATTTTTCGGAGAGAAACAATACTCTAACTTATACAATGAAGCCGTTAAAGTTATAGAATCTGTTGGGTCAAATGTTTCTTCAGTAGACATCAATCCGTTATTGGAATTAGCTAAATGCTTATACGAGGGACCTTGGGTCTCAGAACGCTACACTGCGGTTAAAGATTTTCTCGCTACTAATCCCCCTGCAAAAACCTTGGATCCAACTGTTCTTGATATCATTAAAGGTGGCGAGAAGCATTCAGCAGCAACGGCATTTGATTACGAATATAAGAGACAAGCTATTTTAAAAAAGGTTAAGAAAGCTTTGGATGGTGTTGATATTGTTGTTGTCCCCACCGCTCCATTAATTCCTAAAATAAACGATGTGGTTACCAAGCCTGTGGAAATCAATTCTCTTCTCGGCACGTATACAAACTTCGTCAATTTGGCAGATATGTCAGCTTTGGCCATTCCAGCGGGTTTTCGCCCCGATGGTATGCCATTTGGTATAACGTTATTGTCTGCCAAATTCAATGACTATGCTTTACTTGAATTTGCAACCCGTTACATGAAGAATTACTCGGAGCATGTCCCAAGATTTTATGGTGCTCTTAAAGAGCATCATGTAAGTACTCTTGGTGACTCTATACTAGATTTACCAAAACCAGATGCAAACACACTGATCAAGTTGGCGGTTGTAGGAGCTCATTTGAAAGGTTTCCAATTACACTGGCAATTGGAAAAGTGCAATGCCACTTTCTTAAGTGCCACTAGGACTGCTAAAAAGTATAGGTTGTATGCGTTGCCTAAGACTGGTCCCGTCGCCAAGCCAGGACTCAGAAGAGTGGATAAAGGTGGCTCAAACATAGCGATCGAAATATATTCTATACCGAAAGAACGCTTTGGTGACTTCATAGCCATGGTCGTTGAACCTTTAGGAATCGGATCAGCCGAAACAGAGTCAGGAGAGTGGGTGAAGTCATTTATTTGCGAAGAATCTGGTTACAATTTGCCAGGTACTACTGATATTACTGAATTCGGTGGATGGAAAGCGTACCATGAACACTTGGATAAGAACAAGACTAAGAAACCATTTAATTCCGTCTTAGTTGCCAACAGAGGTGAAATAGCGGTGAGAATTATAAAAACATTGAAAAAGTTGAATATAAAATCTATTGCTATATATTCCGATCCTGACAAATATGCTAAACATGTTTTATTAGCAGATTCGGCTATTCCTTTACATGGTGTATCGGCTGCTGAAACATATATTTCTATTGATAAAGTCATTGACGCGGCAAAAAGCTCTGGCGCTGAGGCTATCATACCTGGTTATGGGTTCTTGTCTGAAAATGCTGACTTTTCTGATCGTTGTGCTAAAGAAGGAATTGTTTTTGTTGGCCCTTCTGGTGATGCTATCAGGAAATTAGGTTTAAAACACTCTGCAAGAGATATTGCAAAAGCTGCTGGAGTTCCATTAGTTCCAGGCTCTGATCTTGTCAAAGATTCGAAGGAAGCAAAAGAAATCGCCGCAAAATTGGAGTACCCTGTCATGGTTAAATCCACTGCTGGTGGAGGTGGAATTGGTTTACAGAAAGTTGACTCTGAAGCAGATATTGAAAGAGTTTTCCAAACTGTGCAGCATCAAGGTAAATCGTACTTTGGAGATCCAGGTGTCTTTTTGGAAAGGTTTGTTGAAGACGCAAGACATGTTGAAATCCAAATGTTTGGAGATGGAAGAGGAAATGCAATTGCCTTAGGTGAAAGAGATTGTTCATTGCAACGTCGTAATCAAAAGATCATTGAAGAAACACCTGCACCAAATTTACCTGAAGGTACAAGACAAAAAATGAGAAAAGCTGCTGAATCCTTAGGAGCAACTATGAAGTATAAATGCGCTGGTACAGTTGAATTTATCTATGACCAAAAGAGAGACGAATTTTACTTTTTGGAAGTAAATGCTAGATTGCAAGTGGAGCATCCAATCACTGAGATGGTAACCGGCTTGGATTTAGTCGAGTGGATGTTGTATGTTGCTGCTGATACTCCTCCAGACTTTAGTCAAAAGATTGTGGTAACTGGTGCTTCTATGGAGGCTAGGTTATACGCCGAAAATCCAGTAAAGGATTTCATGCCCTCTCCTGGCCAATTGACTGAAGTGAAGTTCCCTGAATGGGCCAGAATTGATGGCTGGGTTGAAAAAGGAACAGTTGTTTCAGCTGAATACGATCCAACCTTGGCCAAAATAATTGTTCATGGAAAGGATAGAAATGATGCATTAAGAAAGTTGCGTCAAGCTTTGAATGAGACTGTTGTTTTCGGTTGTATTACAAACATTGATTATTTGAGGTCAATTGCGAACTCTTCTATGTTTGAAGAGGCTAGAGTTGCAACTAAGGTATTGGATTCTTTCGACTACAAGCCGACTGCTTTTGAAATATTACACCCTGGTGCTTACACAACAGTGCAAGACTATCCAGGTAGAAAAGGATACTGGCACATTGGTGTCCCTCCCTCAGGTTGTATGGACGAATATTCTTTTAGAGTTGCCAATAGAATCGTCGGTAATGACAAAGCTGCGCCAGGAATTGAAATTACCTTAAATGGTCCCAAAATTTTGTTCCATCATGATGCTGTAATTTCAGTTACGGGAGGTGATGCACCTGTCGATGTTAATGGAAAGGAAGTCAATCAATGGGCACCTATCAACATCAAGAGAGGTGACAAATTGACTATAGGTAAATTGACAGGTGGTTGCAGATCTTATTTAGCAATTAGAGGTGGAATCGATGTTACCGAGTATTTGGGATCTAGATCGACCTTTGCTTTGGGTAACTTGGGTGGATATAATGGAAGAGTTTTGAAATTAGGTGATGTCTTGTTCTTAGGTCAACCTGAAATTTCAAGCTGTACATTACCTGCTCCAATATCTCAACCTCAAAGCGTTTCAAAGTCATTGATTCCAAGCTACTCAAATAAAGAGTGGAAAGTTGGAGTAACATGTGGCCCACATGGTTCACCTGACTTCTTTAAACCAGAATCGGTTGAGGAGTTCTTCTCAGAGACCTGGAAAGTACACTATAACTCAAACAGATTTGGTGTCAGGTTGATTGGACCGAAGCCCAAATGGGCAAGACCTGATGGTGGAGAAGCAGGATTGCATCCCTCTAACGCTCATGATTACGTCTACTCCCTTGGTGCTATCAACTTCACTGGTGATGAGCCTGTCATTTTAACATGTGATGGCCCATCTCTTGGTGGATTTGTTTGTGAGGCAGTTGTAGCAGAAGCTGAAATGTGGAAAATAGGTCAAGTTAAGCCGGGCGATTCGATTCAATTTGTTCCAATCAGCTACGCTGTAGCTAAGTCTTTGAAGAAGCAGCAAGATGAGATAATTCAGGACTTACAAGGTGAATTACCAAATTTTGAAGGAAAGGCTATCAAGCCTGAAAACCCAGTCTTATATCAAGGAAACATTTCCGGTTCACTTAAAGTTACATACCGTCAAGCAGGTGATAGATATGTTTTAGTCGAATACGGTAACAACGTTTTGGATTTAAATTTGAGTTACAGAATCCATAAATTAATCGAAATGGTTGAAGAAAATAAAACCACAGGTATAGTCGAAATGTCGCAAGGTGTAAGATCAGTTTTGATTGAATATGATGATACAGTCACACAAGATCAATTGTTGAACGTTCTCATATCTTATGAGAAGGAAATTTCCTTCGTCAATAAGTGGGAAGTGAAATCCAGGATTATCAGACTTCCAATGGCTTTTGAAGATAAGAAAACTTTGGATGCAGTCAAGAGGTATCAAGAAACCATCAGAAGCGATGCCCCATGGCTTCCTAACAATGTTGATTTCATTGCAAACATTAACGGAATAGAAAGGGATGACGTGAAGAATATGGTTTACAGTGCCAGATTCTTGGTCCTTGGATTAGGGGATGTTTTCTTGGGTGCACCTTGTGCTGTTCCATTGGATCCAAGACATAGATTCTTGGGAACCAAATACAACCCTTCAAGAACTTTTACCCCCAACGGTACCGTGGGAATTGGCGGTAATTACATGTGTATCTATACAATGGAGTCTCCAGGTGGTTACCAATTGGTTGGTAGAACAATTCCAATTTGGGATAAGTTGACATTGGGACATCATTCTGTCGTCCATCCATGGTTATTATCTCCATTTGATCAGGTTGAATTTTACCCGGTTACCGAAGAAGTACTCGATGAATTTTCTGAAGAGATGGAACATGGTAAATTCAAAGTAGATATTATTGACTCTGTGTTTGATCACACTCGTTACCTCGAATGGATACAAGAGAACTCTAAGTCTATCGAAGACTTCCGTAAGAATCAAGGAGGTGAAAAGTTGGAGGAGTTTAATAGACTTATTCAAATATCTAACAGCGATTTGGAGAAGTCAGGCACAAAAGTAACCGAAGACGAACAATTCGACGAAAACGCCGAATTGGTTTATTCTGAATATTCTGGTAGATTCTGGAAATCTCTCGTAAGTGTCGGCGATGAAGTCAAGGAGGGTCAAGGTTTAGTTGTGGTTGAAGCCATGAAAACCGAAATGATAGTTAATGCAACAAGAAGCGGAAAAGTTATTAAAATTTTACATAAAAATGGTGATATGGTTGATGCGGGTGATTTAGTTGTTGTTCTCGAATAAGTTTTTTATAGTTCATGTTAATATTTAGTGTTTTATACATATCAATTGATATCAATGTATCCTCCCTCTGTAGTACTTGATTTTTAATCCAAGACGACATTTTTATAGAATCGCGTCTAATGAAATATTCAAAGAAAACGACACGATTCAAGAAAGGTCAACTAATCGACCATGGCTGAAAAATCTGAGTCAGTTACATCGGCTGCTTCATTGCAGCCTGAGTTATGGACTTCGTCTGCAAATGACGTATTGAAAATTTTCATCACTGATCCTAATGGTGCTATAAGTTTTCCACCAATATTCACGTATCCACTCTTTGGAGATTCAGAGACTATATACGGATATCAAGACTTGGTAATATACTTATGTTTTGATCATCTAACATTCAGGCCCTTTTTAAATGTCAAGTACACTAATAAGTTGGAAGACGATCAGATAATAGATGTCAAGGAAACGATGTTGAAAGTTTTACCTGAAAGTGTAATTTATAAAGACGAATTGAAGTGGGTAGATAAGGTTAACGAAGAAAAGAAAAGTTACAAGATTCCAGGTGAAATCTTTGATTCCTTTGAAAAGAATGGTGAAAAGTTTACTATATATAAAATCAACTTGAGAAGTGTCGAAGGAATAGAGTTGCACAAACGTTTGCAAATACTAGTTTTATTCTTCATAGAAGCCGGCTCATACATAGATGTCAGTGATCCTTTCTGGAATTTGTACATTTTGTACAAGCATGGTGAATCAGAACAATCGTCTTCAGTAGTTGGATTTGTTACCGCATATAACTATTGGACGTATCCTGGCCACAAAAAGTTTGACGAGGACATCAAGCAAACGAGGACGAAGATCTCACAGATGATTATACTTCCAAACCACCAAGGTAAGGGGCTTGGAGGATCTTTCTACTCTAGTCTTTATACGAAGTGGCACACAGAGCCCCAAGTATACGAGATTGTCGTCGAAGACCCAAATGAAGCCTTCGATGACCTTAGAGATAGAAGTGATTTACAACTGCTTAAGAAAGCGTTCGATATAAATAAAATTACTACTGCCACGATCACAAAAAGTTGGATTAATACTACTAGGTTGCAATTGAAATTAGACAAAAGACAATTTTCCAGATTGCTCGAGATGATTTTATTGTACAATGTGAATCATGGAGGTTCCGATACGAAAAAGGCTGTAAGACTCTTTATAAAGAAGAGACTTTATGAAAACAATAAAGATGGCTTACTCTCTTTGGATGATCCCACAAGACGAGATAAGCTTCAGACCGCTTACGTTTCCCTAGAACTGGACTATTATCGAATCTTAGGTAATATGCTGCTTGCTCCCGCGAAAAGAGCAGCTTCTCCGGTGGACACCGGTCCAAAGAGGCATCATCTGTAGCGAGACGACTCCTTTGCGCACTCCTAAAGCAGCTGCCCGCTGAGGGGGGTGGGAGATGAATATATAAAACTATGAATCCTTCGCATCACAGGAGATAAAGCTGCCGAGCCAAATATACGATCATGTAGTCTATTATACAGTTGCCACTTACGTTTCTCTCTAGTTCTTTTGCACCCATCGTTGCTGCGGTTGACTGCGAGGTAGGGACCACTTCTCAAATGCGGCTTTAGTCATTTAAATAGCAATGATTCCGCGAAGTCGCACCAGCCCAAATTCTTATAAATACTCAGCAATTCCAGGTAATCGACGACCAGCAATTGTAGCGATCCTTCAAAGAATTAACATACTTGATATAGCTAGCAAGTTAAAGATTTAAGATATAGCAAAAATGCACAGAACTTATTCATTGAGGTCGCAAAAGGCACCGACTGCGTCGCAATTGCAGTCTCCTCCACCCCCCCCTTCTACTACTAAGTCCAAATTCTTCGGTAAGGGAGGAATTGCATCTTCGTTCCGTAAAACTGTTGCCGGCAACACTGGCCCCGAGTTATCGAGGAAGTTGTCGCAATACATCAAGATGGAGAAGAATGTTATGAGGGCAATCGAGTTGACTGCAAGAGAGCGTAGAGACGTTGCTAAACAATTGAGTGCCTGGGGTGAGACCAACGATGACGATGTCTCTGACGTGACAGACAAATTGGGAGTTCTTATTTACGAAATTGGTGAATTGGAAGATCAATACATTGACAAGTATGATCAATACAGAATCACTTTGAAAACAATTCGTAATATCGAGTCGTCTGTCCAGCCATCGAGGGATAGAAAGCAAAAAATTACTGATGAAATTGCGCACTTGAAATACAAGGATCCCCAATCTCCAAAGATCAACGTTTTGGAACAAGAATTGGTCAGAGCTGAAGCTGAATCCTTAGTTGCCGAGGCTCAATTGTCAAACATCACTAGAGAACAGTTGAAGGCTGCCTTCAATTACTTGTTTGATGGAACTAGAGAATTGGCTGAAAAGTACGCTTTAATTGCTGGTTACGGAAAGGCGTTGTTAGAATTATTGGACGATTCTGCTGTTACTCCTGGTGAAACTAGGCCTGCTTACGACGGTTACGAAGCTTCCAAGCAAATCATAATTGATGCTGAAAATGCATTGGCTGCATGGACATTGGATTCCGCTGCTGTCAAGCCTACTTTATCTTTACACCATGACTACGACAGAGAAGAGCCTGCTGATTCTGAATTAGATGAAGCAGAACACGAGTTTGCGAAGCACGATGAAGATGAAGGCGTTGAAGCTAAGTAAAGAGCTACAGACTATGTTTTACCATACGCTTTCGTATTTGACTATAAATTTTTTTTCTTTTTCTCTATCCTCTAAAAGAAACACAGTTTTTCAACATCAGCAATCTTGTTCTTTTGCTTTCTTGTTATTATTATAACTTTCACGAAGCTTGTTGAATGTAATATGTTTAATTTGTACTATTCAAGATTAATAAAAGACTTCGATTTTTCGTTGCATTCATTGCATGGTTACCACCTTGCTTCGGTAGTTAGATAAACAATTATCCGAGTTACCTTTTAGGGAATTTGTCCCATCAAATTCACAATAGTAGCAAGTTTTTATCAATCTGGTCACAATTGACCCTAATACGGAAGTAGTCGACTCGAAGAACGTGCCGCACGATCGTGGCTCAAAATTTTCCTCACACTTCCACCACAATTTCAATTTTATCGCCAGTCAACAACTGAAATTCGCCAAGCTGGTCGGGAACGACTATCATCACGAGACTTTTGCTCGCTAAAGCCAAGATACTTGAAAACGAATTTGCAGCTAATTTTCTATTGATTGATGCCTCTCCTCTTTCCTGACTGGTGATCATGTTTGGAATCAAATCTGAGAACTTGATCTTCGAATAGGTTTTTGTTAAACCATCTTCTTCGTGATTGCCTTCGACAGAAAGTTGCGAGCCTTCCGTTACTCTGTTCAATTCTATTTGATTCAGATGAAACGGCTCCCCGATCACGTCATGCCTTGCCTTCAAAAAGTTCAAAAACCTGATTATTTGGTAATTGAGTTTTGCAGTTTGCGTCTGTGTTGCATTTGCATCTAGTGGGTGATCTAAGAAATCTTCCTGGCGATAATCGTGTTCGATTTCATCGTCAAGTCTGCTGCTATGGTGAGGATGTTGAGAACTCTTTGAAGTAAGTCTATTTCTTAGCTCGTCTTCATTTAGCTCATTGAAGGATAGTTCAAACACATCAGTTCGTGACTGATCTATAGAATGTGGTTCACGCTCAGCATCATCTAATTCGAAATCGTATTGTTGGTTAAGAAGATTCTCTTCAACTAGTGTACTTTCTTGAACATCCCTACCTAATTCGTGGTCTGCATCATTGGGAACTCTGGACATCAATTGAATTTCTTTAATGATGGAATTCATAGCTAGCAAAGAGTTATCTGATAATTTAGTATTCCTACTAACTGTAGGTAATTTTAGATTTGGCAATGAAAACTTATTTTTAAAAATGATCTTATTCACATAATTCAAAAAGGGTGTCTGCTGAGAATTGAATTCCTCTAACAAATCATTGTAAGCCACTGTTTCGGCCATAGCGTCTCTTCTTAATTTAGAGAGCTCTTCCATGCTTTGTGTGTAATTTTCAACTGATTTCGCCATCGTTTTGCTTGATATTTTCAAATCATTGGTTGCATCAACGAATAAGTTATGAAATTCCCTTTTCTCTTTCTGTGGTTTAGCTTTATTAATCTGCAATTGAGTTACGCTAGTTTGGTTATCTGTGGTTGATAGGTGAAAGTTTTCATCGTTGTTTATTGTTTTATCAATCGTTGGTTCAATTACGGGCCCTTCGAAACTAAGTGTTGCATTTAAATCAAATTCTTCAAGACCAGTGATATCTCCATCATTTCCCTCTGAACCATCCCGTGCCACGAGGTCCCCATTATGATCAAATTCAAAACTCAATTCTACGTCTCGTGCTCCATCGCCCGTAAGGAATCCGCGACCTCTTGGCTTTTGTCTTTTTCTTGAAGGTGCGTCCGCATCCGCTTCATCACTCAATTCTCCAATTGACTGCAAATCTTGATCCATGAAATTTTCAATAGTTTGAAGGTGTGTATCCTGAAATTCATTCATCTGTCCATTTTCTAAGGAGTTTTCTACGAAGGTTGAATAGTGAAATGCAGTATTTGGGAAGATATCTTGATCGAATTGTTTGATCTCCAATTTTCTTCTCTTGCAATGTTGAAATAAGGAATCATCAACATCTAAAGGAGGAACCAAATCAACGCTAATATCAAAAGAAGGATCATTCTGTAAGAAATGCTGAACTCCTTTGGTCTTGACATTGTTTTGTTGGCCATCTATCTCAAGAAGTGTCATATTACTTGCTACCTCGCTTGTTGCAATACTTTTCAAAAACAAGTCTTTAGTCAATCGGGATTTGATCAACGAAATATCATTCAAGAAATAATTCACCTTCGACTTGTACATTAGACTGATCCCATAAAGGATACTAGATGAATATCTAATATTTCTATCCTGACCTATGTTCATTAGGTCTTCACAAACTTCTGGAATCGAGATTTGCAATATCTCTTTTCTAATTGATTTTTTGGCGTGCATCTTTGAGCCTAGGGTCGCCAAGAGCCATGCTGTCTGAATTCCAGTAGGCTTTGCAAGATAAGTGCCTTCTTCCATAATTTCAGCTTAATACTTGGGAAGAGAACTGCAAAACGATGAACTAAATCAATAAAATATAGGATGGCTGTAAAACTACAAAAATTAATTCCTGCATTTTACTTCCTCAATTAGGCAATACTTAATGAAGAAAATACAGGATTCAAATGGAAAAATATACCAATATACAAAAACTAAAGAGATGCTGCTTCATCGTAAAATATACAATTGGCCAATATCAGGCCAAACGCTTATTCAAATTTCGTAATTTTTCATAAATGACAACTAACCACTTAGTCGCCATTGCAAAATCATTTTCCCTGATTGAATCTTGGAACGGAGCAAAAGCACTTTGTTTGAATCTTTCTATTTTATTACCGGTGGCAAGCTTTGGAGAAAACTTTGCGACACCAAATATTATGTGGTTGAAAAAGGTTTTTTTAGGATCAAGGTTTAGATAGTCGTAATCTTTCGTAGCTAATTGAAATCCCTTCTCAAAATGAAGTAATTTATAATTAGAGACCTTGAATTGAGCATAGATCTTTAGCTTTTTATAATATTTATACCAAGCGAAATCTTGAATCAAAGATTCTTCGACTTCCACGGCATAATTATCGTAAATCACTGACAGGATAATTGTTTCATTCAATAAGCCCTGTAACCTATTGAGGACATCGCCAAACGTGAAAACTGAGCCATCTCCAAGTTCTTCTTTTAAATCAGAATACAAATAAAATTTGCTTATGAGTTCAGTAGGAACATCTCTATCCGACCAAGCTTTTAATTTATCAGAATTACTGTCAATAGATTCCTTAAAAAGGTCAAGGATTGTTTTAAAATATGATTCTGTCTTGATATGAGCAACCTCATGTTCACTAAATGTTATCATCAATAATCCAAGAAACCTTACCAAGGTACTGTGATATCCCAATTTGTTATCTATATCTCTTTTCATAAGCCAGTTATAGGAATAGTAGTTTGACCCAGGAATATATAATGAGGTGTCCTTACTTGGATTATTTTCAAATTTAACGTTTACGATTGGAACTCCTAAATGCGTTTGAAAGACCAAAGCATCTTTGTCGGCTATCTGTTCACCAAGAATATTATTAATACTGCGATTATCTTGATTGGACCAATATCTGTACAAGGTCATTAGGTTATCATCATCAATATCACCAGGTAAAGTTCCAGGAATGTCCTCATATGGATTAGATTTTTTTGGTAGAACAATGTATTTCGAAATATCCTTCAAAAGATGGTTAAAAGAAGGATTTGAGTCTACTTTGAATTTACTTCCTGTGACTGCATCACCATCAATATTAATATAACATAAAATTGGGTGATTAGGATTGAACGAGGATATATCATTAGTAAACTTCTGAGAACCTATCAAGCCACTACTAGAAGCATCCCAGGAAACGAATTTAATCGTTCTTAATGGTTTCCAACCAATTTTTCTCAATTTCTTCATATGTCTCATTATTTCCAACATTACCGCATGCCCACTCAAAGGATTTGAGGATGTAAAGCTGTCTCTCCTTGCACCAATAACAACATCACCGTCTTTGAGAACGCCATGAATAGAACCAACAATATTACTCAATCTTCTTGACTTCGGTTTTTGTTCAAACAGGCAGCTTAGGTCTAAGATTAAAGTGCCATCCCCCTCTGGATAATAGTCCCAATCCTTAAATGCATCATCTCTAGGATTTATTGATAAGGTGTCCAAAATAACCTTTATAGTCTTCAAATTTACTGGAATACACAAAATGTCAGTTAAAGTAAGGTCGTTAAGTTGACCATACCCAGCCGACTCCCTGATAATTGCGTGCTCAAGATTACTTTTGCTCCCTTGATTATCCTTTCCTTTTAAATCGTAGTAGTTCACCAATGCCTTGGCACCTTGCCTTTTCGCAATTATCAATTTTTCGGCAAGAGTGAGCCCACTATCTTTGCCATCAGATTTACTGATGACTATTTTGTCCTTTGGGTTAATTCCATTGGATTTCAAAAGCTCGTAGTCCCCGTTTGTTCCTTCATTTATAAAGACGAATGCACCCTTCGCAGTGCCATTATATCCAAGGGAGCTAAAGGCTGGAGTAGAAAATTTCGGCTCTAACAAATCTGAAGCGTACAAAATAGTGCCTTCCTCAGAATCGAGTAGCTTTAAGGACAGACTAATAGGTTTTTTCAAATCTGGCGCATCATAAGTAAATTCCTCTGGCTCAAAGCCCATAGACTTAAATGACTTCTTCACATAAGAAACAAGAGGCAAATTATCGTCTGCTAAGAGATTTACTGGACTCTTTGAATTAAAATCCGTAATATTTGTCAACCACCAATTTATGTGATCTTCATTAGATCCATAATTATCATGAGCACCTATGCCACTGAAAACTAAGAAGCTTCTCTTTACATCACTCTTTGTCAAATGTAAACCATGCCATCTTCTAAAATCCCTACTGAAAGACGTCCTTGGTAAAAAGGACAAATGTAGAATAATTATAGCGATGATACCCAAAAAACAGGACCACCAAAATCTCTTTTTAGAGAATCTGTGGCCTCGAATGAAAATGCTATCTGCATCATCATCCGTGTATTTGGATTGTACATCATCAAGTTCATCAACTTGCGGTTCCCCTCGGAATGATTGAATAGACTCTTGAGAGCCCAACAAAGGGTCCCTATCACTTGCCATACTTTCCAGTTCCATAATATATCATAGAGATTGAATGAATATGTAAGTTAATAAAAATACAGGTAATTTATAGTTATATGAGATGAGAACCAGGTGGTACCTGATAACACTATCATCACGTGATTAATATTATGTCACACCCAAGCAGGATACAATCCATAATGAAGTTCTGGTAGAATACATGAAAGAAAGCAGAGACGCAAACATGATGGATAGGATGAAATTGACGATCGAAGTTGCATTGACCTTTTTGATCAACTTTAAGTGATTTGATTTGATCTCGCAATGATAATAACTAGTTGTGAAAAGGAATAGGGGAGAATATCGTTTTAGTTCAAAAGAATAGAGAAATATTTGGTCATACATTATCTTCCTACTGGATTTATAAACAATCTGGGCCACTTTTAAAGTGAAAAATAGGTATTTGCTCTTCTATTCAACATCTTTAGATTTGTAAACAGCTTATAAGGCACTTTTTTTAGTACATTTTAACAAGAAGAAAGCTGGCTCGTTTGTCAGTTAATATTCTGTTGTAATGTTGGCGCGAGTTCAAACCTCGTGGAACTCTATAACTAGTTCAAACCTAGGGATAAAGTTCCCCTATGTGTTCAAACCACTGGGGCCCGTCACGACGTGGCATTGTTTGCAATCAGTTCAAACCTGATTTCGATTTGCCGACCACTCAATCCGGTATGAGTTCAAACCTCAATTCGGAAATAAAGCGCAAGTTCAAACCTTGCTAAACACTAAGTTCAAACCTTGGTGGTGTGATAGAGAGAAGTTCAAACCTTCTCTCTCGGTCTCTCTCTCAGCAGTTACGGTTCGAACCTGTAATCCGTGAGAGGGCCAAACTTAAAGTTCCGGTTAGGAGCTTGATCTGAGTTCGAACCTCAGTGAATGTTAAGTCTTCGGTTCAAACCCGATCACTTCAAAAACAGCTTCAAACGCTGTCTGTGGTTCTCCTTCGGTTCAAACCTGATTGAGCACACAATTCTATATTAGAGGTTCAAACCCCCTAATTGCACAATGATATTTGCCAATGCAAGTTCAAACCTTGTGGAAGCAAAAGAAGAGTTCGAATCTCTTTTTTGCCTAATTTTTACCTTACTTTATTTCTCTAACGCCATGATATCCAAGAGGCTTCTTACATCTTTCTTTTTTGGTTGTAGTTGGGGGTCCTAATTCTTGCCTGTTGGTCTTCATCCTTCCGATGCTCATCTCTGGTCTTGAATATATTCTTGCGCGCTACGTATTTAGTGTTATAATTAATTATTTAGAAAAAAGCTCATTACTATATCTCTATCAAACGAAGGGTAATTCAATACTGAACTAATAGAGTAGTGGAACAAGTAATTTCCACTCTCACATAATTCTTCTTGAAAGATTTCTATACCTGTTATCTTATGTTATGAATCAAATTACAAGTAGTGAAATAATAAACGATGCATTTCAGTCGGTGTCAAAACCAAAAGAAAGAGTAAAACAGCTGATTCAGGATTTAGAGGAGTTAAAATCGTATCAGTTAAATAAACGGAAAGAATACGAGCAGCAATTAAACAAGAATAGGCTCAATTTCGGCCAGTGGTTGCGTTATGCTAAATGGGAACTAAATAATAATCATGATTTTCAAAGAGCTCGATCGATATTTGAAAGAGCGTTGGAGGTAAACGTCGAACATGTTCCTTTTTGGGTTCAATACATTCAAGCAGAGCTACAAAATAGAAATATAAATCATGCTCGAAATTTGCTTGACAGGGCAGTCACAATATTGCCCAGAGTCGATAAATTGTGGTTTCTATATGTTCAAACGGAGGAGATGCTTAAAAGCTATTTGAATGTGAGAAGTGTTTTTGAGAGATGGCTAGAATGGAAGCCTGTTGAGTCTGCATGGGAAGCTTATATTAATTTTGAGATACGTTATGATGAACTTGATAATGTGCGAGACTTGTTCATGAGGTTCGTGAAAGCGTATCCAAAGGGAAGCGTATGGTTGAAATGGATTGAGTTTGAGCTTAGCTTGGGTTCAAGGTTTATCAGAGAGACCTTCGAACTAGCTGTTGACGTGATGCTAGGAGATCCAGCTACGAAGAATGACCCCGACTTAGCATACATAATATGTAAGTGGGCAGAATGGGAGGTCTCAGTAAAAGAATACAAAAGAGCAAGAATGATTTACACAGCTCTGGTGGAAAAGTTTGCTAAGGATTTGCTGCCTGATAAAATTAATTTGATTTATCAATCTTATATAAATTTTGAAAAGCTCTACGGAGAAGAAGACAACATAGAAGAAAGCATAGTTCTCAAGAGACAAAAAAGATACGAGGTAGAGCTAAAGCAAAATCCTTATGATTTTAACACATGGTGGCTCCTACTTAATATTTTACCAAATGATGCCGCTACAGTAAGACCTTATTTTGAGGAAGCGATAAGAAATGTGCCACAAGATACTAAAAAGACGTTGAATTGGAGACGGTTTATACTAATCTGGATTAGATATGCATTATGGGAAGAATTCAATAACTCTGATTCCTCTAAAGCTCGTCAAGTTTGGAGTGATTGTTTAAATGTAATCCCTCATAAACGATTTTCCTTTGGAAAAGTTTGGATTCATTTTGCAGAATTTGAGATTAGAAACAGCAACTTGACAAATGCTAGAAAGATACTAGGAAGGGGAATTGGACAAGCGAATCGTTCAAAGCCAAAACGAAGTTTATTCCAGTTCTATATTGATCTTGAACAAAAGTTGGGCGAGTGGGATAGAGTAAGAAAGATTTTCGAAAAATGGTTGGAATCAGTTCTTATTAGCCCCACGACTGAAGTTTCGGCTATGGAGGTTTTGTTCGCTTATATCTCCTTTGAAAGTAGAATGAAAGAAAATAATAGATGTGTTGCACTTTTCAGTTTGGGTATCAGACTAGCTGAAAATATTCCTGAAAAGTTTCCTCATCTTGAACACTTATGGATGGCATTCATTAATTACTATAAGGAGGAGATGATGTACTCAGAAGCAAGGGAGTTATACAAACAATTAATAGAAAAAACTTCAAGTCCACAAGCATGGATATCACTTGCCCTCTTTGAGATATCAGTTCCAAATGAGACTCAATTAACGCAATTCTTAGGTGGTCAAGATGAAACATTCGAGTTTGCTATTGAAGACCCTCAGATGGAAAAGAGCCGGTCTGTTTTCCAAGAAGCCAACAGATTTTTTAAAGATACGGGTTCCAATAGGGATAGAGCTATTATTCTCAATGAATGGAAAGATTTCGAAGAATCATATGGAGACGAACGTTCAATCAAACTGATTGAAGAGAAACTTCCTGTGATTTCCAAGAAAACTAAGTTAAAAGACAATGTCGAAGAGGAGTATTTAGAGTATATATTTCCTGAAGATCAGAATGACAGTCCTAACCCTCCAACTGGATTAGGTGCATTTTTGGCAAATGCCAAAAAATGGGCTATGAAAGATGAAATATAATTAAGGTCGTCAATTAATACGTATGTATAATATAAGTATATGTGAAGTTTGCTGTAAGTCATACTCAGCATTCATGTTGATTCCAATAGAAAGTCTGTCTAGCCTCCTCTCAATGTCAAAACCAAATGTAATGAGGCTCCTGGCCCGATCCCTGACTCTTCAACAGTGCTGTTATCATCAAGCTGTGATCCATTAAAAATCAAACGCTGCTGTGAAGGTGGGATTCCTTCTTTCTCCTCCATCATTTCTTTAATTCCTATGATCTTGTCAGTTGGCTCAATATCAACAAGAATATCTCTACCCGTTAAAGTCTTCACCTTCACCCGCATACTTTAATAAGTAACACTTGTAGATTAACTTTGATTAGAGAAAATATATTATGGTTTATTTTTTAAAGTTCTCACACCTATTTGTCTCTCATATAAACGCAAAAAAATTTCACAATAATCACAAGATGCTTCCTACACCTACTGTGAAGAATATAGACTACAATAGAGTATATGAGCCTTCAGAAGATACATTTCTTCTACTCGATTGCTTTGAAAATGAATCAGATCAACTAAAAAGAGACAATAATGGAAAAGTACCTATTGTTGTAGAGATTGGAATAGGGTCAGGAGTGATCACAACTTTTGTAAAGCAGAATATCCTACCAAATGCTGTTATGATCGCAACAGATATCAATCTTCATGCATGTAAGACTGCTTTAGAAACTGCAAGTATCAATAAGCAAAGCTTTGAGGTATGCCGTATGAATTTGACAAGGGGAATCAAAAGCAATATTATAGACATTCTTATATTCAACCCACCTTATGTTCCTTCCGAGTCACTTCCGAAACCGTCTAACTTGTCTGGATCTGGTTCGTGGGAAGATACTGAATGGCTAGACCTGGCTTTGCTTGGTGGTGAAGATGGAATGGTGGTGACTTGGAAGCTTTTGAATGACTTGAGTGAAATTCTCACCCCAGGGAATGGTGTTGCATATGTGTTGTTCTGCGCTAGAAACAACCCAGAAAGAGTTTCTTCCATAATGAGATCCAGAGGGTGGAAGGTAGATACTATAATTACCAGAAAAGCTGGCTGGGAAGTATTAAGTGTACTCAAATTTCAGCAAGTCGTATGAATTAATTGCATAATTTTGTCTTTCGACAACCTCATAATTTCAAGCAATTGTAGATATTAGACTCAATGAGGTATTGTCGGTAGAGGTTTAATGAATAAAACGATATAAAACATGTATTGCAACTACATAGATATTAAACTGCAATATTTCAAATATTTATAACATCATCGCATGGTTTTACAGTTTATGGGTTTACCTCACTTTTCGTCATTCATCGAAGCTGTTAAAGAATCTCTATACGTATTATCATCACATCTTGACTCCCTGTAATGTCAGAGTATAGCCTGAGATATAGAGATGATGACCGAAGAAATGCGAGGGGCAGGAATATAGCTAGAGACTCCCCCGCGAGCAATTTGTCTCAAGGAAGAAAAACTAAGTGGTCTGGCACACCATCAAGATATAAGAATGTGGGACGAGAAAAGTTGGATACTATTATAACGGGGCATTTGACACCAGAGCAGATTGATGCATACCAGCAGTATTTCCGTATAGAAGAGATTTCAGACATATTAAGAATTTCGCAGCAGCTGCATCGAGATATAATGAGTCTTCTTCCATCAGGTAGATCTAAAGAGATTCCAAATTATAAGCGAGACCCTTCCCCACCACCTAAGTACGATAATGCTGGTAATAGGACTAATACAAGGGAGGCAAGGACAAGGGAAGCTCTCGAAAAGGAAAGACACTATCTAGTTGAATTTGCTGCTAGCAGCATAAAGGACTACATATCACCTTACGATTATCGAAAACCAACGAAAACTTTTGAAAAGCTTTATATCCCTGTTAAAGACTATCCGGATATTAATTTCGTTGGCCTTTTGCTTGGGCCAAGAGGGAATACTTTGAGATCATTGCAAGATGAAAGTGGAGCAAAACTCGCAATTCGAGGTAAAGGTTCAGTTAAAGACGGTAAATCGACTTCTTCGGGTAATGATAACGATGAAGGAAATAGCTCATTTTCCTTAACGTCATTTTCCAACCCGAATCTTGAATCCACTTCTGATGACTTACACGTAGTGGTAACCGCAGATTCTCAACAAAAAATTGCCACGGCTATTAAGCTAACAAATCAAGTCATCGAGAAGGCAATTTCTTCACCAGTGGGCCAAAATGATTTGAAAAGGGGCCAACTAAGGGAATTGGCTATTTTGAACGGTACATTAAGAGAAACAAAGCCATTTGATCCTGAATCATACCAAAAGCGTCAACAAGCTCGCCAAGGATTGGATATTTCTCAAATAGTTTGTAAAATTTGCGGTAAGGTGGGTCATTTTGCTAGAGATTGTAAATTCAAGAATCAACGTGCGCCTTTCAATGGCGATGATCAGAATCAAAGACCTTTCTCTCCTCGGGCAGAACAAGAAGGACAAAGAGATGGTGAACGAGCAGGAGATAGAGAAGAGCCTTCACCACCTCTCAAAAGGAAGAAGCCTAATGCACCTCTTCCTCCGTGGCAAAGTGAAGAAATACAACCAGAGAGGAATCAGCCTCCTCCCGCTATATCAGGTCGACCACCACCTCCTCCAGCTGCTGCAATCCCACGTCCTCCTCCACCACCACCTTCTCTAAACATCCAACGTCCACCACCACCACCTGCTGTAAAGAACGCAACAGGGAAACCACCTCCTCCACCTCCACGGGCCCCCCAATGACCACGAAAAATGTGAAAACTATTCAAAGTCTTGCACAAGAATTCGACCAATATCTCGAATTTTTCGAATTATAACCATGCCATTTATCACTAGGACCGCATTCAAAGCTTCATTCTACATTTTATAACGTCATAACCATTACATTTATTGCGATAGCCTACTAAATATGTACGAACGATGCATTTTCTTTCAAACAAGTGTAGCCACTCCTCTCTACCACCTCGTCTTTCCCCAATTGTATAAGCTGAAAGAGCTTTAAATATAATCTTCCAAAAGTAGCTTCTATTCATTTTTCAGCCTGTTTTCCTACGAGATCTAGACTCTCATACACAGAGCCACTTGACTTGTACAAATCAGAAGCAACCACTCCATTCTTACTTTGTTCATTGTCTTTCAATTGTTGAAGCATGATTCTCGTTTTTTCTCTTTCCTTGAAACCATGTAAACATTCAAAATAGTCATCAAATTGAGGTGTACATTCTTTCTTTGTAGCAGTGTCTGCCGAAGTATAACATGCTACTAATGTCTGGAACTCGTAAAAACACTTCCTAGTACCTCCAGTTCTTGAATATGGCTGCATTATTACCTAGGAAACGATTGCTTTGACAATAACGGTCTATTATGTATTTAAGTGTTACCTATCTAGTCTCTTTAATGTCTTTTGATGTACTGTAATTGGTCGATGATCGATCAAAAATATAGTCGTGCGCAATGCACAAAAAGAGTTGGCTCCAGTGATCACGAGAACGATATTTTGCAATCGTCTATTACTATACTATACTATACATATGCTAACATTTCACGTATACAAGCTCTAACCTCGTAGTACAATGGACCCATGATCCCATCTATCACAATGTCCCCAGTGTCGTCGCCTTCAATGCCACTATAAGATACTTTACGAATAGCCAAGACATCATTAACCACTAGAGTACCTTCACTTTTGAATTCAGCACTAAGGTCACGGCTCAAGAGTTTCCTTTTCAACTCTGGTAAACGGATATTACCTACAGCGAGTTTTGGGGTTGATTTTTCTTGTGAGTATTCTGATGACGGCTGCGTCAACAAGAACTTGGTAGATGGATTTATGAAATCATTTACTGTCCTTTGCTTTTTTCTAACAGATGACTCCGGATTGTGTATCTCTAGTTGACCATATACTTTTGCAATTCTGTGGCTGCCATCGAGTTTTTGCCATTTAAGGCTGTTGATGACGTTGTCATCTAATTTGACTTCAAAATTATTAAGACCGCTTGGATTGTCCTCACCTCCTATGTTGACAGCCAAATTGTATTCTATCCCGGTAACAATCATCTTTTTTGACTCATTGTACCCGGATGATGACATCATGCCTCTTCTAATTGATGCAAGAGACATCACTTTTGATGAGCTAAGTAAAGTGGTATCTTGTTGGATAGCCTCATGTTGATCTTGTTGCTGGTCGAACATTTTTTTGACTTGTTTCAAACCATCGGCAGTGTCATTGTCACCCTCACTATTGGTAAAGTCAGGGAGTAATAGGAGATTATAAGGCTTAAGAGCTGAAACTATAATACTCAAGGATCTGGAATCAACGAGCCCCGAAAGATCCACAAATGATAAGCCACATCTTATTCTCAATTCTTGAGGTTGGGTTGAAAGAGACGATGCTCCATTAAGTGGCACCCTTTTTCTAGGACTAAATAAGGTATCCAAATTCTTTTGCAATACCTGATTATTCAAAACCTCTTGAGGAGTCAACTTATTACCTTGGTTATTTTTATTATTCTTATCATTTTTCTTTCCATTCTTATCTACATTTCCCCATTTTCGTTTGTCATCAAATTTTTTTTTGCTGTCCATAATTAATTTATTCGTTGTCGAGTCTTCGTTTTTTTGAAAACTTGCAAGATCAATTACTTCTCCGTAATCGTCAAACTTTTGCTTATGAAGTGCACTAAAGTAGGGAAACATGGCTTGTCTAGGCTTCATTTTGTAAGTTATCTTAATATCCAACGGCTGGTTAGAATCAAGAGCATCTCTTACATTATCTACTATAAGGGCATCATTTATCTCATCAACGGAGGCGACCGCAGTCGAAGCTGACTTTAATTTAAGGTCATCTAAATTATCTGGATTTTCATTTTCCGATTCTTCATCATCTGAAGTCTCGTCGCCACTGATAGTATCAGCATTCAATAAATCTTGATTTTTTCTATTTTTGACTTTAGCAATCAATTTTTGCTTTCTCGTTTGTTCAATTCTTTCCTTAAAGTCAGAAAGCTCGGTACCAACCAATGGTTCTTCTCGTGTCCAGCCATCCAACTTTACGACAGTTTCCAATGGAACGGCAATACCGTCTTCAACTGTGCCGTTCTTGATCTTAGTCAATTTGTACCATTCGTGATATAGGCGGCTGCTTATGAACTCGTTTGAAGAAAAGTGACTCTTCTCGGTTAAAATTATTGTCGTATTCTGATCCTGGCATAGATAAGCTAAAGCTGCAGATGACATGTCCCCGTTCCTAAAGTCAACACCTGAACTAAATACGATTTTGGGGCCACTCAACTGGATTAATTCTTCTGGGTCCAGCAAGAGATCAACTTTGGAAGGATCATATGGGAAATTGTTCTTATTGGACAGTGTTGCCGACGATGAAGCTTCTTCCCACTCCTTAACCATCAGAGAAGACATCCATTCTAAAAGCGTAGAGGCATAACTTAAGACTTTAGTACCAGAATACGAAAGAAAATAAACAGGTATGGGTGCACTTTGTAAATGCTGATCTATTAAATGTAATAGTTCTAAGAATCTTCCTGATAGCGATGTTGGCAACAATACTGCTCCGCCGTTTGCCAATGTAGCATCGACGAGAGATAGGAACTTTTCTGTCCTCTTTTTGTGCGACATCGTCGACCCAAGATCTGTATTCGTTATTAATGCAGTGGGTCTCATTAGCAGTGATAATGGGTTACCGTTCGACAAAAAGCTAGCACTGTTCAAAAACGAGTCCTTAGAATGGTTCCAGGACGGTGCGTAAATTACCTTCTCTAACTTCTTTGTTATTAACCAGAAGGTACCACCCAAAGTATGCCCTGCATTGTAAGGAGTAAGATTCAAATTATTATCAAAAAGACTCAAGGATTGAAAATATTTCAAGGGAATGATTTTGTCAAACCACTCGTCTACTTCTTCAATCTCAATAAGAGCACCCTTAAGAGGCCCAAGGATACCACAAGATCTGTAAAACTCGACTGTGGATATTCTACCCAATTGATTCACCGGAACCGTAGAATAGACTGGGATATTACTCAACAAGTTAGGGAATTTGACACACATTAACACATATCCCCCTATGAAATCTGGCGTAGCATGCGAGAGTAATATGAAGTTCGTGATTCTTAAGTATTGTTCCAAGAATAAGATATCATCAGGATTTTCGCCATTCCAGCTTGGATCTACCATGATTCTAATATCATTATCAAACGTCATCAATGCCGTCTTACAGGAAACAACCTTCGAATCAGGTGTTAATAGCTCGAAGGTGAACATCCTGCTATTGTTAGTAATCTCAAACAGGGGCTGGTTGGCTTCTTGTTAGAATTATAAATAAAGTTTGAAAAATATGGTTGTTAATGCGATAAAATCTTTCTATAATGAGACACAAAATTTCAACATACAAAAATCAAAACTAATACAATTATAAAACTTAGCTATTATAGTAATAAAACTATTATAAAAGAGAAGAAAATCAATAATACTATTTAAAAGAACAGTTGGAGAAAAAATGAATATTTTAACGAGTAGAAAGAGTATTTAAACAGGATAGTTGTAGATGAAAGAAGCCTATGTTGCATTCATTTATCGCAAATTTAACTGTTGAAATTGATACTGTTGCGTGTGTGGTAGGATATTAAAGTTTCCGCTTGCGTGAGGCCCGGAAGCTCGTGGGTGGTGTTGACTCTATCAAGCGACGATCTTGAATTCAACTCACCGTCTTTAATCATATTAACTCTCAATTCTTCGAGATTCATCGGCTTCCTAAATTGTTCATTGATGAGGTCTTTTCTGGTTTTTAAATGAGAATCACCTCTGGGGCGGGTTATAGTGGCTCTTCTCTTGATAGTTTGTATTGCTCTTGATAATGTGGTGTGGTGCTCATCGGGATCTTTATTCTCGATCTGCTCTTCAATGTTTTCCATTAACTCAGGAGAATTGTCTATCATACGAGTGATCAATCTATGTTTTTCGACGTCATCGACGTTGGTGGGATCATAACCTTGAGGGTAATCATCATATACACCCTGGCGTACTCTTTCTCGGATAATATCGACATCTCTAGGATAGAAATTACACATCAAGAAGTCATACGTATATCTGGGTAAGAGACAAGCCACGGATCCAATAAAGATACAACACCAGCATGCCAAAGTCCCTAGGACTTGGGCTCCGGCCTTATAAAATTCACCAGCAAAGGTCCTTGCACTCCATACTCCAGTCCAGAAGAATACAAGTAAAATTGAAATAATGTCAATAACTAGCGACAACCAATCCCACCTGTATTGCCGAAGCAAAACGTAAATATCAGATGCGATAACCGCAATTATGACCGCAACAACACCTATCCAAAACCTATGATCTATTGTCATACCTTGAGGATTTTGAAATGCTTCATAGAATAATAAATAGGGAAAGAAAAATGAAATAACGGATTGAAAAATTCCATCAGCCATATACCACAAGAACTTGTATTGTGACCATTCAAGTCTCAAGATACCTGTTCTGTATAATTGAGGAACCAACAGGGAGACAGAGTCAGACACATCTTGGTCCAAAACAGCCAAGACGATGATAGGCAAAGAAGTAAAAGCCAAATTATAAAAGATAAGATAGGTATACTCGTAAAGGTAAGATCCATCAAAATTATTAAAGATACCGTACCAAAAACATGTAAAGGTAAACACCACGTTCTTATAAAAGAAACAAGGAATCATTTCTGCAAGTCTCTTATATGACCATCTTCCATGAACCAATATGAGTCTAACCAAGAATCTGAATTGACCTATAGCGTAATCCGAAGACATGACCGCTTGTCTCCCCTCCTCACCTGCAATACCAACACCAACGTTTGCAGCTTGTATCATAGCGACGTCGTTTGCCCCGTCACCAATAGCCAATGCCATGACTCCAAGTTTATCTTTAACCATTCGCACAACTTGGGCTTTTTGCGCAGGCGACACTCGGCAGCAAATGACAGATTTGCACTGCTTTCCTAAGAGAAGGAACTTCTTTTCGAGTGCTGAATCCTCTAAATCGAAAATTAAGCTTAGAGCAGCGCCGTCCACAATGACAGCATACTTAGAAGATGGAGTTGAATGATCTTTTTTAGCTTCTTCGATTTTTTTATCAAAATCTCCTGAAATATTGAAATTTTCGTCCAAATATTGAGTCAACAAGCCATCAATATATTCAGGAGTATTACTCTCATCAGGGCGGACAACTAATAATTTCATCTCAGTTTCTAGCAAGTTACAAGAAAATCCAATATTAATAGCAGTTTCTATTCTGTCACCAGTCAAAACCCAAAGTTTGATACCCGCATCACCTAAAATTGAAATGGATTCAGGGACACCTTGTTGCAATCTATCTTCAATTGCAGTGCCTCCTAATAATGACAAACCATTTTCTATTTCTTCGGCCAATTCTTCTAACCTGTCTTCTCTGTCATCTTCTATCGAGGCAGATGCCTCCTTATACCGTTTAGTCCACTCATCAAATGCTGATGGATCTAATTCTTTTTGGGCAATACATAAGGTTCTTAGGCCTTCCTTCGCAAAATCTTCTAAATGAAGAGCAGTTTTCAGGATTATTTCTTCCATATTGGCATCGTGCTTCAATCTTTGAAATATCACATTATCTGCTCCCTTAGTAATAAGCATTACTTTGTTCTCGGGTGTTTGAACTATGCAAGACATCCTTTTTCTCGCAGATGAAAAAGGGACAATTTCCAAAAGTTTATATTCACAGGTCTTGCCATAGATTTCAAGTATTAAGGAGCCTCTCATCCTTTCTTTGAAGACGAAACCAACATCTCTGGCCACTGAAACTAAGGCTGCCTCATCAGGAGATTCTGCTTGAAAAATTCTCAACCCGGGGTCTTGAGGATCCTCTTCAGTGGCAACGGTATGACACAACGCTAAGGCTAACATGAATTCTTCATCGGCACGTCCCTGTTCACCTTTCGATAAAACATCTTCAACGTAATCATTAGATATGAAGGTCAAATTTTCTTCACGGAATTGATCGTTTTCAGATAGCTTAGTCAAATTTTCAACCATATCTTCCTTGTCTTCATCCATACGAAGTTTCCACTTCTGAGATTCCTTTATCGGATCCAACCCCTCTCTTTTATCTAAACCTTGCTTTGCTTCAGTATAGGCCAAACCATAAGACTTACCAAGAATTGTACATTTCTTGAACTCCATGACATTCTGAGTCAAAGTACCTGTTTTATCACTAAAAATGTATTCAATTTGACCCAAGTCGTCAGATATACTCCAAGCTTTTGGAATACAACAGAAATCCAATTTCTCGTAATACATTTTAATGTCCGAATAAATGAAGAAGGCTTGTAAAGTCTTTATAATTTCGATTGAGATGTACAACGAAATTGGAACCAAAGACTGATATATAATCAACGTCACGAAAAATAATAATACACCATTTGCTGCCGCCGTTGAGGCATACGGCTGGAAATCATAATATATCCTGGAAACATCTTTTTTGTTATAAAACAAACCATTGATTAATCCTGAAACGAAACATAGAATGAAAAGCAAGACGAAATTTAGAATTACCGAGAAATTTAATTCCTTAGCAATCCTTGAGGACTTTGTAGGCGTTATTCCAGAGTTCAACATGATTTTTGATTCTGCACCAGTATATAAGACAACCCCAATAACCCACAGTGTATTTCTCAAGCTACAACCTCTTAGTAAAACATTACTATTCGTGATAGGCTCTTTCTCATCTGGATTAACTAAGGTACCTTGCTGATTATAATTTTCGTAGTGTATAGTTCCTTTGAATGAATACAACAGCCTATTTGGTGGGTCACATTCAATCCAAAATTTAGTGCTTCCTAAATCACTCAGATGGCCCAAGTTTCCCTGGCCACCACACTGGAGGGAAGATTTTGTCTTTAAATTTGTCTCTCCATCCAAATTTTTTGTTTCGATGTAACAATTACCTTCGGGATCAGAACAGGAAATTATAACAACGTCTGCGGGAACCTCTTCATTAGCTCTAATTCTTATGAAATCCCCAACATTGACATCTTTCCAACGTCTATTCTTGAATTTTGTATGAGGAGGATTCTCCTGTTGCAATCTTGGATTGAGAAGGGTATTCGGAAGTGGCTTTGTATGTGGCCTGTTCGATTGATGTGATTTTCTCCTTGAAGTAGTACTATTTCTATTAGTTAAATATGAATAATCTGAGATGACCGTGCTAACTCTTCGTAAAGCATTTTCTTCTTCAACAACCTGCTCTCTGTGAAGATTAGCTTTCATTTTTTTAGAGCCAAAACAAAAGATCCAACCTTTTTTCACGCCCCTGGCAAATGATTTGTTCATTCTAGTACATTTTTTCTTGAATCTTCTCCACTTCCCAATGTCATCTACTTCAACATTTGGATTATCCAATCCACTGAGTAAGTGGATTGGTGAATTATTCAAATCCGAATCACTTGCACCTCTCTTATAGTCTTCGAATGCATCTTTTATAGCTGTGAGACAAACAATAACGATTAAAGGCACGGCTGCCATTCCTGGAGAAGCTACTCCGAAAATTTGGAACGCACCCAATATAACAACCAACAAGAAATATGAATTTGCGACATTGGTGAACTGGAATAGTATATTCTTTGGTAAAAATGATACTGGAGTATACTTTGTAGTCCTGATCTTGTTTCTTGGTAAGGTTATCAAAGGACCCCCATAGTGGTTCTTCAAGTCTTCAGGAAGTTCATAATTCACAAAAACAAATCTTGGATTCTTGTTATATATATCTTCCAAATACTGGGGTCTCTGGGCCAATCCTTTATCATAAAAATATTTCTTTATCTTTGCCCCGACTGTCGGAGCAGGTGTTTCTCGAAACTCTTTAAAGCAAGCGAATTTTGAATGTAAGATATCAGACGAAGACTGGTCATTTTCATTAGCCACATTGCCTTCATCCTTTAATGTAGAATGCGATGATTCTCCGTTGCCGTCCGTCATCGTTTATAACGGAGTCTATATCATACAATGAAAATCTATTATTAAATGATAGCTCAATAAAACACTTATCCTCTAGTATTTTTCACTTCTCTATGGGTTCAGTCTTCGCTCAACTAAGTTGAACGATTCTATTGCACAACAACTAGTTAAACTGTTGACGTATAAAATACCCAAGGAGCTTCTTTTACTGATCAGTCTAGTTATCCTGGATAACTGCTATTCTCATAAACAGATCCCTCGCAGAAGTATGATTGTAGGGTTATTTTTGGAAAGTATAGACTCAGAAACAATTAATCGAGTGTTTATTACTTAAAAGAAAAATATATTAGTGAGCTGAATTCGGTCAACGGTCCTAGTAATCCCCGTGCGATAAATCCTGAACTTCTAAGGTTAGACTTAGAAAAAGAACTAAAGATTTATCGTATAAGGCTCTAGTAGAACTGATTTGGGCTTCCTTACAACGACTGAGCTATTAAAGTACTTTCTTACACCGTATCTTTAATCTGTATTTACAAGCAGAGATGACATGCATTTCGCAGCTTAGCTTTATTACGAGCAGAAGATCCGTTACATCCTGATAGGTAACATAGCCGATTACTAAGTGTTGCTATTCCATCAAATGAGATGCCTTCAGAGACAAGAGTGGCGGAGATGGAGAAAAGCTCAAATAGATGACAATAAATGAAGAAATCCCTCAAGCTTACCGAGCTAAGAAGAGAGTGGACTGTTTAATTTAACAGCTACCGATTATTCGTGCCAAAGAAACAACTGATAAGTCAAGTGTATAAAGTGCAGACACTGCGTTGCTGGTGTGAAAACTTTTCGAGACATGGTCCTTAAAGGGTTTCCTCCTTTGGGCTACAGGGTAAGCAAACGGCAGTTTTATTATCTCTGCTATGTGCAAGAGCGTCGGGTGTGACTCTTTTGGATAATAGCCGAAATGGCAAGTTCAACAACAGTTTTTTGCAGGTTACATTCGATAATAATTGCAGGTTATTTTGTCGACGAGAGAGTAGTGAAAAAAGTTTGTGAAAATCAGGCTTTAACTTAGTATATTATAGCATTAAAATAAACCAACATTATGTCAATCGAAGAAATCCCTCAAGGTGCTGACGTCAACGTCATTCCAAAAAATGAAAAGAAAGCAAGAGATTTGATTAAGAAATTGAACTTGAAACAGATCAAAGGTATTACCAGAGTTACTTTTAAACAAAGAGGTAACTTGATCTATGCAATTGACCGCCCAGATGTGTACAGATCTGCTGCTGGAACCTATGTTGTGTTTGGTGATGCCAAGGTTGATGACATGAACCAGAGAATTGCAGAGGCTCAAGCTCAACAACAACAACAAGAAGCATTAGCAGGAGCCGCTTCAAATGCTGAAGACAAGTCCCCAGAATCTATTACTGCTGACTTACAAAATGCTACGTTAGACTCTAAAATCGAAGAAGAAGACGACGATGATGAAGAGATTGACGAGACTGGATTAGACTCGAAGGACATCGACATTATTGTCGAGCAAACTCAAGTTTCCAGAAATAAAGCTGTTAAAGCTTTGAAAAAACATGACGGAGATATGGTTAATGCTATCATGGAATTATCTTAGTTAAACTTATAATATATATCAGATTCAATCCTGTATTATCCCAAACGAACTACTCTGAACTTTCAACTTTATCTGGCTTCTCAGATGAATCGTCCTTTTGCGGTCTGTCTTCTACCTCAGAAGAATTATCTCGTTCCTTATCGCTTTTTAGGTCTCTTTCAGACGAGCCAGATACTTCATGAGATTCGTTTTCTTTTTCCGTCGTTGTATTCAAATGAGGCTCAGCTAACACACCAGAGATTCCTTCATTCATATTGTTTCTTGGCTTTGGTGTCTGGAGATTATCGGTACATATGTCGTCGTTTATCTTCTCGCTACCATTTAAAGCCCCACAGCGAAAGCAAATATATTTGACAGTCAATGGATCTTTACATCCTGGCGGAGCTAGCCCATTATGAGTAAAGCATCTATTGCAAATTAAAGCATATCTGGTTTCAACTGATTCATTATTGTCTGACCCTATCAATAAATCTAATATTCGATCTTGAAATGACCTTTGAGGGGTTCTTCCAACCGGCGAACTGATGGATTGCGCAGAGTTCGGCAATTGTTGAATACTCTGAGAAGTTGGAGATGTAGGAGTTGTGGGCTGTTGTATGGGTCCAAAATCTAAATTGAGGCCCATATCTTGAGGGTTCATATGTTGCAATTCTGTCAGATGAACGTCTTCATTTTTGGTACCTTGAGCGGCCTGGTGGGGGTGGTTTTCGCCATCATCGCCGTATTTTGTTAACAATTCATTTGCAGTATTAAAGTTAGTCACTTTCTTCAATTCCTCAATCTTCAAGCTATGTTTTCTTCTCATGTTCTTCAAGCCTCTTTCCTGACTTTCAATAAGGATATTGAACACCAACTGGAGAAGTTTCACTAATACGAAACTTAAAATTGGTAGACCAATCAAAATGCCTAACAGCTTTCGAGATTGAGCTCTTACAAATCTTTGAAATCGAGTACCATAAACCTCATTTTTGGAAACCTTTGCATAGCAATAAGCTATAACTAAAATGTATAACACAATTGTGTGTTTTATTAAGTACCATTTTATTGCTTTCGATTTTCTTCGAAGACGATAAATTTTATCTTGCGATGATGATATAGTCTGAGAAAGAAGGGTTAGCTCCTTATCGAACTCATCGGCATCAAATCCCTTTTTAAATATATTAAAAACTCCCATCTGAGTGACCACGCTATCATATAAGGCAATTATATATTATCAGTGCGAATATAGTACTCATCGAAAAAAAAATGAGTTCCTCATTAAGCCTTGTTCTACTGAACACTGTCTGAGTAAATATGACATACACAATTGGAGGTCGACAAATTAGCTTAGATAAAGACCTATATGAAAGTGAGAGAGATATCATAGTGGCACATTCAAGTCTATTCAAGTATTGTTTAAACAATTCAAGCCAACAATTTTTAATTAACTTGAAACGGATTATTCATTTATACACTGACATTATTACCATATATTCAACGCTATTAAGAAAAATACCAAACTATGACGACATAACTTTCATGACAAATAAAACAAAATTGAGTCTACTCAAGTTAGAAGACGATTTTAATTCAATATTGGGTAAAGATATTAATGGCGATAAGGTATCATGGGAAGAGAGAAGTTATGATTCTGTTAGAAGAATAGCTTTATTGTGCTTGTTATCATCGAACGAAATTCTCTCGGCTATCATTAAAAACTTGAATTGTATTGACATATTCTTCAATAGTTTTAACAATCTCAAGAAATTATTGATACCATTTTTGTTGAACCAGAGCAAATCAGTACAAAAGTCGATAAATAAGGCCATTTACTTTTTCAAATTGACAACAATTGCCGATGACTTGGACAGAATCGAAGACACTGATACTCCTGTAATGAAACAATTGAAAAAAATCGAAAGAATCACTAATGGTATCGATAGAGAGTCAATTATTTTAAACACTGCATTCCAAACATTTGACCCGTCCCTACAACAGTATACTAGAATTTTACTTGGAAAAGCCATCTTAAAGAGAAATATTCAAGACAGTAACTGTCAAATTATCAAAAGAAGAGATATATGCTTCCAGGCAGCGGACCATGTGGTTAGTATCCCGCTTACCGAAGAGCAATCATCCAATATATCGATGAAATATATTACAAAATACTTCACTTATCTCATAGTCATAGTGTTGTTTTTGGTGGGTATAATGATATATAGACTTTTGAAGATCTTTCTAGACTAATATATATAAGACTAAATACGCTTATCAATATTCATTACGCAATCCCCCATTTGAGTTTTATAGGTCAGGTATTTGACACATTGAGATAGATTCCAGGGCATATTTGAAGTTACACAAAATGCGAAAGATGATTATTTTGACTAAAAAAACCCTGACATAATAACACCATAGTTTTAAATTAATCAATAAAACAAGGGATAGAATAAAGTGTTGGAGTAAGGGGCTGTATATTATAAATAAATCTATCATTTTATTAGTTTATGATTCTTTTCCAAAATTTAAAGCAGTATAATTAGTGAGTGGTTGATTAAACCCCCGAGATAAAGGTTTGTTTTAGATATAAAAAATTGGAATATGGCAAACAAGCAAATATATTCTGCCACATACTCCAATGTGCCAGTATTCGAGTTTGTAACGTCAGAAGGTCCCATAATGAGAAGAAAATCTGATTCTTGGATAAATGCAACGCATATATTAAAAATAGCACGCTTTCCCAAAGCTAAGAGGACTAGAATTTTAGAGAAAGATGTACAAACTGGTATACACGAGAAGGTTCAAGGTGGATACGGTAAATACCAAGGTACATATGTGCCATTGGACATCGGCGCCTCAATCGCTAAAAATTTTGATGTATTTGATGTTCTACGGCCAATCTTTGAATTCAAGTATATCGAAGGTAAGTCGGAAACTCCACCCCCAGCGCCGAAGCATAGTCACGCATCAGCCTCTAATGTTGCAAGAAGGCAATCAAGTTTCACACAACCGGCCAGAAAGGCAAAAAGTATGAATTCGATAACCGGTGAACCTCCCAGGAAACGAGGCAGGCCTAGGAGAATCCCTCTAAAAACCCTGCAACCGAGTCTCAATCACTCGGATACCGTTCCAATAGATAACAATCCAAATAGTGGTCCGAACATAGGGACTTTTAAAAGATCTGATTCTCTCTCGAGCCTGCAGAATAATCATCACCCATCTTTGTCACGACAGGATACGCAGCAGGATGCTTTAATAATATCAAGTAATTTAAACATAACCGGACAAGACTTGCAAGTAGTTGAATCAGATGATGAAAGGGATATAAAGGATTCACCAAGTGAGTTGATGAGTGGTAAAGAACTCTTCGGAACCCCCAGAGACTCCTTTGAAAGGATAGTACAATCGCATCATCAACATGATCCATATGGTCTTCTGCAGTATCAGAATGCACCACCGTCAAACAGCTTGTCTAAGGGGGAACTGATTTATAATGAATATTTTTCAAGTCTTTTAACTTATTTCTTAGATGACAACAAGATACGATCAAGCAGTATTCCAGACTACATATTAAACCCACCTTTGCCAGTTGCATCAATAAATGTCAATCGACCAATTGATAATGATGGAAATACCATATTCCACTGGGCGTGTTCAATGGCTAGTGTTTCAATAATTGAATTTTTGATGGAAACTTTCAACATAAAGCCAGATTTAAGAAATAATAAGGGAGAAACACCATTAATGTTTTTGGTAAAATTCAGCAATTCGTATCAACTTAAAAACTTCCTGACTTTGCTAGAACTACTCCTTGACTCAATCTTATTAGTAGATAACTCAGGTAAGACCGTCTTACATCATATTGCATTGATTGATAACAAAAATAAGGAAAAATTCGCCCGTTATTACATGGAAACTCTATTTTCGAAGATTATTGAATTACTGGATGATGATGACCTTCCAGATAAAAAAGACTTGATCGTGAAATTTATTAATCATCAAGATTCAGATGGAAATACTGCTTTCCATATAGTCGCTTACCACTTGAATAAAAAGTGCATCAAGGTCCTCATTAGCTATCACAAATTTATTGATTTCACCTTAAAAAACTTGGTATCTTACACCGTTGAGGATTATTTGGGTTGGCATAATTATATTTTAAGGTTGGATGATGAGTATCAAGCGGATGAAGGTTTCCAAAATTTGGCGGGAAAGAATCAGAGTACTCAAAGTCTTGAAAGTCAATTATACTATTCAAAATTGGCCACGAATCTACACAATAACACATCTAATATAATAACGGAAAAATTAACTGAGTTGGCGTATTCTGTTGACAAAGAATTAAATGAAAAGGATGAGATGATCTTTAATTATCATAAAATTTTGAAGGAGGTAGACGGACGAAAGTTAAAGTCTCAAAAAGCTATACTTTCTTTTTTCAAGTTGGAGTACTTAGTAGAAGAATATGAAACTTCTTTAAACAGTTCATCTCCCTATGACGCTGCCTTTAGTCGCAAACGAAGTAAATTGATCCAAGATGAAATACACAAGGTCCTTGATGATTTAAGCTTTCAAACTTTGCTCAAGAAGGATGTTCTAGATGAGAAGCTAGCTGAATACACCCAGGTTAACGAAGTTATTCAAAGAAAAAGACTACAACAGCTGGCTTCTCAGTTCCAAGAGGCGGTTCTGCCGAATGAGAACGATGATCCTTTCGATTTATCCGTTGAGTTAACCAAAGAAATAATACGGCGACAGCAATTGGTCAAGGACCTCTATCTGCGCCAAGCTGATGTGCCACTCTCCAACGACGAGTTTAAGGAGAACAAATTCGATCCTTCAGTCGAATCGAAGTCCATCGTAGCCAATTATCCCAAAGATGATAAACTCAACAAATATTGTAAATTAATCTCACTATGTTGCGGCATGGGTGTCACCGAGGTCGAGAACTCTATAGACCTCCTTGAACAGTCACTAATGACTTCTACAGATTAAAAGTATAGACTTCATGTATTATTATCATTACAAGTAAAAGAACGCCCTTGTACACTATTTATATAAATGTCTGCGCGACGCTACAGTGTATATAAATTTTTTTTTTTAAGCATTTCTAGTGGAAACAAACATCATCCAAGGAGTCCATGACAGAAGGGATGATGTATGGTAAGAGATACATCAGAATCTTGTCTTTAGTGGCAGTTCTCTTGATCACAACTATCGTCATCTTAATCTCTAAGGGTTATCAGTTAGACGATATTGTTCAAGAACCGCTAACACGATTCGAGAAGGAGAAAAGCAATCCTATTAGCGATGTTAAGGTGGCGCCAGAGAACCATCACCATAGTGATTCGAAGCCAGATATTGAAGAGAATAATGACGGACCTAAAGATGTTCAAAGACCAGCTGAGGAGGCTCAAGTTATCAAAGATATCTCGTTCCCTCTAAGCCTACAATTGATGGAGCCGAATACATATAAGAGCGCGTCGTTAAAAACATACTTCCACAGTATATTCTATAAAGGTGAACAGTCCTTGGAAACTTTCACTGAAGCTCAAAAATGTGAAAGACTTAAGTATGAGTCACAACTAGAGTTGTCGGAGCAGAAATATTTGGAGGCGAACTTCAATAAGGTGAGAGATGCTATTAAAGAGAATGAATTGTATGACCGGATGCTCAAGGCAGCAACTAAAGAATTTAAACCCTCGATTCCTAGTGAAAAGCAATGGTTTAGGTTTGCTGGATCGTCGGTTTGGCTCTCTGAACACAAAGTACATTTTATGGTAAGCAGAATTATGTGGTCTCCCTCTGGAATTCCTAACAAAGCTTTCGCGAGTTTTCTATATATTCAGTTATTTGATGAAGACTGGAACGAGTTACCAGAGAAAACTTTAAAGATTCCGTATGAGAAGTTAGTGACTGAGCAGAACGTGAACGCAAAGGGTAGTATAGAACTGAAGATAGTTGATAGAAAAATTGCATATAGGGAAGCCAAGTTTCCTTCATTTTTACCCATTACGTTTGATTTCAGTCTCCGTACACCAGACCGAAAGTACTATTGGGGTCCAGAGGATCCCAGGATCCTACTTCGGAGAAACCCTCTTGGGTTCGATGAACCTTTAATAGTTTTCAACTTGAAGGATGTGAAGTTGATCAAAAGAACGATGCATATGTTTTTGCCATTTTCTAGTAAGTTTAGCATCTTCAAGAAGCGGAACGAGCCATACGCAAATATTGAAAAAAATTGGACTCCATTTTTCAGCTCACCGAGGGATGCGGAGTCAAAAAACGATGGATTCACCCACTTGAATTTTATCTATTCACTAGAGCCACTCGAAGTTTTGAAGTGCGATATTGATACAGCAATTTGTGACTTTTTGCAAAAGCCGGAAAAATCAGACTTTAATTACGTTGGGCCCTTAAGAGGTGGTACGCAGCTCGTACAATTACCCTCTAGTAGGTTCGTACTGAATGGTATAACTAACGCATTCCAAATTCCAGAAAATAGACGCATCTATGTTGGATGGGCAAGAACTCATCTTAACAAATGTGGTTGTGGTGAGTCTATGTATAGGCCAAATTTAATCATATTGACCGAAGATTATAATCCAAGTGACAAGAAATACTCCTACAACATTAGAGATGTATCGGAATATTTCGATTTCAATGCAATAGTGCCTCCATGGATAACGCCCGAATTGGATAAAAGCGGTAATTTGATTGAAAAAAGCCCCAAACAGTGTGAAGGAAGAAACGTTTTAATACCCAATTCCATTGCATATTGGGATATTGATTCTGTACGCAAAGGTGATCTGATCTATGGACGTGGAGATTTTGCCACGTTTAAAGATCAAAACGTATTAGATGCCGAGACAGTTATCAATGACTATATGGGAGTCACGTTGTCTGCAGCCGATAGTGATGTCAGCATAGTCCAAGTCAAAGGACTTTTAAACTACATACTCAAGCTCCCAGGATTATTTGACAAGTCAGACCAAGATCGCGATGATAGTTTATATGACTCGAATATAAACCAAAGATGTGCCGAGTTGGCCAGCGTTGAATATTGCTTAAAATATGCTGAAAGAAATGGAGGAGTTACAAAGTATTGATTTATAGATTGCTTAATGTATCGACGTTGTAAAACTATATTTTCTATAAGAATATAACATACCCTAATGTTGAAATCTCCTCCAGATTTTTTAGTCTGGCAATACTGGACTTTGTCCGTTGATCAGAAGATGTGTTACCATGCATAATCTGGTTAGTTTTCAATTGTATTTAATTATTTTATTCACGAGCCTTTAGTTTTAATAGACGTCGCAAGATTTGGAACTTCTTGAAATAGACTCGTAGCTTACTTAACCTACTAATCGAAAAAACCTTTAGTTACGTATGGTGATATTTACATCTTATCGACCTTGATGACTTATGATTTGTGATATTTTGCATCCAGAGATAGCTTCTCTGTCACTTCTCAGATTTGAATCGTATCGTAGATTATACAGTTGTTCTATCTCACCGGTTTAAAACTAAGATATGGTTTACAAATACTTAGCAATACTTTATGCTTTACAAATATCTAGGCACAAGAAACTCAGTTAAAATTTTCATGCTGATATTAAAAAATAAGTAGTAGCCTTCTAAACCAACTTAATCGATGCTATCCTACTTAAGTCCTCTTTGGAAAACTCAAGATCTGAATCATCTAGTAAAACTGCATTCTTTAAATTGAGTCTTTCATTATTCTCGATATGTTCCTCTTTTAATCCAAAGGTGTCAACTTTAATATCTTCTGGGTTCTTCCACTTGAATAATTCAGTATAGTCATTTTCAGCGGCTTGAAGTCTATCGACAACTGTACGACCTAACACTGGAAAGAATTTGAATCCATGCGATGAACCACCGGTGGCCACTAGAAGATTATCGAAATTAGGAACAAAATCAATAACGAAATCACTATTAATAGAATCAGTATACCAGAATAGCTTAGACTTCAATTTGACTCCTTCTATTGCAGCTGCTTCTGGTGTAAGTGCAAGAAACACTTCCTTTGCTTCCTGTAAAACAAATTTCGGTAACTTTTCATCTCCTAAAGTTTTAGGTACAGAGATGTAAGAGTCTCCAATTTTGACAGGATTCAAGTATTTAAGGTGTCTGCCATTTAATTTTAATATGCCTTCGGATTTGCTGGGAGGGAAGAACGCAAATCCGCCATCTGGATCAAAATCGCTCTCACTACTAGTGGTTTTCCACTGTAATTGCGGATACTCAGAATACTTGTCAATCAAATCTTGCCTTGACTTGGGGATTTCAAGATAGACGATATTAGCAAGAGAAGCCTGCGTACGATGTTGTAATTGAGGTACCAAGGAGGTGGTCCATGGTCCACTGCTCACTATTACCACATCAGCAGAATGAGTGGAACCATTTGCAGTTCTAATGCCTCTGACTACAGATTTATTTCTGTCATCATATATGAGTTCGCTGAACGTCCCTTCATCTCCATAATGAAAAATAACGCCTGCCTTTTCTAGTAAGATTTTTACGTAGAAGAGGGCTTTGTCAGCTTTCAAGATCCTTGTAATTCCATCTAGGGTTCCTGAGACAGTCGTGACTTTATTCCGTGCTTTGAGGTCTCTAATTATGTCCAATTTTTTGTCCCACCCAAGAAGTTTTGCTCTTAAAAGATCTTTCTCTGAACTTAAGTCAAACTGGGTGTCTCTAAGCCCCAATTCTTCAAATCCTTTTAAATTGTCAACCTCTACCAGTGAGGGCTCTTGCAGATTCCCAACACGTAATCCACCAGTTAACCTTATGAGCTCCAAGTCATCGTCAATGAAACGAGATTTCTCTTCAGAAGAAAGCGTTTGGATTTCTTCATTCCATTTATCCCAAATATCGAGAGCATCAATTGCTAATTTGGAATAAAGAGTCTTAGTCTCATAATAGATCCTGAATAATTTGTTTATATCAGCACTAGCGGCATCCGATCCTTGAAATGGAGAATATTTTGTCTTTTCGTAATCTGTACGATCAAATATATCGATATTCTTGTAACCATTCTGTACCAAATTATAGGCCGAGGATAGTCCAAAGACACCGGCACCAACAACAATTATATGTGAATCCTTTGTGAAAGCCATTTTAAATCAATCTTCGATAGTTGCAAAAAAAAAAATTGAATATGAATACAAGTCGTACGATGTTGAATAGTTATAAGCTGCGAGGACTGGAAAGGCCATATTTATTGACCCTCTTATGTTTTACTACACTTAAGCCATATAGGACAGATGTGCTACAACTTGTTCTAATATTCCCTAGCCGGACTTTAATTACCTATCTAGGAATATGCTCTATTGTTGCAACTTGCCAGCAGCGATTGCGACATCTTGTTGATCTAGCTAGTAATATATGCACCACTTTTAAAAAAATACCTACGAATGGCGAACCAACAGTGCATGCTTCCTCGTCCGGTGGTATTTGGTAAGTAATATTTCAGTTGTGGCGACTACATTGAAGGCATTTTTTGTTTAATAAGAAAAAACTTGAGGCTGAACGCCGCTAAGATACCGACTTCTGAGCCGATCATACCTCTAACCCTACTCAAAATACTTATTTTTACGAAAATGGGAATAGTTGACAGTAAAAAAATATTATGAGCGGAAAGATTAAATTCTACAACTCATAAGTTACTGTTTTAGGTTCATCGCTAGATTAACCCATTTAAGATCATTTAAAGCAGTTTATTCGCAGGCCTGGACATTTTATAAGTCAATCTATACCTCTTAGAACTCAAGGGTCTATGAATTCCAAAGAGAGTATATAAAAATGTCTGCAAAAATAGTAGTGTCATGAAGGGGTGTGACGTTTTCGTCGGGAAGAAGTTGCCTTGACCGACACTGACCAAGCCGAAGTCAAATACATACGCTTTCCGTTTTGGGAAATGAAAGTCCGGATATGACAAAACTCGCAAGATATGCCACAGATTTACTAAGCAGCGAAAACATTTTACAACTTCTATCCTCTCAACTACACAAATCGCCTTAAAACACACATGTTACTGTACCATTCAATCCCGAGCTTACCACTGGTTCCAAGCTGTATACTGTATGCATCTTTCTATATGTCATATTGTTAAAAGACTTTGGTGCCAAACAAATTTTCTTAGTGTTTCATAACATATCCGATAAAGTACGAAGCAGTCAGAAGCAAAATATTGATCTTGATTCAGGCATTTTATTCATTATTAAACATTAAACGTGCTGCTTGTACTACATTAGCATTTGAAAGGCATAAGATATGTCGAAACAGCAAATTTCAGGGCTCAACCGTTTTTCATTAGCATCAAGGACGAGAGCCAAGTCATGTACTACCTGTCGAGAAAAGAAACGAAAGTGTACGAGAGAATATCCTTCTTGTGCTTCTTGTAGTTCCCTTGGACTGCATTGCTCATATCAGTCAAATGGTGATAAATCTCCACATACGTTAAACCAACGAGAGCAGGCACAGATATTGATTGATATATCCTCATGTTCCAATTCGCGTACTGATCAGGGGTACCTGAGCATCCCTGCTAGAGACTTGTCAAACTCGAGGCCAAGTGCTTCACCACAGTCAGAAACTACAATCCAAAACAACAGGTCACAATCTTCACAATACCAACCATCACAGAGATATTCTTTAACGTCGGTCTCGCAAGGTTCGTTCTTGTCTGATTCGACAGGTTCATCTAATGTAGTCTCAGGCACCTCGGCTCCTTTGACTTCCTCAGACGGTAAAGCCAATAAAAGGGCTGCGGAGGATCAGAATATGACAAATGCTGACCTGGAGCAGATAAGGCATTCCCAGACATCTTCAACGAATGGTTCGAAGCGTCGATTAGTAAGTACAAAAGAGCGTGGGGAGTTTCTGATAAGGGAAAAGCCATCAAGTAGCTATCTATCGGAACTCGCGGCGAGAGCATCTAAGTTAAAATCTGATACACCACTCAATCAGGAAACGGGTCTGTTATCTCACAGTGATTCTATCCTGAGAGCGTGCTGGCCAGCTCAGATGCAAAAAAACGACCACGAAAGCGCCGGCATTAATCCATCTCTGAGAAGCGGACCTTTATTCACGAACATGTTTAACCCATTGTTGTGTAACTCCGGCACTTCTCTTGAGAGTGATATGGAGTCGCTTTACTCGTATGTTCCATCAAAAAAGATTTCCGACGTATTGTTTGACAGATATTGGATTTCAATTCACCCAATTATACCAATATTGGATTCACAAGCAATTCATCCCCAATATGAATTTTTTTGGAATGATAAGAGCAGTGCATCTTTACCTTTTTATATCATACTATTTTCAATTCTCTATGCTGCTTCTGTTTCGGAATACGAGGAGATTAATATTAGGAATCCAAAAATAGATCTGCTGGAGTACGTTAAGAGGATGAAATATTATATGGGTGCAGCTGAAATTGCATTGGCAATGTACGGCTTTCCTTGGAAGCTCACAGTAGTAGGACTACAAGCTTCTGTAATTCTCCACTCCGTGCTAAGAAATGATTGTCGAACGGATGACTGTGGTTCTGTGGGCTCTTTAGTGCGATCAGCACAATTACTTGAGCTACATAGAGACCCGTTAAATTATCATAACATTGAGGATCTGAATATAGTTCAGAGTCGACGAATTCTCTGGTGGCAAATTTTTTACTTGGATTGTACTACGTCTTTGTCTTCCCATCTACCACCAATCATAGTAGAAGGAGAATATGATACTATGCTTCCCTCAAAATTCACAAGGGACCACAAAGATGAGTACAAGTTAGATCAAGCTATCGCATATGCCAATGGAAGATACAAGTGGGTTGAGTGTAGCAACAAGATACTTAGAAATGCCTTCATGTTGAAATATCCAGACGCACAAACCATAAGAGTGCTTGTCGATGAGATCAACAATTTATCATTTCACTGCTCTGCTTTGATCCAAAATGTTTTAGATCCAGCAAATATTGCCCCATCGCAAGATCACTTCGTCAGTTTCAGTTCTTCCATGTTGTCAACCTTTCCAGATAGATGCTACACTTTACTTCACTTAGTGCTAGGAATGGCACATAATATAAATGATACCCTGGGAAAACTGAAATATAACCCAGATGGAGGCGATTTATATCGCGCTCCCCAGTCTTCATCGGTATCTGATGTCGAAATTTCCTCTTTAGACCAAATGTTGATAGCAAAAGAGATTCATTTTCTTCAAGAGTTTTGCAATTACGGTTCCATGCCGAAGAACGTTATATTTTTGTGGGATATTAGGAAATTTCAGCCGATCCAGGCCCTTTTATTTTTACTCAGAAGTCTTATCTTACAAGTGAGGAAATTTCAAGATTCATCATTTTTAAATCAAAGAGCGCTTTGGAAGGATGAGAAAGTCTCTGTAATTGCGAACTCTATTGAGACCTTGGAATATCTATCTGAGAACACTACTACCCTTTGTAAGGAGCGCTGGAAGCTTTTGAAAGACTTGAAAAATGTTACTTGGAATCATTTATTCTCCCAAAGCTTACTGGACGTCACATCCCACATTTCTCCGGCATCACTGATTTCAGATAATTTATTCAGTGAAAATTCGGAGGTAACGGGAGGCGATATATCTGAAATACGTGCTAATGAAGACTGGAAGGGAATCTTACTGGATTTGACCCTAGTTGAACAAATTATCAATGATAATATTTTTGCAAGACAATGGGACCCAGCTTCGGGTCACTTTCTTACCTAGTGTGTAACATCTTATCCCACACTTAGACATCGGGGCGATATTCCCTCCGGGTATAGTCTTGGCAATGAATTGAAGTGAGCATTATAACATGAATATAATACTAAACTTTTTATTCTTGTTTTAAAGCGATACTTTCTTTGAGTATATAGAGAGATATAATACAAAAGCTCATGCTTTTCTCCAGTAGGAGAAAAACTTCTTTCTTTATTTTGAATCATTCTCTTTGAGTCGTGAAGCATCTTATATTGATTTTGTCCCTTAGACGTAAAAGTAGAAATACCGTTGTTGATAATCTATAGTTTTGAAAGGTTCCTCTGCTATATCATCCAAGCAATATAATATCCCGGATTTCGAGAAGCAAATGATTCTTACAATTGGGCATTAGTTATAAGCCCTAGTCAACCTTGATGGTAAAGAACAATATATGCTCCGGAGTAATACTAGTTGTTTTCCCTCATTCGTCAAAATTACGAGATGGCTGCAACATCTCCGGAGAAACATACTAGGAAGCAGATCTTGATAAGAAAGTGGGCTTTTACATCTAAGCCTATTTGAATAGCTCAATATTTTCCATAAGATATCGTGGACAATAACTCCTGTACTTGCCAAGTGATAGCAGCATTAAAAATACTACTTAAGATATCAATCTGAGCGAATCAAGACAACTAACTTAAAGTTAAAAAGTTCTTATATTATTGAATTTCTACTCTATTATCGCAAAGTATATATATTTTCTTTATAATAATTTTCCATAAAGCTTTGGCGCTTCCAAGTTAGCACCAATAGATCTCAAGTACCGTCCCATTGTATAAATATCTATATTAAAGAGGATAGATAAAAGTTTTGTTTTCTAAATCTGTTAAATCAAGGTTTGCTATATTAACTTGTTCATAGATTTCTTCATTGTTCTCTGAATCATGTTTAACCACAATTCCAACGTCACTCTTTTCGTTAGAAGAAATTAACTGCAATCTTTCTTTGTTTCTTTTCTGAAGGATGAATGATATGACAAAAGCCACCACTGAACTTCCTGTCCATGCCAAAACTATTTGAACAATCCACGCGGCATGATAACGAGGTTGGGACGCATTGCTTTGCTTCCCAGTCCATAACTGAGGAGATATGATATTTGATACACCATAAGCGAACATAAACATAAAATGTCTAAAGAATCTCTTTGTTGTTCCACTTGCAGAAGATGTTGACCATCCAAGTGCTACAATATACGCCAAACCATACGTGTTAGCACCCAAAACTAGCATAGCAAGCAAAGAAATCTTTTTGTCCCAAGGAATTGTAAGCATAGCTATACCACTAGCTATTGAAGGAATACATGCACCTAGAATCACCCAAGCCGACTTATTAGGGAAGTAATGAATGAAAATAGCACCTGCTATATGAAATGCAGCAGAAAACCCACCACCAGCAACACTAACTAAGGTAGAACCTAACTCATCAACTCCTAACGAAACATAAAGCAAGTTCTGTTGATAATTCAAGTTATTCGCAAGCATTAAAAGGAAACTGAAAAGTGTGAAGAGCCACGAAATTGGATCCTTGATACACTCTATTAACTGTTCCTTTTTCACAACATGCTGTGTTATGGATGCTCTTGAGGAGTTTTGAATCCTTTTTATCAAGTAGTATCTCTCCTTTTTAGTTAAAAAATTTGCTTTCGAAGGGTCGGCAGGATATAAATAAGCTGAAATTGCGGTAATTATTAAAGTGAGTCCACCAGTGATAATCATGAATATCTTCCACGGTGGTATAACATTTGTGTGCAATACACCGTAAGCAATGAAACCTGCAATAATCACAGATGTTCCAACACAACTACACCAGAAAACTGGCTGCAATGTAGCTCTTTGTTGAGGAGTAAAGAACTGAAGCATCGTGATTTCCAACGCTGGTGTTATAATACTTTCAGTTATACCAAGAAGGAGTCTTAAGATCACCAATCCTCCAAAGTTATCGGCACCACAGTGAGCGAATACGATGACTGACCAGGTAAAGAGAGTTCCAGTCATGAACCACTTCAAACTAGTTTTCTGTAAAACATAGTTTAAAAGCTGACCCACGGTGTAGCCTGCGTAAAAAATAGAATTCAAGTCATCATATTGTTTCGAGTTAATATTTGTTGAAGTAAAAAGACCCAAAATTGAAGCGTAAGACAATGTAGCCTTATCAATAAACAAGATTGTATTGATTGTAAAGATCAAAGGAAATAAAATATATTTAAGCTTTCTGTCAAGAGAAGTAGACTCTTCTTCCGTAAACTCTATATTATGGAACAACTCCTTATTCTCCTCCATAAAGGAAAGCGTAGCATCTGCTTCACGATCTGATACCTTAAACTCATTCAAACTATTAGAGTCATCCTCCTCATACTCCAGCTTCTTCTGAATACTCAAATCACTCATTTTGCTCTATTTCCTTGTCTCTTGAGTTTTTACGAAGAAGTTCAGTTCTTTATATCATCGATTCATATCTGTATGGTTTGGTTCATTTCTGATCTCCCTGGCTAGAAGTTTAAGACGTTATCTGCCACAGTCGGAGAACAATATCCCTTTTGGGGAATTTTAGTCCGTGATTTCAGATTTGCAACTTGATGTCTTGAATTCCGTATTCCCCCCGAAATTATAAAGTATCTTTCAGTTGTGTGGAGCATCGATTATTCATCTCCCATAATTGTAATATAAAAAGATTAATACTGATGATCTAATTACAGGAACCATTAAAGAGAAAGAACCTTGGATGACAGAATTTGAAAAAATTGAAATAAAGGATAGACACGTCTTTCATGGTAACGAATTTCCGGTGGCCTTTAAGCTCAAGGATCCTTCTCTTTCTACTGAAGGAGTTTTACTGCTCTTAGAGAAAAAGGCATCTGAAGGTTTCTTCAACGAGCTTCTCGACAAACATGGGGCTGTTCTTTTGAGAAATCTTGGTGGCTCAGACCCTAGTACCTTAAGCAAATATATAAACGCTATAGGGACCTACAGTGGCCATCGTAATTTTGTTCAAAATGGATCTACGGCAAAAAGAACAGAAATTAATGAGATATTGAGTACTGCCAACGAGGGTCCTCCAGATAGGATTATTTACCAGCATAATGAGTTTTCTAGATTCGTGAAATATCCTCGGTGGCTATTTTTTGTCTGTGAAAAGTTTACAGGTGAAGATGGAGAAACCCCAATTGTTCATGGAGGTGAGCTATTTGAAGACCTTTTTAAGCAGAATCCTGAAGGAGTTAAAGATTTGGCAAGACATGGCGTGTATTTCGAGCAGATTTGGCCTCGAGTCACAGATAATAATACTAGTTGGTCTGACAGATTCTGTTTTGGTAGGTATTTGAACAACAATGATGATATTGAAGAACAAAAAAAAAAAGCTGAGATCGTAGTGAAAGATTCAGTGAGTCCTAAATTTGAATGGGATAATGATAATAACCTAATTGTTCATCAACATAGTGCCCCGATACGTGTATTTAACCCGACTACAGGGGACAAATCGTTTCCTGTATTTTTCAACAGTATCGCTGCATACTACGCTGACAATAAATATAAGATAACTGGAAGCAAAAAGACTGCAGATTTGAAACACAACAATGGTGAAAGAATTTCCGGAAAGCTTTTGGATCAAATTTTAGACTCTTCGATAAAATTACAATATAATCACAAATGGGAAACAGGTGATGTGGTTATCATTGACAATTACCAAGTCAGTCACGGTCGTCTTCCATGGAAAAACGGCGATAGAAAAGTGTTGGTAAGCATGTGGGATTTTCCAGAAAAACCTGAGTATGAAGTATGGAAGCCTTAGAGATGAACTGCACTACTCATTATTTAGAAATTTCCAAAACTATATATCTTCAAGCCTATGAATATGAATATGAATTCAATTTATCAGCTCATTTTTGTAACTATAAAGTTTCAATTGTGCAATTGGATTGGTTCATTTTATTATCCTCTTACCTATGCTGTTGTTCGTACAACTTTCCGGTCGATTATTCGTATCTTATAGAGTTGGTTTAGTGTTTCCGTCTCTAACCGTTAATAACCATAACTCGGCAATGGCTGCAAATTTTCTCAGCTTAAACAAAAACGCGACAATAGCCGTCAATAACCTTTTGGCAGTATATAATAATATGATAATACTCTTAAAGTTATAGATACCAGAGTTTAATTTTAACCTACTAATCAACAAAACATTCTTCATAAATAGAATTGGAGTTTATTTGAAGTTGTTTTGACTCTTTATTATGTCGGACTGCTCTAGTAAAGATGAATCCGACAAGGAATACTCGATGAATGTCACAACTTCCGCAGAATCAAATTTGGACCCCATCATGTTCACAGGCACTGAAGGAAACAAGGCAGAGAAGAAATTAAGGAGTAATTCTTCCACGTCTTTAGCGCTGTCAGTGGATTCAATTAGAAGAAGTATAGGGGGTCGCATACCACGTAATTCTATCTCGTCTAACCTAAGCGTGAAAGACGTTTTTAGAAACCTAGACAGCACTGAAATTGAGAAGAAAAGAGAATCAGCAAGAGCGGCTATTATAAACGAGGTCTCAACGAGAGCTCTCTTCCAGAACCAGATTTCTGAGCCAAACGACTTGGAAAAGTACTTAACTAATGATACATTTGTACCGGGGGCCATTGAAAGTGTGCCCATTCGCGATGATGGTTCGGAATTTAATAAGGTAGACCCTGAATTGATTACCTGGGAAGGAAAAGATGATCCCCAGGATCCCAAAAACTGGCGCATTTCAACCAAATTGTATTTATTACTATTGGTATCTCTATACGCATTGGTAGCCCCAATGTCATCCTCTATGTTGTCGCCGGCAATGCCTCAGATATCGCAGGCCTTTGGAATTGAATCACAAGTTATTTCAGCAATGGTTGTCTCAATCCAGATTTTAGCATGGGCCTTTGGGCCATTACTTATTGCACCTTTCAGCGAAGATGATAGATTTGGCAGAAAGATCGTTTTGGATATATGTGTTTGGATGTCTTTGTTCTTCAATTTGGGATGTGCATTCTCCCAAAACACTGCTCAAATGATGGTGTTCAGGTTCATAGGAGGATTGTTTGGATGTGTTCCTATGAATGTTTGCGCTGGAGTCATCGCTGATATGTTTGATGCTCTGTCAAGGAATCTAGCCCTATCTGGATATTCCTTAGCGCCTGTTCTAGGACCAGTCATCGCGCCCTTGATATCGGGGTTCATCATCGAACACATGGAATGGAGATGGGTGTTTTATGTCTTATGCATGTTCAACGGGACAGTAGCCATATTAGCATTATTATTTTTCAAGGAGACATATGCACCTAAATTATTGAAGTTGAAAGCAAAGAAGTTACGAAAAGAGACTGGCAACGAACATTTGCATACGATATTTGAAATAACAGATGTTGAGACAGCAACAGAAAGGGTATTCATTACAATGACCCGGCCCATAGAACTTCTATTCACACATCCGATGATCGTCGGTCTCGGATCATTCATGGCATTCACCTATGGTTTTATGTATTTGATGATTGTAACTTTCCCTACTATCTTCAAGCAAAACTATGGCTTTAGCAGCTCAGTGACTGGGTTAATGTATCTTCCTATGGGGGTTGGTTTTATACTTGGTTTGTTCTTGTGGACTTATCTCATTGGTAGGACTTATAAAAAATTGACTGCTAAAAACGGTGGTATTCCAAAACCTGAGTATCGATTACCTTGCTTGCTCGGCTCTTCTGTTTGCGTTCCTGTTGGCTTACTTTGGTTTGGGTGGTCCGCTCAAACAAAGATACATTGGATAATGCCAGGTATCGGATCTGCTATTTTTGCTATGGGTTTAGTTTGTGTCTTCCAAACTATTCAAAATTACTTGATTGACATGAACTATAGGTACGCAGCTTCTTCTGTTGCCGCAGCAGCATTGTTTAGATCTCTCTTTGGTTTTGCTTTCCCATTGTTCGCTGGAAAGATGTACGATAGACTAGGGTACGGATGGGCAAACACCATGTGCGCTCTCGTCAGTATTTTGCTAGGAGTCCCTTTCCCTATTTTATGCATTTGTTATGGAGAGAGGATCAGAGGATGGGCTGATAAGAGAATCGAAAGAAGGCAAAATGCAAGAGATAAAAAGAGAATCGAAAAACTCAAAAGTAGCATCAATTAATCAATATATTTATTCTTAGAGTCTTACCAATTTATGCATTCATTTTTTAGGTAATCTTTTTATCGTAGAATAAAAAACGTAGTCTTATATATGCGATGAACCGAATTTGGACACGAATATAATTATCAACACTCTTATGAATCAATCAAAGCCAATTAAACCACTAACGGTAGAGACTTTAAAACCTTTTCCGATTCCTAAGTATCTAGAGTCGTTACCCCCAAACGTGCTTGATGAGTTTATACAACTGTACTCTCTTGTGTCAGGGTATCTTGAAAGTCTTCCATCTTATAAAACGTTTACCGAATCAATCACAACACAAATAAACTATCAAATAACGAAACTTAACGAAATAATAACGATCTTTGACGAGTATGAAATAGCGGGTAATTTAATTAAGGAGCAAATTGATAAAATTAATAAGCTATATCAAGAGTTCCTCAATCTTGAGGTCTACCAGTATCAGCTTCTATCGTCCAACTTCAACCAGCAGTTTTTGAAGAAGAAACTTGAAGCTATGACACGAAATACAAATGAAGAGTCACTAAGGATAGCTCAAAGTCTAAAGCAGCTGGACAAGCTGGAATCCGAATTCAATGAACTTTTGAAAGACTTTAAGAACTCCAGGTCTCTCTATCATATGCGCAGAGAAAAGCTATACAGATGGGATGAGGAAAGGGTTACCGGACTTATATAGGACAGGCGACAAAGAGACGCTGTAAACTCAAGCTCTCAGACTTGAAGGTTTTACACTTGAGACGAATCAATATACTATAGCCTTGTGGAATCATCATAAATCCATATTTCGACATCTTGTGCACTCGCAAACCCTAGGGCGTAATAGAGAAAGTTTATTTTAATCCCTGTATGGTTTTACTGCTAAGATTTCTATATTTCTGAGCTCTCTTTATTTCTAACTACCTTCAATTACATAAGATTCAATCGATTAGACTTCTACTTTCCTACACTTTCTCATCCTCAAAGCTCTCGCTGATCTCATCAATTTCAATATCCAACAGTAGTGGGGAGAGTATGATGGCCCTTTATCGCCTACCGAAAGGTTAATTTCAGTTCAAAGCGGAGTTCTTGATCGCCGAAGAAGATCGTTGGCTCTAAAGTGCGACTTCATCCTTTCTCGGATTATATATCACCGACAAGCAAAAGACATCTATTAGCCTTCGTTTAATCAATTGACATTTATCTTGAAGCTTAAAATGTTTAATAGAGTGTCACAGAGAAGCATAGGGTTACGTGTGAGAAGTTTCAACAGAACTTTACTGACTCCTGTAGCTCCTCAAAAAAAGGGATTTTTCAGACGAGCATGGAGGACAACGAAGATTGTTACATTGCTAGGAGTTCTTGGTGCTAGTGGACTGCTTGCCTACAAGGTATATAATGAATCGCACCCTTCGGAACAAATGAAGCAGGTTCCATTCTTCGAAAATGGACAGAAAAAGAAAACTCTTGTGATCTTGGGTTCAGGCTGGGGATCGATTTCATTATTGAAAAATTTGGATACTTCATTGTACAATGTGGTTGTGGTTTCGCCCCGTAACTATTTTCTTTTCACTCCTTTATTGCCATCTGTTCCGACTGGAACTGTTGACGTGAGATCGATTATCGAGCCAGTGAGATTTATTACAAAGAAATTACCAGCTGAAGTGATCTACTTGGAGGCAGAAGCTACGGACATAGATCCCTTGAATAAGAAAGTAACTATCAAGCAATCAACGACTGTAAATTCTGGTCATTCTGGAAAGGACTCTGGCTCTACTAAATCTACAGCATCAGAATATGGTTTGGAAGAAATTATAACTTCGCTCAATTATGACTATTTAGTGGTTGGTGTAGGTGCCCAGCCTTCGACATTTGGAATTCCAGGTGTCGCTGAACATGCAACATTCTTTAAGGAAATCAGCGACTCTACTAACATTAGAAAGAGGTTCATGGATCTCATTGAAGCTGCTAATATATTGCCTAAAGGTGACGCTGAAAGAAAGAGGTTGTTATCAATTGTCGTCTGTGGTGGTGGTCCAACAGGTGTTGAATTCGCTGGTGAGATGCAAGATTATATTGACCAAGATTTGAAGAAATGGATGCCTGAAATTGCCTCCGAGTTGAAAGTTACACTTGTTGAAGCTTTGCCAAATGTTTTGAACTCTTTTAATGAGAAGCTTGTCGAATACACTCAACAGGTCTTCAAAGATACTAATATTGACTTGAAAACCAATACTATGATTAAGAAACTTGATGAAAAAGTTGCTTATGCCCAAACAAAGGGTAAGGATGGATCTACACAGATGATTGAATTGCCGTATGGTTTATTGGTTTGGGCAACAGGAAATGCACCAAGATCAGTCGTCCAGGGTTTGTACTCCAAGATTGAAGAGCAGAAGAATGCAAGAAGAGGTTTGTTAGTTGACGAAAGAATGTTGGTCGATGGTACTGACAACATATATGCTTTGGGTGATTGCACCTTTACCAAGTATGCACCAACAGCTCAAGTTGCGTTCCAAGAAGGTGAGTTTTTGGCCAAACATTTTTCTAGGTTACATGAAATGGAGGCAATAAAGTTTACATTGGAACATCCTACGGCAAGTGATAATACTGAAAGATTATCGAAGAAGTTGGACAGATTGCAACAGAAGTTACCAATCTTTCAATACAACCATCAAGGTTCTTTGGCTTACATTGGTTCGGAGAGAGCAGTCGCCGATTTAGTCTGGCACGGATGGTCTAATGTGACAACTGGTGGTACTCTTACCTTCTTGTTCTGGAGATCTGCCTATATTTACATGTGTCTTTCCGTTAAAAACCAAATATTAGTTTGTTTGGATTGGATTAAGGTTTCATTATTTGGTAGAGATTGCTCCAAAGAGTAATCAGCTTTTGAAGTGTACCTTTATTATCTTAATTTTTTTTTATCTTTATCTATTTTTATTTAACAGTTTATCTAACGATCATTATTATTGTGATTGTAATAAATGACGTTCCTGTAATATAACATTAGATGAAAATATATTTTTATCTTAAGTGTCTTCAGTAATCGTGTTGCATCAACTAGATCAGGATTCTATAGTCTTACGAAATGTAATGTGTATTAAATATTTAATATAAAAATGCCAACAGCTTATTCAAAAAGCAAATTCTGAGTCCTCCTCCAGAACTTCCTCCTCTTCACCTGCGTTGGACAGAGCAGCAGCAGCATTTGATGGCGCTTCCAAATGATTTGTGTCCGCCTTGAAGTCTGTCGTATCTGAGCGCATTTCAAAGTTCAACGGATAAGGTCTTTCGGACTCTTGCACCGTATTTGGTTCATTATGAGACATTATAAAGCGTTCTCTTGTACTAGGTGGTAGATTAAATGTATCAGGCAGTACTTTAACAATTTTAATATCCTGAGGACGTTGTAAAGGTTCTTGGAATGCCTTTGACGGCTGCTGGAACTCCAGAAGTGGGTGGTTGTAGTCGTCTTCTGCGCGAGGCTTAAAGTCAAATTTGTTAGTAGCAGTGAAATCCAATTCAGAGCTTCCACTTTCCATGGATAGCTTCTCAGCAGAATCATTTTGATCATAGCCTGCATCACTATGAGGATAAGGTGGGTATTTTGAGTCATTATCCAGGTCATCGTACTCGTTATCTGATGGATAATAAGATTGTTCGGCAGTAATTATATCTCTAACTTTTTGCGGCAATATATCAGGTCTGTAGAACCTGAGATCAATTCTGCCTATCAAATACATAGCATGAATGATCACTTCAAACAACCCCCAGCAAATATACATGGCTACTGGGTTACAAACTGGACTTGCCTGGTAGTTATATCTACCTTGAAAACAAACAATTGATCTAAGAATTACACCCACAAAGATCAATAAAGTTGAAATTGTAATAATGAGCATGGAAACATTATGCTTCAAACTACCTCTTTCATTAGTCAAGCCTTCCACAACATTGAAATGATGGTGAGTTGCTGCAATCACTCTTATGGCATGCCTATGGTTATGATTTCTCTTCATGAAAGTCTCTTCTGCTTCTCGAGCTGCATTCTTTTTGACAAAATAAAACGGAGAAAAGGATTCTATCCACCATGGTTGATAAGTATACAAGTTTTCATCCTTTGTAGTTGGCTTAAAAAAGTAAGAAAGACCTAGCAATGCGATAGAAGTCAAGGAATAAGTGATAATCAAAATCGATGTGGCTGCAACTGTTTTTTTCCAAGAATCGTAAGACCTTTGAGATATAGTGTTTAAATATGGAACGTATGATGCCAAAACGGTTATCGCAATTATGATCAATACAAATCCATAAAGAACAAACATAAAGTTCCAAAATAGCCATCTTGAACCACCAACTGGATGTCTCCATGTAAATAATCGTTGCGTCAAGATCAAATTGAAGGAGACAATTATAACAAATGGCACAATCAAAAAGAACTCACTCGTCAATCCAATCAGAATTTGAGTAACATCTTTACTCCATACAACCCTTAATATGAAACCAATAACTTTCATCACGCTGTATATCACCCATACTAGAGTTAACCAAAAGTAATGCCCTCTTGAAGTGTTAATAATAAACAAGATCAAGTGGAGTATTCCAATCACACCAAAAACAGCTGCAAAAATCGCAGAAGGAACAAGATCCTTGCTGTCTGGATATCCTCCAAATATGTTATTCTGCATAGCAACATTATAATCAACTAGTGCTTGAGGCACTTTGGGGCCAAATAGATGGTGACAAAAATTCACATATATATTAATTCCAGTTCCCTCTGCCCCTCCATTGTAGAGCCCATAAGTCATATGCATCAAGCCCTTAGCAGCATCCAATCTCTCATCTGTCATTTTTAATTTTTATTTTTATACTCAAATGGACCTATGCCCAATAAGTTATTAGTATAGCACAAGAAAATAATTACTACTCTTTTTTATTTAACAGCAGCAAAAGAGTCCCGCTCCACGGCAATACTGAAATATTTGGATATAATGTTCCCCGATAATTAATCAAGTTATTATACTTTGCTAATTTCAGGTACCGTATGATTTTGTACTGCTTCAATTAGCTTGAGAATACTTTCAATTTTCAATATTTATCGTAATAAGTACAAATATTGTTGAGGAAGCTTCTTTAGCACCTCTCAAGCTACTATTATACGTCCTTAACCTGATCCTATTATAAGGAAATTGAAAATTTACAGTCTAAATTCAGTTGTTATGAACTATCTTCACTCTTTATATATGGGTGCAAGTGTTCTCCACACAAGAAATATTCCCCTCAGAAAGCGATAATAAAATAGCATTACAAAAAGAGCTACAATAAGAAATAACAGATCTGAATGCTCAACGATAGTAAAGGAAATACAAAGACTACAACGTTCACTTTTGAACATTTATATCAGTAGTTTGTCGGCTCCTTCTTGAAGTTGGTATTAATTATGTGAAGATAGCGTTCTTAAAAAAGCACTTTAGGGCCACTATCATGAGGAAAACAAAAGCGACAATTACTGATAGAAATAGGCACAGAGCTTTCCATGGTACTACTGCTGTGACATTATTGACAGCAAGGCTATTGAAGATACGAAACATATTACAATTCATTTAAAAGGATGTCGTGGGCCGAGACACCCCGAAGTGATTACCAAAATACGAATAGCCTTGTGGACTAGAGGAACTGTAAGTTTGAGACCAAGTTAAGTGGACTTCGATATTACAAAGTGACAGTATAGTTACGGCTCGAATATTGCTTCACAACATAACAAGTCAAGAATCTGTGATTATATGGTTTTGCCGTATTCGGATAGGTTCCAATCCAATTACCTAAAAGAGTAAAAGAAAAATCTTGGAAATTTAAGACTTATAACATAAGATAATCAACAAAAGAAAAGTATTGATGCACTTCCCTAAGGAGTATAGAGCTCATCTAGAGCTCATGGTACACATATATGTTCTTATATTGTGAATAACACTCTAAAATGTGATATATATTAATAAATAGATATTAGAAATAAAATTCCGACTCGTCGTCTCCCTTTTCGACCTTGTCTTCAAATCTCTGTTGCTGAGAGTAGTAATTAGGAGGGTCCGAAAGTTGACTTCTCTTGGTTTCGAATTCAAAGCCGTCATCGTTATCAAAATCGAAGTCGTAGTCTTCGTCTGATTCTTGATCAGATTCTTGCTCGGATTCTTGTTCAGATACGACAGGGCCTTCTTCTTCATCAGAATGGTAGTTAGTCTGCTCTGCAGTGATTACCGCCCTAACTTTTGCAGGTAACACGTCTGGCCTGTAGAACCTCAAGTCAGCACGGCCAACAATGTAGCTGATATTTATTAATGCTTCACAAAAGCCCCACATGATGTACATTGCAACACGATCACCAGCACTTGACATGTCTCTATTCTTTCTAGCTTGGAATACGACTACAGCCCTCATAATTGCCGCAACAAATATCAATAGCGTAGAAAATATGATGATACTCAATGAAAAGTTGTGTTTTAAATCGCCTCTTTTATTCGTTAAACCTTCCACCATATTATAGTGATGGTGAGTTGCTGCAATTACTCTTATAGCATGCCTATGGTTATGGTTCCTCTTCATGAAAGTCTCTTCTGCTTCTCGAGCTGCATTCTTTTTGACAAAATAAAACGGAGCAAAGGATTCTATCCACCATGGTTGATAAGTATACAAGTTTTCATCCTTTGCAGTTGGCTTAAAGAAGTACGAAAGTGCAATCAAGTTGATAGATGTCAATGAATAAACAATAATCATGATAGCTGACCATTTAACTAAGGCTTGGTATATCATGAACTGGCTCGTCGATAAAAAATACATATATGGAATTGCACTTGCAACTATTGTAATCACAGTGACAACGGCAACAAATCCATACGACACCCACATAAAACTCCAAAATAGTTTTCTTGAACCTCCCACAGGATGTCTCCACGTAAATAATCTTTGCGCCAAAATCAAGTTGAAAGAAACCAAGAGTATGGAAGGAATAATAAGGAGTACTTCATTAGCTATTCCCATTTTAACTCTAACAATATCTTGACCCCATGTGATTCTCAAAACCCAACCAACCACTCTAAGTATGCAATAAAATGCCCATGCTAAAGATAAGAAGAAATAGTGTCCTCTTGAAAAATTAAGAATAAATATTAAAATATGAAATATGGCCAATAAACCGAAGACCACTGCAAAGATTGCGGATGGAACTATATCTTTGGTCGTGGGGTATCCCCCAAACAAGTTTATTTGTACTCCAACATTATAATCAATTAGTGCTTGTGGAACCCTTGGTCCAAATAATCTCCATGAATACCAAACAATGCCATAGATCCCAGTCCTAATATCAGCACCGTTGTTAATTGCACTAAGTAATGCCATTACATGCCCTGTGGCTGATGTCTCATCCAAAACCATCCGTTCTCAAAATCTCTGCAAGTTCCTGTTATTTTCAGCAATACAATGCTTAAGACCAGAGAATTTTCTTGAGGTGGAGTAGTGAAGTTTCCCTAAATGTCTAACTGTTTTCAAGGATCTTAAAATCTTTTCCCTCTCTTTACACCACTCAAGAGAAATAACTATAAGCTCATATTTATTTATCGCCACTTACTGCCCCACATTGCTTAGTATATATTATTTAAGAGACGGTAGAGTATTCACTAACATTATTCTGTTTAAGGGAATAGCTTGTAGAGCAGTGATATGAAATTACCTAATCCGGTATAGAGTTGGAACCAGTGCAAAATCTGCTAGAAAGGACGAACACACATGAACTCATGAACTGGACACAAAGGCATATCTTAGAGGCAGCATCATTCCTTGATATGGATGGCCCTGTCGATGTGTAAAGACAGACAGATACATAGATAGCTCTTGAATTAAAAAAAATCTATATATTATGTGTGTGCTATTAAAACCTAAATTCGGATTTATCATCACTGAAAGGATCCTCTTTACTGAAATATGACTCTCTAGGTGGATTGTGAAAACTGAATCCATCCTCCGAGGTTTGTGGCGAGTAGGATTGTTGAGTATCGGGGTAGCTTACGAACAGATCCGTGTACTCCATTATCGAAGGCTCCAAGGACTGTTCGGCTGTTATGATAGCTCTGACTTTTTGTGGCAATCTATCTGGCCTGTAGAATCTCAAATCGACTCTTCCAACTAAGTACATAACATTAATAATCGTCTCTAAGAGTCCCCAGAAGATATACATCATTACGGGAGAACCCACGGGGCTGGCATTCATTTTGACATTTCCCTGAAACACAACAACAGCTCTCAAGACAGCTCCCAAGAAAATAAATAAGGTTGAAATTGAGATAATGCATAGTGAGATATTATGTTTTAAGTCTCCTCTTTCATTCGTCAATCCCTCTACCATGTTATTATGATGATGTGTTGCTGCAATCACTCTAATGGCATGTCTATGATTATGATTTCTCTTCATAAAAGTCTCTTCCGCTTCTTGTGCTGCATTCTTTTTGACAAAATAAAACGGAGAAAAGGATTCTATCCACCATGGTTGATAAGTATATAAGTTTTCATCTTTCGTAGTTGGCTTAAAGAAGTATGAAAGTGCAATTAAAGCAATAGATGTCAAGGAATACAATATAATCAAGATTGCAGAACACTTTACCGTCTTTTGATATCGACTGAATACTTCTCCTGATAAGAAATAAAGATAGGGAACCGCACTGGCAACAATTGTCATTGCCACAACTCCACATACGAAAATATATAGCCCAATCATGATTGCCCAAAATAGCCTTCTTGACCCTCCTACTGGATGTCTCCATGTGAACAAACGTTGTGCAAGTATTAAGTTAAAAGACACCAAAAATATCGATGGTAGAATTAAGAAAACTTCATCAGAAATACCAATCCTAGTTCTACTCAAATCCTTTGCCCATATTGGGCGCATGACAAATCCCACAAACCTACATAGGCCGTAAAATGACCATCCTAGAGAGAGCCAGAAATAGTGTCCTCTTGAATAGTTTACCAAAAAGATCACTAAGTGCAAAATCATTATGATACCGAAAACAGCAGCAAATATAGCTGATGGGGCATAATCCTTATGAGTGGGATAATCTCCAAATAGATTTATTTGCATATTTGTGGAGTACTGTAACATAACTGGTGGAATGCCACCCAAAAGCGCATGAGCCTGGTCTGCATTAACCTGAGACCCAGTACTCGGTGAAGGGTAGTTATTTTGATACCTTAAAAGCTGCATCAACCCATGTGTAGCTGTATAACCGTCAGACATCGTCCCAAGTCTATAATATAATTCAACGTCTAACTCTATGCTTTCTGATCACTTATGTTCCAAATATTTCAACGGTGTCTTCACTACCGTCAGTGGCTCTATAAAATATCGTAACAGTAATATAATAAGTACAATCTCTTCTTCAAAATCTTGTTCATCAACATAAATTTGCCCTTAGCTTCATACTCCTACTATATAATAAGTTGCGATATGGCCGACTTGAATCATCTTGGAAGCAGCAAAAGACAAAATTTCCTAATCCGGTATCATTATTCGCATGAATCGTACATCGAGATATTTTACACTTTCCTGTAATGGGTTCCACTTCGAATGAAAACAATAATGCTATAAACCATATAGAGCTAGCGAAGCAAGTTGCTGATGTATAATGCTTAATGAGGTATGCTCTTTAAATAACTATGGCCAGAACGAGTGGCCTCGACTGATGATCAGAATCTCATTTACCATAATCTTCACATGTGTCAACAACTGAATCAAGGGGATTCAGCTTCAAACAGTAGTGATGTATTATTCGGGGTAAAAGAATCAAAGGTTGGATATTTGCGAACGTTGTTTCTCTTTCATGTTTATCTGATACTTATTAGTCTAGTAGTAAGGTCTGCTCTAACTGCCCTGCGTATAAAGCTGATTGCGAGACTGAACCTCTCTACAGTACAATACCATAACGAGTATAAAGTTTTTGACTATAGTGTTTGTTATTCATATGAAGAACAAACTCTGGTAAACGAGGGCTGCAATACTAATTAGGAAAAGCAATTGAAGTGATATATCAATAAATAATTGGGAAAAATTCAAATAGTATAATGCCAACGGTCAATTTGGACTACTCTAGAGCTCATAAGATCCTTAATAGTGATGAACCGGACAATTTTGTTTCTACTCCATATGGATTATCGCTATTAGAGATCCAAGGAGACTTGAACTTACCTACAAATTCACTGGAAGATGATCCTGGTACAGTGAAAATCGACGATATCCGTGAAGCTGTCAAGTTCGGAAAATTAGAGATTGATGAGAAGGATTCTAGCCGAATTACCCTTTACATAGGCAAATCTCAGAGATTACTAGGAAGTATAGTGGATTTGGATACTCCATTGGCTGTAATGAAAGTCCCTACCGATGAATCTGTGGATATCGAGATCGTTGATGTAATTAAGAAAAAAATGATCTTTAAGCAAAGACCTCTCCCTATAATGACCAAGAGTAATTAAAGTGTATATTAAGTTAAAATTTTAAACATAAAAGTTAAATAATCTAAATTTTTGCTCTATGGTGCCATACGGCATCAAAGTTATCTCTGAAGTATCCCGAGTTATCAACGATAACCAAATTGCTATTTATTTTTTTGATGTCCTCAATACTGAAATGTAATTGCTCTTTCATGTAGTTGATGATTCCGCCATATTTATCATTAAAGAGCTCAATAGCAGCCAACATTGCCTCGTATCTTGAACTGATCAAATTTTCAAAACCATCTTTTTCAAGCGACCACCCCTCTCTACCTTGAGAAATCATCTGTTCAATTTCAGTTGATTTTGCATTGCCCTTTATCTTCTCTAACGTCTTCATAAATTCATCTTTCATGTCTGCATGATTTGGCTTTAAACCTACCGTAGTAAGTTCATATTCCTTTCCAATTGTGTGCTTATCGACACCTAAAAGTAATAATATCAACATTGCTAAAACCCCAGTACGGTCCTTTCCTGCAGTGCAGTGGAACAAAAAGGGCTTATTTTCGTCTCTTATATATTCAAAAACAGTCCTGAAGCAGTCAGTACCAAACTCTAAGATTACTTCATAAACTTGAACATAGGTGAACCAACTAGTCATTAAATTAGCATATCTGACGGCAATTTCTTCCGGTGAATACAGATCTTCACGAAAAACTGGCGCATGGATCCTCTTTATCCCATACTTCTCGAAATCTTTAGGAACGCCATACTTCTCACACTCATTAGTTGCACGAAGGTCAAATACAGCGGCAATACCTAAGTCCTTCAACTGCAGCAAACCAAGTGGAGTAACGTTTGAGACACTAGCGCAACGAAATATCATGTTGGGCTTAACATAAGAGATCGTATTTTCTTTAAACCTTGGTGAAGTAATCTTCCAGCCCCCAACATCTCTAAAGTTTGCAATTCCATCAATATTTTTCCATCTAGTGAGCCTTCCAATTGTTTCACTTTGATACAAAAACCTCTCCAATTCTCTTTCGGGCGCCAAATATTTCACGATTATATCAGCAACGACGTAATTATAATTGACCAACTTTTTTGAATTAAGAGGTAACTTTTTAGGATTATATTCCTCAGCATCCAGTTCATTATTGATCTGATGCACTCCGTAAAAATTATGATCTGCGTTAGGAATAAGCCTTAACTCATGGGAAGATTTTCCTCTATTTAAAACATTTGCAATCAAAGCACTATCTTCAATTGGAATTATAAGATCATTCAAGCCGTAGATACTCAATACCGAAGTATCAGCTGATAGTTGCTCTAGTTTCGAGAGATCAGGTAAAGCCAACGACTGTAACTCTGGTTTTGGAATATCAACAGCCTGGAGCTTTCCATGACGGAGACTCGTAGCTGTTAAAAACTCGAATGAATCATCATTAATAGGGTATCTATCCGCGACTGTTTCTGAGCGATATCTACACGACGTATTGACCAAGCTAGGTACTCCAATGGCTCCCGATGAGTTTTTGGACTTCAATAACAGATCTTGCTTCAACGCCCATAAAAACATAGCTACTGATCCCCTACTATGAGAGATAATGGCGCTTAAAGTGAAGTTTATTTTAAGAGGGTTCTTTTCCCCACAAGTTAAAAACTCAGCGCAATCTTGAATATCTTCTATGTCTTGGTCTAAAGTACGGCCCTTTTGAGGGTCTTCATTCTCTCCCGAATTTCCACACCCTCTGAAGTCAATTCTTAAAGAGTAGATCCCATGTTCTGATGCCAATCGATGAGCCAAATGTTTTTGATAACAATAATTTCTGTGTCCACCCTGTCCATGTAATAGTAATACTGCTTTCGTGGTAGATGGGGCATGTCCACCTTCAAAAGGATTATCTAACTCAGCAGAATGAGGGACAGCTATCGTACCAGATACACCTTTTCCTAAAGTAACCTCAATTTCCTTAGGAACAGCAACTTTCTTGACTGACATTACCTTCCACTAATACTTGAATCAAGCCAACCTTAAGTTAAAGTTTGGTATTTATTGGGCGAATATCATGTGTTTATATACTTATATCTGAAGATCGGTCTCCGTCGGTTTAGCTCCACTCTTTCATGTGAATCACCTGCACATAAACAGAGTATCGAGACTGTGGCATCGTATCAAAAGAACGTTAAGATATGGAACCGTTATAATGATATGCCAGTATCACTATCAAAGATGGATTCTAATTGGAAGCACGATAGAGATGCTTATTCAAGGCTTGGTAGTTTTCTAAATCAAAGAGAATCAGACGAATTAGCCACACAGCTATCAGTATTTCAATCGGCTTTAATTAACTTTGCTACCGAGCATGGAGATGAGATTAAACTGAACGACGAGTTTAGGTCAAAATTTACTCAGATATGTCGTCTGATAGGAATAGATCCGATAGAGCTTACTCTTTTGACAAAATCTAACAAGCAGAATTTTTCTGTGGCTCTTACAGTACGTATAGTGGAGGTTTGCCAGGAGACAAGAGACTTGAATGGTGGACTTATTTCTATCAAGGAATTAGAATCGAGACTCAAGAGTAATGACAAGTTGCAGTTGTCGATAAACGACAGTGATATTTTGAAGTCCTTAGAGCTTTTAAATGCAATGGGTAAGGGGTATGAACTAATGACTATAAATGATAAGAAATGGCTTAAATTCACTTCAGGTGGAGCTATATCTCATGATCAAAAACGAATTTATGAAACATGCACTATCATGGGAGGATATGTTACTTATAGACTTCTAAGAGATAACTTTGGATGGGATGATATTAGATGTAATAGCGTGATAGAAGAAATGCTTATGAATGGATTTCTTTGGGTCGACTCTCAGGGCCCAAGAAATGAAGTGTTATATTGGGAACCATCATGGATTTCAAGTTGAAGAATTTGGAGCCTTCGACGATTTGGCTTTCTTTTCTCTATATCTCGCATTAACTTCTTCAAAAGAGTCGCCCATTTCTCTTTTAGCCATTGGGACATATTTTCTGAAATTTCTACCTTTTCCATCACCTATGTTAATTGCACCTGAACCAGGCGTCAGCTTCAACTCGACATCCTTTATAAACATGTCTTCCATAATTCCAACAATGTTCGATTTTAATTTATAGTCAATAGCCAACTGCTTGAAATTAGAATAATGTGTGAGTAATTTAGACTTCTGGGCAAAATCGTTCTGTATCGTTAACCACTCCATTGGGGGATATTTACAGTCGTATAATACTAGTGGAATATCATTTGCCATGTCATAGTTTGGCTTTCTAGGGTATAACTCAGGATCTAATAATTCATCAATAATAAGTGGCTTCTCTAATTTTTGACCAACCATAAACAAGATTGCAACCATACAGCGAACTTGATGCCATAAGAAGGCAGTTCCTCTTAAATCAAACATATAAAATTCATCATTAAATGGTAAGATATTAGACGCAAGTACCTCTCTCTTATAATTTGTAATCTGCTTCGATCCGTCTAGTTTACAAAAATTACGAAAATCATGAACCCCCTCATACTTCTTTGACGCTTCCTTCATCAAGTCAATGTCTAAATTATCCTTCTTGAAGAAATAACGATAATGCCTAAAGGTACAGCTGAACCTAGCATCAAATCCTTCTGGTGGCCTTAGACAAATACCTGTGATCCTTATATCACTAGGCAAAAGTGAATTCAAAACTGAAATATATGGAAGCTCTTTCAGATCGTTACTCCTTTCATTCTGTTCACTCGTAGTCAAATTCGATCTTACCTCTAGTGAAATAACTTGGTTCATCGCACTCACACCTTTGTCAGTTCTTCCACAACGACTGAACTTACACGATCCTGGCTCAGCTTTGGGAATAAGCCTAGCTTTCTCCATTGCTCTTAAAATCTCATCCTCAACCGTCGGTAACGGAGTTGGTTCATATTGGAAACTCAACCCATTATAATTCCAACCAAGATAAGCGAATCGTAATGCTATAAACCTTTTATTATGTTTTGAAAAGTCGAATGATTTGGTTTTTGCCTTCTTCTTCAATGGTTCTTCAAGGACATCAGTCGTTCCTTCTTTAGTTTCTACATCCAGCTCTAGCTCTCGTATTTTTTCAATCAACTGATTCTTTGACCACTTTTCATAATCAGGCATAGTGCTTGATATCTTACTATTCTCTGTTTTCCAGATGTATCCCAACGTCCTCTTTAACATAGCATTTAATCTTTTTATGATGTTTTTGATAAAAGTAGAATTATGATGGTATCTAGGAACCTCATCTCATCATCATATTTTTTTTTTTTTCATCAATATCCGAATAAGTTTTTAATACCACCAAAAACACCTAAATAGAGGCATCTCCTGGACCTTCAATAGCATAATGAAAACGAAAGAAGGCTCCCTATCTTGGAGCTCTTTAAAATGCAATCTTGATCCATGGATTCGTGAAGGCATTAAATCACTTGGGTTTCAAACTATGACACCAGTGCAAGCTTCGACCATTCCTCTCTTTGCTGGTAACAAAGATGTTGTAGTGGAGGCTGTTACAGGGTCAGGGAAGACATTTGCGTATACAATCCCGATGCTACAAAAGGTTTCGAATTTGCTATACAGTGATGGTGATGATAAGGAGGCACAACCAATTAAGAAAGGACATATGATAGGAATAGTCATTGCACCTACTCGAGAACTTGCAAGCCAAATTCAGGCTGTGTTCCAATCACTTCTTCAATTTCTCCCGGAGGACAAGCAGCCTATCAAGACACAGTTGTTAGTGGGGTCATTATCTAGCATAAGAGAAGATGTTGAGAACTTTTTGAATGAAGGACCGCAAGTGATAGTTGCAACTCCAGGAAGATTACTAGAGTTTCTTACCTCAAGCTATATCAAATCGAAATCCGTGGAGATAGTAGTCTTGGATGAAGCTGACAGGCTACTCGATATTTCTTTCAAAAATGAGGTGACCAAAATATTGAAAATTTTACCTAAACAAAGACGTACAGGGTTATTCTCAGCAACTATCTCGTCTGCTGGAGACGCTATATTTAGCACTGGTATGCTGAACCCAGTGAGGGTATCAGTTAAATCGAAAAATTCCAAGAACTCAGCTCCGGCGTCATTGCAAATCAACTATTTACTAGTCAACCCAGAGCGCAAAGTTTCAGTCTTATCAAGGCTTTTGAATGATTATCAATTCAAAAAATGCATTGTATATTTACCAACTTGTACTTCCGTGAAGTACTTCTACAATATCTTTCGGAGCCTACTTGTAAATAAAGAAAAAAACTTACAATTTTTCTCCTTACATGGGCAATTGTCTACGAAGCCAAGACTCAAAACTTTACAAACATTTTCTGATACAGACTCCTACTTACGCAAAGGTATACTATTGACAACTGATGTTGCTGCAAGAGGTATTGATATCCCAGACGTTGATTTGGTTATTCAACTTGATCCTCCAACAGACCCTGACGTTTTCTTGCATCGTTGCGGAAGAACAGGTAGAGCTAACAAAGTCGGAAGAGCTATTGTTATGTTAAACGAGAATACTAGAGAAGAAGATTATATCGATTTTATGGATGTTAAAGGTATTAAATTGAATAGAATGGAAACACCAGATTCACCTGAGCATGACAGTCTTTTGAATTCAATGAGAGCCTATATTCTAGAAGATCGTGCAAGAAATGAGCTTGCGGTAAAATCTTACGTTGCATTTATTAGATATTATTCCAAGCATATTACTTCGTCAATATTCAGGCTTCAAAGTTTAGACTATATACTGATTGCCAAAATGTATGGCCTATTGAGGTTACCTAAAATGCCCGAATTGAAGTTTATTCCCCCTGAAACAATACCGAAAGATGGTTGGTTAGTTGAACCAATCGATATGGATAAATATTCCTACTCAGATAAGGAGAAAGAAAGGACGAGACTCCTCAATATGGAAAGCGATAAGAATAAAAAAATTATGGATGCAAAAAAGAGAAAGGAATTGAAGGTTAAAAACGAAGCTTGGTCGTATAAAGTAGGTACAAAAGATGCTAAGCAAGAAAGAAGAGAAAAGATGAAAAGGAAAAGAGAGCAAATAGAAAATCAATTACTTGAAGAATCGTCTGATGAAGATGATAAAACCAATGTTGATTGGAAAGAAATAGTGAAAAGTAACAAAAGAAAGAAGGCAACGGACTCTGCACTCATTGGCTCATTTGACGGCCTATAGAAATCTATATTTTCCACTTATCACTTACAGACCTTATACCATCAAAAACGAATAGATTATCCACCGGAATATATTGACCTGTTGCTAATTTTAAAACCTCTTGACTTGCAACACCTCCCATAAAACTATTGATGTTATGATAATTATGTATACTATGCGTTAATGCTTCTTTGAATGTTAGTAAGAGTGATTCCGGTACTTCTTTTAAATGAGGTGCAAAGGACTGAAGGAACAATTCAATAAAACGATCAAGGTCTTCAATCTCTGGACATGTTTTAAACGTGTCGATGTATTTGTTGTAGTTCAAAATTGTAAAATATATTGCCAAAGTGCTTGAACGTTCGTCATCTCCTTCACTAGGTTCGTTGAATAGCTGAAACATTAAATTCTGGCTATACGGTTCTTTTGAACCATTTGTTACGTACAAAAACTGCGAGTTTCGGCAAAATGACTTAATAACTTCACCACTGATATCTTCTATTGATCTATCAGCTTCTTTTAGTACGTTTGTGAGTTCTTGCTTGAATAGTGTTTCGTCCCTAATGGCTTTATTTTTGTATATGTTTTGTAACTGAATGTAGTTTAATGTGTCCGATGCCATGTCTGGCAAGGTTCCAGGTAATGGTAGTTGAAAGTCATTCTTTTGAACAAACCTTTTCAATGCTACAACTAAAAGCCAAAACATCAGAGTAGATTTAGTAACTTTTTCATGATTTGTGGAGGCCTGATTGAAAATTTCCATAATAGATTGTGGAATGCGAGTGGTCTGAAGTGCTTTATGAATAGAATTAGTGGCTTCTAAGAAATTAGCCTCTATACCTATTCTCCTTGACATTCCTTCGACATCCTTTCGGAATTGCTTTTTTTCTAAGTAATTTTGAGGAGATTGTCCATGATGGGAATCTTTCCATCTCTGCAAAGCTTTGATGAGGATGAGGACATACGGTACATGTGCGTGATCAGTGTCATCTAAATCATCTAATTCAAAAGAGTCTGTAAATTGCTTTAACTCTAGCCAGGGTTCATCAATTCTTAAGTCATACACTTTCGATGGATCGTGAGTCTCAATAACAGTGGTCTCATTCATGATCAACTGTAGTGAACCATAGAATCCAAGACAATTCACAACCACCAAGGGTATTCCCTTTTCCCATAAGAGGTTAACTAGCTCGTCAAGGAATGGAAAGTAGTCACTTATCACTACGACTGAAAATTTATTCCAAAAATCAGGAGTTTCTTGAGTCAAAATATCATGAACGGAACGATCATCGTAATGACCTCTAACATCACTGTTAAGTTCATTCAATCTGGAAGAGGCAACTACTGCAATTTTCTCCCCTATATCATCTTGGTCTAAAAAGAAGCTCCCTGCCAAATTTTGTTCCGTAATGACAGATTCATCTATAATGGTGTAATCACCTGCACCAGGTAGAACTAAATTCTTTAATGCTTCCAATCCTGTTGTCGTAGCATTTATCAAACAGATGTGCGATGCTTCCAAGTTAGCTTGACCAGAAGATGCCCACAATCGCAATTGCCTATCGTATCTTGTTTCCTTATCTATCAGAGCCATGGTGAAGAGATTTCTAATCACAGAATAAAAAAATTGAAAATTACGAGATATCATATACTATGAATCGATTATATGAAATAAAGATTATAATTAAAATTAGCTATATTGATTACATTATTGTACATTTACCGTTACCGATTAGGTCTTCGTACTTCTCTTTATCTCTTTCCTTGAGCTTTTCTTTAACTTCAATGGGGAAGAACTTCTTCATCTTCTCCATAGTCTCCAAATCTAGATTCCTGCCGTCAGCATTTTCAATAACATGTTCTGCTCTGCAAAATGGACAGCTTGTCTTCTGCTGCTGCTTCAATTTGACTAAACAGCGAACACAAAAGACGTGCCCACATTCTAATCTAATAGGTTTGAAAGCAATCGAGCAACAGATGGGGCAGATATAGTCATCTATTTGTGGGACCAATTCAACAACTGAGCTTTGCAACACGTAGCATATCGACTGAGCCAACGATTTTCCAGTTATAAAGACATGGTCTGCAGAAACCAACCTTGGAAATTGATTTTGAACACCTAAAGCTGTTTGCTTGTCAAATTTCTTCAAAATCTTCCTGAGTGCGGTTAGATTAATAGATTGAAACTGCAAAACCTTGAATAGGTGGTAATTCAAACTTAAAAACTGATCATATGTTAAAATACCTTTCTTACTTCTAAACTGAGTTAAGACATTTGACTTATTAACATTATCAATAAAGTGTTGCATATTTTCCTTGACTTGGTCGATACTTCGTTCAAATGCAGGGCTCGAGGTTTCATTGTATTTGAAGTACACTTCGGAGTCCAAATAAATCTTAAACAATTCTCTCCAAGTATACAAATCTTTTCTCCTTTTGGGATCTGCGAATTCCTGAACCATACCTCTTAATTTCTCAACTTCCTGAATCAACTTGGCTTCCTCAGCTGCCTTAAGCTGATCCAAGCCTTCTAATTCATCATCTAGCATTTGAAAGAACTTGACATCTGAATTAAGCATTATGTAGATCTCATTCACCCTTTTTTTAGATTTAGGAGACTCATCGCTTGTATCTTTATGGTCATTGTCTATAACTTCCCTCACTTCCTCTTTAATAACAGGTGATTGGGGCCAAGAAGTTTGTGGTGAGATTACCAAGGCCTCATCTTCATCTTCCTTCACCTCTATAAGCCTCTGGCCATTCATATTGTCGTCATCTGAATCGCTACCTCTATAAAGAAGCCCCTCTATTCTTCGTTTCAATTCAAGACCTTGTTCGTATATGTGATCATCGGAGTAATCTGCATTGCTATAATCAAGCAGAATTTTCAACATAGGCACTATATGCTCGCTCTTCTTGCCATTTGATTTCGTAAGTGTATATTCAGCGATTATAGGATTGCTAGCAGTAGTCTCTTGTTCATCTATTTCTTTAATTTCATGCTTGTCAGAATCTTCCAAGATCAACTTCAAAGTATTATGCTCAAGACCCAAGAATTCTAGTTCACTAACCACTTTATTAATACATTTTTTTAACGCCTTGTACTGTATTGCTGCCTCCAACCAATCTTCTGGCACATCTTCCTCCATCAAGGTCTTTTCTAAGACTTTGGCAAACTTCATATGGTTGAGATGCCGCCTTTATTCTTCTTCTAGAAAATTTTTCGACAAATAGTCAAGTACACTCGCTAGAGCTGCCTATTAACACCTGGTATAGAGTAGATTTCTGATACTATCAAAGCTTAAGTAAGTAACATAACTAGCTGTTCTTTGGCACTTCTGTCAAAACTTTATACGATATCAGTAAAGGTCTGCTTTGAATTTAAGATGTAGCACGTGGACGAGACACAAAACGACAAAAAAAAATCCCCAAACCGCCTAATCGGGCTCAAACCGCCTTTAAAGGGTTCTGTTCGAGAGATCGCGACATTGACGTCAATAAGACACTGAGAAAATATGAGAATATTGAGCTTAAGTACGAAGTGGAGCCTAGCTATGTACATATTATCCTATTCAGTTCACTGAAGAGTACTTGAAGAGCGCATGCCTCTTATTTTGTTCAAAGAATGAAAACAGAGCACTTCATCTGGCCTCCGTTTCCATTTTGGCTTATCATTTTGCAGTAATTAGATAGAGCTTGGAGAATGTTCTCGAATAAAAGAACAGTATGCAGGATTTAATTCGGACGATAATTCAGAAGGCGGTTAACTAAATGACAAGAAAGAACAGAAGATAATAGCTCACAGGACTTAAACAGAGATCGTATAATCGTGAATATGGAATTTGATCTAGATCCTACTTTGGAATCAATCGTACAGCAAGACTCCTTGAAATGGATTTTTGTAGGAGGTAAAGGTGGAGTTGGAAAGACCACGACATCGTCTTCAGTTGCAGTTCAATTGGCATTGGCAAAACCTGAGCACCAGTTTCTTTTAATATCTACGGATCCAGCACATAACTTGTCAGATGCTTTCTGTCAGAAGTTTGGAAAGGATGCTAGAAAGGTAGAGGGATTACCCAACTTGTCTTGCATGGAAATCGATCCCGAGGCTGCAATGTCAGATTTGCAAGAACAGGCATCGCAATACAACAATGATCCTAATGATCCCTTGAAGAGCATTATGTCTGATATGACGGGTTCTATTCCAGGTATTGATGAAGCCTTGTCGTTTATGGAAGTTTTGAAGCATATTAAGAACCAAAAGGTTGATGAGAATGATACGAAAGACCCGTCAGCAATTGCGTATAAGACAATCATTTTTGATACTGCACCAACGGGACACACATTAAGATTCTTGCAATTACCAGCAACGCTAGAAAAATTGTTATCCAAGTTCCAAGATTTGTCTGGGAAATTAGGTCCAATGTTGAGCATGTTAGGAGGGGGCCAGAAACAAGATATCTTTAACAAATTGAATGAAGTGCAAAAAAATGTATCTGAAGTTAATGATCAGTTCACAAATCCTGACCTTACCACTTTCATCTGTGTCTGTATATCTGAATTTTTGTCTTTGTATGAAACAGAGAGAATGATACAAGAATTGATGTCTTACAATATGGATGTGAACTCCATAGTAGTTAATCAGCTTTTGTTTGCTGACAATGATACCACACCCTGTAAGAGATGTCAGTCAAGATGGAAAATGCAAAAAAAATACCTCGATCAAATGAAAGAATTATATGAAGACTATCATTTAGTAAAGATGCCTTTATTGGGTTGCGAAATTAGAGGAATTGAAAATCTTAAAAAATTTTCTAAATTCTTATTAAAACCGTACGATCCAAAGGAGGATGGTGATATTGTGTTTGACTTAGAGGAGAAATAATTTATATAGCATTCTCTATCATTATAGTTAATTTATACTAAAGGTTAGTGTATTTCTACCAGTAAATCTTACTCGCGAAGTTTCACCAGATTTTAGAATCAGTAAGGAAATCACGAATATTTTATTCTTAAGAACACTATCTGTAGTGGCATAGACCAACGAATATGGCGAGGGGGAATCAAAGAGATCTTGCGAGACAAAAGAACTTGAAGAAGCAACAGGAAGCAAGTAAGGGACAGAAGAAAGCTGGTGATCCAAAGAAAAGAATGGAAAGCGATGCTGAAAGGATGAGACAAAAACAAGCTTTAGGTTTGTATTACGAGAAATGTAGATAAAGTAACGACTAAGTTATGTACTAACATTATAGCTGACGCAAAGAAAGCTGTGGAGGGCAAGAATTAAGAGAATAGCTGAAAGTTGTTGATTATGGACGAATGGTTCTGGAAAGACTCAACGAACCATAAACGTACATCTTCCCTTTAAACACACCCGTCAGAACAACGCATTGACTGGAATGTGATCGTCACCGCTCATTTATAGAAATGAACTCATATTTGGTTTATTATTGTTTCTTCTGTAGACTTGTGTAGAAAATACTACGAAGTATTGTTGTTAAATTTGGAACAAAATGTAAGGAATGTAAGACTGTCTAACTAGCAGTTGTTTAAAAACATTGACACCTTCGAATCTTCGCCTGGAGCGTTTCTTGGATTTTCAGGGTTTAATTCCAATTATCACCAATGAAAAAAAAAACGTTCTTGATTCGTGACGTAACTAAATCACTACCATCTCTCCCATCTATACCAGCAGAAATTATCCGATATGTTGATTAAAGAAACATATCACGATGTCAGGACCTCATTTGACACTACGATGAGAATCTTTGTCTATCACCCTAAGATCCCAAACTACCCAAATGTGAGATATCCAGGTGTTATTGTTTATAGTGAAATATATCAGGTTACTGGACCAGTTTCGAGGTTTGCTAAAGACATTGCTGGCCAAGGGTATATAGTAGTCTGTCCACTGATTTACCACAACTTTGAAAGTTATGAGGCATTATCTTACGACGTGGAAGGAACTGATAAGGGTAATAAGTACAAGGTGACAAAACCATTGGAATCCTATGATGAAGACAACCGTCTATGCATAGATTACCTTTTGTCTCTTAAGACTTGCAATGGCAAAATTGGTGCTACTGGAATGTGCCTTGGAGGACACTTAGCCTTTAGAGCCTCTCTAGACCCTAGGGTACTGGCCGCCGTATGTTTTTTTGCTACTGATATTCACAACCACGCACTTGGTAAGGGCCAGAATGATGACTCATTGAAGAGATGCGGAGAGATAAAGGGAGAAATCATTATGATCTTCGGCTGTAAAGACAATCATGTTCCCTTGGAAGGCAGAGACTTGATTAGAGGAACTTTGAGAAAGAAGAATGTTGAAATGACATTCATAGAAATCAATGATGCCCAGCATGCTTTCGTGAGGGACGAGATGAGCAAAGGAAGATATGATCCGGCAACTACTCAGTTGTGTAATCAATGGCTCCTAGAGTTGTTCACTAGAAAATTGAAATTGGATTACGGCAGTCATGACGGTCAGTCTTTTCCCATTGAAGATGTATGTTAATCCAAGTAGCTCAAGTAGTATATATTCCCTTCTAAAAAGAGAAATATTGTATACTTTCGTTAATATTTTAAAATATAATTGTAATCAGATGGAAAGATAATTTGCAGTAATAAACTATGGCAGATCCCAGGCAATAGATCGATTCCTCGGCAGCAAAAAAAACGCCTTTCCTATTTCATTCTTTGTACTTACAGTCTATTGGCCTAACCATTATTCAAAAGAAGTCCCCATGAGTCTTACTTTTTATTAGTATTCTTCAGGTCCATTGATTTACTCCTTTCCCTTTAAGACATATTTGTGCCTTGGCACGCACTTTTCAATTTTTTTTTTTCACCTCTTCCATTCTCAAATTGACTATCACTGACTATAGTCAACTTCTATTTTAAATAAAGCTAAACACTCCACAGACATGAGGCCAATCAAATTAATGGGACATGAGCGTTCCTTGACCCAAGTCAAATACAATAGAGAAGGTGATTTGATACTTTCTGTGTCAAAAGATAACTCGGCATCTGTTTGGTTCTCTTCAAATGGCGAGAGACTTGGTACATTGGAGGGCCACCGTGGTACTATTTGGTCTATTGCTGTTGACAGCGATTCCAAGTTCTGTGTAACGGGAAGTGCAGATTTGACTATAAAGTTATGGAAAGTTGAAACTGGAGAATGTGTTTATACATGGGAAATGCCAACACCTGTTAGAAGAGTAGCATTTTCTTCCGACAACAAAAGATTTTTGGCTGTTACCGATCAAGTTATGGGACAGTTGGGAACAATTTCAATTTTCGACATTAACAGAGAGGGAGATGGTACAAACCAGGCGCAAGAACCTTCGTTGGTAATCACAACTAGGGAAGACGCTACAAAAGTGACGGTGGCGGAATGGTCTTTTGATGACTTGATCCTTGCCGGCCATGATAACGGATTTATTTCAAAGTATGACGGGTCAACGGGTGAGTTTATTCAGACTGCTCAAGCACATGGAATCCATAATGAAGAAAAGAGTTCTTCAATTTCAGATATACAATTGGCACCAGAAGATGGATCATACTTAATCACGTCCTCCAAGGATAAGTGCGCCGCCCTTATAGATGTAGAGACTTTGAAGATCATGAAGGTGTATAAAGCCGATGCACCGATGAACACAGCAGCTATAACTCCAATCAAGGATTTCGTAATATTAGGTGGTGGTCAGGAAGCCAGAAATGTTACCACAACCGCTGAATCTCAAGGTAAGTTTGAAGCAAGATTTTACCATAAAATATTTGAAGATGAAATTGGCCGTGTCAAAGGTCATTTTGGTCCTTTAAACAGTGTGGCTGTCCACCCCGATGGAACTGGATACGCAAGTGGAGGAGAAGATGGTTTCATTAGAGTACATGTATTTGACAAGTCCTACTTTGACTTTTATTTTGATGCTGAGAGGACAGAAAGAGCTATTGCTTCAGGGGCTACTTAGTTACTAAAAGTCCTGGTAAAGAAGTTTTCAAGTAATTTGCATTGGTGATTCGGCTCTATTCTTTTTCAGTTCTTATAAACTTTATATGAACTCTATAAGAACCAAAAAAAAACAGGTCAACAGGTGAAACTAACTATTGTAGGGATATAGATCCATTTTGTATATTATTTACATCGCTCTTATACTTATATTCCTTCGAATACAAATCTAAGTCAATTTTTTCCTGATTCGGATTACTCATCACTAGTGAACCTCAGATCGCAAGATAAGGGAGCACTGAAAACTTTATACAAGACTTTACCTCTCATATATATATATATATTTATATATATATAAGCGTATGGACGTATAGGAAGCTATCATTTGAAGTCTAGTAGTTTCTTCAGATAGTTGGGGTGAGCTTGGTTATAGGAAATTTTAAGCAACGTGAAAGGAATTTGCCATCAAGTAAAATAAGTTATTAGGTTATATAATGCTGCCAAGTTACAGAGAAGAAGATTCAAGCAATACATCTGAGGATATAGAGGCTGGTGGGTTTGTTGTAGATGATCCTGAGCCTAAACTCAACAATAAAAGGAGATCAAGACGAATAGCAAGTCTGAATACGTCTTATAAGGAATCATCTGACGACGATGTGGCACTTAATGATAGAGATCGAAATGGTAGAAAAGGGACAAGAGCAACCAGGAATAGGAGGAAAAAAGACTCGCCTGCTTTGGAAGAGGACGATGAACTAGAAGATGAAAATTTTGAGTTATATAAAATGTCTGAAGATCTGGACCTTGAAATAGTGAATTCTTCGAGAGCCACCAGAGACGGAAGTTCAAGCTTTCAAGCCATATCGCTTTCTGATGTCGATGATCCGAATGAGGAAGTTCCTTTATCTGAATTGAATCCTCCAGCCAAGAAGCGCAAGAAGGCACCTAAGAAAGCAGCAAGTAAGAGGAAGAAAAAGGAACCTAAGGTCAAAGTTCCTTACTTTACAAGGATCACTAATAGGCTCTATGAGCAGCATCCTCATTTGAAAAATGTATTTCCTTATTTGCAGTCAATAGAAGGAATACCCGACAAAAGGGCAGAGCATCCTAAAGGCATGACTATCAAGTTGCTTCCTTTCCAGTTAGAGGGTTTAAATTGGTTGATAAAGCAAGAGGAAGGTGAATTCGGAGGAGGAATTTTGGCGGATGAGATGGGAATGGGAAAAACTATCCAGACTATAGGGTTATTTATGCAAGATACTACAAAGAGACCCAATTTAGTTGTTGGACCCACTGTCGCATTGATGCAATGGAAACATGAAATTGAAAAACATACTGAAAATGGATCACTCAAGACGTTGCTATTCCATGGTGCTAATAGGAGTAGTGATGTTGAAGAGTTAACGAAATATGACGTTATTTTGACATCGTACTCTGTCTTGGAATCAGTTTATCGTAAGGAGAATTATGGTTTTAAGAGAAAAAATGGGTTGGTGAAAGAGAAATCACCATTACATGCAATTAAATTTTACAGAGTTATCTTAGATGAGGCACATAATATTAAGGATAGGAACTCCGGTACAGCAAAAGCAGCTAATAACTTGAATACAGTTAAAAGATGGTGCTTGACAGGAACACCTTTACAAAACAGAATTGGTGAGTTGTATTCTTTAATCAGATACATGAAAATTGAGCCCTTTCATAAGTATTTTTGCACAAAGTGTGAATGCTCCAGTGATGAGTGGAAATTTTCTGATTGGAGACACTGTAATATTTGTGGTCATTCACCCATGGTTCATACGAATTTCTTTAATCATTTCATGTTGAAAAATATTCAGAAATATGGGATTGAAGGCGATGGAAAAATTAGTTTTCAGAACATAAGGCTTCTTTTGAATAATGTGATGCTTCGTAGGACCAAGTTAGAGAAGGCAGATGATTTAGGGTTACCTCCTAGAATAATTGAGATCAAAACTTATAAGTTTAATGAAGAAGAAAAGGATTTGTACACATCACTCTATAGCGATTCCAAAAGGAAATTTAATGACTATGTGGCTGAGGGTGTCGTGTTAAACAATTACGCTAATATATTCACCTTAATCACAAGGATGAGACAATTGGCAGATCATCCAGATTTAGTTTTGAAGAAGATCGGAAACAATCAATTGGCAGATCATATAGATGGAGTAATAATCTGCCAACTCTGTGATGACGAAGCTGAAGATGCCATAGAATCCAAATGCCATCATAGATTCTGTAGGATGTGTATTCAAGAGTATATTGAGGGCTTTGGAGGTGTTGAGAGTAAACTTCAATGTCCAGTTTGTCACATTGGGTTATCCATAGATATGCAACAACCTGCATTGGAGATTGACGAAGAGCTATTCACGAAGGCCTCAATTGTGAACAGAATCAAACTGGGATCACATGGTGGTGAATGGAAGTCGTCAACAAAAATTGAAGCTCTTGTTCAAGAACTCTACAAGAATAGATCTGATCGGTTCACATTGAAATCTATTGTATTTTCACAGTTCACTTCGATGTTGGATCTCGTGGAATGGAGATTGAAGAGAGCAGGATTTCAGACCGTCAAATTGCAAGGCTCAATGTCACCTCAGCAACGAGATAACACTATTAGATACTTTATGGAAAATACTCAAGTCGAAGTGTTTCTCATCTCGTTGAAAGCGGGTGGTGTGGCCTTAAACTTGACAGAAGCTCTGAGAATTTATATATTGGACCCATGGTATAATCCGACGGTAGAGTGGCAGGCAATGGACCGTGTTCATCGTATCGGTCAGCGTCGGCCTGTTAAGATCACTAGATTCGCCATAGAAGATAGTATAGAACTGAAAATTATAGAATTACAAGAGAAAAAAGCTAATATGATCAATGCCACTATTAGTCACGATGATGCTGCTATCAATAGGCTTACCCCTGACGATTTACAATTCTTATTTAACAATTAAAGGAATTAAGGTTTTTTTTTTTCACTTTGTAAATATATGCCATTTAAAAATAGACACAGTTATATGATTAGCTATTAAAAGAGTGTTTCTATACTATTTCTGTCTCTGTTTTGTCTCATTTATGTGATCTAAGATAGAGACTATTTTATTTTCTGCTATTTTACCTTATAGTTAGAGAGCTACTGACTCATTTTTCGTGCAAGCCTGTTTCGGACCGGTTTTGGAGGTTTAAATTTTTCAAATTTATTCGGTGATTGTTCAGGATCGATCTTTCAAGAATAGCCTAGTGGAAAGTGAATTCTAAGGAGTGATAAACACTAGTAAAAGACTTGTATTATGAATCAAGAATTCTGGGTAGAATATTTGAATAGTCCGACTTTATCGGTGCTACCGCATGATTTTTTAAAGCCAGCGAACAAGCAGTCTGTGGAAGCACATCACTCTTTCAACTTACCCAAAAGCTGCAAGACAGACTTCATATTTGGCCTCGCGGCATTTGCGGTATTAGTATATCGTTTGACTGGTGATGAGGATATTGTCATAGCTACAGATGAAAAACCTTTATCTCCAGCTTTTATCATTAGATTAACAATAACTCCGGAGTTGAAGTTTAATGATCTTCTTTCTAAAGTCAAAGAGGAGTTCGATTCTAACGTTCAAAAAGTGACTTATAAGTCATTGAATGAAATAGCAGAGAAGATTAAGGTCAAAAATCAGTTAGAAGAACTTCCTGGGTTGTTCAGATTATCTTATCAACATGCTAACGAAAATCAACGATTATCTACTTCCGTAGAAGGATCTGTACGTGATTTGGCAATCTTTGTAAAAGATTCACAAGTGGATATTTACTATAACTCTTTGTTATATAAAAGTTCTAGGATAACAGTTTTTGGAGAACAATACACCAAGTTCCTCCAGGAAGTTACGAAGAACCCATCTTTACAAATTACGAAGGTTAATTTGATTACTGAGTCTCAAAAAGGAGAATTGCCGGATCCAACCCTCGACTTGGATTGGGCAGGCTACAGAGGAGCTATTCAAGATATTTTTATGCAAAATGCAGAGGCTCATCCTGAACGAGTGTGTGTTGTTGAAACTAAATCCTTCTTAGATCCCAAATCCAAAACCAGAACTTTTAGTTACCAACAAATCAACCAAGCATCAAATATCGTTGGCAACTACTTGAAAAATACCGGTATCAAAAAGGGGGACATTGTGATGATCTATGCGTACCGTGGGGTTGATTTAATGGTAGCTGTCATGGGTGTTTTAAAGGCTGGTGCTACTTTTTCTGTTATTGATCCTGCTTATCCACCAGCTAGACAAAACATATATCTTTCTGTTGCAAAGCCTCGAGGTATTATAGTTATTGGAAAGGCAGGAACCTTGGATCCATTGGTCAAAAATTATATTAAAGATGAATTAGACGTTATCACTGTTATTCCTGAACTAGAGATTAAAGATGATGGTTCAGTGACAGGTGGAAATATTGAAGGCAAATCTACTGATTGTTTAAATGATTACTCTCAGTTTAAGGATAAATCAACTGGAGTTAAGGTTGGCCCTGACTCAAATCCTACATTATCGTTTACTTCTGGGTCGGAGGGTATTCCGAAGGGTGTCTTAGGGCGTCATTTCTCACTTGCCTATTATTTTCCCTGGATGGCCAAAAGATTTAATCTCTCTGAAAAGGATAAGTTCACCATGTTGTCTGGAATCGCACATGATCCGATTCAAAGAGATATGTTCACTCCCTTGTTTCTTGGTGCCCAGTTATTAGTTCCAACGGCAGATGACATTGGTACACCAGGAAAGCTAGCTGAATGGATGTCTGAATATGGTGCAACTGTGACACATTTGACACCAGCAATGGGTCAATTATTGAGTGCACAAGCTAGTGCTTTAATTCCAACACTTCATCATGCTTTCTTTGTAGGTGATATCTTAACAAAAAGAGATTGCTTGAGATTACAGACACTTGCTGAAAATGTCGCTATTGTCAACATGTATGGTACTACAGAAACTCAGAGAGCAGTCTCCTACTTTGAGATTCAAAGCAGAGCTTCAGATCCAACTTATTTGAAGAACCTTAAGGATGTCATGCCAGCAGGAACAGGGATGTATAATGTTCAGTTATTGGTTGTGAATAGGAATGATACTTCTCAAACCTGCGGAGTTGGTGAAGTGGGTGAAATTTACGTGAGAGCAGGTGGATTATCTGAGGGATACCGTGGATTACCTGATGCAAATAAGCAGAAGTTTATCACTAACTGGTATGTCGATCCAAAAATATGGGTTGAGGAAGATGAGAAAAATAAAAAGCCTACTGAAACGTGGAGGAATGAAGGCTGGTATGGTCCTAGAGATAGATTATACAGAACTGGGGATCTAGGACGTTACTTACCGGATGGAAATGTTGAATGCTGTGGTAGGGCTGATGATCAAGTAAAGATAAGAGGATTTCGTATTGAATTAGGTGAAATTGATACCCACCTTTCTCAACATCCTCTTGTCAGAGAGAATGTGACGTTAGTCAGAAGGGATAGAAATGAAGAACCGACTTTGATCTCTTATATAGTACCAAAAGAAGGACCCGCTCTTAACGATTTCAAAACGGAAATTCAAAATAATGACGAACACTACGATCCTATTGTCGAAGGTTTAGTTGAGTTTAGAGAGTTAATCAAAGACATCAAATATCACTTGAAGAAGAGACTCGCTTCTTATGCTGTGCCTACCATTGTCGTTCCATTGAAAAGGCTTCCTTTGAACCCTAATGGTAAAGTCGACAAGCCGAAATTGCCGTTTCCAGATACTGCTCAGTTAGAAGCCGTTGCGAAACTAACTGCTACTTCAAAGCAAGGAGACGAAGCCGAAGAGTTCAATAATTTAGAGGCAAAAATTAGAGATTTGTGGTTAGAAGTTCTACCAAATAGACCTGCAACAATCAGCAAAGACGATTCCTTCTTTGATTTAGGAGGACACTCTATCTTAGGAACCAGAATGATCTTCGAATTGAGAAAGAAATTGAACGTGGATATTCCCCTTGGCTCTATTTTCAAGAACCCAACCATTGAAACCTTTTCTAAAGAGGTTCAGAAATTTATTGATGGCGAGACTTTTCAATTTGCAGATTCGAAGGATAATGGTGAAATTGATGTCAGCGCCGATGCCATTGATTACGCTAAAGATGCTGCCGAATTATCTCAAACTGCATTGTTAAAATCATATGAATCTTTATCTAGTCTTGACACTTCCAAGCAAATTAATGTATTTCTTACTGGTGCAACGGGCTTCTTAGGGTCCTTTATACTTCGTGACATTTTAACTTCTCGGCCTAAATACTCTTTCAAAGTTTATGCTCATGTTAGGGCATCTTCGAAGTCTGATGGTCTTGAGAGATTACGGAAGACAGGAACCGCTTACGGAATTTGGGATGAAAAATGGACCCAAAATATTGAAATCGTTCTAGGTGATTTAAGTAAGGAGCATTTCGGATTAAATGATGTAGCATGGAAAGATTTATCAAACACAATCGATGTCGTTATACACAATGGAGCTTTAGTTCATTGGGTGTATCCTTATGCACAAGTCAGGGATGCAAATGTTATTGGTACGATAAATGTCTTAAACCTTTGTGGACAAGGTAAACCTAAGTTTTTCTCATTTGTTTCATCAACTTCAGCTTTAGACACTGACTATTATGTTCATCTTTCTGACGAATTAACCAGCAAAGGCTTGCCTGGTATTCCGGAATCCGATGACTTATCGGGATCTGCTAAGGGATTAGGCACTGGATATGGGCAATCCAAATGGTCTGCTGAATATATAATCAGAAAAGCAGGCGAAAGAGGTTTGAGAGGATGTATTACCAGGCCCGGATATGTTGCTGGGTTTTCCGATACTGGTGCTTCAAATACTGATGACTTCCTTTTGAGGATGTTGAAAGGTTGTGCAGAATTGGGTTCTTACCCAGATATAACCAATAACGTCAACACTGTCCCAGTGGAGCAAGTAGCAAGAGTTGTGGTTGCCACAGCTTTCAATCCTCCTAAGGAAAACGAGGTTGCTGTGGCACAAGTCACCGGTCACCCAAGAATTAAATTCAATCAGTTTTTGGGCTCTCTTAAGCAGTACGGATACGAATTGGAATCTGAAGACTACCCTACATGGAAGCAAATGTTGGAGAACTTCGTTGTTTCTGGTTCTGGTGATTCTGCCTTACTTCCACTCTTGCACTTTGTTTTAGACGACTTGCCTCAAAACACCAAGGCTCCTGAATTAGATGACTCCAATGCAGTAAGATCTTTAATTGCAGACTCAAAGTGGTCAGGAGTGGATAGAAGTGGTGGTTCGGGTGTGGATTTAAAGCATATGGGAACATATATATCTTATTTCATCAAGATAGGATTTTTACCAGTCCCCTCAAATAAGGGATTAGCTTTACCAGATGTTCCTATAAGTGAGGAAACATTGAGGCTTATTAGCTCAGGGGCTGCTAGCCGTGGATCCGCTGCTAAGTAGTTTCTTTCTGTATAATTGATTCATAGTTTAATATTACAAACGATCCTGTATATACTGTTTTAGATAAACCTTAAAGTCTATAATCAGACAAGTAGATTTGTGGAAGAGCCACTTTTCAAGTTAGGTGACGATGCCTGGAAAATTACAAGAGGAAGTAGAATACCAAGATCCCTTCTCTTTGACTCCGGAGCAGGAAAGACTGAAATGTGGGCTCGAAAATGATTCTCTAATCGGTTTAGGACCGTCTCCGTTGTCTGCATCATCTACGAAAGGACAGTCCAAGAGGCCCACGTTACATACTCGACTATCATCCTCGGGATCACTTTCACAGACTCAGGGGATGCTACTGTCTCCCATAATCAATCGCATTTCCACCAAGAACCAGCCACGATCATTGCATGCGAATCCGAAAAGAAGACAGTTCAATCAATCAGAAGACAATATAAACGTGAGCTCCACTGCACTCAACACAAGCGAGAAAGAGAAGAGGAGGCTAGTTGAGCAGTTCTACAATTCTATTAATGGGTCCACCCCAAACAAAATTGCAAGTTCTATGGATATTGGATCTACGAGTTCCAGAGATTTATCTAGTAGAAGCATTGAAAATGGAGGATTATCATTCAAGCCGTTTGATAACAGAATATTGAATTACAAAGGGTTGATAAAGTGGCTTTTTAATATTGAAGTGCTTACGAATGATTTGCTTAGTAAAGGTAATGAAGATAGGCCCACATTAGCCCCATTGCGTGATGTCATCGAATCGATTTCTGCCAAAGTCGTAGCAAGAGCCAAAACTAGCATATACGATCCCATAATACCTGAATCGATAGCGGAGCTTCTAGAACTATCCAAGTCGTTGTCTGATGTACTTGAATCGACGCAAAAGACACTGGAAGAGCTTGAAAGAGAGAGAGAACCAACACTTCACAGATATCAGGACGAGATCAAACAATCACTCGATAAGCTTCACGACACTATAGCGACTTTAGATGTGTTGGAGTCTAAGCTTTCGATGATTAAGAGTAAAATTTCGAGCAATAAAAATATAATGTCGTCTACGTTAGTGGAGAAATTGAGTACCCTTGAAAGGGTTAACTTACGCTTTGCTGAACACTCTAGAAAGATGAGAAAAAAGAGATTTCAAGAGCTTGCCATTGCGGTATCCGTTATCGTATTCTTCTTTGTCATATATCTTAGTTATAGATAATAACTGAGACCATCACCGTAATCTTTGTTTAAGTATGTAGTTTATTGTCTCTGGTGTTGTCATCGTAAATATAGCTAAATGCAGGAACACGATCATGTCTCTTCGCCGTTTTTTCACGTTTCTTTTTGGAGCTATTCTATGAGGGTAACGGTCCCTTACTTTCTTCGCTACAAAGTATTATTTCAGAGAGAAAAAAACAGGAGATAGAATCAAGGGAAAATCAAGAAATTTACAATATTTGCGTACAGCTTTGAACTTAGTGAAGACATATCTATAAAAAAGTTATTCAAAGTTTTTTATAAACGTTTCAGGGATCGGAATTGGAGAGAATTAGAGCATTGAATAATTAACATGGCTGAGGTGTTATACGTCAATGATGCCTCTGCCGTAACTCCACATACAGTTTTGAATACGAACCTGGCCGAGTCATTTGGGTCGTTCAAAAGCTTAGTAGCATATTTGTTCAAGAAAGGGAACTTGGAGGTCGATTCAAATCGTGCAACTGTGGTTGTCTTGAACAAGATCTCCCGAAAAGTGAGTGGAAGCAGAGCTGTCGGATTAGATGCTCTACCATATGAGGATAAAGCCTTGTTGATCGAGTACTTTTTTGATCATTGTAATCCTATTGTCGTAGAAAGTGAAAAATTGCATGATCATCAAGCTGTTCAACACTTGAATATTGCTATCGACAGTGTAAATGAGTTAATAAATGACAGGATATCTAGAGTAGCGGTATGGTGTGGTGTGGGATCGCATGGAGTTGATGACGTTTATACAAGGGAGAATGGAACTAGCTCAGTCCCCCACGATGTCATTGCGACGATGTCTTCAACGTTAAGTTCCACCGCGAATAAATCAAGTGAGACTATGAATCGCCTCATCAGGATTAAGAGTCTTATTTGTAAGGAAATAGATTTTATATCGTTGTTGTCAGACAGTTCTCCACGTCACTTATCGAAGCTCTGTCATTTAATCGGACACTGGTCTTTTCCTGCTCCTGAGTTATCTAACGACGACTTAGTTTATTGTGCCTACTTAATCATTACTTATGCATTAAATCTGCTTCGTGAAGTGACATTTAATATTCCTACAGCTAATGAATTTCTTTGTCTCATTTTCATGGTTAGAGATACCTATAGAAATGGCAATCCTTTCCATAACTTTCGTCATGCTGTCGATGTTCTACAAGCCTGTTTCCATTTTTCAATCAGATTGCATTGTTTACCTTCGTTCAAGCAACTTGAGGTCGACTCAAAAGCTGACGAGACCGTTTACTTGTCAGGTCTCAAAAGACCCGAAAGATCTACCATCTTGGCCCCGTTACAACAGAAAGAAGATGTTTCTCCTCCTTTAACTCCATTGGAAACATTAGGGTTATTGGTCGCTGCCTTGGGCCATGATCTGGGCCATCCGGGTGTTACTAATGCCTTCTTGATCAAGTATTCATCTCCATGTTCTTTAATATTTAATGAAAGGTCAATTTTAGAGCTGTTTCATGCGTCTGTTTTTGTTAATAAAGTTCTAAAGATAAACTGGCCCTCCTTCTTGAATGCAACCGTTGACGAGGCCGATAAATTGAACATCGGCACTTTGATCACTTCTTCCATCCTTGCCACGGATATGGCAGAGCATTTCGAATACATTGAAAGATTGACCTCGTTCAAATATAAAAGAATATCTAAAGAACCTCTGAATGTGAGATTAATATCATCATTGCTAATAAAATGCGCAGATATCTCGAACGTTACCAGACCTTTGAGAGTATCCTCACAATGGTCTATGCTATTGTCGAGAGAGTTTGACGAAATAAATGTGTTGGAAAGAGTTTTGTCAAATCAACAAGTTTCAAAGTCTGAACTTGAAATCAACTACGAGTCTGTTCCCGAAACAGTAGATGAGATTATTAGAGCCAGTCCGGGTATAGCAAATGGTCAGTTGTTTTTCATAAAGACATTCGCTGTTAGCTTATTCAGCAACATATCCGAATTACTACCAGACCTAACATTCACCTACGACATAGTAAAAGAGAATCGAAGTATTTGGACACGATTTATGAAATAACTTGCTATCTTTACGTTACACTTGCTATAGTCACACTTACTTCAATTACATTGTCTAACTCCCTAAAGCTCCTATGATATGAAATTACATTCAATGCCGCTCATTAAAATCATATAGAACTTCTGTACTTTAAGACTTCAAGAGTATCTTGTAGTCGTCCTATATTCTTCATGCCCATATATAATATATGCTATAATTAATGGAAAGGGTGGTATATCACCTGACCTATATTCGGCGATGAGATTTTCAAAACTACCGGTACTTCAATTGATCAAGACTCCAAAATTTGTAAGTTATTGTAAAGTTCAGGTGTATTTATCAGCACCAAATAATAAGTCATTTCTGCGATTTTCATAAGAGATCTTTGAATAGGCTAGCTACACTGACTGGCGTATTTGACCATAAGCAAGAATTTACAGAGAAAAAAATCTTTTGTACAGAGAACAAAATTTTTTTTTTTTTTTTGGGGGATTCTTATTGTAAAATTAAAGGAACAGCTGTTAGGTCTAGTTAGCATTAGCAACTGCCAGCACTGTCTTTGAACCAGATCGGGTAATGATGGATCAAAGTAATTTAAATGCTTCGCAGTCAATGGAAAGACCAATTGTGCTTTCACCTCCACCATTAGATCGACATGGCGGAAGTAGTGGGCAGCATCTTACTTTTAACAACAGCACTGAACCAAACGATGGATACGATCTACAACATGAATTTGATGCTCTAGCAGCTGATTTGGATTTAGATTTGAACGATAAAGAGCAGGGATTAGCTGGGATGCAATCTAACATTACAAACGGGAAGTCTAGTGGTGGATCCATGTCAGGTGGCAACGGGCTCTTAGGACCTACAGCATCCAGCTATGGGCTATTGGGTGAATTTTCTGGGGGCAAGGTGACTCCCAAGTCTTTGCTTACAGCTGAAGACACTGATTCGCCGCTTGCGGCCACGCTGTCAATGTCCAACAGTATGGGGTTACTTGGCTCCATTACTGGATCAACTTTCTTGCCTCCACTAGCATCTGTTCCGAACAGACCTCAATCTGTGAATGACTTCTCGCCATTTATCAATCAACATCATCAGCAACATCCTTCTCAGACACTTCTGTCACAGCTCGATCAATCAAATTTTCGTCAGCAATCTAAGTTTTACGAAACATTACTGTTTTTCAATAGCTGGATTGAGAACTTGAAACCTCAAGATAGCATCACTATGATCGAGTACTTGTGCAATAATTTGCCACTTGATATCCTCTTGGCTTTCAAATCTAAATTAGATAATCATTTGACTCATCAATCTCAATTGAGCCAGCCTCAAGGTCCATTCGCCTCACTTTCACCCTATCTGCTGCAGCCTCTTACTGATATATCTAGTGACATGGATGCTTTGCATTTGAACGATTCGTTTAGACAACAGCAACAGACCCAGCAACACCAACATCATCATCATAAGCCGCAATCCCAACAACCCCAAACACCCCAGCCACAGCATGCAAATCAATACCATACTCTGTTGCAACAGCCAAAGCCAAAGCCTAATGCATTTAAGGCTAGTGGGCACCTCTTTGTTGATCCAAAGACTCAAAGGCCTAAATCTGCTGATCCTAGTATGAATGGAAATTTGCGTTATAACAACCCTGAGAGATCCAAGTCACCTACATCACATTTATATGAAAAGACCAACTTCTTGCAGCTAGCTGCAAATGCCCATTCTCCATCATTTCAAGCCAATCAACAGAGCAGTAGTGATGATGCTTTGGACATGTCCGCTCATGCTACAGTGAAGTTAGGTGCACTTGCTACCATTAACTCAAGGGTTGCTTTAGATTCAAACAGAAAGACGCATCCTCAGTTCAATGATCTCCATTATGATCAACCTAGCCAAATGGCTCGTCAGCATCACCCACTGCACTTGACTGACCCGATGCACCGTGTTGGAAACCCTGCCTCATCTTCTCTGCCATTCAAGCATACGAGCGGTCTAGCTCTGAATAATAGATCTCCTCCTTCAAATAGTCGAGGCTCTAAGAAATCTAACGCTTTAGAAACCACTGGTTTTGTTTCACATGACACGGGTGTTCACAATAATAATACAAATGGTGGATATAATAGTAGTAACAGCAATAGTAGTAATTCAAGACAAGCAGCAACAGGTATCAACTCGACTTCAAACTCTTCTATGCCTCCGGAGGTTTCTAACATTGAGCTATTGAACAACATACCTGTCTGGTTGAAATTACTTAGACTACACAAGTACACTGACTGCTTAAAAGACATTCCATGGCAAAAATTGATTGAAATGACCGATCTGGAATTGGAAGCAAAGGGTGTCATGGCCCTAGGTGCCAGAAGAAAACTACTCAAGGCATTTGATGCTGTTAAAATAGGTCTTAACGCACCATAGTATTTAAATTTTGGATTAGTTCAAATCGATTATATTTCTAGTTGTCTTATTTGCTACGGCTTCACATACAAAAGAGATGATTTCGATATATTATGGAGTAATACAATCATTTTCTGTAAATATACGAAGAAGCTTTACATAATTGTACAACAAGAGTTGGTCTTCTTAGCTTGCTTGTAAAACATTCTAGAGGAACTCGATAAAGCTTCAGATTTGTCAACCAACGAGTCTAGTTTCTCTCCCCTTTGTAAAACACTCTCAATAGTCTTATGTAACACAATCTTTGTCTCGTCCAATTCCTGTTGGACCTTCATGATCGAATCTGCTTGACTTGGATCCTGGTACTTCTTCAAATATTGCTCGAGTGTATCATAGTGCAAGGCAGGGGTTGTGGCAGTAATACTCTCCCATTCCAGCTGAGGATGCAAAGCTAAATACTCCTCTAGAATTTTATTAATTAACGTGTATGCTGGCCTCACTGGATACTCCTTGTCAGTGATAATGACACATGCTAACCCCTCCAGTCTAGCATAAGTATGGCCCACGTAGTTGCCCTCTTCAATACTCTGTCTTTGACCTGCTTGAGTTCTCTGTGACACAGTTTCTGAGAAAAATGTCATGAACTGTGAAACCCCAGTTCTTTCAAAAAAGGAAAACTGGCTTAGGTCTCTCGCAGAAGTCAATTCTAGCGCCTTTTCCCCAGTTATTCTTAAGATTCCAATATAATATATCTTCATATTTACTGACAAGCCCTACTTCAGTCTTCTCTCTATAATCTTCCAGTCTTAGTCTACGATATGATCAGTATTCGCTGGCTAGAACTATAAAGCAATGATGGTTCTCCAAATTGGCCAAAAAAAAAAAAAAAAGAAAACACGGCGTCAGATTCATCTTATCAACATCACAAAACTAACACTTAAAGTTATGGGATACCGTTTAACTTAAAAAGACAGTCACTAATAAGCCTTTGGAGCCATAATCATATTAAGAGATGTCCACAACAGTAAAGGATGATACTAAAAAGAATATAAGTAATTTAAAGGTTGTTATTCTTGGTGATCTGGGGGTAGGTAAGACATGTCTTCGTTCTCAGTTTGTTCACCATATTTTCACTAATGCATACAAATCGACAATTGGAGGTGATTACTTAACGAGTACAGTACGAGTGACGCAGCGAGATAATGCTAGTGGAGCCACGGAGGATACTACTGTGAATTTACAGGTGTGGGATACGGCAGGTCAGGAGCGGTTCAATTCTATATCGCAGACTTTCTACCGAGGAACCGACGTGGTAATATTGGTATATGATGTGACTAATTTTGAGTCTGTATTGAGTCTACGAGACTGGTTCCATCGGTTCTTGGAGCATTGCCACGTTGAGCAGCCTGGAGTGATGATCGTAGGGAACAAGACAGATAAGACAAACGAGAGGTGTGTGGATATGGAGGAAATACGAGAGATTTTGACCAGCAACGTAGAGAATAGCGTGGATGGCTATGTTCTTGATTGGGAATTGGATTTGAAAGAAGTGAGTTCGAAAAATTTAGATTTGGTGGAAGGGGTATTTATCAGAGTAGCTGAGATTGGTTTAGAATTGGCCAAAGATGACCCCGGCACTTCACGCCGCAGGATGGTGAGCTTCGACGATGTTTACCTAACAGAAAACCAGTGCAGATCGCCGACTTCGAAGTGCTTTTGCTGATTCTTCTTTACGATCACCCTTGAATATATAGAATGTACATTTATAACATATTTTTAATATTAATGATTTAATAGCATGATTAAACTCCGCTAACTATTTACAACCGTTTTTTTTCCGGAATACAACCATTAATTGTAGCTACGTATATCAGAGCTTAGCTGAATCACTTGCCTTCTCAGCTGGTTCAGTTGAGTCGTCCCCGTTGTCTGAAATAGTAATTTCGTCGACCTCCGCAACGACGACATCATCGTCGTCGTCATCCCCACGAAGTTCCTCTGCGTAATGCTCTGGATGTTGCTTGAAGCAGTCTCTCATGTTTTGGAATTTCTTAATACATTCGATCCCTCTTGGTTCACTTTCAGAATAAATGAAACATGAAAATGCTTCTTTGAATTCTTCACCACAAGGTCCATGTGCCATTCCACCCAAGCAAGGACAGTCCCAGTTGATTTCACCAGTCTCGGGGTTATAAGCACTTTGGTGACTATCTTCAGCTTCTTCGTCTCCTTCAACTCCTTCAGCCTTGCCAGTTTCTCCGACCACTTCTTCTTCAACAGTCTCAGAAGGCAACTGCTCTTCACTTTCAATAACGACTACTATATCGTCAATCGGTGCCTCATTTTGCTGACTTTTCTCCAAATCTTCGTTAATCTTTACCTCATCAGATTCATTAGAAATCCTGTTATCAGCTACTACTTTATAGCCAAATGCTAAGGTCGCTAAACCTAACCCGAAGTAAGCCTTAGTGTGAAAAGAAACTGGCGATGCCTTAATGCTACTGCGAGAAAATGCCCTGTTTGATGCTCTAAATACGGACCTCTGAGCTAATGGTGTTCTTAAGATATTTCTGTACATGTCACTAACAATACTGTCTAACGATACTGTCTAATTATCTTTTGCCTATATTGTATTTGTAATTCACAAGTAACTATTCAAATGGAAAGTCTAAGAAAGTCCACGGAATTTTTCAGATGACTAAGCTCACTTCAAAATGCCGAAGATCAGACCAGACGTCAAATTTAATACAAAGTAGACACTGATAGATATGATAAAAGCTTACAGACTTAGGTCTTAGTTTTCTTGCGTAATTGAACCTTTCAGCTGAATATATTTCAGCTGTATAAATATGGAATTGACTAACGAATTTGAACTATTTACATGTGTCATCTTGAGTCTATATTTATCAAGAACGAAGGTTTTAATAGACTGAGTGATTCACGGAATACGCCCACTCTCAGATACTTAAACTCCATGTCTTTCCCGTAGCTTATCAGGACTTGGAGTCTGATTCTCTTATATCTTTACCTAGATTTTTGATCTCAACCACCTCTGTGACGGGTTCCGGAGCGGACATAGCACTAGCCCACATAAGAGAGCAAAAGACCAATATTATGGATCCACCTCCTATCAACCTTAGAGCCTTTAGAGTGTTTGTAGATTCTTTTGTCTTTTCGTCACCAATCTTGTTTAGGGTCTTGTTAAATTCTTTAGCCTTACTCCAAATAGCGTCATTTTTCCCACGAACTAACCTAGGCTTATGGGACCTAAGGAGATTCCTAAGATTCTTATTCAAGAGACCTCTCATTGAAACAGACTGAAAAGTTGAGCAGATCCTGAAGAGTATTCTTACTATAAGTTAAAGAGTTGAAGATGTAACTTTTGTCGCACAATGTTATATTGGACTCTATATACGACTAGATAGCTCATCCAAACTAATTGGAGTAAAGTCTTCTAATTCTTCAAAATTTAAATTTGGTGTGATCCAAAGGACATCGTCTTGGATATATGCTAATAACTTGCGTCCTGAGTAGCCCTCAAGTTGATATATAGGAAAACCGAACGTGGGATGATATTTATTCTTCAAGTTCATGAAGAGTATATTATGCTGTGAGCAATAAGACGTAACTACGTCCTTAAATGAAGTTAGCAATTGATGGGATGGGATTCCTTCAACGTTTGATGTCTTAGATGCCAGAGCACTTTTCTTGAATATTGTAGTAAAAGATGGGAAAGAGTTTCCCTGGATCGAAGGTAACTCTAAGCTAGATAGTTTTTCACCGCTAGAGTATTCTTCAATATATTTCAAAGCAGAATTGAAATACCAATCAAGTAAAGCTACTACTTCTTCCTTTAAGTCAAGTAAAATGACTTTTTTTTCTATGTAACCGTACCATTTGCGAAACCACTTGAGAATCGTTCCTGAGCTCACTGAGGAGGTCAAATATCGGTATAAGGTCTGCAACCAAGCATTAAAGATTTTAAACTGAAGAACTAATATCACTTTTGCATCATCAATTATTTCATAATCAGTTTCAAACATTAGAAAGAATGCAAGGTCTAGTCTTTCAAAGTCTTCGGACAACATGTTCCATTCTTCTCTATCCAAGAAAGAGCACAAGGACTGGAGGAAAGAATTGGAAATTTCTTGAAATTTTTCATCGCTTATAAAGTGGCTAAGAGCAACGGACCATATCTTGAATAGCCTGGATAACTCTGGTGCCACAACGTGTTCCAAATACTCCTGTTTCTTTCCATCTCGTAAATATGTCAACCAAAATGAATCTATATTGTGGAAATCAATATATTGGATATATTTGGCGGAAACCATCGAAATCAAGCTCTGAGCTAAAGAAGTTTTTTCAACGGATAATACTGAAATAAAGTCGATTAGATGCAAGGGTGGTGAAACATCACATGTCCGATTGAGATCCCATTCTTCAATTTCTTTCTTCAAATTTGGTAAGATGACATCTCTGGCAACTCTATTCGAAATAGCAGATATATTATCTAGAAGTATGGGCGCTTCTATTAAGAACTCTATGACTTCAAGCAAAATCGTATGGTCAATATTTTTCTCTATCTGAGCTTTCAAACTTTTCTCAATGTGATTGACCATCATCGAATCCCAAAAAGTCAACCTCCCTTCACTAGCTTTCTGGATATCTTTCGAAATTGAAGTCCATTCCATTAATACCTGTAAATACTTATGATCTTTTTTGAGAAAGGCCTGAAGTTCATTTTTAAAAATATGCCCCACAAAAGACGACGCCACTGATGCTAATGCCAAACCAGCTGACTTAGCGTTTCTTGAAGGTTCACATGCTATGGAATTTAGAGTGTCGGTGATCAATGAGATTTGTTCTGCCTCCGAATCTGGATGCCTGCTTTGAAAAGAGTCTAACTTATTAAGCAAGTCCTGTTCCGCGTTTAATTCTAAGTTGTCCTCCTCTATTGTTTTCTCTATATTCTCAATCTGGTAGGAAAGAAAAGCCTCCTGGTTTTTTGTTTCGTCTAAATCTTCTTTAAACCTAAAAAGAAGCCGGAATACTTCGTGCATTTTAGGCACTGAAACAACTTTTCCCGAAGATGCCTGGTCTGAGATCTCTTTCATATATAACGGAATATCTACTCCACTGGCTGTGAGCTCGTCTATAATGTTAAATAGCTTGAGGCTGATGTCTGTCTCTGTCTTGCCGACTTTAGTATGGATTCTCAGTTCATCTTCACTACTTTCAACTGAAATCTCATCCTCCTGCTTCGTGTTCTCTCTGATTCCACCGACACCTATTCCCTGTGGTCGTAACTTTGTCTCAATAGGATTAACAATCCCACCTTCTCGAGCCCCCAACCCTTTCCCTTCTTTGTAGCCCATTTTCATCAACAAGGTAGCACCAATACCATATCTTCCAACATGCTCAGATTCCTTTGGCTCTCCTGGTCGTTCTCTTAGCCACTCGGGCTCTTTCATACTGCCCGTTTCGTTTTCTTCTTCTTCTTCTTCTTGTTCTTCTAAATCTGAATATTCATCTTCAAGTGATCTTGACATCATACCAGTCATCAGATGCGATGCTTTCTCGTTTGCTCTATCATTCATTTCATCAGCTTCAGAGGGACTCGAGTTCGCTTTGGCGAATGAAAGGGACTGGTAACGCCTGACTCCAGTCATTTCAAGCCCCTCGTATCGTTTAAGTTTAGAATTCGATTGGTAAAAATTGTTTTACTATAAAAGTCAATATAAATAAAGATGCATAGTGTGTGTATTGAGAATAAATATCATCGTGCAATATTTAAGTACTTACTTTAGAGATTTCATTGCCATCATTAGCTCTATAAGCTTTCTTTCATTAGCGTCCTCTGCAAATGTCCCATCCTTAAATAACTTTTGAATATCGTCAAGTCCTTCGGTTATCACCTGAGAAATAGCTGGCTGATTATATTCACCAGGCAATTTGAATTCTTTCGGTATGAAATCCCCGTATTTAGAAAGCCATTTCCTTCTTCTTTCGGCTTCTTCTTGTTGGAGAGTCTGAAGGTCATGATTAAGAAAATCCGTCAACCTTTTGAAAAACTTTCGAGGATAGATATACTGTTCATGGTGTAACTCAGCTAGATATTTTGTTTTATAAACCTGGAAAAATTGGGTGTAATGGTACACAAGCTGCCTTATGGTATTGGAGTAGATCTCTATCGCTGAAGAATTAGTTCCGTCAGTCAAGGAACAATTATTTAGTATCTCTTGACCTCTGGAAAATAAGATCAAAAATCTAAATACATGGATAGATTTGAAAGAGCGATATTGCGCTAATTGCACTTTAATCATCGAAATGGAAGACTCCATCGACGTGGCAGTCGACTGCAAAAACTTTTGCGCTCTTGCTTCGTTATTGACAATTATGTCATAAACAGTAGTTAATTCCTTAAGAACATCAGGCAACTCTAATGAGTCCGTTTCAAGGACTTTCAAATCGATTTCTGCAGATTTTCCCTGTTTAAAAAGCTGAACCCCTTGAGAACATTGATCATAGTGGTTTGTAAGCATCTTTAAGATGCTAACTAACTCGTGCTCTAGTGAAACATTTTCCTTCAATATAGAGTTTATAAGATTGGTAATTTCAAATGGTGAGGTTGAAGTCTTATGCTTGACATTCAAATAAACAGGTACCACTTCATTATACTGCTTTAAAAGTTTATTGTATCTCTTTGTTGAAACCAGATAATTCTCTATGATGTTCTCTTGAAGCTGTTCCAGGATTAATGTCATCACACCTCTACAATTGCTCTGGTATATGCGTATATTCTCCTTAAGCAAATCAATCGCATCAAGCGATATGAACCCTCTCAAATCTCTCTCCTCTTCGCTCGACTCTCCTTCTACAAGGTAAGATGGCACCTTTGTCTTTTGCAACTGAGCGAGGATACTATCAAGCTCCTTTATAGCTGGCTCGAGCAACTTCGTCCTTTGCTCATTCCAATGTCTATTCATGTTCTCCACTCTGCTTTGTAGTGACTCCACTACTGTATGGACAATTTGTTGCTGTCTTTTCAAACTTTCTGCAATATAGTCAGCATATTCCAACTGGTCCGGTAATTGTATACTCAACTTCTGGCTGGTAACTTGGAGCAGCTTTTGTGCTAATGTGCAAATCTTTTGAGCTTTCTGAAGCGTATGAGATGCCAGATCCAACCACAGTGTTACTATTCCTTCATCCATGGTACAATTCGTATCATTATCCCTTTAAAGCTTCGTAAATACTAAAAAGAGCACAAGTTCGCTTCTTATAGTGCGCGGAGTCTATTTTTTCTTTCTCGATATACATAATATTATATTACTATCACTTTTGCCTCAGTCAACAGCTTTCATATAATCGAAGCATAGCAACGATAGATCCGTGTGAAATGAGCCATGTTGATCCGTTGAATGCACTTAGGAGTGCTACAATTAAAAAAGAGAAGATTTCGTTCATTATTGTGGATGGAAGTGAAGAAAAAGATACTGAACTGATAAAAGATGCTACGGACGTAAAGTTCGGAGAAGAGACAGAGAAGTACCCTTTAGACGAAGTAACCAAGTTTTATAATGAAGATAAGCCCCAGACACTCAGAGCGGTTGTATTCTGTTGGTTACATGAAAAATCATCTATCGTTGACTACAAAAATGAATGTTTAGAGCTAGGTATTCCAGATTTTAAGTTCTTGGTGAAAACTGAGCTTACTACCTGGCTTAATGGAAATTCTGATACGTGTGCATTTGTGAAGGATGATGTTAATGAGGCGAAAGAGGTCCAAGTTTCAGAGGATTTAGCGGATTCAACATCCCAAAATGGTACCTCAGTTTCAAAGAAACGAAAGTTGACAGATCCCCAGTTAGAAAGAATACATGCTTTTGAGAGAGAATGCGTTGACCACAATGCTGTTTTGAGGGGATCTAAGAACATTGATTTCGGATACCTCATATCAGACGCAAAGAGATTTATCAGCCAATTGAAGAAATCCAAACCGTCATCATCAAGTCATCAAAAGCAGGCGAAAACAGCGCCCAAAAAACAGCCTATTATTATCATTTCCCCAGCATCGACAGCCTTAATATCTTTAAGTAACATTAAAGAGTTCCTTGAAGACGGGAAATTTGTCCCTCCCTCTAGAAAGACAAGTGGCATTGTTACAATCAATCACAAATCGGATAGGTTGGTGTCTGCCGCTCAGAGAATAATGGTAGTTGATAATACTGACATGTTTACAAAACCTGAATACTGGGATAGAGTAATAGCCATCTTCACTACAGGTCAATCATGGCAATTTTCCAAGTATAAATATTCACGTCCAGAATTGTTGTTTCAAAGATACACAGGTTACTATGTGAGCTACACTGGTGATGTGACCCCAAAGCAAATCCGTGATTGGAACGTAAGGGAAATAAAAGTGGACAGGGGCGAGAAGAGATTCAGAGATAAAATGATAGTGAAAGATTTTTGGGCTGAAATTGAAAAAATACTTATCAGCAAAGGCCACGGTAGACAATAAATGTGTATACTACTTCAAGATACGATGGAACTTGAATAACTCAATGTATTATAACTATTTACATGTTCTTCTATGCTACTATTTTGTATTCTAAGAATAAGTTCTTTCTAACTCAACAAACTTTTTGTAAATGTGCTCAATGGTCATATTACTCACTTTGCGATTATCTCTAGATCTTATTGCGACGGTGCCTTTTTCTATATCTCTGTCACCGACAATCAAGATATATGAATATCCCTTTTCAACAGCATCTTTGATTCTATTACCAATTGTTTCACTTCGGCTATCGACATCAACGTAAAAATTATATCCTGTCATTGGTGAAATATCTGACTCGTTGCTGGCAATATCACCTACCAACTGACTACGCAACTTCTCCGCGAAAGCGACGTGGCTATCGTTGACAGGAAGAATAACTGCTTGTCTAGGATTGATCCAAAATGGCCATTTTCCCTTATAATGATCCAACAAAAGAGCGAAGAACCTCTCGAGTGAACCAAATACAGCTCTATGAATCATTATTGGTCTATTTTCACGGGATCCGTCGGGCGACACATAATGCAATTTGAACTTTTCAGGTAAATTAAAATCCAACTGGATAGTTCCAACTTGATGCTTCTTACCAAACGCATCTTTCAACAAAACATCAATTTTTGGACCATAAAACGCTCCATCACCATGTCTCATGCTCCACTTTCCTTCGCCGGTACTGTCATTTAATTCTGAGGTCAACTGTGCTTCAGCCTGTTCCCAAGTCTTTAAATCCCCAATATACTTCTCCTCAGGACGAGTCGAAAGATAAAATTCGATACTGCTATGATCAATGCCAAACACTTTATATGTTTCTTTTATTAGATTAATCGTATTTCTTATCTCCTGCTTTATATGCTTCAACTCACAAAATATATGACCGTCATCCTGGTGAAACCTACGAACTCTCGTTAAGCCCGAAAGTGCACCACTTGCTTCGTTTCTATGTAAAGAAGAAAAGTCCGATAGTCTCAATGGAAGTTCATGGTAAGATCTCTCAAACTTCGAAAATATCAAGCAATGGCCGGGGCAATTCATAGGTTTTAATCCATATTCATGTAAATGTTCTTCAGCCTCTGATTCTTCTTTGGATATATCATTCCCTACAACCTTAAACATGTCATCCTTGTAGTTTTCCCAATGACCAGACGTTTCCCACAACTTTGTCTTATAGATAAGAGGAGTGATCACTTCTTGAAACCCATATCTCATTTGTTGGTGCTTCATGAACTGCACTAACTTATTGAATACCCTCGTTCCATGGGGCAAGAAGAAAATTGATCCTGGAGTAGATGGATCAATGGAATACAATAATTGGCGATTTGAAATTGCATGATTAGCTTGCGTTGAAGATTCATTCTCTGTCGACGAACTCAAACATCTAATACGGCTTTTTGTAATATTTCTATAAGAATATATCAAACCCGTTTTAGTTCGGTTTATCATCATTAAAACTATTTCACCACTGAGTAGTAATTTGATATAATAATGAGTATCAAAATTGTGAAAAATATACCGAACTTCGAAGGCTAGAAATTCCATAAAAAGTGATATTTTATTCTTAAACTACTTTTAAGCTATATAGTGTGATATGTAATGAACTGACTATGATTCAGTTTTGATTTCTTGATTAGCTGAGTTTTGTCCGGCGTTGGATAGTTTTCGCTGCTCTGCAATAGCTGCTTTGCTACGAGACTTGCTTTCTTTTCCCTCCTTCGGCTCCTTGGGCTCTCGGGGCTCTCTGATCTCCTTCTGCTTCCACCTAACATACTTTATCTTAAATCCAGTGAAGTTTTTGAATTGAGCTGATCTTTTTACCCATCTCTTAGAAGGCTTCCCTGTTCTATCTAGAGCGTAAAGATCATTATTTATACTGTTCATAGTCAAACCAGACGTTGAGGACTCCTTCAACCCCGAATTTATCTTTGAATTCTGCTGGTTTTGTCCATTCACGTCTCCAGGCGTTGGGGACGATACCTTTGAAGTATTTGCCGAATTAAGTGCTGACTTTTTCTCTTCAATAGAGATCTTCTTGGCTCTAGTCTTGGAGATTGGAGGAGCGAAATACGGTAACTTAGTTAAGAACGTAGAGGGAACATTAACTTTGACCCAATATCTCTTCGCTGCCGGCATTCAAATAAACTATGTATCTTAAGATGTTGGTCAGTATGCTTCAAATACCTGTTTTTTGATGTAAAGTACAACGTTTTCTTTAAGAAATCGAGGACAGCTCTAGTTACTGTTTGTATGAACCTTGCAAAGCACCTCTATTTATAACAGTTAGCAGATTGTGCTATGCTTCAACCAAAAGGAATTATATAAAATTTGAGAGTTGAAAATTGAGGATTTGATATCAATGATTTAAGGAGTATCAAAAGACTTAATGAATACTTTTGGCCGGGCATAAGATGGATTCTTCAACGCCATATGGACCCCAGCGTGAAAGACTTCCATCAACAATATATCCTCTCCCTAATGGGAGAAAATTAGATGTCAGAGCACACCAAAGAACGTACGAAGGGGCATACACACGGACAGCCATTGGATGCTTATCGTTCGCTCTACTAGTTCTCAAGTTGTTTTCGAAAGAATTCATGCCATTGGGTGCTGTTTATACGGCTTACGGCTGTATAGTGTACTTCTTTGGAGTTGCTAAGTCTAGGCAAGTAGAATTTTATTACAACCCCAATAAGGACCAAGAGATGTTCAAGACAGCAGGTGATTCCGTCTTGTTTTTAAGCATAGTTAGCTTGGTAAGTTATATTGCCATCTTAAGTCTTATATTACGTATGTAATCAAATATATACAAGAAAACAATTTTTTTTTGGGAATAACTATACTATGTTAATGCATCAAGTCCGAAAACAATTAGCTGGAATAATAGTTGTAATGACCAGAATCCTACCTTCCTCACTCTGACTAGCTTTTTCTCCTCGTCTCCTACGTAATCAACGAAATTATCGTAGACTTCTTCTGAAATATCATCCATGAGCAATGAATCATACACTGTCCAAGACCCACTGAAATCTTCAATGTTTTTCACGATCCTACTTTTGATTTCAATGAAAGTATTACGTGAGTTGATATATGCCACAATTGGTCTTATCAATGCATAGTTGACGTAGGAAAGTTCAGGAGCCTGGAAGGGCACAACTGCTCTCACGTTATTTAATCTTATAGTCAAGTCGAGGACAAAGTATTTCAGAATATCACTAAAGTCATTTCGGTTTAACTTCAAGCGACCTTGATTTGGATCATGGTTTAATTCTGCATTTCTTTTGATTGAATTTGTGATTGTGGCAACTATGTCACTCATGGTCATTTCCGTATTATCCTGAGGCACCATTATATCTCCTATCATGTCAACATTACCACTGGTAATCCACCCAAAGGGTCCTTCTAAGCCTTTATTCAAATGATCGATATTCAAGGCGTCAATCCTTATTCTTGTAATACGCTTCCATTCATTTGTGACCTGAGATTCTCCCTCAAAATCATTCAACCTTTGTCTTTTATGTACAGTGAATAGAGAGTTGTCGTAAGATCCACTCATTATGTTGGCATTTAAGAAGTCATAAAATAGCCAGTGTTTTCTCAATTTCGATAACTCACAATTGTAAATTGCTACGCTGAATGGACGAAAATCTCCCGGTTGTAGTAACTTGAATAAAACGTCTTCCAACTTGAAGTCTTCGAACTCGAAATCATCGGGCTTATGGACATTCTTATAGTTCGTTGCATCGTCATCAGGGTTCCAGTGTACATGCGTCCTATCGACTTCACCTCTGACTCCTTTCACCTCCATGGTTTCGATTATCCCTGTTCCATTGACCCACTTTTGAAACGATAATGTAACATTAACCTCCTCAATGGTTAAGTCAAATTGTGTGTAGTTGCCATCGTCTTCTTCCGTCTGCTTGAATTCTGAGTTGTTCTCCAAACTTGCTGCGTAAGCTTCCGCTTGCGATCCTTTAATAAACTTCTTGGATGACTTCGGCCTTCGACTTACAAAACATTTCCGAAAGCTGATTTTTCCATCAGACCAGCCTGGCACGATAGCGTGTTCAAATGTAACAGTTAATTTCGAGTTTTTTGTTATGAACTCACCAAGCTTTCTTGCGACGAATTCTTGAGCAAACACAGTGTTGAAAGTAGTTATTACTAGCGAAAAGAATGTCGTTGTCGCTAGGATAATGAGCAAAACATTACCCATTACCAACCACGAAAAAAATGCAGAGTAATCATCCGTATTAAATGGTTTATTGGAACGTTTCAATATCCATTTTAGTCTTACCCTCAATCTTGAAACGAAATTATTCGCATTAGCTAGTAGCTGTTCCTTAGTAACCTTATTGGAAGGTGCGAGTTTGTTATTGGAAGGTATACCAGGTAAGTTCTTCTTCCAATGATTCAAGTTTTGTTCTTGATCCTTCAGTTGTTTTTCATTGGGATTAGAGGTATAGAGCCTCATAGCATTGAAAAATGGTCTTCGATGCATTCCTATGGCTCCATATCCTATATTTCCAATCATAGTTCTGGAAGGACTCCCTACCCATCGATGTATATATCTTGGAGTAATCATTTCTCCAGTCTTAATATTGATCTTTGCAACCTGACTTCGGAGAATATCAGGAAACAAGAATGCCAAAAAAAAAATGCAATAGCTTCTAAGATATGACAAAGCAATCAGAGTCCGATAGCTCTTATGTCGAATTATGGTTCATATACTTGCGTTTTTAAAAGAAAGCTTCTAATATCCTTCTCATCTGAGTGAAAAATAACTGAATCCGGGTTGCGCGATGCACACTCTCCACAGAAACAAGTTGCTAGACATACACAGAGAAAGCATAAGAGAGTAAAGTGAAAGAGAGCGTCGGATGGGCCATTATAATGGTGGATTTAGAAGGCACTATGAGCTATTTTTGATATCTTTAGGGTTATAAACTACGTAATGTGCATCCACTCGTTTGAATGGGTGAAAAAAACGTTTGGTTTTGGTCAATATTGTACAGAATTGATTTTTAGGGGTCCTCTAGGTATTGACAGAGTATTTAATTGAAATTACAACAAGATACCTAAGAAGCTTGCTTGCACCTTCTTTGGCACCGTCATGGATTCTTTTGATGTTTCTGCTCCAGATCTTACTCATCGCATATCATTTCGCAAGACTACTTGTAACCAGGTCTGAATATTGCCATAGATATAAACTAGGCTGATCTCTTTGTTCTACTCTCTGTAGAATAGATACATCTTTACTATCTCATTGCCTAAACTAAACTTCCCTGAGACTTGGCCGTCTTGTACCAGATAGCCGTTTAAAGAAGAATCCTTAAAAGAGACTTCCTTCGTTGTATATCTCTTTCGAGCACAGCAGTCCACTTTCGTTACGCTATTACCCTTGCCTTGAGAATCCTAACCGATTCAGACTCATATTCATCCTTCATTAGTGCCCCACACATATACAGTGAGCTCCATAGATCAAGGCTGCGAAATCTTTCTTGAGCCCTTCATTCTCTCAATACTTGAAAGTTTGGTAACGTGAGTTATCAACAGAATACAGAGATTTACGAGTCCTGATCCCTTTGGCCTCTACTGTGACTCTTTCTACTAATAAACCTAATAACACTATTCACTTTAGTTCTATTACATGCAAATATAGCCCGGTGCTTCAATGAGTCGTAGTAGGGATCGTCTAGTCAGCTTCCCGCAACGAATGAAGAAGCTTCTTAGTAGATGACTATCTCTTTTCTTGCGTGAACCTAGTGCTTTTTACGAAAGATCGCCTTATTGTTTCTCTCTGAGGTAGATTTATGCTCTTTTTAGGCTTTTTTGCTTAGATGTTATCTCGACCAGTGTTCGTGACATGAGTGAGTATATAGTCTTAACAGTTTTCCAAAAATCCCTAATCTTCAGACAATAACTTAAGATAACAGAGATGCAATCGTTGAAAAGTTTGCTAGGCTACGCAAATGATGAATCAGGACCTCAGACTCCTTTTGGGAAACCGTTCAGGAACAAGTTCTTTAGAAACTTTGACCCTGAAGTTCGACCTGTTAATCATGGATCATATGGTGCAGTGCCTGAGCCAATTTTCCACAAATTTGTAACGGCAATGGAAGAGACCGATCATTTTCCTGATTATGCTATCAGGTTCAATGAGCCAGATCATTATGTTGAAGCATTGAAGTGCTTGGGAGATTTTTTCAACTGTGATTATAGAAATTTGGCAATAGTTGAAAATGCAACTACTGGAGTTAATACGGTTTTGAGGAGTTTCCCATTCAAAAAGGGAGATAAGGTCATTTTTGCTTCCACAGTATATGGCAGTTGTGGAAATGTAGTCAAGTTTTTAGAAAAAAGGTATGGTATTGAAGCTGTGATCGCTCAATTGGACTATCCTTTGAACGATGATGAAGTTGTACAGATTTATGAAAATTTGATAAAAGCTCATTCCCCAAGGCTTTGTATGTTTGATGCAGTTACATCTATGCCTGGTGTGAAGATGCCATTCATCGAGTTGACAAAGTTGTGTAAAAAATACGGTGTTATCTCCTTGGTAGATGGGGCCCATTCGGCGGGCTTGATACCGTATGATTTCAGTTTCTCGCCAGATTTCTTTGTAACTAACCTTCACAAGTGGCTCTACGTGCCGAGGGGCTGCTGTGCGTTGTACGTTGATAGTAAACATTTCAATACTATTCAGACGTTGCCTATAAGTCATTCGTATGTAGATGAAGACTTGAAGCTTCCGGATGACGTTGAGGAAAATTTGTTGGTTAGCAAATTCACTTTCACTGGTACCACTTATCAGGCTCAATTGAAATGTATTCAAGCTGCAATTGAGTTTAGGCGTATGGAATGTGGTGGGGAACAGGCGATTTACGATTACTGCCATGAACTAGCTCTCAAAGTTGGAGTTGCTGTGAGCAAGACTTGGGGGACCAGGTATTTAGATAATGATGATAAGAGCTTGGTGACTGCTATGGTCAATGTCGAAGTGCCTATCAAGAGAATTGCAGATGAATGTAACGCCAATATTGAGCTACTTAAAGATCCCGTGCAATATAAAACTTTTGAGGACTCTGTATTAAAGTCTATGGCTCTCAAGTACAAGACTTTCGTACCCATTGCTAATCATAATGGTTGCTTGTGGGCTAGATTTTCCTGCCAGATTTATAACTCTTTTGAGGACTACGAGTATGCCGCAAAATCGTTATTACAATCCATGGCAGATTACCTTAAAGAATAGTCCGTTATTGTAATCAAACATGTGCATTAAACTTTAAACTGATAATCATTAGAAAGAATATATATGTTTCTACCGAAAAAATAAAAATGACGAAGATAAAAGATAAAATGTTAATCTATATTTCCACTTAGAGTGTCTTATATTTGGTATGCAATTATATGTATTCCTTTCTCTCTCTTTATTTCGCCGAGGAATTCACTTAGTAATTAGGACTCTCAAAAATTGCATTGATTTGGATATGTTCTCTCTGATAAGGGACTAGGGAAAACGCCTGCAGCAGTTAGTCTTTTGAAATCCCATTCAATAGCATCTTCACATTTCCAATTCCAAAAGATCCACCCACCATTTTGTTCAAAGGCATCTAACTGTGCTTCGATATATTTACGAACATTCGTTCTATATTCATCAGACCAACTAGACACTTCAATATAATTGTCACAAGAATCAATGTACGGGGAATTATCCAAGTCGCCCGAATATCTGGCTCCTTTTCCAACACCATTAAGCCACTTGGCACAATCAGTCAAGGCAGCTGACCATTCTCCGGATATAGACCAATGATATTCTTTCTTTGCATCAGAGCCCCAAGAACAAGCAACAGAAATATGCTCATCGATAGATCTCTGCAACTCGGCTGCCGCGAAAACTTGGTAGTGATGATGATCGACAACCACATTCCAGTAGTCACCACTCTGGACGGTCATAAAATCATCCCAGTAACCCATTTCCTGGAAAGCATCTTGAATAACAACAAATTGTGATGAGCCTGTCCATCTTAAGTTGTTATAACCTTGAGTATAAAAATCTTTCAATTGATCCATATTCAAGATTGGTCCTAATGGCTCATTGAGCAACTCTATTCCAATGACAACATCATCATAATCAGAAGATCCATATTTATCTCCAATTTTCTTCAAGACGTCAAGAGTAATTTGAACATTATCACCATCTTGAAATTTATAGCTATCCCTCAAACCAGAATTGTCAAATCCATTTTGAGATCCTGGTGCACCGTGAAGGTCAACCCAAACTTTCAACCCATACTTCCTACACCAACTGATGGCCCTGTCTAGGTATTTAGTTTGGCCCTGGACGTATGGATCGTTGTCCAACAAAGTGAACGCCCAGTAACCGATAGGGATACGGACCATGTTTAATCCTAAAGACTTTATTTCTTGAAAATCTTGCTCTGTATACCAAGTATCCCAATGTGTTTGCAAACGTCCAGAACAAACTGTTTTTCCTAAGGATTGACAGTAGTGGTATTCATCTACTGGAGTCTTATCGAACACTTCAAAGAGTGAGGGAGTAATGAACGGTTCTAACACAAACCATCCCCCTAAATTGACTCCCCTAACCTTGCTTCCTTGGTAGTCCCAGATCTTGTCCCTTTTGAAAAACTTTGGATTTTTATTATTGTCTGCTAATGGATTATTTGCAATTTGCAGCCTCCTGATATTGGAGGGTTTCTGGTTTTCTCTGTCAGTTGGAAGCGCAATGACATTATTACTTGCGAGAGCGCATACAAGCGCAATTGCTACACCTAAGAACTTCATAGCTATGTCTTTCTATGGAGAAATATTGAGCAATTCTGATAACGAGCGGATTATTCTTTAAATGCTTGTCAAATCCTTATTTGTGGACGCGTAACAAATTTATAGATTGCAAACAGGAGAAATTTTCTATCTGAGGAACGTGTTTGGTCCGTAGTAGCTTGTTTTATCGTAGGATTAAAAAATCGACACCAGTTTCTCCCCTGAGTATAATTTGTTATTAATATTTCTATCACCCTTTGGAAGCGTATTCAAATGTACTGATCTACTATTCAGTTGTTTGAAAGATAGGATTTTCTATAATATTACTATAAATTTACCAAATCCTTCAAGTAAAGGTAAGAGCCGACACTAGCACTAAATAGTCTCGGTTTTGTCATCTCTTTCTTATATATTTATTAATGGCTCCAAGTACTATAGATATAAAAATAGGTATGCTCGTGAAACAAGGGATGAAACAAGGGATACTAATACCCGCCAAATCAGTAAGCTTGACTACCCACTCAGGAAGGCTCGCGCGTTAGTGTCGCGCGTCAGCGCTAAGACATTTTTTATCGTGGAAGAGTCGTATAGGCATCTGCCAAGGGAATGCTAGGAGATTTGGCGATTCATGCAGGAACACTTCTAATATCTGCATATCTATACAGTGGAGTACAGGTATTCCGACAAAGCCAAAAGGCACAAAATGAATGGTAACAACCTGATGATCCTTTACCTTACAGACATGATCACAATATTTTAAAATAAAAAAGCAGCTGAAGATTACTTTGAGATAATAATCGAATGGCTCCATGGATAAATGTCTCCTTTTTTGATTCCCAGTTTGTAACCGGAACCGAATAAGGGATATTGGTGGGAAAATACTTGACAGCTTCTGGCAACCGAATTAGGTATCTCCTTGGAATGTTAAATCAGAAACCAGAGATTAGAGAGCATTACTAAGGAAATAAAATAGATGTCGAAGGACAGGAATGTGCTGAAATTGGTTCTTGCTAGCGTCAGTGTAACTGATGACGCGTAATATGGGGCCTTGTGTTCAAAGCTCTCTTTGTTCTCTCACTAAGGCAATTACCGAACACGGCTGTGGTGCGTGACACGATAAATTCAAAATAGTAGCGTTTTATCTTAACCCACATTTTCTAAACTTTATTCATTGCGGAAGGAAGTACTTAGCTTTCAGACTCGTAGGATGTAGTTTATACAGCTAACTTAATTGTATATATATCGAGCTATCATAAATAGGCTAGAACATTACCACGTTACATTTTATGGGTCAAGGCTCTAGATCCGAAAATTGGACACAAATGTGCGAATATTAAGAATAATGCCTATTCTTATTGCTTATTGCTTATTGCTCTTATTGTCGTATTTGAGCTATGTCTTTTCAAAGCAATACTACGTTGGGATGCTACTCTTTCTATCATGACAAATCGAAGTAGGTTTCTTGTAAAAAATGTTCATTGTATTCGTTCCATATTGCGTAAGTTCCCCAACTTTTGTCTTTTGCAGTAATTTCCAAAAAAAAAGTGACAAAGATGAAAAGAAAAGAGGTTTAACCACTAAAGCGGACCAATGAATAGAGCGCAAGGTCTTCTTATTCAAGCAGTAGTTCGTAACATAATAAGTAAAATTTAGCCATTCATGCTTGGTATTCTTCTACAAAGCAGTTTAATTAGCGTAGAGGTTAAATTTGAATGTAATATACTAAATAAAGTAAATTGAGGGGAGCTTCTTTAGGAGCAAGATTACGGCTTTGACCTGTTGCTTTCCATTGATTGATCGGGAGGTGAGAGAAGGAGCGACTGCATAATATTTCATCAGAACGGGGGATAACTTAGTAGGGTAGAGCCCGCAAGGCACGTGATGCACAAAATTTTTTCTTTTCTCACACCTACGGCCGAATTTTTCATAATTGATAGAGAAGAGAACTGACTTCTTCTCTCTAACTATACAACTAAGAGTAGTCTGCAGAAGCTTAAACTGATTACGTCTAGTTACAGAGAAAAATGGCTATCGAAACTGCATTGTCTTACGCTGCTTTAATCTTAGCAGACTCAGATATTGAAATTACCGCTGAAAAGTTGGCTACCTTGACCGCCAAAGCTAATGTTGATGTTGAACTGATCTGGACTGATATTTATGCCAAGGCTTTAGAGGGAAGAGACTTGAAGGACTTGTTCTTCAACATCTCTTCAGCCCCTGCTGCTGGTGCCGCTGCTCCTGCTGCTGCTAATGGTTCTGCTGCTGAAGAAGCTGCTGAAGAAGCTAAAGAGGAAGAAGCAAAGGAGGAATCCGACGATGACATGGGTTTCGGTTTGTTTGATTAATCGTATATAAATATAATATATGAAGCGACATCATCCTATTTTGAATTCAAATTTAATGTAGTAACGTAGTTTTCATTCTCGTATGCTTCAAGATTTATGTGTAACTTATCAAAGAAACATATAGAATCATGAAGAAGCTACTCTAGAGTCGCTTTACATTTCCAATTAGTTTATGTCGTATGAACACTCAATTATATTAACTATAAAATCTACTGCTAGTTTATTTCTTTTTCTTGTCAGCTTCAGCTTCTGCCTTTTCTTTGGCACGCTTTTCTCTGATACCCTTGTATTTTTTGTCAGATCTAGCCAATCTCAAGGTTCTGAAAGCAGATTCTTCAGGTTGTTCAACGGCTCTTGGACCAACTTCAATTTCAGGTTGTTCAATAGGGAAAGTAGAAGCAGTAGAAACTTGGGTGTAACCAGAAGTATCCTTGTTCTTCTTGTCGAAAACGACTAACTTGCTCAAGTACTCCTTCAATCTGTTGACGTTTGCATCAAAGGTCTCTTGGGATCTGTTTTGTCTTCTGTGATCAACAGCAATACCAATAGTTCTGGCGTATTTTGCGTTCAATCCAGCTTCCTTCAATTCAGCGAGAGTGAAACCTCTTCCAGCTCTGACTTTTCTGTTGTATCTGATAGTTGGAGCTCTTACAACTGGTCTCAACTTGTCCAAAGGTTTTGGTGCTGATGCTGCTGCCTTGGCCAATCTAGCATTTCTTCTAGATACCTTCTTACCGGCTTGGTCCAAATGAACCTTGACCCTTTCTTGCCAGTGCTTCTTAAAGTGGTTCTTTAATAATGGTAAGTTCTTAGAGATGGCCATGCTTAATTTGGTTCTATCACCTATCAATGAATTAAATTAATATTGATGACTTTGGGAAAGTGAAAATTTTAATAAGTCCAAGCAACGGCCCAGCGTGAGAAAGGAAAAAAAAAAATACCAGCGCACGCCCTATTTTTTCTTGAATCCAACCTGCAAAATGATAGCTCATAATTTGCAAAATTACGGCTGTTGTTTTATACAGGATGTTTCTTCTTTTACAATTTTGTGACGGTTAGAGAAAATTGTCAGTTTTTGGTTTTGTGGTGCCTGGAGTTTGTGTAATTTTAAATTTGTGACACTTTCAAAAATTTTCACCAATTTTCAGTTCACTTTTAACAGTTGGAAAAAAAAAGGAGAAAAACTTTTAGAACTAATAAAATAGGTTAACGATGTCAACTCCATCAGTACAAGTAAGTAGATCTGGATAGAGAGACAATATCTTCAAGGGAAGCCAACACACTATAACATACGGGAAGTGGAATGGAAAAATTCTACAGTGGTAGAGGAAGTATGATTGGTGATACATGGAAAAAAAGATATTTGTTTGGAAGAAAAGTTGAAAGAAAGAAGAGTGCCTCGAGAAAGGAGCGTTACCATCTTCCAAGTCAGCGTGATATATAGAAGGGAGCGGCTCCCAGAAAATATTGTCAGCATAAGAATACCTGTCCAAATACTAACATGTTTTAGACTTTTGGTAAAAAGAGAACCGCCACCGCCGTTGCACACGTCAAGGCTGGTAAGGGTTTAATCAAAGTCAACGGTGCTCCAATTACTGTTGTTGAACCAGAAATCTTACGTTTCAAAGTTTACGAACCATTAGTCTTAGTCGGATTAGACAAGTTTCAAAACATTGACATCAGAATCAAAGTCTCTGGAGGTGGTCATGTCTCCCAAGTTTACGCTATTAGACAAGCTATTGCTAAGGGATTGATTGCATACCATCAAAAATTTGTTGATGAAGCTTCCAAGAACGAATTAAAGAAAGTCTTCGCTTCCTACGATAAGACCTTGTTAGTTGCCGACTCCAGAAGAATGGAACCAAAGAAGTTCGGTGGTCGTGGTGCAAGAGCAAGATTCCAAAAATCTTACCGTTAATCATATATATCTATTAATATACATAGTTGTGACAGTATGCGGTCAATTGTACTTGATATAATGAACATGTAATATTTGATTCTTCACTTGAGTATTCACTTGTATTGGTGCACACTGTAGGGCCGTGATTTCCTTTGAAGAATCGAGTTTGCAATAATAAAAAAAAGGGGCGAGCTGGGAATTGAACCCAGGGCCTCTCGCATATTTGTAATGTCGTTCGTGAGAACAGCGCCCAAAGCGAGAATCATACCACTAGACCACACGCCCTAATTCTTAAATTTATTTGTTCTCAAAGTTGTTATGACGCTTCACTGGACAATATCTCTGGAAGCCCTGTCGCAGCATTATTTCATATTAGATCTCTTCGTAACCTTTTATTAAAGAAACCAAAGAAGAGGCGGTTTTAACTTATTACTTGTGCAAGTCGATCAAAATAATTACTTGTTTCAACTTTTCTTTCCTTTCCTTTTTTCATATATTGACAAAAAGTTATACCTAGTAATTGCATGAGAAACAAATGTCTTGGGTCGATAGCTGTCCCCAGCTATCAATTGATTTAAAAGAAGAGCCATTAAAATTGATCAATGTACCTCATACTCCTTTGCTCACTTTACTTTCAGAGACTACGGTTTACATATATAATCAAGTGACGTTATTGCCAACGGCGTGCCATACAAGATCAAAGGAATCTCTAGAGCAGCATGGACGAAACAAGCGTGTGAAAGCTAAGCTTATGTCTGTGAATACTTCCCAATTACAGAAGTTAAAAGCTGTAAATTTATTTGTCGAGACAGAATCAAACTACATAATTGTTTACCAAGTTTTAATTGGTTATTCTGGATCTCTATATGAGTTGCATGAGGATAAGAATAATGCATTATTACAAAAAGGGCTTCCTCTAACTCAAAAGTCACAAGGATTCTCCGTGTCCCAATTAGTCAAATCTGCAAGAAATCTTATTCAAAATACCGAACATGTTAATTTAGAGAATATAGAAAGCTACAATAATCTGACGATAGAAGACGAGCATGATAATTTTGACATTGAGACCGTAAAAATTTCAATTTATAAAGTTTTGAAGATCGGTATGGGTTTGAACAATTACTGGCTAAAACGAAATTCGCATAATCTTATTATATTTAATAACGAGAATGATGATAATGTCTTTCAAATCTTTAATATCAAATTCTTCAAGAACGAGATTTTGCGATTATCTGAATGTAATTGGTATCCGAGTGGACGAAGTGGTGAGGCTAATCAAAATCCTAAAATGGAGCATGTCAGCTTCAACGATTTATCGAATGATTTTATATGTATCAATGAGCTAGGAGAAATTTGGAAAATTTATATTGATGATTTAAAATTGAAGGGTTATAAAATTTATGAAGTTAAAGACTATAAAATCGATTCGCCTTTTCTGGTATCATTTAACCCTAATAGCGCTGATCTATTACTTATTCAACTTGGCCCAAGAATTGACTATTACAAGTTGGAAGATAAACGATTAAAGCTTATTAAGCCATTGCTTAAGTATAAAAATGAGGACCCCATAGTGAAATACACGTGGTCGCCCAGTGGAAAGTTCATAGCTGTATTGAGTAGCAAAGGAAACTGGTCTTTTTATTCAAAATTTGGAAATTTATTGTTTAATTCATTTGGAGTATTGAACGAAATAAATGACAATGAAAACTTAAGTGAATCTATCGACTTCTTAAACGCCTCAGACTATGAAATTTCTTCCAATTCTTCAAACATACTCATAATCAATAGGCCAAAAGCAAAACTTTATTTGGTAAATTTGCTATCATCTTTCGACTCTTCGTCACCGTTTTTTTACAACAAAGATTATATCTTTCTATTGCAAAAAGGAAAATTTATCAAGCTTCCTATTTTACCTAAATTTAAAAGGGTCATAGACCAGATGGAGGACCTCAATGGGAACTCAGATTTACCTCTGAAGAATATGAGCGGAGAGCTAACGTTGAGATATAATAATTACAAGCAAGTGTCCATAACTTACGGAGAAAACATCTCAGTCTCTACACCACTAAGTTCAGGCAATGACGAAATTAATCACATTCTTTGGTTCAATTTTCAAAATTACTACTTTGATTCCATGAACATCGTCAATCATTTTTGGTATCATGATTTTCTAGTGTTGGTGAATAGGACGACTATCAACAGAAAGGATGAGGTAGATGGTGAAAAACATCAAAATGGCGCTAATAACAAAACAGATAAATCTGAGTCGAAAGACAAACAGAAAGTGGTCGACGAGCTTCTAGTTATAGACGCGACTTTAACCAAATATGGCTCAGGTGGTATTCCGTTGAATTTCGATAGCGACTTAATTATTTGGAGGCATAATTTTAATTCTTATTTCGCAGCAGTAAACTTGGTTAAGGATAAATTGGTGATTGTAACAATCGATTACAAGATCCACATCATTGGATTAGATAACGATCATCAAGAACAAAGAAAATTCAAAATATCTATTAAGCATTTAAGAACTATTCATTTAAACTCCATCAAGGACAAGCTCCCTATAGAGTCTTATCAAGAAATTACAATGATAGAAGATAAGCATTTCTTATTTTTGTTAGGAAACGGTGATCTTATTCTATTAAAAAACGAGTCAAGTAATGATACGAATGAAAACAATATATTCAATTTGAACAAGCTTTATGAATCCATAGAATATTTCCACTGTGAATTTATCAATAACGAGAGCTACATATCCTTATTTAATGGATCTTGTTTATTCATTTGTGGACTAAAGCAAATGATTAGCGAGCTGAAACATCTTCCAATTACTGTTGAAATTAAAGATTTCCATCCACTAGCAATTGAAACTGAGCAATCGAGGTCCATCGAACTATTTGGCGTTGAAGAAGCAATCATAAAAAAACATAGTTATCTTATATTAAAAACCAGAGTTAGCCACCAACTCATCTTGAATAATTTTATTGAATACTGTTTATTAAAGGCCGATAATGTGCAGCAGGTTTTTGACAGCTATTCTACGTTTAGCAATTTTGACTACTGTTTAGAGTTACTTCTTAATCGATATTTGACGGACGATTCTCTCGCACTTGGAAACTTAATAAGCCTAATTGAATTGACGGACGATCCTGAAGCTATCTATGTCAATTGCTTAAGGAAAATTGAGATTAGATATTGGAACATTTTTTTTCAAACTCTAAACATTACTCCTGTCGAATTCATGAACAGAGTAATTGATATAAAAAATGTACAATTATGCTATAACTTTTTAATTGTCTATTTGAATTCAAAGGCTGAAGTTGCAAATAATGAGGAATATCTTCCTCAAGACGACAAGGAGGTAATTCTCAAGATTATAAAGATGCTAGGAAATTCTAACAAATGGGACTGGTGTTTTGAGCTATGTAGATTTATTAAGTTGTTGGAGCCATCTGGTGAATTTCTACAGAAGATTTACGATACTCTTAATTAGATCAAAATACTACATTCGAGTCTAGTTTCCCAAGTGTGAAGTGTCTGGATTACATCTTACTCATGATAAATTCTGTCTGAGGTAGACTCATAATCGTCCTCGAGCTGCAAATTTAAGACACATCAAACTAATACTTCCAACTAATAAACGTATATACACACCCAACCTTTTCCTCTGACCAAAATCTGGTGATACTCATTTTTGTGTAATTTGTATTTTAAACCAACCAAAAGGCTCATTTTTAAAATGAGAACATCAATTGAAACTAGGAGGTTCAGTTTGATTATTTATTCTTTATAGGTACAACAATGACATTGGCTACTGAATTTGCTGAGACTACACGTCGCTCTGCTTCTAATCCAGAAATGAGAAAAAGGGTAATACATTTATATCGCAGATACATAAGAAACTCTAAAGAATTCTGTGATCTTTATGAATTGGATATGCCTGTTTCAAATGTCAAGACTAAGATTAGGCAAGAATTTGAAAGACAAAGGTTTGTCAATGACTTGAATGTTACGAATGTTTTGTACATGAAGGGCCAGATGGAATTTCAAGAATTGGTGAACTTCTGGAAACAACAATGTCATGTAATGAGGTATTTTGAGGACCAAGGTGACCAAGGGGTAGTTGAAAGAAACGGATTCGTGAAAAACTTTTTAAGAGGTAACTAAACTGAGTCTCTTCTGTTTTCCTTGAACGCTGATTAGGTAGTTAGATCTCAATAATTTTGTAACTTTCAACACATACATTTGCATTTAATAAAATCTTATTTTTCTTTATCCTGTTCAAATTAGCTTATCGATTATGTTGATATAAGAACCTAAATAAAACCAATAGAAACTTCACAATTTTAAATTGCGATAATTAAACAAATATAACACTATATTAGAGAAAAAAAGTGATACTAAAAAATAGAGCAAGGGTATTAACATGTATGAATAAAACAAAGACACATGCGGCAGAGCACAACGGCCTTTATTTTATGTTGCTAAACGTGAGGAGGGTGTCGTGGCTTCTGTCTACTCCATTCCGTCTTCTAATGGAATTTCATCTGCATAGTCCAATTCTTCTTCTTCAACACCAGCCTCTTGATATTGTTGATATTCACTGACTAAGTCATTCATATTGGATTCAGCTTCAGTGAATTCCATTTCGTCCATACCCTCAGAAGTATACCAATGTAAAAAGGCCTTTCTTCTGAACATAGCACTAAACTGGTCTCCAACTCTCTTGAATAAATCTTGGATAGAAGTTGAGTTACCGATGAAGGTTGCTGACATATCCAAACCCTTAGGCGGAACTGAGCATACAGCCGTTTGCACGTTATTTGGAATCCACTCAACAAAATAAGAAGCATTTCTTGTTTGAACCTTATGCATCTCATCATCAACTTCTTTGACTGACACCTTACCTCTGAAAAATGCTGCAACGGTCAAGTAACGTCCATTCTTTGGATCGGAAGCTGCCATCATGTTTTTAGGATCAAACATTTGTTGAGTTAATTCTGGAACTGTAAGAGATCTAAACGATTTGGAGCCTATTGAAGTTAACGGAGCAAATCCAACCATAAAGAAATGTAATCTCGGGAAAGGAACTAAGTTGACAGCCAACTTCCTCAAATCGGAGTTCAATTGACCAGGATAACGTAAAGAAGTCGTGACACCAGACATGACAGAAGAAACTAAATTGTTCAATTCAGCATAAGATGGCTGTGGCAATTTCAATGTCTTTTGACAAATATTGTACAAAGCTTCGTTGTCGATACAAAAGGTTTCATCTGCATTCTCAACTAATTGATGAACAGACAAAGTTGCATTATAAGGTTCAATAACAGTGTCAGACAATTTGGGCGAAGGAACAACAGAGAACGTAGCCATCATTCTATCAGGAAATTCTTCCCTTATTTTTGAAATTAATAAAGTTCCCATACCAGAACCAGTTCCACCTCCTAATGAATGAGTGATCTGAAAACCTTGTAAAGAATCACAGCCCTCGGCTTCCCTTCTGACAACATCTAAAACAGAGTCGACCAATTCGGCTCCCTCAGTATAGTGACCTTTGGCCCAAACATTACCAGCTGAGCTTTGGCCAAATATAAAATTATCAGGTCTGAATAAGTTTCCAATATGCGAGTTTTTAACGCTATCAATGGTGCCTGGTTCTAAGTCGATTAAAACTGCTCTTGGCACATATTTTCCAGAACTCGCTTCACTAAAATAAACATTTAATCTAGATTTCTGTAAGTCGTCGTCTCCATGATAATTTCCATTATTATCCAAGCCATGTTCACCACAAATGGTTTCCCAAAAGGCTGCACCCTACATATATGTTAATATTTGGAGTCATGGATGTACACAGAACACGTTCAAAGCTTTTCTTCAATAATTTTTATGTTCACAAATAAGCATCCTTGAAGTTTCAGCTTTAAAATGCCTTTCAGATCTGTGTGTTTAAAACTCAGGAAAATGAGCCATTATACTTACGATTTGGTTACCACATTGACCTGTCGACAAATGAATCTGTATCAGTTAGTAATAGTTCTTATTTTTATCATCATACCCTCATTCATGACTGGCTGGAGGCGTCTCTTGTCGTAGCCTGATGGTTGATGAGCCGTAACATTTAGCGCGTTAACACTTACGATCTCTCTCATGATTTTTGATCTGCTTCTTTATGTTTCTTCAATCAAAGTCTGCAAGCTGTTTAAATTATCTTGAATCGATGATACTCTCAATTCTTTAAAGACACTTAACTGCTGCCTCGCAAACAAAAAACCGCTGTGTAAGGAAAAAGTGTCTGTTGTTTAATTTGGCTTTCTGTTTTGTTTTGAATTTATCGCAAATTGGGCCTGACGCACGACTTTTGCATTTTGTTTACAATACTTCTCAAATGGGTAAAACTCGCGTAGACATGGCTAAATCATTAGTACACTTCTGTCGAAATCGATAAGTAGACAGACGAGCTTTGGAAGTCGATGGTATACGCGTATGTATTGAAAAATGACGAGAATTAACTCTTAGTATAAAGCATATCGTTACAAAAGATCTACTTTCTACACCTCTTCAGGAAGCCTAGATTATTTGACTTTGCATGTAATCATTAGCTCTTCAAAAATGTACTTAGCCGTCTGATCTTTGAAAAAAGAAGGATCCTCAAAGAATCTATCCGAAAACAAGACTGGCTTTCACACATTTTCTACTTTTCGAAATAGATCTCTCACTCGTTGTAGATTGCTGATAACTTTTCAGACTTGCTTGTCAAAAAAACAAAAAAGGGAAGAATAGCTCAGTATACTATTAGGCATTCTTCTGTCTCCATAATTAATCCTACAGTCTTACGTTTAATAGTTCAGGATATTTAAATATCTGTAGAAGGAAGGATTCCCTTGTATTATTATACTTTCGAGTATTAAATTTTGTACAATTTGAGTGTAGGCCAATTGTAGCTTCAGGAAAATTCGCTCTTATTGTTAATTCTGGAATTCATTGTGGTGAACGATCCTTTGTTTCGTTAATTATCAGGGACTTCGTTCTCCTTCTAGGTCGTTATCAGGGTCGTAGGTTCTATATACTCATAAATATATAACCTGTACATAAGCAAGATATTTTTCTGATAATTAAGCCAGCTAACACTTAGAATGTCGGGATGACAGTATTAATTGCTTGAAATTCCTTTCATAGACTAAAAGTCACATAGGACTCAGCTCAAGACATGTCTTCTGGTATACAGAATCGAACATTTGAATTTCAGCAATGTGTCACCACGTTTGACAAGTTAAATAAAAAGAACAACGTTGGCAGTCATGATAATAAACCACAGCAGCTCGGACGACCGAAGCGATCACAGTTGACTCAACAGGCCAGCATCATAGCGAAAGATATATCCCATGTCACGGCACTTTTAAGCAAGCTTGCATTATTAGCCAAAAGAAAGCCACTCTTTGACGACAAACCTATCGAAGTAAATGAACTAACCTACGTCATAAAACAAGAGATTTTCAAAATAGAACAAAGTATTACGAATCTAAGAAAGTTTATAAATGGCGAAACAAGCATTCAAGTGGACTCTCAAATATCCCAGTATTCTAAAAATTTGCTAAATTTATTAAATTCAAAGATGAAGAATGTGTCTGGAGAGTTTAAAAATGTTTTAGAAATTAGACAAAAGAATGAGATTTTAAATAAATCAAGGACAGAAAATTTTCTATCTGCAGCAACTAATTCCAACCACAGATCCAATACCCAATCACCACTTAATCAAACCAAAGATCAGTTGAATAATCTTGCGGAAAATCCCTACTTATTAAGCGCACAGAGGGCAGAGTCTCCTTTGCCTTACGACCCCGATAGAGATCCTAATATTTCTGCCCCATATGACAATAATGGAGGTGAATATTTGTCAATTCCTAACCAAACTCAACAGATGTTACTCATGGAGAATCAGGGGCAGGAATATTTACAGCAGAGAAATAGGGCCGTGGAGACGATAGAGTCAACCATAAATGAAGTTGGTAACTTATTCCAGCAACTCGCAACTATGGTTAGTGAGCAAGGGGAAACTATTCAAAGAATTGACCAAAATGTAGATGATATTAATCTCAACATATCTGGAGCTCAAAGAGAATTGCTAAAGTATTATGCAAACATCACAAGAAATAGATGGCTATTTTTGAAAATTTTTGGTGTTCTTGTTATATTCTTCTTGATTTGGGTCTTAGTAAGTTAGAACTGGATAAATCATTACCTCTTTTAGCTTTTAATATACTTTTTAAATTAGCTCCCAGTAAGTTTGCTGGTACTAAGCATTTATCTAAATTAGTCGTGTGTGCGCTCAATTAATATCGAGCATTAAAGTGTCATTCGTTGATAATAAATAGTTATAGGTACTCTTCTACATAGGTAGACCTTTCATAGATATAAGGCTAACTATTGCTGAAGAAGCAAGGTATATCAAGATCATTGCTTTTGGAATTCTTATCTGAAAGATTTATTTTGTTTTCATCTATTTTCCCACATTTGCCTCTCTTCAGGGGAGTAGCTATCAGATTGAAGATTCCTTCGATAACGAGAGAGTTGCCATAATAGGACACAGAGGGGATTTATACAAGAAGTAGTAAAGTTTGTTCAAGCGTTATCAGATTATATAAAAGACAAGGCTTCAAGTTAAAGACAGAAAGAAAATAAAATGTGGAGTTATCTATTTGGCGGTAAGCAACAACAGAAGAAGGAGTTGCCTAAGAAGGCTATAGTTGAGTTGAGGGAGCACATTCAAATGTTGAATAAGAAAAAGACTCATTTAGAACTGCAGATACAAGACCAGGATACCTTGGCACGTAAGCATATCACCACAAATAAAGCTCTAGCAAAAAACGCATTGAAGAGAAAGAAAGGATATGAAACGAACTTGATGAAGATAGAAAATCAGATTGATTCATTAGAAACGAACTTGAATGCCATCGAAGGTGCAAACTTGAACTTAGAGACCATGAAGGTCATGAAGCAAGGAGCAACGGCAATGAAGCTGATTCATGGAGAATATGATGTCGATAAGGTAGAAGAGACAATGGACGAGATAAGAGAGCAAGTTGACTTGGCTGATGAGATTTCCGATGCTATTTCACGTCCTGTTGGTACTGAATATGTGGATGAGGATGAATTGGATGAAGAACTAGCTGCACTCCAAGAAGAAGAGAAGGAACATAAGGAAGCAAATAGAGTCGCGCCACCTCCTGCCAACAAAGCTCCGGCGGAAGAATTGCCTCAATTCCCAGCGGTGAATAAGGCAGCGCCCCAGGCTGTCGAGGATGATGAAGACGAAGAAGCTTTGAGGGCACTTCAGGCCGAGATGGGATTATGAATACAGTGTCTCGCTTTATATCACATGTGCTACGAATTCATTTCAGGCACCCTCTTAATTATTATTGGATTTTATGACACTGTAATCTCTATTCCTTTTATGGCTTAATGCCCTCTTCTTTTCACGGTTCTAATAGACTCTACTGCTAAGATGGTTCAATTCTGTGTATTCCTGAACATTTTTCTTTAATGATACTATATACGTAACTATTGTAATACTGTTAATTTGCTACCAGTCTTGACACTAATATCAGATCCTGTATATTATTATAATTTTTTTTTTTTTGGTTCGGAAAAGGTATATACATTTAGAAGATTTTCATGCAAAGCTCATCTCTTATTATTCAAGAAACTCTCATCTTTAGATTTGGTCAGTACGTGGAGGTAATCTATTGTATACCGAAGTATAATGTTGAAAGGTCTTCCAAGAGCTTCCTTTAGGCGTAATTTGCGTCAGAAGTGGGACCATACTGAGCCTATAAGTGGCTCAGAGCATAGAAGGCGAATAGGTTCTACTTCAAGTAGCACTCATTTAGGAGGAGATAAGTTTCCCATATATACCCGCTTTCTTGAGGATTTGAAGAATAAGAAATATACCCCTGGGAGGAATGGTATATATAACAAGTCATTTGCGGAAATAAACCCGTCATCGTTAGAGTCTATCAGTGATCAAGATAGAAAAGAAATAGCATGGTCATCTCAGTACGACCCTGTAACAAGATCACCATTTGCAAAGGATGTCGTTCATCTTCAATCATTGCTCGATGCATTGCTAGCAAGTAAAAACTTTGAAAGAGCAGATAAAATATTGCGGGCTATATATCCGCTATTAGCATCATCGGAAAGCTTTATTTTTTCTGTGAATAAATATTTGCAAGCATGGAGCTCAGAAGATTCAAATAGCCTAATGCAGGTTGAGGAGTATGTTCAAGACTTAAAGAGAAGATACGGCATATTGCCTAATGATCGTACATTTGCCATCCTAATATCCAAGTGCTTGAGCGAAGATCCTGCTTCCTCTTCATACATGAAATATATTGATAGACATAATCCTGCAATGTCAAAGAAGATATTTTCTCATATAGATGTTATTGGGGTTGATGGACTAATGAAAATTTTCAACGATTCTGCTATAAATGAAAATCTTGTACCCATTGACCTCGTCTCATTATTCAAACAAGTCAGAAACGATAAAAAGGAAACCCATCTTGATTTAGAAAATGATGAAACACCTGAATATTTCATCAATGAGGATTCTGACGCTCCGACGATTGATAAAGATGCCGAAACACTAAAAGCGGTCAATTCGTTCGGATTGAAGGTAATAAGACATACTCTTTTGGGCTTGAGGGCTGAAAGTAGTTTACCACTCTTGGATGAATTTTTGCATGATTTGGAAAGCGAGATGAAGAGCAATGTTTTGCATAATACTTCCGCAAGTGAAAAGAAAGATTACTTCGCTGTATATAAGTCCCTAGAGACAGACGATCAAAGAGAAAAATTCAATGAGGCATTAGATTTATTCAATGAAGGAAGACAAAGGCAACTAGAATTAAGAGGAGTTGATGGAGCCAAAGTGAAATGGAAGCATGAGTTCGAAGAAATGCAGAAGAGAGGAGCTGTTGCTTATAATAAAAGTTTAAACGTACAGTTATTTAAATGGTATTCAGATTTACTACCATACGTTGAAGAAGAAGTGAAACAATGCAGGAGCCTTATTGAGGGAGAAGTGACTTTAGATAACTGTAAGCCTGAAGAGAAGTCGATAATGAAAGACAGAGCATATTATGCTCCCTATTTGGTCCTTGTTCCTCCAAATAAAATGTGTGTTTTGACTATATTGGAGTTGTTGAAATTAAACTCAACTGGTGGCATTGTTGATGGTATGAGAACAGCGAGAGCTGTAATTTCTGTTGGTAAGGCTCTCGAACTCGAATATAAGTCTCAAAATCTTTTGAAGGCTCAAGGTAAAGCGCTATCTAAGAAGCTAAAAAATACAAATCAATGGAAGAAGTTGTTAAGAAATCATAAAGGAATGAGTCAAGAAGATCCAATTTCTAACGAATGGGATTATCCAATTCATGCTAAAGTTGGATCAGTTTTAACATCCTTACTAATTCACGTTGCCAAAGTGCCTGTGAAAGGTGTTGATCCTACTACGGGTAAAACCGTGAAGGGTATGCAACCCGCCTTCCATCACACATATCAATATCTTCAGGGACAAAGGTTGGGTGTTTTAAAGGTGCACAAATATTTAGTGCGCCAGTTAGCAGGAAACTCTTTGAGCAATTCTGTCCAACCACAATTGTTACCTATGTTAGTCCCACCTCGTCCTTGGACAACTTACAATAATGGTGGATACTTATTTTCCCTGAACAATGTAGTCAGGATAAAAGATTCAGCTGAAACAACTGCTTATTTGAGGGCTGCTTCAGATGCACATAACTTAGATAGTGTATATGCTGGCTTGAATGTATTGGGTGAAACTTCTTGGACTATTAACCGCAGAGTTTTTGAGGTTATTTGCAAATACTGGAATACTGGTGAGAAATTCTTAGATATCCCGCCTATAGTTGACGAACCGGAATTACCTGAACCAATTCCATTCAATGCTGAACCTTCAGAGAGGTCAGAGTACCAAAGAAAGGTTAAAAAAGCAATGAATGATGCAGCTTCTGCTAGATCTCAAAGATGTGATACCAATTACAAGTTAGAAATTGCGAGGGCATTTTTGGGTGAGAAACTATTCTTTCCTCATAATGTTGATTTCAGAGGACGGGCATATCCACTTTCACCGCACTTCAATCATCTTGGTAACGATATGACAAGGTCTCTATTTTTGTTTTGGGATGGTAAAGAGCTTGGGGAACGTGGTTTAGTATGGCTCAAGATTCATCTTGCGAACCTTTATGGTATTGACAAAGCACCTTTGCATGAGAGGCTCCAATTTGTTGATGAAAACTTGGATAATATATTTAAGTCCGCAAAGGATCCTTATGACCCAAGTAGTTGGTGGCTTAAAGGGGAAAAGCCCTGGCAAACTTTAAGTGTTTGCTTTGAGTTGTATGAGGCATATAAACTAGACGATCCTACAAAGTTTGTTTCCAATACCCCTATTCATCAGGATGGTACTTGTAATGGTTTACAGCATTATGCGGCACTTGGTGGTGACATTGAAGGTGCCAGGCAAGTCAACTTAATTCCAGCTGACCGTCCACAGGACGTTTACAATTTCGTCGCGGGCTTAGTTCAAAAGCGTATCGATGTAGAAGCGGAAGCCGGCAATAAGTATGCGATCTTCTTGAAGGACAAGATTACTCGTAAGGTTGTTAAACAGACCGTGATGACTAATGTTTATGGTGTGACGTTTGTTGGTGCGGTCCTTCAAATTCAAAAGCAAATCGCCTTTCACTTTGGGAAAGATGATTCAGACAAGGTCGCTGACTATGCAAGATATCTTACGTCTTTGGTATTCGCTTCTATCAGAGAATTGTTTGAAGGTGCACATTTAATTCAAGATTGGCTCGGAGAGTCGGCTAAAAGAATTAGTAAATCTGTTCGTGTTGATTACGAAGAGAAATCAGCTAAAAATTCTAATAAGCCAAGTCATCTATCATCCGTCATTTGGACCACTCCTCTTGGCTTGCCATGTGTTCAACCATATAGAGTAAGCAAAAAACAAATCATTTCGACTAATTTACAAGACATTGTTATTTCAGACCCATTCGGAGCCAGCCAAGTTGATGCCAGGAAACAACAAGCAGCATTTCCTCCAAATTTCGTACATTCTTTGGATGCGACTCACATGTTGATGACTGCCAAAGCTTGTGGTGAGAAAGGAATCGCGTTCGCTTCCGTACATGATTCTTACTGGACCCATGCAAGTAATGTTGATTCCATGAACCAAATCATCAGAGAAGAATTTGTTAGACTCCATAAGGATAATCTCATTGTTAAAATTAGAGATGAGTTTGAAAAACGATATGAAGGTTTCTTGCAAGTTATTACTATTTCTGGTGAGTCAGAGATTGCAGCAAAAATCAAGGATGTTAGGAGGAATATTGTCAAAGATCTAGGAAGAGCTCTAACTGTAGCTGATGAAATATATTTGGAAAAGAAAAGACAACAATTATTAGCATCAAAAGACCCAGAAGTGGTCAAAATGGGTAAGGAGATGGTAACTACAATCAGTGTAATTGAAGATATAGATATGAACAAATTGGCAGTAAGTTCTGCATCTTCGAAAGTGTTTCAAATATTGGCACCTTTAAAGTTTCCTGACATTCCCAAAAGAGGAGAATTGGACGTTTCGGTAGTCAATGACTCGCCCTATTTCTTTTCATGATTCAAAAAAAAAAAAACTTATGACAATACATAAAATCTTGTACATATTCATAGTATACATTTTGCACTATTTAATAGACATAGCAGCCAAAAAATTAATCTTGAACTATGTAGCCATCTATATAATTTTTCCTTGCTGCTCAAAATTGATTATTAGAGGTAATAATGGTTCAAGCTCACCACGATCGATCAAGTTATGCTCCTTTGTGAAACTTATAAAGTGAGCAAAGAATGAGTTCCAGTGAGCCTCTAAGGAGAGATGCACTATAGTTTCGAAATGGTTGTGGTACACATGAGCAAAAATTCTAAACATTTGTCTTGATATATTTTTACAGTCTTTCAAGAATGTGGGGGGAAAAGCGCCTCCATTCTTCGTAGGAAATACAGACTGATCATTTATCTTTTTGGAGATCCAAGTCAACACATAATCAATGTAGTGGCAGGCCGGTAGATTGACTGCTTGACCAGAAGCATCAATCCATAAGTAATTTGTGTGAGGTCCAGCATTCATTGTGGGATACTTTTCTGGTGTAACGATAGGTGATAGAACGGCATAAAAGGAGTTCAAGTTGTTAAATATTTCGAAGATGTTTAATGCTATCCATTCGCCATAATCGACGTACTTAGGAAGTTGTACTATAGTTTTGAATGACCCTTTAACCAAAGCAGTTTTAACAAATGGTTCGCATAAAAATAAAGGCACCTCCGAGGCTGCTGGTTGCATGCGAGCCTGTGAAGTGTCCTTTTGCTGGCTGTGATTTTGTGATTGTTGTTTTAGCTGCTGTTGCTGTTGTTGTTGTTGGTCTTGATGCTGCTGCTGGGTCTGCTGTTGCGCCTGCTGGGGCTGGCTACGCTGCTGGGTCTGTCTTACCGTTTTTCTTGTTGGAGAATGGTCATTGTTTGATAATCTAATCTGTTCATTTATTTTTTGTTGCTTCGAGGGAGAGATCTTCGTTGGTGATTGCGATCTTCTGATGGGTGACCCAGAATTGTTTGGATGTGAATACAATGGGGACGCAGCACCACCATCTAAATCCTTCTTCCCCTTACGAGAGCTTCGACCAAATCCTTTAATGGTATTTAAAAAAGACATGTTTTGGTTTGTTGTCTGTTATCGTTATAGATCTTGTGTCAATTGATAGAAACTGGTATGTATACATTCAAATCAAAAGTTAAGAACTAATAAGTTCCAGATTATGTTGTTGCCTTCCTCCTGCAATATTACTAGTGTTATAAGTCTATTGGAAAGCACTTCTCTCGTTACCTTTATTCTTTTACTCTTCGTTAAAGATCTGTTTAGAAAAAACGAAAGCCATTTTAGTCTCTTGACGTGATCGGGCAGGAAAAAACATCAGAATACATAAATCACGTGATTGATTTATGTCTACATGCATGTCGCCAAGTTAATTTATATGAAAATATAGAAGTGAAAAGAAGTGATGAGTTTATATTTTATAAGAAGTTTGCAGCCTCAAGTCTTAAAGTTGCCGAGTGATTCACCTACTTTAACCTTCTGTCCAACTTCTAGGTTAAAATTGAAAGAATCTGGAGCTTCAAATACTAATACCACTGTAGAACCTAATTTGAAGCCTCCAACTTCTTGTCCTTTAGCAAGAGGATAACCACCAAGTATTCTACTGGCTTTGGTGTACGTTGCTTCATATACCGTATTCTTCTTGAGCCTTTTCTTGGAATTTTTTTCGATGTCGTTTGAAGCAGTAGAGAAAGTCTCATCAGTGTAAGAATTATTCTCTTCCGCAAGTAAGGGGGTGTCTTCATTCACTGAACGGTTCAGGTAAACCTCGTGCTCGTAGATATCATTTGTCTTCAAGTCTTTATCGAAGTTGATTACAATACTTCCAACGTTTGTGGCACCGACAGGAATCATTGAAAAGAAACCATATTTCCAGTACCCCAAAAGTGCAACGCGCTCATTGAGTACAAATAACCCCCTTAAGGTCTTTTGGAAAAAAGGAGCAACTGAAAACAATTCCCCAATGAAATGGCGCCTCAAAGTAGTCACCCAACTAGTAGGGGAATGAAACCTATGATAGTCTCCGGGAGCTAAATAAATGACTGTAAAATACAAGTTCTTCTTTGAGCCAGCCAAAGCGTCTAATTTTGGAACCAAGCTTTGAGCGACTGCAACTTCTTTTGAGATCGAAGATTTGTACCCTTTTGCTGTCTTATCACCTTCGTCCTTGTATTTAAAATCGTTCAAGTGGTATGTGCTTTCCGTTTGACCTCCAATAATATCATCGACTGAATATGAAATTCCATTTATTTGGGCAAATTCCTCATCTCTTTTCAATACGGCCTCATCATTATCATCATGATCGAAATCAAGTGAGTGAGCAGGAGCCGCTAATCTTTCTGTCTTTAAACCTAGTAAGGAATCAATCGAATATGTCATCCCTTTTACCTGTTCAATTTCGCCGTTGTTAATTATACCGAACTTGAGTATTTTTCCATCAGCTGGAGAGACTAATTCAGAATCTGATATAGTCCTTGCGCCGGGTTTAAGCTTTCTGTAGAAAAACTCAGATAAGTTTTTGTAAGTTGTCAAGTCAGGCTCATCCATTTCTTCCAAATTTACCCCAAATATCAAAGAATAGAGCCTAAATGATGGGCTCCTTAGCCAAATAGGTAAGGTAATTGAGTTAAATTGTCCCCAAAGCCTTGAAATTGATTTTAAGGGAAGAGTGGAGTATATATACAAATGCCATGATTGAGGCCTAATTTGATACTCATTTTCTAACACATCCTCTGTTTGGGATTTCTCATATCTAATCTTTGATGCAACGCCGCCCAAAACTACAGCCAAAGAAGTTATTGTCCACCATTTGATGAATTTTCTTCTTTGTTGTCTCCTCTTCCGAGCCTCTGCAGAAAAGAATCTTCTGTGTAAGTTTTTTGTTTTACTCTTGAGCTTTTGGTTAGCGGTAGAAATCAGCCTCCTACTGATTCTAATACTAGGTAATCTGACGCTCTTCTTAGTTGGGATAAGCTTGGTTCCTCGGCTCCAAGTCGAATAGTATAGTACGTTTCTCTTAGGTCTGGGAATCTTTGGGAATCTATAGTAGTAGCTAAGTCTTCTATTTTGCTGCTGCTGAACAGCCATTTCAGCTACTTTTGATGCACGAGATAATGGTTGGGCTATGTTCATTCTTTGAGGCCCATAGGCAAAAGGTGTAGGCTTGAGCATTAGCTTTCGTCTGATAGACAGATTATTACCGAAGGACGAATGTCTGAACATTTTCTCTAATATCAGATGTACTTTGAATAGCTTCTAAATCTAATCTAATCTATTCGTCATTCACAACCAGTAAGGTTTCGACTTGTCAAATTTTAGTCTATGTTGACATCAATATCGCGTGCTACTCATGGAAGAGTGCACAGTGTTTATTTTTTTATTGTGTACATAAAGGCTACGCCTATATACCGAGCTCAACTTGCAACCAATAAGATCTGATGCTTGAGCTGCTCTATAAATTCCAACGTGATAAAATGTAGTTCATCATTAAGTAATCTGTCGGAGAAAGCAAATATCAACTTCAAATTCCATAAATTCTCTACCGATGTTGGATTAGTAGTCATTCGCTCCAACTCAATCTTATTGTCAATAATGTTAAAAATGGATAATCCAGAACTGGTGGTTTTATCGTAGCTGTTTATTTCGCCCTTGGTACTATCATCATTCTCAAACATAATCACATGCTTCTCGAAGTTGCTGACATTTTTCATTACCTCTAGGTTGACAAACTTGGCAATAGTGGGATCAATTCTTATTTCTCCATTTTCGACTTGAAGAGACTTGTTTTCATTTTTCAAAAGGGCGCCAACTGATGACTTCAATAACTGATAATTATGTCTCTTATAAACGAAGATGGTCAAGGATTTCTTAAATATTTCCAAATAATGTGAGTTTAATTGAAAATCAATTTGAACATTAAAATGTTCAGGTGAGGTTGTCTTTATATTGAGAATCTCGTTCAAATTAGGTAAAAGACACGGTGAAAGTGATTCTTTAACTTCTCCATTCTTCAATTTTATAGTAACAGGAATCTTACATGATGTTTGCGTATTGACATCCCGTATGATCAAGCACCTAGGGTTGACGGAAAGTGCCCAAAAATGTCTAAGAGCTTGCAAATAAATTCCATATTCGCCATCGTCATTAGGGAAAATAGGGTACAACGATGTAACCAAACATGCAATTGCAAAGTTTGAATTGTGAAAAGCGTATTGACCGCCTCCGAGGAACAAGAATCCTAATGCTGTGTTGATTGCCATATAATAGCCGTACCCCACCTCTTGGTTAGTAGCGTGATGAAGAATGCGAAGCCTTCTGAAAACTTCTAAGTCACCACTTCCTGCCATAACCACTGATAAACATAACGCAAGTAAATTCTGAATATTAGTTACTGTGTTAAGAGTAATCTTCTGATCGTAGTTTGAGGGAGTTTTTTGGGCTATCAACATTAACTTGTCTAAGTAATGCAATAACGAGTCACGAGCAGTCAAGTCATGAGTTGAAGCATATCTTATTGCCATAGATAGACATGACCCTCCCAAAATATTGTAAAATGCGAGCTGATCACTGTCTAGTGGGTCTGTGTGTTTGAATCTTTCTAAAGCAGACAGCATGATTTCAGATTCAACCCATTTTACTGTGCTTCCAATCTCTTGAAACAAAATCAAGTTTTTAGCTAAACATCTTAGTAATAACAAATCAGGGCGTATGTAGTCCAACAACTGCTCAGCGGTGGGAACTTTAAGCTTATTTGCAATTGTGTGATTGCCAGTCTTCATATAAATGAACCCCAATGCCATAATAGCACCACAGCAAGACTTATCCAACTCTTGTGCGGGCTGGAAATCCTTCATTGAAATGGCTAAAGAAAGAAGTTTATCCACAACTTGAGTATCATTTAATCCTCTCAAATCATCCCCCTTTCCTAAATTAACGAATCCTAAGGCTATTCCAGCAGCGAGCCTATATCCTTCATGTATCTGTTCAGAGTCATTCTGAAAAACAGAGCTTGTAATCTGCGACAACAAAATTTCACTCATTCTACGATGTTGGCTCTCCAAGTAGAGAAGTCCTATCCCAATCAAGCCAGCTGTCTGAACTATTACTGGGACATTAAGATCATTCGCTCCTTGAGGTAATAATGCGACAGCATGAACTGATAATACCTTTGTTAGTTTATTATCCATACTTCCCCTTATGCTCGCTGCTATCCCAATTAACAATCCTACGCTAGTCAAGGGATGCTTAGGACCAAGATAATTATATATGTGCCATTCTTCTAACTTTTTTAAATGACCATTGAGACCTAATCCTAAAAGAAAGCCAGCGTGTTGGGAGTTCAAATCGGGCGGTTTATTGAAAATAATCCAGCTTCCAGTAATCCCTTTTGATTCAGGACTAATACTTAGACCAGAAGATACTCCATTATGAAAATAACCCCATTCAGTCAATCCATCGCTGATAGCACCATCAGAAAGTATTATATTTGTCATAGTCGGTGCAATAAGCGTATTCAAATTGAACTTGGGTATTGGAAATTTTTCGGTAAGCAATGGCTTCCTTGCGCCGTAAAATAAAGCAGCCCTACCAAGAGGAATTGTTAGTGTTCTAAGGGCGACAGTTGCTGCGAGAGCTCTCTGAAGCAAAATCAAATCATATTCATTAAGGTTTTCATCGGCTACTAGGGTCGCAGTTTGAACCTTTGTTTGATGTAACAATGTCGTAATTTCGTAATATCTTCTGTCATAATCAAAAATTAACTTAGTAGTACTTATGCGATCAGCTTCCGATTGACTATCCCATGCTGCAACATTTTCGTTTTTTTCAAGAATATTTGAAAGAATGTGATTCACATCCTTGACATGATCGTCAGTAGTTCCGATATTCAAGAAGCTTGTCTTCATATTGAGAAACATACTGAGGTCTTTTCTCCCCACTAAGTCTAGAGTTTTACTGTTCCATTCAAATGCAGGGTTTTCTTGACAGACCAGTATAGCCTCCTTCAATGGAATGAATATACCAGGAGGATACGTTTCTAGGTCACATATCGTAATTCCATACTCACACATCATGTCGACCACATCATTCGGTCCATAATTGGGAGAAACTAGAACTTCAAATAGCTTAAGAACATAATGCGTTCTTGGAGTGATAAGCGCATCCACATCGTCACTTTCCTCCACCAATTGAGCAAATGTGAGATACCTTATGATTTTATCTGTGAAAAGGCTAGCCAAAGATTCGAGTAAATTAGGGGGTGTCTCTAAAACCAAAATCAGTAAAAATTTGATACCTTGGTCGATCCCTCTAAAGTCTAACATGTAATATTGAGTCCAATTTTCACTCCACCCCATCCAAACACTTAGCTGGGTTAGTAAATATCCAATATCCTTTAGGCATTTTTCACTCAATGAATTCAATCGTAACTCTTCTCTTACCAAATGCAAAGACAATACTATATAAGGAATCAAATCTGAAAATGAGTAACTAAAGTTAAGTGTTGAATGGAGGTATTTTGCTTTTGGTAAAAGTTTCGTTATTGAATTCAACAGGTACTCATCGTTAGATTGAAATGGATATATGATCGATAGTAAAGCGATCACAAATGCATTCCAATCATTCTTCGAGTCATCTAAAACTAAGGCAGAGCGCCAAAGCATCCAAATAATTTCATTTATCTTTGATCCCGAAAGATATTTAAAGCAGTTCAAGCAATTCACCACAAAGTCGCTTGAGGGTTCTAAGATTAAGTGTAGGATATAAGTGGTACCTTGAAAGGATTTTAAAGCGACACTTTCTTCACACGAGCTGACTAATTCCTTAATCAGAGGAAATGAGGATGCCAAGTCGATCTTAGGAGAGGCCATATCCAAGAATGGATTTACTAAAGTGACTGAGTGGTTATCAATTAAGCACACCAATAAGCCATCATATTTTGGATTGCATAATGGCAAACAGCTCATGCATTGAATCGTATAACAGTTTTGCAACTGAGACAAAAACTGTTGCTTGAAAATATACACGCGAGCTTCTTTTTGCTTTTTATTCATCACTACTATAGCCTCCTGGTCTTCGTAAGTTAAATCATAAATCTGAAGGTTGTGTTTCTCGACATTAACACGTATTATGTCCTGCTGGGTAAGTATCATGTCTTTACGTAAATTGGGGAAGTCTGTTGGCGATGGCTTATTTGCTTCAGGGAATCCAGGCTCTGATCCCATTCTTGCAATAGATGATATATCAGATAATAATGTACTAGTTCTCTTCTTGTCCATATTTAAAGACATTACATTTTGGTTGTTTCCCGCTTCGAATTCATCATCCAAAACTCTCGATGGATTGGGAGTAGAGAGAAGGGAATGCTTTCTTTTCTGTGTCTTTAATGAAGCTGTACTATTATTAGAACTGATTCTGTTTGTTTTTCTTGTTGAGGATCGGATGTGGTATAATATAACATTCCCATCATGAGTATTATAAGTGACACACAAAGAGGCAACCTTATTTAGGCCCTTTCGAGGAAAAGCCATAAGTTCCTCGTAGGGCGATATGACAGACGTAGATGACGTAGTAACAATTCGAAATGTACCTATTGGATCTATTAACGTCAAAAATTTGGCAACATTTAGTTGGTGCGGATGGTATGAATCAATATTGTTTGATAAGTTTGGCTGTTCCTGATCTTTCTCTAAAATTAATCCAGATTCGAAGGGAAATGCATTTTTTAATGAAAACGGCAAACTTACTACATAATTTCTGCCGTCTGGGTAGTAAATATTAGCCAGCTTGCGTAGACAAACGACGAGCGCATCGCTATCCCTATTCGTACTGAATGTTGTATATGTAGCGGTTATTATATCTTCTTCATATGTGAACTTCTTTGAGATAGCTGTCCCTTGTACTACTACTATTTCCCTCTTAAGCTGTAACAATTGTTTATTATTTGGGAAGAGCTTTACAGTACACTCTTGACCTACCGAATAAGGGTGTTGAAGTTCACTTTTTAAGTCCAATGCGGGCAAGGTCAAATGCCTCAAAGAACCAGGCTGCATGTGCTCTGTTTGGTGAAGTTTTTCAAAGCCTGTACGACCTTCACTTGATAAGTGGATCAACTTCTTTTTATAATCAGATAATAAAAGAATAAATCAGAAAACAAAAAGATCGCGCGATCAGTGGTAGCAAAAACATATATCAAATTCATTGATAAACTATGTACAAAATTAAATAGCCTATATAGAAACATTGGTCTCTTAGAAGAGTCATGTAAATCATCGTGTTATTAGTTTCATCAATCTAGTTTACTCAATGATTCTGGTTACTAAACCTGTACCAACGGTTTTACCACCTTCTCTGATGTTAAAACGTTGGTTGACCTCAAGAGGAGTCTTTCTAACTAATTCAATTTCCATTTCCACATTGTCACCTGGCATGACCATTTGCGAATGGTCGACACCTTCACCAGGTGGGAACCTCAAAGTACCAGTGACATCGGTAGTTCTTATAAACAATTGAGGCTTGTAGTTCTCACCGAATGGTGAATGACGGCCACCTTCTTCCTTGGATAAAATATATAAAGAAGCCAAGATTTTTTTATGGGAGGTAACTGTACCAGGTTTGGCTAAAACCATACCACGAGATACGTCGTCTCTCTTAACACCACGTAACAAAACACCTGCGTTATCACCAGCCATTGCTGCATCCAATTCCTTTTTGAACATTTCGATACCAGTAACAGTTGTCTTGAATTGCTTGTCGAAGTCGCCAACAATCTCGATTTCTTCTCCTTTCTTCAATGCACCTCTTTCGACTCTACCTGTGACAACGGTACCTCTTCCAGAGATAGAAAATACATCCTCAACAGGCATTAAAAATGGCTGCTCCAAATCACGAGTAGGAGTTGGAATACTTTCGTCAACGGCTTCTAACAATTTGGTTATAGCTTCAACACCAATTTCTGGTTGCTTACCTTCCAATGCACACAAGGCAGATCCCATGACAACTGGTGTGTTATCACCATCAAATCCGTACTGTGATAACAACTCTCTCATTTCCATCTCAACAAGCTCCAACATTTCAGGGTCATCAATAGTGTCCACTTTATTAACAAAGACGACTAAATGCTGAACACCAACTTGTCTTGCCAATAACAAATGTTCTCTGGTTTGAGGCATTTGACCATCAGTGGCTGCCACAACAATAATTGCACCGTCCATTTGAGCTGCACCTGTAATCATATTTTTGATATAATCAGCGTGACCAGGACAGTCGACATGGGCATAATGCCTATTATCAGTCTCGTACTCAACATGGGCAGTAGAGATGGTAATACCTCTTGCTCTTTCTTCTGGTGCTCTATCAATAGACCCGTAATCCAAGAAGTTTGCGCCACCTTTTTCTGACAAAACCTTGGTGATAGCAGCTGTCAAAGTGGTCTTACCATGATCAACGTGACCAATGGTTCCGATGTTGACATGAGGTTTTGAACGGTCAAAAGCAGCATATCCACGGACAAGAGTTGGGCGCGCACGAGGAATCATGCGGCCAACCGAACGGAAAGCATTAGGAATGGTTCTAAGCATCATCTAATACTATATTTAGTTCTTAGCTATACTTCAAAGAAGATTACAGTAACGTTTAATTAAGGTGAAAAATTTATACAAATTTTTAGACACGGGAACCCTCGCAAAAATGATTCGTTCGCCATTTTGCTTAGTAATATATTATCAAATGGTACTATCAAGGCACTTTTATTTTTGAAATACATATGAGCTGCCGCCTTCAAAGTCAAGCAATTTCTGCTTTGACTAAGCATTTGCAGATTCATTCAGTTCATCTTTAAAACAAGCATAACAAAGGCTGTCATAAAGTCTTTATAAATTCTATCCCGTATCTTCATTGAGGTAAAAGATGACTTTCTTGGCCAGCAACTTCATTATCTTGTTCGAGATTTTCCTCTACTATTCGTTCAGTGTCAGTTCTTTCTAAAAGCTCAGCTTCAAGACCCTGCACTTTGAAGTACTTGTAATATATACATAACAAAAGTAGGGTTCCTTGAAGAACAAAGGCTGCGAAATAAGAAACCCAAGAGCTCCAATGGGATCCTTTTGTAAAATAGAGGGTTGCTGTAAAAATTGCCCCTCCTGGGGTTTGAATGCACATCATTCCAATTGATAACGTACCCGGGTATTTCAATTTATACGTAGTGTGAATCTGGGGAATGTATTTCACAACGGTCAACGTCGTCGAAAGCAAACCATTAACCTTCGCAATAAACATTAATACAGAGTCGTTCGAACTAAGTCCAACAACTATTTGTATCAAGGATATGAAGGCATGAAGAGATACCACTCTTCCTATATTCTTGATCTTATTATATTCGTTCTTGTCCTGTTTAATTGAGTCCTTTGTAATGACTATAACACAGATTAGTATGAGAATAGCACAAGTACACTGAACTCCAATTTGAGTTAGATTCGTTTGGGAATTGATGCAGTTGAAAAGGCTCAATTTGTAACAGCATGCCCTCGCCTTCGAACTAACAAGTATAATATTCGTAAATGTGAATAATGATGACGCAGATCCCAAAAGCAAAAAGTTGCTGGACAAACCTTCTGATGTTTTGTTCAAATAGATTCTTCGATACTGAGGTAAATAACTAATAATTATAAAAACTGTTATCAAGACCAGAAACACAAAATTGAACGTAGATGCTCCTTCATAAATAGAGCACTCGTCCTTCGACATCATATTTATTGTTGCCACCTAAAAAACAAGACTACACTTGGAAAATGATGATATGCGAGACTCTATTTATCATTATCCTGTACGTAGAGAACCTCATACGATAAAGCACTTATCCAACATAACAAATGCTGCAAAGGTATTCATTCAAATAGAAGAAGTGTCTTTCAATCGAGGAAATAGCAGACAAAATTCCAGATTTATATCTTACTCCTTATGGGACCCTTTTTTGCTTGAAAAATATATTAATACTAAACAATATATTTGAATAGCTCGAATATATCTATTAAAGGGCTTAATTCAGCAAATGACAGTCTCTTAATTTAATCTGCCTTTAAAAGAAATAGTCGCTTATTTCCCATTCTTATAAAAATGCTACAGAACAGAGACTCAGCATAAAGTTGTTGTTTTGCTTATGTACCATTATTTTTTTGTCTATCGCGTTCTCAGTAAAAAAGCTACATCTTTATTTTTTTTTATTTTCGTGATCACTGAAGGTCAAAAAGAAGAAAGGAGAGTAAGTGTGGCGGATCATAGTGTTAGATGGGGTCAACTTTTTGGGCATTGAATGCTGCCAAGAAGAAACATGATTCCGTCCCAGGAACGTCGAAATGGATTGCTAATGAATTATATTTGATTAATTCAGACGTCTTGACACACACCGAGAACATCTTCCAAGAACTAAGTGATGGGTTGGAGCTGATGGTCAGCTTTACTAAGAGAGCCATTGATAGCCAAGATTATAAGGTTGAGTTTCTATCGTCTATGACTGAGAGGAGCAGCGCTCGTTCGCCAGGTGATAATTACAGATCTCCACTAAATAAAACAAGTGTGAGAACGATATCATCACCCTTGAGAAGCTTGACAGTCGAAGAAAATAATATGGCAAATGAGGACAATGACCCCGAAACTCCATATTTCCCTAAAGAGGTATCGGCTCCAAGGACTTCTCCCAATATCGATTTATCATTTATTCCTATAGACTCTAAAGCAGGTCGCTCTACATCACCCGAAGAAGAATTTCAAAAGTTAGCCCCAGGATTAGATGATTCCTTTCAAGCGATTAGCACTGCCATAAGAAAAAGCATCGCTGGGAAAACGGCTGCTGCTGCGGCTACTAATAGTACAAGTGCTAATTTTACAACCATAGATGGGATAAATCACTCGGCAAATACCAGTCGCACAAAGGATTTCAACAAGGAAGAAGTTGTAAAGAAGAAAGAGCCGGAAAACGGAGGCATAATTTCTGCGTCTCTGCGAGAAAATTATACACTATCTTTGCCTTTGAAAGAAGAATCGTATCTGAGGCCAAATACGACAAAAACTCCGAAAAGAAGCTCTGTGTTTGTATCGTTGCCTTCTAGGGAACCGATAAAAATCAATTCTTCCACAGTGAGTACCAGGGTAAAGAATTCAAGCATTAAGGGAAATGCATTAAAAGGATCAGAGGAAGTCAAACCTGTGATTTCTGATGGTAATAAAAAGGATCAGACTCAAATGTCCCCTGTCTTAAAATATCAAAAAATAGGTCGAATAGGGTCAAGTGGCAAAAGAAACTCCAAAAGCTTTAAAGATATCGATGAGCACTTGAATATTTCTGGTAAAGCATTCGAGGAACCAGCACTTGATACCTCACTGTTGATTAATCGTGGGACAGAAGTTATTCCAAAGTCAAGTAAGGGTGTTCGTAACCTCTTCCCAGAGCGGAAGCATCCACAACCTTTAGGATTACATATGTCAAACGGAAATGTTTCGACTAATTATCTATCCACCTTGAACGATTCCCCAAGAAAAGAGGAGGGAAAGCAGAGAGGTTCTCCTATGAGATCCTTGAGCGCCCGTTCTTCGATTCCCTCCAAGCATTCTTCATACCAGGAGCAGAGGATGGGTTCAAAGCGCCTAAAGAATGATTTTATGTCGCCTCTTGTTGAGCGACGTTATCAGAAAAACTCAATTTCTCCTAGGCTGAACCCTAGAAGATCAACGGAAACACTTTCTGCTACTCGGATAAGGAGGTCAAGGTCCCCTATCTCCAATGATAGCAACGTCGCTCATGATTTCAACATTGAATACAAAGACTCGACTAAGACAGAGTCTGAATTGATTCATAGATTAATGGCTCCAACAAGCTCCAGTGCTGCGAAGTCAAATAAAGCCACTTCCGTCACCACGACTTCAAAGAGTCTCCCTCCTGAAACTAACCGACCAGAGCCTGTCCAGAAGAAGAATAGGTTTCTTACAACTATGTTAACGCCAACGAATCCCCCAGCTTTGAACCCCTTGAAGCTGGCCCATTTACCTGGAGTGCAATTAGGAAAATCACTTCGTTCACCCGTTAAGAAAATCACGTCAGTTAAAGACGATCAAGATGTAAAAATTCCTTTAAAAATGGAGTCTAATAACATTCCATATTTGAAAAAGAAGTCTCTTATGGCAGAAAGAAGTGAGGCTGCAGCTCAAAAACAAAAACAAAAAGTGATGATTTCAATGAACCATAACTTGAAAACTCATAAATCCGAATCAGATAATGTCAAATATCTGCTTCCTAAGAGCAGGACTCCCACCTCAAGACCAGTTGCAGCGTCTTACAATTCTATTGAAGGTAAAGATCATCATAGCAAAGTTCGATCTTCTCGTCCATCCAGAGAAGAACAAGGTAACAAGGTTGCGATTAAAGTTACAGATGATGTTGCATTACCTGAAAAGCTGCATAAAAATCTCACGGGTAATGCAGTGGCTTTGCCCGAAGCCGCAAGAGGAGTCTTAGGAAGAAATGAGAGCTCCATTAGACGGCGAACTGCAACAAGAGAAGGTCTGCAAAAGTCGATCTTAAGAAAGCATCAAATTCTTGACAAAAAAGCTAGCAGAATATCTAATGTTGAAGGCAAAGCACGAAAAAGTAGGGCTGATTCCGAGATAATAAATGGACCCAAGACTCCTGCCAGAAAAAATGCAACGCTAGCTGATATGTTGCCTGAAATTCCCTCAGACGAGGAAGATATTGGTGTAACTCGGGAACGTAGAGTGTTCAAAGATTGGGCACGTACCCCTGAGCTTCATAGATTACTCCTGAAAAACCGAGCCATAAATCCTGTTACAGTATTTGGCGAAATCCCAAAGTTAAATATGGAAGAGATTTTTGAATCTCTGTCTTCCCGGTTCAGAATCAGACAATCGCCATCTCTGTGGTCTCCTGATAGAGACCAAAAAGAGAAGGAAGAAAGGGAGTATGCTGTACAAATGGGCTTTGATAATGCAAGCTAATGAGTTATGTATAATAAGTGTATATTAAAATAATGCATAGATCTAAAGAAAACGATTAACTTGTCCGCTTTGATAATGCAGCTTCTTTGCTCCATTCAGAGATCCAGGCTTGACTATCTTCTTTCGGTACGACATATAGTCTCAAGCTATTGTCGAATAAAGGAGCCTTCGCTTTGTCTGGCATTAGTGCCGTATTGATAGCAACTTTTTTTCCTACTTTTATTAATCCACCAGATTCAGTCTCCAAATAGCACTCCAAGTTTTTCAATGTGAAACCTTTATGTTTTGGATCCTCAAACCAGTTATTTGGCCGATCCAAAATTAACTTTAAAATGTCCGACGCTGTCAGAAGTTCGCTCACTTCTGCGATAAAATCAAATTCATTAATGGTAGGGTACAACACCATGGCAGGAAATAACAATTGGGATTCATAATCCGTTTCATCTTCTAGCCGTATATTAGCATTTTCAAGTACTTCCGGAGGCAGTTTTGTCTTAATAATGGTGAAGTGTCTTAACTTGATAGCATTTATGAGAATATCCTTCTTCATCTTAGCCAACTCACGTTCTCTTTTCTTTTTTGCTTCTAATTCTAATATTTTTTTGCGCTTGTCTTCAATTTTTTTCAATAAATCTTTCATTGGCGTATTTTCTTGGTCAAGAGTTAACCCATATTTCAAAATTTGTTCTGCTTCATCATACCTTCCAACTTCAAAAAATGCTTTTCCAGACCGGAAACATGCCTTGATATTTTTATGATCGATACCTAAGACCATCTTGCAGTCTTCTATACATCTTCTAAAATTTCTTAATTCAAGATTGCAAGCAGCTCTATTCAAATATAGTGCCTTGTCGATGTCTTCAACTCCACACTCGATATCCAAACCTTTGGTGTAGTACTCGACTGCATTCTTGTATTGCTTAGCTTTATAACAGTCGTTACCTTGGTTCTTAAAATTCGTAGCAATTTCATCTGGTTCACCGTCATAAGCCAAACTCTTAAGTGCCTCTAAGTTTGTGTTCTCTCCGCCCGCTCCATCAGTCTCATCTAGTTCCGTCATGAAGAATGGCAATCTGTTTAGCTCTTCCATAACTTCTTTCGATGTCTTATTTGAGAGCTCTGATAGCTGTGGCGGTAGCTCTGGCTCTCCAGGCTTAGGCACGTACCTTTTCTTGTCCCATTCTGATACTTTCTCTTCCGTCATGATACCTTAGATCAATATACTCTTCTCTTGATCGTCTTATCGTTTTTTATTTAGGTCATCATTAGTCACGTGCTTATGAACAACTAAAGTTTAAGCTAAAGAAATATATTATAAATTGGGTCATGGAATATATATGATATCTAGCTATATCCTCATAATCTCATGCGTTTTTTTCAATGAATAGCGGTACACGAATTGATATTTTGTCCCCATTTGAGATCTTGAAGTTTACTTTTATGAAGTATATTCTTGATATCATACAGCTCTGAAAGCTTGGAGATATAGTAAAATTTCCAGGTCTTCCTGGAGTATCTGGCGAACGTAAGTTAGCAGTACTCAAATCAAGTTTTAAGTTAAAATTTTTCATAAATACTTTGTGTTGAGAATGAGTTTCATTTACTTCTCTCCAGGGAATGGCATCAGCTGTTTGTTGGACACCCATTCCATTTTCAGTTGCCATGTAGATTTGTACATCTTGCACTCCAAGACGAATAGTCTTTGTTGAAAGACTGGCAAGGCATTTGAGGTCTTGGAAGAACTTTGTTTCAACCTTTAAAATATTGTTACCAACTTTTCTTATCAAATCGCTTAATTCATTGACATATTCTTTAAAAGGGTTTATGATGATGGAATCAAAGTTAGAAGGTCTATGCTTACCATCTTCTACCTCGTTGTCTCTGAAACACATGTCATGAGTGAACTCTATGGGAATAGGATACTTCTTCGATGCTATTGTCAAAACCATCAAATCCGCGGATATGTCTTTAACAATTGGAAAATCTTTCTGGCTCTTCTCCTTATCAAAAGAGTAAGAAAAGTCTATAGGAATAAATATATTGGAATCTTTCAATTGGCTTTTCGAAGAAGAGTAAGGAATCAAATATTCTTGCTTTGGTGTTGCCAATGATATCACTCCCGAAGTCTTGCGAGTTCCCAAAAATTTCTTCATATACGGTTTGAAAGTCTTAAAAGAATCGTCTTTCACTTTTTTATCGAACGAATTAAAGGCACCCTCAATAGAAGAATATAACTGTCGAAGTTTCATTTCTGAGTTCCTCGAACTAATTGGTGTGAGGGCTATCTCTGACCTTTCTTCAGTTGGCGTATTAAGTAGACCTCTTCCTAATTCAAGCTTCTCTGAGACACATCGTACTAGATTATCATAAAACACGCTGCTCCACATGGGATGTCCCATAAAGCTTCTATAATTTGGTATAACTCTAATATAAACAGATGCATCTTTTGCTATAACATATTTGTCATGTCCCCCAGTGTCGTATTTATAATCTGATGCTTTTCCAATAACTCTTGCATTGACGCAATAGCTTATTGAGCTATCCAACATCGAAAAATCTTTTGGAATAGCATACTTATTCGCAAGAACTTCTGATGGTGGGAAGAAACTTCTAGGGAAGCCTAGCGTTGGTGGGATCTCTGAGTGACTAGGAATGTTGTGAATGTCACAAATGTCGTCCAATAGTTTATCAGGAATCTTGAATGTAAAAAATCTTTTGTAGGTAATGTTGGGTTGAAAGAATCGCTTGACGTCAATTGAGAGAATTGTGTTATCATATGGATCTGTCTCACCTTCACACCAATCATGCGGGTCGCCGTCATCTGTCGAGAGTCTTGCGATGTTTGAGTAGGACCAAGACGCAAATAAATCTATCATCGTTAAAAACTTAAAATCTGCCCCAGGCTTATCTAAAACAATAACACCATTGTGATTCAGAAGGGTCACAGTAACACCCTCAAATGCAACGTAGACCATGTCAAATGGGATTGGAGTACTAGATTTATTACGTATGGTGACAAAACCATGAATGTACTTACCTTGAGTAAATTCATGGTCCAGTGGATCATACACGAGCGGCTCTACACCTTTCTCGCAAACCTTTCTTGTTACCTTAATATCCACTTCGAGATCCTGACTGACTCTGTAATTATTTCTAGTCAAGTTATCCATCTTGTGGACATTAGCAATAATTGTATTCTCCCAGATGCTGGCAGATTCTTCATCGTATGCCAATGGCTCTTGTGGTGGGGGCCACCCAGGCTCTTCCTCCGATGTTGGAGAGTGTAATGCAGATATACTTAAATATGCATCAGATCCTCTGGAATCCATTGGACTTATATCGTATGACGGAGGATCTATTCTGAAATTTTCTTGCGTAGGTGTCAAGGCCTTTGATACCGTAGACTGGTGCATCCGATACGAAGGTAAAATCGTTACTAATTTTTCTTCTTCGCTTGACCCATATTCATCCTTTTCTCTTCGTTGTTCACCAAAGTAGCTAGAATTCAGCATGGAATCGGTTGCAACTTTCTTGGTGATGACAAAAACTTTGTCTTCAATCCCATACAAAAGTCATCTCTTTGTATGCCGGCATATAAACGTGAATTGTAAATAAGTCTAAATGTAATGTATGCTACAAGAACAACGGTGGAAAGAGCCGAAGAGCCTTGAAAAGCAGCATACGATATCTATTTGGATCGAAGCTGCTCTCTAATTAGTAATTTTCTGCTAAATTATATATCACGGACATTGGTTGCAAACAATTTGAGTTAAATTTGCCATTTTTTAACAAAAGTGATGATTACAAACAAAGAAAGGAAAAAAACCTAAATTCAGATATAAAAAACCAAACCCATCAAGGTATCGTATATATATTTAAAACATAGAGCTCCTAAAATATGCAGCCATTATTCATATGGGTTTCCTTTTCTAATTGTAACATAGTTTACTAGTATACCACGTGATCAATTGAAATCGTTATCTCGATATCATATCTTCAAATACTTGCCACTATCAAGTAGTTGCAGAAGAAGTATCCATATGATATATAACGAGAAACATACCTTTGAGAAAGAAGTCAGATGTTATCAAAATAAAATTCCCGTAAGGAGGGACTTATTTTTGAAGACTATATTCACTTTTTTCTTGCTATACGTCCTCCAGATTGCGTGGTCTGTAGTTCCACAAATGGAGTCATTCGATTACAACGTGCTTTCTAAAGTGTCAAAAGACCCATTATACAATCCGATTGGTTTACCTACTATAGATCCATCAGAAAATCATTTACATAGAGGAAGCAAAGCAATTTTAGCGTCTGATGTTCCTATATGCTCTAAGCTTGGTAAGGAGATTCTTTTGAAAGGTGGAAACGCGGCGGACGCAGCAGTGACAGTAGCGTTATGCATTGGTAGTATAAACCTGCAATCATCAGGTATTGGAGGTGGAGGCTACATCGTAAGCTTGCTGAAGGAGCGGGGAGAAACAATTAGTATCGATGCGAGAGAGAAAGCACCTGGCAGTGCTTTTCAAGATATGTACGCTTTGAACCCAATACTTTCAAAAATCGGAGGACTCGCCGTTGCTATTCCAGGTGAATTGAAAGGGTTGAACAAGCTTTATAATAGACACGGCTCTGGGAATTTAACGTGGTACGAACTATTTGAGCCGGTAATTAAATTGAATCGTGAGGGCTTCATTTGCAATCGAATATTGGCTGGAGCACTCGACTTGGTAGAGAAGAGAGTCTTCAATGCTGTTCCTCAAATTCAACAGAACTGGGATTTTGTTTACAATAAACATACTGGTAAATTGATAAAAGAAGGAGATTTAATCAAAAGAACTGCATTGGCAGATACTTTGGAAATAATTGCTAAAAATGGCTCGTCCGATCCATTTTATGATCCATCTGGCCCAATAGTTAAAAATCTCGTGCTGTCAGCAAATAGTTTAGGCGGCCTTCTAAGGGCAGAAGACTTCAGTAAATACGAAGTTGATGTTGAGCACGCTTTAGAACTCAACTTTACATTAAGCGACTCCCTGTACCGTGTCTACACCTCTAACGGCGCTTCGTCTGGTTTGGCATTATTGGCAGGCCTTAACTTCTTCCACAAGGTACAAAATGATACCAATTCTGATGTATTAGAGACTCATAAACTTATTGAAAGTATGAAATGGATGGCATCTGCAAGGAGCTACTTTGGTGACTTTTCTCTCAACGAGCGAAATCAAACATACAGAGCATCATTAATCGAATTATATACGTCAGAAGATTGGGCTAACAAGTTGATTTCTTCAGGAAACTATACTGATTCTCACACATTTCCATGGCAACACTATCATCCGCAGTATGAGCTTAATGAACCTCATGGCACTTCTCACTTTTCAATTGTTGATGAAAACGACAATTCTATTAGCATGACTACAACAGTGAATTTGTATTTCGGGTCTATGGTTTATGATAACAAGACTGGGGTAATTTTGAATAACCAAATGGACGATTTTTCAATGCATAATGTGCCTAATGCATTTAATCTCACGCCATCGATCCACAACTTCATAGTACCTCAAAAGAGACCCTTATCATCGATGTCACCTACCATAATCGAATGCCTGGATGATGGCAGCAATGTATTCAATCCAGTTTTATTAATAGGTGCCGCTGGTGGGTCGAGAATAACTACAGCTGTGTTCCAAGCCATTGTACGCACATTATTTAAAAATATGTCAGTTTTGGATGCCATCGCGTACCCCAGAATCCACCATCAGCTTATGCCGGACTACGTAATGGTTGAAAACTATTCAGTTTTTGAACAAGAGCACGAGCTTTATGGAACTACTAATATTCGTGACTTCATGTCTAAAAATCTTGGCCACCACTTCGCAGAGTCAGGCTCCCTCACTGCCATGAACGCCATAAAAAGAGTTCGCGAGGGCAGCGAATACTTCTGGGAGGGTGTCAGTGATTACTGGAGAAAACTAGGCGAAGCAGATGGCTTCTAACATATATAATGGCTCAATTGTATACGTAATATAATAAATGCAAATACAGGTATCCTATTGATCTATTTACCCTGATCAATAAGTCTTTATCTATTGGTTCGCGGACCAAAGGGTGTTTTCGTTTTCGAGGAACTTTTAGGTATAAAGTCACGAGCCTCGCTGGCCTATCAGAGTAGTTTTTAACATAATCTACATCTGACGGAGTCACCCCCGGAGTCGCTCCAGGAAACCGGAGACAGCCACCTCTTCTATCTACAATATAGGGTGGTCCGCTGCTCCGAAACCTGACTCGTACGTAGACACTTAGCTCCATGGTACCTGAGTTTGACTCAGGGAATACCCTACCTAGACCTGAACAAATCTTCGTGGTGTAGACGTTCGTAGCTAAAAATGCTGGATTTTGATGCCCGCAAGTGGTCACTATTTAGTAGTTGCCCACCGCAGACGAACACGACGTCGTGTCCCCTAACGACACTTACCGGTGTTTAGTTGCCGGTCCTTCGAAAGAAGATCTTGCAGGTAATTCTTGATTCGTAAAGGTAGCTCGGACTTTGAGCCGGTATGACATCCGCGCCGCATCCGCGCCGCATCCCGCAACTTCCCCAGATTCTGGGAAAAAATATATAAGGGGATAACAGTGGCGGAGAACACCATTGGCTGGGGTAAAATCATAAATTTGGAAGTATTAAGTTAGTTGAACACTAGCTGTATATACTAAAGTCAACCGAAGCGTGATACTTCATTTTTTCGGCCCCAAAAAGCTAACTTAGGTAGATCAACTTTGCCAAATTATATTGACCACGAACAAAAAAACAACATAGACTAGCGCTAGTCTCGGACTACAACGAACATATCTATTCAAACTTAACGATAATGACAACTTACTCTTGCCAGGATCAGCTACAAAAACTTCCTATTCCGCCTTTGGAAGAGACTTGCAAGTCCTATTTGAGGGTGTTAAAACCACTTCAAACCTCGAGAGAGTACGAGAGAACAAAAGAGGCAGTAGAGAGGTTTTTGAAAGACGGAACTGGGGCATACTTAGATCAGGAGTTAAGGAAGTATTCAGAGACTAGAAACTCTTATATTGAACAGTTCTGGTACGATTCGTACTTGAGCTATGACTCTCCTGTCGTTCTCAACTTGAATCCTTTTTTTCTATTAGAGGACGACCCCTTCACTAACGACTCAGTTGGTTCTCAAACTCAGGTCAAAAGAGCAGCATCTCTTACTTTAAGCTCTTTAAAATTTATTAGAGCATTGAAGAATGAGACTTTGCCGGTTGATAGACTCAAAAATGGGCAACCCTTATGCATGTATCAATATTCTAAACTATTTGGTGCTTCTAGAATCCCTACTGAAGATGGATGCGTGATGCAAACAGATCCAAAATCTAATCACATTGTTGTAATGTCAAAATCTCAGTTTTATTGGTTTGATGTATTAGATACAAATAATAACTTAGTATTAAGTGAACCTGAGTTGATTGTAAACTTGAATTCTATAGTTCACGATTCTTTGAACACACCTATAAATGAGATTGCCAGATCTTCATTTGGAGTATTGACCACTGAAAACAGAAGAATATGGGCCAAGATTAGAAACTCGAATACAATCAAGAAGAATTCTGTGAACAGTGAGATTCTTTCTATCATTGATTCAGCGTTATTCATATTGTGCCTTGATGACATTAAATTAGAGAACTTATCAGACTTATCAAAGAATATGTTATGTGGTTTATCCATATTAGATAAGGGAGTTCAAGTTGGAACTTGTACCAATAGATGGTATGATAAAATACAAATTATTGTAACTCAAAATGGTAAGGCTGGAGTTAATTTCGAGCATACTGGAGTGGATGGACATACGGTCCTAAGATTCGTGAGTGATATTTATACCGACTCGATTCTTTCATTCGCTCACTCGATTAACAAAAATACGCCTTCTTTATGGGATGAGCCTGACACTGCTACTGAAGCACCCAAGGGCGATCTTGTTACGATTCCTCGAAAATTAGAGTGGGATTTGACCCCAGATTTATCTTTAGCATTACGTTTTGGAGAGACTCGTCTAAGTGATTTAATTAACCAAAATGAATTCAAACATTTGGAGTTCAAGGATTATGGGTCTTCGGCAATTAAAAAAATGAAACTTTCACCAGATGCCTTTGTTCAAATGGCATTTCAAGCAACTTATTATGCATTGTATGGTAAAGTAGAATGCACATATGAGCCCGCAATGACCAAGCAATATTTTCATGGCAGAACAGAAGCAATTAGAACGGTCAGTGAGGAGTCTAATTTATTTGTTAGGAAATTTTTTGATCCCTCTGTTGCAGATTCTGAAAAATTGAGCTTTCTATCAAGTGCTTGCTCTCATCATTCCAGCCAGTCAAGGCAATCTTCTGTTGGAAAAGGTGTAGATAGACACTTATATGCTCTATTTTGCATTTGGAAAAGATATGTTGACTCTGCTGAGGAAGCTGAGGGTGCAAAGGAGCAAGGAGATACTGCCGCACATGTGGAGGCCGATTCATCGACAAACAGAGAAGGAATATCAGAGCCTAGGTCTTCTATCGTGACTCTTGTCGACGATAATGACGATTCAAAGACAAGCTCTTCGGACAATACAATTGGAAATGATGTTTCAAGTTCGAAGTCTATGCTAATGCAGTTGCCAGATATCTTCGCAGATAGTGGCTGGGACAAATTGAATAACACAATTATCTCCACTTCAAATTGTGGAAACCCATCTTTAAGATTATTTGGATTTGGTCCCGTCTCTGCTAATGGGTTTGGAATAGGTTATATTCTCAAAGACGACTCTATCGCGTTCTGTGCTTCTTCAAAGCACAGACAGACAGAAAGGTTCTTAGTCACTTTAAATTCTTACCTTCGTGAGATATATGCTATGTTTAAAGAAGTGAATGAACGTGCGAAGTATTCAAACGATTTTAAGAGCCAGAAAGTTCCGAAGACTGATGTGTCCAATTTATTGGGTGGATACGGTTACTTTGACATGGGAGACAATGAAATGAAGTCGAGAGATGCTACACCAGAGCCCCCATTTTTGAACAGGGCAAATAGCGGATTCTCAATTAGGGAAATAGGCAAAAAATTGAGACTTTCTGAGTATTGATTTTACATAGCAAAGAGCGAATAGAACTTACGAGTCGATGAACTAACAAGAAGATTGAGCCATTTTAGTTCGTATGAAGCATCTAAATTATGTATCAGTTGCAATATTTATTTATTTATTTATATAAATGCGGGACATCAGTGATTTTAAATCATATCTTCGTAATGTAAGCTATTTTGTCTATTAGATGCCGAAACTACCTTGATTGAATGCAGCTCTTAGCGATGCCTTATTTACCTTTGTATTCTTGTTGAACTTTCCTGCTGAAGGAATATTCATTACCGTCAAATCACTTGTGGTAGGTTTATTATGTTTTCTAATTGAAACATCACTGCCACTCGGGGAACCTGACGAAGTTGATTGAGGTGGAGGGGATAAATATGGTTGGCGCATCATTGATTGCGGTTGCATCATGGGTTGTTGGTTCATCATGGATTGTTGGTTCATCATGGGTTGTTGGCTCATCATGGGTTGTTGATGCATCATTGGATGTTGGTGCATCATTGGTTGTTGGTGCATCATTGGCTGTTGGTGCATCATTGGTTGTTGGTGCATCATTGGCTGTTGGTGCATCATTGGATGTTGGTGCATCATAGGATGTTGGTGCATTATTGGTTGTTGGTACATAATCGGCTGTTGATACATCATAGGCAGTTGATAAGAATTAGATTTGTGGTATGATGTAGGTTGCTGATATGGATTAGGCTGTTGATGTTGCCCCAGAGGGAAATGATGAATATTTTGTTGAGGTGAGGGCAGATACATTTGTTCACGCGGGGTCAGTTGGTGGGACTGAATCTCATGTCCATTTGAGGAAGGACTCTGATGCCGTTGCTCAATTCCTGGGTCATCACTGCTTGGTTCATAAGCTATCTGCAGAGAAGAAGTAGGCTCTGGTAATATTTGAGGTTCATTGGTTCTGCTCTGGGTCTGGCCTGCTGCGTAATTTGAGGAAGGATGAGAATTAGAGGGACTGTATCCCTCTGAAATATTAGCATTGGCAACTTCTTCATTAAAGCTACTTTTTTTCATATGGGGTTGGTTACGAACAGCCATTCCTTTAACTTGCCGTGCTCCTTTCTTTAATTCGACCGTTGGAGAAGTCCGGCCCAGCAAGCTTTGAATTATCAAAGGAATTGGTGGCACTTCTTTATATTTGTGGGTCTCATCATGGTCTGATTCACGATTTAAATCTTCAGGGTCCGATTTCCCTGATAATGGACTTTGGATTTGTTTATTTGGTCTGTTTGCGGCCCTGTTGTTGTGATCATTCAGGCGTCTTGGAGACTTGGGCTGTTTGAAATCATGTGTTGCCCCATTTTCAAGTTTCCGAGTACTTCCTTTATTATCAGAATCAAGCAGATATCTCATATCTTGAGTGATATTAGGTACTAGCCGTTTTGGTATTTTTGCACTTGGCTTTGGTGAGTGTCTTTTTGCAGACTGGGAATAAGATTCTATTAATGCAGGTTCAGATTCTTCGACAAACAGTGACTTTGTATCATGTCTTTCACTTCCAATTTCCTTGAAATGATCCTCTGCAGCATCCAATGACAGTGGATCTTGAATGTAGTATTGAGGGATCGGCAAGGCATCTTCCTGTTGTTCGACATCAATTTTCTTTTTAGTTCTCTTTTTTTTCTTCTTTTCTTTCTTCGGTGACAGCCCTGGACTAGAAAATTGATTGAGATCTTCTAATGAAACTCCGGCAGCAAAAGCTTCGGCCAATTCGGGTGGAGGAGACCCTGGGGGAGGTGGGCCTGGAGGAAGGAATCCAGCAGATTTCTCTATCATTAATTCCTCTACTTCCTCTTCTTTTTTCTTTTTACGGTCTTTCTTTTTCTTTTTCTGGTCTGCTGCTGGCTTGACTGTATTTTTTTGAACAGACACATCTGCTATGGGGGAGTATGGTATATGATTGTTGTGTTCTAATGATGAAATTGTTGGAGAGTTAATATCGTTTTTCGCATTGCTAGATACAAGGGGTGACCGAAGCGGCCCCTCAATCGAATTCTGATCAAATACATTTTGATAATTATCCTTAGATATATGTCCCTCCCGTTTAGTTAGTTCCAGGTCAGTAAGCTCCGGTGAAACTGTCTGAGAATTGTTGAAAACTTGGCTGCCGAACTGCATCGACAGATTCGTTGGGGTCATGTACTGCTGCAGATTGATAGACATAGGCAGACGATCAGGCGAGGCAGTTTTTACCCTGTCAAAGTAAGAAGTTCGCTTCAAAGCTTCCCCTTCTGTAGTTTTCTGTTGCCTCTCTCCAATGACCATTGGACTAAGAGCACTTGAGTCATAGTAACGAACTGGTGTTCCAGATTGCACGGTATAGCTTGGATTGACCAGAGTAGAAGACTCTGACACATGAATGGGGCTCTCGAATTGGGGAGATTGCAGTTTATATATGGGAGATTTAGCATATTCATACAGAACCGGAGAGGGGCTAGCGTTATTAGTAGGGACTGCTGGTTGAGATGACCTCATATTCTGACCTTCATCTGATCGGAGAGCATCGAGATTTGAATTTGCAGGCAGGAAACCATTCTCAGGCTTCTCAGGAGGAGGAGGAGGAGGGAGCTCAGAAGAATGAGTATGACTTGAGTGCAGATATTCAATTGGCGGTGGTGGAGGTCGGTGGGCGAGAGTCTTCAGAGTAGTTGAAGCAGGCTTACTTGTAGCAGACATCTCGTTGAATGTTTTAGAATATCCATCTTCGTCAAATGAATCCAAGGTATTCATTGAATCCAAATATTTTTTATAATCATTAAGTTCACCGTCATTGACAAAGCTCGGAAATATATAGTCACTTTCGTTGTCTCCTAGACTTACATCTAATTTATAATCACCTTCATCGAACTTCATCTTGGGTAATAAATTAGATTCCTTTTCAGGTAGTGGTGGAGGAGGTAAAGATGCTACCTTGTCTTTTCGACCTCCTGAAATCTTCCTACCATCTGAAGCATCGCCCGAGGAAGGGTTGATGCTGGTGTGCATTTTGAACTTCTTCAAATAGTCCTCCGTGCTCATTGTTTCTTCAGTGACCACTAGCCATTTTTGAAACCCTCTCAAACCAGCTTCAACAACTAAACTTCTACCAAACAATCTCTTTATTTGAGGTGTCTGGTCGGAAGCTAATGACGATAGCCACGTCCATATGTAATAATCTTGTAGTGTTACATCTAAAATTTGGATTTCTGAATACAAAGGTATATTTTGATCGAAAATACTTTCGTCAACTGCCCAACCTGGATGAAGACCATAATTAGATGGTATGGGATCTACTGTTAATCTGTTTAAAACTCTTTTAGACTCATCAGTAAAAGTTTCAACAATGGCTTTTGTGGACTCTTTTTGAAATATATTCTTTAAAATAGTATAATTTTCAATCGATGTGAAAGAATCCTTTTTATCGAAAGACAACGTATGTCTGATTTTGCTCAAAAGCTCATATCCATTAGAGGATACTCTCGTTGATTTAACAACCACACATGGTATAGTTATCATTGATTTCAAAGAATCTGTATCGTCTGCCGGTGGATAAGAGTTTGATATCAATAAAGATTGAAGAGTCCTAGGTAATCTCAACGTCTCCCTTTCATTGTCAGGTAAAACGGCTCTTAAAAACGAAAGCAATAAGTGAAATAATGCGGTAGTGGATGACTTCCAATTTTCTAATCCAGTTATGAAATTGTTTTCTCCAGATAAAGTAGCGTCAAAAAATGCATTATGGTGTCTCTTTCCTTTTTCATTAAAAGCCCATAGACTAGCCATCTTCGATATTTTCCTCCCACTCAAATAGTTGTATTGTGAATTTGAAGCAATACTTATTAATAAATCCAAAAAATCATACACTATGGAGGCATGTGCTGGAGAGGACAAACATTTGGGCATGATGCTTAGAAAAGCAGACTTTGGATAACCAGCTTCCTTTTCTCTGCGCCTAAATTCCAAATAGACATCCCAACCTATTATCTCATTATTAGGTAGACGGCACCATAAGTATTTCATTCCACAAATCAAAGTAAATTCATCGAATCTGCTTAAAAGTAGTAATATGTGACCATCATCATCTGTTTTAATTAACTCACCATTCGGAAATAATGTTTCCAAAAACTGTTCAAGCTTGCCATCATCGATCTTAGACCTATACGGTAGGAATATATGAGGCGTTTTTGTCCCTCTACTTTTCAACTCAGCTGTTATAAGATGTATGATTGTCTTTAATTTCTTCCTGCTTAATTGATCCAGCGGTATCCCTGAACTTTCTTCTCCAGGGGAGCCATCCTTGGGCAATGGAGGTAGTTCTATGTGCATCGAATGGTTCTCTATCAAGCCCATATCTAATCACTATAAACTGCCATGTATCAATAATTTTGTGTTTTTTTAAGGTTATTGTGTTCACTTTTTTATGTTTTTGTTTTCAGTAAGCCTTGCATCGCGTTGTAAAACATTACAAGATGCTCGCAACACAAAATTACTTAAATAGACTAGATAGCTTTAATTCGATTTTATCTATACAAAATTTGTTTCTACTAGATATATATTAAATATGACAATCTTTAAAGAGCCAATTGTTCTTCATCAATAATATGCATTTGGAAGAGAAATTAAGACCGCTGCTCAGTTAATCCGACGATGTTTACACCATTCCTATACTCCTGAGGTAATTGCTGAGATTGCACACCTTGCTCATGCAGGGCATGCAATTGATCTCTAACACCCTGTGGTAAATTTTGAATGTTGTAGCCATGATTTCCATTGCTGATACCGTTGCCAGCTGGATTTAGATTCATCGATTGATTAGAGATTCCAAAATGTGGGTGCGGAGGGTTATTAATGTGCTTCCGTGAAGAGACGTCTTGTGCATTCTTCTCGTTATTGATGATGTTGTTGCTGTTAGTATTCGAGTGATAGACATTAATGCTTGGAACTGTATCAGAGGAAGTATTTCGACTGCCATCGCTAGAATGTGTATGCAGGTCATTAAAATTCTCTCTAATCGGTAGTCCTGGTGCAATTGCTGGTGCAATCGCTGACGCTGATGCGTGCGGAGATACTTGAAAGTTACCATGAGGGTTGTTCAACGTTGTTGGTATTGTGCTTGGAATTGAATTGGAGTTGGCCTGAGGAGCAGTTATTTGAGTAATGTAATTTATTTGATGAATTATACCATTCAAATGCTCGTACCCTCCTACAGAAGACGCAAACATAGGGCAGTCCTTATGGCCCACAATCACGCCTTTAAGATTGATAAGTTGATCTCGCAACTGACTGACTTGACCTGAGAGCTCTCTATAACCAGAAGAATAAAACCCTAGCTCATCTTCCATCTTTTGGATTAGCTGCTTCTTACGCTGACGACATTTAGATGCAGCAACTCTATTCCTCTCTAGGAAACTTTTACGTTTGTCATCTTCTGGGGAAATGTTCCTTTTCGACGTTGACGTATCAGTAGATTCATTTATTGGTGAAGTAGTTTTCTGCTTTTTATTGGGACTCTGTTTCTCCGTCTTAGCTCTCTTTGTATTGTATTGTACATTTTCTTGCCTGTAGTCTTCCGAGGAAGATACCTTCAGTTCTATACCAGAATGATGCGTCCGTTCATGCTGTTTCTGCTTCTGTGGAAGAGGGCCATCAGTTGCAAGCTCAGGTGGTGGATTTGATTTTATTACTTCAGGCAGAGATTGAACTTGGGAACTAGGCAGCTGGCGAGGTTGGCTTTGAGTTTCTTGCTGAAGAGTTGAATCTCGAGATGGTTCCTCAGATCGTCTCTGCTGCTCTCGTTGTGTATCTTTCGGCTGTCGAGGTTGTCTTTGTGCTTGAATATCAGGTTGAGATCGCTCTTGAATTTGCGGCGGTGCTTGGGATGGAATTTGACTTGGGTGTTGAGCCTGAGCCGGAGGAGCTTGATTGTGGTTTTGAGAAACACCTAACATGTTTGAAAGACCAGGAATCATAGGACTGTTCAATAAACCGCCTGGGGTACTCAAACCAGCCCCCGAAGGGAATGGATATGACGATGGATGATTAATGCCGCCAGGAGTAAATCCTGATCTTAAATTAGACTCGTTAGGAGTTAAACCAGTTTTTTTTAGAGTACTCAAAAAGTGACTGAAATTACTTGAGGATATATTAGCCTGACTTCCATGAAAAGATTGTAATACACCAGGAGTATTACCCTGGTTGCCTCCCCCTGCTGCTGCTTCCGATGTATTAGGATTATTCGTTGCGTTAAGCAAACTACTCCATAAACTTGAACCAGGAGTCTCCGGATTCAAATGAGCACCACCCGGTGACAAACCTAACATTGGTAAACGACGACCACCAGGAGTGAACATGGTGGGAGTAAGGGCAGGTAATTTTGCGGATTGTAAATTAGGAAGACTTTGATTATGAATAATATTTGCTTCGCCATTTCCTTTAGACGAACCTCCATCAGACTTCGTTGTCGCTGGCACAGGTCCTGAATTCTGCTTATACGCGAATGACCTCTCGAATGGATTAGGTTCCAAGTCAAACGTTGTTTTCAGCTAAACATTTGTTAGTATACGAAATCTATGTATGACGTAATAACGGTCGTGATATCGCACGCCCACAACTTGGTTTTTATCGAAGTATATGATACTTACATCTCCAGCCATCCTTATAAATACGGTCTCCCACTTCTCTTCCGTGGTTGGATATGATCTGGTGTCTTGATAGATGAGGAGAGGTTTGTAATCATAAAATGTTTCAACACTTTTCTTACGTCATATATACAGAACAGAACCGTAAAAGTTTTGAGACACAAACGTGATTATTGTAATGACGAGACACGCTCAAAGCACTAAGGTTTACCAGAGGCTGAACAGCTGCTAAGATTTATTATAGTATATATACATATAGAGTATAGGTATATATGTGGCCCAAAAATCTTAAGCGGATTTAGGGTGAAATGCCAAAAAAAAAAAACTTAGTGAGTATAAGATGTAATACTGAATGCAATTAGAATACCACCTAAAGATTATTAAGTTTTTAGGGGGACTAATCTATGTCCCCTAATAATTGGTCCAATTTCTCTTTTTTATCTAGTCTCGAATCCTTTACTATTTCAGGATGCTTGTTGACTTCTTCCCTAAGCGCGTCATCAATGGGTTTGTTAACTGGTGCAGCTTCAGGTACATGATGCTTGTCGATTTTGATTTTCGACTCTTGCATACTAGGTTCCTTGTTGAAATCAATTTTTCTTCTCCACCCTGTAAATAATAACTTCGATAAGTCAAATTTGGGGAATGGATGAGCCTCAGTATTGAATACGTATTCATCTAATGGAATTTTGTTCTCATCATCGAACAAAAGGTATAAGTACTTCAAGGTTTCTGCGAACCAAAAGGATTCCATATTATCTTTAAGTATCGGTGGAATTACTGTTACATCCTCCAAAGAAGTATAAGAAACATCGCCCTGCTTATTAACCACTTTAGTATACTTTACAAAGTTTTGGAAGATTTCATAACCGTACTCTCTGTACTTGACATCACCAGTGAGTCTATACAAGTAGAAGAGTGACTCAACTGTTTCAGGGCGCTGTAGGTTATGCCTATCGAGTTTTTTGATTATGAAATCTTCGTTCTTGCTTTTATCTTCATTGAAAACAACAATTTCTGGCGATAAACCCGTCGCAACGTCTTGGTACATCTTATAACATGTATACGTCAAATCTTTTCCTAACTGAAAATCCGATTCTCTTTCTTCATCCCATGTGGATAACTTCTTTGCTTCATCGTAAGTAAGACCATTTGTTGCACCAACAGCCAATAATCCTCCGTAAAAACAAACTAGATGGTCCATTTTACTTGAGAATGGGCCCTTTATTCCCCGTTCCAACTCACCTATGAAAGTAAGCTGATTTGGATAAGATTTTCGAACCAAATGCTTTTTGACACCAGCAACAGATTCACGATACATATCCCAGTAGACAGGTTCTTGATTATTAGTCTGCATGAATTGCTTCAATAAATATTCGTAATATGAATCCCCACGTGAACCTAGTCTAATCAAGTTACTTTGATATTTACCAGTTTCAGGATTTACGTATATAGGAACTAATCCATCTTCAGGCTTATTTGCATCAAGAACTTCCATGATCTTTTCAGCTTTCTGCCAAAATAATGCTTCACCAGTGAGATGAGAAAGATACTTCAATTCCAATTGTAGAGTTGCTACTTCTGCAGTAGACGATGCTCCCATGTCTACGTGGTTCTTAATTCCAGCACCAGTTTTCAAGTTAACTGAGGAGTAAGGAATACCAGTGGGGCTATCAAAGGCACCAATCAACGAATTAGCTAAAACAACAGCTTTATCCAAGTAAATATCTTCTTTACTTAGATGATGTGCAGATAAAAGGCCACCCAACATTCGTATAGTGGTTTCGAAGACATTAACTTCATAATCGAAGTCATAATCCAAAGTATGGGTAACCCATTCTTTCGCGTCTTTCACTTCATCCTGTGCGTCCATCAACATCAAGGTATCCAAAGAATCGACAATGATCCAACCAAGTGGCTTTGGCCCCATATTTTCACCCTTTTGCTTGATGGGGTGATAGACGTCGCTACCCCATCCAAACTTTTTATAAGTTTGCCATGACTCCAAAAATACATCTCTCACTTCATTCTGCCGAGATTTCCAATCAACACCTCTTAATTGAACCTTTTGGGTTCCCAAGTATTGATACAAAAAGTAAACTACGAGAGAACCAAGGAAAAATTTCAAAACTGTCATAATTTTATTTTTCTTGGAAGACCGTAAAGTTGGCTTGTCTTTATAGTACAAAGGTAACAGTTGTTTGTTTTTAGCTTTCCAGGGATTGCTATTTCCAGTCGTTCCTCCAGAGAAGCTCATTCTATTAATCAAAGATATAAAACGAGTTTATGTGTCAAAACAATCAGTCCAAAATACTGATTCAAGACAGCAATAGACCAACAATCCTACTATAAATACAGATAGTATTCCAATACCGACTTTCGTCCTAATTACTGTAATTCTCTGACTCTATTGTACTTTCGTTAACTCCAAGTCTAGCGTGTTCTTATGTTTCTCAAAGAATCAATACTTACATACAGTACGCAGAAGACTGAAATACGCTTCTGATGAAGCACTACAGTTAAGAATAACCGCTGTTGCAAGAATCGCCTCTTATAAATCACAATTTGAGCACGTCACAAGAAGCCGTTGAAACGTTAGCTTTAGATGTAAATCAATAAAATAGCTGGTTAAATAAATGTCAACTGAAAACACCCCATCTTCAGTGGAGTCTACTCCAACAGCATCATGGCTACAAAATGATCAAAAAGATGACAGCAAAGGTAATGATATATCGGAGAATAGTTTGAAACCTAAATCAACTAGAAGATCAGTGGCATGTAAAAGTTGCCATGCTTTGAAAGTGAAGTGTATGCCGGCAGATGAAAACAATCCTGCTGGTCCTTGTATCCGATGCTTGAAGTCAAAAAGAAAATGTGAGATAGACCTCACACAGACGAGGAAGCGAAGGAAAAAGGCAGACAATAATGGAGATGGAGTCACAACACCAATAAATGCTACCAAACAAGAAAAAATGTTGTCAAAACTACAAGCTCAGAATGAAGAATTAAGATCTCAGATTCGAAACCTAAATCACAAATTGATTCGACAGGAACAAAATAATAACAATGGATCATCAGGTTCAGAAGATAGATACATTTCTAAGAATGACTTGGAAAGGGAATTGAGTGTTTTTTGCCAAAGCAGTTCCTCTAAGCTTACTGAAATGACTAATTCATTGAAGTACACTGCTGAAAGAAGAAGAGAATTATTATCACGGAGTCAGAATCCTGATTTGATAAGCAGTGGTATGATTACAAAAGAAGAAGCAGCTTCTAGATTAAAGATGTATAGAGAAATGATATACGCTGCATATCCACTTATTGATGTGCCTGAATCCATGACCGTTGAAGATTTACAAGCACACCAACCATTTTTGCTTAACGCAATAATTTCAATCACAACTTCAATCAGCACGGACAGTGAAAATATAGATAGAGCGTTGGAAATAGACAATGAAGCCGTCAAGAGTATAGTGACCGAAGTTCTTGTCGCAGGTTCGAAGTCAGATGAACTAATAAAAAGTTTGGTATTGCTATGCTTATGGTACAATACCCCGGATCTTTTTAGACATCGTCGTTATCATTTGTTAAACTCAATTTCTGTTTCATTGATGCATGATTTGGGTATTATAGCCCGACCTTTTCATAACTTCAAACAAGTCGCAGACACAGTCAAGCCTCTTGACGTACCTAATCCCAATAAAGTTGAGTATAGGAAGATAGTAATGGTCTTATACTTTACAACTGTCAGTGTTTGTTTAATTTTAAGGCGAACAATTTATGTCAGGTGGACCCAATTTGTTGAAGAATGTTGCTCCGAGATAGAAAAGAATAACGACACAAATTCCCAGAACCTCGCTCTTCTTTCAAGACTCAGTTATCAACTCGAAAGAATACATCATATCGTACATGCAGTCGACTCCTCAGAGAAGAGGAAATCAACATCAGAGTATGTAATAAGAGAGTTGCAGAGTAACTTGAGTGCGCTTAGATCGAAGATTCATCCTGACGATCATGCTTTCTTGGCTTATTACTTTTCTATTGAAGCGTATTTGCATGAACCAGTTCTAAGTGAGATAGTTGAAGATACGTCAAGACTCCCCGAAAATTCGGTTAGATCAATATCAAACTGCACTACGTCATGTTTAAATGCCATCGATGAGTTCAACAAGATGTCTCCCAATGATATTGCCTTAATGCCATTGTTTTATGCTTCTCGAATAATATATACAGCAGGGATGCTTCTACGACTCAGATATTTGATTTTGTCTCTACCCTCATACATAGAGAGAGATTTGGTACCCCAAGATGCTGTTACGTCATTACATAAACTAACAGCTTTAATAGAAAAAGCTGCCAATCTTCATACTCTTAATCATTTCTTGAAGAAAATTAGATTGGTTTTACATTTATTTATACAGACTTATGCCACACAAGTGCAAGAATTAATCCATAAGCATGGAGAAACACCTCAAAATTTTAAACCAACGAGAAGAGAGATATCTGAGATGGACCAGCTAAACGAGCTAATGTTAAATATCGATAAGAAAGACCCGACGAACGCACTAGGATCTAATACTTCTGCAGCAGAATCAAGAGGAGATTTGAGTGGTGAAACTCCCAGAGCACATGATATCTCCCAGCCACCTGATGAGAGCTTTCATAGAACTTCACTAAGTATTCCTAATATGGTTTCCAATCAAATGCAACCTCCTCAATTTAGAAGTGGCATATCACCTTCTTTTGTGAATGGCGATGGTCAAAGCTTCGATAATAATATGAATGTCCTCAACCCTCCATATGATATCGCTAATGCAGATCAACTCGAAAATTCATTCCTTGCACTTAATGATGAATTTTGGGTCAATTTACTTAGCACAGATAGTGAAAAGCTAAATTTTTCGAATAATAACGAAGGCAAGACGGCTTCTGAAGAGGTTTTTTTCATGAACAATTAATGTTATTTATAATATATGGATCTCTAATATGCAAATAATTTTTTTTAGCTCATATATACTACAAATATACTTTTTATCTCGTTTGAAAAATCAGGTTGAGTAACTTCTATTAATGGCATCGAGAAATCTTAAGGAACAACACAATGAGTCAGAACGGTTTTCAGTAATTGATATAATTAGAATATTTGGAGGATTGCTTGTACTAAATGCCTTGTTATCGTGGTGGTTTACGTCTTCTTCGACGTGGGGTTATTATGGAAAATGGCTAGACCCAAGTTACTTGAAGTTCAGAGCGTTCCCCTCGTATTTGAATCTTACATTAGAAGAACTATCAATGTACAATGGCTCTGATCCAAATTTACCTATCTATGTTGCAGTCAATGGAAGTGTCTTTGATGTATCAAGTTCAAGAGAGATATATGGACCAAAAGGTGGAGTTTATGCGAAGTTGAGTGGAACAGATAGTGCCCGGGTATTTGTCACAGGCTGCTTTCACAGACCCGACCAATTCACATATGATCTTAGAGGTTTAGATCCAGAAGAAGCTGATAACGATATAAGACAATGGCACAATTTCTACGCAAATCATGCCAACTATTGGCTCGTAGGGATCGTCACTCATGAAAAAATCATAGGAGATCCTCCCGAACCTTGTGAACACATAAAGTTTCCAGGTTGAGGCCACAAACTCATTTACAATATTGACATGTATTAATGTTTACATATATACTTCTAGTTATGGTTTGATTTGGCTACTGAAAGAGCTTTTTCGAAAACACCAAGTAGTTCATCTTTATCCTCTAGCCCTACACTAACACGAATTAGATTTCTGTCCACGTCCCACTTTGCTATCTCGTCTAACTCCTGATAGTGAGCGAGTATTGCGTACGGAGAAGCTAGTGTGAAATTTGTACCCAACGATGGTCCTTTATATATATTCACCGCATTAAAAAAGCAAACTGCATCACTTGGATCTTTAAACAAAAATGAAATTAAACCACCATAACCACCATGTTTTGTCTTAACTTCATCATAATATTTCTTTGTGCTGTCGAGCCGAGGATAATATACCTTTGCTATCAACGGCGACAGGGTAAGCATGTCAACGACTGCTGCAGTGGTATCATTAATTTTAGCTGATCTCTCGACAAAATCTCGGGAGTTTCTTTCTAAATGTAAGGCATCCATCGCCCAAAAGAGATCTTCATATTCTTCATCAAAATACTTTTTAACTTTGTTGTAATATCGAGACTGGGGGTTTAATATCAAGGAACCACCCATAACATTGGAATCACCAGAAAAAACCTTGGTAAGAGACGAAGCCACAATATCGGAATATGGTAAAACATGAATGTTTAAAAAATTACCTATTGTCTCATCAACAACAACTGCGAAATCATATTGATCGGCCAATTTCCTAATCCTTTTCAAATTCGGAGTTTTGAGCAAAGGATTTGAAGGACATTCGCAGAAAAGTGCCATTATGTCAACTTTGCCGTTAACCAAGTTATCCTCCAACTCATCCAAAGACTTGTCATCACCAAGACCGAGGAAATGAACACCAGGACCAAACTTTTTCAATATATTCAAGGTATCTACATAAGGAAAACCAAAACAAACCGACTTTTTTGGGGATAAAACGTGCAATAAAGTGTTATGCGCATGGAAAATTGAAGCCATACCTGAAGGATAAAGATAAACGTCTGACGGATCTAAATGACCACTTCTTTCAGAATTAGCTTCTCCCGCAGAATCTTCAACATTCCCACAAATACGTTTCCTCAAGGCAGCTTTAGCTTGATCTGCAAATTTAAGATCCAAAATTCGACCGAACTTTTCATCGATATAGGATTCGCTCTCATAAAACGTTTCGTCAGAGTTTGAAGTTTTAAAAGATATTGAAGGAGACTTCTTCTGGATGGCCTGGGCTTGAATTTCTTGTTTTAAATTAGAATTAGCCAAAAGCTTTGAGGAAGGATCAATATTTTCGTCTTTGTCTTTTATGAAAAGTTCCCTTAAACAGTATTCTCCCAACCTAGAACTTATACCTTCGCCAGAGTGCTGCCAATAGTTTTTGGCCAAAGAAAACTCACTAGCTGGAAAAAGACAAGCTGCAATGGTAGCTTCAGTTAAATATGACTTTTCTTCCTCTGTCTTTGGAGCTGGGGTTGATAGTTGAAGTATACGAACCTGCACTGATTCCTTATCACTATGGGATTTGATGAATTCTCTACATCTTTTTGCAGCCTTGTAGGAGGGAAATATCAAGCATCTTTCACCATCTCTACCATACTTATTAATTATCTGCTTTTCTAGTTCTTGTATTACTGAATGGATAAAAAATCTTGGGTAGCCAGAGTTCATTTGACTCGTGACCCATTCTTGCCCTTCTTCGTAACCAACGGTAGCTTCCCATGTAGGTAAAGTTACAGAAACAGCATGTGTGGTATTCAAAGGTATAGGCTCACCAACCTTCTGTGATGGCATTATGTTTAATAAAGAGAATATTACACTGTTCGAAGATAACCGTTATTCATTGATTTCTTAATTTGAATGCGCTCACTTGAGTCATAGATCAACTGAAAAATACACAAAAGTTAAGTCAAGATATGTTATTAATATCTATAAAAGAAGATGCAAATATTTAATAATTACAGATAAAAAGTAGCAAATTAGGAGGGGACTAGATTAACATTAAATAACCAGATTATTCTTTTTGTTATTATTCTTTTTAGTTTATTAAACGTGTCCTGTGTTTTCAAGACTTAATACAATTAACGGAGCCCTCCTTCAATCTCTTTAGCTCAGCTGGATTAGAAATTGGTGCTGGTGCTGCCAGATTGCTAAGACCACTTGTTTCATTTGGGATATTTGTTGCACCCTTACGGTTATGCTGCATATGAGATTGAACCAAGTGTCCAGCAGCTAGGGCTGAACAGAGAGAAAGCTCAGCAGCAAGAACAGCAGAAGCCACAATCCTAGCCAACTGTCTAGCATTTTCTCCTGGGTGTGTTGGGTGCGGTCCCCTTACACCGAGCAAATCAAGCATAGCAGATTGCGGTTCCAAAATGGTGCCTCCCCCAATAGTGCCCACCTCAATTGAAGGCATTGAAACCGAAATTTGCAAATCACCATCTACATTATTCATTAAAGTGATACAATTCGATGACTCAACATTTTGAGCTGGATCTTGTCCACATGCAAGAAAAACAGCAGTGACCAAATTTGCAGCATGGGCGTTAAAGCCACCAACTGACCCAGCCATTGCCGAACCAACAAGGTTCTTACTAATGTTTAATTCAACCAAAGCATTAACATCAGATTTAAGGACTTTTTGAACGACCAGAGCCGGAATCCTTGCTTCTGCTACGACTGACTTTCCTCTTCCTTCGATCCAGTTGATAGCAGCCGGTTTTTTGTCAGTACAGTAATTACCGGATACTGATATCACTTGCATATCGCTCCAACCACATTCCTCAACCATGTATTTAAGAGAGTGCTCGACACCTTTTGATATCATATTCATACCCATGGCATCTCCCGTTGTAGTTCTGAATCGGATAAATAATAGTGTCCCAGCTAATGCGGTCTGAATATGCTGCAACCGGGCGAATCTTGAAGTTGAATTAAAGGCCTTTTTAATAACCTTTTGTCCCTCCTCTGAATCTAACCATATCTTTGCGCCACCTGCTCTGGCTAAGGAGGGGAAAGAAACACAAGGGCCTCTTGTCATACCATCTTGTGTCAAAACAGTCTGAACACCACCACCACCATTTATAGCCTTACATCCTCGCATTGTTGATGCAACCAAACATCCTTCAGTAGTAGCCATTGGCACATGATATGGCTTTCCGTCAATAATAAGAGGACCTGCGACCCCAACAGGTAATGGCATATAACCAATAACATTTTCACAGCATGCACCAAAAACTCTATCATAATCATAATTATGATAAGGTAAACGTAATGTATCCAAGGCTTGTGCATTTGCCATCTTTGAAATCGCTTTACGACGAACAGCGACAGCCCGGGTGTTATCTCCTAATTGTTTCTCTAATGCATAGAGCGGCAAATTACCTGAAATTGATAATGATGACACTTCATCATCAGTTAGTTCTTTAACTTTCCCTTCTTTTAAATATTTGATGCATTCTTGTAAAGGTAAGACATTTTTACGTGTCTTTATTTCGAGCTCTTCTTCACTGGACGAGAAGTCCGTTTCACCTCCAATTGTTTCTGAATCTTTGTCATTGTCATCGGTCAGTGGACTCGGCAAAGTAGAAACAGCCGAACCTGACTTTGAAGATGGCTTCTTTAAGCCTGATTTTGGTCTAGAGATTTCCTTTTCAATAAGTTTGTTAGTGGCTTTCACTTGATAGCGTGAAGCATTCAAAAAGTAAGCATTTGTAGACATTGAGACTGCAAAGGCGAACAATAAACATTTGGAGATGAGATTATCCCTAATTGCGTGACTGATGGTCTCTAGAATCATCATAATGAAATCTTCAGTTTGCACTAATAGTCCTAATGGCATGTAAATCCTAGAATTTGCAATAATTGCTATTGTACCATTTTGTCCGATACTAATATGTTTTGCAGCAACTTTAGATAAGCTGGGCCTGGTACTAAACATAAGGGGCCTTTCACTTGCTCCACTGTATAACCAAGTACCTCCCAAACAAAACGCTTGAAAGCCAATAAATAGAGCTAACATTGCAACTTTAAATGAAATTATTGAGCCATCATTGGAACTGAAATGAGATCCTTTACTGGGAAAATCAATATCGGATGAGCGTGTTGCAATGTTTTGAGCAAGAATTGAAGAAATACCTTCCTCTTCCAAAGCATCTCTCAAGCTTTCGGTTCTTCTTGCTCTGTTAATCTCAACTTTTAAAGCTAAAATAGCTGAATAGAAAGTATAAACCAATAACAAGTCAAATCCTAAAATAAATGAACTTAAAATGCAAAAATTTCTGAGCCCTTCTAAATGTGGAGCATAAACGGCACAGGATATTAAAGCGGAAATAACTACAACATGATCTCTTAATAAACTTACCAGGATAGCAGATAAAGCATTAGCAACTATGGTCTTCACATCCGCTGAAGACGTGGAAGCATTCATGACTAAAGAGGCAATGGAAACCTTATGTTTGAACCCTATTATCGCAACAAGAAATGGTATACCTTCAGTGATGCTTATAAGAGGAACCTTGTAATCAAGAAACTTGGTAGTAGTAACCAAAGCAAAAAGGAAAGCAAATGTTGATGAGGTTAACGTTGAGAAGGCTAACCAGAAGTTCGAGCCAAGCTTCTTCATGTCGAAGAAGACTTTAATTAATGTATACCACATAGCAATGTATGCAATGCCTATCAATCCTATGTCAAATTTTTCGGCACCTTGAATTGAGGCCTTACAGTTGATAATAGCAGAACGCAAATATTCGTAGTATTTCGTTATCTTATTATGTTGAATGACCTTCCATGTTATATTATTATCAACAATCTTGTCGATTGACTTCAAAGTTGTCTCGTACTCCTCGGGAGTTGTGATGATAACGCGCTCATTGCTATTCAATCCTTTGAAAGAACCTTTGACCTCAGGAATTCGATTGTCGTGTATCCTTTTAAATCTCAACGGTACGACAACCACCTGATCAGCTCCATTAAATGCCAGCGAGTCATCGATATGCACCCAATCTTTGTAGTCTGATGACCCAGGTGGATGATAAAATTGAACCGATGATTCAGACTTGTCAAGGTTCCCAGGTGCATACTCTTCAACGACTGACAAATAGGCAATGGACGCCAAAAGGCCTGTAATGATTATTACATGAATGGGACGGTTGGCTGAAGTCCTTGATAGCGCAGTGAGCGACTTAGTAATACCACCAAGCATAGTTTAGACGGATGAAAATTGTGTTGTAAAAAAATTCTGACACGTATATGAGCTTTCAGTACTCGAGAAATATACTTTCAACACCACCAGCTTGCTCTAAACTTTTCCTATCGCTAATTTTCAACCCTATGTTTCGAAAGTCTTAGCAAAATTTAGCTATGCCTAGCTTACTTTTTAATTTTTTGACTGCTATTTGGTTTTAAAAAGTCGGTACGATTTCGAGTTTTATACGACGGACCACTTGACGCTCCAAAAGAAAAAATAATACAAAAAAAAGTTACACCGCGATCTCACTTATAAATCTTACTTAATAGCGTACGAGGTTGCAAATGCTTCTATGTTTGCTGATTTGAATTATAAAATGTTAAGAACATGTTAGATATACAAAATATAAGATAAAAACCATATAGACTCGGTGAGTGTACTTGATTAGCTTTCTTAACTCCATTTAAAATCAGCTTCGCCGAATAATTATACGAATCTCTGAGACGACGAGCCGCTTATTTAATAGAAACTAACTTAATGTCAAACGTCAATTCTGAATTAGCAGGAATGCCTGGTAATGCTTGAGAACCGTATCCCATCTTGGGTGGGATAATGACACGTCTTTCACCGCCTACAGCCATGCCTGCAACACCCAAGTCAAATCCTTTGATACATTCGCCTTTGCCCAAACCAAAAGCAAAAGGCTTACCTGAAGTATTTTTATCAAAAACTTTACCATTCTTCAACTTTCCTATGTATCTAATACCAACCTTGTTTCCAGATTTAGCGGCTGGTCCCTTGCCCAATTTTCTATCTTCGGTGATTACACCTCCCAACAAGGTCTTGGTTGGGAACTTTTTGGAAGAGTCAGAGTCAGCTTTCTTGTCGCTCTTCTTATCATCCTTTTCATCTTTCTTTTTTGACTTTTCTTTCTTATCCTTTTTTTTTCAACCAAAGTAGAACCAGTTGGACCTTGCTCTAATTCATCAGAGAATTGAACAGATTTTTTGTCTTCCTTTTTAGCCTTTTTAGATTTCTTTGGCTCATCATTAGCAACTCTTTTTTTTGAATTCTTCTCATCTTCCTCAAGTAATTTTTCAATTCTATTTTCGATATCAGATGCATCTTCTAAGTCGTCCAAGTCGTAGTCTTGTTCGGCGATGATTTCATCCTCATCAGGAGTTAAGTTGTCCTCTTCGTCACTATATTCTTCGTCGTAATCATCAGAATCATCGTCAGCAGGATGCTCAACGTAGTTACCGGTCAAATGAATGGGGTAGGAACCAGTGACAACGAAATAAACTTCTTCATCTGGACGAATTGTCAAATCAAGCGTCTGTTGAAACTGAACTTTAGGAGACAAGGTACAAATGACGAACTCAGAAACTCCATCCTCATCATCTTCATCTTCGTCATCTTCAGAACTGTCATCATCGTCTTCGTCTTCGTCGTCTAAATCATCTTCTTGTTTCTTGGACTTCTTGGATTTATCTTTTGGAGCTTCCTCCTCTTCGCTTTCTTCGTCATCCTCGTCGAAATCCTCCTCATCCTCAGAATCAAAATCATCGTCCAGGAAGAGATCAGACCTCTTCAAAAGCCTCAAAGTTGAAGGTTCTTCCTTATCGTCAACCGCTTCAGGATCCACAGCTGCCACAGTCAATCTGATGGTAACAGGAAATTCATCCTCAATAGCAGGGACAGGATTGAATGGCTTTAAAGACAAGTTATATGTGGAAATTGGAGTCAAACTGGCCATTTTGATTGAGTACGATGTAGTATCTAAGTAAATGAAAAAAAAACCTTTGAGATGAGCTGCTTTATTACAAAAATTTTATGCCACGTGACAGTTAGCCAGCCTTAAACCTAACAATCATATTCTTACTGCTATCAGTTCTACGTGGACATAGCGCCAGAAACTGTATTAAATATACATGTGTTTACTACTTATATATCATAAATGAAAAACTAATTAACTATAAGCAATATTCTAAAGTTGGTTTAGAATTTCAACAAGTGTGGTCTATCACCATTCTTCAAAGAGAAAGAAGCAGACAAGTATTGTTTCAATAATGGGGTTTTCTTGATTTCAGATAATAAAGAAGCATCGACAGACTTTTGGTCAGCAACTCTTTCAGCCTTAATTTCTTTCTTTGGTTGAGCTTCATTGAAGAAATCAGCTTCAGACTTCTTAGATCTTGGGACTTTCTCCCTAGCGAAGTACTCAACGTTGAATTTAGAGACATCAACGCCTTCAACGTTGACCTTCGTAGAGGTGGCAATGACGTAACGAGCGTTAACTCTTCTTAATGGAACACCGTTGACCTTGAAAGGACCGGATACCAACAAGGTGTTATCTTCTAAGTTCTTCAAGTAAACAACTCTCTTTCCTCTGAATCTACCAGCCAACAAGATCAAAACAGTTCCTGGAACTAAAGAAGCACGTAATTTTTGAGCACGAACAGCCTTTCTAGTTTGCTTTGGGGCTGGTGCGTCTTGTGATTGATACCACTTTGGTGCCTAAAGATTAGTTAGTAATTGTTCATATTCAAATTGTTATGATATGAAGACGGGACTAGAAAAGGATTGGTATGTTGCCAACTCTTACTTAGGAAATAAAAGCATGTAGCTTGCAATTAGTTATTCTAATTTGTTCATTCAAAACCCATTTTCTTATTTATGCCGTCATGTAGAAAAAAAGCTACATCACACATAAAATAGCTTCATTTCGTTCACGAAGAGCACATAAAGTGGACACCTTATCATTTATTCATCAACCAGTAACTTTTTCATTATTAATTAAGTTACATATTTGTCTTAAAATTTTTTATTTGGCTGACATCGAAATTATCCCCTTGACCAAGAACAGTCTTCATATCACAACCATCCCCTAATAATTATCTGTTTAAAGTACATACAGCTTGACTCATATTTGGCGACTTATAATCTAACGTTAAAATTGATTAGACCTCTTTTAACAAAGCTTGTTGGTCAAGTAAGATTTTTTTTTTTCACTCAGACTTTTTGCACTACAGTATAGTTGGAAAAATTTCGGTCTCCAAGATAAGTATCACAAAACCTCACTGAACACAAAGACAAAAATATTATTGACTGCACACAATTTAAGGTCGTGGGGTGGGATTAGACATTAATCGTTTTGTCATCCAATTTTCGCAGTCACTTTATGCACGTGATAATCATGCGGGTTGTATCTTTGGACATGTCGCGAAGTTCCACAAGATACATTATGTGTTGCAGCTTCATAGTAATAAGACTGTCTTGATTGACCATCAAATAAGTTCAATTCGATCTCAATAAACCTTACGAAGATCATGTTTAGGTGCGATTTAATTATGATACAATCTTAATTCAAACAAAAATATATTATGTGCTACAGTTATACATAATATCATACAAAACAAGCAATCAATAAGCATGATACAACTAAAGTTACAGGATATACTCAGCTTTTTATAGTAATATATCTTATCAAGACTCTCAATTTACCACTGCCGGCTTGTAGAGATATATTTTCTTGATTATTAAGAGCATCCTCAAGTGGTAAGGAAACACGAGCAACTTCCACATTCTTGCCAAACGTATGATGCTCTCTAACAATAAATACAAGGGAGTAATCACTAGGAGCCTTAAATGGGGATGATTCATTCCATTTGAAAGTACGAGAGCCATCTGGTTTACTTGATCTAGTCTTAAATAGCGCTTTCTCAGAATTAGCCGATTTTAATAACACTTTGACCTCCAACGCAGAGGAAGAGAACCCAGTGGCATCCACAACACCTACTCTTCCAGGAATACCACCAGAACCAACTTCTGCATTCGTATAAGTGGAAATGTCTGTGGAGGAGCTCACCTTTCTGTCATGGTTAGGAATATAAGGTCTTTGAGGTGGGGGAAGTGTATCAGGGTTAACGTTTGGTGCAGCAATCACTTTATGACGAGGCTTTGAAGTAATACTTTCCATATCATTAACATGTTGAGTTTGGGTCTTAGAAGATTCATTCTCTGCGTTATCATTATCTGACTCGCTGTTTCTATCGTCTTCTTCTTCGTCTTCTTCGTGGATATCATCTTCATATTGACTAGTGTTATTCTTGCGTGGCGAGTGTCCGCCAGTGCCATTAGTCTGTGCAGTCTTTCCGCTATAAAGCGAAGAAGAATTATCAACGTAGGTGCTTTCATCTTCAGCTGATGAGCCTTCTTTACTCTTTCTTTTCCTTCTTCCAAGGCCCTTTATGAAAGATCCACCTTTACCAAGCCCATCTGTAGCAACACCAACACCTTTACCAAGGCCCTCAGACGCAACGCCAACACCTGCACCAGCAACATTTGTCGCACCTCCAATAACTGCACCACCTACACCAGTAAGAGCAGACAAATCGAACGGTAAACCACCAGCTGAATTCAATTTCGGCCTAATATATTCTGGCTTAAAAGTTGCCCTCAAGTTAATAATTCCTTGAGTATCTAATTTGACCTTGAATTGAGTAGAATCGAAAGGTTCAATAGTAGATAAGTCCAAATTAACACGACCAAGAAGCTCATCATCGTGAGTTAGATCCCAATCATAAACCTCTAACAAAGTGATTTGCCTCGACCTTGAAAGTATAGGATATTCGAATGTTTCATTCCAAACGGGATCCAAGGTTTTTCTTTTTTTGCTAGTCCTAAACACTTCGACACCATCCAAATTGATAGCCAAAAGTGGGTCGGATTTCCCGTTCTTATCGACAGATTTCAAGTTTTCAGCACTTAAGATTTCCAATTTCATCTTACCAACATCCAAAATAGTATCTAAAGGTGCTAATTTCGAAGGTGAAGGGAAGAACTCCAACTGAGCTTCAACGTGGTTACGTTCGTTAATTCTCAAAATGATGGGTTTAGCATTTCCTCTTTCATAAATATCAATGGTATCAAAAGTCTTCTCCAAGATTATATCTTTCTCATCGTTTACTTCAACCTTTTTAGCTAGTCTTACAATCATCTTAGAATTTGGTAAATCTCTGATAAATCCTTCAGCTGTGGAAATAGTAGTTAAGGATTTACCTTCTGATTTAGGTGAAACTCCTGATGGGTACGCTTGGTCATCAAATAGAATATGCACATAGAGGTCAGGCTTGTCGAATTTACCATTAAGTAAATGTACTGCGATTGTTCCAGTTCTATACTTGATTGCATCTTCCAAGGGCATAACAATTTTTGGAGGTTGTGACAAGCTGTCATCAGTCACTTCAACAAACTCATATTCGTCAGGGTGCTCCTTAACTAATTTTTCTTCACTCTCTCGCTTGGCTTTGTCATCCGCTTCTTTAGCTTCCTTTTCTTCGGCAATTAAGTCTTTATTTTCTGTTTCTGATATTGTGTACACTGGGAGATTAGGGATGAATGAGACTGAGTATGTTAAAATACCCTGATGATCACCATTATACAAAATTGGCTGCTCCAATATCTCATTAGAACCATCATATCCCATATAATAACCTTCATCATTTTTCTCCAAAAATTCATGAACATTGATCGCTACAGTTCCTAAACTTCTGTCTGTCTCTTCCTCTTCATCCATAATTTCCAAGAGAACATGCTGATGTGAATTCGACACCGGAAGGAAACAAACATCATTGAAATAAGGGGTCAAAGTATCATTGATTGTCTTAGTTCTTGCTTTAATCTTACCATTCATAAGAACCCTGACGTAAGGATCAACTTTTCCAACAGCTTCCAAATTCTTGACATTGCTTGCTGATCTCAAGTGAATTCTTAAGCCACCAATTGGGGCAGAATAATAACTCTTCACAGCTTTGTCATCACCCATACTCAAAGCCTTCCAATGAGCCGTGATTCTGATCTTGGAATATGGACCATCAGGTGAAGCTGGGGGGCACTTGATCCACTGTTGACCTCTATTGGTCTCAAATATCAAATCCTGCAAGTTGGCATCTAACTTTCCGACAACCTTATTTTCGACAGAATCCTTAACAAGGACCTGAATCTGAGTCTCGGATTGTTGAGTAACTAACGATTCGAAACCTTGATTCCATGATGGCTCATTAATCTGCCTTAGCCTACGGCATGACTTCATTAATTCTTGATTCACGTAAATCTCAGCATAAGGATTCAACAAACCGATAACTGATTCGGAAATGTCTAAATCTTTTGCTCCATGTAATGTAAGTTTCATTATGCCTATTTCTGTATCCGTAACCGGTATCTTGGTACCATCCTCCAATTCCATTGGAGGCAATGATGAGAAATATCTTATATCAAATTCTATTTTTCCAACAACTTGTCCATCTTGAGAGATGTTTCTGACAACGCCAGTTTGATTCGATTTCTGCAACAAATCTCCTAGTGAAAAATCAACCACCCCAATTAATTGGTCATTTATCTTGTCTTTGACCAAATTAAAAACATTGAACGATAAATGGTTTGACTCCAAGGTATTGGTCAAGAGGTATTTTGTTTCCAAATAAACTGGATCATTTACCAGGCTCTTGACACTGGTTCGCTCATCAACAAGCGGATTACCTGAAAGTGTCAATTGAACATAAGGATTGAGACTATTAGGTTCAGTCTTACTTCCCACCTTGAGTTTTGACATTCTTTTAATCGTGACTGCGACAACGCCGTTTGAATCATTGGATTGCTGAGCAATAATTTCCTCAACATCAATATCAAGAGAGTTTGGCGCATATAACATGGGTCTCAAATTAGCATGAATTAAACCATTCACAAATGAAGACAAACCAGGAATAAAAGACATAACATCGATTCCCAAGCTGTCGCCTCCAACAGGCTTCAATGCATAGTCAATGGTTGGTGCTTCTAAGAATTGAATTGAAACCATTTTTACGTGCGGGAAATTGTCATTAAGCTTTAGTTTAATATTCATTCTCCCAGTGAATGACATGTCTTCAACGAGAATAGGTAGGGACTTTGAAATGAATGCCTTTCCAATCGTAACACCTAACGCAACCTTGGGGTTAATTTTCTTCTTGATCTCATTTTTCGTCATATCGTCAGTGTCATTTGGAGCGAAAGAAAACGCCCAAACCATTTCAATATGGTCACGACCTTTCTTTGGATAAGACTTTATTGAATTGACTCTAGGCGCCTTCGAACCGAGGGTGAATTCATCTAAAGACAAGGCTTCAATTCCCATACCTGGTGCTTGGTCTTTCAAGACTTCATTGGCTTGAAACATAACTTGCTCAGACAAAGCAGGCATATAAATGACCCAGAATTTATCCATAAAGGAATTCAACCATTCCATTGTCTCAAGCTCCTGATCTAATCGATTGGAAGCTTCTACTCTAGTCATATCATCTCTAATATTCCTATTAAATCTTCTGAATTCCAAACGATAGACTGAGTTAGTAAACAACAAAACCATCACAAATGATAAAATCCCCCCTCCAATTCTAGCTACAAGCCATGAGAAGAAGCAAGTACCTATCATAAGAGAGCAATTCCAATACCAATCCCCATAAAAGTGATCAGTGACATAAGACTCCACCATCTGGACAACTTGCAACGATCTCTTCTTGCTAACAGACTCATCACTATCCCATGAACCAACGTTTTTCCATGAAAAGGTAGCATTATCCCTCAATCTCGTGCGTTCTTGATGGGCTGGTCCATCTACTGGTGCAGTTGTATTTTTGAGATTGTCATTCACGGCCCTGTTGTAGTCCTTAACATCACCGATGTTAGCAGTCGACCCATTAGGTATATGTTGACCCTGATTTTGATTTTGTCGAACATTAGGTTTTGAATTGCCATTTGCTTCGATTGGCTCGACTTCCTTGCTTTGGTTGTCTTTCACTGGCTCACCAGCTTTCACCCTTGGAGATACCCCCAATTGTTCCTGAGCTTGACTAACCTTTTCCATAGAAGCTATATTATGTACTCAATCAATTAGAAGCAGTCCAGTATATCTCCATATACTCAATTGACCGTGATTCTATTTAAGATTTTACCTAGTACTTTATTCAGGCTGTTATCGAGAGCAAACAAGAAATTGATGCTCGAGACTACAGTAATAATAAGCCGCATGGGCTCATCTGAAATTTCCCTATTGACTGGCGACCAGGGTAACTTTTTTTTTTAGGCTTAGAATTGGCCTGAATGAAACTGATGTAAGCTGCTGCAAGAGCTACCTTTCTTGAATTGAATTTATATACATAGCGAAGGAATAATTTATACATGTAGAAAATCATATCAAAGGTGCACAGCTGCTAGATACCACAGCAAAGAAGTACGGATTTCAATGCGCACGTCGCACCCAATTGGTCTAAGGGTATTGGCTGTCGATCAATACTATCCTACGCTGTTGTGGTAGGAATGTAGCTGAAAACACGATTCAAGATATCACCAACTACTAAGTGCTACATGGAGACAAGGAGCAGGCAGTTGCACCGATATATGTATTTGATTATAAAATGAAAATGTTTTCTATATTGAAGAGTCTGAATGCAGAACACTTAAACATTTTCCAAGACGACATCCTTGAAGCCCGAGGAAACCTTCTTGCCCTTTTCTTCAGAAGAACCTTCACCATGCAAGGCCATCAAGGCACCCAAGTCGAATTTTGGTTGTTTTAATAACTTAACTTTTCTGATATGGACGTTTTGCAATGGGAAAATAGTTTGGGTAGACTTTTCAATCTCACGTCCGATAACCTCAGGAATCAATTTGGAAGTTAATTGAGCCAAAGTCACATTAGAGACTTCTCTTTGCATAATCTCGATCATTTTTTTTCTTATCTCTCTTAACTTGGACGACTGAGCGTAAGTAGTCTTTCTGATTTGATTTGGTTGTCTCTTGGTGAAAGCAATGGCAAAAATTCTCAACACGTAGTCATCAGATGTCTTGACAGTTACATTTGCCTCTACCAATGATTGCCATTTTCTGACTAATGACCTTAACTTATCAGATGTGAAGTCTAAGCCGTGGAAGTTAGTCAACAAGTTTTTACCTTGAACTTCATCGACTCTTAACTTCACTTTTCTATAAGAGTGATCTTCAGATCCTTGCAAGTCAGCTAAGCTTACTTCGACGACACGGCCCTTCAACCCATCAGCTGCATTCTTCAAACCAGTAGATTTGTTAATCAAAGTTTTACCAACAGCTCTATGTTCGAAAGTAGACGGTGCCTTGATGTCAAACCATTCCTTTCTGGTGAAAGGGTCGACAACCTTCTTCTTCAATCCCTTCTTTCCTTTGGACAATCTTTTATTTTTACCTACAGCCATCTTGGTTTCGTCTATGGGTCACTATAATCGAAAGTTTTTTTTTCTCTGCTGTATTTTTTCGTATACAGTGTGTGACTTTCTCAATCTAAGATTTTCCACTTTGTACGCTTAGAGAACTGGGGCCTGAATATTATCTTTCAGATAGTCGAAGACGAGATGTGCTAAAAAGATCTCTGAAAGAAAAAAAAGAAAAAAGAGCTTTGTGTAACATATGAAGTCACATGACTGACGAGACAAAAGAGAGCTCCACGTGCATATTTGCTTCAGAGAGGGCTCCCCCTTTGGTTACTAAATCAAGCATGTAAACAAACACGTCTTTTATACAACTATTGAGAAAAGACTTGTCAGATTAACGTATCGTTTCCTTAATACATTTAAGGAGATGGAAGATGCTGAGCAGGACCAAAGCAACCAGTAAGTATATTCAGATCATCTGAATGCATCCAATTGCTTATAACTATTTTAATCTCAAGAAGTTTACTAACTTTTTAGGGTTGCACTTAAAATAGGGTTGATTGGTGACTCCCAGATAGGTAAAACATCACTCATGGTCAAATATGTGGAAGGATCATTTGACGAAGACTATATTCAGACTCTAGGAGTCAATTTCATGGACAAGAAAATACAAATACGCAGCACTACAATTACATTCTCTATATGGGATCTCGGGGGCCAGAAGGAATTCATTAACATGTTACCATTAGTATCAAATGATGCTGTGGCAATTCTCTTCATGTTTGATCTAACGAGGAAGTCTACATTAAATTCTATCAAGGAGTGGTATCGCCAAGTAAGAGGCTTCAACAAGTCTGCAATACCTTTTCTCGTGGGAACAAAGTACGACCAGTTTATAGATTTGCCATATCAGGATCAATTGGAGATTACTAAACAAGCAAAGAAATTTGGAGCCGCTATGAAAGCCCCAGTTATATTTTGTTCTACTAGTCATTCCATAAATGTGCAAAAGATATTCAAAGTGATACTTGCTAAGGCATTTGATTTAAAACTAAGCTTACCCGAGATCGTGAACATAGGCGAGCCAATACTTTTGTATAAGTAGTCTAGTCATAGAGGTACCAATGGCCTTATAAATAGAGAAACGAAGTTCATGAAGTAGGTTTATCTAAATATTTAATAGTTATATACAGGATTATATTTTTGATTCTTCTTATAGTGCTTGATATTGATTTAGTTTTTATGAAGATAAATAACTGAAGAGCTAGAAGAAATGGCCCGAAGCCAAAGGCAGCTCAAGGGATGGCAATATATCATTGAACTGGAGAAGTCTTCTGTCAATGCTGATGCTGAGACGCTGGCAAGGAGGAGCCTGCGTGGTAGGCGAACCATTGAGACTATTACTCTCAAAAGAGAAGTCGATGATCTTGAGATTAAAGCTGGAGATACGGTTTTGATACAACAAAAAGAAATGGGACTGGCAGAGGTCGCTTTAATAAAAGACATCAGGTTTGGAAATGATAACTTTTTGGACGTTGTGGTGCTATGGTTCATACGAATGCGGGACATTGAATATGAAGACTTACCAAGCGTCGAGGAATATTCAGATAAGAGTAAACTAAAGGAAAATGAAATATTCCTTACTTCGTATTTAGAAGAAATTCAATTGGATGAGATCCTAGAAAAGACAATTGTTCTATCAGCGGATGAATTTGATGGAGATATGATTATTGACGGGTCAAATTCCTCCACGACATTTATGTGCAAAAGAGGATGTGATTCTGTTGGAGAGCAATTCACAGAAGATTTTGACTATCGAAAACTACTTGAATTATTTGAGAAAGACAGCAATGAGCTCATGGAATTTATCAGAAGTCGCACAGTCCCAAAAGCTTATAATATAAGGAAAAGTCCGCAACCAAAAAAGAGTAGAACCATTGAAGAACAAATATCGGATAATGGAAAGAAAATAAATCCTAGGAAGCGTATGCCTGCTAGCTCTGGTAGGTCTGATGACGAGGGACCCGAACCCGATCTTTCTGACAACTTGGAGGAAGAAGAACAGGATGACGACTCTGAGGTAGAATCTGAGAATGAAAAGGCTCCCAAGAAAAAAAGAGGGAGAAATAAGTCAAGTGCCTCAAAACCAGGTGATGCTTCAAGGGATTATATTAACTCGGTTTTGTCTCCTCTTAAGAAGAGGCTAAAAGTCAAACAAGATTTGACAAAGCCTTCGTTGCTGTCATTGTCGCCTAGAAAAGTACGGGCAAGTTCTAGCATAAATGGAGATCTGGTTATTGATACCACATCAGAGGTCTTCAAGGAAGTCAAAGCTAAATTGCATACATCATCTAAATTAACATCGCTACCCTGCAGAGAAGATGAATTCACTTCTATCTATTTAAACTTAGAAACTGCAATTCAAGAAAATTCTGGATGTTGTGTTTATATAAGTGGAACTCCAGGGGTAGGAAAGACTGCTACTGTTCGTGAAGTCATTTCTCAATTGCAAGATATGGTTCAGCATGAAGAACTACAAGAGTTTGATTATTTAGAAGTGAACGGTTTAAAATTACTTTCGCCAAACGTAGCATACGAAATTTTATGGGAAAAGATAAGTGGCCTCAAGGTTAGTCCTTCCAATGCAGCTCTTTTACTTGAAAACTATTTCAGTCAAAATACTCCTAAAAAGCCGTTAGTCGTACTAATGGATGAACTTGATCAAATTGTGACGAAGAAGCAGAATGTAATGTACAACTTTTTTAACTGGCCAACATATGCTCACTCTGGTTTGATCGTTATTGCACTTGCGAACACTATGGACTTACCAGAAAGGGTTCTTTCTAACAAGATATCATCAAGGCTAGGCCTACGCAGAATTCAATTTAGTGGATATTCGTACGAGCAATTGGGTATAATCATAGCTCATCGTTTGGATCTGTTGGCTAATCTAAATAAAAAGAAAGTTGTCGTAAGTTCTGATGCTATTGGGTTTGCGTCCAGAAAAGTAGCTAGTATCAGTGGAGACGCTCGAAGAGCATTGACTATATGTAGAAGAGCTGTTGAGATTGCAGAAAAAGAGTTCTTTTCATCAAAAGAGGTTGTTAATGGCGAGGAATCTGACGTATGTCACATTCAAATTTCCCATATTTCAAAAGCAATTAATGAAACTATTAACTCACCTACTTCCCAGTTTATTTCTAACTTACCGTTTGCATCTAAACTTTTCTTGTCTGCTATTTTGCTAAATATGAAACGAACAGGACTCGCAGAAAACTCATTGGGAGATATAATTGATGAGATGAGAAAGTCTTTGATGATGGTTACATCATCCGAAAGTAATAGGACACTTGACGGACTCAATATGAATACATCTTTAATGGGTCTTCTTTATGGCCATGGACTTATTGAGGAATATGCCAAATTAAATATTAGAGTCGCCAGCTTTTCCTATGTTGTGAATGAGTTGGTTGAAGCAGGAATTTTAGTTCAACAGAATACTCAAAGCGAACGCTACAGACTCTTGCATCTAAATGTTTCCGAGAAGGAAATCCTCTCAGTATTGAAGAGAGACAAGGAGATAAGTACTTTGTTATAAAGCCTTTTAATCTCTCATTTTATACTAAAAAATGGTTTGTAGTTAAATTCTTCAATATATCTTGAAGCTCATCGCGACATCGATTTGAAAAATTTGTATTTACTATTTACTGTAAGTCTGATAAGTTATTAATAAAAGCCAGTATAACTTAAAATGACTTCTATAGACCCTACAGAATATATAGAGGCTGTAGAAGGAGCACAGAATCTAAGATTCATAAATGAAAAACAGCAGGCAAAATTTGAATTGGGAGTATGCATGGCCGTTTATCGCTGGGACGAACTCAATACTGCGGTCGATAATTCATGGGGAGGTCCAAAGTCGGCTGATAAAAGAGATTGGATTTCAGGTATTGTAATAGATTTGCTTGATGAGAAGATCATAGACATTCAGTTGATTGAGGAAACTTTGCTATATGCTATGCTTGATGAATTTGATACTGAGGTTGATAACGAATCTGCTTTAGAAATAGCTGCATTGATAATGAAGATATATAAAGAAGTTTTATTGGGACAATATGCTACAGTAGATGACTTGTACAATAAATGGCTATCTAAGGGGACCCATCAGACGAGCAATGGAAAAGTTACTGTACAAGAAGATCCTGCAAATCCTGATATCCTGTCCAGCGAAGATGATGACGATGAGGATGGGAATGAGTTGAATACGGACAATAATGTCAATAATGCCGATAATATGGAAGTAGATAGCGCACAGGGTCCCTTAGTGGATGATGAAGGCTTCGAATTGGTTACTAAGAGAGGACGCAAGAGACATAACTAATAAAATTGTGAAATTACAGCTCTATATCTAATAAATATACATCACAGACTAAAAGAATTCCTAGGAGTGTTATTTCTAGATTTATTAAGTGTATGGAGCGAGGAGGTTGAACCTCTATGCATCTTTGAAAAAAATGGGCCTTGTTCTTCGATGGGAGTAGACATAGCAGATCCGTTTGATATAATACTTGCTCTGCTGCCGTTCATTCTGAAGTCGCCCAAGCGTCTTACTATAGTATTTGCCATATCGTTTACCCCTCCCGTCGCACCTGGAACGGGCAGGTTACCTAATTTAAAGGAACCAAAAATACCTTCATTTTGCATGTTTTCTATTTTAAACAACCTAATCGAAGTCTGTCTCCAATGATTAATACTTGTAAGAGAATTATTAACCCAATCCATTTCCACTTTGTTCCCACTAGGTGATTGACCACTGAAACCCGTCCAACTTCCTGTCAACTTGCTAATGGATACAAATGAAGTAGCAATGTTTTTTAATACTCTATTGTTGCTTCCAATATACCATTTAATACTATCAATCGAATTGTAAATATTACCGTACAATAGAGAAATGTACCATCCTAGTGACAATTTACTCCAACAGAATTCTAAAGGCTCAAGTGGAACGTTTGGCATAAACTGGGAGCTCCCTATTTGTTGTTTATTATTTAAAATGAACCCTTCTAGGTCCTGAGCCTCAATGCACTTCACAATGACAAACGGTTCAACTTGTCCGCCCCTTCTCGACCATTTTTCTTCTAAAATGAGTTTCAAATGAGGAATTAAAATGGTCAAGAGTATTCTCAATGAGTCATTCCCACCCCATGAACGCTTTAGGGGAGCTTCTTTCGGGAGCTTCTCTTTTGCCTTCTCTGTCATTCCGATAGGAGGCTTCATTCCAAGAGCCGTATCGATAGGATCAACTTCGATATCATTCTCCTTGACTTCATCATCTGAAGAGGGTATGTTAGGAAAGCTAACTACCGAATTACGAGAAGAATTTGGAACGCTTAAACTTTGAATGAAAGATAATTCGGAGAGCTCTAAATTATCAGAAGAATTTAGATCAACAGAATTGTGGTCAGATTTATACGATTCTACCCTTGTTAAAGAAGGGGAAGCTGAAAATGAATGCTTTGAATCTCCCTCATGACGCTTTTCAAGTACATTTTCATCCTCGTCCCATTCTTTTTCTTCATCAATAGTACTATTCCTTGACTTTAGGTTGTTGCCAATAAAATATTCAGAATCGAAACTATATATGGTATTCCACACAAGGTCGTAAGTCTTTTCGTTTTCTAGTATGGAGTACAAGAGAACTCTTGAACTTTTAGGATATTTCATGGCAGCTATGCAGATAGACCTGATTATTAATGCTAGAAAATCAGAATGAGTGGGCCTTTCAAGGAGAAAGGAGCGTGTTCCAAATGTCCTTATCAATGTTGCCAATGCAGTGCATGCAGGGTATGATAATCCACCTCTTGGATTTCTATCCATCAGTTTTTTCGATAGCTCGTCCTCGCGTTGAATAACCTTCGAAGAAACAGGGGTCACAATATTATATAAGATCTCCACTAATGATCTCATCAATAAGTTTGATGTTACTTTATCTGAAGGAGGAGCCTGGGAGATGGGTGCCATATCAACCAATAGCTGACAAACTTTGGTTACCAAAAAATCTCTTGTTGTGATAGGAAAAATGTCAGTCTTCATCTTCATGGGTAAAGACTGGAATAAATCACGATTGACTGGGTTAAATAAAACGTCTAAGCATTCTGCTTTTGAGGATATGTATAACATAAAGTAGCAACAGATTTGGACCAAGTTTCGTTGTGGTTTAACATCATGATATGTAAAAATATAAAATAATAGGATGATAGTTAATTCATCAAGATACTCTTCCTCGATTAATTTCCGAAACTTTTTGTTACATTGGAACACTTCCCAAATTAGCATAGTAGCTTCAAGACTCCATAAAGAAGGTATTGTGCTTCCTTTATTCGAGAAAAAATTTGAGCTGTCAGATATCCGCAACGGACTCTTGAGAATCTTTATTAAGTTTGTGGCAAGAAACAGAAGCTCAGTCCCTTTATGCAATTTTCCGACATAGTACCTAGCCATGTTACAAGGTTTTGTAGAAACGTTCATTTTAATATGTGTTAGGAACTTAGTAGTCGACGATGGCAAAGGATAACTAACCATTAGTGACAAAAGCTGTACAGCATAAGTAACACATGTATGCCTCATTTCAGTGAGTTCTATGTTATTATCATAAACTAACCCACTCTCGGAGGAAGACGGCTTCGCAGATCTGCAAATCATATTAATCAAAGAACATACTAATGATAAAAGCTCTACCTTTGATGTAGATGTGACTAAGATAGTCAAGAATTTCGATCCCTCACCAACTAATTCAGACAGTAGCTGATAGAAGGATCTAGAGCTCAATGTGATTATCAACTTCAATACCTCAGTTCGGTTGCTATCTAGAATTGGGTTTGGCTGTTCATATCCTCCAGTCATACCTACTCCAGGTTCCCATATACTTGCCGTAGATGTAGACTTTGATTTCAGAGACATAATCGAAGTGAAACCCTTACGAAAGAGCAATTTCACAAGTGCTTCCGCGAGTTTGACTCCTAAAACATCCAGTAGATCGGTAGATGTAATATTCTTCTTTTCTTCAGGCGATCCGTGAGAGTATTTTAAGTAATCAAATTCTTCGTTCCATAATATTTCATCTTCTAGTTCCTCAGATATTGTTTGCTGTTCATATAGGCACGGCACAAGTCTCGTTAAAAATCGTATACAATTTAAACATTCCTTTATAGCAGTAGCATTCCATTCTGGGGTATCCGAAAGCTCAACTAACTTAGTAATGAGCGCTCTAAGAAACAATACGAAATTCACCCTATTCTGATCTCGAATACTTCTAATATCGAAAACTGTAATCAATTCAAAAATATCATTCGAATTATCTGGCTCCTGCCAAAAAACTTCCCAAAAACTTCTTTGATGTTCATTTATTATTCTTCCTTGCCCGAGTTTGAAAAGGTGATTCTTGAACTGAAGTTTTTCATCTGTAGTCTTCATATTACTCTCAATAAAGCGAGACCCCAAGGTACTTTAAGTATTACCTACTAATTATCACTCGTTATTGATCATCATCAGTTCGGTTTCCACACGTTCGCAACTTTTTTCTCAGATAACAATTGCAAAAACGATTCGATACTGGCCTTGTACTGAACTTAAGACACTTTTTTCAAAACTTCTTATAGAATGCCTCTTTATTTACAATTTAAGCTCGTTTATATAGCGTTATACGTGACTTAAGGATTTCAGCTGTATACAAATGATTAGATATGCATTAGGTTCTAAACTTATTCTTTTGATCTATACTATTCTTCTGCTCTTCGTCATCTCATCTCCGTCGTCATCCCTTTTTCTGATCGTGCCAGCTATCGAAGAATACCCTACGTCTATATCCATGCCAGACGTCCCATCATCTGAGAGAATTCCAACTGCGTCTAAATCATCAGCGTTTCCATCATTTTCAATGACCAACTCTGAATCTTCCATTGGTAGACTAGGCATTTGAATCGCACGTCGGTCGAAATCATGCGGAAATAGTAGCTCACCTGTGGCATCCTCCTCTTCAGAATCGTCGTCATAATGATAGTTTGAACAATTTGACAATGACTCGTAGACCTGCTGTATAGATGAAGATCCGCTAGGGAATAATGGTTGCGGCTCCTGTAATTTGTCTTCATGCTTTGTCATGATCAAATCAATACTCAGTATAAAGTCCGTGGTCATTTTTGGGACAATATTGAAATATTTATTGGCTGTAGTTTGTAATAGTAATGAATTTGGTTGATCAGTCGGGATAGCATGTAATATTATTGACTGATAAGGCATTTTTAGTCCGAAATCCTCAGAGTCAAACCATATTAAAAAATATGAGTTAAGTACAAACAAAGAGATTTGCGACATGTCAGCTTTCGCTATAGCAGGATCTAATTGAAGGTCATACAATGAATCATTCTGCAGCACTTTTAGCGTGTAGCCTTTTCCCCCAGCATGAAGAACCAAATTTTCGTCTTCTAAGCCAAATCTTTCTGGAGATGATGATTGATAAAGTGACAATGGAACTGTATTTTCAACGTTAGGTTGCTCGAATAATAATTCTGGTGTTCTACTCATAACCTTTGTATTCACTTCCTTTTGACTAGAAGCGAGTTATGATTATCAGATCTTCCCAGTTTAAATTCGGTTGGCCTATGTATTCACCAAAACTCTTATCCACTTGAAATTCCGTAAGGAAAGCTACTACTATAATTTTAGAGAGAATATCTACGATGAATAATACCATAATCATTTTGTACACGTGACACATTCATTTATAATTACGTTTCTGGACTAATCCAACTAATTGTATAGATTGCTTTATACATGAAGCACAACAGAGTACCAAGTAAAAACTGACGGTACTGATTTATTATTTTGTTTGCATTTGCATATCTTAATTCGTCTTTTTGTTGTATTAATCAAATCTTTGAAATTGGTAAGTGAATCATTTTAATTCTGAGACAACTTTCTTATGAGCCTTTGAAAAACCGGGCTGCTGTTATTCTCTGATTCAATGTCCCTTTTAAATTTGTTTCTTTTTTCGGTATTTCTTCTCTTCAATTCCTCAGAAGATGGTGGCAAGGCCTCATTTACCAAATCAGCCTTTCTGGCTTGCTCAAATGTAGTGATCGTACTTTTCAAGCCATCGCTTCCGTGTAGCAAAGAACCCTTGGGCAAGGTCCCACTGTTAAGTTCTTTCAAATGAGCTACATTTTCAGACTCTTCCCTTAAAACTTGGTACATTCTCGAGACTCGTCCAATTGCAATAATCTTATTCCTTAATGCTTGTCGTTTAGCCTCTATCGAATCGCTGTCTTTTGCTCTATCTTCTGAAGGAGGGTCGGATGATGGAGAGGAAACTTCATTTCCTCTCTTGCTCATAGTGCTTGCAACAGTTGGTTCTTCTTCTAACTCTTCCTCTGTACATATATTCAAAATCGAAACCAACATGTCAGTGACTTTTTCGCCGACGAAAGGCAAAGACCATGTGAAAACGTCCATAAAGTGCGGAAGCCAGTAGGGATGAGGTGAGCTGTTGAATTGTCTAATATTCATTACATTATTTTCGTATTTGAGGACCGCCGCCTTGTTGTTGTAAGTGTCCAAGTAGTTTGGTGCACTAAACATAGTCAATAGGGAAGGGAATCCCATAGTTTTAGTACGCTTATACATTCTGTAACCGGCGTCTTGGGCTTCATGGGCTCTGATAATAGATAAAAGTCCAGTTTTTTCTAAGAACTGGCAAGCAGCCTTATAGGTAAAGGCATATGAACAGCCTCGAACCGTATTCTTCACAAAAGTCTGATCCATATTGTTATCATCGTATTCTTCTACTGGGTCAGCCCATAATAGATCACACATTAAGCCCTTAGTCGGGGGTTCTTTAAATCTATCAAGTTTAATGAGGTCACTTAAGGATCTTAAGTCAGGCGACAATCCACCATGTACACAAAAAAATTGCTTATTCATGATTGCTGCTAATGGTAAAGCATTGAAAGAAGTTACACATTCTTCATAGATATCAGGTGAGTATTTATGAAGGCATTCTGATTTAAACGTAAAATACTCAGTCAAGTGTCTGCACTCATGATTACCTCTTAACATCCAAAATGTATCGGGATAGTTCAATTTCAAGGCATACAAGTAGAGTAGGCACTCTATAGAAAATGATCCCCTGTCAACATAATCTCCCAAAAACAAATAAGCAGTATTTGAAGGATCGCCACCTACCTCGAATAATTTCATCAAATCAAAATACTGACCATGAACATCTCCACACACAGTAACTGGTGCCGGAACCTCCAATAGATTTGGCTCTTCCTTCAACATATCTGTTGCATCCCTCAAAATCCTTATCGCTTGGTTTTCATGTAATCTTCCTTCTCGTGTAAAATGTTCTTTTAAAAACTCACAGTTTGGTAATCCATTCGGAAGAAAGAGCTCTTCATCGGTTGGCTTTGTTGCTGCGGGCGGGCGCACTGATTTTACTGCTCTCTCTGTGGTCGAAAGCTGTTGTCCATCCTCTGTTACGTAAACACTGTAATCTTGCCTTGAAGTCGGAGGTCTTTCCTGTAATGCCTTAAGGGCATTATCTATCTGTGAGGAGCTATTCATGTTTTTCTGACGTGACATAATATGATAAAGTTTAAAATACTAGAGCCCCATATGGATTAACACCTTTTAATAATCGAAAGAACTGTAATCTTTACTTCGCTGCGCTGTTCAAAGTAATTTTTTTTTTTTGATAATATTTGCTACACGCTATCACAAATTTTGGCTGTGGCACAAATTCTCAACTGCTACCATATAAAAGGTAAAGATACTTCTAAAAAGATTTGATTGTGTTTCTAGAAAGGACTTAAAGAACAATATATCAAATTGATTAAATACTTATAACTCCTTAAGAATTCATAATGGTAGCCCGTCGAAAATTTATCTCTTCATTAGGACTTCTAGGCACGTAAGGCTCGAGAAAAAGGAGTGTATATAAAAGGCCTAAAAATAATTATGGTCGAGACTTGGAGAGGACAGCCAAGTCTCGCTAACAAGAATGTATGTTAAATAAAAAAGCCAGTAACGGCTTCGGAGCATACGTAGACAGTATCTGACATTGTATGCAAGCCATTAAAAGAAGTCGTAGCTGCGGAAGTGTATGCCCCCAAATTAGGAAAGCAAACCCAATCTCCAACTTGAATGTCTTCTGAAAGTAGCGACCTGTTTGATACGCAGTCCAAACCATCGCAGGTTGGACCCCAGATCGAGAAAAATTTGCCCTTCTCATCATCAACATCAGAATCACTGTAGACTCCATAGCGATAAATGCCCTTATGAGTCAAGACATGAGGTTCTGGCTGTTGATGGTCAAAGAGAATACAGTTTAAATTACCGTAGACCCCGTCATTGATGTAAATCATAGCTTCTATTTCACTGGACTGTTTCAATGAATGCGAAATATCTCTACGAGCAATCACATGGGTGGCTAAAGTAAAGGCTCGAGATACGAAAAACCGGCCAGGTTCTGCAATGAATTCAATTTGATGTGCCTTAGAATACAGTTCAGGGAAGAATTTATCTAGAGAAATTTTCACAACAAAAGAAGACTGCTCGAATGTCTCAGCTTCAAACCCTCCACCGATATCTAGTATTTGCATTGAAAAGCCCAAATCCTGGATCCCTTTGTCAAAGATAGCTCTAGATTCCTGAATTGCTTTGTAAATGGAATTGAAATCTTTTGCTCCCGATCCAATATGGAAAGCAACGCCTTTAACATTGAGATCTAACTCAGATGCCAATGGCAAAATTTCGTTCAATGCTGAATCCAAGGAGCAACCAAATTTAGTTGACAATCTACATTGAGCAGTTTCATCATCTGTAGCAATTCTAATAAGGATTCCACAAGTAGGGTGAAATTTCTTCAACTTGTACAACTCTTGACAATTGTCAACTGTAGTTAAATTGACACCAACCTTATCTGCATGGCGAATATAAGAATTGTTTTTGCAAGGATTTGCATACACAATCCTTTCTGGCAGGAAACCCAAATTCAAGATCATATCGATTTCATTTCTGGATGCACAGTCAAAGTTTACTCCCAAGGAGCCCAAAAGTTCAATTACTTTTCTATCATTATTACACTTAACAGCATAATAAGGACGTACCATTGACAATGCGCTCATCCATGTTTGAAACGAACGATAGATTTCACCTAGATCACACACAAAAAAGGAATCTTCGTCGCCAGCATCGCAGACTTCATGATCCACTTCAGAGATGCGATGCATCAACGCATTGCCGACCAATTGCTTTGCATCTTCAGATCTATTATTTTCTGAATCAATTTCTGTCAATTGATCACTAGCAAAAGGTTTCAAGCTTTGAGAACGAGACTGTTCGTAATTGTACAATTTAGCAGATGGGGCCATGGGTAAAAAGTTTTCTGATTTCTCTTTGAACTTCAAACTATTGGTCTGTTGTCTTGAAAACTCAAGTCAAAGTTTATATTTCTTGGGAAGGGCTGATTATCTCTTCGGAGAGCAACTTACTCACTGTATATGTGAGCAAAACAATTGGTAGACTTCAAGCGGCAGCTCTCGTGGGTAGAAATTTTTTGCGGAAGGACTTTACTAGTAAACTAAGCGTCTTCAAGCAATGGACGTTATTAATTAATGACTATTTAGAATTAATCTTTAAACCAAAATTCATATATAAGAAAATTGAAAGATTAGAAAAAAAAAATTTTGACTTCGCGATGACACAATAATCCCAAAATTGCTTCACGACGTTGAATCTCTTGAATTTATATCTCTAAAGGTACGATTATTTACAATTCAATAAGAGGTTCTGGTTCTGAAGCATGGCTCTCAGATACTTCGTCATTTTTACCTGTCGGTGGAGGTAGCGTTGGTAAATCTGGTAGATTATTCTGTAGTTGATAATTTAGATTTGGGACTTGCGTGTGAGGTGCTTCAATTTCTTCAATTGGAGGGAACTTTGAAGAGGCTGATTCTTTCGATAAATTATCATTCGAGTTATACTCGGCACCCGGGTAAACTGGTTCACTTGGTTCTTGGCTCTGAGGGCTGCTATAGCTTGCAACCTGTGGTTGTTCCTCGTAGTTTTGACTCTGCTGATATTGTAGATAGGGCGGACTACCGTAAAACAGAGCCTGCTGCTGTGGAATTTCTGACTCGCCTCTGGAACTTTGATTAATGGGGTGAGCTGGTCCAATGTCTTGTTCTGGTTGTGATTCATACAGATACCCGTATTCCTTGTGGGAAGTTGGATAATCAGGAGCGCTTGGTTCTTGGAGAAATGACGGGTCCTGAGTATTAATCCCTTGAGGGTTTTGCTGATATGAATACCCAGACCTTTGCTCTAACATTGGATTAGAATATCCAGTCTGTTGATTTGATAATGACCCAGATGGATTATACTGAAGATATCCAGATGCTCTATTTTGCAGACTATTGTAATCATTATACTGGTTCAGTAGATTTGTATATTCAACACCATATGTGGACGGGCCGGATATTTCTGCATTAGATGAATTTATTGCATGATTTCCATATGCCATGCTCAACTTTGACTCCAAGAATTGATCATATAATCTTGTAATCGTCGAAATTTTATTGTTTAGGCCCAAAAATGCTTCATATCTTTCAATGGAAGACCTAAGAGACTTATTCAACTTCGGCTTTAATCTTATAACTTGAGAATGCAATTCATTTAAGTTTGAGTCATAAAGTATGTTTTCTTGCTTTGCCGGATCATTCCTAATTTGCATCATTAGTGTTATATACAAATTAATCTGCTCCTCTTCTTTTGGGGTCAAGTCTTCGAGTTTGACGGTATGACGTTCTCTGTGTTGCTTCGGTGAGAGTGTCGCATTTGGTGTCTGATTCTCTTCATCGAAAGGCAAAATATTACTGTATAAATCTGATGACACTGCATTCTGTGAGGGATACCTTGTATTTGAAGCCATTTCATTTCTTTTTTTCATCGCTTTTTCATGCTCTTCTTGTTCCTTTAAACTTGCAGCAATTGCAGCTTTCATGTCTTCATCCTCCTCGTCCACATCAATTCCGGGGTTAGACACCCCAGCAGGCGCTTGAATAGTTTGAGGTGCCTGAGGTGTTTCCACCATAGAAATTGTACCGTCCTGTAAACTTAGCTCAATAGCTCTTCTTAAATCTTCATCTTCGTTCTCGTTACTTTGGTCAATCAGTCGCGAATTAGTTTTCCGCGATGACTTCACTCTTGACAAATTGCTGCCATTCTTCATTTTGATTCTTTCGTAGCAATTGTCACAAACCCTAACAGGATCCATTATACCCAAAGAAACTAAAGGAGACCTATGCGAAGAATGTGTCTGACAATAAATACCTCCACATGATCTACAATGATGCTTTCTATTCATTAAGGAGAATGGTGTATAGCATATCATGCATTCATTATTGTCTACCCAATCAGGAGGAGCATCACTGTCAATAAATTTCGAATTAAGCTGTTCGGTGAAATCACTATTTGGAAATTCATATCCCTGGTTGACGAGTTGATTATACCGTTTTTCAACATAGTTTAATTGCATTTGATTCTCGAAATATATTTTCCATTCTTTAAGCAAGGATAATATCAACATTCCAACCCTGTATTTAGCATCGCTTTCATTTGAAACTTGATCTTTGGTATTATAATGTACAATAAATATGAAATCTACCAAGTAATCGATAAATTCCTTGGTGCTAATCTCCACCAAAAAATGGTAGCCCCCGTTCTTGACACACAAATCAACTAATTTCAATGTCGAAGACAATAAATTGGGATTCTGGTAAACTAAAGTAAGTCTTTTTTTCAATGCTCTCATACATTGCTTGGGTGGGATCTTTTTACTCCTTATGAGATCAGTAATCTCGAGGCCTATAGATAAGTCAATTTCACCATTTGGAATCGATTCTGAGGTAGCTTCACTGATTTTATTTTCTAGGTCTGCAACGGGAACTTGAGCGCCGCTGAACCAAGACATTTTTGAAAGTTTATTGACTAATATTATACGGTTAATATTTTGCCTTCGTTATCACCACTTTGTTAAAAGAATGTGACATAGGCTAAAATTTATGATGCGCACTACTCTATCCTTACGAAGATGTACATTAATTGACACTATAATGAATGTGTATAAAGTAAACAGTACTAATAAGTAGTGTGGACAAACAGAGTGTTATTTTCATACTATGTCTTCTTACCATTACAATGTGGTGGTTTAGAAACGAAATGAGGAAATTCATGAAAAAGAGTTACATTGTATCATTTTCAGCGCAAGAAGATAGCACCAGAGCCTACTGCAAGCATAGATACACCAATCCACCAATAAAAGTCGTAATTTTCATTTGAGAAATCTTTTCTTGCAGTAGTTCTGTATTGGTTCTCTAGAGACCTCTTGACCTTTTCGCTCAAAGTCGATTTGGTTTCAGACTCCTTATCGGTTGGATTAAGGGCGCTGGTGGGTAACATCAATGGGGGCCTATATGCCAAGTATAAGGGCTGCATTTTAGAGCCATCAAATTGGAATAATTGTAAGGTGTATCTACCATGATAAGAATTCACATAGACAAGAAAGCTCTTGAACCAAGTAGCTTGTTCATACCTAGAATATTGCGAGGATGTTTCGTAATCACCACAAGGTTCACTTAAAAGTTGTCTCCCATCAACGGCTATTGGCGTCAATATTATTGAACCATTGCTTTTAAGTTCGTAAGTACCATGTTGAAATGACAAAGTGGCTACTGCGCATGAATGATTTTTAGCGTCAGAAGTAATCCTGTATAACGCTTCTTCATAATGTCCATCTTCTGTAAAAGAATACGAAATTCCTGGTAAATCCGGCTCTATCAACAATTCATCAACTGGGTCATAAAATCCTGGACCTGTGAAAACTGTGTTGGATTTCGATGACCATGTTCCAACCAAATCCTTGGTAGATTGCCCTAAGATCATACTTCCAAACAATAAGAACGTTATAAATGTGCCTATGGTTGCCATTTTCAGTTATGTGTTCAATATACTTGTTCTCAGTGTCTCTGATAAGTTTAAACCTTTGTTGCTCACCAAAGGATATAAATGGGGCCGCTAAGATAAAAAATGTCTTGCTCAACAAACGAGAAGCAATCAAAGTTTGACTATAACTATATGAACGAATGTAGTCTGTATTTACCGTTCAAAAACGCCTTAACTTCAGTTCTTTGTCCAATAACGAATGCTTTGAGTAGTATATATATAGAAGTATACAAATTTTTTGATTATGGTGATTTCGCGTACTAAAAAAAATATCGCCATCCTGTATCTAAAGGGGCTTCATGAGGCAGTGCCAAAGCCGGAAGGTAAAGACAGTACAAGTATCTTGATATAAAAATATTGAAAAAGGCTACAGAGTTTGGCTTTGGCCTACATTTGCTCTTTTCAGGCATCTCTGTTTAAGTAAATGAAACAACTACTTGAAATAAAACTCAAAGGGTGCTTACACACTTAATCATGTATCAGTATTAATGAAAGAACCACGGTAGCCTGTCTTAGTTCATTAAATCGTCTTTATGTAGCCATGAACTATCTATAAATACCGTAATATTGACTCATTGAACGAATCCTCCATCGGTGATAAGACTTCTTGTCACCGCAGAAGACTACAGTACTTTTAAACATTTACAAGGCTTTGACGAACGTTTTGCCAGCGAAGAAACCTCAGAAAATATCCAAAGCGACCAGAAATGAATAATTGTTACAGACTAGGGTATTCTAGGTTCGGCGATCTAAGCCCAGTATAATGGTAGCCTTTCCAAGTTTCAAACATCAGCCTTCTGAGCTTGAAGAGAAGGGGAAGAAACCAAATGTAGTGAAGCTTTGAATTAGCTGTGCACAAACGCAATCTCGTTATCGCGCTTTTTGTTACGGATTAATGTTTTGATTTTGATAGTTTTCCAAAACTTAGGCTCAATTGGTAATTTACAATGTTAGGAGAGGTATTTTCGAACCTCTTTGGAGCATCGGGGGCGTTGAGTAATGAACCAACTATAGACTATAATCAAACGATCCAATCGTTTCCATCAAATGACTACGAATCCACAATTGATACAAGATTTGACAATGACGCCAGTCGACGGTTGCAAAGAACTGGAATAATGAGGGACTCCGTTGACCCTAAACCTTATGACAGCTTTACAAATGCAACCTCAGGAGGGAATTTTACTAATCTCTTTTCTGGCGTAATAGACGATGAATCAGATGAAGAAATAAATAACGACATTAGTTCAATACTTGACAATTTGACAAAGACCACAAGAAAATTTTCGGAGAGAGATGAATATTCACTTCCCCAGGACTACCCAGGAAAGTTTAGACCAGTAACACCAAAAGAGCGAAATTCGAGTGCAGACATTAACCGCCAAATACGCGAGATAGAGACAGAATTAGAAAATGAACAGAAGAGGACAGTAGTCAATTCACGTCGCATGGAAACATATAGCCAGCAGCGGCACTTAAGAGATCTCGTAGAAAAGGTAGAAAAGCAAAACGCTTTCTTATACCATCTTAACGAGCTAGTCGACATAAGTGCTACTGAAGAAGTTCCTTCAAATATCTCTCAAAAATACAGTGAACTAAAGGAAGAATATATTAAGGAGTTAAGTAACATCAAGACTTTCTATGAAGCATATTATAAGCTTGTTTTGAAATATAGGGACTTGAAAAAGAAAAAAAAACCTGCACCTTCTCTTGTATCCGTAAAAGAGAAAATCAGATTGATAAAATCAACATCAAATCAGGCCTCTATTCGGTCGACATGTGAAAATATTCTCCGTGAGCTTTCTGATAATGAGAACACTGCTGGCTATTACAAAGACGAGTTGAAGAAGGCAAATGAAAGGATCAAGGAGCTAGAGGCCTTACTTTCAAGCAAATGACAATGTATTATATTTTTTTTTTGGTTGGGTAAAAAAGTTGCATCTTTCTGTAAATAGATTAATATGATGTATTCTAGGATAGTATATTAGTATCTTGCGTCACAGGGTAACAATACATTAAACCTGTCAGCTACCAGTACTTTGAATGTACTGTATCAATATATTTGGATACGAACGGTAACTTGATCATCTCGCATTCGTAGGTTCTTCTTTAACTGAACATCGCATCAAAAAATATTGTCATTGATGACTTTCCCTGTTGATCAGACTAATACGTGAACGACTGTCCGTTCGTGACAGTATTGTACAAGAAAAATTGATGCGGGTAAGTCGATATGTACTCTAACTATTCAGTTATTCTTAAACTCTAATAAATATGGGAGCTGCTCATACTTGGAACCAACGAGTGCGCTTCAATGTTTATTCCATCGCTAACTCCTTCATTAATGCAATCATCGATAATTTGATCCCAGTCACTCTTCAAGACAAAGTAAGATTGCAGAATTGATATTAAAAATAATGCCACTATCATACCGAGCCAGAGCCCAAGTAATTCTAAATGAAAATGAAATGCACAAAGGAAAGCCAAAGGTAATGCCACACAATAGTAGCAAATTAAGTTGAGAATCCCAGCAATCTTCTGTCTTCCCTGTCCTCTTAAGATTCCTCCACTTGCGCAGCTGATTGAATCATTAAATTGGTATAGAGCACCGACAATCAAGACCTTTGACGCTATTTTAATCACAGCTGAGTCCCTTGAGTAAAGCTGGGCCAAATCAGTTCTTAAGAAGAAAAGAACGGCAAAATCGAAAACTCCAACAAATAGAGCAGATATCATCGCAGCTCTTGTTGCTTTCACTGCTGCCTTCTTAGAGGCTGCACCAATGAACCATGCTATCCTAGTTGACGCAGCTATAGAGAAAGCAAAGGGAACTTGATACAATAAAACACAAGATGTGCTTACTATGGACTGAGCAGCCAATACTGCAGTTCCAAATCGAGAAGCACTGAAAGTTATAATTTCAAAGGCTAACCACTCGGCTTCCACCAAAAGCACTCCAGGAATGGATAAGCTTATCATTTTATTCCAGTTTTTAAAGTATTTAACGTTGAAGATTGAGCCCTTTGGCCAGCACTCGTGTCCCCTAACAAAGAATATGTATGACATTAAAGAAATACACATCAAATAGTTCGTTATCACAACAGATAGTGGAGCACCTATAAATCCAAGTCCAATTCTTTTATCCCAAACTAAAATATAATTTAAGAAGGCATTGATAGGAGCACAAACTGCCAAAACATAGGTCGATGCATGGAATACGCCTTGACATTGAAGAAAATGCTTGCTATTTTCAAAAAGGATAAACCCCGGCACCCCAATCACTAAAATTTTCAAATATTTTGAAGCTAAATGACATAAGGGTTCATCACCTACGATCAGGTAAAGAATTGGTTCAGATCCGAATACCCATAGTATAAACACCGGGATATAAATAAGCAACAAGAAGTAATTGCACTTCATATAGTGTATTCCAACTGCCTCAAAATCTTTCTTACCATAGCTCTGAGCACATAGAGTGTCGAGACATGTACTGACTCCTTGAAATATAGCATAGGCCGAAATATTGGCCGTCATTGAGCTTAAACTCACAGCAGCCAACTCGTTTGATCCCAACCTTCCAACAGAGAATATCGAAGCAACAGTAAGAGAGTACTGTAATAGAAACGTTAAAACTAAAGGGAAAGAATATTTCAATAGGATAAAAATCTCTGTATTTACGTCTGTTTCTGGTTCCGCAATCAAGGAATGCTGTGACAATAATGATCTAACATCATGGAATGAAGCATGCGATCTAACCGACGTAAGGCGATCTGTTCTGTTGGCCGGTGCTGCAAAGTTAGGGAGCATTTTATCCCCTCTTTGGGACATTATGGACGCCCTTCTCAGCTGAACGTAAGATACGACTTCGTGTTCATCGACATCACTAATATTGTGGTCCAAAAGACTGGACGTTTCCCCTGGTCCATTTGTCATATGAGCCACTGCTGAAGATATTATATCTTCGGAGAACTCCAAAGAGATGATTTTTTAAATTCTAAGGATGATATATTAAAGTAAATTTTTCAACGTCTTTATCAATCATTTATAGTAAACAAAAGAGCGATGGTGCGCTCTGATTAGGAAACTGTTTCCATCAATTTATTATACCGATATTTTATCCCATAATGATATTTATTTGAAGACCCAAAAACTCTACGAATGTAATGCTGACCCTGAATTGAAAGGTTTCATATTATTTAACATATTATTCTATATCTATTTTGAGAAATCTGTTACTTAGAAGTGTAGAAATGAACCTTCTTCTGGAATGCAAAAACCAAGCATCTATAACAAAAAAGAATAACACCAAAACGAGTTTTCTTTTATTGAAAAAGCCTAAAACTTCCCCTTTGCTAAGTTCTTTAACATATCCTTTCCGGTGAAGTATACTGTTCTTCCAAATGCATTGAAGTCTAAGGTCGATGTCAATGTATCCAAAAACCCGAAAGGAAGCATCGTTGGAATCCATCCTTGAGCCAATTCTAATGCAAAAGCGCCACTTGGCATTGCATATTGCTTAGATTGACCCTTCCGCATGTGGTGAACATCGCCTGGCAAATAGACCTCAGGAGTGAGGGCTCCTGGAGAAGCTGCCATCTGCTTACCAGTTAATATGGTGAAGTAGTCATCAGCAAAGTGAATTCCTGTGTGTCCTTCTGTACCAATGGCAGTACCAAAGAAAATCAAGTATTCCGTGATGGAAGCGTGTAAGATGAACATAGTGCCCATAGCTCCACCAGCATTATTATACACCCAATCATCGAAGTTTAAGTCGTTGATAAGTTCAGGATATGCCTCTTTAATCTTCGGTGCTAACTCTATCATAATTTCAGTGGCATTGCCATCTGGGTGATTTGCAATCACTTCATTCGATATTTTGGTCAAAAGATGTCTATCGAACTGATAGATACTTGGTAACCATTTATAAAAGATATGGTTGAAGATATTGTAGAGCAATATGGATACAGCAACAATTCTAAGTAATTTCATCGATAAACTTAACTATTTATGTTTTTCTTGTCTTCAAATTTTACTATGAAGTAGAATTTTTGGATCTCGACTTTTTTATATCTTAAGTAAACGATCGTATCTTTTCTATACGAGCAAACAATTTTAAGGATATCTGCCAAGTCATCCTTACTAATCATGGTGTCGATACTTAGAAGCTAAAATGTCGATTAATAAACAAATTGTTGATATTGCTAACTCCTCTTTATCTGAGATAGGGAAGGTTGAACACTTGCGAGATCTAATAAACGAAGAAAACTATAAGGAGGTTCCATTCGATACATCTGATGAGATCCATATAGTGGCTACATTGTTTAAGCTTGAGTTACTCCTTTCTAGTAATGAAATAATTCCTGATTCAATAGATGACGTCTTTAGTTCTGTGGTTGCAGCTGTACCCTTCGTTAAAAATAAAGGTATAAATTCCGAGGAGTATTTGAAAGCATTTATTAAGGTTAAATACCATGATATATATGGAGACTATCAGCTCATTACCGGGCTGTACTATGATAGCATAATAGATTGCGTTAATAAGAAGGTTCTATTGGCTAATAGCATACAGAGCAACTTTGATCAATTGTTAAATCAGATCAATCTGAAATCTTTGGAGTTGTTAATTATCTCAGGCTACGACTTCAGAAAGGATATTGTCTTGGACTTCTTAGATAAAAGTGTAGATTGGAATGGTGTTAATGATGTGACAAAGCGTATATATGAGCTAATTACGAACAAAAGACTCGTCTCGATCGAGCTTTTTGACAGCTTTTTGAAGAACATTCAGTTTGCAGTGTTCATTAGGCGGCTTAATTATGATGATTTGGTGAAAAATGTTTTGGAGAATAATATCTTCAATTTATCGAAATACTATAAAGCAATCAACATCTCTAAAGTGAGCTTTCTCTTGAATGCTGATAGGAAAATTGAAGATTTGATAATAGAAATGATCATAAGTAACAAATTGCCCCCCAATTCCAAAATTGACCAAGCTCAGAACTTATTATTATTTGGTGACACCAGAATCAATAATGACTTGAATAGCTTGAACAACCATGTGAAAGAAGTTGGCGAGATAATCGACCAGGTACTTCAACTTGTTAGCGATGCTTAGAGCTTGTAATAGGCTTAGAATCAAATTCCATACTATACTGAACTATAAAATTAAATAGCTCTATTTCATCTCACTTAAATTGTACTAGCTTCATTTCATATCTCTTAATCATACTTCGGTCTGTTTCGTTTCTCTTAATCGAACTTGGAATACTCCTTTGTCCAGTATTGTCTTAAAACCTTCTTGGAACCAATCTTAGTTATTTCATTTTCTTCCTCAGTGGTTAACTTGAAATCAAATATATCTATAAATTGCTTCCTCCTCTCTTCGTTACCTGAAGTAGTGATAGGTAAGATATTTCTCTGTAAGACCCATCTTAACAATATCTGACCCTCCGACTTGCTGTACTTCTTAGACAAGTTCTTCAAAGTATCATCTAATGGGCCAGGAGAACCTTTCACAATTGGACCCAACGGACTATAAGCTTCAACAAGGATTCCGTGCTCTTGAGTAAATTCGACAATACCGGGAGTTTGATTTTGCAAATAAGCATTAAATTCAATTTGATTAATTGCGGGTTTAATTTTAGGATTGGAAGCCAAAATCTCCTTCAAGTCGTCCACCGCAAAATTTGAAACCCCAATTGACTTAGCGTAGCCATCTTCGACTAATTTCTCCAAGTAATTCCATGCTTCAACAAGGGTGAATCCATGAGATTCTTTCTTAATAAATGGAGCGTGAAGTAAATACAAGTCAACGTAATCTACTTGTAATTTCTTTAACGAAGCCTTTAAACTTTCATAAGGATTTGCCTCTTTAGAATGAGTGGTATAAGACCCGTCTCCAGCAAAATACTTGGTTGTCAAAAAAATGTCATCCCTTTTGATTCCTGATTCCTTAACTGCCTTACCAATCTCGACTTCTGTTCCATAGACTTCCGCACCGTCGATATGATCGAATCCAACTTTAATTGCTCTCTCTAATGTAGAAACCAATTTAGTATCAACTTCATCGTTTCCAAATTTATACCACTTGGTTCCAGTTCCAAAGCCAACAGCTGGAATGGTCTTGCCATTGTTTAATTTAAAAACTTTGCCCTGTAACGACATCTTGTAATTATAATAAAGAACTTGTTCTATTTCTATAGTGTTCTTTCTGTATCTTGTATATTCTAGTCGAAATTTTAGGTCTATATATAGTCTTAATATTTAGCCCGAGACTCCCTATGTCGTAATTTAGCACTAATTAGCGTAATCAGTATGTAACCACCCTTTATATGTAGAACTTTGTTCGGCCTTACTCTGACAAATCCGACACCGAAAATAATAAGAGTTTATTGAACTGAATTGCTAATGATGTTGTAATACATTTTATTGATGACTAATATAATACAAGATTTTATAATTGTCAGAGACGGAGAAGAAGAATGCTATCATAAATGACTCTCGGTGAAAGTTTGTTCAACGGAAATAAAATCCCACTAATAATTATATCCCCCGAGCCTCAACAATGATTTAGCCACACTAAAACTATTAGGGGTTCCAAAGTTATTGGCTAGTGGAGATGATGTCAATATTGTGGTATCGTTATGATTATTAATATTATTATTATTAGTAGTAGTAGTAGTAGTAGCAGAATTGGTAGCACCACTGTTGTCATCATTTGAATCACTAGAAGTGTCGTTTGATTTCCTCAAAACAGTAGCATTACTAGTTTCGAGGATAGTCGATTCATCTTCATCAATCGTGTCATCCATACTACAACTAATGAGGCTTCTCGTTGAACAATTCTTAATGGGAGTCTTTAATATTTTATTAATTGAAGGAAGATTTGTGTTTTTGAGCGAGTGAGTATTCAATTCTGGACGAGGAAGGTTTATCTTGTTAATCACCAATGATGATGTGTTTCTGCCGTCAAATGATGAAATGGTTGATACCGCTGGTGGTGCCGAGGAAGTTTTTTTGAAGCTAGCAGTGTCATTTGGTCTGTATGATGATCCAAGTCCACCTCTTATTGTGGTATTATCATGAGGATTGTAAAAAATAGAACTTTTCTTTATTTGGAATAATCTTAACTTAGTGACTTTGTTTTTATTACGGTTGGCTTGTTTTTTAAATGCGATATTTGACAAAGTTGGTTTTCCGCTTTCTTTACTGTTTATCTTTGTCTTGAGGTTTATATTGGCTGATGAAGCGTATTTAATAGATGGAGGAGTAGGAAGCTGAGTGCCACTTGACGCTGAAATTAAGGGCGTAGACAGCGACTTGTTTTCAAGCTTAGTACCGGTGGACGTTTCAGCGGAGACTGGTATCTCATTGGCTTCCACTATGTGATGCTTTCTTCCATTGAAATCGTTAGTATCTGTCTGCCGAACTTTGTATAGGGCAAATTGAAGCTTCAATTTCAATTTAGTGGCCGCCAAAGATGCTGCTTTACTATTTGGTGCCAATGGAGATCTGGTTAACGTGCCAGATCTCAGGTCCAATACACAACTATTTGCCCTTTTAATCATTGTCTGAAGACGCCTAGGTGTATGAATCAATGGACTTTTTTTCGGCATTCTGTAACTTGACCTTACGGGGCTGTTCAAATGTGCATCGCTAACAGGCTCAAATGCTATTCTTCCCGCTGCTGCCATGTCCTTAATGTTCTTATGTTGCACCGTCTTTGAACTAGTGTTGTCCCTATGATGTTTGTTGTGGACTTTTCTTTATATATATTTGGCGCGTATAATCATATAGTTCCGCCGTCACAGCTACTTGTCGCCAGATCTAACGTGTTTCTTAACGTTATTAGTGACTCTCTTTGCACCGGTAAATATTATTGTATTACCGGTTTTAGACCTGTACAAGTCGTGTTGTTTATTTGTTTACTTGTATCGCGCTTTCTTCATACGTAACACGTACATTTTTGGTTCCCTATAAAATTTTGTGACCAAACGAATACTGCGGAGGATTAGCGGTGTGCGTACGAAAAGCAGTTGGGTTGCATTACGAATTAGGCTATTTCTAAATAGAAGACGATTTTGACCACCAAATAGCGTGGCTGTAAGAGATATTTTTTGGAATGGGTGCTAAATGTGAAGCAAACGCATATTGTACTTAATGTTGAGTAAAACGAAAATATTCGAGCTCATACACCTTGGATGTCACCCAATGGCACATAGAGAACTCGTGTCAATTGCGGTGATTGTCTATGAAGCATAGCAAGTTAGCTTGAGAGCTCAAAGGATCAGTCGAGTATGTAGGTAAAAGACAGGCTAATTTTATTTTTTGTATAGCAATTCCTGGAAGATAGAAAGAGCCTGTAAACGTTTCTTGTATTGCTATTGAATCGTTTGGCTCTTTTGGTGCAACTATTATTTAAAATTGAAATATATGTTTGTTCAAAATTCTTGAGAAGTTGCAATATTCTAGCGCTATTACTATTAGATTCAATGTACTTCCCAACCAAGTAAGAAGAAAATAAAAAAAATTCGAATGGAAATATAATTGATTCCAGATAAAACAGAATATTGTTTCAAAACACTAGGCTCACAGAAACTATGTTACATTTATAGGATTTCTGAGTTTATTCAAACCTTGTAATATATTCTGACTACTGCCATTTACATATATATTAAGACATGGGCCCCCCTTAGAAATCTGGTACATGTTTTTCATTCGGGCCACCGATATCTACCCAAGCCCTGCCGGATTTAGTAGAGTATGGTAGCTCTTCTTTACTTTGTCTTCAAGCAAGATTCAAATACAAATACTTTTTTGGGCTATACACGAATGATCACACATTCCAGATAACGGCACAGATAACGGCACAGATAAGGAGAGTACTTCAGTAATAATAATTATTAACAATTTAATTAATATGTTAAGGTCAAAACTTTCGTCTCTCAGAGAGTATTTAACACCAATCAATCACAATTCGAATTTTTCCAAGACTGGTGAAATATCACCAGAGGAGTTCGTAAAAGCAGGCGATTATTTAGTATATAAGTTTCCTACGTGGCAATGGTCAGGATGTCCCAAGAACTTGCAGAAAAGCTTCCTTCCAGAGGACAAGCAGTATTTAGTCACGAAACATGTTCCTAGTTATCAAAGGGCATCAAATTACGTTGGAGCGAAAGCTGATGACGAAGAAGAAGAAGAAGAAGAGTTAGAAGATGGCTGGGTCAAATCCCATAGAGTGGAACATTTGGGCAAACAAGCAGAAATAAATAACTCTGGAAACGAGATAGATGATATTGATGACTTGGTTAACGATAATAGTGATGATGATACAAATGGTCTAGAAGAAGATGACGATTTGGAGATGATTAGCAATACCAACGACCATCTTCGCAAGTATGACTTGTACATTACGTATTCTACATCCTACAGAGTTCCTAAGATGTATCTTGTTGGATTCAGCTCGGACGGTATCCCTCTATTGCCAAACCAGATGTTTGAGGATATCCAAAGTGATTACAAAGACAAGACTGCTACTATGGAGAACTTGCCCGTTGCGTATAACACCACATCTGTTTCGATACACCCCTGCAATCATTCTACTGTAATGAAAGTAATGATGAAATATTCTAAAGGTAAGAAGAGACTGGAAGAGGATTCAAACTTGCCGCTGGAGACCTCACAAGACGTATCCGGTGCTCTTGAGAATTTAACAATAGCGGACGAAACGGATGCCATAAGAGTAGATCAGTATCTTGTGATATTTCTTAAGTTCATTGCTAGTGTAACTCCTGGGATTGAATATGACTATACCATGGATGCTTTATAAAACTTAGAACTATAGATTTGTCTGGAGCCACGCAGCTGATTCCTTTCGCTTCCAGACGTAAATACAACATATATAATGCTGCTCTTGGCTGAGTTGAGCCGTAGATATGATTCTTATTCGCTCTGATTTAATCTTAATTGAATGAATCACTAGGACTCACTTGTAATACTTTCACGTGCAACTCTCTATTAAGCCTTTTTACTGAATTGAGAAGACCCTAAAGTCGCATGAAATTGAAATCTAGATTATTTTGCGCTCTACGTGAGAAAAGGATACAACTTGGGTGCTAAGAATGCATAAGAGCTCGTCGATGAGTGAAGTGAATAATCGGAAGACAAAGCATAAGGGTAGCACGGCCAAAAAGCATGCTGAAGATGAGGAGGAACCGGATCGTGGGTTATCTAGCGCCGTCGAGACTGTTAGTAAACCAGTAGAGGTAATAAGTGACATGCTCCATGGTGATAAACACCAGTCACATTCACACCATCATGGTCATCATAGGCGTAAGCAAGCTAAGCTATTGAAAAAACGCCTTTATGAATCAAGACGGGTGATATTTGTTTTAGGAGCTCTAATTGGCTTGCTTCTGGCAGCTATGTATACTACTTATAGAAATCCTAATTTGAAAACAGAATTGGATAAATTGGTCAACTTTGATAGCGTAAGTGATATTTTCGAAGACTGGAAGGACATGATTCCTAGTGGAATATACTCCCTGATTAAAAATATAGAAGATGACCAGTTGAAAGCATCTGCAGAATCTTTTTCCGTTGGTAGAAGAATGGTTAGACTCCACAATTTGACAAATGAATTTAACGTCGTAATGGTTCCTGGAGTCATTTCTACTGGAATAGAATCTTGGGGTCTAAATAATGAAGGAGATTGCCCGTCAGTTAATCATTTCAGAAAGAGATTGTGGGGCTCTTTCTACATGTTAAGGACGATGATTATGGACAAAAATTGCTGGTTAAAGCATATAATGCTAGACCCAGAGACCGGACTAGATCCACCTAATATTAAGCTAAGAGCTGCTCAAGGATTTGAGGCAGCCGATTTTTTCATGGCTGGATATTGGATTTGGAATAAACTATTAGAGAATTTAGCCGTCATTGGGTACGGACCCAATAATATGCTCAGTGCATCTTACGACTGGAGGTTGACTTATTTAGATTTAGAAAAGAGAGATAAATACTTCTCCAAACTAAAGGCTCAAATCGAAATGAGCAAAGATCTAAGCGGAGTTAAAACAATACTAGTTGGGCATTCGATGGGATCTCAAGTTATATTCTATTTTATGAAATGGGTAGAGGCTCCTGGTTTCGGAAATGGAGGACCACGCTGGTGCAATGATTTTATCGAAGCATTTGTTGATATTAGTGGCACTATGTTAGGAGCTCCGAAGTCTATTCCTGCAATGCTCTCCGGAGAGATGAAAGATACAGTTCAATTGAATGCTTTAGCAGTCTACGGTCTTGAAAAATTTTTCAGCAAAAAAGAAAGGGTCGAAATGGTGAGAACATTTGGTGGAGTGCCAAGTATGATACCTAAAGGGGGAGATCTTATTTGGGGTAATTTAACTAATGCTCCCGATGATCCTACTAATACGTTGGAGGTAAACGACACCAGCGTCGTAATGGATGGCGACAAGTCTAAAAGCTTTGGCACATTTATCAATCTTAATGAAAATGGCACAAATAGAAAGTTTACCGTTGATGAATCAATAGATTATTTGCTTGATACATCACCAGAATGGTTTTCTAAGAGAGTAAAAGAACACTATTCTTTCGGGGTGGCTAAGACTAAAAATGAATTAGTCGCCAACAATTACGATCATTCTAAATGGTCCAATCCTTTAGAGGTAGCATTGCCAAACGCTCCAGATATGAAGGTTTTTTGTTTTTACGGCGTTGGTAAGCCTACAGAAAGAGCATACACATATAAGAAAGTCGATAATTCGTCAATTTTAACTATGGCTATTGATTTAGACCTGGCAGACCCTGTCTATGTAGGAGATGGCGATGGAACAGTGTCTTTATTATCACATACCAATTGTCACGAGTGGAAGAAGGGGTCTGCATCAAGATATAACCCTGGAAATTCAAGTGTCGTTATTGTCGAGATCAAGGACGAGCCAGATAGATTTGATATTAGAGGAGGAGCGAAAACAGCTGATCATGTTGACATTCTTGGAAGTGCTGAGTTGAATGAATTAGTTCTTAAGGTTGCTGCCGGAAGAGGGGATTTGATAAAAGACAGATACGTTAGTAATTTGAAGCAAATCGTAGAAGAACTAGACATTTAACTATAATTCTTTGCGGAGAGCTATATAGCAATAAATTAATCATGGGATAAGGTTTCTGATATGGTATTTAAAGACCAAGGCAGATCTACCTATCAACCAGTGTCCTCTAATACATGCTTGATCGGTTCTCTTGTGTAATCTAAAGTGAAAATTAATAGTTTGGCGTGGATTTTCATAGCACTATGTTACTTGATGCCCCGTAGAACTTCATATAATAAGGAACCTAATCGCGTTTTTCCGATTTCGTCGACTTCGTTTACGTTTGGCTCTTTCTATTAAAGATATATATATACATTCACTATATTAGACGAGGATGAGGTACGACGCATTGATCATAGAGTAGTTTAAAATTAAGTGAATCATTACTAACTTTTATCACTACAGTGGAAAATTTGTAAGGGCTTCCAAATATCGTCATGTCTATGGACAAGCAGCAAAGAAGGAACTCTGTTATGAAAATCTCAAAATAACCAAGAACGCATGGGACTCGAATATCATTCACTCTAATGGTAAATACATTTCTGTCAATTGGGATGCTTCTGGGGGAGGTGCATTTGCTATAATTCCTTTGGAAGAGGTCGGAAAAGCTCCAGACACTGTACCATTGTTTAGGGGTCACAAAGCTGCAGTTTTAGATACCGCTTTCGATCCATTCAACTTACAACGTGTAGCTAGTTGCTCAGATGATGGAAAGATTTGTATTTGGGATATTCCAGAAGGCTATTCTTATCATAAAAACGTCGATGAGAATAATAATGTCAAAGATGTTACTGAACCTGTCAAAATACTCTCCGGTCATACTAGGAAGGTAGGACACGTTGAATATCATCCTTGTGCTCAGAATATTCTAGCATCTTGCTCAATGGACTATACGGTTAAAATTTGGAATGTGGAGACAGGCAAGGAAGTTATTACATTGCCACATAAGGATATGGTGACTTCATTTTCTTTCAATTATAACGGATCTTTGTTAGCAACGGCTTCCAGAGATAAAAAGATAAGGATTTGGGATATTAGAGAACAAAAGGTTATTTCGGAGGGACCTGGCCACACAGGAGCCAAGCCATCTAGAGTTGCTTGGCTTGGTAATACAGATCGTATTGTCACTACTGGGTTCTCCAAGTTATCTGATCGTCAAGTTGGTGTTTGGGATATTCACCATATTGAGGCCGGCCCAATAGATGGTTTCATGGTCATAGACTCTACTTCAGGTGTATTAATTCCGATTTTCGATGATTCTACATCGATCTTGTTTTTAGCGGGAAAAGGAGATGGAAACATTCGTTATTATGAATATGATAATGATGTTCTTTACGAATTATCTCAATATAGCTCTACGGACCCTCAAAGAGGCTTCTGTGTAACACCCAAGAATAAGGTAAACGTCAAAGAGAATGAAATATTGAGATCATTCAAAACTGTGAATGACCAATTTATTGAGCCAATCTCTTTTATTGTTCCACGCAGATCTGAATTATTTCAAAGTGATATTTACCCAGATTGCCCATCAAATGAACCCGCTTTATCTGCAGACGAATGGTTGGGAGGGAAGACAGTGAACGGTCCTTTACTAATGAGTATGGAATCTTTGTATGAAGGTACCACTCCATCTATCAGAGAATCTGGGCCTGCTACTGTGATATCATCTGCAAAAGAAGAAGTTGCTAAGAAAAAGGAGGATGAGCTTTCCAAAAAACAGGAACAGAAAGAGACTGAGTCTAAAACTAAGTCTAAAGAGGTTGTAACCAATGAGGTTCCAAAAGAAAAAAGCGAAGAGCCCAAGAATGTGGATGATGTTTTAAAATCTTCCGAAAAGGTGGATGATATGCTTAATAAAGTGATTGAGAAATCTGATGACGAGGATGCCTTCGACAACAAATCTGACGAGGATTGGGAAGAAATCAAAGAGCCTGTAGTCAAGGTAAATGTTGAAACACCACCGAAAGATAAACCTGAATCCTTAAATGCAATTGATGAAATACCAAATGCAAAGGAGAACACAAAGACAAAGGAGAAAATAGAGCTGAACCCTAAAAGATCTACTCAGACCGACGATAAGTCTAGCCTGCTCGTTACTTCGCAATCTTCCAAGGAAAGTGCACCTGCCTCCTCGACTACGTCTTCGAAAACGACTACCACAACTCCTACATTGAAGGCTACTGTAGAGAAATTGGCGAATTTAGTTGAGAAAATGGAGGCGCAAATAACGAAGCTAGAAGATGCAAATAATGAAAAAGATTCGAAGCTCGATGCACTTTTGAAAAAAGTTGAGGATTTAAATAAACAATGAATCTTAAAAAAAAGTTTATTAGATTATTCCTATTTAAGATCAGCTGATATTCTACCGACCTAAATAAATATATGTTAAAGATAGATCAATTTAGTCTCTTTTAATGTCGTAAAAATTTTTAAAGATTAGTCCACTTAAATTGTGGGTATCAAAAGTTACCATCTTATCAAACATTTCCAATTCTTTTTGATCTTCATACTGATAGTTTAATAAATCATCAAGAGAAATAATATTGGAGGCACCTGGGACAGTAACAGAACCATTGACAACCTCTATTGTGAAGATTCCAACTTTATGACAGCTAAAAACGAAATCCAACTTAGATGACGAAGAATAAGCGTGATGTAATAAGCCGCCAAAATCAAGTAGTACATTCTGATCCCGAAGCTTTTTAGCCGAATATTTGTATGCACCAAATTTAGGAAGTCGATTTGATTTCTTAAGTTCACGTTGATAAAAGTACTGCTTACTGAAAACCGGAATTATATTGAAAAACTTCTTCTCCTTTGGCCTCAGCTGTAACTCAGTCACGACTGATTTAATATGCTCATTGTAGTCGTTCAATTGTCTCTCTAAAAATCTTTGTTTATCTGAAATTTTATTAACAGTGTCCCTTGCAAACGCAAGTTGCTGCTTACGCCCAATTCGTTTAGCATCTTTGGTCTTAATATCTGTCGCAATATGATTGAGTATATCTTGGAAGGAATTATTCCGAGTTAATTTATCTTTGGCTTCAAGCTTTAACAATATCTCCAAGCACATCTTTTTCAAATCGCGATACGAGGTGGTAGTTAAGTCACCCAAAGAAGTTTTATAATATGGGTTTCTCTTTTCAAATGCTTTAGATTTTTCTGACTCTTTCTTCTCATTTGAAACCAAGTCTTTAAATTTCTTTTCATGCACTTCGCTGATACCTGACACGAGTAATTCTAAAAGTGTCTGTCCTTCCTGAACCCTAATAATGTACAAAATACTTCTTTTGGCTTGTGTCATTAGAGATATAACTTTTGAATCAGCAAGCGAATCCTCTTTTGTAGTAGGATTTAAATTAAGGGTAATATATCCTAATTCACTTAATGTCATGAGATCATTCGCTGAATTGATATCATCATTCAAGCTTGTCAAAAGAGTGTATAATTGGTCATCAAAATCAGGAGCAACAATGTCTGCATTCCGTGTGACAATTTTTTCCAAACAAATCATATCACTCACTTTCATGTTCAATTGTGGCCTTTCGTGCTTTACTATATCATCAAACTCGTTTATGCCATATTCCAATTCTAGACTTTTAACGTCTATTATTCTTTGAATTATTTTTCGAGTAGTATCAATAGAAGATTGAACGAACTCATTGAGTGGCTTCAAGAAGCTATCATTAAACTGCTTCATCGAGAAAACCTGGAGCAAAACTCTGCTTAAATACTTCAAGTTATTTCTAGCCCGAAAGCTGTAGAGGCTAGCATTTATTGGATCTTTAATCATGTAACCATAGTTTTCAGGATAGTGTAATATAGATGCAATGTAGTGCTTTATAAATATAACACCTGCGACCGCTAGATGTTGCGAATCGGACTTCCCTGGAAAGTGAATTTTAGATAACATGTATGCATTATTACATGTCAATCTAATGTGAATGGGGATTCTATCGATATTTGCATCAAGAAGGTTTAACAGATCTGTTACATGTTCTCTCAAACCCATCAAGTTATCCACAAATCTACTAGATACTTCCGGGTCCTTTATCGCAACTTGTGGAGATACATCGTTTTCCCTTTCACTAAAGCCCTTTACTTTAATCTCCTTTTTAATAAGCATATTATATATCTCACTTGGGTCAGACTCAAAATCAATGTTATCATTCTCTATAACTTTGGTTACTAGTTTGCCAAAAATACTCTTCAAGTGCAGCCTTTGATACGTATGATTGTTGAAATTTAGTATAAATTCAGTCCAGAAACATTTCTGTGTTTTAGTTAGATCGCTAATGTTCTTGCAATTATATTGGATATCATCTTGCATCAAGCAGAAAACAAACTTTATGAAAAAGAATTCTTCTCTAGAGTGGTGCCCGATAGAGGAGTTCTTTATAGGAAATAGCAGAATTATACAGCTCTTCAAGTCATCTGAACTTCTAGATTCTATTTGCTTCCTCGCTTGTGCTCGGTAAAGTCTTACCAAATAGATCGGTTTTGTTTGAAGGAAATAAAACATAGACTGATAAAGCTCTATCCTTTTCCTCGACGATCTACTTAAAGTATCCAAATTTTTCACATTGACTGCTTCTGGGGTTTTAGACTTTATCTTGTTTTTATGTTCAACGAAATCCTCGATCGTAATTTTGTTTTTGTCTAAGAGCCCCAATTTTACGTCCAAGTTTTCAATCTGTTGCTCTATCTCAGCATTGCAGGTAGACTTCTCTATAATCATGTTTTTGAGCTCCACCAAGTCTATTTCTTCTTGAAAATCAAGATCATTATCAGTCAACAAATATGCAAAGGTTCTAATTACCGCCAATGGCACATCCTTCTGACTCATCAATGCCTTGTATGCTTTGCGTGTATATTTAGACCTTATAAATGCCTGTGCTTTAATAACTTTATCCACATTGTACTCGTAATATTCGTTCATTCCTAGAATATTCTTTCTAATGGTAGCACCTCTTATTAGACCTTGCAAAACAATGATATTCTCGATATCGTTATATGCATCGTCGAGTTTAATTTCGTATTCGAAGCGGCCCAATACACCTCTGAAAAGAGACTGTAGTGGGACAATCGAAGTTTCTTCAAGCTTCATCAAAACACGTTTTTTAATTTCAATTTCTCTCCTGACCATGACCCCCTTTATTTTTGCACACAATTCGGTTAAAGATGCATCTTCCCCAAACAATATGAGCAAAAAGTTGTTGCATAACTTTGTCCTGGCTATTCCTCCTCTTACAATGCCTTGGAACTCTTTTACGGATAAAGACTCCAACTGAAGTTCCCGATTGATTAGTGAAAGAGTCAGTCTGACTTTATGAGCACGGATCACGGACTGCAATGCTGTTAGAGCTCTATTATTTGAACTGTTAGCAATAGATTGGCGACAGGTTTGGTTCTCATATAAACGACGACGAGCAGCAGATTGAAAACTTAAGATTATGGATTCAATTGAATCTCTGTGGGAAATAAGGACCGAGGACTTTGAAAAAATTGTCTTCATCTTACTATAAGACTGTAGTCTTATAATCAGTTCCTCATTTTGAAGAAGTTTCAGCTTCAAATCTTGTATGAAATTTCTTTGCATAGCACCACGGACAATTCGTTGAAATTGGAAGTCTTCAAGAGCATGATTCAAGTCCATTACATTTTTTCTCACCACTTTTGCTTTTGCTATTGATTGCAATAACAATATTTCTCTTCCATGAGTCAATAATTCATCTCGATGTTTATGTATAGTCTTCATACGCAGTTGGTTACCTCTAATGATCGTTATCAACTTTTCTATATCTTCTGAGTAAGACCTCAACATTATCCTATCGACAAACATCCTATACCTAAAGTTTGCGCCTCGAGCCAATGTTTGAATTTTAACAATTCCATCCACAAAAGAATAATTTCCCTCTACGTCAATATGTTGCAAATCTTGTTCTTGAAAGTAATCTGGACGATATCGCGCCTGCTCATCGGTCAGGCGACTCTCAATAAAAGGATTATCCTTATTTTCAATAATTTGAACTTTTTCCTTAGGAAATGCATCTGTTGCACTCTTCTGCTTAAGTTCTTGAGCAACAGCACTAGCATGTGCTTTTTGCTCAGGCTTCGTGGGAGAAGTAATGCTATTCATGTAGCTAGACTCATCTGAGGTTTCATCTGCACTAGCAAAGTTTGGCAAACCAGTGCCAACTAATGCACGATTAGCAGATCTAACATCATCTGGTGAAAAGTCCAATGAACCCATCAAGTTAATAATCTTAGGGAATTTCGAATCAAGCTTGTGCAACATGTAGCTGATAGCACGAAGGCAGAACCATACTTTTGGGACATTTTTAGCATCGTATAAATCTGTTAGTTCAAATCTGAACAAATCTGGAACATCTAGGTACTCTAAAAGATGAAAAAACCTGTTAATGTTTTCGGTGTGCCTAAATTGCAACTTGGAATCATTTGTGAAAACCCTCTTGCGTGTAGGCAATATAGCATTTGCAAGCTTCGCTAAATAGATACCATTTCTTATGTAGGAAATAAGTTCCGCTGCTCCTTGATGAACTGGCTCTTTCAAGACCGCTTCTAGCCATATTCTAGTTTCTTCAATGCGACACAAATATTCATACCCAGCTGAATCTCTGGAGGCATTCTTCGACGGAGAACTATTGATCTTCCAAGACTTTGTTTCTGGAGCTAAATCACTCAGTTTGCCTAGACTAATCGGCGTTACACCATTATTTCTTTTCGATGAATGAGTAACATCACCTTCATCAGTAGTAGCATGCCTTCTTACTGGAGATCCAACTCTGCTGCTTTCAGCAGAAGATTTATTCAGAGGACTTTTGAATGAAGAAACTGTGACAGAAGGTGATTCAAATTTAGATCGTAAGAGCGCTGTTTTAGAGGGGCTCGGTGTAACAATATTCATTTCCTTCGAGAGCAATTCAAGATCACATCCCTTTGAAGATATGAACTTTGGAGATTCATTTGATGATGAGTTGAACTTCGAAGTGGGTCTAAGAGGAGTTCTTGTTGTTTTATTGTCAGAATCATCAATGCATTCAAGGTACTTCATGGCCCTACTCTTTGCTGACGCGGCCATCCTTGTTCAAGATATTTGTCTCTATTCTACTCCTGAACCTGGCTGCGTTAGAAATGTGTTCAACGTAGAGCCATCTTTTCTATTTCATTAAAGCATCTTTACCTCCTGACGTATTTACTTCTATATGATTTCCGAATTAGGGAGGATGTAAACAACACCTTTTTCAAAATAAACATTCGACCCAGTTTCCCTTTTTAAGCGAGAATAGTTGCAACGAGTGAAGGGAGAAACATTAACAATTCTTGTCGTTTCTAGCGTACCTTGTCAGTCATTTACTTTAAGAATACATGCAATGAGATATATAAGTAGTATACAATAATATATTTTGTTGAGGACCGCGGAGTACGATCACTATCTATTTTACAGTTCAATAAACATTAAGCTTCGTTTTCTTCTTCTTGCTTCTTGTATGCTATTTCCAAGAATTGAATTGTATCATTGAGCTTGTTAAGCAGCGCTCTTGTTTCAGGTATCGACCGTTTTAACTCCTCTAGTATAAGGATATGCTTTTCATAGTCACTAGCCATTTCATCTAAGTGTGGTAGATCGGCGAAAGTCATATCCACTTCATTATCTGATGGTGTCAGTGGCATATCGAGGTCCGCTAATATCTGTGTTATGTCTTGATCAGTTCTAACGACTAGATTATCGTATATTTCTTTGGCTCGCACAGGTAAATTTCTACGAAGTTTCGTTACGGCAGTAGTTTCCTCTTCAACTTGAAGAAGAATCTCACGCAACTTTGCATTGATTGAGACATCGAAGTTTTCAACCTTCTCTCGTGGTCTTATTGATAAGATGTCAGAAATCAGTGTCAGTGAATTGGACTTACTGGACATATTGCGCCCATCTATTATTAAAGCTGATTTTGCCATATCAAAACCTCCTATCAAGAAATCATCTAATGCACTGGCTACTTTTTTTTTCAAGGGATCATTATTGCTAGTAGGAAGATGGAGATCGAGTTTGGACGTCACACTTTGAAGTAGTTGACCGTACAAATATCTTAAATCCTGCTTGGATAGAGCGATTCTTTCATATTCATCATTGGAGCTCATATTTTACAACATATATTGATCTTGTACCACCATCCATCTAATCTGATTCACTTTATCAAGCTCATTACTTCAATGTGTTTACATTTGAGAACTGGAGAACGCAAATATACAACATGATTATGTCGCAAGACATCTGTCGACGACTTTTTAAATGCGACATTAGATTTAAACTTTCACCCTAAAAAACTTCGGATTAAATTACTTACGTATTTGGGTTGAAGTCAATATTAGACAATTTTATACATGTCGGAGGCTTTAAGTGACGAATACATACCAGCATTCGCTCCTTTTCTTGGGTTCGCTGGATGCGCTGCGTCCATGATATTTTCTTGCGCTGGTGCTGCAATAGGTACAGCTAAATCTGGTATTGGTATTGCTGGTATCGGTACTTTCAAGCCTGAATTAATCATGAAATCTCTTATTCCTGTGGTCATGTCTGGTATATTGTCTGTGTATGGATTGGTCGTTTCTGTGCTCATCGCTGGTGGATTGGCACCAACGGAGAAGTATTCCCTTTTTAGTGGTGTCATGCACTTAGCTTGCGGAATGTCAGTAGGGTTTGCTTGCTTAGCATCAGGATACGCGATTGGCATTGTGGGTGATGAAGGTGTTAGGCAATTTATGCATCAACCAAGGCTCTTTGTTGGTATTGTCCTTATTTTGATTTTTGCCGAGGTGTTAGGGTTATATGGTATGATCATTGCCTTAATATTAAACACTAAGAGTAGTGGTTAGTTTATTTTTAAAGTATTATATCTCTGAACTTTTCATACTCTTTCACTAGTCTTCGATATCATAGAATCCTTTTCAATGAATTGAATCAATAAATAAACTAAATTATGTCAGGAAACTTTGTTGTACAATTACGGTGTATATATCTAGGGAAATATCTAAATAACTAAATTTAATCAGTCTCCATCTTATCGTCATTGGATCCTTTGCCGATAGTGACAGTTCCGTTGTCATCAATAAATTGGCTAGAATATTCCTCTAAGTATTGAACTGATCTGTCAGAATCATAAAATAACATATAAGCCCTCTTGATATCTGGAAGGTCTACCGAGTTACTTCTCCTCTTTAAGGCTATTTGTTGCGATACCGAAATAAGGTTGGCTGCATATCTCAAACTGGTCTCTTGACCGATTTTTGTTAGTAATGACAATCCATCACCAGTTAATTCAACTTCTTCTTCTACTGCCCTAATAGACAAAATTGTTCTGATTTCGTCTGCATTGTATGACGACGTATGAATAATTATAGATCTGTCTAAAAGATCCACGGGCAAGCCATGTGGTGATTTATAACTGGTGCCACGAGTTTTGGAAATGCCTCTGTTGGTTGCCATTATAACAATGGGAGCAAAATCATCCTCCAACGCACTATTTATGAACGAGAAGCATTCAATGTCTAACATGTGAACCTCGTCAATGAACAAAACACCAGGCACAATTTCTGCTTTTCCCTCTTCTTTCCATTCAGCTACTTTAGTATTGATTTGGTCACGTACTTCTGACCTTATTTCACCTGTGTCACCCGAAAAGAGAGCTAAAAATCCTTGCTGTCTCGAATTGATAACATCGATCTCGTGCAAAGACACTGTGTGTACCACTTCCTTTCTTTTTTGTAGTTCACCTTCAGGACATTGTACAAACTTAGTCTCGGGACCCATTGCATCGTAATCTCTAGCTCTAGTGAAAGATTTCCCTAATTTGGAGATCTTACCAGAAGCTTTATCGATAGATATAACATCACCTGCCAAGATCTTTTCTTTCGTTATACCTTCTATCATTTTATTTCCAAGTTCATATATAGTTTCCATGTCAGTAGTCTTGATTGTTAATTTTCCTTGCTTGTGACCTCCAGTGATCGACCTATCAATTTGAATTTCAACAACTTCACCTTCGATAAGTTCAGTTTCCTCTTTAATTCTGATTCCAATTGATTTTCTGAATGCTTGAGTTAATGATTCGGTTTTAGATAAATCTAAAGAAAAAACTTCAGATCCAGATATTGCCGTAAACGGTACCTCAGGACCTAAATTCTGAGACATTCCCATGGCAATAGCTGTTTTACCTGTAGAGGGAGGACCCGCAACTAAAACTGCTCTTCCGGCAATTCTACCAGCCTGTATCATCTTCAAAACAATACCAGCAGCTCTTCTTGCCTTTATTTGACCCACCATTCCTTGACTGTTTTCTTTTGGTTTTAAGTTCTCATCGAGACCTAGTCCAGATATGTGAGAATGGGCAGCTATTAAAGACAATCCATTCAAGTCTTTAGCTTGAACATCTGTACTAACTGTGTTACTGGACTAAATATGGTTAGTTTTTTGTGGTTAAATTATTGAAAAATAGTACATACCATAATGCGATTAGAGCTGATTGATTGTTATAGTAGTATCATTGAATGGACATCAATATTTCTTTCAAATTACAAAATTCTTCCATAAATGTCGCTTTTCAATAATATTGCGACATCAGCTCAAGTTGATCCAAATGGATTCAAGATACTTCTAGTTTACCACATGACAAGATAAACAACTAAGAAGAGCAGTATTTGAGAGACTCATAGTAACCGAGTCATCATAAAAGAGAACTAAATTTATCAATTAAAACAATAAAGATTTATTCAATGATATTCTATCTAACCTTTGCAAAGTAGGATTATTATTACTAAGTCATTCAATCCGCGTGGAATACTACGCTGCGTTGATATCCAAATAATCAGCTAATGTTTTTTGCAGATTTGAACATAATTGTCCTTCCTCTAACTTGAATATCCAGTTGTAGTCCATCAAATTATTTCTTTCAATGAATGCGTAGTTTTTATTCACAATTTCCTTAGAGGGACAACTGAAATCATCAACCAAAGGAGAGGTTCCATCATTTAGATTAACAAACTTTAAACTATGACATTTTTCTATGACTACTCGGTTGTTGGACACAATTGGTAGAATAGTGCAGCTTTGAATATTATGAAGTCTAAGTTGATGACAATCTAAAATGAGAACACAGTTTTCCAAATCATGAGCAAATATGGGACCATCACAATTAAGATAGATGACAGAGTCAGAGCCCTTTCTTATATTAATAGATGAAATCGATTCTTTTGTTAATATTATGCAATTCAGGAATCTGGTAACTAGTGCATGGCTCTCGGATGAGTCAATTACTTTTTTTGAGTAATTGATATCAGAAATACAAGGTTTCATGACTGCCAGATCATCTGAGGTATTTGTAGAAGCTTGCAACTTCAATTTTTGATTAGCAATTGGTTCTCCATGAAATTCAAATCTCTCAACATTTAACAGGTTAAATTTAACCTCTAAGTATTTTTGCAAAGAACTTAAAAGATCCAAGCACCTTCTCTTTTCAAAGGATGCAAGAGAAGAAAGTTCAAATTCAATTTCTTTCTGGAGATCAAAGGTCTGTGTCCTTAATGTCTTCAAACGTTCAAGAGAGTCGCATTCCAACAAATCTTTTTTCAATTCTAAATTACGTTAGAAACAGTCTTAAATAAGAAGCAGACTCAAACTTACTACTTCCACTATTGATAAATGAATCATATTTGGCTTGTGGAGTACTGATGCTCATAATTCACTTTCATCACGAGCGTCTTTCACTACTTTCTTTCTATTCCCGAAAGGTAGTGGCGCGCTGCCTCAAGTAAATTATTTATTTTTTCTACTTGGAATGATCGTGGATGTTCTCAACTAATTAATAAAACATAGAGAGCGTGCACAAACTGTTACGGTTCTTGATTTGTTGAAGGAGGAATAATTTTCTCACAATTTTCAGTTTTATCAGGAATTCTGTAGTCAGTTGTAAATGTAGTTCCCTCCAAATCTATTTTCCCAATACTTTCAAGCAAAGATGTCTCTTTAAATTTGAAATATCTGTAAATTTTGTGACCAACGTAAGATATAAGTATAATGAATATGCCTAAGGTTTGTTGAAAAAATGCTTCTAGGGAAAACCCTAACCCGTCTTGCATAATCGCTACTAATATTTGTGCCGCAACAACAAGAAGACTCAATGTCACTCCATACCAAGACCCCAAAGTACCTGTCTGGGCCCTGTATTGCAAAGCTTTTTCAACCAAAATTTTATTATGCTTCAATGTCATCCGAAACCTAAGGTGACAGACACAGATCGTAGCATATGAAAGAATGACAGATATTCCAGACATTGACATGAGCCATAAAAACATCGTCTCTGAACCTCTAGGCCAGAGGACTGAAACATAAGCAAGTAACCCAAACGCCATAGAAGTTATAGTCGCAATTATTGGTCTTCTTTTCCTGTCAATATAACCGAAAACTTTTGGAGCCTGCTTATTCTCTGAAAGAGCTATCAAAGTTCTAGATGATGCATAAATTGAGCTGTTTCCAACTGAAAGGATTGATGCTAAAATGACAATGTTCATAATGGTTGCGAAAATCGATGAATTTTTGATATTCGCAAGAGCCAACACAAAGGGTGAAGCATTTACGTTAGAATCTCCAGAGCCCACTAAACTGGGATGGTTATATGGTACAACCAAGGATATAACAAATAGAGATATCATGTAAAAACCTCCGATTCTCCAAAAAACTTGCCTGATAGCTTTAGGAATCATTTTCTCTGGGTTTTTTGATTCTGCTGCCGCTAATCCTACTAATTCACTTCCAGCAAAAGAGAACGCGGCAGTAATTACGCAATTCACAAAGCCATAAAATCCACTGGGAGAAAACATACCGGGATCTTTCCAATATGAAAAACCAATAGGGTTTCCAAATACTCCACAATCAACTAAAACAGCGAGAATTGCGAACAAGGCTATTGCTGCAATTTTGATTAATGCGAACACAATTTCAGCAAATCCATAGTATTTTACACTCAAAAGATTCATACAAATAATTCCAATAAAGAATAAGCTTATAATGGTAATGTCTGAAATCTTTGCTGATACACTTGGCCAAAATTTGAATGTCATCGTAGCAGCTACTAATTCCATAGGAAGTAAAATCATCCATTGAAAACAGTAGTTCCATGCCATGGCAAAACCCCAGCTTCGATCGACAAATTTAGAAGAGTAGTTTGTGAAACCCCCTTTTATTGGCATGCAGACACTTAGTTCACCCAATGACTGGCACATGCAGTATATGAAAGATGAAATGAGAAGGTAGGCTAGTAAAAGAGAACCGGGGCCCGCCGTTAAAGATTTTCCTGATCCTATAAGGAGCCCTGTACCCACCGCACCGCCTATAGCTATACATTGAACAGAGAAACCACTTATTTCGTGCCCTAACTCTGAGTTTCCAGTTATAGAATCGTGGTTCTCACATCTTTTAAATGAATCCACAACCCGTTTGAAATAATTTCTTTTTTGTTTAGTGGAAGTTCCCCTTGCAAATACAATTTCCTCGCAGCTATAGTTTTCATGAGCATGTGAGGAACTGAGATGGCTTAATGGAGATTGGAGAAATTTCAAATCGTAATTGCCATTTTTCTTCGATGGTAAACTTCTTGTTTCTTCGATTGATATCTGATTCGACTTTTCAAAAAAATCTTGATTGCAGCTCTCTGATCTCTTTCTGTTTATCATAGCAAAATTTATTCAACATTCGGTTATGCCAATTTTCTCTAGCTAGGAACTATAATGATTAGAGTTTGTGACAATCAGTGTAGTCTACTTTGTGGATCAGGTTGCAAAATTAATGCTTCGCACTACTCACTACTCACTACTAATTTCTTTTTTTATATACCATATAATATTTATATAGGGCTGAGACGAGTCCTTCCGACCAACTGATCAGCAATATCTCTTGTTTTAGTCCAGTGGATCTTTTTAGGCATTCTGATACTCAATTCAGTCTCGAAATCGTATAGACGACGAATTGGACTGAACCTCAAATGACTTGATTTGACAGATAATACAGCAGCAGTTGAAGATATCTCAGTATCATCACTCGAAAAATCAAGAGAATATCTTACCTTGGCTAACTCATCTACATGATCTTCTATGAATTGAACAGCCTTGATTGCATACCTTGCTCCTCTAGTTCTATCGATCGGAGAAGGTAAACCTCCCTGTTGAGCATGTCCTGGGATAGCAGTCTTCGTGTCAAATGCACCATTTGATTCCAGTTGCAATATTTCAGCTAGAACTTTGGTAGTCAAAGCTTTTGATGCATTTGTGCTCTTTAAAATGAGCTTCCCGGCCCTCGCCATACTATTGCCTGTCGCAAAAGATTCCTTCAAAGACGTTACATCCAATTCTAATTGCTCTAAGTCGATACCCTCTTCAGGTACATACGATGCCTGTGTACCACATGCTAATGCGGCAAAGGTTGCTATGTATCCAGAATTACCCCCTTGAACCTCGATTATAAAAACCCGATTTCTCGAGGCGGAAGCAGATTGCTTGACAACATCACAGTATTCCATCAAAGCATTGAGACACGTATCTGAGCCTAGTGAGTATTCAGTTCCAGGTACATTGTTCGATATTGTAGCAGGAATTAAAACCATGGGTATTCTAAACGCAGGGTACATAGCTCTGGCTTTCTCAAGCTGGTCCAAAGAGACGAATGCTTCAAACCCTCCTACTATAACAAGACCATCAAAATGATACTTTTCGAAATAATATGCAATCATGCCGATATCAGTCTCATTAGGTGTTTGTCTGTTCGTTCCAATGTCAGACCCCCCAGTGGAGCACCAGCCTTCGATGTCTAACCAATCTATCAGCCTAACAGATTCATGCCTGGCTAAACCAGAAAAACCATTATGAATTGCATACGGTGTATGACCACGCGACATACAATAGGTTGCCATGGCGTAAACTGCACTGTTCATCCCCCCCGCAGGTGCCCCAATATTGATAACAGCAATATTCTTACGATCTTTGGGAGCCAAAGTCGGTTCGTTATGATTAGCAGAATTCATCGCAATGAAATTATGGAGATGTTCAACAAATTCACTATCTCTTGAGGCCATCGCCTTTTCAAAATCTTTGTTGCTTATTGCTTCAGCAACTGACTTTGTAATTTGCACAGCTTCTACCAATGATTTTCTGACAATTTTATTTTCCTCAATTGCAATCATTGGAGACTCTGAATCAGGGCCACACTCTATCACTGCCTTAACGGCTTCTACACCTTGTAGTGTGGCCAAAATACGATCAAATGCAACAGCGGTACCACCTCTTTGAACGTGCCCCAATGTCGTAATTCTTGTGTCTAGCCCCAATTTATTAACCAAAACATCTTTGACTTCTTTTGATGAAATTGGAACCAAGTCAGAGCTAATTGCACCTTCCGCTACGATTACAATGGTCTTTCTTTTGCCCTTCGCTCTGTGCTTCGAAACAATCTGGCACATTTGGGACTGCCATGCTTGAGATGAAGCCGGTTTTTCGGGAATCAATATATAATCGGCGCTTGTAGATATACCCGCCATCAATGCAAGCCAACCGCAGTGTCTTCCCATAACTTCTACGACAAAAGCTCTCGAATGAGAGTTAGCCGTCGCATCAATATAATCGATTGCCTTACAAATACGATCCAATGACGAATAGGCACCGATTGTGGCATCAGTGGTTGCCATATCATTATCAATCGATCCTACCATTCCACAAATGTTAAGGTGCTTATGAGCTTCATACTTTTCTTGACTAATTTCACCCTTGTTTTTGAGCTCCTTAATTAAAGATGGCCATTCTGACCTGAAGGTATCAGCACCAGTCAATGATCCGTCACCACCACAAACAATCAACGCATCAATATCCGAGTCAATCATGTTCTTACAAGCCCTAAGCCTTCCTTCTCTCTCTCTAAATTCCTTACATCTTGCAGTACCAATGTTGGTGCCTCCTTCTGAAAGATATCCTCTCACATCACTCCACTTCATTTCCATAATATAATTTGATCCGCCATTTACTAAGCCTTCGTATCCTTCTCTAACTGCGAAAGCTTTACAACCTCTGTAAATAGCAGCTCTAACGACAGAACGGACAGCAGAGTTCATGCCAGGAGCATCACCACCAGATGTCATAACGGCTATGTTCCTTCTTGGTTTGTCAAAGTAATCGGGCTTCAAATCCTTTTCAGGAGCAGATTTTCCATCCGCTTCCTCCAACACATCGAACTTTTGAACAGGAGGATTAACAGTTAAAGTATTAGCCGCAGCAGTGAACCCTACTAAGTTTGCCAATGGGTCAAGTGTATATACCTCATTTGGATACAACTCATTAGGATTGATCTGAATTGGTAATTTTCGACTTCGCAAGAGACGGATCATATCATGCAAGTACAAGGTTCTGAAGACCGAAGCAGACTCAAGAGATCTCCAGTCGTTTTTGTCTAGCTGCCCATTTAGGAACTCTTTTTTCCGTTCAATTTCATCCTTCGAATATCCCTTCAGGGAGATAATGAGCTCCACTGTAGCCTTATGGTCTTTATCTGTCATAAATACTATCCCGTTATCCTTTATTGTAACAGATAATCCAACAACGTTGGAATAGAAATTGGTAGCCTCTTCTAATAAATCTTCATTTCCAACATAATAGGACACACTCGAAGTTCCATTGACAATTGGAACAGTCATTTTAATTTAGTCCACAATGGTCAACTGTGTTACAGAGAGAGCCTTTATTTAATCAAATTAGAGTTAGCAAAAGTAGTGATCAGTGCGGACCAGTGCTGTGCGCTGTATGCCTGCCACTTCCAAAAAAAAAATGAATGAGCGAAGAGAAGAAGAAGAACACCAGCAACACTTCGAAATATAGGTTAGAGCCAATGCTGGTCTACATCCTCTCTTTTAAGAAAGAGGAAATGGCTTCGGCGATCAAGTAATTCTTGATGAAATAAGATTTGGCTCAGTCAGCTGCAAAATCTCGTGATATAAAATCTCGGTCTCAAATATACTTCGTGATAAGCACTTATAGAGTGCTAGCAATTGATTTTTCATAGTAAATATGAGTATGTGATTTTTCAGAAATTTTTTAACTCTAACGGTGGAACATTTCTCGCTCTACTATCCGACAGCCTACGAGAAACTAGCAATTATTAGTATCAACTTCGTTTCGCTAGATTAGAATAAAAGGCACGAACTATGTCAGAGCAACAGAATACACCCTCTTCAACACCAACGGCGTTAGGAGACTACTCGAAGTTGAGTATTCCAAGTTTGCCGGGTGTAACACCAGAATTGCCAAAGTCGAATGGCTTATGGTCATCGAACCCAGTTTTTTCATATTTAAATGATGTCTATATTACAATTAGGGAACACAGAAACTCATTAGGCTTAAACAACCCTGGAACTATTGAAAATTTGAACAAGGAAGTAAGTCGTGATGTTTTTTTGACTCAATACTTTTTTACCGGTTTGAGAGCTGATTTAAACAAAGCTTTTTCAATGGCACCAGCCTTCCAGACATCGCATACCTTATCGATTGGATCAGCAGTTTTGCCGCTGTATGCATTTTCTGCTTTGTATGCTACTGATGACTACTTTGTTCAAGGTAACATTGATAATGAGTATTCATTCAGTGGAAGAGTTAATTATGGATGGGATAAACATAATATCTCAAAGCTCACTTTGCAATTAGCCAATGGCCAACCTGCAATGTGTCAATTAGAACAAGATTACATGGCATCAGACTTCTCCATTAACTTGAAAACATTGAATCCCTCATTCTTGAACGGAGGGTTTAGTGGTGTTGCTGTAGGTTCATTATTGCAGTCATTATCTCCTAAGTTATCAGTTGGTTTGGAAGCTATGTTTTCCAAACAAGCACCTCTGGTTTCTCCTGATAGTGCTGTTTCGTATGTCGCTCGTTATAATGCCGGAAACTGGATTGCTTCTGCTCAGTTACAGGCTCAAGGTGCATTAATTGCTTCATTCTGGAGAAAAGTGACTGATAAAGTTGAGGCTGGTTTAGAAACACAAATTGCTGCTACTGTTAAGCCGGTAACAGACTCTTTAATGGGTACACCGATCGGATTTGAGCCTGTTGTTGAGGGACAGACTACCATTGGTGCAAAGTACGAATATCGTCAATCCGTCTTCAGGGGTCAATTAGACTCTTTGGGAAAAGTTGGTGTTTTCATGGAAAAAAGAGTTCTCCCCACAGTGTCAATTTTATTTTCAGGTGAAATTGACCACAAGAAAAACGCTTCAAAACTAGGTGTTGGTTTACAATTCGAGGCTGCAGGTAATGAACAACTAATGATGATGCAACAAGGCTTGGTCGATGCAAACGGAAACCCAGTGCCAGGCGCGCCTCAGTTAAATTGAGCTAAGGTTTATTAAAAGACAAATAACCGGGTTGGAGGAATGCATTAATGTAATCAGATATTAATGTTTCCGCCTTTGGGGTAGACATATGAAATTGCTCCATGGTAAGCTACTTATTATGCTATCACTCGATTACGAAACTTTGTATATATTGTTATAATTCCTTTCATTGAACTGAATACTACTATTAAATTAAAATTGTAGATATATGATTTGACTTTTATTGTGCGATATAATGCATTATCTTTTACCAACCAAAGAGCCGGGAAGCAAAGTTCGAATTTCCATTTTTTTTTGGCGTGTTCAGGTTGATATCATTAGCTTCGTCAATATTATGGGAATGTGAGGTTACAAGCTTGAAAACATCGAGGCTCTTTAAATTCAAAGAGTCTAAACCCTTGGAATCTTTGTTGGGAAGGCGGGATGTTTTTCCATTATACATTGATGTACTGGATTTATAATTTTCTCGATTGTCAGACAGATACAAAGATGCTGCTTTCAAGTTGCGTGTAGATGAATGAATTGTCGGTAAGCGTTGGTAATTGACTGATTTGGAATCGTCCATGGCGCTCGCTGAATTCCTTTGAGCTATAGACTTGTAAATGCTTTTATAGGTATTGCTTAAATCTGTGCCTTGATATAAGCTACTCGCAAGACTGTAATTTGATTGGGACTTGGGCAATCGCTTTTCAGCCCAATGTCCATCTGAAACATGTAATCCACTTCTTGTAGATGTTATAGACTTTTGTCTGCCACGATTATGAATTCTGTTATACTCACTTAAAGAAGTCTTCGGAAACTCCTCTGAATCATTCGAAAATTTTTCATCTAGTGTAGAAGAATTTAGTGCTCTGGCATAATTCCCAGGATTACGAAACGAAGTTGCAATTGATCTGGTCCTAGATGGTGGTCGGGACCTTGTAAATGTTATCGATTTTGTAACAGAAGCGTTTTCTTCATATTCTTCCAATAACGAATCCATTGAAGATTCGGATTTCTGATCCTGGTTGATTAATTTTGATTCACAACGAGGATGGTTATGAGAACGTTGTGGAAAAGGCTGTAAAAGCAAATTTGTTGATAACTGAGGGTTTCTAGAGCTGTTTGAAGCGACGTTTGAAAGCTCAAAACTTGCCATGGCACTGCTGATAGATTGATTCGAAACTTTTCTTGTTAGCGGCCAATGATGTACGGCATTTTGACTTTTGAGAGGACTTTCGGCTATCGTATCAGTGTATTGTATCGCATTTGGAGAAAGCGGAGCTGAAGGAGGAGAATCGGGGATATTATTCGAAATCTCAGAAAATAAATGATTACTTACAATTTTTCTTTCATTTTCCTTTAGTGGTTGATTATCCCCATAACTATTCAAGGGTAAAGTGCTATTGACATTTTTATCATTTTTTGAGTCTTCTTTCACTTTGGACGAGCCGTAATACAAGTTTCTGTAATGTACTATTCCGATAAGAGTCCTTTCAAGGACTTCGATAACATTAGGCTCATCTGAATTAATGAAGATCTTCCAATATCTTTCAGGGTTAACTAATGGAAGAATCAATTGATTGAAACTGACCCTGAGAATTTTTATCTTAGGAAGTAATGGATAAATGAATGATGGTCCACACGAAAGATAAGTTACGTCTCCATTATGCAATTGAAATATTTCAAATTCTCCATGACCCAATAAGCGACCAGACGAACTTGGTGGGTCATTCAACTGCTCATCATACACTAAAATTTTGGATGATTTGTATTTAAATAAAGTAACTCTTGAATTCATGTTTAAGTCTTTCTGACTAGGGACTTTGGGTTCCTCGGTCCTTTCTGATGTATGCATAACACTTCCTTTTCCTTTCAAATTATCGCGAGCTGCCATGATATAATTATCACCGACCTGTAAACCATCGCTGCTTTTCTTGTATCTCATTATTGATTGTCTTCTAGGGCTCAATCCATGTTCTGGAGTGGCAGGAGATACCAAGTCTGAACTAGGCACTTGCGAGTCTTCAGGAAGAAGACCTTCAACAATCGATATCTTAAGTTCACTATTTTGGGATTTGGCTACCTGATCAGCTTCATCACCGAGATGCTGACTAACATATAACTGGTCATTCTCATCAACACTTATATGCTCATTTTGTTTACTATCAACCGATTGTTGAACCAATTGATTTTGGTTCTTTTGCTTGCGCTTATTGCGGCGCTTCCTCTTCTTTGGCTGACTTGGAGTGGGTTGTACTTTATTGGCGCTTGGCGCTTCCTCTTCTTTACTCTGAAGGCATTTAATGGGTTGAGACAGTATGTTTTTGTTTGCCCGGTTTACTTCTGTCAGATCATTTGGAACCAGAGAGAAAGAAAGACCGGATTCATGTATGTTTCCGCCACTATGAGTACTGACGTCCTTCTTGGGTGGACCCATTGTTAATCATTTATAACACTAGCTTAAACAAATGTATCTCTTTAAGTGTTTTTTTGAAATTAAGTTATTTCGAATTATATTGTCAATGCGCGGCCTTAATCGTGGGGTCAATACATTAAATACTACGAGTATGGATTAATTATAAAGAAGATATACCGAGGGATATGACAAATAGGAGGACTATGCAGCCATCATTAGATGTAGTTTTACAGAAATTGTAAATACTGTTAATTTAGCTTGTAGGTCGATCAAAGTGTGATTCACAGAATTGTAGTCGGCTGGTTGCCCAAAGCGCTTTCCGCATCCAGACTCAAGATAGGATTATAGCTGACACCTCTTGTATTGATCGCCTCAGTTTCTGGGTAATATGTAACAAGACCCTCAAGTGACAGAATACCACGAGACACTTTACTTTCAATATACAAGATAACCTTCGATGGAGGATATAAGATCCTTAGATATCCGTGCCCGAGAAGAAAACCAGATGAGATGCCAGCGAGGTGACCAAAAAAAGACGAGCTAGGTATCAAAATTTTGCAAATGATGAGGGCGGCAAAGGGTGAGTATAGTGTTGGTATCTTAACCTCTCTCCCTGAAAGCTGAAAGGAATAAATATAGGGTCTAAACTGATACTCTTTGTAAGCAAAATAACTTATAAACAGGAATATGATGCCTGAAATTCCAATAATATGAGTATTAGGATATAGCAATAAACCAACAATGCAATATTGTAATCCGGCAGTGACTGCAAGAAGATTCAAAGTAATCCCAGTGTAAACTGTACCATGTGTCCTTTCAAACATTGAAATTAAAGGAAACAATCCAACTGCGTTGAAGAGCCAATGTAATAAGCCTTGATGAACAACACAATAGAATGAAAGTCTATTCAAATCAAACTTTAACGGAGCATACGGATACAAGGATAATGTATGACTCAAGGCATGAAGTGTAATGAAATCTAAAATTAATAAAATAAATGTAAATAATGTCAATCCTACCGACAACGCTGGATACTTCGAAAGAGTTGAAAGCGTAGGAACTCTTAGCCGCTCAAGGTCGCTTCCAAAGTTCATGGCTATCAATTTCTATTGCTCTTCTTACAGAAGTATATATAAAATAAGGGAAGAAAATATTGCACTGAGGTATCGCGGTCACAAGACGTGTTGAAAGTATTCTTCCTACAGTCTATGTTTAATGCAAAAATTTTTGTTCTTTATTGAGTAATTAGCAATAATGCTATAGTCTACTTTACAATACCATAGGCATGACCGAGATGGTTAGATATCTAGTTAAATTACGATTAGTTATATCTAGTCCAATTCTCTGTTGACTCGGTCCTTGAAGTTCTTTAAAAATTCCAGCTTCTTGCGGTTACTGCATTTTAATGATTCTATCATCTGTTGCCTATACTTAATGGATTCATGGATACCATCAATTTCCTGTAAATTTTGTTTGAGCTTAGAAATTTTCAATCGTATGCTTCCAGCATGAGAGTCAATATCTTTTGCCAGTATGACTCCTGTCTGTAAATCATGTAGTAGACCAAATATGTCCGATAATAAATCAAAATTCTGAATCTGCGCTATAGGATCCACCTGTTGAGTATGCTTTTGGTCCGCTGTATTGTCTATATCCATATTGCTTTCTGAAACTTTCACTTTGCTCTTAGGAGATTGCGACTCCAACTGATGATCGGGCAGTGAAGGTGAATGTGGCTCAATGAAGCTCATCACTGTTACCAAGGCTACCCAGTGTTTTTAATTAGTTCTTTGCAAAGTAAACGTGTTGTTGATTATCATTTTAAATCGTCCCTCAATAATCCTCATGTTCGCTTACCAAGGAAAAAAAGTAATCTCTAATTTTGGTTTCCAGCCTATTTTTATAAACAAAAATTGCATGTAACAAAAGAACTAGAGTATAGAAATGGAATTTGTTTTGTCCCTAATAAGTTCTTGCCTACCTTGCTTCCCCGACTTGTCCTCTCCCTATATATCGATAAAGAACAATAAATATAAGATCATTAGATTGTTGGGAGAGGGGGGATTCTCATATGTCTACCTAGTTTCTCATAAGTCTAATAACAACTCGTTATATGCATTGAAGAAGATCAGGTGTCCATATGGAGCAAGCGACGAGTCATACAAAAATGCTATGAAAGAAATTAGAAATTATCATAGATTCAGCAATTCCAAAACACCATACATTAATCAATCAATCGAAGAAGACATTGTTGATCAAAAGGATGGGTCTAAAACTGTTTACATATTGATGCCATACTTCGCTAAATCACTCCAAGATATAATCAATTTCAATGTCTTAAATAATCAATCAATGGAGGAAGACGAAATATTGAGAATATTCATCGGTATTTGCCGAGGACTAAACGTGATGCACAAATTCAAGCGGTCAGGAAGATCCGTAGCAGCAGTATCAGACAATCAAGACGATGATGAAGCGGATTTTCTTCTTCCGGAGGTGAGCGACGATGAAGAATATGCAAACAGCACCTCAAATGGGACAGAGTTGGAAGAGTTAACGCCTTTTGCTCATCGAGATATCAAGCCGGCAAATGTAATGTTGTCAGCAGAGGGATTACCTGTTCTCGTTGATCTAGGCTCATGTACCAAAGCTGTAATAGTCGTAAAAAATCGCCAGCAGGCTCTTACATTAACTGACTTTGCTCAGGAGCATTGCACCCTTCCATATAGAGCACCCGAATTACTTGATGTTGCTACCAATTCAGTTATTACAGAGAAGACTGACATATGGTCTCTAGGATGTTTATTGTATTGTTGTTGCTTTGGCTTTTCGCCTTTTGAAAAAATGGAAATGGACCAGGGTGCTAACCTTGTCATGGCGATTTCTCAGGCTACATATAAATTTCCGTCAGATACCACAGGTTACTCTCAGGAATTGCTTGGTATAATAAAGGATTGCTTGGTTCTCGATCCTGTAATGAGGCCCTCAGTTGATGATTTGATGGAGAGAGCTTTGACCTTATCCAATGTATAGCATAGATCATCTTATGTCACGTGTTTCAATCTCGCATGTATCATAATCCTAAACTTAACTTACTATAGAAATCTGACGTAATAAATTAAAGCTGAAGCATAAGCTTACATTGATATTGGGGGTTTCATATATCTTATATACTTATATCAGCATTCTCATATTATGACTTTAGGGACCAACGAATCTGGGAATGTTGGTGGCTGGAATGATTGTCCAACTCCAATGTTGTCTTCCTCAGGATCGGTCAAATTATCAAGGCGAAGAAACCAGAGAGTCAACCATATTTTCGGAGACATTTCCAGCAATGAGTCCAATTCAAGTTTGTCTAGTCCCTCAGATGGCTTGAAGCACCCTAACTCTTCTAAGGTGCTGCACTCTCCGGTTACTGGAAGGTCAAACGTGGACCTACAAATACACAAAGATATTGAGTTAAATTCAAATATCGATGTTCACGAACGCATACAAAGGCTCTTTGAGCTTCCAAGCCTTTTGGCTTCAAATATCCTAGATGCACACCGGAAAAAACTACAATCCACAGATGAGACAATATTACGTAAATATGCAACATTTATTGATGGAATAGTTACAGAGGCAGATCTCATTAGTCGCGGTGAATCAACAACCAGTGTTAGGAAATTAAGGCAAAAGATTGTAGATTTTATGATTCTTAATGATGGCGTTAGCAGCTGGAGCCTTCCATTAAAAAATGTTATAGAGAGTTTGGATGTGAACTTTAGTTAAATTCTCGTATTTATATACTATTAAAGTCGAAATATGAATCTTGTTTAAATATGTACCCATCAATCCGTTCATGCTCTCTTTCTTCTTCCTATTTGCGCCTGGAAACCAGTCTTAATAGAAGATACTGATCTAGTAGAACCACAAGCTTTACAGCTCAAAAAATGTAATCTATTTGCGGACTCCCTTTTCAATTCAGTGTTCATAGATTTGCAAGTTTTACAAGTCACATATTCCATAATATATCTTCTTAAAACAGATTCCATTTGCTTCGGCTGAAACTTACCTCTCAAAACTAGTCTCTTTTCACCATCGATTGAACCTGAAGTACCTAATTCGGCAAACAAAAATTGTATCAAATGTTCAGGATTTCTTTGTAAAACCGTAGCAATATCTTGAACATTTGCGAATAATGTCTTCTTTGAGCCTTCTCTTTGACAGACTGGAGGAGGAATACGGAATTTGGGGCCCGATCTATCACCTGCCAATTCTGGGTTATTTTTCTTTAAAATTGTGAAGAAACGGTCCAAAAGCTCATTATAAGATAATCCACCAGCTTCTTGAGCTGGAGATTCATCTACTGGAGAAGCTACACCGTTCAGTTCTTCAAATCCTGCTTTTTCTAATTCTTGGTCGAAATCGGTGGCGTCCAAATTTTTTGGAGATTTCTTCTTTTTCTTTTTTAAAGAAAGCTCTCCAAGAGAGGCATCTATATCATCTGTTATATCAGCCGATGAGCTATTTGATGTTTCATTTTCTATCTTTTTGGATTTTTTCTTCTTCTTTAAACCTGAAAACATATCATCTGCTTCAGTGCTTGGAGAGGGAGATGTCGTAGAAGATACATCTTCAACCTTCTTAGATTTCTTCTTCTTTTTTGAAGATGGATCAAAACCTAAATCGCTCATATTAAACGCAAGTTTCGTATTAATAAGATATATGCCTAGTAAAGAATAAATAGTTGGTACCTGGGAAAAAATTTGATGATTCAACTTTTAACATATTCGACTTCGCACTACTTCTATATAAAATGATAAATACAGTAGGGCCCCAGAAATTTCGAACCTTCTCCCATCTTCTCTTTACAGACACATGTATGACCCATAGATATAGGTCTTTATACAAAGGTTATTTATTCAAGCTTAGAGACTCTGTATCTTCCACAATGCCCTTAGGATTTGCTAAATTTGCAACTTCCTTCTCAGTCTCTTTGCTTTCTGTCCCAGGAGTATACGTGATTTTTGTGTTCTCTTCGTCTTCAGTGATATTTACCTGGTCCTCTAAGGCGAATGTCTGTAGCAACCATTCACTTACATCTTCTTTATTGTTGCTCTCTGCTTCGTAAACGGCATCATGACCTACTTTGTTTTTCACAAATGGATCCACATCAAATTCATTACACAATAATTTGACCACATCCAAGTGACCATTATAAGAAGCCCAATGTAATGCGGTATTACCGCTTTCATTCAAACATGAAGCCAATACTTTAGCATCATCCGTATCCAAAATTGAAAACAAAAAACGAACAAGTTCTAAATGTCCATTGCCTGCAGCCATATGGAGAGTAGTACTCAATGTAATATCATCTTTGATATTCATTAACATGCTTGCGGGAATCTCACTGAATATTTCTTTTATTGTATCTAAATCACCTTCTCGTGCATCATACAAGATAGCATCCATCTCTTCCTGAGTCAATTTTTCTATTCTGTCCTTTTCCATATTGAACGATTTTCCTATAATAAGATGAAGTCTGACCTAGGAAATGAAAGAAAGAGAGTTATATATATTGAAAGACGATTATAGCTCTCTCTAGGTAACAGCTTGACAAAGACTCTGATCAAAAAAAAAAAAAATACTTTTGTCGATGGACCTGTATGAAAGGAGATAAAACTATCACTCTTGATGGCGAGTTAATGTTAAGTACTCGTAGATAAAGGTAGAGCAATGTCTGGTTCAAGAGAAGGTCGAGCGGACAACAGAAATGAGCCAAAGAAAATGAATCCGTTCTACTCTGAGCCTAAGAAGAAAACAATCCGAAGAAATGCCAAGGAGGTTTATCCTCACAAAGAACAATTACGAAAAGGGTTGAATATACCTCAGTACAACTCAAACCTGCCTTTGGATTATTTGTTCCAAGAAGTTGAAAAAGCTGTAAATGAGCCCATGGAAAAGATCAATATTCAAACTCTTCACACTCGATTTCTGTTAGATAACAGCTTCAATCAGATAGATCAAAGATACCAAGTGGTCGAGAAGCTACTCAATATTCTTCTTGATATCCAAACACTTTCTAATGAGTCAGAAATACTGCAATCTGATAAAAACCTAGTCAAGATATCCTTACACGACATCAAAACATTTGGCAAGGTGTTCAACTTAATCTTGTTAATTGGAATACAACCTGCATTGGAAGCTTTTAAAATAGGTATTCCCATTGAGAAAAGAATGCTTAGAGGCTTTTCGAGTTCTAGCATAGACATTCATATCCCTAAATTTCCTTTGGATTCGATAGAAGCTAATAAGAAGCATGAATACAGTGAAAAATTATTGATTCTCTGTCAAAGAAAGCTTTTGCATTTGTTCACAGTTGAATCGGATGTCAAAGATTTGCTTTTAAGGGGAACTGGTTTCTCTGATTTTTTGACAATTACAATTGCATTAATAACAGTTCCGGAGTTTGACAAGGCAAGGAGTGATAGTTTACTTCGAGATTTTGATGATATATGCAACTTGTCTGATACATTTGAGCTTTATCAAACTTATACATTGTTGATTAGTACTGCCTCACCTAAATACTTTAAAGAATTTGTCATGGATAAATTAAAGCTCTTGCCGTTAAGGGCTCCGAGAAAGGACGGTGTTTTAACATTAATTGAATTTGTATTAGGTTTACGAGAGGGTGATGAAATTAACGTTGAGAAGTTTGACCATGTTGCCAATGTAATATTATTGAAGCCGAAGACCATTTCTAGCACTGATTATTTCACGAACATATGCAATCAATTTTACAATCTCCTTGTAAACATCAATAAACCTATAGTGACAAGCTGTATTGGATATGTTATCGAAAAGCTTTATTATAAGAATAAATTAATTGTACATGATTTCTTATTCAAGAGAATATGGCAAAATTTTGATCCTAGTGAAGGAAAAGACGTAAGTGAATCCCAATTAAATAACAATATTAATGTAATTATTTCCTTGTCGAATGAAGGATTACCAGAAGAGATATCCACTTTATTGTTTAGACCAATTTTACTACCCTTATGGTCATATTACAGCTTTACTAAAAAGAAATCTAAATCAAATGAAGTCGTTAAGGAGATTCTTGTTGGCTATTTGGCTACGGTAAACAGTGCCCTGGATGAAGATAGTAGTCTTGATATGATTTCAAAAAATCTTCTTTATGAAAATGATAAGTGGCAATTTGAAGTTGGGGCGAATGGGCTTATTCAAATTTCCTCAAGGAAGTTTGAGCTCAAATCAGAAAGCAAAGATAAACGAATCAATAGGTTTCTAAATGATTTAGACTTGCAGTGCCAATATTTTATTGAGTTGCTAAAGAATTTGGATGATGACTTAATTCAAAGATTATTTGTGCATGTCTTAAAAAGATGGCTAAAAATATCTCGTGAGCCTGCACAATTGGATATGGAGGACAACCCTTTTATGTCTTTGATTGATCTCCGTTTATTGGAAACTTTAGTAAAGGAATTCGAGGGCGTGCTTGCGAGAACTCCTTTTGAGATTCTAGAATTAGTAAAGAACCTATTAATGAGCTTTACGAAGAATGGCCAAAATACAAAATCGTCTATCATAGAGGAAGTATCGAGAATTCAACTTGATGATGACTCAGATAATGCAGAAGAAGAAGAAGAAGAAGAAGAAAATGATGATGATGATGATGACGAAGATGACGAAGATGAAAACTTACTCCTGGTCTATCCTACAGTGTTAGAACTTTTATCTGCTATCTTATCAGATTCTGCCCTTCTGCTTGACCAGCGTTCATCCCGATTATTGGAAGATATTTTAAAGCCCTTGAGGGTTTTAAGTGAACTGCTATCTTCACAGGCCATTAGGAACTCTGCCAATTCTTTGTTTGAAAGAATAACACTTCTCTTAAAGGGAGGAGATATCCCAGCTACTAGCACGAGAGATGCTCATGAGAAAATTTTAAAGAGAGCCATTACTAGCTTAAATGATCCTCTAGTTCCTATACGAGCGCATGGCTTGCATATTCTAAGGCAATTGGTGGAGCTCAAGAGCGATGTTATTTCACTAGATTTCGTGATTGAGCTTCATTTAATACAACTTAAGGACCCTGAGCCCTTTATATATCTCAATGCTATCAAGGGATTTGATAGCTTAATCGAATGGAATAAATTTGAAGTGTTGGATAACCTTTTACGCTTATATGGAGCACAAGAAGGTGAGCTCACCTTAGACGAAAGGTTGAGGACGGGAGAAATCATCCAGAGATTTACTCAGAATGAGAATAATCTTCTTTCTGGAGACATTGGGTCCTTGATCACAAGTTCAATGTTGAGATTAATCAGGAGATCGAATAATGACGCATCTGAAGTGGATAACACAATGAGAATGTCGGCGATGTCAATTTTAGGTGCGTGTTGCAGAGCCAATCCACTAGGAATTGTCGATAAACTTGAGGATTCGTTGGATTGCGCAATTGGTATTCTACAACTAGAAACTGATCAAAAGTCTTCTATAATGCGAAGATCAGCCATAGTACTTATTCATGACTTAATTATTGGCGTTTCTCAACTGAAGTTAGACATCTTCCCCCCACAATATAGAGAGAAAATATTAACGATTCTTAATTACATAAAAGAAACAGACAACGACATTTTAGCTAGAGATCAAGCTGAGACGACATTAAAGACAATTGGAGAGCTCATCCAGTTGGCGATGGAACCAGAGAACTTCTGAATTTTTTACTTTTGTCGTGTACATTTAGAGAGAGAAGTACTAAATAAATAAAATACTTTAATATCTGTAAGTGATTAGTTGGAAATTGATAACATCACGTGCCATAATAATTTAGTCTAGAAATTTGCCGCTAATGAGTGTCAATCTTGTTATACAACAGACATGCCCATTACGAAGGCGGGATTAACAGAAGAACAAAGGCATCGAATTGTAAGTATTTAAAAATATTTGATTTCAACCGGAATTTTCTTTTTACTAATTAATCAAGGAAGCTAACAGAAAGAGGGCTGTTGAAAAATTGAAGTCCCATCAAGGAAGCAAAAATGTATTGGGACAAGAAGCTCAAAGTACCTTACTAACACCCAACCCAAAGGCTGATGGCTATAATGATAGCCACAAACGACCCAAGCTCACATTGACCCCGGAGCAACGAAGAAGAATAGAACAGAACCGACAGAGAGCAATCGACATTCAGAATAAGAATAGGCAGAATAAAAGGGATGCATCAGGAACGGAGGCTCATAGTCAAAATATTCCCATAAGGAACTCAGGAACACAAGTTAAAAGAAGTGACAAGCCAATAGGATTGAAACCTTCGATAAATAAGAAGGATTACATTGAATATGATTTTTCAACCATGAAAGATACACATGGCGGGTTTATATCTAATGAGGATACGTCGTTAAATTTAACAACTTCAGGTGAGGGCACTTCGTTAGAAGAGTGGAAAGAAAAGCAAAAACGAGAGCATGTGGTCAGAGAGCTAGCCCCTCCTATGGACATTGCGAATGCTCCTAAATGCTATGAGTGTGGATCTTTAGAAATAGACCCTAACTTGTACACCAACTTTAATAATGTTCGAGTGTGTAGGAAATGCGAAAAAGAAAAGCCCGAGAAGTATTCTCTTTTGACGAAAACGGAGTGTCGGGAGGATTATCTACTCACAGATCCAGAGTTAAAGGACACTAGCTTATTACCTCGGATAGAAAAGCCCAATCCTCATGGATTTTCGAGAATGCAGCTCTTTCTTCGATTCCAAGTAGAAGAATTTGCGTGGAAAAAATGGGGCTCATCCGAAGGATTAGACGCAGAATGGGAGAGACGTGAGACCATGAGGCTCAAAAGAAGAGAAAAGAGATATGATCAACTGCTCAGAGAAATGCGTAAGAAAACAAGAGCAGAAGAGTATACTAGAAAGCTTAGGAATGGAGAAAGCATCGGTGAACGCCATGTTCATGATTGGTCGGCACCGTTGGCTGTGCCAGGTGAACCCAGACTCGTAAAAAAGAGATGTATAGATTGTGGAGTAGAAACAGAAGAAATGATAATATAAGGTTGTTTTATTCCCTTAGAATTGGGAATAGGTATTTTGAACGTATATAGAACTCTAAGGAACATACCGGAACCTATTTAATTTTTAGCACCCAAGTATTCGCATTGTGTAACTAATGTTTTTTCGAACCAAATTTAAATATGGAAGCCCATGGAAGGTTCTATATTGAATTCGAACTGTACGTCGACCAGATTGCACCTGCGGTATATAAAGGTGAAACATCATCCTAAATCAAACGCATTGATACCCTCATACAGCTGAGTTCATAAAACTTTAATTATCGATATAATCAACGAAGATTCAATATGTCTGACGCTAAGGTTGAAACCCATGAGTTCACAGCTGAGATCTCTCAGTTGATGTCCTTGATTATCAATACTGTGTATTCCAATAAGGAGATTTTCTTGAGAGAGTTGATTTCCAATGCATCGGATGCTTTGGATAAGATCAGATATGAAGCACTTTCTGATCCATCTAAGTTGGAAACCGAGCCTAACTTGTTTATCAGAATTACCCCAAAACCGGAGCAAAAAGTCTTAGAGATTAGAGATTCAGGTATTGGTATGACTAAGGCGGATTTGATTAACAATTTGGGTACGATTGCAAAATCAGGTACTAAAGCTTTCATGGAAGCATTATCCGCTGGTGCTGACGTCTCTATGATCGGTCAGTTCGGTGTCGGTTTCTACTCCTTGTTTTTAGTAGCCGACCATGTTCAAGTTATTACTAAGAACAATGAAGACGAACAATACATTTGGGAATCTAATGCTGGTGGCAGGTTTACGGTCACCTTGGATGAAACAAATGAAAGAATCGGACGTGGTACTATAATCAGACTCTTCTTGAAGGAAGATCAATTAGAATACTTAGAAGAAAAGAGAATTAAAGAAGTTGTTAAGAAACACTCCGAATTTGTTTCATACCCAATTCAATTGGTCGTAACTAAGACCGTTGAGAAGGATGTACCGGTCGAAGATGAAGAGAAAGATAAGGAAGAGGAGAGCAAAGATGACGATAAGAAACCGAAGTTGGAAGAGGTCGAAGAGGAGGGTGAAAAGAAGGAAAAGACGAAAAAAGTTTCTGAGGAGGTCACAGAAACCGAAGAATTAAATAAAACAAAGCCTTTGTGGACTAGGAATCCTGCTGATGTTACTCAAGAAGAGTACAATGCGTTCTACAAGTCGATTTCTAATGACTGGGAAGATCCATTGGCAGTTAAACATTTCTCTGTCGAAGGTCAATTGGAATTCAGAGCTATTTTATTCATTCCAAAAAGACCACCTTTTGATGCTTTCGAGTCTAAGAAGAAGAAAAACAACATCAAGTTGTATGTCCGTCGTGTTTTTATTACAGATGATGCTGAGGACTTGATTCCTGAATGGTTAAGTTTTGTTAGGGGTGTTGTTGACTCTGAAGACTTGCCATTAAACTTATCAAGAGAAATGTTACAACAAAACAAAATCTTGAAAGTCATTAAAAAGAATATCGTCAAAAAGTTGATTGAAACTTTCAATGAGATTGCTGAAGACCACGAGCAATTTGAGAAATTTTATAGTGCTTTTTCAAAGAATATCAAATTGGGTATTCACGAAGATCAACAAAACAGAGCTGCTTTGGCTAAGTTATTGAGATACAACTCTACAAAATCAACCGAAGAGCTCACTTCATTAAGTGACTACGTTACTCGTATGCCGGAACACCAGAAAAACATCTACTATATTACTGGTGAATCCATCAAAGCCGTTGAAAAATCCCCATTCTTGGATGCTTTAAAGGCCAAAAACTTCGAAGTATTGTTCATGGTTGACCCTATTGATGAATATGCAATGACTCAATTAAAGGAGTTCGAAGACAAGAAGTTGGTTGACATTACCAAAGATTTCGAATTGGAAGAAACCGAGGAAGAAAAGGAGCAAAGAGAGAAGGAGGTCAAAGAATTTGAACCTTTGACTAAGGCTTTGAAGGATATCTTAGGAGATCAAGTTGAAAAAGTTGTGGTGTCTCACAAATTGGTCGATGCTCCAGCCGCAATTAGAACTGGTCAGTTCGGTTGGTCCGCTAATATGGAGAGAATTATGAAGGCTCAAGCTTTGAGAGATACAACGATGTCATCTTACATGTCCTCTAAAAAAACCTTTGAAATTTCTCCAAAATCTCCAATTATTAGAGAATTGAAGAAGAAGGTCGAAACTGATGGTCCAGAGGATAAGACCGTTAAGGATTTGACTAACTTGTTATATGAAACCGCTTTATTAACTTCCGGGTTCTCATTGGATGAGCCGTCTTCTTTTGCTGGCAGAATTAACAGATTGATCTCGTTGGGTTTGAATATAGATGATGAGGAGCCTGCTGAGACTGAAACTGCAGGCACTTCTACTGAATCCACAGAGAATGCAGCTGAATCAGCTATGGAGGAAGTTGATTAGGTGAATATTATGAGTCAGGATAATCTAAATTCTTTTTTTTTCCTTATACTACCGATATTTACTACAAATATTTGTTTCCTGTTCATATTTAACGTGATATAATTATTGAGTTAATTTATGATATAATGCAATTAGATCGTAGAGTATTTTGCACGTGATGTAGCGATAATTTATAAAATCAACTCAGAATTTAGCTGAGAAAAGGTTTGGATTGCTCTTGGCTCTGTTTGTCGATACTATGGGTCTCTTCATACCCCAAGACAAATTTGAAAATTTGAAATTATACAAGTACTCTGCCGAAGATCATTCAATCATCTCTAAACATGTATTGAAAAAGTGGTGGAACAAGTTCGTTCAAGTATTTCCAATGTCCATGGCACCAAATGTCATCACATTACTTGGTTTAATGTTCATCGTAGTAAACTTGTTATCAGTTTTTTACTATGATCCTTATCTTAGTGACTCATCTCCTAGATGGTGTTATTTCTTTTATGCTTTCGGATTGTTCATGTACCAGACCTTTGATGGATGTGATGGTTGTCACGCCAGAAGAACCAAGCAAAGCGGACCATTGGGAGAGCTTTTTGATCACTCCATTGATGCAATTAATACTACTTTTGGAACTTTGGTGTTTGCATCCGTATTCAGAACAGGCTATGGAACATTGTTGATCCTAGCGCAATTCGCTTCAGTCTGTAACTTTTACATGTCTACCTGGGAAGAATATCACACTAAAACTTTGTATTTATCAGAGTTCAGTGGACCCGTTGAAGGTATTTTACTTTTGACAAGTATTTACATTTTAACTGGGATCCTTGGGCCAGATATCTGGCATGTGAAAATCTTTGAGTTAGACCTTTCTTCTCTCGGGTTTGATGAAGCATTTGAAGTTAACAGCTCTGTCTTCTGTATGGTCGCAGGATTGGGCGCTCTTTACTTCAACATAGTTGGCACAATGAAGAATGTCAAGAAGCATTACGAGAAGCAAAACAAGGGTAATCTTGCTAAAGCTAATGAAATATCCATGGTGGCTTATAGGGGTTTGATTCCATTTTTTGCTTACTACGGCTCAATAACTTTATTTTTGTGGTTTTATCCAGAAGTGCTGTCAAAACATTGCTTCCCACTAATTATTTCAATTGGCTGCACCATCGCATTCTCAGTGGGAAGGATAATACTTGCTCATTTAACGTTACAGAAGTTTCCGATAATCCAAGTTCCCATGTTCCTTCCTTTGTTCCAACTTTTTATCTCTAAAATTCTTATTTCCTTTTATAATTATGATGAGCACAAAGTATTGACAGCAATAAGCTGGTTGGGAATGGGGATGACATTAGGAATCCACGGTGTATTCGTTTCGGAGATCATCTACGAAATCACGGATTATCTCGATATTTATGCCTTGTCGATCAAATACAAGAAAGCATAGATAACAACGAAGTTTTTATCCACTATTTGTTTAGATATATTGCTTACATATAAATTTTCATTATAAAACATAACAAAAAGGCCCTTGAATAAAATTAAGGACCTATTTATACGGTATGTACAAGAGAGAGCACCATTATATTAAGCACTAGCGGGTTTCTTTTCATTGTTAAAAGCCGATTCTGACCCTGGAGCCAAAACTTCTTGTGCCGAGTTTTGTAATGACATTTCCTTTTCCATCTCTTGTAACTGGGTCTCAGCCAAAATTGCCAACGACAAAGGTACACTTAAAAGAAGTACAGATGAAGTAATACCCCATAAAATGCTTCCCCCTTTAGAGAATCCAGCGCTCAAATAATCTCCAAGAGTTTGCCCAGAAGATGCAATCTGATTTCTATGTTTTGGGGGGATGATATCCTTCAATGCAACAATTCTATCATAGAAAGTTTCATTCTCAATATCGAAGTCATCATCAAAGTCAGACTCGGATTCAGAATCACTGTCACTGAAGTGTTCTGATTTTGATGCATCATTATTCTCATTAAGTTTAGATGCAGTTGCATCATCGATTTGAGTTAACTTAACCATATTCAAAGAGCTATACTTTATTAGATGTATATTTGTTAAGGACTACTCTGAAGCTCACCTCTATCGAAAGCAACCGATTTTGACAAAATTTTAATTGGGCAACACACTACAAATTGAACATTGTACTACAAAAGAAAGTATATATTAATTAAAGCGTCATAGCCTGAATATCTATATCTTCTGAGGCAGCATAACCAAGATTTTTCATTTGGTCCCGATAGTTACGAATATTGTAGAACTGTAGAAGACTTCTGAGGGCAATTTCTTGATCATAAGAATTATTAAAGTCATTCTCCAAATCTCGGCCACTAAGCCAACTATCTTTCATTGATAGCTTTAAATTTAAATAAATCATGGAGATAAGGTCCATATTAACAGATTTCCATTTTCGACCTTGATAGGGGATTAATTTCTTCAACATTTTCAAAATTGGGTATGACAAATATTTATTTTGGTAGTTCATAAGAATCATCTTGAATAGTTCAGATGGCTTTTGTTCATTCAAAGCAAATATTCGCTGAAAGATGCTTTTGACTAGTATCTTATTCGCAATGTTTAATAAATTTACCATAACAAAGCAAAAGTTCTGATTGAATTTAGATATTTGAATACTGCTCGGACTATTTCTTTCAACAGTAGTTGGAAGCTTCAGGATGGATTCCCTATTTATGAATCTATAAGTAAACCTTTCGGGAATCTTGTTCAAGCAACGATTAAAGAAATCAAACTGAGGCAACTTGATTTCAGGATTCATTAGCATATTTTGGCTTATAATTATTTCATACTCTGCAATGCTATCGTCGATAATCGTAGTATTAGTGGGAACTTGTAAGTTTTGATTATTGAAACTTTTGTTGAGAAATTCGAGAAACACGTTAAAGTATTGCAAATCAAAAAGTATCGATGATAAGTAGTAATACTTCAACACATGATTTCTCTTAAACCACTTTAACATCAATATAATAATGCTACTACTTGCCTTCAAAGTCAAATGTCTTATCTTATAAAGCTCAACTTGTTGTAACAAAAAGGAATCAATGTCTTTCTTAGCGCCCTCATCATGATAAGATGCTGCAGCACATTTGTTGCTAAAGTATGTTTCTGAGTTTAATTCTAACTCTGAAAAATTGAGCCTAAAATCATAGTCCACAGCTTTAATGGTTTCCACTAACACTTGAACGAAGGAGTGAAGTCTAACAAAGTTTTTACTATAGAAGTCACCTGCTCTCAATATAGACTTGATGACATTCTCCTTATCGGGGTACTTCTTGAATAGCTCTTCATTATACTCAAACTTATAATCATCAGGCGGGGTTTCTTTATACTCATCAACAAAGCCTCTTTCTTGAGCCATAAATATTTGGCGCTCGTGCCATAATTGTTTATCAGAGTAGCTTTCATAAACAGAATCTTTTAAAATTGAATCAGCTTCTTGAATTGCAGCAGGAACTCTGATTGTATCCGATACTGGATAAATGAATGGCAACCCTTGGTTGACTTGATAAGATTTTCTAATTTTTTCTCCACCAGACATGTAATCAGAGGGCGTCAGAGGAGGAGAAGGGACAGGAGTAGCTATATGAACCGTTTGGGCAGGTAGCTGACTTTGTACTGAATGCGACTTATTAGGTCTCGGGTTTGCTATTAAATTAGAAAGTGAATTGGATTGATTATTGATTGCCATGAAGTAGTTATAGTTTCTCTCTATGTCTACTTGATCACTTTCTCCACATGGCGATTTCTGATGATAATATGTCGAAGGCTTTGAAGTCAATGAGTCTGTGTCACACAATGGATACTTGTCTATTAAATCTTCCCTGAATGTAAAATAGTCTAGAGGAGAACATGTGAGCTTATTCTCGGAGACTTCCGCTCCATGCTTATTGATAGTACCATGAATTTGGTTTAAAAATTCATCACATCTGTCAAGATGCTCAGAATCTCCCATTTCAATTAAGATTAATTTCCAAGCAATAAACAATAAGTTGCGAATCCTATAAGCTTTATTGGGTTTCCACTTCCAGCTATCGATTAAAGTGACAATAGATGTTAGTAAATCATGTTCATTTAATATCCCTTGTAATTCAGTATACTCATTGCTAGAGTCATGTCCCAATAGGACGCTCAATAGGAAGTATGTAAGTGTTAACAATTGAAAGTAATTTTCTTCGGTTAGCTTATCCAAATCTTCTGATTGTGATCTGTACTTGTCTGTTTTTACCCTGTCTTTCATAAATGAGCAAAGAGCTCCAATCAATGAATCGCCAAGGCCCAAATTAAACATGTACTTCATATTCTTATCAATTCCCGACAACTGCTGAGACTTCGTTGAAATATGTCCGTATTTTCCAAATGCAAAATATAGTAAGCTTTTCAAAGAAGCATTGAGTTCATTGCAATTCATTGAGGATATGCCTATTTTTGAGATGCAATCTTTGAGTAACTCGTACTCTGCATCTACCTCATTATATGTCTGTGAAAAGTCTTTGAGGTGTGCTTCATAATCTACTTGAAGAGTAGATATTCTAAGTTGATTTAAATCATGAGACGAAAACCATTCGTTTAGTTCAGTTCCGAGAACATCATAATCTTTATATTTGAATTTCAATTTCGACTTTGTTACCAAGAATTGATTAGAGCCAGATATAAAAGCTCCCGTGTGATCATATTGGGTTTCATTCGTATCAGAATTCAATTCTTCTCCCAAAGAATTCAGACTTGCTATTTGCTCAGCTCTTGCATTTAGCTTCTTCTGAAATGTCTCATCAAGAGATAAATTTAGCTCTGTTCTAGTCGAAAAATCTGGATTATCAATTAATTCATCTTCAAGCTTATCTATCAGAATAAGTTCATGCTGCATTATTGACATTTTTTTTGAATCCCTTTCAAAAAATAGATGAAAGGACAACCAAAGCTACGTATGGAAATTTACTGAAATATGTGGTTAAGTTACTCGACTATAATCATCCAATTATCAGTATTCCAATCATACTACTTTTAACTGACTTTTGTGCTTTCAAATTGATCGAAAATATTCGAATCGAGTAGCAATACTTCATCACGTGACATATTTATGTTGCCAGTCCATCTCAATTCAGTGGAGTATGTACGGTCTCGCTACATTTATAAACTTAGCTAATAAAGTCTAACATTACCCTCACCTCGTGGGCACCTTCATTTTCACTTATATCTCCTTGTTTTATTCTTTTAATAAAAAGAATATTTAGGAACTAACTCTCCATGTCTTTTAGTGGATTAGATCAAGTTATCAACTTAAGAGTGAAAGTGACTACCTTTTTGGATGAAACAATTACGGGGTCTATATATACTTTTAGTTCAACACACGAGGTACTAGTTTTGAAGATAATTGTCAATAAGAATACGAAGACAAAAAGCTATAGAATTATAAACACGTCGTTCGTCAAATCAATTCAGGTGTTACCTCCCATACCGAAAAAATATACGAATTGGAAGGATAATGAAAAGAATAGTTTCAAGGACTTGAAAAATATCTCCGTGGAGGATTTAGAGCATAAGATAGAAACTGCCCTTAGCGGTGACCAAAGAATCTCGCCTGATCAGGGAGCTAAATCATCAAGATTGGCATCTAAATTATACCTAAAGTTTTGTAACTTATATGGGAAGGAGCATGTAAAGTGGGCAGGAAATGACAACATTGTTCTATTTGACGAACTTAAGGTCTCAAGACCATTCACAAAGTCCAATATTCAATTTTTAGTTAAAAACTCGAAATTCATAGAGAACGTGCTGAAAGTTTTAAGTCAATTCTGGCTAGAGGCAGATGATGGAAGAAAGGGTGGCTGATTACTGCTACAAAATAAGGACAACTGAATATCCATTTGTATATAAGACTTCAAAAAATAGATCTATATCTAATAAATTACAACTAATAATTAAACACCCAACAAACTTCAACACTATCAAATAATCTACATCCTCGCTGATATGATCCCTTGAATCCATCCAATGAATCCCATGTTGCAAGATAACTTCCTTGTATCGCTTTCTTTTCTTCGGAACTATCACTCCGACTTTCAGGACTGAGAGAATCAGACATGTTCATTGTGTTCAAGGTTTCAAAATAGACGTTGAACCACGAGTAGCACCAATCCTTAATAGATATTCTAATATCGTTATTATTTTTATTGATAGTTAGCGCTATTGACGGCAAAAGAGTCAAATCACTCCCTTTGACAATTACATTTGTCTTGTTGGACAAATTGATGAACTCTTTCAATTCAAGCCCATAACAATCAGCCTTTAATTCCGAATATGTTTCAAGTCTCAAGTTAAGATTCGAAACTTTAGACTTCAATAGAGCATCGCTAGCGTTCTTTATTTTAATCATCGTGAGACGACATTCAAAGGGTACAGACAACTCTCCCGTTGAAGGATTAAAGTCAAAGAATCTCTGTTCATTGTCTTCATTAAAGTGAATAAAATCATCCCAATACTTCAAATATCGTAGCTGAGATATAATAGAAACCCCTTTGCCGCCAAATTGTTTCATTCGCTTCTCAGTAAATAAATGATTAGCACTTTCTGGAGTTACATTGTCATCATGAAGAACACTTTGGTACATTAAATAAGCGCAGCATATTGTTCCTGAGCGACCCTTTCCTGCTTTGCAATGTAGAACTGCAACATTGTCTGGGGATTTTGACAAAAACCCGTAAATCTCTCTTACGCAGTGAAGTAATAATTTTATGGTTGGTACCTGGTGATCAGGAAAAGGGTAATATGAGATTTTATTTCGCACGTCTTGCTTGATATAGCCAATTCCTTCTCCTCTAAAGTTCCATATATGCCAATCTCCATTTGATTCTGGTCCATGTCGACTATCAAGGAACTTTACAAGTTCATTTATAGGGTATCTATAAAACGACTTCACATAATGATTGACAGGACCAGAGCAAACGATCAACTGCGGAGTAATATAAGATAGGTCAAAATTTTTATTAGACTGTTCGTCATAGAAAGACTGATTGGGAGACGACACTATTGCTCTTAAGAATGATTTCATGATTTCTCTCTTGCTGCAGTTACATATTTATATTTAGACCACAAAATTTGAAATCTTCTGCGACCTCTGACGGCTGGACAGAAAGATTTAGCATAAAATCGAACGAAGAAATAATTAAACAAGTAATACACCACCATTATATATACACTCATAAATATACATATATAGATAGCTATAGCAAAACATATATACAAAAAGCTATCCAATCAAATTTGGATAATCCTTCAATTTACAAGAGAAAAGTTAAACGAAAAAGTCCATCAATCAAAAGTTATGAAGAAAAGAGATATTTAGTCTTTTCAATTGCACTAATTCAATATTAGTTTAGATGATCAGAAGTCCATGTGCGGGTTTATTTAATTTAAAACACCATTCTGCTTCATCACTTCTTCGATTTTCTTGGTTAAAATAGGATCGACTTTAATTCTCTTCTGCATTTTAGTGGCTTCAGCAAAAGATGTAGCTTGTACTTTCTCTTCAATAGTTCTAGCTAAGTTTGAAGATTCTTCGAATAGAACAATAGCGTCATCAACTTGTTCTTTCTGCAACTTAATCTGCGCCAATGAGATTCTAGCCAATTCTGATTTAGGGTCCAACTCACATGCCTTGGTCAATAAATCTTCAGCCTCATCCAACTTTTCAATATTTTCTCTTGATATCAATGTAGCCTTATTTATCAACGGTAAAGCCCCTACAGAATAGTTTGGCAAAACTTCTTGCAATCTTGCAGCAACATCAAACAGTTTACAAGCAGCAGGGATATCTCCCTTATCAGCTAAGATCTCACCATAGTAGTTAGGAATCTCCGGTGATGCTGGGAACTTCAATTTAGCTTCGTTGAACTTCTTTTCCGCACCCGCGAAGTCGCCATTCTTGTAGGTAATACAAGCCAACTGAACATATGCATAAACATTATTTGGGTTAAGATCCTTAGCCTTGATAAAATTTTCTTCAGCAAGTTTCAAATTACCTGTTAAGTAGTGTAATTGACCTAAGTGGTAGTAAATGTCCGGACAATTTGGTTCCATCTTCTCAGCTATTTGGAAATCAGCTATCGCTTCAGCAAATGAAGCCTTGTCAGCATTAATCAAAGCCCTGAAGATATAAGTCCTTGCTCTAGGTTTCAAAGTGATAGCTTTTTCAATATCAGCAGAAGCAGCAGTAGGATCATTCTTCAAGAATTTCATTGAAGCACTATACTCCAAAGCAATTGATGCCTTCGCAGCGTTAGGTGAATCAGGACCCAATTTCTCAACGTCACAAGCTTTTACAGCTTGGTTGAAGTAAGTATCTGCAGCCTCGTAGCCTTCAGGAGTGTTCGCGTTCATATTCTTTAATCCATCAAACAAATACTTATCTGCTCCTTCAGAATCCTCTGATATACCCTCAGGGTTTGTTTCTTCAACAAAGGCACCAAAGAACGATCCAATCGTGGATGCAGAGGGCAACTCAAGGACTCTATTTTTCAAGTTCTCTTCGACGATCTTGACTGAATGCTTTTTCAAAACCCTTTCCAAGACCTGTTCCACTGACTTATTACTAAATCCACCATAAATAGTCAATGCAGTTAAATCAAACATAGCATCTGTGTATTTCTCTAAAATTTCATATGAAGTAGCACGACGCAAAACACATTTAGTGTAATCAGGCTTGATCTTAATTGCCGCACTGGTATCCTTGATAACATTCTCATGATCATTTAATGCTGCGTAACATGCAGATCTGTTTGAATAGAAAACAGGATCAATTTTCAACTTCAAAGCAGCAGTATAGAATGCAATGGCTTCCTCGTATTTTTTACTCTTGAATCTAGAATTTCCGTCTTCCTTCAAAGCTGCTGCCCAACTCTCCTTCTCTTTCTCAGAAAGAGAATTCACCATGTCATCCGTGATAGCTGGTAGACCTTTATTGTCAACCGGGAAAAGCTTTTGTTGCGTAGGATCGGATTTTTCATTTCCATTTGAGGGACTAGATACATCGCCTCCAGTAGCTTTACCCTTCTTCTTCTTCTTGTTTTTCTTTTTCTTTGATGAAGTTTCTCTCAAGCTATCATCGATATGTTCTTGCTGTTGCTGGTAATACAAGTACGCGCCAATTGCGGATGCACTTGCAAGAATCGTCACAGCTACTGCTGCTTTGTTTCTGACAAAGAAATTTGCAGTGTTTGATTGTGACATCTTCCACTTAAGACTCGTTTCTTGGAACTATCAAACTTTAAATTTTTCAAAGCTGGATTGGCCTCTGTAAACTTTTTTTCACCAAAAATGACCGGACGTTAAGAAGATTTCGAAGTGGCCGTGCGACACAAAGAGGATTTGTCATTTCTTACATAAGTTTTCGTATCTTATTACATCTGTCAGAATGAAAGAACTAACTACATTAAGTCATGGCTGAAGTATCAGGCCATAGATTTGAGTGACGCCCCTATATTTTTACTTAAAGGATCCAGTGGACTACCAAAAAGTGATTCTGGAGTTGAAACATAATTAATATTAAGCTGAGTGTATTACTCAAGATTATGAGAATATTGCTCATGCTGTTGATACCTTCTACGGGCACTCAGGTGCTCTCTATCATCTTGATAAGTAGTCTCTCTCATAACATCATCATATGTAGGTAAGTTCAGACTTGGTAGTTCAAAATTGCTATCGAAACTACTTGGACTATGATATGAACAATTTGCACTAGCAACGGATATATCTGGAGGTGGAAATTTAGAAAGCGACGCTTTTTCGTTTGTGTTCACAGACAGCGATGAAATGTTATTGCTGGTAAGGGGTGGCTTAGCCATAGACAAACTTGATCCGGAAGCATTAGAATGCAAAGCACTTGTCATGCTTAGGCCACTCAAAACCTTGATATTGGGATATTGTAAATCAACGTACTTGATCTTCTTTTCTTCTTGGGGGTTGGTCATGTCTGTAACTTTTTCACACGAGAAACCTGCTGTAATACTTAGCTTATATTTCCTTGTGATATTACAGGTCTTAAAAGTTGGCGATAAATGATCAGTCAAAATACAGTTTTCAAAGTACTCCGGTGGGATTTCGATCTCATATTTATTCAGCGGTAATGCCCCTTTAGAACTGAATGCTGACGATGATGTTCCCCGTCTACAATCTTTTAAATCGAATCTCAAATTGGGATACATGTTATCACATATGTTAATAAGCTCTTCGTGTGTGCCTGTATGTATCTCGTTTGATGACCCATCTGTTTCCAAAACTGATATGATTGTGGTTGAAGTTAAGTCCACGATGAGTCTTTGCAAGTATACAACACCCAATCCATTGCTTTCATCAGGTTTTCCATACTCTGCTAATGTATACCTTGAGGGCCTGAGATCAGTCAGTAAATAAAGTTTGAAAGAAGGGGGCTTCGTAGGAATCAAAAAAGCCGGATGCCTGAACCGAGCTTCGAACGAGAAAGGAACATCTCGTGATCTAATTTCTGGATATGAAGCTTTCTTATTGCTATAGTCTTTCGGTGGGGTGGGAGGAGGAGGGGGAATAGTGGTTGCAGTGGAATCAAAGAATTTATGTAAAAATCCCTGCTTCTTAGGAATGACACGAGTCAGTGCTGGTGCTTTCTGAGGTTTCTCATTAGGGATTTTCACGCCAACAATTTCTGGAATCCTGTCTCTGAATATTGCGTCTTTTCTCAAAAATAATTCCTTATACTCTTCGTAGTCATTGCTCTGCAGCAAAGGCAAATTATGACTATCTAGATCCAACGGTAAGAAAACAAAGGGATCATAGGCTCTTAAGTTAGCTTTTAAAAAAGATGATCGCTTGCAAGTGACTTTCACAAAATATTTAATGGAAGCAAAATCATTCATTCCACTTAACGATGGAGGAAGTTGAGAAGTTATGTGATACTGTTGTGGCATTGGCTGTTGTTTAATATCGTCATTTCCCAAATTGTTTTGTAGATACAGCTGTGCCTTATTTCGAAAAAAAGTTGCGTCAAAATTCCCGTTATTTAATACAATATCAAAATTCTTACTAAACAGAATTTTATTTGTGATTCCCAGCATCTTCACGCAAGAATTGTTCAAAGGAATTTTAAATTCAAAAGGATAAACATAATTACCAGGTGCCAAAGTAAACTCTTTCGCCAGAGACTTTATGTTGCTCGGAGGGAATACAAGTACCGTGTCATATAAAACTTTGTGAGCGTCCTGTACTAGTCTATATTTTTTGTCACCATCTCTTCTATCTTTACGTCTCCTTCTATGATCATCACGTTGACCCCTCTGCGCTCGAAGAATATTAAGTTCTGTTTTTGAAATTCCTTCTAACTTCACTTGAATATAGTTCAAAGAGATTGCGCTAGGAACAGTCAATTTCACTTCGCCTCTAATAACATCGTAGTTTGTGAAGGTGCCTCCAGTTTGCGATCGATCTAATTCAACCTTCACCCCAGAAGACGACGATTTTCCTAAATCAAATTTACTCATTGTGAAACTACTAGCCTGTTATGCTTTTCCATCGCTTTAAACCTCTTAGTGACTACAATTATTAATTTAAGGGCAACTGGAATACTTATTACCGTGAGCTTCGTAATTAGGCTCGTAACCTGCACATAAGTTTGAAGGACAATACGAAGGCCGATTATTAAAGTTAACAGATACACATTTAAAGAGGAGTCAACCTAATCTATCTCAGTAAAAAAATATAAAAGAATATAATGTCAGCACCGCAGACTACACAAGTTGAAATTATTCAGGAAGGAGACGGTAAGACCTTCCCACAGCCAGGTGACTTGGTTACAATTCATTACACTGGTACTTTGGAGAATGGCAAGAAGTTTGACTCATCTCGTGACAGAGGAAAGCCCTTTCAATGTACCATTGGTGTTGGTCAAGTCATTAAGGGCTGGGACTATGCAATCCCCAAATTAAGTGTTGGTTCTAGGGCAAATCTTGTCATTCCTGGATCGGAGGCTTATCAAGAAAGAGGATTTCCAGGTTTAATTCCACCAAATGCTACTTTGTTGTTTGATGTCGAATTGATCAATGTCAATTGATTTAAGTGAAGTTCAAAAATCGCCTGTTTTTAAGTCTATATATAGCACATATAAAATTTATGATTATGCTGTGTCTATTGGTTTTTAACTGTCTATTTTCAAGTAAAGTACGTTCTCGTCAGTCACCACATTTTCAGATACTGGCAATGTTGGTAGGTTGACCTTGTAATTCATGTCAAAGACTCTTATGATAGGCAATTTGATGAGATTAGTCCCTGCTGAATGACTTCCACGGTATTTTATAACGTGTCTGTTAAAAGGCAATACTGGAAACGCATTTAAAACAAATGGGGTTCGGATCGTATCAATATTGAAATCCCAGCCTGAATCATCTTCGATATGTAACGATGTGGTGAACATAAAAATCCTCGGTGTGGGATTTTCAATGATATACTGCAATTGTGAAATATCATCCTCTTGATTGGTGACTTTTAGCAATACTCGAGGATCAGAGAGTGGAACTAGTGTTTTCCATTCCTCGCTAACGAACTCATTACTGGAGCCACCGTTTCTACTCCATTGAATTGTCGCAGATGCAGATACAGATACATTTCTTTGGGAAAACTCAGTCTTACTTGTGGTCGTAAAGTAGTGAATTAAACAATCAGCCCGTAGCTCTGTCTTCATAACTTCAATAACTATATTTCCATCGGCTGATTTAATATCCAATTGAACATTTTCAATTTTAATACTATGTGAATCCACAAGATCATTGATAGTCATTATTCCTTTCCACAATCTAGTTGGGACTGGAATATTATTTGAAATTTGATCAACATCTCCGTTACGTTCACCTGTACTTACTGAAACAAGAAAAGGGCATGGCATGTCATTAAAATTATCCGTTCGATAAGACGGCAAAATGGAGAAGTCGCACTCAAATGGGCTACCTATTATGGGCATTTTGTAATTGAAGGTGTCGTAAACAGCGGCGATGCTTTCACTTGAGTCGTCGTCGCCTTCGTATACGATAGTGATAATCTCAACAACAGCTCTCAAGTTGCGACATGTGAAATCCTTATTAATATATGGAGGAACAAGAATTTTTACGTTTAATTTATGCAGAGACGTGTTGCCTGATCCAGCAAATAGATTACCTACGTCTAAGGGCTCATCATCTTTAAGAGTATCCCAACAAACTCTTGCTTCGACTTTTGGCGTATAATCAATCTCATCAAGGTCGGTAACCAGTATTTTAGGAGATAGAACTATTTTTTTGTAGCAGAATTTCAGATTTAAAGTTTTAAACTCCAAGTTTAAAGGAAGCAGTATTTCTTCACCCAAAATTATCGGAAGCTCCTCACTTCTTTCTGTTGAAATAGCCATTTGAGGTTTTATTGGCAATACACTCATTGAGTGAGATGCCTTCCCATTCAATCTTACCAACAGCTTTCTCAAATATTGATAGCCACTATTTCGACTATCATCAGGGTAATAAAATGTAGCCTTATGGTGATTTGCGTCCATATCATTCAAAGGAACAGTTTCTCTTTTAATTATCTCCGTTCGGCCTCCTTCAAATATGATTACTAGTTTAGATGATATGGTTACCGAGTCAATGCTTATCTCACCGGTGCGTCTCGCAGGCTGCGAAAATTGAAATATTTTCACCTTCAGATCTGACATGTTTAAATTAGCAACACCAGTCAACATTTTGTCTGATATTTTCTCGACATCAACATTAGAGTTCAATGTCAATGATTCAAAGTTATTGTCATTTTTTAACAAAACATCCTCTAATGAATTTTTCGTAGTCTCAGAAGTTTTAGCACGAGAGTCGATGTTAAGATAAGTCACTTCTATCTCGTTTATTTGAAGTTCAATCTTGGACTTAACCGACAAAGAGTTTCTTAAGACATTTAAATCAATATTAGATTTGATGACTAATTGGGTAATGCAAGGATCATACAAATGCGCTGCTCTAGATAAATCCTTGTTAACCAAAAGAGCTTTGACATTCAAAAAGTGGCCCTCCGAACAGCTCATCAGGGTCAATTCCAGAGGCTGGACAGACAAGTGCGCGTAGGCGTTTGAAATAGGATTGCTATGCATTGAAAGGTCAATTAATATACCCAGTATTTTTTCTGTCTCTGATGTAATTTGGTAGCATTTTGCTAGTCGCTGTTCTACCATCGAAAATATATCAGTACGTTTGCCGGCTTTGAAACTATTTAAACAAGATTCGTAGTATTTAACCGCCTTTTCTATGTTTTCATCACTACTATCACGAAAATACATCTCGCCTATCATCCAATCAATATATTGACATAATGTGTTTCCCTTGATAATCGTGATTGATGTTTGATTAGTGTCATTATCAGTTTCAAAATATGATTTAGCAGCAGATAGTAACTTAAGTTTGTAAGAAAATATTAGAGCCTCACTAGAAAGCAGAAGGTCCATCTTACTATAGTCAGAAACACATGATTGATCTAGATGTTTAACAGCTTGCAAAAAGATTAAGCTTGGATGGGTCACAACTTCGTGACTAAAATCGTCGTCCACATATATACCTCCAAAGAAGGGTGTAAGCGCTCCGGTAGTTTTCTTGTGTGGTCCAGATTTAATTGTACTAATCAAGAGGGTTTTAGGTACCAAAATAACCAACTGACCAAGTAATTCATATTGGGTTGCAATCCAAGCATGATTGTTGAAATGTTGTTCCTTTAAGACATCCAACACGATTATTATATGGGCTTTGTGTTTTTTGAATGCTATGAGGGGTTCCTCAATTGAAAAATATCCTCTCGTAATATGGAAAGAGAGTACATCTATCAAGTTTCTAAATTGCACATATAATGAAAGGTCATGAGGAGATAGCTCTTCTTTAATCTGTGCAAAATTATCTCTTAGTAGTTCAACAATACTTTGATAAGCAAGCTCTAAAAGGCGCAAGCTTGGCTCTGAATCGTTAGGCGAAATGAATTGATGTATGAAAGATTGCTTGATGAGATTTCTAGTTTCAAGAAATTTAGGCGAGAGAGAAATGGAGGTATTTAGCAGCACGTCAGAAGGAAAGGAATAGTACTTTTTATAGCGCTCCTTAATTTTTAATTCAATTTTAGAATAGAAGTCCGTAGCTTGGCTCCTAATATTTGAAAGTAAGCTCGAAACTAGGATATCACAATCACGCTTCAAAGTAGAAGGAAAATCGTGCAAATAAAATAAGCCATTTAGCCTAGGAAGATTTGAAAGCTGTCTCAACTTGCTTATCCTTTTCTCGTCATCAGATGGTGACGAGTTTGAGTCAGCCACAATGATGGCCACAAATTTAACACTCATGTCGTGACATTTGCTCTTCTTCTCATTGATAACTCTTGCAAGTTCAGTATCAAAGCCCGAATCTTTTGGCAAGCTAAATAACCTCACAACTGCGAATGGTAAATCTTCCACGTACTTAGCTAGCCACCTTTCCGAAAGGATTCCATTGGGATATAAATCTGACTTGGGATTGAACGGAGACAAGACTGAATGTTCAGATTTGTTTTCCGTTTTTTTATTAATTTTGCTTTCCTCACACTCATTTGAATAAGTTACTCTTATGATATACTTAGGCGCGTGCTGTCTATTTCTGATTAGAGAATTATCCCATTTCAAGCCAGATATGTCATACAATTTGAAGTAGTCTTTCAAGACACTAGAGACGTCATTGTGATTGTCCTCTAAAATGACCTTAACATATGGAGCTAACTGTTGAAGAAACAATGGGCTGTACCCGTCCATAGCTCCAATGTTTTATTTTAGACAGTGATCGCCTTGTAGCTACGAGGATTTATTAAATTTAATCTATCTCCGGTTAATCAATCTGATACTTCCTTGTCATGTGCGCACTCTATAGAAAAAAGAAAATCTTAAAACTTTTAATGATCAGCTTTGTAATACACCTTTTTTTCTGCATTGTATATTCGCTATGTCTGATCCAATAAATGCAAATCCAACTGTCATTGATGTATCTAGTCTTCCCAAAAGGGTCCCTGAATCAGATGGATTAAATAAAAATGGGAAATCTTTTCAACTTATAGAGAGAATTACTTCTTTATCTTTGTTACGAAAGCAACCGCTTGTCGAAAGCAGTGACGAAAATATCCCGGACTTGATGAAGGATGTTCACATGGGTGAATCACTGGATGATGAACTCTTTGAATATCTGAATAAAGAGACGAAAGAGAAAGAGTTATATGAAAACTTAGAAGAGTTTGAAGATGAAATTGATGCACAAGAGATCTTTGATTTAATTTCAACCATTTCAGATCCAGAGCACCCTCTTACTTTAGCTCAACTAGCTGTTGTGAACTTGTCAGATATCCAGATAACTCATGGGCAAAGTAGAACTAGCGATATCTCAGAGGTCTTAATAAGGATCACACCAACTATTACACATTGCTCATTGGCAACATTGATTGGGCTAGGTATCAGAGTTAGGTTAGAAAGAAGCCTTCCAGCAAGATTTAGGATTAAAATTATCATTAAGGAAGGTACTCATCAGTCTGAGAACCAGGTTAACAAACAACTTAACGATAAAGAAAGAGTTGCAGCTGCATGTGAAAATGATCAGCTATTAAGTGTTATACTGCAAATGCTTAGTACTTGCAAATGATAAACTCCTAGACATTGAAATCGCATTACGTCAAATAAATTATTTATTCCTCGTCTAGATATCATTATACTATACTTTTGCCAGATTGAAGGCCTCCGTGAGTCCATAATCAGTGATCATTTGATATATATCGACAACAATCATTTTAATTACGTTACTTTTAATAAATTCAAGTAATTGCTTAGCCATTAGAGATTTTCCTCTTTCCTGAACGATCAGTTGAACTAGGCTTGACAACCTCACCAACTGACCATAATACTCGTACTTGTTTTTTTGATTTTCTTGCTTTTCATTATAATTATAAAGTGGTAGAATCGCATTTACCTGCATCGACGATAACTTAAGATCTGATGACTCGGTAGGGTATACATTTGATCCTATTCTGTTTCTTGATCGTGATGTATTAGTGCTAGCTGTACTGATGCTGTCCCTTTGGCTATATCCTGATTGATTAGAAATGTTTGATATCATTGAACTTGACAGTTCGCGATGTCTCTTAATCTTATTGTATATCCTTGACTTTGCAAATAAGCTATTAAACACCTGTTTTTTATCATCAAATTCGTTCGGAGTGGGTGATACCTGCTCAAACTTCGAGCTTTCATTATGATTTAAAATGGACAGGAGCCTCTTTCGAGTATATGAGTCGCGAGAAAATGGAGATCTAATGCCACTTGTTCTCGACTTACTAGTGATCAGAGCACTGGACAGAGCGATTCCATTTAACGTGGGAGATCCACCTGATATGAAAGATTTATAGTCGTCAGTCCTGTACCTTTCTAAAGATTGGCCATCTTCCATGGACGAATCAGCTTCCTCACCATCTTCCTCACCCTCATCTTCCTCTTCTCGCAATGTAAAATCATTACCAACAAGCTGACCGTTGGGGGACAATTTGGAAGGCATAATAAGTAGCTTATAGGCAGCCAAAATCTTGATATAATAGCTCATAGTTTTAACATCAGCTTCATCCCTGTTTTCATCTTCAATGTCTTGCTGTATCATATTGTTTATTTCTATCAAAATAGACGTTTTTAGTTTTATATCCTTTATGGTGATATCACCTCTTATCCATATATCATGTGGGATTTTCACATTACCCACAAGGATACCTGATGCTTTATTGAGATCCTCTTCGTCAGCTTTCTGTTCGCTTTCTATAATTTTGTCGTAATGAGACACATTAGCTATTCTTGATAAAATTAAGTTGATTGTTTCATACAGTTTATTATCTGTTGCTAGTGACAATCGCTGAAACTTTTGATCCAACTGAACATGCTCTCGAGAACCTACAGACATGACTTTATCAGTAATTATAGTGTTAACGGTTAAGTTTTGAACTTTCATTGAAACTTACTACTTTTCGTATTGTTTTTGGAACGGCTGGCATTGTTCTTCACGTGTTTTGTGACACATATGAATATTGTATCAATGCCTCATTATTTTTTAAAGATATTAAGTACATACAGACGACGCAGATAATCTTATATCGGTATAAGGAATCAAATATGATATCCTCTAAAAAACTTAAGTTCAGCTTGAATTTAGATATTAATGAACTCTCGAATATACCGCAAATAAACGGTTCATGCTTTCTTGAGCTTCACATACGAAATCACAAGAAACATGGGGGTGGTCTTGGTAGCCTAAAGTCATCGAAGTCAATTCTTTCAGATGCAGAGAAGAAATATGAAAGTAAAGGTTCGAATATGGCATCTCTGGTGGATGGAAATAATAAAGCGTCGTTTTCCAGTTCTTCCGGTCAAGTGACAGTGACTTCGTCAAAGAAAAGAATACACAATTTTAGATGTCCTTTTAATCTTAAAGTTTCATGTAACTTAAAAATACCACTTAAGAAGAAAGAGAGTATGGTTGCAAACAAATACCTATTGATTTCCATATATTATGTTGAAGACACATCAAAAGATGGAGGATCTCATCATCATCTCCATCAGCACACATCTTTGTTAGGAAAAGTCTCTATAAACTTGTCCGAGTATCTTAATTTTGATAAGCCTGTTTCCTCAAAGTACTTACTAAGAGAATCCAAAGTTAACTCAATTTTGAACCTAACAATTGGTTTAACAGAACTACCTGAAAACTATGAGTTCCATACTCAATTACAAGTCAGCGACTCTTCAAAGAAGTCACCTTCGAGGGCAGGCTCTGGTAAGCAAAATAGAATAAATTCACGTCAATCTAACTTTAATGCTCCTCAGTTTGAACGCAAAAAAGTTTTTGGAGGTATACAAGATGTCATTGAAAACTCGGCTACAATAGGGAGGCTGTCATCATTACTGTCGAGGAATTCTAGTGATGATTCAGTATCTCTGCCTTCAAGCAAAAGAAAAAATGGCAATGAGAGTCTGAGCAGTAAGGTAAGTGAGTTGGGTTCAAAATCCCAAATATTTCTGGACGACGTTTCTCTGGGATTGGTGCAACCTATTGTTAGTGATTTGTACAACAAGATTCTAGAAAGTAAGTGGGATCCTGATATTTGTAAACTACTAGAATACTCACCCGAAAAGTGCGTAGAGGATATTTTCGATAATGCTGATAACAAGAGCTTTGTTCCAGATATTTACAATCAACGTAAATATGCCAAAGAAGAAAACAAAGACGGATTACATGAACTTAATGGTTTGATAAATGAGCTAGATTACAGAGATGATTTACAAAGTTGGACCATTGGGGATGTCACTTAATTCATGGCATATTATTCATTCCTTGATTGATAGCAAAAATATTATATCAGTAAGATATCAGAGAGCACCAGCACTTGTGAGTTAATTATTACGCTATATGGTAACTCTTTTTTAATATCTTCCACTGAATTCTTAGTAGAATTTCTGGATTTAATATCGGTATCCGGGCTGTTACTCATTTCGTTGGTTTCAAGGTTGCGATGACACTCTGGCTCTGCAGAATTGAGTTCTTCTGGCAAGGCATCTAGATGATGTGGTTCGGAATTTTTCCAATCCTTGAACTCCTTAAAAATGCAAACTAGATGATCCAATTCGGAATGAAATCTCAATTTCAATTCTTCGCTTTTCGTCAGATTTATCCTACATCCAAGTATAGGATTAAGGTTGGATCCTTCAAAATCACTTGTATCCTTCAACGGAGAAGATACGTAGGGCAAATATCTGCAGTGAGTACAACTATTACACGTATTCTTGTAACATCTCAACTCTCTTGTATCATACAAGCCTTTGAATTTTCCTAGCAGAATCACAGAAAACATATTTGGATCTATTCTTGGGCTTGAGAAAAGATTAGAGAAAAGTGAATTATCATGATTGTTATCTAATTTGCAATTTTCGTCATTTGATGTGTGATGTGAGCTAGCATCTTCATTAGCAATGTTATCCAAGTTAATACGTGAAGCACAAAATGTCATATTTATTAAATCAAGCAAAAATAGTTTATCGTTTCAAGGAACTTCGTAGCAATTTAAAAAGTTTTCTCTAGTCTAGTCTATCTTAGCAAGAATAGAGCTACTGATCTCCAATATCTTAATACAATTATTTTTGTGGTCCTTTGTAACAAAATATTAAATATCTGGCAGCGAAGGGATTTGTTTACAAAGACAGAGAAACTACAGAAAGGGTACAAAGGGTCGATAAACCACAATTGAATTGAAGCTGCGATTGACAGCATATATTATTACATACTTTTATAATAGTTGCAAACTTAATCAATAGAAAATAAAAACATCATAAAATCATTAAATTAAAGTCTATTATGATTGGCAGTGTGCTGATTATGACGGTTATATCCTCCATTTTTATTTCCACCATGACTGTTATATTTCCTATAATTAGAGTTGTAGTTGTTATTTCCCATGTTATTGTTTCTTCTCTTCTGGTTCCTGTTTCTCTGCTCCATATTTAAGATGTTTTGCTCCTTCGCATAGTCCATTGTCTAAAAAAATGAGTTAATATACAAAGTCGAAATAAAGCACATATCAAGAGGATCTGATCTGGATTAATGAAGAAATCATAGACATTTAAAGACCGACCCCTTCAGGAATCCAGTTGTGCCATTATTTATCAAAATTTACTTACCTCTTCCGGCAACCTCAAGTACTTGATGTGATTACCTCTAATATAAATTTCAGGAATGCTCATGAAAGAATCACCTCTATCAGACGTTTGAATAACATTCTTCAACGTCAAATTCATCCATGAGTCACAATTAACTAGGTCACCATTTAAGGTTTCTCCATTTTTCAATTCAACCAAAATTTGCTTCGATTTCGATGCGGTCAACAAATATAAAGGTAACTTTAAAAACTGTTAGTAAGGGAGCTCAGCAACTAAAGTAGTATATTTGTTGCAAGTATACGAACCATTATGCTTCCAACAAGTCATCAAATTTACTTCGAAATACACTTGTTACTCAAAGAATAACGTTTCATTGAATTTTGCCTTTTGATTGTGTCGCTTTGATGTATTGGTATACGCACACCCTGCTACTATGATATTCCGATAGAATATCAAGGCAAACGTAATGTTTCCATTCTATGAGCATTGATCAGATAAAAGTATTACACTGTTGCCTTACGAATGCTTTGAGAAACAGAATAGATTTTAGTATTAACTCATAAATCAGACAATACAATTGTATTTCTTTCATTAAGCTTTAAGCATTTTCTTGTCTCATCACTGATTCAACTCATCTCACAGACAGCAATGAGTTCTCTATACATAATCAGTAACGATTTCTTTGTATACATCCATTTAATTCTGGTACTGTAGTTTCGAACGATATTACATAAAAATTACAAAGACATGATGAAACTAGGGGATTTCGGAAGTATTACGGATTGAGCTACGGAAACAATAAATTATCAAGTTTCCTTTCGAGAATTTTTGAAGTATCCATTATTCAAATACTTCCCTGTCTACTATGCTCAGCCATGAATTATGATTTAGAATCAACCTTATTTTAAATACTTTATAATGACCTGTATATTGATCTCACAGGTTTGTAGAATCATACTTGACAATGCGACAACGTACCTGTATGATGAGCACAGCCGTTGTGCTTTAATGTACCAAGAATTTAGGATTAAAAATACTAGAGAAGAAAACGACTCTTTTAAGTGCTATTAAGACAAAAGTTAAGATCTAAGATGCTGCCATCACCTGAATCAGGGCTGGTTTACTTCTTAATAATGGGGTCTTTGGCTGTTGTAACTGGGTTTTACATCCGATACTTCAAATTAGGAACAATATTAAGACGGCCAAAATTTGGTATAGTACATCATTCTAAGAAGAATATAAGGGTTTTATCATGTTTAGCTTTGCTACTCATGATGAATCTTTACGTATGGAGTGTGATATTCAAATATTACTTCCTTGGAGAACGAATGATTCGTATTAATGATACCTGGATATCAAGTTGCTCACCAATCAATGAGCAAACGTTAAGCAGAAGATTCTTTAAATTTAGAGTTCCTGGTTATTCTTTTATTGAAAGGGAGCTAAGCTCAAGTGATGTTTCAAAGTTTCATTTTGATTGTAAAGATGTATTGTTTGTGGATACGCTAGAGGCTACCAAGAAAAAAGCATTACCAACCAAGATGAAGCAAACAAGGGACCTAGCATTCAACTTGTCAAAGACGACTTATCCTGATGCAAAGTTTGCATTCTTGGATGAGGATAATGAAAAGGAGCAAGCCATTCTCCGAGATAAATGGGGAAAGTTTGCGGGATCAAGTGTTTGGATGTCAAAATATCAAGTGCATTTTTTTGTCAACAGAGTTGTATATTCTAAGACAAAGCAAAGAAACAAACCAACCATTAGCTTACTTGACATCCAACTTTTTGACTCACAATGGGATGAATTAGCAAATTATGAATTACAGACGTTACAAGGCAGTAAGTTGAATTTTCCTAGTTTCCTCCATATTCCTGTTTATAAGAATGCCAAAAGACTTATCACTATGGGAGCTGAAGATCCAAGAGTTGTTTTAAGAAAATTTGTCAATGATCGGGGTCAAGATGATGAAGAGCCCGTTATAATTTTCAATATGAGAAACGCTGAAATCAGCAATAAGAGGGCAATGCATATGATAAGACCTTTTAGTAGCCCCGAAGTTATAAGATTGTCTTTACGTGACAGGCGTCCCCGGTTCAGAGAAAAAAACTGGGCTCCTTTTTTTGATGAAAGCGATCAAGAGCATATTTATTTTGTATACAACTTCAATCCGCTTAGGATAATCAAATGCCTTCTTTCAGACGGAATCTGTGATAAAATAGCTGGACCAAAATTTTTGAGTGTCGACGCAGATGAGTCCAAGCATGTGGGTCCCTTAAGAGGCGGCACAGATTTAATTCCAATACCGCATAAAGTTCTCCCCCCATCTTTGCATAACAGGAAATTTTGGTTTGGAATTGCAAGATCTCATAACAACAAATGCAGTTGCTTGAATGAAATATATAGACCACATGGATTTATTATATCCAAGGATGTTAATCAAAATGATTTCTCACTTGATTATGTGAGTTCATTAATTGACTTTAATATCGATACAGAACCATGGGATCCTTACAAGACCACTTGTGAGGATGGTAAGAGTGTTCTAATTCCAAACAGTATTGGGTACTGGGATTTCATGTATGATTCCAGTCTGGATATCGTAAGTGATGTGATGGGCATCACTCTTTCTGAAGCTGATAGGACTAACATTATTATTCATGTTAAAGGCACTTTAGCTCATATCCTATCTGCATTGCATGCAACGGATAGTGATAGTAAGGATAGTGTGAGCAAGCTAAATGCGCATTTAAGTTCAGCTGATAGAAATAAAGAGAATGAGCTTTTGGGCGAGTGTTCAACATCATTGGCGAACAGATATTGTATCGCTAGAGTTGTAAACAAAAATGGAAGAGTACCCAAGAATGCACCTCGTCCACAAAATTCCCGTAAAAAGGGAACTAAGTAGTGATTATTACTTGCAATTAAATAGGCGACTGCTGCTTTCACGCTCTTATTAGCACTGAATTTATTTGATAGAGAAATTCGATACTAAGACGTAGCAAGTCGCTCTTTTTCATTGGGTGGGCAATTAAGAAGTACTTTTCAAGGGATATTCAATAGCATATTTATTCAGCTTCCTCACTCACGTATAAAATTTTATACTTTAAATCAACTGTATTATGTATTCAGATCTAAAAGAAAGACTAATTATGTTGTTCCTGTAAAAAAAGCAAAAGAAAAGAGTGATTTTCAAGAACTGAAAGATATCATGAAAGGAATAATGGTCACATGGAAAGAGCAAATCATTCATTCTCATCCGCAGGAGGTGCAGAATTTCCCCTTAAAGTCAAGGGATAATGAGAGCCATCCTGGTCTCCATCGTCATCATCCACATCACCTAAACTAAATCCAACATAGTCAGCAGTATCTAAAGATTCTTGAGCCTCTTGCAAAGATCCTAGATCTCCTGGTGTCATGATTCCAACCTTACTACTAGGCGATCCAGGTACAGATAGTGGCCTACTTAATTTCAAGTTCGACAGATTCGTAAATGGGTTTGCACCATTGTTAAATTTGTAAGGGTAAGCCCTTTTTAAAGATAATTGACGAGCCTTAATATACTCAAGTCCCATTCTTTTCCAGTCTAACAAGTCTGATAGTCTTTCAGTTCTATTTCTTTGATTTATTCTTTGCCTTCTAGTCTTCTGGGCAAAGTTGAACATGTAATCGGTAAGTTGGTTAATCGACTCATCTACTGACTTCATTCTTCTGTCTACTATATAAATTCCATAGTCCGAAGTATCTTCGATCAAATCTTCCATATAGCATCCAAAACCTGAGAGGTTGGTAGTTATGGAAGGAACACCCATCACAGTACATTCAGCGGGAGTATATCCCCACGGTTCATAGTACGATGGAAAAACTCCCAAATGACAGCCACGAACAAACTCGTCGTAATCAAGAGATAAAATGGGGTTATTTGCATTCAAGAATTCTGGATGAAAAATTATTTTCACCCTATCCTCCGGCTTGTTGAACAACTGAACACGTCTAATTTGATTCAAGATGGGATCATGAGAATCATCAGACATATTATGAGTAACAATTGGTGGTAACCCATCCCTCTTCAAGGCAAAGATTCTTCTCTTCAAGAGTACCCTGTCTGCAGGTTTGATCAACTCTTCAATAGATGGAACTTCACCCCCATTGGATGTGCTAGGATTATTAGGAAACCTAGCACAATGCTCGAAAAGCCTCTCGCCTACTTTCTTTTGGACTTCTTCGATTGTCGTTTCTAATTGCTTAATTACAGCTTGACCCTTTAAGGTCTCCACGGTATAAGAATTTGTACGTCCAGGCATAATGATAAAAGCTACCACTGTCATTTTTGATCCTGCTTCCTTCAATCTATGATTCAATCTGGCCAACGACTCAATAAAAAAATCGCAACCTTTATTTCTAAATTCGTATCTTCCCGCTATGAAAAAATATAGCGTGTTTTCTAAGTCAAAATCATAGTTTCCATAAAAGTGCCCTTTAACGAATTCTTGTATTTTCTCTTTCTTAACGGCGTGCAAATTTTGAAACTCATGAACCGCTTGAAACTTCACTACGTTAAGACCATTGGGCAAGACACCATCGGGCTTTCGTTTTAGTAAATGCTCTGCTTCGTATGCCGTAATGTGCGATACCGTTGTAAATACATCTGCTGAATGTGCAGCTGATCTCTCAATACAATAACGGTGGTAGATACCTCTTTTTCCCGCTTCAAGATCAACATCAAAATTTGCCAAGTTGTTATAAAAATCAGTGGATCCAGCGCATAAGTATCGACCTAATAACGTGGCATGTGTAGTGAATATAGTTGTCACATCAATCTGCCGTTTCCGGCACAACGGTAAAGCAACGCCCGCCAACCACTCATGGCAATGACAAATGACAGCTCTTTCACGGTCAATATAAACCAACTCCCCAAGAAACCAAGCAACCAAATAACCCAACAAAATCACTTCGTTAGTTTCCAGGTCATGGTCAGGTGTTGGAATACCACCTGTATTCCACAAGTCAGATTTCCATTCGTTTAGATTATTACCTGCGGACCAGATATCAAAGAGTAAAACACGGGGAGCCCCCTCAATTAACCATCTACCATAAATCCACTTGATGCCCCTACCACTCATTGAATCCAAACTCTGTTTAATCAATGGGTCCTTTACTGGTAGTTGCTCAACTTCTATTTGAGCTGAGTCGGCATTTAGAGGGCCAATAAGGGTGTAGCGTTCCCTGTACTCTGCTACCGTTATTGGCGCCTTGGATTTCAAAACTGAATAAATGCCCCCTACTTTATGGGCCACCTCGGTGGCAACTTCAAACAACAAGTGGTTCTTGATATCACGGCTCATGACCTGTCGTTCAAAAGTGTTTTAGAAATACTTAATTATACTGATACTGTTGCGAGAATCTTACTAAAATTCTCGGTCCTCAATTATTCCCCCTTTCGACTAGGTTGAGTGATCTGTTTTAAATCTATATTAGATAGTAAAATGCAAACTTAATGATCAGTTGTAGTCCTAAAAGTTCTTTTTTCTTCTGATATATACATATATATGTATGTATATATTGTGAATGAAAAGTTTCTTGGATGAAGTTTATTTAGTTGAGGGCTGGTTGTTTTGTAAAGCGTGGGGTCGCTCAGTGATATTTTGGGCTCAAAAGTGTTAAAAAGTTTCGACTTTCTCCAAGTAGTGCGTCGCGAGGGGGCGGCATTGGATCTCAAATTACTGCAGTATTGTACCTGAATCATAGTGAGGAGATGACTTTATCTTTTAGGACCATAGAGTAAAATTGCGGGCAAGTACACAGCAATCTTACTGACGTAGATAGGGTTATGCATCTCTATGGTCACTAAATCATATTCTGTTATGCAGGAAGTTTGATGGTGAATACTCTGACATATTTCAATGTTCTATATTGTGAAAGACAAGGACAGACGTATGTCTTTTATACAGCGGGAAACTTGAATCAATTAATGCTTCATATTTACCTCTTTAGAGTTCAAGAGCGTAACAACAGAAGGAATATTTCATTTGTGATCCGGCATCCTGGTGGCTGCGAAACTGCACCGTGATAAGTTCTACGACTACTAATTCTCATAATTTTGTCAAAATGCTATTAATAAATAATAGATCTCTATTCTAGCTATCTAACTCATCGGGAAATGCTATGCCATTAGTTACTTTAGGCTGAATATCATGAGCAGAATGCCATTCGATATCACTTTCGTTGATGCTTTCATTATCTTCCTCTTCGTTTTCCTCGTGCTCTTCATCAGAGTCAGATCCTCCCATTATTAAATCAAGTCCTTCATTTTTCTCCTTGTTATTACTTCTTACTTCATTTGATGAAGCCAAAAAAGAATATAAATAAGAACTTCTTTTAGAAATACTGATGATATCTTTGGCTGATCTGTTCAAAAACCTCTGTATCATTCTTAAAGAGCTATAAAACTCGTGCTTGTTTGAGCTGATATAATTGCCATGTGCTGCAAGTAAATACCTGATCCAAAGAAGGCAGAATTCAAAATGTTGACTTTCATTTCTAATCAAAGAATCACCGATAAAACTCAAAACTTTGTTTAGATAAACTATAGGCAATGCATCACATACAAGCTTCACATCTTTGACTGGTATACCTTCAAATACCTGGCAAATTAAATACTCTTCATTGAGTCTGAGTGACATGACAAGTGCTGTTAAATAGTCTTTTTCTTTTAACACTTCTAGTGTATTATCCGGGGTTATATCAACATCCAAATCGAAGGGATCGAAAAGTATGTCATTCTCAGTTGAATATATTTGAAGTCCTTCCGTTGATGAAGCAGCAAATGCTGTAGAAGTAGGAGAGAATTGAACACAGCTTACCTTAATTTCCGGTCTTGTGTTCCTAGCGGTAGGGTCACCTCTATGGGAACCAGGCAAAGTTGAATCCAATCTGTCTTCAACATCCGAATTTTCACCATCCCTATCTATAAGATCGAGAGAACCACCCTCGCCCATATTCTTGCTATTTAAAAACTGTTGTGTTCCATTCAACATCATGTTTTGAGATACCATGAATCTCTTCAATAATACCTCGTTTGACACATCATACATGCAAATTGAATTATTGTTTCCTCCCGCAATTAATGTTAAGCCATCGAAAGAGTAGCTAATCGTAGTAAAGAACTTAGCCCTAGCTGAATTTTTAGATGCAAATCTATCTTCGAGATATCTTCCTTTCAAGATATCCTTTCTCCCATCAATTAAATGTAGCTGCTTTGCGCTTGCAATATCAAATACTGTAATATGCCCATCTAAAGTGCTGACCGAAATTTCCTTTGAGTCTGGCCTCATGCTCAAGCACAAAGCATCACTAGTTATTTCGATAGGCTCAACCTGTTGTGAGCGTCCAAATATATCCCATACTCTAATAGTTTTATCCCATGAAGCGGATGCCAAAATAGAACTTTCGGAACCAAACGTCAAGCATGAAACTGGTCCTTCATGGCCAGTGAGCATATCTAATAACTGACCTGTTTGAACAGACCAAATATAAATTTCAAAACTATCGAGTGATCCAGCAACAACAACTTCGCCGCTAGGGTCTACTGCAAGAGAATTGAATTGGATTCTCTCAGGAGCAGTGAATGTTCTAAAATTACGAAACCTAATCAAGTCCCACGCTCTCACAGTACCATCCATCGAAGACGAAAACAAAACTTGGCCCCTCTTAGCAAACTTTACCTCAGTCACAGATGACGAATGCTCACTGAATGTCATCAAGCAAAATCCTGAAATCACATCCCAAATCTTTATTTTTCCATCATCCGATGCTGTAGCTATTCTCGATCCATCAGGCGAATAGCATAAAGAATTCAAAGAATCAAAGTGCCCTTGTTCCTTCAATATGTAGGATTCTGATTGCCATTCATAAACCAATAGCTGTCCCAAACTACCTGACCCAAACGCAAGCCATTCACCTGTGCTATTGATAGTGACCGTGTTTACGGCATTTTGTCCCATACTCAATTGTTGAATTAAATTAAACTCTGGTAACTCGTACAAGCGAAACTCTCCGTTTGAGAAGCCGACAACCAAAATATTCGATGCCGCATGAAAAGTTGCACACTGGACAGTACCATTAGCGAAAAAGAAGTTCTTAGACGTAATTCTCCAACTCATTTGTTTCTCGGCTTGCTCTTTGCTCTCTGTATCGTCTGAATCTGACTCTTCTAAAGATTCTGATGGCGCGGCAGTGTATTCCCAAGTAAATAGGGCACCGTCTTTGCTGATCGTGTATATGATTTCTTGTGATTTATTAAAGAAGGCTCGTATTACGTAGTCACGGTGGCCCGCAAAAGTCATAGCAACCTCTCTCTCTTCTGAGGATAACGAAAAAGTTTTAGATGTCATATCCTTCGAAGTAGTTAAAAAAAATCTGGAGTCATTTGACCATGTTACAGACGTAACATCACTATAATGACCAGCATAGACTCTATGTCTAACGAACGGTGCAAATTGTCTATCTTCAACTAAATCTGGAGTCTTCCACACTTGAATGAATCGACCTGCTGCCACAGCAAAATATTTTCCATCCGGGCTAAATTGTAGATCTCTTACTTTTTCTTTAAAATTAAAATGATGAAGTACATGTCTTGAAATAAAATTTACAAGAATTGCCCTCCCATCATCATCGATGGATAAAAAAAGCGTACCTTGTCGATTTAGCGCTATCCTAGCTATATTTTTTCTATGTTCATAATTAAAGGTAAATGACTTATTTTTTATTAAATCAAAGCAGGATACTCTGCTTCCCACGGGACTCAATAGTTTAGTACCATCCTCGGTGAATACCAAGTTTCCTTGAGAGTAGACTGTACCTAGAAGGTTTGAAAATTGAAAATTTGACTTCATATCGAAAAATTTTCAACCTGCTTTTGGTTAGGTCTCCACAATGATGAGGTTATTTAGTCTGTTCTTATTCAACTTGATGAGCTTAAAAACTTTTAAAAAAATTACATATATGCAGGTTTGAGAGGGAGCATCGCGATTGCATTATCTGTTGATAGTATCGACTATAGACAGTAATTAGTAGTAGATGATAGAGATAGTGAGCAAGCTGTTCAAAATGGGTGAAATTTCAAGCAGAGTAATGAACATGAAGTTCATGAGAAACATAGGTACTGATTCCGACATTGTAAATGAAGAGCGACCTATAAACGGCAAAGATGATTCTGAATGGGCCTCACCGATATCATCACAGATCATGAAAAACAGCAGGAAGCTAAGGTCGGTTCGATCTATAGGACATGCATCTATAAATACATTAGATGATACTGACAATTTAGATGAAGCTTATACTGCGACTCACATACCTGTGAAAAGAGTCTGGAACAGTACCTCCCAACCCTCATTAGATGATAAACTGTCAGAACATGACAAGCTAGAAGTAAGTAAGATATTAGTTTAATCCAAGACTGTTATTAACATTATTAGTCGACTGATAGAGGTGAAAATGCTGATGAAAGCACAGAAACAAATTCTAAAAAAAGAAACCATAAAACTCTAAAGAATGCTAAAAGAAGGAAAACAAAAAATGCATCTTAAATTCTAGGTTTTCTTTTTGCTTTGACGGGACCGAGGAGGATCATCTTTCAAGTCAATGAGTCCACTTTTTTTTACTGCATCTCTGGCTGCTGAATTAATATGTCTAAATCTATCAGGTCCAATGTGAGTTCCACCGAACCACCTACTAACGACTACAATTATGTTCCATGCATTCATCATCTGCCATAGTTCTGGTTAGTAAAATAGAAACAAATCTTCATGTTTTGAAAGTACTTACTGTCAACAAGTGTAACAATCGTGAACCTGCCGCGGTCTCTCCATCATCATCAAAATCTTGATATTGGATACCAGACTCCTTTCGTATTCTCCACGAGCTGATATTATGCGAGGCCTTCGATATCTTTCGATCTATCACTAACGTATCTAGAAAATGTTTCGCATCCTCAACTGAATTGACCTCTCTGCAAAATGCAATGAAGGTTGAGCCTCTATCTGTTATCGCATCTGAAACGAACCACCCTTTCAATGGATCAACTACTACTGAATTTTTCGAATCATTGGACGACCTTCCCAGATCCTTGGAGTATTCAGAAGTTGATCGTGTCTCTAGTTCCGTTTCATCTTGTGTAGTCTTCGTGTCTTGGTCTTGTGGGTGTGCATGATGCTTTTCCATTAGAGGGCCCATTTCTGAAATAAAATCAAATAAACATACTTCTCCTTTTCTAAAAATATGTTGCAACACCAGATTTGCTCTCTGTTCAATGTAGTTTGTATCGCTATAATTCTTGTGGTCATCTGTCGTCACTTCCAAGATTTCAGGAGTAATGTTGGGATAATCTACCGGGAAATTGATCATAAATTTCAATAAGTCATGATCTGGCAAAACAAGTTCATAAATTTGCGGTGATAGATATTTAGTGGAGTCTGGAAAAATAGCATCGATTGCATCCATTTCATCTTGTAGTTCTTCTTTGGTCATACTTTTAGCTTTTCATAGTTGTAAAGTGATGCCGGTTCTTTCATCGACTCAAGATATCCGCGAACATAAAATAATATTTCAGTTAGAATATAAAGAGCGTATGGTACCAGAGACCAGATATGATATGCCTACCGCTGAAGAATTAAAGACAGAAGGTAATAAGGCTTTCGCTGAGAAAAAGTTTAAAAAAGCTGCGAAGGTATACAGAGATGCAATAACCTTGGCACCTGATAGTCCTGTCTTATACTCTAATAGGGCAATATGTTTTATTAAACTAGAGGATTGGGATAGAGCACTTAAAGACTGCAACGATGGACTCAGCAATAATCCTGATATAAAGACTAAGACTAAACTTTTATTTAGAAAGGGTTTAGCGCAGAAAGGGCTGGGAGATCGAACTTCTGCGGAAAAGGCTTTCAGTGAAGTTTTAAGGTTAGACTCAAATAATTCAGCAGCGTTGACAGAATTGAAACGACTCAAAGAAACCGTAATACCAGTTGTATCAGTCCAACAGCTACCCGATAATTATCAAACATTAGGCGATAAACATATGACTATGCATAGTTCTGATTTTCAAAATTCTGAGGACCTTAATTCTACAGTTAATGAACTATTCTCCGGCAAGAAACATGCCAAAGAAACCGAAAAGCTGATACATTTAGAAACGAAAACTTCAGAGGCTGGGTCGATTATGAATACTCTCTTACATTTGAGTAATGTTCCTCAAGAGAACAAGTCAGCCGCATACTCATACGTGATAAATCTCAATCCTTGTGACATTGAAGATATTTTCAAAGATTGTTTAGACTCGAGCTTTCTCGCATTCTACATGGAAGCCGCTGCGTATGTGTCTTCACATAACTCTGTGGTAAGTTGGCCCTCAAAGATTCTTGAGATGTTGAAGTCACTTTCTAAATTTAAGAGGTATCTGTTGTCTCTTGATCTCTGCAATAAAACTGATATTGAAAAGCTAGTTTCTAACTTAAAGGCTACAAATAATGATAATTTACCCTATAAATACGAGGCTCTTCTTAGAGTCTAATCTTTTGATTTTTCTGCCTTGCCTATTTATATACATCAAGAATCAAAGAGACTTCAGGAAGAACAAGTAAACTCTAGAAAATTCTTATTTAGCTTTATTTTTACCCATGCTTTAAATTAAATCCCTTATAGTGGTTGGTACATAATCTTCAAAGTCCACATGGTATACCTTAACGAAAACAATTGGTAAAACCAACAAACTCATAAAGAAAATGAATGCTAAAAGAAATATAGTTGCATACAACAAAACCCTTAGCCTCTTTGATCTTTGTTGCAGTTTCGGAACTACGTGAAAACGCGTAAGTTCGGATGGTCTCAACCAAAAAAGCATCAAAGAGTGCAACTGGTTTGCATAAGGTACTATTATGATAGGAAGCTGCAAAAATAAAATTAGATGACCAACCACAACATCTCTTGCAAAATAACTAAGTTCTGAGGTTTTGCAAATGAATTCCCTAATGGGTTGGTTGATAACATCCCAACCATGGAAATCTGCTGCCCACTTACCGGACCACCATGCTCTATTTGAATGATCATGTCTGAATTCCTTACTGACGAACATTCCGATAAAAGTATCAAGTATACATCCCAGGATTAACAAGGAGAGAGCTAGGCCAAGCACCATTGTTGAAAAATCCCATCTATGTAGTAACCAAAGAAGTTCAAAGAATATAAGATGATTCAATACAGCTAAAATATGCACGGTATTTGCTATGACTGAAGAAAAACTGTTAAATGAGAACTTAATGATAGATCCAAGTAGAAGCGATAAGACACAAAAGAGGACCAAAATCAACATATCAACAATTATTGGGAGTAATGTAATCACTAGAAGCATTATCATGACGTTCAATGGCTTTTCTGGTGAACTTCCATTGACATGTGAGATAGAAAAGAAATATGCAGTTCCTATCAAAACAATACTCAGCAGCTTTGTAAAAAAGAGGTCAGATATAAACTTCAACCGCGATATTTTAATATCATTGATAACCTTTATACTTCCTGAGTCAGCAGCTCCTTTCTGTTTGACCCCAACTATACGACTTCTAGCCAATCTAGTAAAATTTATCCACGAAAAGTTGCAAGGTTCAGAGTTGCCTCTACTCAACCACTTCAAAAAAAAACCATAATCAAGGAAGAACTCTCTCCAAGAAAATTGATGAGGATTAAAGAGCCAGGGGCAAATTAAAAATCCAAATATGGTGAACCAAAAATAGATAAGTGGTAAAATCCACATGTTAATTGAACAATAAATAATCAATAATGCCGAAATTATTCCAAAATATAAACATTCATTAGCGAACCTTGAGTATAATGTTGCAAAAGATACCCTTGCAGTCGCAAATCCTCTACCAGTAGATATGTATCGAGCACCACCTAGTGCAAAATCGGTGACTAGTGATTGAGCGTATGTCCTGCATACGAATATTTCAAAAAGAGGTGAAAAAGATGCAAAATGCTTTCCTAACCTGATAATTCCTTTGTAAAGCCCCCTCTCAGATAGCTCCTGAACCCACAAGGGCAAAAAGGATATCCCAAAAACGATAAAAATAGAAAAGATGCATCTTTTGAGCCACTTAACAACGGGCATTAAATTTTGGCAGCCGACGGGATGTTGAGGAGCATTTGCATCTGGAGTCGGATAATCACACATAACTGAGGTTTTGGTGAGAGCAGCAAGGTTGATTCCTACCAACAAGAAAAGCTTTATAGAGAGAACAATGAACACGTTGTTTAAGTGAAAACCAGGGTGAGCATAGTAGAATGAAAGGAACCTGTCAAGGGGGAGCTCGCTACTTAAGTAAAAGTATTCTCTTGAAAGCATCTGTTCGCCCATACCAGCTCCAATCTTTGTCGTAAAGTTTAGAATTGATTCAAAGCCTAAATCTCGACCTTTTCCACATTGTATATATTCACAGTGCTTTATTCTTCCTCCTCTCTGTAAAGCATTCATTCCAGCATATATATCTTCATTCAAATTTAATCCCTTTTGAGCTTTCGATACACCACCTCTTGTTGTCATAAAGACGCTATTGAGGAAATCAGGGTGCCCATAGTGTAATTTTCCACCTATATGAGCCATTGTTCTGGCAAACAAAGTCCCAAATGTTTGCTCCTTACCAGCGGCAATATCTCCTAAAATCCCAATATTTTCTGAAAAGATGTACTCCCTAGTTCCAATTATTGAAACAGGATGAGCATAGTCAGTTCCTTTCAAATCCACAGAATAAGGGTTTAGAGGAACCACCATCTCCTCAAATTCGGCTAATACGTTCCTAATCTTAAGACATTCTTCTAAATAGTTATCTTGATTTGCGTCAACCAATTGAATGTATTCACCACGAGTAAATATCAAAGCATTATTTTGGTTGTCCGATTTACCATCTCCTAAAATAGGGTTTCCTGAGAGCTTGATCTTATATTTAGGTACACGTTCACCATTCTCCATAATTGGGCAGCTCCCATCAATCAAGACAGAATAAAATGCCTGTGAGCCACTTTGGGGATCAACTTCTTCATCTAAGTAACATAACTGAAGCTCAGGATAAGCTCGTAATAAAAATTCTTCGTTCTCCTTTTCTTCGGTTGTGAACTGTCTAAACCTTTGCATGGACACCACCATACGAAATTTCCTTAAAGCCATAGCCGATGCTAAGTTCAATTTTGACTCGTCGTTTTCAAAGTTATCGTTATCAGGATTTTCAACGTCAAATAAAAGTTTGATAGCTCTTGAATAATTCATGAACCCAGATATCGTACGATATAAGGTCTGTGACCGTAAAGAAGCCCAGATCCTTGTTCTCAAAATATATTCTGGTGTGGCAATTTTGAACCCCACGGAATAATAAGATAAGTCATCTAAGCCACTCTTTAAATCAAATCTTGATAATGTATTATCATATCCCTCCATTAACATTTTAGTGTCCTTAACAAAACAATGCCACTCTAGGGGATGAAGCCGCTTCAAATATTCTAACATTGTCAAGTCTGAATACTTCTCTTCCTCTCTTATAATTTCTTTTAAAGAGAGTATAATCTTTTCATTGAAATGAGGAATTAATACAGTAAAGGAAGGCATTGTATGTAAAGCTCCCACTTCTGGCATTGGGGTAGACAATGATTGAGCAAAGAAAGTAATCCTTCTTTGTGCTTCGGATCGTTCATCAAATAGAGATGACTTCATGGACTGATCTTCCTGCGATATGAAGAATGTCGGTTCTTTTAAGAATGAGCGACCATCAGAGCTCAAGGAAATTCGTTTATATATAAGTTTCTGGACGTGTTCCAATGACAATAGGTGCTCTCGATACATTGAAATGACTATTGAATTCCAAATTTGAGAAACTAATAGCTTGGCCTTGATATTTCTTTCATTCGGAGATGCGATTAACTTCGAAAATATTCGTTTAGGAAGTCTAGAAAATATATTCCTCCAAGGTGTCCAAATCGAAACACCGATATAAAAGGAACGGCAAACTGAGAACATGGTGTTCCAGATGATATACCACAAGTAAGTGTCAAGGAAAAATAACACTAAATCAGTTGAGCATATCAATCCGAGTAATATTTTTGAGTGATGGGAACACACCCAACTGCCTAACCAACTCAGAGAGTCGCATCCATTCATTTTGATATTACTGAGCACTATAATAGGATCTCGAAGTGAAAGTGTCAAAAAAAAGTAAGATTCCGTAAATTTAGAAGTAAATATTGCAATCCATAACCCATACGAGGAAAGTCGACCAGAACCACGAAGAGAATGGAAGGAACCAACAAAATATTTCATCAGCAAAAGGTTTCTATCTTTAGATTGTGACACATTTGTAAATAAAGCCCCTAATGGAGCAACAGATAAATAAACAACCATGATAACAGAAAGCACAAATTGAGAAACTGCTATAACTAATCCTAAATTACTTGTTAGCCCCGTCGAAAAATCTCTCCATAAGTGTATAGTTGGATACACATTGGCAATAAGAGCTAATGTTAGGTAAAGTAGCCTTTTAGTTACAGGTCGCGCACCTGGCCATCTTCTAGGCACCAAATACAACTCAATAAAGATGCTCACAATGCACATTAATATGGCAAAGACTCCCGCTAAAGACATGAAAGCTAAACGAAATTGAATAGCTTTTAAAGGCATTTGAGCTCCGTCGTTATTTATATACATCGACGAGGCATTAAATACAGTGAAATACCAGAAGACAGTTATATGAATAATCCATATCCTACTGAAGTTCACAAACACATGGGACCAGTTTCGTCTTTCTCTGAATGTTTTATAGAATGCCTTACTCCAATCAATTTCATGCAACAATAGATACCTTTGTTTGGGAGTTAGACTCATAAATTGTACTTTTCCGTCTTGAACCGTTAATCTTTCCAAGCCTCTTCTGTGCCAAAAGAGCTGATTCATATCATCATATCCAATAGTATCTTCGTGATCCTTATCCGTATGATAATAATCTCCCTCACATCGCTTATAAGATTGATCCCGATAAAATTGGTAAAGTGGAGTTATGACGTGATCTAAAAAGTTACAGCTCGAGCTCGGGATAGGCTTTTCTGTATCTAAGGCGTAATAGTAGTCATTGCAACATTTGAAAATAAAGCACAAACACTCGGGCATAAATCTAATATTGTTTGCTTCTCCCCAACATAAAAGATATAAAGATATTTGTATAACACAATCAGTTGGAGAGAGTGTGTTCATATTATTTGACCACTGTGTCTCATTTTGGTCTAATTGACGAACCTTCGATATTTTAAAATCTCTTTTTAAACTTCTGTGAAAGCCAACAGAGTCATCAATATCCAACTGAGCTGCAAAATACCATTTTCTAAAGTTAGAATTTAGCCCGCCTATGTAATCTGCATGTAGTGAGCGAAGTGCATGAACTGGTCCCATTCTTGAAGCCCTAGAATCTAATAATCTAAAGAGATAATCAAACATATTCTTTGTATTGTCATACTGAAATCCAAACACATCAGTTAGTTGTAAGAATATTGCCTCAACCTCACATCGAGTAATCGGAACCTCATGTGGAGGGTTCCAGGCTGGATGGGGATCATATGGGTTGTCAATTGATTCATTATGCTTAATCCCAAATGATTTTTCGGCGGTAACGTTGGTCTTGGAAGGTAAGGTTTCCGCATTCTCTTTCTTCGTTTCAACCAGATTTAATGATTTATCATCACTCATTTTGGATTCATTGTCTGAAAGTTAGTATTCGTAAGCGCCATCATACAAATGGTCGGTAAATCATACTATTTGCCGATTCATTATCTGTAACATGTTTGATGGAAGACAAAGAGCTCGAATTATTTATATTATTTTCCATCATTGGTTGGTAAATGCTCTAGAATTGGTGGCTTAGAGTTGAAGTAGCGCGTTGTTGATCGCAGTCTTATTCTTTTCCTTGTTGTAGTAGCTTGTTTCGAATAAAATTGACACTATATCGGGTTTTAGAAATTAGAAATGTCTCGAGCACAAAAAGGAAATGTCATTTTATAATATTTAATTTAGTTTATGTCGTAGTAATCTCTTTCTACACAGCTAATCTTCGTCTGAATCTGACTCTGAATCTGATTCTTCGTCAGGCATAGTCTCCATTCCATTATATGCAATTCTGTTTGGAGTTCTTTTTTTAAAGAATAATGAAGACCTTGGGATCTTCTTTTTCGTTGAAAGCTCGATTATAGTGTCCTTAACTGAAGCTGGAGGTACGCCTTCACTAAGCAAATTTGCAGCCAAGCCAGATATTATTGGAGCTGACATGGACGTTCCGGAGAGTACTTGTGATCTTTCGGTGTTACGGGCATTAACGCTATGCACAGCAGTGCCACTAGCAAATATATCTACACATTCTCCCCAGTTCGAGAATGATGAAATACTATCAAAGTGGTCGTCAATCGCACCAACAGTGATAGCAGAGGCAGCACTTGCAGGACTAGTCATGCAGGCATTGACATTAGAATTTCCTGCTGCTACAACAACCACTAGCCCAGTGTCAACTGCTGCTTCAATTGCCATATTTAAGACCTTGTTTTTAACTGCGCCTAAAGAGAGGTTGGCAACGCCCGGCTTACCGCTGTCTTTTCTATGGTTCACAGCGAATTCTATGGCTGCAATAACGGTACTCAAGGACCCAGCCCCTGTTTGGTCTAAAGCTTTAATTTCAATGATGTTCACATTTTTCGAAACACCATACAGCTTTGAACCAATGATCCCAGCCACATGAGTTCCGTGCCCATTAATGTCTCCCGATCCTTCTTCAGTAAAATCTCTACCTATTTTTGCTCTTTTCTCAAACTCAGGATGTGTAATTTCGATACCTGAATCTAAGACATAGGCGTTCACACCCAAACCACTCGACAGGGAATTATAAACATACTTGAAATCTTCCATTAGTTTCTTTCTCTGAGACAACCTTGCAAGATGTCTGGGTGCGTCTTCTTGTGTCACCAATTCATATGCCTTTACATTGATGTCTGGGGTAATATCAGCTATCATAGGACACTTTTTCAATCTTTCCATAACACTTTTAGAGAAGTCTCCCGAGAAACCAGAAAAATTGCCAATTGAGAACATATCACTGACAAAGGCTTTTGCTCTCTGCCCCAGAGGGTAATTGATGTCATATTTGAAAAATGAGTCTAAGGTCTCTGTTGACTTTAATGAAATCAAGTAACGATTAGCAGACACGAGTGTTAACAACAAAAAGCAATACACAGCGTTCAAAAGTTGCATTTTGTTTGTTTTGTAAATATTTTATTTTTGTTACTTTGTTTGAACTATAAATGAGTGTTGTCTATGTGGTTGCAAAAAGGTTTGTGGAACTTTTTTGATATACTTTACAAAATTTACGAATTGCTGCGAAAAAAAATACATACATATTATTAAAAAAAGAAAACTACTTCACTTCAAAGATTTTAAATACTCGGCTCTTTCTTCATCAGTAAGAGTTGACAAAAATTCCTTAATAGTGGACATTGAGGTCAATGAATCTTCATTCAATAATTGCAACATATTGGAACGTTTTGCTTCATTTGATAATTCCTCGACTCTCCTCAGTAATAAATCATGATGCTCTTCTATCCATGAGCAAACTGCTCTATCGTCATCGTAATCAACAGTAGGCATCCAGCTCTTTAACCTAGCAACTTTTTCCAATTTTGTTGAAGAAGGTAACTGCTCTCCAATAAGCTTCAAAACATATTCTTCGTTCAAACGGCGACGTAAACGCCAGAAGAAAAAGCGTCTGGCAGTTTCCCATGGAATCTCCTTTTTAATTACGCCCTTTGCGAGCATACGACCTGTTCTGTCATGCAAATCAGCAAACTGAACAGAGATTTGGGAGTATATAGGATACAAAGCTTGTTCTCTGGCTACTAATTTAGCAGAAATATGAGAATGGTCATCACCAGATGTAGTGGCCAACTTACTTTTGAGATCGGCATATTCAGGATCGAGCCTCTCCATTGTGGTTAGCAATTTATCACGTCTGTATTTGATACCGACCATTCCATCTGGCTCTAAAACACCTCCTCTTGCATCCGTATCGGCGTACATCTCCATCATATCTGCATTGATACTAGGATCAACTACGACCCAAGACCCACCTCTAAGCTCTCCGAAAGGAGGAATATAAGTGAAAATGGGCTGCTTGTAATCCACCAAAGCGTCAACGATGAATGAACCATATTTCAAGATCTCATTGTACATATCACGCTGTCCCCCTGAAAATCCACGCCAGTTCGCTAAAATCATCAAAGGTAACTGCTCACCATTATTAAAGTCATTTATTGCCTGCGCTGTCTTGAATGCGGAATTTGGATACCAAACCTGACCAGCTTCTTGAACCTTCATTTCTGTCGAGTCTGGATTGGCAGGATCTGCAGGGAATGTATTGTCTACTGGTCTTATGTCAACTCCTATGACCCCAAGTGGAATTCCTCCTAAACGAGCTCTTCCTACTACGACACCCTTTGCCCATCCAGACAATGTTTCTTGGAACGATCCTCTATCGAAAAGGCCCGCTTCGAAATCATTTCCTGTTTCACGACCTTCAATCATCCAGCGAACGTCATAGGGTTCACTCTTTGGTGGATAATATTCAACGTCTCTATCCCAAGAATCATCACCTTCTAAAATTGGAACAGGAATACCACGACTAGCAGGAACATAAGACATCCAATCCATTATCTTCTCGACACCAGCTAAATCATCTGTAGCAGTCAAATGAGATACACCATTTCTGTACATGATCTGGGTTCCACCTAATTGTAAGTTCGACGAATAGACTTCTCTGCCAAGAAGTTTATTAATAGCAGGTGCACCTGTCAAAATAATTGGCTGACCTTCAATTTGAATAGCTCTCTGACCTAACCTGACTAAGTAGGCACCAATACCCACAGATCTGCACGTCACAAGTGTAATGGTGAAAATATCCTTGTAAGCTTTCGAAGTACTACCAGCAATTAAACCAGAGCCTCTGAGACATTCAACTCCAAGTCCATCTTCCTTACCGACAATTGATTTAATGACATATCGCTCTTCCCCATCTTCAAACACCTTCTCTGTGACAACAGCATTCGAGTTACCAGCTTCATCAAGAATATTAATATCTTGGGGAGACAAATACAAATATTTAAAACCTTGATCAGGCGAACCATCTTCATTCCATGCTACTTTAAAGAGCGGGACAAGTTCCTCAGCAATACCGAGCCTAGCACCGGAGTTTGCAGAGAGATAAATTCTGGGAATTCCAAGTTTTCTTGCAAGTTGAGTACACTTATTGAAGAACTCGTCTTCATCAGGACCAAACGAACCAATTTTATGTGTAATGTCATTTGCAACAATTATAAATTGACGGCCCTTCGGATATTCAGGTGTCTTTGCTGTAGCCTTAAATCCAACCATTCCAATTTTATTACAGCCAGGTTCTCTTTCAACAGCTGTCAATTCCCCATTTTCATCAGAAATTAATTCTAACGATGTGAAGACATTTTTCGGTATCTTCGCCGAGCTCGAGTGTTTCTTCCATTGAACAATTGTGGCCTGACGGAAAAGCTCTGGGAAGTCGTACACATAGGTCGTACCCATATTATGAGCTTTATAACGCTTGGGCTGCAAAGATTCCTTGGCTGGATAAGGCGTGGAAATGGGCCTTAAATGCATAGGACCAGGATGTCCCATAGATTTGAAGATCCATTCTCCCTTAGCGTTTTTCATTTCCATATATAAATCGGACTTAACGACATAACCAGAAACATTGTTAATGATGGCACGTAAGGGGAACGATTTACCGGTGCTTGGGTCAATACATGTTATACGAATTTCAGCACCCGTTACTCTCAATCTCCATAATCTTCTACCAAATCTCTCTAAAAATGAACCAAAGGCCGCCTCAACCTCTTCAGGCAAAACATTAAACACATTTGAAAAGTTGATAAATATATGATTCAAATCAGAATTAGAAGTGTCAATAACTTCTAAAGTGTCCAAAATATCTGACATTAAATGATTTGATTCAGCAATCAAATACTCACTAATACTGATATCATCACGAATGACTCCAGTTCTGATAATACCTCTTGTGAAAAATCTTTTATCAGAGGGGGCATTCTTCCCAACTGCTTCGTATACATGTATGTTACGGTTATCAGTAAAAATTGGCTTTATATCAAAGTTCTCAAGCCTTCCGAGCTCAAGTTGGAAAGCGAGAGCAGGTTCAATGTGACGGATAACCTTGTTTTCATTATAATTAGGGGCAGTGAACGTGTAGTATTTTGGATAGACACCAATTTTGTGTGCAATTACAAAAGTAATACGACGAACTGATGCGTTTTTCAAGTCATCTTTGAACTCAGAAATGACTTCGTTGATTTTACCCAAAACTTCATCTTCACAAATATAGCCATCTATATTCGTCACGACTATATTCACAACATTCACAGGATCTGGAAAAGTTTCGCTTGCAGAAAATGAAACAGCATCCAACGGTTGCAACTTATCCAATGCAGCATCAAGCATCTCATCAAGATCATCTAAGTGTCTGCAAGGAGCAATAACACCTTTTCTTTCGATCTGGTCTGTCGTCTCCATGACAAAAGATAAGTCAGATACTGATGCGGCCCTATTTATTGAGTCGTGATTTTGAGATTTTATCCTCGGAACCGCACTAAAAGAGGATGAGCTGAAGTTCGGTAACTGGAATAACCATTCAACAATTGGGAGCCTATCATGCAAGCTTGAGGTAATTGGACCCAACGAATAAGCACGATAGGAACGCCTTACGTAAACTTCAGCAGCAGCAATTGCTACCCATTCATCTTGGTTTACTAAGAATTGTAATAAGACATCAAAAACAGTATGCTTCGAATCAACAACTTCTTGCATGATATCCAATTTAGGTGTCCTGTGCTTGGCATAAATCTCACCATACGAGGTCTCAAGAACTGACGAGCGCAAAATATGCTCCATCTGATCCGACCTCTCCTTAATTGAAGGCAAGGAACATTGAATCAATATTTCCTTCGCTCTCAAGGCAACTTTAACTGTACTTCTTGATTCCAATTTGACTAAATTTCTTAGTGCCAGTCTGATGCTTGGGGCAATACTAGAAGAATCTTGCAAAATAGGTTGGTATTGGTCTAATATAGCAAGAATGAGGTTATTTTTGCTACCAACTTTGGCGTGAGATAATGCAACATCAACTACTTTCTTCAAATCAGATTTATTGTCGTCCCTAAGTCTCAATATAATATCTTCATCTCTGACGTTAGAACCAGAAAACAACAGCTCAACATTGTAATATTCATTTAATAAGCCTGCAAAGAAGTTGAATTCGTGCTCTTCTAAGCCATCCGCATACTTTGATGTGATATCAAGTAAGGGTGCAACAATATTACAGAGGAGAGGGTCACTCGAGGGATCCTCAATAGCTTTTTGGATTTGCTTCAGTAACTGGCGAGAAGGAAAGTCTGCATTTCTTGACCTTGTTCTTTCAATTAACAAAGACAACGCTTCATCTAGCTTTGCTGGTAGCCTTGCATGCAAGGCCGACACTTGTTGATTCCATGCTGAGTATGGCAAGTCCTTATCTTTAAGAACTTCAATCAAGCTCTTTAAAGTAGGATTCATAATGACTTGATTGTCAAATCCAGCTAAAATATTTGTCAAGATTGTTGAGCATTTTTCAAACTTGTGGACAGTCTTAGTTCCTTGAATCATAGCATCTCCCAAATCAGGCAAAGTCCCTTCAAAAGGCCTGGCTAGCTTCACCTTTGCTGGATCATCTAAAGACAAAATTGCCAAGATGTCACCAGCGTTAACCGTCGAGCCCGGTTGCTTAATAAGCTGAACAACTCCATTTTCTTTAGCAATCAAAGGCATACACATTTTCATTACTTCAACCTCAGCATAAGCTTGTCCAGATACAACGTGTTCCCCGCTATCAACTAAATACTTGGTAAGTTTTCCAGGAGAAGGCGTACGTAATTGCGTAGGATCATTCTCTGCTTCCAATAAGCATGTTTTTCCATCTACTGATATTCTCGTGGCTGAAGCCTCTTCCTTCCAGTAAATAGAATGAGATCTTCCATCTATGGCACATAACAATCCTCCATCGGATAAGGGTCTAGCACCAATCACACATCTCGATCCATTCAAAAACAATGTATAAGAGTCGTTAGACGATTTAGTAGCTGTAAACTTATATCTTTGTCCTTCATAAATAAACTCGATAGGAAATATTGTCTTTAATAGTTCTTTATTAGGAACTTGACCTTTTTCTAAGGACTGTATATATTCGTTCTTGTCTTCTTCTGATTGAATGTAAGCTTTTGCGACTGCACCACAAACAACTGCGATAATAGGATCAGGCCTCTCGGCAGTGAGTTTTTTGGTGATCAATTCATCCAACCAACCAGTTGTAATAGTATTATCTTCGAAGTCAGGAGTCTCTAATAACTTAATTAAATATTCAACAGTTGTTCTAAAATCACCTCTGATAGATAATTCCTTTAATGCAACAACCATATGCTTTCTGGATGCTTGTCTATTTTCACCAAAAGCAAAAATATGTCCAAACTGTGAATCAGAGAACGAGTGAATGGATGATTGATTGGCCACAGAAAAATAACCCCAAACGTTAGATGATGACCTGAAATTCAACTCGTGAATAGTACCTCCAGATGGTTTGAAACCTTCACCAGGATCTTCTGAAGTAATACGACAAGCCGTTGTATGACCTTTAGGTACTGGTCTTCTTTGAGTACTTAATGACTTTTCTGACTTAAATTCAAAATCAATGACGGTGGAGGTATGAGGATCAACACCATATAAGCTTCTTATATCCCTGATTCTATGCATTGGAATACCCATTGCAATCTGTAATTGAGCGGCAGGTAAGTTAACGCCGGTTACCATTTCTGTAGTTGGATGTTCTACTTGTAAACGTGGGTTTAACTCCAAAAAGTAGAATTTATCTTCAGAATGCGAATAAAGATACTCTACGGTACCAGCTGATACATAACCCACCAATTTACCAAGCCTGATTGCAGCATTTTCCATTGCATGGAAAGTATCCTTCTTTGCAATAGTCACAGGTGCCTCTTCTATAATCTTCTGATGACGTCTTTGAACTGAACAATCTCTACCAAAGAGAGAAATATTAGTACCATATTGATCGGCCAAAAGCTGGACCTCCAAATGTCTTGCATCACCGGCCAACTTCATTACAAAAATAGGAGAACCCGGTATTTCATTTGCTGCTTGTTTGTATAAGGCGATAAATTCGTGTTCGGATTCAACTTTCCTAATACCTTTACCACCTCCACCTTCGGAAGCCTTGATCATGACTGGAAATCCAATCTTTTTAGCTTTCTCTAGCCCATCTTCAGGTGAACGACAGCAACCTTTTTCATATACCTCTTCTTTAACTGATACGAGATTGGTTTTCTCGTCGACAAATACTTCTCTCACACCAGTACCTGACCATGGAATACATGGAACATCAGCGTGCTGCGCGACAATAGTAGATGATATCTTGTCACCTAGAGAGCGCATCGCAGAGCCTGGAGGACCTATAAAGACGATTTTTTTGGGTGATGCTGCTAGCATTTCAGGTAGTATTGGATTTTCGGATGCATGTCCCCAACCTGCCCAAACAGCATCAACGTTGGTACGTTCTGCGATCTCGACAATTAATTCTACGTTTGCGTAGTTATTATTATTCGTACCTCCTGGAACCTCTACAAATTGGTCAGCCATTCTAATATATTCTGCATTTGCTTCCATATCTTCAGGCGTTGCCATAACGGTGAACTGTATGGCTCTTTCATCTGCAAACGTTTCGTAAGCCCATTTTCTGACTGATCTTATCTCTTTCACAGCAGCAATACCGTTATTAGCAATTAAGACTTTGGAAATCACAGTATGACCCTGATGAGACTTGACAAAATCTGTCACCTTTCCTTGCTCAGCGTTATTGATTGAATTAGAGCCCTTGAAATGCTCAGGTAACTGGCGATGCAAGTGGATATAGTCATTAGCTTCGGAACTCATAATGCGCTTTTGTAATCGATTCTTTAGTTTCGTAAAGATGCCACTTTTATAGCTAAAATACGACAGGTGGAATGTTCTTCTTGAAGCAGTTACTATTGATCGAAAATATCCAGTATTATGTACAATAAGGCTCAAACTTTGGTTTTTCAATCTAAATGTTGCGTTAGTAGGGCTTCCTTTAATTGCGGTGCACCTAGCAAGCATAAAACGAGCTCTTGGACGCTTTACAGTAGATTATTGAAATATAATAATTTGCTGTAAAAACGAATCTGTTCTATCTAGCAGAAAAGTTATGCTGGCCATCCAACTGTATTTTTGAACGCGAAAACTTTTAGCTCTTACTATAATACTCCCCACTGAGCTATTTTGAAATTGATCTCTACTCCAATGCCTAGGTAGCGGAATAGAATTGATCTCAAAACATCTTGTAGAAAGTTATTGGTATTTGCTGCTTTGAATCATATACATACATCTTGTTGCCTTTGTTAATGCTTCAACTGATACTTTTCTTAATATATTCCCAATATATGTAGACTATGGTTAATTGAGAAGAGCAAACAGTTATAAAGAGAGAAACTTTAATATTGATATGCTATTTGTAGGGATATCTACGTATAATTAAGGGTACTGGCCAACACTTCCTTGGCTCAATACTTATATCAGTGTGCGACAGACATTCGAGCGCTCCCAACAAAATATTTCTCAGTGTTGGCCCAAACAAAATGTCACCTAAGCATAATTATGCGATCTGACTGACGTATAATTCAACAACGTCTCAGAGTGTGCAGAGAAGAAATCGAAGAGCGACAAAACGAACACTGGGTATATTTGCTTTAATAAATACAGCCCTAGATGACATACCTTACACGAGTAAAGTCAACAGCTGTACGACTCTAGTAGCTTCTTATAATAAACAACGTCTAGGAATACAAATGTCTCAACATGTCCATACAATCTAACTGCAGGACTGTTAACCGCGACAAAGAGACATTTTTTTTGGTATATATTGAAATTGTAGGGTCTGTTTGTAGCTCGGAGATGCTTGGAGAGCCGCAAGTATTATATACACACGTTTAGAACGATTCTTCAATGAAACTATAGCAATGGTTGAAATCTCTTTGAAGGAGGATATGCATCGTCTTGATTTGATAGAAAGTTCATTGGTTGGTTGGGTTTGTCATTTGTCCCGTTTCGTGGCTGATTTCTTGCAACAACTGGGTTGTGATAAGGATGAGGTAAAATAATACGCGGTGGATCATTTTGATAATCGTTTGGTTGCACTGCCGATGCAATTTCGCTGACAGAGATTGTTGATGAGCCATGCGCCAATATTTCTAGTTCGATGTCATCTTGGGACGTAAATATTTTTTCCAAATCACCATCTGTTTTGACAATTAATCCATCCGCAGAGTTTCTGATTGTCAAAACAACGTCATTAAGTGATAAATTGAAAGCTGATCTTGCGTTCTCTAGAATCTCTAAGTACCTAGGAGGTGCTGAATTCTTTATTTGGTAGTAAAATTCCAAGACTGAAGATAGAAATCTCAAAGTTACTTTTTTCTTTCCAACGGAACTGGCATCATTTTCAATGGTTGGGGAAGATGGTGTAGAATCACGTTGTGCTGCCACCTGATCTGGCAGCTTTGTAGATCGTTGCTCGCTCTTTTGAATATCAGTCGCCACAGCCGCGAGCGACCTCAAAGACCCAGAATTAAATGATTCTGTGACCATTGAATGTGACAGCCCTCTGTCATTGATATATTCAGGTTTTGATATTAATGGATAGTCATGCAAAATTGTGACGAAAAGGAGCTCACAGAAAGGTGTCATTATAAGATCAAAACCGAAATCTTTAACACATCCACCGAGTAGGGTGCTGAATGATACGGTTGATATATCATCGCTGAGCAGACAGTTTTTCTCTACATCAAGTTCTCTAAAGATCTTAGCTATCGATTCTTTCAGCTCAAGTTTCAGCCTTAAATACTCCGCTGATGAAACACTCAAATTCCCTAATGATGTCTCGAGAGTATATGCTATCGATGCCGATATAAAGGCTCTTCCCAAAGCTGCGATATTTTCTGTTGACTTTCTTGTGGATGCTGCGCAAGTTTTTGACCTTTCAATGTAATTCAAAATCAAGGATTTAGCGTTCACATTTTTCAAATTTGTAAACGACGATGGTTTAAACGCAGATAGATTTGTTATGGGAGGTAATTTTGTAGAAGCAAATGGTGCTGTGTGGTTATTAATTTTGGGTTCCAACATTGAACCTATAGCTTCTCTCGATCTGTCAAGCGCCGAAAAATTCTTCGATCTGGAATAATTGAGGTCATAGAGATCATCTTGAGAGTCCGAGTTTAGCTTTGATATTTCGGAGAGGAATTTACTCTTCTTTGGAACCATGATCTCTAATAATTTGTCATCATATGCAAGATTTTCACCGCTTTTAAGGGAATCAGTAAATGAATCACCCAATTTGTTAGAAATAGACGATGCCCTATCATTTGAGTTAAAATAAAGAGATGATTCAGAAGATGCCCCTGAAATACCTTCTAATGATGAGTTTATAATGGAAATTTTTCTTTCCTGTTCTTTGGAACCTCTCTCGACATCAAACTTTTTGGACTTTGAAACCCTTTTGCGGTTTCTCCTCACGCTTTGTACGGCTGCCCTCACGAGCTTGTTGAAATCATCAGCATAATCACTTGAGTAGTCATATTCTAACCTCAATATTTCTGCAACATCCCTTATTTGATGCTCTTGTTCTGATGCCTTTTTCGAGCTTAAATCTAATGTATCTATTAGTTCCAATCGCCTCGCTGAGAATCTCTTCCAATGCCTTTCATCCAAAAAATTTAATCTTTTTCGAATAGCATGCGTTACTCCAGCTTTAGAGTAACTTGGTTCCGCCGCCAAGCTCATGTTAAATTATTTTATGCTTCAAACACCTTCCTATGACTCAATAATCACCGATGACTATGAATCAAATGTTTTAAGATTCCGCACCAATGCGAAATCTGAGTCAGCAAAATGTGGAAACACCGAGTAAAGATGTGTCCGAAGTTTTTTGACCTATTTTGGAAGAGCAGAACATGCCACCAGAGTCATCGGAACTAAATGTAATATTGTTGCTGCTCGAATCATACGTCTTCATGTGAAATATATAAAAAAGCAAAGCCAATACTACTTTAGACTGCCCTAAATATACGTGATTTGAAAAACAGAACTTCTTGCGGTTCAATAAATGTGTATGAAGCACTACTAAACCTCACCACTACTAAACCTCACCACAGTCTTTATGAAATAAATTTTCAAGATGCTAGGAGCTAGACCGCGTTTCGGTATTCTGCCTTTGAATTTCGAGTTAATCGAAGGAGGTAATAGACAACCAACGTTCGAAGAAATTTAGACAGAATATCATCCCTCATCTGAAGAAATTTATTAGTGTTTTGTTTTTGATACAGCTCGGGCAGAAAGAAGATGTTCTTTTCAAGACTGGAAAACCCTAGTTTATCAATTTTAATTCAGAACCAAAGTGGAAGCAGGAAAGTTCTGATCTTTGTTGAGAACATGCTTCATGAAAAAGCCACAGCATCGTAATTCTATATGGAAGAGGTGAGAAAGAGTCGTTATATATATATAAAGTATCATTCAAGTTAGCATCCGAAATAGATTATTAAATTGGATGTCTCAATATAGTACATAGCGCAGAGAAATGAGTCATTCCCAATATAGTAATCGATTGGTTAAGCGCGCTTCGTTATCGACCAGTGAAAATTTTAACCTATATAACTAAGAAAAAAAAAAGAATCTCCCAAAATTTATTCTCTTCTCCTCGAAATACATTTTTTATATAGTTAGAAATGTCCAAAGGAAAAGTTTGTTTGGCTTACTCAGGTGGTCTCGATACCTCAGTCATCTTAGCTTGGTTGCTTGAAGAAGGTTACGAAGTTATTGCATTCTTGGCTAACATTGGCCAAGAAGAAGATTTTGAAGCTGCCGAAAAGAAAGCTTTGGCTATTGGTGCAACAAAGTTTGTAGTTGTGGATGTTAGAAAGGAATTTGTTGAAAAGGTTTGCTTTCCTGCTATTCAATCCAATGCTATTTACGAGAACGTTTACTTATTAGGTACTTCATTGGCTAGACCAGTTATCGCTCAAGCTCAAATCAAAGTAGCAGAAGATAATGGTTGTTTTGCTGTATCCCATGGATGTACTGGTAAAGGTAATGACCAGGTTAGGTTTGAATTGTCTTTCTACGCTTTAAAGCCCGACGTTGTTGTTATTGCTCCTTGGAGAGATCCTGATTTCTTCAACAGATTTGCTGGCAGAAATGATTTATTAGAATATGCTGCATCCAAGAACATTCCCGTAGCACAGACTAAAGCAAAGCCATGGTCAACTGATGAGAATTTAGCCCACATATCTTTTGAAGCTGGAATTTTGGAAAATCCTGATACCACTCCCCCTAAAGATATGTGGAAATTGACAGTAGACCCCACTGATGCTCCTGATACACCTGAAGACTTCTCAGTTGTATACGAGAAAGGTTTACCAGTTAAGTTAGTTTTGAATGGAGGTAAGAAGGTTGTAACGGGTCCCGTTGAATTGTTCATCGAAGCCAACTCCTTAGCAAGAAGGAACGGTGTTGGCAGAATTGATATAGTCGAAAACAGATTCATTGGTATCAAGTCTAGGGGCTGTTATGAAACTCCTGGTTTGACCATTTTAAGGGCGACTCATGTTGATTTAGAGGGTTTGACTTTGGATCGTGAGGTACGTGCCATTAGAGATCAATTTGTCACCACTACATACTCAAAATTATTATACAATGGTATGTACTTTACTCCAGAATGTGAGTACGTTAGGTCTATGATAGCACCATCTCAAAAGACAGTAAATGGTGTTGTTAGAGCTAGAGCTTACAAGGGTTCTGTGTCAATCTTAGGAAGATCATCCGACACAGAGAAGTTGTACGATGAAACTGAATCCTCCATGGATGAACTTACCGGTTTCTCTCCTGAGGATACGTCAGGTTTTATTGCAGTACAATCAATCAGAATCAAGAAGTTCGGAGAGGCTGCCAGAGAGAAAGGGGAAGAGCTAGCATTATAGATTTAACTATTTGCTAAATTGGATGCCATTACACTAAATATGTTTATATAATTTAAAGTTCAAATTACTCAAAGTAAATTGTCAGTATCACTATAATCTTCTAATATATCAGTATTAAAGTCATACTTTTCCCCAACTAATGATTTAACAGCCAACATCATTTCATCTAATCTCTCATACAATAGATGGCTAACTAATAATAGAACCACGTCTAAAATACCATCTTTGCTGAGGAACTTTTTGAAATCCAAATTGACCTTGATTGATTCGTGTAATTCATCTTTATTATTATCGTCTTCATCTATCATTAATTCGGCGGCACTATCATCATCGTGATCCTTAATGTAAAATCTTTCATTTAAAGAAAGATTCTTCCTTCCCCACTGCCGTCTTAGAATCTCTAAATGCTTGAGTGATATATTGGCCTCTGTAATCTTAGGTAATTCGTCAGCATTTTTCAATACGTGAGAAGTCATATGCAAAACTGCAAATATATCTGCATTAAGATCTGATTCCGTCCATCCCATTCTCCTAAGAATAATTGGAATCCAATTTGAGGTTGATTTTACCTTATCAAGGGCGGAATATGCAATAAAGTATAATTGAATAATATCCAAAATAAGCTCTTGCAATTTCTTGTACTTGGCCTCTGGCCAAACTCCAGTTATTGGTATTTCAGAATACAATGCTATCATAAGTTTCGAAATACTGGAAAGTTTGTATTGCACGTATCTGAACTTCTCAAGAATAAAATCATGACGGTTGAGTATATGAAGCAGAGGGTTTTCAATACGCTCGAATGCAAATTTGGAGACACTGCAATGTAAATTTCCCACCTCTTCTACTGTTCGAGAGAGTATGAATCTTATTTCCGCTTTGCTGGTATGAGGTTTAGGGAATAGAGTTGGAATTAACCCTATTGTTAACCCGATTATAACGCTTATGAATCTTGTGTATGCAACTTCAAAACCAGCACCTATATTAGCCAGATAGATATGTTTTGCATCCACCCAGCTTGTGCCAAGCACCAATGCAGATGTCACAGCATAAAGAACAGCAGGCATTGGTGATAGATGGACAGAAAAATGTCTGTAATAGCACAAGTAAAGATATACCACAGCAGTGACTGCACAATAGCCATAGTAGTTACCATTTCCACTTCCAGTAGAAATATACCAACACACCATACCAAGTAAGCATCCAAAAAACGTATAGAAGAGTTTTGCTATGAACACGTAGACAGACTCACCAGTATTCTCTGAAGTCGATATTGTCGTCATAATGACCAACCATATAAGTCTATTCGAGTAATACCAATGCGCCGTCGTCCTGCAAAAATATGGAGTTGCAGCAATAACAGAACAGCCCGCCGTTCTAATCCAAAACCAAAGATGTCTGTGCAGAATAATCTTGTACAACTTGACGAACTTAATTCCTAAAAGATGAAATATCGAAGAAGGTGGTAAAGCATCGGGATCTCTTCTTTGGATTTCGCTCTCAAGATACAGCGGGAATTCTTCATCTAAGTTAAGATGAAGAGTGTGAGTAAAATCTCGTTTTGATCTCGTGAAATATGTTATAAATTTTGGAACTGGCCTAGTTTCATCAATTGATAAAAATAAGTCTAATATCCTTTGAAGCTGCCGACAATGCGATTCGAGTAGATGAATTACAAGAGAAGTTTGGCTGATAAGAGCTAATAACGATTCCTCCGATCTACTTGCATCCTTGAGTAGTTTTTCAGATTTTTTTTGGTCTCTTAGAAAGGTAAGTTGATCATGAATCTTCTGTTTTGCGAGAATTACTTTCTCATTGCATTCTTTTTGTCTAGTTATGGCTCTTTCGCGACTGCGTGGGTTAATAAGTGTTAAAATTCTGAACTCGTTTGCTGCTCCCATCCATTCAATCACAACACCAAGAGCTTCCGTGGTGGCCTCAAACATTGAGGAGAAGTGTTCGCTAATAAATTTGGATATATCAACAAGGTCATCGGCAGACAAACTATCAGGATTTTGATTGGATATCTTTCTTTTAAGGAGCTCAATTCTTTTCCGATTTTCATATTTTCCGACCTCCTTGTAAGATTCCTGAATAGTTGTAAAGAGTTTAGAGCTGCCATTTACCTTTCTATTACCATTTGAGACAAGACTTCCTCTACGTGATATTGACTCGTATTTATGAGTAACCATATCTCTCCTTTCATGAAGCAATTGATAGAAGTAGGAGAAACTTGCAAGTGAGCCAACGACATTTTTGAACGCCGATCTGAATTCAGCAGCATCTCCTAAGTCGAATCTGCCATAAGATACTTCATATCGGGCAGTACTTGCAAATATATCCAAGGCAACCATTCTCCGACTCAACGGAATAATGTCTTTTTTCAAATCCTTGTAATTGATAAAGTCAGGGGACGAAGGGTTTAAAGTTCGAATAAAGTCAGTATTTTTCTCAGAAATCTGTTTCACTGCTTGAACAATTTTTGAAGCACCCTGGAAAAAGGAATGATTGGAAGTTGACGGGAAAATGAATATACAGAAGAGAACTCTCAACGAAAGGCCAATACCCATAGGCCGTATAACACTAAATCCGATTGATAAAGGTTCAAATATAGGAAAGAAAACACCATAGCAAATATTAATGACTAGTGTAATAGACCCTAATATGAAGCCGATCTTGAAGAATGGATGGTATGACGAAGTTAATCCTAGTAGGGTGATCCCAAACATTAAAGCAAATATGAAAATTACAGTGCACCTAGTCTCAAGAAATCTCCCAGTGAAAATCTGCTCACTCATACACGTCGAAATATTATCGATTGTGCATGTACCTTCTTGTATAAGCATTTCAGACAACTGCTGAGGCGTAATACTTCCTCTAAGTTTATTAGATATCTTCATTGCAAGAATTGCATGTATCCAAGCGATGCAAATGTAAAACATATAAATCACACCACTAACCACACTCATAATCACCAGAGACCCACCTGAGACAGCAACGAATCCAATTATTTGAAGCAAGTATGCTGCACTGCCCATCCAATGACTCGTTTTAGGGATTACCCCTAGGATAACCGATACCCATAATTGAACCCATGTTCGAAAGATAATCTTAAACGAAGGATAATCCAAGTGGTCAATCACGTAACCTGGTCTGAGATTTTTCAAGAATTTTCTGAAAAATGACTCCTTTGGTGTTGCATCCTCAGCTATATCAGAGTTCCATGATTTATTTTCTTGTTTGAAATAATTAGCGGGCTTTGGCTCGGTATTATCTTTCTCGGATGCATCATTCCCAGTGTATGGCCGTGGGTCCAGAAATCGTGATAAGTCAGATCGTATACTACCAGACGAGGCCACAGAAGAGCTTGACATGACATAAACAGCTGCTTTTGAAAGAAATCCCCTTATACATCAATGTCTATCTTACATGTTAAAAACAAGCGCATACTATATGTTGAAAATAATATGACTATGCATCCTCTATAACAGCTTTGTGTCATCTTTAATGTTGTTCAGCCACTCCTCCAACTGAAGTAAGTAATCGTTCACATGCTTACCAAAAAGATCTGTAGGAATGGACCGTTTAGCAGCCAGGATTGTTTTGCTAAGCTCAAAATGAGATTTGAGATGTGATATAAGAGCAGTCAAAATAGAGTATTCTATAGAATCGATTCTCTCAATGTGATCCGATTGGCGTTCAATTTTATTGTTATCAGTACCATTTACATCACGAATGAACTCGTCCTTGTGATTATAATAATACCAGCTAGTCATCCACATCACTTTATTGAAGTAGGGAAATCTAAATTTAGTTGGAACCTTTGTAACTTTCTCTATATTACTAATTTTTAACTGCATTTCAATATTCATTAGTGTCAAAAAATTACCTCCTATGACTATGGAGTCCTGAGGGGTGTATACTGCATGAATCCAACCACTTGGTATGAAAAACACATCTCCTTCACGTAGTGTCACTTTAAATCCGTTCGACGGTGTAACACGCTTGCCTTTAATATACTTTGAATAGTCACCAAACCATAGGAAGTTCTGATTTGGTTCCAAGCACCATGATGTGTATAACTCCAAATTCCAGTCAGTTGGTGGATACATTAAAAAGGTCTTGGAGCCTGAGCAAACAGTGTAGTACACAGAAGTACCTCCGAAGTCAATATGGAAATCAGTAAAAGAGCCTTTAACAGACATGAGACAATATTTTGTTACCTGGGGTCGTTCATTCTTCTCATCAGACCATATCTTATCCACCAAGTCCATCTCTCGAACAAGACGTGGTCTATGAAACCCATCTCCTAACTCCTGAACCTGAGAAATCTCAAGTGAAATAACATTTCTAATCCTATCTCTACTGCTTTGATCTAAATTAAAATAGTCCCTCCATTTACCCATATTCCATGCTGGGGTCACACTTTGTTGAGAAAGAACATCCATGACTTCCACGCGACTGTCCTCTCCAACTAAGTTTGTTATGTAGTCAATTGTTATCTCCTTTCTTGGTCGTGGAAGCTTCATACCAGCGTCATCAGAATAAGCCCGAGGAATTAATACAGGCCGCACAAGTCTCGACGATAAGGCGTAATCTTTAGTTATAGTCTTCAATGTATCAAGAAACTCACTTCGTTGATTTCCTAACTCATCATCACCAAACATTTCAAAATTTCTTACATGAGGATGGAATGTTTTATCTACCACAAAGACCTCACCTTCGTTCAATGCAACATAATCTATCTGAGTTCTAGCTCTTTTAGACTTTCTTTTATATATTGATGGACCATGTCCCTTTCTGCATGAATCGCAGTGATACGCAGACAAGTTGTTAACATCATAATTCGTAAGTTTAATGCAAATAGTATGGAACCATTGATTACAGATATCACACAGAATCCAGTGAATGCTTGAAACGTCCTTCGTTTCTTCTAGCGGTACCAGTAGGCATACGGGACAAGTGTTAATATCAAGCATAATGGTGGGCTGCAACTTTCAAGTAATGCATCGTAGATATAATGAAAAGTTGAAATGCGAAATCACACGAATTCTTTTAATGTGCTCCTCCAGCCTTTATCATCGAAACAGATTTCTAACTACTTCACTTTTAAACATATGAGTATACGAAGTATGATTAGTTATATAAATGCGAGTGGTAGAGCCTTGATGGGGCCCATTAAACATTCAAGATATTGCGGTAAACTTAAAGTGAAAGGTTCCTTTATAATTTTGAGACGCTTATCATCGAAGGACTCCATACCAACTGATAATAAAAAAATACTATCAAAGGAATACAAGCTAAGATCATCGTTAGAAATGTTGATACTACATTATTCGAAACAAGATATTCCAGATATCACCATGAAAACATTATGTGATCAATCCCAAAAGCTATCATCTTCCTATATTTTGGAGAATGCTAAAAATACTGTCGAGAGCTTAATAGTGTTTAATGCTAGAAGATTAAGAGAGTTTAGAAAGCTTCCATATTTGGTTATACTAAATCCATCATTATCAGAGACCTATAGTCTTTATTTAAAGTCCATGGCGTTATTGGTTTCTGCTTCCGTTTCTCCTCCCAAATCAGTCCAGGAAAATTCTGAATTTATCAGAGACGTATTAGAACAATTCAACGAGATCCACACAGATTCTTTACCTGAAATATCAAAGGGATTTGCTGAAGTCACTCAATTCTTATCTGTGAATAAGGTCACCACTTTTTTAGACCAGCACTTGCAAGATAGAATACTCATGAGTTTGATAGTACACCAACATAAGGAATTATCTAATTCTTTGAATAGTCTGACATTTGAGCAGGGTGGCAAGTTCAATGGGGTGATAAAATTACTTAATATACCTGACGTCATTAACAAGAACGTCGAACTTGTTAACAATCTTTTTATGATGAAGTATGATCAATCGATGAATGTTGATATAGAAACAGTTTTACATGATGATAACAAAACATATTTAAGCGACCATAAAGATGCAACTCATCCTTGTATCGAGTATCATTTGGATTACATTTTTACGGAGCTACTCAAGAATTCATTCAGAGCACAGATTGAAAATAAAGTATCGACGCCAGTTAAGATCTTCGTTTCAATTTCTCGAGATCCATCCTACATTGAGATCAAGATAAGCGACCAAGGTAAAGGTATCCCAGCTTCCACATTGCGTCACATATTTGACTACTCCTTTACTACATATGAGACCAATGAGGGAGAAAGTTACAAGACTCTCAATGTTGTACCTGGGTTTGAAGGAAATACAGTAGCTGGAATGGGCTTTGGCTTGCCGTTACTGAGGAACTACATCGAAGTTTTCAATGCATCGGCTCCAAACTATGGTCTGCTTAGTTTCCAAACCTACAATGGTTGGGGAACCGATGTCTATTTAAAGATTGGTGGCTAGTTAACCTGTATAATATCTAGATTATGTAAATCGACTTTTTCGACTTTTTAAATTCTTTAATACCAAGCCGATAATATGATTGCGCGGAACTCGAAATTTGTTCATTTTGAGGAGCACAAAGGTCTGGTGCAAATTGTATATATATGTCAAGTGATGGAATGGACGATGAGATTCAAACTCCAGCCACATCTTTTCCTAGGTTTAAGCTTACTGGCGAAGCTGATAATCAAGATATTGGTATGATTTTGATAAATAGCGATGCAAATGAATGTAACAATAATCTTTGTACATACATGAAGATTGTTGTGGATAAGATGTACAGATCAGTGAATTTGGATTCTCTGCCTATAACTTTTCATGAGTTGTCTATATATGCTTTTAAGCTACTAAATCTGAATATGTTCGTTAAGAACTACATGTTTTGCATTCACAAAATAATGGGTCTAATAAGTGTTTTCACTGAATTGACAGAAGCACAAATGAACGATCCTGAACGGGCCATAGACGAAAGATTGAGGACCGAAAATGAGTATTATAAAGAATTTGTTTCTGTATGTCTTTTATTACTTTTGAAGACTAAGAATGCTTCTCGAAGTAAACCCTCTGAATTGGGCGATGAATGGGATACGTTTTCCTTGATTGACGACAGAAGCTTGTATCTTACGTTAAGAGATGCTGGGTTTGTAAAGGTTGTCTCAGATTTCATTTCTACTCAAATACTAGCGTCCCAAGTGATCATGACTCAATTTTTCATTCTAGAATTCACAAGTGATATCTTTTTCGAATATTTGTATTATAATGAACTTTTATGTGATTCAGACTTCCATATTTTAACTAATGAGACTCATTTAATTCAAGTTTTAATACGAGATCTATTATCCAACGAAACGTTTGATCACTATGACATTAGCGATGATTATCTGTTTGATACAGATAAGCAAAAGGCTTATCAAGAATTTAAGTTATTACTTTTAATTAATGAACAATATATGATGAAATCGTACACCAGTGGACTGATAAGCAATCAGGTATTTGAGGGTTTAATGACCAGTGAAAGTGGCGAGGTCACATATACGAGCGAAATCAATGCATTCATAAATTTACTAATATTCAATCTTAATAGAGAAGAATCAGAGGTGATAAAAATTCTTATATTGAAATTTCTTTACCTTGTTTTCACTACTTCCTATACATCCAAATTGTTTTACTTAAATGATCTAAAAATATTGCTAGATATATTCATAAGAGATCTTAATAACATTGACATCGACGAAAGTCATAGTAATAAGATTCTAGTGGTTACTTACTTGAAGGTGCTTTATCCTTTACTAATGTTTTCGCAATTGAACGAATTAAAATCTGCTTACAAAGTTGACGAGATAAAGGAACTGTTAAGCCATTTGATTATGAATAGTCCATCTGTTCAGGGTAAAAATTCTGACCAAGAAGTCATTAGCAAGTTGGCTCTGAGATGTTTATCGGCATCATATTTAAAGCCAGAGAAACAAAAATCAATGAAAGAAAAAGCATCTGGGGGAATTTACTCGTCGACGTCACCATACTCATCTGCATCCTCACTTAGCTTGGGCAGTCATTCAGAACTCAATAATGATTCCACAGATTCCGTAGGTGCTTCCTTTACTCGAGTTGCATCTGTGCGTGTATCCACCCGAGCGGATTATGAAAAGCTGCTTTCTCAAGACTTAAGGACAAACACTGAACTTGGAAAAAATAAGAGGAGTGCAAGCAACTTGGTTTTGGAAAATAATCACAATATATTCCTTAATAATGCCATTAATTCTTTAACTATTAACAATGAGCCAAATATAAACCTGGAGAGGAAGAAATACGATAAAGTGATGCATCCACTGAGTATTGATGTGCATGAAAATGCTATCCCAAAATCTCACCAATGTTTCAATAAATATAAACACAAAAATTCATCATCTACCTCAACATCATCAACTCAATCATCATCACTGTTGGTGAAAAAAGCCCAGAGGAAAAAGGCACCCCCGCCGCCGCCACCTCCTCCTAGACGAAGATTTTAAAATCTTCATTACGAAATAATAATGCGAGAGGATGAAGGAATGTTATAATTTAATATGCTAAGGATATAAATAAAACCTACATAGATATGTCTTCATTAAAACTTAGTACGTCATCAAACCTCAAGCCATTGATTTCTGATTTTGTATATGAGTCAAGTGCTTTGAAAAGCTTGTCTTTCTGCTCATCGTCTTGATCAGTTATGTCGCTTGATGCAACTAAAACCAACCCTCGAGACTTTATTAATGGAATCAACTTAGGAACGATATTGAGTAAATGCACGGATATAATCAAACCAATGAGGTTGTTATTTGTTGTGAAATTTGTTCCATCTTTAATTGATCTGATAGTCTTCTCCTGGTGACTAGCTATCGCGTTATTTTTGTCATTACTATTATCCACATTGGGAATTTCGTCTGTAGATTTTTCATCTATTATAAGACCATTGGTCGAACGCGATTCGAACCTCTTGGAAATATTATTGTATGTTATACCACTCATTATTAAGAACACCGGAAAATTAGGCTGTTTCCAGTTAAGGATTTTGCATATCAATGCGTTTGAAGACAAAAAGATAATTGATCTTCGAGAACCCTCATTTAATTTCCTTGACCTAACATGATCGAAAACATCATTCAACGTGAAATCAATGAACTTGTTTAAATTCTGCTGTATGCTTCCAATAAAAGAAAGTTTCTCTAATTCATATAGCGAAGGAAATATAATTTCTAAGTTCAAATTTATATCAACGTTAATGATTTCCAAAAGGATATCTAGCGGCATGTAAATTATTTTTAATAGCTTTTTTATTAACGGCAAATCTTGGATTGTCATCCTCGACAAGTCATGTATGACTTTACTATAGTCAAACAAAGAATTTGTGATGGAAGAAAGTTGCTCTATCGATAAGTTTGGTAAATATAATTCGATGTTTTCCAGGACTGGTATTGACCATTGAGGACATACGACAGGTGTGCCATCATTAAGCAAGCATACTTTTATTCTAAGGTACTCTCCAGATAACGATGTTGCTGTTACGAATGAGCTGGGGCATGCACTGGTTGAATTTCCTTTCTTGTCGTTAGATGGCCTTTTCGGAGAAACCTTGCTATTCTTACTGTCACCCATAAATGAATTGATACTCGAGGGAGAGAAATTATTAGACACGGCAGCAGCGGGTGTGCTGTCATTTAGAACAGAAGTTGAAGATTTCCAGTAAGTATCAAATTTCGATGTCTCAAGCAATGTGCCTGAATATGGAAAAATTACCTGGTAATTGAACTTTAACTCTCCAACATTCCTCAATCTCAGATCAAATAAGGGTAATTGAATTGAGTCTATTTCTGGAGACACTGTGTCGATGTGAGAAAATGAAAGGGCTGTTGTTTTGGCTATAAGTCTGGTGCCAAATTTGGGAAATACTTCAAAGTCTATTCGGAACTCATGTAACGATTCAACGTCAGTTTGAAATATACAATTCCTAATAGATTTTGACTCATCTGTCCCAGGGAGTATAATGTTGCGCGGTATCATATCAGAAATATTTGATGTTATAGTTATCCTTCCAGGATTTAGATCCTTGGCTGAGTTGAAAAGCTCAACAATTCTAAGATCATTCGGAAATATTAGTTCAATTAGGACTTTCTGCTCTAAGAAATTATGACCATATCTTCTTAAGGGAATAATTGGAGGGGGAAGTTGAAGATCTGGAATGGATTCAGCATTATTTTTTTCAGTGCTTCCACTATCTTCGGAATCATCACCGTCATCAAGTATAGAAGCTGATGTATCTTTGTCCCCTCCATCAATCTGAATTTTCAATGATGAGTTTTCGGATTGTCCATCAGTTGAATTTTGCTTTTCATTAAAATACTCGAAGTTATTTTTATTACCGTAGCTTAAAAGCTTATTCAAAACATTAATATGACCTTCGATAACACAATAATACAATACATTATATCCATCCTTGTCTAGTATATCAACCTTAGCCCCATATTCAACTAGCCTTTGGGCAGTTTTCATGTGCCCTTCCAGAGCTGCGTAGAATATAGGTGTCCAATCATTTAAACCGTCCGGTTTGTTGACGTCAGCTCCGTGTGTAATAAACAATCTGATAAGCTTGTCATGTCCAGACCTTGAAATTACATGTAATGGAAGCAATCCTTCAACATCTGGTCGATTGATTAAAGAAGGGTCCTTCTCACTATGAGACAAAAGATATTCCAAAGTTCTGAAGTCACCAAATTTGCATGCATAGTTGATAGGTAAATATTGCAACTTAGATTCGTCACCCTCAGGACACAAATTCGCACCCAGTTCAACCAATCTTCTGATAACATCAAAATTGTTGTGCTTTATGCCCAATAGCAATGGTGACATGGACTCATTATCCAAGCTGTCGAGCCCTTCGGCTGGAAAATATGGTAGAACAATATCAAAAATGTCTAGTCTGTTATATTGTGACGCATAATGTAACCCATTTCTACCATTAAAATCCTTGCAAACCAACAAACGCTTGCGATCAAGGTCTGGCAAATTTTGCATCATATAACTTAAAATAAAACTCCTCGATTTATTCACATTATCAATTGAACTGTAGACTTTGACACCATTGTTTATCACAAAATGATGGTTTCCTTCTGACAAGGCAGGCTGAATAGCACAGCACTCATGAAATATATTTCTGTTATTGTTGAGATCCTCACTTATAAACTCGAAGTCTATGTCATAATTGATCAAATTTAGAAATGATTCTAAAAAGGTGTCAGATATCTCCACATTTGAGATAGCCAAAAAAAAGATCTTTGAAAGCTTAGCTCTAGTTGAACGGTTAATTTGGTTTACCGGGTCTGTGAAATGCGAGCTCTTAGATGTGACTTTTATTTTCTCAATCCAATTTTTCAAAACTGATCTATCGGGGTCCTCTATAGTTGCCACATTAACGAAACTCAAATATAGTTCATCAATTTCGTTACTGTCCAAACCTGAAATTGAACTATTTCTCGAAGGTTGAAATTGCGGTTGCATAGGACTCATAGAATTATTAGAGCTCGTAGAATCTTTGCGTTCCAGTGTTCTTAGGTGGGTAATGTTTGTGATAGAATTGTTTCTTGATAACGAATGAAGAATGTTAATTTGATTTGATGACGTTGTCGCATCCTTGGGATTATCCAAAACACTGTAATCCCCATCCATGATTGATTCGAGATCAAATAACGACTGTGTCACTATATCACTCAACTCATTAATCTCATTTTTATAGAACACAGGTTGTACATTAACAGCTGACTGAATAAATAGTTCCTTTGTATGTGACTTTGATCGTTTATCCCACTTCTTCACTACCTTAGAAAATCCAGTTTCATTTAACTCAATAAATTGCTGTAATCTAATCAAATCTTGGTGGATTTTCTTGAAGTTTTGATAGAGATTCAAATAAGAAATTGAATTCTTGAAGTTAGAATTTGAGGTCGAGGACCCATTATAGGTAGAACCATTTCCGTACGTATTGAGAGCATATCTAGATTTGTTAAATAGTTCATTTTTTTTTCTAATCAAAACATCTAGATTGACCGCTAAATTAGCCTGCTTTTCCAAGTAAAGAGCATTAACCTTATCAAGTTCTCTCTCAACTCTGAAGAAAAATGAGGCCTTATTCTCTTTTAAAGTTTCTTGAATTTCCTGTTGAGTTAAGCTAGTTCTTGTTCCATCTCGATTACTGCTAGAAGTTGCTGGTATAGCTAATTGTTTAATTAACTTTTTTAATGCCTTATAGTCTATAAAGTGACCCGAGTATTCAGGAAGCTCGAGCTGTCTTGAAGCAAGATACTTTCCAAACTTCATTATACCTCTGAAATCAAGTTTGGGATTGTAAGTTCATTGATCTCCACTTGAAAACACTTCTACCGCTGAAGATTTAGCCAATCTTGATAGGAGTCCACGTGGAAAAATAGTAATTTTGTACTGTATACTCAATCTAAAAATATTCACTAAATTCTTAGGATGACATTAAATTTCAGTTATATATGCATATACACTTTCCTGATAAAAGGCAGACTAACTAGATTTAGATAATTCCTTACTTTCTTCCCTGGCCTTATCGAAATGCTCTTTGAATTTATCCGCATTTTCCTTGTTGCCGAATCTAATAGCCAAAGTTTGAGCTTCAGGTTCACCTTCAGATACGTCTCCTGTCACTGAGTAAACCCAAGATCTATCGGATCCGATGTTAAGCTTTAACTCATACTCAGGAGCAATCAAATGGTTCGCACATATCTTGAGTGTCTTATCTCTTCTCATCAAAATACGAGTTTTACCTGTTACCTTATGTTTCAAGAATTTCACGTCACCAGTACCTCTCTCTTTCCATTCCTTTGTATCAGGATGAAATCTGAACAATTTGGCACGAACCTTAAATACAACATCCTCGTTCTCTTCGTTTGTTTTGACATCAACTTTCTCTAATTGAACGAGAGGTTCAAAGTGAACATCGGCTTCTTCTTCATCTGCCGCTTCATCATCTTTTTTAGCATCCTTGGCATCATCCTTTGAATCATCCTTTGAAGTATCCTTTGAGTCACCCTTTGTTTCATCCTTGGCGATCTCTTTTGATTCATCTTCCTTCTTTTCTTTTTTAGCTCCAAACATGGAAAAAATGTTAGAGCTTGGCGGTTGGAGCTTACCTGAAGATGCTTCAGGTGACTTGACTTCTTCACTAGACATCCTTAAAGATAGATTATTAAAATATATCAACACCCAGTACAAGAGATTGTACGATCTCAATGTTACTATTTAGCGTGTCGGAAGAAAATAGAAAAAAAATTTGAAACGTAGACTTCCTAATTCGGAAGGAGAAAGAACAATATACAACTAAAACTATCTTTAAAATTTTTACATTCAATGACTTTTTATATCTTTCTAAATACTATGAATACCGAAAGGAGAGATTGAACACGAAGGGGCTCTGTCTCGGGTTTAGATAGACCACGCTAGTCATCCATTTCGGATGGTTTAATCAAACCTCCAACTTGTAAATCTTTTTCCCTTTGGATCCTTGATTGCTCTTGCTTTTCCAACTCTTTATCTTCTGCAAACAAGTAATCTGTGGGGTCGCCGCCAAACTCCTTGATTTGAATCAAAAAGTCCCCTAACGTAGCCTTGAACTTATTCAAGTCAGTATATACGGACGTTAATACGTTTAAGAAGTTGATGAGCTGCTCCTCTTGCAAGTTGCCGAATGCAGATGACAAGAGCAGACCTAAATACTGCTTTAAATAGTCTGAGTTTGAAGTTCCTTCAGGTGCTTGATCTGGCGTATATAGCGGCTCTTTTATCACATTATCTTGCACTAAATGAATCAACTGTGCTAGCAATTGCGTTTGATATCTAAAACCAGATTTGTGGTCAGGCTGTGTTAAAACATAAAAGGTTTCTGAAAGAATCTGGAAATAAAAATTCTCGTAAAATGCTTTTGTAAACGGCGTGTCCCCTAGCTTTTCAACGTTCTCAATTAATTCCAAAGCTAATGCCAATCCATTATCTTCCACATCTCTATTGTTATGCTTGAAAGCCCAGAGAGCGGCATTGATCAAAGATTGAAAGGCATCTCCTGACAATTGCAATAATGCTTGGAATGATCTAGCGTTAATTTCTTTCAAGAGCTTGTAAAACTCGACGCGGTGTTCCGGATATTCAACGAAATCATTCTTAATCATATCCAAAGTACATTCGAAGACATTCTGCAAAATTAAAACTACTCCCTCAGGAATCATATGACCAACCTTAGCAACAAGTGCTGTCATGCAATTCAACACTTCAGCGTCTCTCGCATCAGTGACATTAGATTTGTAATCCTCCAACACAGCAGCAAACAAAGGTTCAGCTAAGTCTCTAACTATTTCATCCAAATTATCAGCCTTATTAATATATGTTTCGATCATTTTTAATATTTCTTTTTTAATTGTTCTCAAGCCTCTAACTTTTGGTGTTTTGGTTGCAATTAACCCATCTTTTACAACTTGATCTGAAATCATAGAAGAAACAGCTTTATACAAAGATAACATGTCAACATACATTAATCCCAATTGAGAATAAAACCCAGGACCCAAGGCTTTACAAACAGCAACGTTAGTTTTTATAATATTTGCTATAATCTTCACGGTCTCAGTATTAGTTAATAATTCTGGATCCTTACCTGCTTGGTCTATAATGGCGCTCCATGCCATATTGGGTAACGCCATTAGTTCATTCAACAATTTATCTCTAGGCTCTTTAGAAGATTGAGCACTGACTATGATACCACAGGCTTCATAGAATGTATGCACTTGCTGAGCTTCTAAATCCTCGGTAATACTTTGGATATTTCTTATTATCTCGTTGATGAAAGGTTCTTTTTCCTGGGCCTGAACAACTACGAAATGTTTCTTACACTTTGTAGTAATTTTAATAAAAGTATCACAAGCCATATCCTGAACACCTTCATGGGTTTCATGCATAAACTCGAAAAGCTTATTAACAACGGTTTTCAAAAACTTCCAATGCGCCTTCAAAAATCGCGGATACTGACCAACGATATACATGATATTAGATGCTACAACAGCTTTATTATCCTTTCCCCTCTTCATTTCTGTTAATGATAATAGATCTTTGATGACTGATACGAGAAAACCCTTCTCCATGTCTTCATTCATAGTACCTGAAATAGATCCAATGGCCCAGCATAATGTATTGATATTATGCCATGACCATTCTGATTCGTCAATTTGTCTCGATAACTTCTCACTCATGATTTTCTCCGTATCGACAACGTTCAAGTGGGTCAAATAGACTAAAACTTCCCTCATTGATTTGTATAACTGAATGGTGTCACTTTCCTTCACGAATTCTCTAACAATTTCGCCTTCGTCATTTTCAACGATTAAGACCTCTTCTGGCCTTACCATTTTCTCAATCATGACGAGCCTTAATTTAGATAGAACACCTGAGTACATATGTTCTCTCAATGGAAACTTTGCCAAAACTGCAGGATCTGGTGCACCTCCAGATGTAGCTCTCAATGAACTTGAATAGCTTAATTGCATCAAAGGACTCAATTCGTTCTGAGGAAGATTTTGAATTTCTTCAAATAAACCATAAACAAACCCGCTCCAAAAATCCAAGCACGTTTTAAAAAGTTCCCTTTCGTCAATTCGAGATAATTCTATCAAGTAAAACAAAGAATTCAAAAGCAATTCTCTTAAAGCCTCACTCTGCTCTAAAGGTAAAAGATGATTACTTAGAAATGTACACAAGAACATTGCCAAATCCTGCAAAAAAGATTGATCATTAGAACTAGCGAGCCTGTAAGATTCTATTAAATTTGAGCTTGCAGGTATGATCAAATAAATTTGCTCCATAGTATTCTTGAAAGTCAAGATGAACTTTTCTTCATTCTCAGCAGAATGTAAGCTTGAAACTTCTGTCAAGCATTTTAATGTTATACTTCTCGTGTCAACTGGATTTAAGAATTTGGTTGACAACATATTGAGTAAGTCTGTTTGGAAAATATAATTGATAGGGATCCAGTGAATATATTTTAGCAATGCATTTAGCGTGGCAATGATTAGGGAGGACTTCGATGTTTTATCTAGGACTTCATAACATAATTTGAATATTTCTTCAAATTCAGCCTTCATGCTCAATTTCAATTGTTTTGCTTTTGCTTGAGTTAGTTGTTCTTGACCGAAATCGAAGACTTCTTCACTTAGTAATTTCAAAATAATCATATTGTTTTCGCAGACATTGAAACTAGATCTTGAGCTCATCAGAATTTCAGGTATGAACTGTGGCCAATTATGTGGCCATTCCTGTTTCAAAATAGATACCAAAGTTAAATCAATCTTATTAATGAGAGCCTTTTGCGTTTCAAAAACCTCTTCATTATCGCAGAGCGAAATAATCATGTTTACGATAAAATTTCTGATACCAATCCTCTCGTTCTCAGGAACTGTCCTCCAGCGATATTGAATTAGCTTATTCAAGCATGATAACGCAATGTACTTTGATTGAGGATTACTTGAACTAGATAAAATTTGGTCCGATCTCTTCCAAGATTCTGGATGCTCCTGAAATTGATTCAAAAGAGTTTGAGCCATTTGTTGGTCCAAACCTGAGCCCTTATAAAAAGTCTCTACAACCAGATCGAATACACTGATATCAAGATCAGCACTAAAATCAAGAATTGATTCCATCAAGTTTTCGTTATCTTTCTGATTTGTTTAGTTTATACGGCTTCTTCAAACTATACTATGTTACAGAAACTTCAAGTCAAAGAAGCGAACAAATAAGAAACAGCTTTATAATTCCACTTGGTAAGCTATGCACAATAGTGAATTGTTTCTAACACAAACTAGATCGAAGACTATCTTTTGCTGTTAGTAAGCGCTATGAGCAAATTTTTAAGGAGAAAATTATATTGCTGGAGAGTAATTTATCCTTGTTTTCACCAAATTTTGTGCGAGAAATTGATTTATAAGTCTCTTTTTACTTACCCACTAGAACCTCTATTGCTGATAGGAATTTTGCGTACTCGTTTAACCTTTTTTGATCAATCCCTTTCAGTATGAAATTTGTTTGTTGTTTTGAAAACTATGTATCGATTATGAAAAAATTCCTGTATATTCGAATGTCACACAAAACGTGGGATGAGAATACAGAGGGATGCTAAAACACAAATGATCCCTAGAACATATCCTACGTCATATATATTTATGAAGGTTCAATTTTATTAAAGATTTAACCAAGATATTATTTAGTTTTTAATAAATGCAACACCCTTTTCAATATTCTTTGATAATTGATCAATGGCCACTTGCAATAATTTCTTCTCGTCTTCGCTGATTTTATTCAAAGTGTCATACTTAACCTCCTTGATTCCGTCTTTGCTCAATTCGACCGGTAAGGAGAAGAAATCCAAATTCTTAACCAACTTTCTAGCCTCCGAAGCTCCTGGAATTGAATCATCTAAATTCAAGAAAGTACATTCTACGATTGAAGTCTCGCCGGCGACAGCCTTTAAGATAGATTCGGCTAACTTGTAACCAGCGTAAGCCATAGATAAAGTAGCAGATCCAGCACCATTCTTAGCTTGAACAACTTCATCACCACCGAATTGAACTCTGTGGATCAATTCTTTCTTCTTCTCATCAGATAACTTTTCAAAGTAGGATTTGGAGTTTCCTAAAGAATATAACGGAACAATGGTTTCACCCGAGTGTCCACCTACGACCTTAATATCGAAATCGGTTGGTTTGGTTTCTTTTGGATACAACTGAGAAATGAAAGTGTTAGCTCTAACAATATCCAAAGTGGTTACACCGAACAATTTCTTGGGATCGAAGACTCCGTTCTTTTTTAATGTCTCTGCAACAATTGGAACAGTAGAGTTGACTGGATTAGAAATGATCAAAACAAAAGCATTTGGTGCATTCTCGGCAATTCCTTGTGCCAAGTCCCTGACAATGGATGCATTGATATTGAACAAATCATCTCTTGTCATTCCAGGTTTTCTTGGAACACCAGCTGGAATAACAACTAAGTCAGAACCCTGCAATGAATCTGCAAGAGCCGATTTATCCTCTCTAGAGGAGGGCAAATGAGACGAAGTCACAGAATTTGAGCAAATATGTGACAAGTCAGCGCCCACACCTGGTACGTTAACGACATCAAACAATGATAATTCATCAATCTTCGGGTTTAATTTCAACAATAATGATAAAGGTTGACCAATACCACCTGCAGCACCGCAAACTGTAACTTTAACCATATTGACTTGACTTCTTAAAATATATATATATGTTGTTGAATCTACTTCAAATAAAAGAGTAAAAATTCAATTGACAATTATCTATCAAAAGAGAGAAGGGGTGTGGAGGGCTATTTATATGAGTTCATTCTATTGCGACTAATATGGGGTATGAATGTCAACGTTATCACGTGATGATGAAACCGGGGACTTATTCCCGGGTCAACGGATATGTGCTGCCGGGATCATCCACAAGAGATGTTCAGCAAATGTGAAGATAGAGAACTGAGCAGAGACATCGGAACAGTCCAAACGTATTTCTCCGGGTTGTCGCTTCATTTAAAGAGTAGCAATAACTATACACCACGAATATGTATACACTTGTTAATGATATTACACAAAAGCTTTGCGGTGGCAACTGGCGCTCAGAATCCTTGTCGTGCAAAGTAGCACATAATATGAGACTTTTGCTGACTAACAGGCAGAATTGTCCCACTATATATGACCCCTTATTCTCGGTTAAGAGACTGATTACGGGGTGTTATAACTAGACAAGAAAACTGGATGAGATAGTTTATTTTTATAAACTAATTGTCCTCGCTGGTCTAAAATGCTCGTACGTCAGTATTACAACCTAATATATACTCATCTCGTTTTACATCGATTATAATTACCCTTTCAATCGTTGGTTCCTAAGTTTTAAAGTTTGTGTATTTCGAACTAATTTTCTCTGCATACCGGAAAACTCTGGGACGATAAACTAGCATATAAACAGTTCGATCTAATCCTATATAATTGCTTGGGTAGCCTATCCTTCTAAGATTAGTCAAAAGGTCCTGTTACTTATAAGAATCCTTTGACAGCACTATAGATAATTACCAAAACATGGACTGTGATCACAGGAGGAAGAGCTCCGCTTCGAGTGATGATGACCCCTTCGCCAATGCAGAGCATTACTATGGACCTTCCAAAGGACACAATAAACTCAAAACAAGAACTTATTCCATGCATGACATCAGGTCAAAGTCTGATTTCTTTAACGATCCTAAGCCACCGTTGAGGTCGAATAATACTGAGACTTTAAGTACTATTAAGTCTGATGACGACTCAGAATCTGATTCGCCTCCCGAAAGACGGCCATCGATTTTCCCTATCAGCAACGACTTCGCTGGGGACTCACTTGCTGATTTGTCCTTAAGCAAAGATGGAAAATCACGGCTCCCGCCTCATCATCTTAGAAGAGGATCTTTAGATGACACTCTTCAGACGCCTAAGAAATACTTCATCAATGATGTTGACCAGACTTTGAATGAATTATTAGCCAACGAAGATACTGATCATAATTACCAGATAACGATAGAAGATGCTGGTCCGAAAGTTTTGAAGTTAGGTACTGTTAATTCTAATGGGTATAAACATTCTATGGTACGCGGAACATACATGTTGTCAAATCTTTTGCAAGAATTGACCATTGCGAAGTCTATGGGAAGGAATCAAGTTATTTTGGATGAGGCTCGCTTAAGAGAGAATCCAGTTCACCGAATGAGAAGACTAATTAGTCTCCAATTTTGGAAGTCCCTTACGAGGGAGATAACAAAATATAATGTTGATGAAATGTCCAAGGATACTAAAATTGAGGAGGATTATTATGATGAAAATGGTGTGCACCATAAGCTGAAAGAGACTCGTAGGATATATATCCCTCACGGTTGTGAAAAACAATACGAGTATTTCGTCTCTGCGAAGGAACTTTGTCCTACTTTAGATGTTCAGTATTTACCTGCCCATTTTGATGCAGAGTATATTATGAATCTAAATAAAAAGCCTGGTTTATTGGCCCTTGGAGCAAAGCCAGACCCGAAAAATCCAGATAACTTGTTAAACTGGCCATATGTAGTTCCAGGAGGACGTTTTAACGAGTTGTACGGTTGGGATTCATACATGGAAACACTTGGTTTACTAACAGACGTTACTACTGAACACCAAGAGCATCTACTTTTGGCAAGAGGTATGACAGAAAATTTCATTTACGAAATAAAGCATTACGGTAAGATCTTGAATGCAAATAGATCATACTATTTAGGTAGATCGCAGCCTCCATTTTTGACAGATATGGCTTTGAGAGTATTTGATAAGACACGAGAGGTAGCTCCAGAAAATTTGGATGATTCATTGGATTTTTTAAAGAGATCTACGCTAGCAGCAATCAAGGAATACAACACTGTCTGGTGCTGCAAGCCAAGGCTAGATGAGGAAACTGGCTTGTCATGTTATCATCCAGAAGGAAAGGGTATTCCCCCTGAAACTGAGCCCTCGCATTTTAATTCAATATTGGAGCCCTATACGAAGAAATATAATGTATCACAATTAGAGTTTATTGACATGTACAACCATGATAAAGTTCACGAGCCTGACCTTGACGAATATTTCTTGCACGATAGAGCAATTAGGGAATCGGGTCACGATACCTCTTATAGATTAGAAGGAAAGTGTGCTTATCTTGCTACTGTGGATTTGAATTCTTTATTGTACAAGTATGAAACTGACATTGCTTTCATAATTAAAACATATTTTAATGATTCCCTAGAAATTGAGAGATCTCTGTTTGAGACTAGTAGTCCATGGCTAGAGAAGGCAAAGAAGCGCAAAGAAAGAGTTACGAAATATTTGTGGAATGAAGAAGATTCGATTTTCTATGACTATCATATCAAGACGAAAAAACAAACTGGTTACGAATCTGCTACAACATTTTGGCCCTTGTGGTCAAAAGTAGCAACTGAAGAGCAAGCAGAAAAATTGGTTGCTAATTCAGTCAGCAAATTTGAAGAATTTGGTGGTTTAGTATCGGGTACCCTAAAATCAAGAGGAGAATTAAACATCCACAGACCGTCTAGACAGTGGGACTATCCATACGGGTGGGCTCCTCAGCAAATCTTGGCTTGGATAGGCCTATGCAACTACAACCATGAAGGAGTGGCACGCAGATTGATTTATCGTTGGTTATTCATGATGACAAAAGCGTTCGTTGACTATAATGGTGTCGTTGTCGAGAAATATAATGTTACAAAAGGTGCCGTTCCCCATAAAGTGGACGCGGAATATGGTAATCAAGGTACTGACTTTAAGGGCGTCGCAAGGGAAGGTTTTGGTTGGGTTAATGCAAGTTATCTCTTTGGATTGACCTTTATGAATTTGCATGCTAAAAGATGTTTGGATATCTTGACTTCCCCAGAAGATTTCTTGAAGAATTTGTCTCCTTCACAAAGAGCTTCTTATAAGTGAATAGGTTACCTTCTATGTAATAAACGTTTAGATTTGTATATTTTTAGTAACTATCATTACTTAGCTGTTTAGTCGTGCGGAGATTAGATGATATAGGCTCGATGTAAGTCCAGGTATAAACGAAAATTTCAATACTTTCCTGCCAGATTAATTCCATAGCAAATGGTCAGAAAAACATTTGGAAATAGATAAAATGTTTAAGCAAGCTACGTACTTCAGGATACCTATTTGCTCTCGGTTACGGTTGTCGAAAAGGTTATCTAGCACGTACAAAACAGCAATTGAAAATGCAGAGAAATTGGTCCAACCAGAATCAGACAAGAACTTCAAGGATCCTTTTTCGATCGTTAGCCATGAAATGTCAAACCTTGCAAAGTCTATTGCTAATCTAATTGGCTCAGGTCATCCAACTTTGAATAGAGTTTCTTCGTATTATTTTGAAGCGGAAGGGAAGAATATAAGGCCATTAATAGTGTTGTTGCTATCGAAGTGTCTCCTGGCAATTCCCTTGGAGCAAAGAAACAGGATACAGATAGATACTGAGGATGTTACTACTCAATCCCAGTTTGATGGAACGCCATCGGGACCATCTCTAGCTGGAAACTCTGTCGATCAATCTATATCTCCCTTGGCAATATTGCATGGAATTAACCCGAGAGTGATATTAGATCCTCTCTCGAAACCAATGGATAAATTACCAGAAATCAAAAACGTTACCACAATTTTGCCGAAGCAGAGAAGACTAGCTGAAATAGTTGAAATGATACATACGGCATCCTTGCTTCATGATGATGTTATAGATATTTCAGATGCCAGAAGAGGTAGACCAAGTGGTAACATTGCTTTCACAAATAAGATGGCAGTTTTAGCTGGTGACTTCTTACTCGGTAGAGCTTCGGTTGCAATTGCTAGACTACGCAACCCGGAGGTAATAGAGTTGTTGTCAACAACAATTGCTAACCTTGTTGAAGGTGAGTTTATGCAGTTGAAAAATACTGTAATCAGTACCGAACCTAACCAAATAATTAATGATGGTGAGAAGAAGAAAATACCTGTCGCAACAGGTAAAGTTCCCACTAAGCAGCATGAGTATTCAGTTCAAGTCCCTAAAAAAGTTGACCATACTACAAATGTGAATGCTGCTTTTGAATATTACTTGCATAAGACTTACTTGAAGACCGCCTCTTTGATGTCAAAGCTGTCAAGGGCAACTGCTGTATTGAGTGGTGCTCAAGAAGATGTTATAGAAAACTGTTACGATTTTGGTCGAAATCTTGGCTTATGCTTCCAAATTGTAGACGATTTATTGGACTATACTTCAAGTGATGTTGCATTCGGCAAGCCAAGTCAAGCAGATTTGAAGCTTGGTTTGGCTACTGCGCCAGTGTTATTTGCGTGGAAAGATAAGCCAGAGCTCGGTGAATTGATCTCGAGGAAGTTTAGTGAAGACGGTGATGTTGAAATAGCTAGGCGTGCCGTTAAGGAATGTCACGGTTTAGAACAAACGCAACAGATGGCGAAGGAGTATTGTCAAAAGGCACTTGAGAATTTAAGAACTCTTCCAGATTCTGATTCTCGTAATGCATTAGAATTTTTGACGAATTCTATAATAACTAGAACTAAATGATTGAATATTTATTATTCATTTTCATGACATCTTGATGGCATGATTTCTATTTATAAAACGCAAATAGTAAATGCATCTCCTATTTTTGTCTTCTTACATAGTTTTCTTTGGACTTAGTTCAGAGTTTTTAATAAAGTCCCTCGAATTTTATAAAACTATCTTTAAATGATAGGAACTAGTATCACCTTCCTCAAAGAAAGGACCAAGAGAGAGTTTTACAATTATTCATAACATTTGATTAATACTTTGCAAGCTCTTGTTTCATTACTCTAACTTAGAACTCAAAAATTATTATCTTTAATTGGAACTATAACCTTTACTAAGAGAATTCGTAAGCATGATGATGAAGAAAGAATTGACGCTGCACCGTTTCACCGTTTCATCAGAGCTCTATAGTGGGAACGGTCGTGCCAGAAATACTCTGTTACCCGCCTTTGTGTATTATATAAAAACAACGGCTACTTTACGAAGTCTCAGATATCTATTTTTTTCTTCATCGCCAGAAGATCAACTTCTAAATCGAACATGGTTCTTGCCTTTTACCAGAACCATCCGGGAGTTGTCTTTGTTAATGGTGTATTCAACACTTTTTGGAACCTATTTTCTATTTGATTATGATTTAATCAGGTCACTTGGAAGAGCAATTGCTTTACACCCACTTTTTTGTTTTCTAATCTGAGGTCAGATTTTGAAGCAGAAAGGTATTCTAAGGCAAAATGAATAGAACTATATATGATCAAAAAGAAGAATTTGCGTATATATACTAATGCATTTTCGATGATGGTTGTTTAATAAAATATATACAAGATCGATAAATTACTTAAGCACGTTTCATACGGATTAATGATTTGCCGTAAAGCTTTTTGCAGTCTCCGATTTTTACGTAACTTTCATTGGGTCCTGGTATTTGTCCCTTGAGTACCAATATCCCTGCATTTCCATCTGCGTGGAGAACTTCATTTGTCACTGTACAATTTCTTCCTCCCATTCTACCAGCCATTTTCTTGCCAGGCAACACTCTACCAGGATCTTGTGAAGCACCCGTGGAACCAGCTGATCTATGAGCTTTTGAAACACCATGAGAAGCTGATAAACCTTTGAAGCCATGTCTCTTCATGACACCTGCAAAACCTTTACCTTTAGTTACTCCATTTACATCCACCAATTGACCGACGGCGAAGTAATCGGCCCGTAATTCTGTTCCCACTGGAATTAAACCTGACTCATCTCTAACTCTAAACTCTGCAACATGGGCCTTTGGTGAAATTCCAGCATCCCGAAACTTTTTCAAATCATTAGGACTTATATTCTTAAGTTTGTCAATTTGACCTAGTAAGACTGAGTTATAGCCATCAATCTCTTTTGTTTTATGCTTCACAACTTCGCAAGAATTAATTTCTATGACAGTGGCGGCATATTGGCGGCCATCTTCCATATACCATGTAATCATTCCCTTCTTTGTTCCTAGTATACCTGGTCTGCTTAATAATTTTTTTCTCAAGTCCGATTCTTGGAGTGAATGATTAACGCTTGAAACTTTAGTTTTCATTGATGGAATAGCATGTATTGAAGTAATTTGAGCAACCCCCCTTGAAAGCAAAAGAGGTCTCATTATCCGAAATGGCCCCTTCAAAAAAGACGATCCGAGTTTATGAATCATAGCAGTTGATATTTGATAATTTGAAGTTATACACAATTAATGTGAAATACAAGTCGGAAAACTTTTGCACTTATTTTGTGTAACCTTACTGTCTTCGTATATTGAAATGAATACATATTTACATGATTTATAAGTCACGAATGTACAGAAGTACAAAAAAATCTCCATTATATGTAAAAAGGAATGAGGATTTTACTTGACTTTCTTTTCTTTTAATTTAATTGACTCATTGTCGACATATATACCTTTACCCTTGTAGGGTTCCGGTTTTTTATGTTCTCTAATAACGGCAGCGAAAAGTTTGACCTGCTGTTTGTTAGTTCCTTCGATCAATAACCTTGTAGGATTAGGAGAGGTAACTGTTAGTCCCTCGGGAACCTTCAACTTAGGGATATATGGAAACCCTATTTTTAATGCAACTAGCTTTTGACCATCTTCTCCGTTTTCAATGGTAGCCCTGTATCCCGTACCGACAAATTTGACAATAGCCAAATGTCCCTCAGTTGTACCGATTACATTATTACTGATAATTGCTCTCGAGGTTCCCCACATAGCTCTTTGAACTTTATCATTAGGATTTTCCACAGAGACAGATATACTATTTCCCTCGCATTTCATATTTACAAACTCTGGAACTGCCGTTTTTAAGATCCCTTTTGGTCCTTTCACAACTAGTTGTTTGCTCAATCTAATGGTATCTTTGCCTTTTATAAAAGACTTGCTGAATTCAAACGGAATCTCTTCCACAGTACATTGTGTATTCTCCGTAATCCTGATTGGTTGTTTACCAATATTGGACCTTAGAGGACTGTAACTTGAAAACCTTCGACAGAGCCTCAACACCATCCTTGACGACATTCTGTTAGAGCAGTGGACTAAGTTCGCTAACTGAATATCTTTTTTCAAAGGCTATCTTTTTTTTCTCGAAAAGCTAGCAAATTAAGTACACAAAATTAATCGCCCAGTAGTTCACATTTTTTTAGAGAAACGACGTTCAATGTAGTCTAAAAAAGCTCTAAGAGCCAAATATAGAAACGTTAGTCATTCCTCTGTTCTAAAAGGAGCGCTAATATTGTCTCGACTGTTGAGTCAAAATATCGTCGGAGAGTTCATTCTGCATGAAAGTAAATTTTTCATAGAATATCAATAAGAAGTAATGAATCTGAATTAGTATTGTACTCAGCTTTTGATATTCCCATTTGTTTGCTGTAGTTCTGGATTTTACACTAACAAACTTAGAGAAGGGCTTACATTAACCTGGAAACGTTGAATAGAAATTCAATAATAGTTTTTCACGTGCCCTGCGATGAGATTGTACAGTTTTTTAATTTTGAAATATAGTCGATATCTTTAAGCAACTAAATCAAAACTTTTGTAGCAAAATGGTGAGATCCTTGAAGCATCATGAGCAAAAGCTCTTGCGAAAAGTTGACTTCCTCGACTGGAAACAAGATCAGGGCCACAGGGACACTCAAGTCATGCGTACTTACCATATTCAAAACCGTGAAGATTATCATAAATACAACAAGGTTTGTGGAGATATTAGAAAGCTAGCACATAAATTATCACTTTTACAACCTAACGATCCATCACGAATCAAGCACGAACAATTACTTTTAGAGAAATTATACAATATGGGTATATTAGCAACCAAATCAAAAATCTCAGACCTTGAAAATAAGGTCACCGTAAGCGCTTTCTGCAGAAGAAGAATTGGGGTTGTCATGTGCCGCTTGAAAATGGCGGAGACAGTTAAAGATGCTGTGGCTTTTATAGAACAGGGCCATGTTAGAGTAGGGCCAGATACTATCACAGATCCTGCTTACTTAATAACTAGGAATATGGAAGACTATTTGACCTGGGTTGATACTTCCAAGATCAAACGAAACTTGCTCAAGTACAAAAACAAAATTGATGATTATGATTTGACATGAAAAAGCGGGTACTTGACTATGTATTAACATATATAAGTGTAAATATGAAGAAATATAATTTTAAGACGAAAGTCAGTTATAAAAAAATGAAAAAATTCGAGTTACGATATGAAAAAAAAATACCAATGCAATTCTATCGCAACTTATTTCAAGATCGAGCCCTGAAAAAGTAGTTTTAGAAGTTACTATTCATCATACGCCTCACATCACTCTTTCTGTTTCCCGGAATAAGGTCACTTCCTGGTTGTGTTAGACTCTGCGAATGTTCAACAAAGTATTGTTGATTTCTCATTGATTGTGCAGTTAGGGAATGATTAGAACCCCCCGATGGGAGCGATCCTGCTGGCCTGAAGGTCCGCTGTTTCGTAATTTCAGTGACAGGATTTAACATCACGACAGAAGAACGAGACATCTGAGTAGCAGATGGAACCACATGTTGTTGCTGGCCCTGTTGTTGTCCTTGCTGTTGTCCTTGTTGATATCCCTGCTGATAGCCTTGCTGCTGTCCATGCTGGGCTGGGAATGGCGATTGTGACAATGTTGGTGAAGAGACCAGTGCTGTCCAAACTCCTTCATCTTCAATTGGAACGAAAGGTTGTTTTGAACCTTGAACAGCGTTTTTGGATTTTGGTTGATAATCAGTATAAGTCTGTAAGGTTGACTTACGAATATCAGATGCAGAAGGTAACTGTTGTAAAGGTGGCAATGCAGGTGCCCTCGTCGGATACATTGACCGTTGCAGTGGTTGAGGAGATTGGTAGTAATTTGGATTCTGGGCAAACAGTTGTTGCATGTAATAGTATTGCTGCTCATCACTAGAGAATATAGGTGTCTCTGTATATACTGATGATGCAGTACTCATTCGTTTGTCGTACGAAGTGTCCATTTTCAAATGACTGTTAATCCTAGTATTATTCAAATTATCTGGTATCTTTGGTAAGGGTTGCTCCAAATCATAGTGTGGCTTACCGGAGACACCCAAATTAGACTCGCCTTCTTTCTTCAGAGCACCACCCTCAAAGTAAACCTTATACACAGATTTCATTCTTCTTAATTCCTCTTCTTGTTCTGCAGTCAAAATCTTTTCATCTTCAGCTTGTTCATCATCGCTGTCATCTCCTACTAAATTGAATGCAGAGATCCTAGGAGATTTGCTTCTCTTTATTGTTGGTCCTGGAATGCTTAAATTGCTCTCATTTCCATCTTCATTGGTTGGGCTAAGCAAATTAGACCTGGACGTTTCTCTATCCTCTATTACATTAGTGACGTCGCCCGTAGTGTTTTCAAGATCAGAATTCTCTCCTGAGAAGTCAAAGTCGCCATCAACCAAGCCATGATCAAGCTTTTCGCTTTGAGATTCCAGTTCATCTCTCTCATTATCAATTGGTGATTCCACACTGATACTCACAGGAGCTATAGTAGACGATCTTCTATGCGTTTCCTTAATATTATCCTGTGCTTCTATTCCATCGTTTACTGTTTCCTCGATCTCGTTATCTGGTTCACCAAACTTCTCATATTTCGTACCTTGGAACAATTGTCCCGTCTTTTGAGGATTCTCTGACATTTGATCTTTATCACGGTTTGACTCAGCGAAATTATTTTCTGTAGTTCTGAACAGCTCTTTACTGCCATTATCATTTAAAATATTGTTACTTCTGTCCTTGGTTATACTTTCCATTCCTTCCAAAGAAGATTCATTTTCATACTTAATCCCAAACTTTTCCCCAGTCAGATTCTCCATTGCTGTCGAAGAAGCATCATCCGATACATCTTTGTCTTCATTAAGATAATCTGATTGATGAATAGAAGATTCTGAAGAGTCATTTTCGGCAGCCCCCTTACCATCTTTAACAAGAATAGAGGATACCGGGCTCTTCCCTAATGTGCTCTTCATTTCTGTTTGTAAATTTGACTTCTGAGGAGACGTCCTCTGAGAGTCAAGGCCCAAGCTAAGATTTTTAACATGGCCAACACTACCATTTACTGAGGCTCTAGGTGTGAACGTTGAGTAGTCACCAATTTGCCTAGCAAAATCATCTAAGGAAGCTTTTGAGCCGGTTTGATGTTGGTATGGCAATACAAAATCATCGAAATAACGTTCTGTGTGTGCTGTATTTTGTAAAGAAACTGATGATTGGTTTCGAGCGCCTCCCGAGCCACCATGTGGGTAAATAGAATTTCTATTGTGAAATGGGTTATCCATCTCATATGCTTTGCCATTTGGAAAGTCAGGCAAAGCTGTTGCCTCACCTGTCTCGTCGAAATCAGGGTCCCGCTCCGACAGTTCCTTCTTGTCTTTTCTGTAATTTCTGAAGAGAAAATATCCAAGAACGACTAGTATAACCGCTACTGGGAGACACACAGCTAATGCGATTGTCTCTGCGTCATTTGATACGGGTTTTTGGCAAGACCCAGACGAATCGTCGTCACAATCGTCATCTGATTTTCTGGCGTACAACTCACTTAAGTGAATATATTCTGATAGAAACTGTTGCGGTAGCCTTGTCATCTTCTGAATTTGTTTCTGAGTTTATTTTTGTTTTTGATATCTGGCACTAGCGAATGACTTAAATGAACGAATGAATTGGCAGCAGATATCAATTTCAACTTCGTCTGTTGACGTGAATTTTTGGACGCGATCTAAGCGACAGCTCCAGGTTGACTTGAAAAATTGAGAGTACTGAGGCGATTTTATACCCTCTTGCTAGCGAATCGTCCTGTAAAGTTAGCTTCTTGGACTTTCTTTCCTTTTTCTTTTCAACCTGGAAAATATTAAATGACAGGAAAAACAAAGATCAGCCGGTTTTGGCTATCAATAAAAAAAAAGTTTCGTGTTTTAGGGGGACTTCTAAAAGACGCGAAAATAAAAAGCGAGAAAAACCTCTGCTTTCACAAGTCAAAGGCTACATTGCAATTATATAATCTATTACTTGAAATTAATATCTTTATGTGGCATATATATACTTAAAGCTAGGTTCAGCTAACTTAGCTTACCAATTTTGGATTTGTTCAAATAAATCAACCCTTTGGGTAGTAGAGGATAAATTATTAGCAACTGCTAATCTTGCTTCGTCTACCATTGAAGCATGTGCGCACGTGACAAACCCAATTGCACCATCAGCTTGCGTAATTTCTGCTTCAACTATTGTTTTAATATCAGGTCGGCCTTCCCTGAACTCAATGAACAGAAGCTTCCGCTTTATTTTCTCGACGTAATCGGCAGACTCTTCTGGCGCATCTAATTTTTTCTCCTGTTCATCCTCTTCATCATCACTTGAATTTAATAGAGAAATAAGCTCTGGATTTAAAAGGCCAAGGTGGGGCTGCGTGACATAAATAATAGGTTGGACCTTGGTGTCTTTCAACTTCAATAGTTCTTCAAAGAACCATTCAAGTGACCTATAATGACGAATCACATAATAAAGCTTTACCGACCTCGTTATTTTACTGTTCTCCAAAGAAGTTGCCTCATAGTAAATACCTGGAATACCGTTTCCTCCTGCTATCATAACCGCATTTTCATATCTACTAATAGGAAGACGCTGGCCATATGGCCCTTCGACAACGACCTTGATCTGGGCCCTATTACCTGGTTGATTCGACAAATATTGGTATAAACCATGAGTCATACCTCCTTTCACTTTCAAATAGAAGGTGATAGTGTTTTCTCCATTAACAGAATCAATGATTGTAAATGGATGAGATTGCCAGAAGCAAGTAGGTCTTACAAAGTGAATGAATGCATGACATCCTGGAAATGGGATCCAATAAGTAGGTCTTTCGACTGTAACTTTCAATGTTTCGTTGGCTTTCAATTGAACGGTAGCAGTACGAATACCAAAAACTGCTAACCTTGCAAATCTAACAACTCTATCAAATATCCAAACTGCACTTGCCGCATAAAAGAATTCTACTCCTTCAACTGCAGAAGTGTGTCTCCATCCTCCAATCACAAAAAATGCTGCGAAAATAATATGAGACAAAAGGAAGAGTTCATAATGAGATCTTCTGAAAATCAATAACGAATGGAAACACATCAAACAGCCTACTACTAAAGCCACATATCCCCACCTCACATATGATTGTGTATTCCTTACTTCGTATTTTCCAATACCTTTACCATTGAAAGTCATACCAACGGCATGCAAAATGACCAAAATAACAGCAGCTCTTGCAATCCAACGATGGATTATCAAAAACCTTGAGTATGACCAACCTGAAAACCATTGCAAGAAATTATTTCTACCTGCAAACAATATTAATGTAGGAATTAAATATAATACCATAATACCAGTTCTATCAGCAATTTTTCTTCCCATCTCAGCTGACTCTGACCCTGGCCAAAAAAGATTATTCGATTGATGATTATAACGTACAACGTTGAAAACCAAGGCCATAATAAACCAACCAGCAATCAAGATTGATTCGAGTCTCGTTGGGACCATCCAAACGAAGATGTAAAGGAAGCTTTTTAAACTAGCATGGTCTTTCCTTCCTGTTGGTGGCAAAGACACAAATTTTCTGTAATTATTGACAACTTTACCCTTGAGCGATTTTACGACACTTGGAAATGCAAAATGAATGAATTTGCATATACCACTAACAAAAATTACGAAGAACCAGTAACACATTAATGAAATACCAAACCAAGAGCCGAGATTCATGTTATAAAAACGGCTGGCTGTTGATTCCCATGCTGTATTGACTGCGTCTTGGGTCAACTCAGCTGGCTTGTAATAAGGTTTTGTCAAGTTGAAGCTTGGATCAGCAGTGACGTTCACCATATGCTTTGTTGCATTTTTGTATGCATCCTCAAACTGGGTCGCGGTGAGTCCAGCAGCGGAACATTCTTTTAAAAAATAATCTATACCTGCGCTGGACGGCATCATCTTCAAGCAGATGGCCATAGACCCCAACGCCTGTTGTGCATCTGTGTTACAGTATCCTAAGTCGTCCTCCTGAGATACATATAAAGCTGTATCGGCGAGCAATCCGGAACATGCCTGATTGATCAATGAACCCTTAGTATATATTTCAAGCCTGTCTGCCAAGGCACTGCAAAAAAGAACTGTAAGCGAGCCAAGAAATTTTATCAGAACCATCCTCTATAAATTTTGGAGTAGTTCCTTACCTGAAGATCAAAGCTTCAATGTCATAACCAGAAATTAATCCCCTTAAATACTTTTACTTGCTAAATTTTTCACTCTATTGTCTCTCTCATCCAAGTAATACGGTTTTTTCAAATTAACAGGAATTTATTTGTCACAAGCGCCGCATATAACCAATTACCGGCATTATAATCAAAAAAATCTTTTTTATCTGATCCTTGAGATGCGCATCAGTTACGGATTGGTTTTTCCAGAATTCAAACTGGAAAAAGGGGGACGGTGGAATAGGTACAGTAACATTGAGCTAACATGCTGTTGATTACCAAATCAGGAGCAGTAGTCTATGCAAGTTACTGTGGGAATATAGCAACCAGGCGGATAAATCCTTACTCTACAATAAATGGCCACCGCTGCTACGAATCATTTTGAGGTAAATAGCCGGATTCTCTTTCAACAATAACCAGCTATTTTGACATGCAGAGTCTTTACCTCAAAAATCTGGAATCAGATACGCAAAAATGAGCCTTGAGGTTGAAGAAGATGAAACAAAGTCAAGCGCATTCGGACTCACATGCATTCGGCTACATAAGTAATAGTAGAACAATTGATTTACGGTGTGTACAAACCAGCTTCTTTAAGATTGTTTCAACGTCCTATCTTGTTTCGAGGAAAAAATGCAACCATTTCCGTGATATTAATTAGCGGTACTCATTGGTCAGACGTAAATGAGTTCAAGACTTTACTTGGGACCGCTCAACTTACACTTGCATTGTCGAGAGCACAAATACATGTAGTAGAACTATATATTTACCTTTGATATGAAAGGTTATCACATATATTAACTTCAGCAATCATTTGTTCAAGTTCCTGTTCAAGTTCTTCATCAGTCTGTTGCCTTTTTACTCTCAAGTCCTTTTCTTCTTCTATGAGGGTCTCCAAGTCAACACTCCTTTCCAACTCCTGGAGTTCCGTAAACATTGAATACATACGATCGCTATCTGATTGTCTTTCGGCAATTTTTTCTCTCGAATTACCTAGTTTATCTTGTCTATATCTCTCTCGGACCTCTTGCATCCTTGCATGTTTATTTCTGGGATTGACTCTGGTTTTTCTTTGAACGCATTTTGCGTGATGATATTCTGTTCCTCTTCGATTTAAATCGGAAGATGTATTTGTTGCCAGTCTATAAAACAGCTGTATCCTTTCCTTTTGTACTTTATGAATATTATTCAACCCACTGAGCTCGGCGTTGGATTCACCAAAGGCGTCCTTCTTCATTGATCTATTGAATCTTGCATAAGTCGTATGTGTTCAATAACCCGAGCGAAATATATACCCATCCGATTCCAGAATACTTTTGTCGTATCCTATTGTATTCAATAGCAATCTCCCTTACAGATTATCTAAGAGTATTATCTGATTGTCTATAATTTACGAGTGTGGTTGGTTCATATACTGGGTGTTGCTCTTCTCAATTCTGCCGATCTCTGTTACCATGAGATTAAAAAGTAGTGCCCCTTTCATTCCTACAGTATGATACTATCTCAATAACAATAAAGCACACTATACACTTATCATGAAATGAGCTCCACAGATCGCTTGCTATCAAATGAGGAAGTAATTCTACGCTTTGATGAGCTGAACTCGGAATTGATTGTTGGCCTCTCGGAGAGCATAACGAAAATGATACCAAATGTGTTTCCGGATACTTTGTCTAATATTCCAGATTCGAAACTTCGTTATTCTACCGTTAATGAGCTAACAATAAAAGAAATGTGGCCCACTATTTCAGATTTTTTAGAAGTCATATCCTCTACACTTGGTACCTATTATCTGAGACATCATGGACTGCAATGGAAACACGATAAAATTGCTGAAATGAATTGCGATGGGTTGGTATATTTATGGTACCAAAATGGAGAGAGTGAAATAGTTGGTTTCATTTCTTTCCTTATGGCTCTTGAAGAGAGTAAAAAGGTATTATACTTATATGAGGTACATGTATTGCCTCAATTTCAATCGAAAAGGGTTGGATCGACCTTGTTGCATTATTTTCATCATTTTGCAATTTACTTGAATTCACAAGCCACTGCTGACTATCAATACTCTTCGTGCTTTAATAATTTGGCAACTAATTTAACTGTATTCAGCGATAACCTGAAAGCTCTTTCCTGGTACTTCAAATTGGGTTATCGTTATACAGATCTGTCACCGAGAGACAAAGTTTTGAGAAATGGTAAAATAATTAAGCCAGAGTATTATCTATTGACAAGACCTAATCTGAATTAAATTTTATTTACATTAATAATACCAATTAATTGCGATTTATTATGAGACTATTTATCATACTTTAATGCTCGTGGCCTATTTTTGCTCCATTACGTTAATGTAACCACGACGAGGGCCCCTCTTTGGTCTTCGAGCTGAATGGCTATTTCCGCCCAAGTTAATAAGATCATCCAAGCCAGCACTTGCTAAGTTCTTGTTTGAATGAGATTTTTCCAGTGATTTCTCAGAGTTCTTAGCGTCGTGCTCACTTTCCAAAGAGCTTTTTTTGATTCCAGAAGGAGTCATCTTTTTGTTTTCATTATGCTTTTTTGCCTTAGGTAGCGGTGGAGGCTCATCCACCTTTAGTTGCTCTTCAACTGGCTTCGTGCTATCGATCCATCTTTTAAGATTTTCATCCCAATAAAAGTGATTTCTATTACCAAGCTTAGCTCTAGTTGGTCTCGGTTTGCCATCATCCTTAGGGCGCCATTTAAACCAACCGCTATTCTTGTCATTTTTATCCTGTTTTGATTTCTTTTCTGACTCCTTATGTCCACTACTACCTAGTTGTCCCGTGTTTTCTTTTTTGGCTTCTTCTTCTTCACCATCACCTTCTTCTTCTTCTTCTTCTTCGTCATCTTCATCAACAGGTACATAATCTCTAACAGTATCATCTTCAACTTCATACTGTTGATACATAGCAGATCTTTGAGACTGTGATAATCTAGAAGTGTATATACCAGAGGCTCCGACAACGACAGAATTATCTCTAGTCGTGTAGTCTGGAGAGCCTGGGATAGGAAAATCATCGAAACCTCCGTCATCAAATTCGTCTCTCTTCCCCTTATTCTCTTGAACTGGATTGAACATAGATTTCCTGCCATTACTAGAAGGTGGAAAGTCGCCGTTTAAATACAAGGGTGTTTCGGGTTTCGCCTCTTTGGAAGTGATCTGGTTCCCATTTCGCTCTTTGGCTTCCAATGGTCTTTCCTCAGTTACGCTTTCGGAATCCTTTCGCGGAGCGAAATTAGTCGATGAAGGTGAAAAGTTTGGTGATGTCGAAACCTTTTCAGTATGTTTGGATGTTAACTGAACTAAATTAGGAGAGGGAGAAGAAGCATCTTCTCTTCTTACCTCGTCGTCCTTCATTATATCAGAACTCTCATCTATGGGACGCTCTTCAGAATCTAGCTTTGATGGAACGGAAGAAGCACTTTTTATTTTGTTAGGAACCTTGTATTTTTCTGAAGATGTGCTAGAGGAAGGCCCATACTTGTTCTTTCTAACTTTAGGTTTCGCTTTGGTACTACCCGGAGCATACGGATTAACTCTCGTCGTCTGTGAGGCAGAATTCACTTTTGGTGGTGGTGGTGGTGGTGCTGTAATTTGCTCGTCTGGTTGAGCCTTGCTTTGGTCGTTCGCAGTTTGCATTGTCTCCTTCGAGACCTCGGAATCTTTTCCTGAAGATTGATTCATCTTCATGTCGTTCGATGGTTCCATTCCTATGACAGGTGACTTACCGATTTTGGAGCCTCGTTCCTCCTCTATTTTGGTTGGCTCAGAAACATCGACATCGTCTTCCTTAAAAGAGTTCAGTGAATGACTTGCATGTATCTTTGAGCTCGAGGAGTCACTCTGAGGTTCACGGTCTCCGTTGTGAAATGGTCCTTTCTGTATAGAATCACTATTTACTTCATCCTTATCTTGGGCACCGCTTTCTTCAGGTTTGCTAGTTTCCTGGGTCGATATGTTATCATGTTGTATAGATAATGGAGGTGACGACAATTTTTGATCAGAGTCATGATTAGGTATTGACTTCAAGTGACTAATAGAGTTTGTAGAGCGGCCCTCTGAATCTTCTTGAATTGTTGCAGGATAGTCATGAGACTCCTCACGATTCTTATCAACGAAGTCAGTGTTCGGAAAAAGTCTATTGGCCTCATTGTATTGCAGTAAAGTAGCAGGCGTCCTGTTTATATCAGGCGGATATCCAAAACTAATGTCACTTTGAGCTGTAGGCGAATTAACTTGTCCATGCAAAGAATCGGCATCGTTGTCATCACGTGATAATGCACTGGCAATTGATGGCCTCTTGTTATCCTCAGATATAGCCGGGTTTTCTTCATATGGATTAGGCTCTTGGTCATTAGCATCTGATTTGGGCCACATATACCTGGGCAGAGAAGCATATTGACCTGAAGGCTCTATCGTTTGTTCATTAGGTAACTTTGGAGAATACTTCGAATTTGCACGTCTTATTGCAGGCGGAGGACGCGAAGATTCTCTTGAAAGTACCATATTGTCCGTCGTCAGCACATTTTGCGAAGAGGCATTGGAGGGTGCATATTTTGACAGACTCGTCATGTAAAAAGAGGTACTTGGATTAATAGGACCGGTATGACCAACTTGACCAGATTGAGGAAATGATGGGCTTGCTATCTTAGACTGTTGTTTCTGCTGTCCTTTGAAGTGGCCTTTTCCATCATGGACTGTCTTTCCCATGGAAATTACGTTCGAATTCTTCAAAGAATTATCAGAGGATGTTGGATTTGTAGCAGCGATAGGTTCTCTGGCCTTGTCAAAAGTGCGGGATTTTGACTTTTGTTGACCGTAGTTATGCATAGACTCATTGTTATTGAAATCAACAGTTGATGTAGTTCTCGAAATTGACGGGCTAAATTTACTAAAGACTCCATTTTCCATGTTTTTCGATCTTGGATCATCTCCTCCAATGAACTTATCAATTTGTCCCCAAACCTTGTCAAGATTAACTTTACTAATCTTTCCACTAAACCATCCCAGCTCCGTGGACCCAGATTCAGATATACGTACAACTAGATTAGAAAATTCTTTGAGAAAATTAAGGCTCACATATGATGATTTTCCGTAGTTCTTCATCATTCCATTAATATAGTCCACATATTTCTGAGCAGTTGCAAATTGACCCAAATCTGCCAACAATGAAGCATGTTTCAACTTCAACGGTAACAAGTGAGGCAACCCTTGAGATGGCCCGCCGGACGACTGAGTGAGACTTAAAGCATATTCGTATATTTCTGTGTGTTCAGCGGTCCCACTTGCAATAATTGAAAAGGGAACTGCATTGGTCGACGACGGCACACTTGTCAAGGGCAATCCGCTTAATATGAAACATACATCGCTTGCTAGCACATTATTGTTTGCCAACAAATACTTGCCAAATTCGATCAAAAATTCCGTATCATAAGGAGAGCACGATATCAAAACCGAAGACACAATGTCACGCCAATGAGCATTAGCCCATTCACCCTCTCCTGAAACATTAGTAAAATCGTCAACGACACTTTTGACAGCTCCAGAACAAGCTTTCAACACAATTGGCATTAAATGATGGACTTTATTGTTTGATTTTTGAAAAGGAAAAGAAAACCTTGCGAAGTCTGAAGCAACTTTGCTAAACATTTCTGGTCCACCAAAGCTTGCAACAGCCAATGACATAGCCCAGTCACCCCTAGATATTGTGAATTCAACCGCTCTTTCAATATGGCCCGACAGCAACAATCCATATAAAACATTTACCCCTGCTGTATCTAATTTGGAAGCATTCGCAACGTTGGTTACCGGAGGAAAACTGGTTTGCTGATTGGCATAATAGTCGACATTCCTATTCAAAAATGAACAAACTCCTTTAATAAAATCCTTCGATTTTACATCTGCATCGTATTTGATCAAGTTGAGTAGGATAGCTTCCAATATATGATTGTTGTCTGCATTCGCTGAACTCTCATCAATTAGCCTTGCTTCTAGCCATTTTTCTACTTCTTTTCTTTTTGTTTTTGTTTTGATCAAAGGCCCTGGAAACGAGGTCGTTGAAGTATCTGTGATAATGTTTGATGTGCTGCATATCTTTACGGTATTCCTCTGACTAAATACCGAAGTAGAAGAATCCGGAATCAAAAGCGCACAATATGAATTGCTCCAGTTGAAAATGGGACGCTGTTTCAAGGAGGTGCCATTGTGATCCATGTGATGAATGGAATGTGATTTTCCTACCACATTTCCTCTAGGATTCGAAATTCCTCTTGACCTATTTTGATTTATCTTGCCAGCATGTAGATGATTCTCTATCCTTGGAATGTCTGGAGTTTCTCCGGAAACCTGAACAGGTGACAAGATAGGAGCGTAAGGATTAACTTCTTTTCCTTTGGCACCAATCAAAGAGCTAGCTCGGGAATGTGTTCTTTTGCTATTACTTGGAGCATAGGGACCTGCATTCGGGACGTAAGGACTAGTCATTGAATTGTTAGTATGTGGCCGTACGGTACTATTCGTAAAACTTGGTGAGTAGCTTTTAACGGAGCCTTGGTGATTCATAACAGGAGGAAAAGTGTGCAACTTCTGACCAGAAGGGCTATTTTGAACTTCCTGGGAAGCTTGAGTAGGAGTATATGAATGATGTCCAAAGCTAGCACCATTATAGTCATTTGTAGGCGGTCCATGACTCACTGGGGTATAGTGGTTTGAGTGAACAGTAAGGGGTGGAAGTGATCCGCCAGGGGAGGGAGAATGATGTCCATGTCTAAATTGCCCACTTCTGGGTTGGTTACTAACTGGTACCGCTCCCGAAGAATAAGGTATTTGAGGCTGTGTATTTGGCTTGATGATATGAGGTTCTGGCACAGGCAACTTTGTAGGGCCATGGTAGTTGGTTTTCCGTGCATATTCATCGTCCTTAGGCTTATATGGATTAGCAAGAGAAGTTTCCTGTTGAAACGATCTATAAGGTGGTTGCTCCATGTCTTGGTTCAGTAGATCTGCTTTATATGAATCGACAGTACGGGTCACTTGTGATGGAGAAGATATGTTCGGAGGAACAACTTGAGCGCTCATGACATGCGGCTTGTACAGGTTCGGTGGAGGAGCGCTATTTGATGGTACATTACCTCGTTCATTCTGAGTCATATGTTGCGACAATGGCTTCGGTGGAACAGCGGCTCTTGCCGCTGGCTTCTGGTACGACATACTTACCGGGAGATCTTCAAAAAAGTTTTTAGGTTGTTTCACTTCGGTCACCTGTGCGTTTGGGCCAGTAGAAGTGACAGATGCAGTTGAAGTATAATTGGGAGAAGAAGCTCCTGGCAAATACTTGGCACCAGACCTGGCTGCTGGTCTCACCTTATTTACGATCAAAGCATCAGGATATTCATATTCATCCGTTTTATGTCGTTGAAAATTAGCCTTCGATTCGATATTAACGTTCGGGGATATCAGTTTATCTTGTGGCTTTGAAATCACGGTGGTAGAATCAACTTCCTCGTCTAAAAAGTCGTCATCTAAAAGTAAATCGTCATCCATATCCAAAAAATCTAGGTTCCCACGAAATTTTGACTGACTGCCTGGCCCCAGGGTTTTATCACTATTAAACCTCGTAGGAGATGTGCCATAACGTGATTGTTCCTCCGGCACTTGATTCCTATTTTCGTAATAATTCATCTGCGTATTAGATGGAATTCCAGCTCTCGATGAACTTGTGGACAAATTTTGATTATTTATTTCTGTTTCATACTCGTGCTGAGTACTCTTCATAGCAAATGCAGCTGAATCGGTAGCTTTGGTATTTCTTGTGTCATAACGATGCTCTGGTCCAAATGAGTTGCCCCTTGACTGGTCGTAGTGATTCAGCTCAAAATCTTCATAAAATTTGTTTGAATCATTACCATTCTCCTCTTCTTCATTTAAGTTATTCCTTGGAAGCGCTTCTCTTGGACCCAAGATTTCACTCGATGGTTCAAAATTATGCAAATTTTCGTGAGCATGTACATCGTAGTGCTCTGGTATATATTGTTGCAATTCGCTTTTCCGTTTATCACCTATTAACGTTGGAGGATCTACTCTTGATATATCATCGCTGTGCTCGTGGTGGTAGTCTTGGGCATCATAATGTTTATCATTGGTTTGTAAATGAGCTTCCCGTACATCATTTTTGTGATCCCTGCTCTCATCATATGTCTCTACGAAGTTTGTATCTATGCCGTAGTGTTCGTGGCCAAAGCCAGGACGGCCAATATACTGATGTTGAATATCATGGATCGGTGCATGCTCAGGAGGTTTGTCTTTAGGATCAACATCATGATATTCCCTTTCGACTTTTTCACTATTGTAGTTAGGCTCGTTAAATGATGTCTGAAATTTTGACTGATTTGGGCCAGAGGTTTCAATGTTACCGTGTTCAATAGAACTATGGTCCTCGTGCTCTTCATGCGCACCATTGGATGCATTATCCTCAAGAGCTTCATCAACTAAATTATCAAAAAAGTCATCGTTACCGTTATTGGTAGGATTTTGACCTTGAAAATCATAATAATTGTTATACTCATAAGCATGGTTGTAGTGCTGAGCATCATGACTCATGATTCTGTCGCTGGTAACTGCGGAAGCACGAGCAGCCGACGCAATCGCATCGTCGATTGAAGACTTTCGCCTACCATCTGATATCCTACTCATTTGATCGTTGGCAAACAACATGCTATTTCTTCTTTCACTGTCACCCCTCGGAGCACCATAATGTCCATCTTCGTGGCTTCTATTCCACGCCGTTGAGTGTCTGCTCATGATCTATGTATCAATTCTCAGTCAGAGAAGTTTCTGTCAATCGGCAGACTTAAATTACCAGTGATACTCGAAATTGAAAATAATCAAGATTAATCGAGACCTCTTCTCTAATAAGTGGCTTACCTTGGGATTTACTGAAAAATATGTACACTTGTTATTAACCTGATCGAATTCAAAGAAGCCTACGGTCGAGTTCGTGATTTTGTGATACTTTTTTATACAGCGCAATTCTTATAACTTGGAGAAGAAGTAAATAAGAGGACAGAATTGGGAACCGTTCTACTAACCTTCCTCACCTTTATGCTTTCCTTAGCTTAGTTTTATTATTGTATAAAGAGATTGGGATCTTGAATTATTCTTTTTTTTTTTTGGCTTCAATTTTCAACTAAACTTCTCTAAATTTTAGAAAACCTTACATTTCGCAGTCGTAATAAAGGACATTCAAGAGACGATAGATGGAAGAGGTGGAGAAAAACGAAACCATAAGTAGAGTAAAACAGGGTTGAGGCTAAACCAAGATTAAGGTCAAACTATAAACTTCATGTTCAATTAAAAGATCGCATTCTATATCACTAAACCGTTTTCACTTAATGAATTCTAAATAATGTAGTAGCGACCGGAAAATTATAATAAGCATGTAATCATTTACTCAGATAAACTTTGTTTCTGTCGAGTTTAAGCCACCCCTATCTTCTCGCTCAATAAAAGACCATCTCAGCTTTACGAGTATCTTTTTTCCGTACTAGTTCGGATAGCCATATATGGCCACAATTTCCAAGTTAGTCATGAATGGCGCGCGGCACAAATTGTAATATCCATCGCCCTTGTTATTTAATCTAAAAATAACATTCGTCAGAATACTCCATTTATAATCAACATAAGTATAGATAGGTCAAGGCTGCAAAGACTCCATTAAATCGTCAGATCTAAATATCAGTGTAATAAAGTTTTAGTTAAAGACTTGCGCATTGAATTCCAACGTGTTGTGTAATCGCTAAGGAGTGAAATTGACTCTTTAAGACTTGACATTAGATCGGGCTCAAAAGTTTTCTAATAAAGGGTCCAGCGGGCATCGAACATTCATATTTCATTTTTCGTTGCTCATTTGGGAACAACGTTTGATAGCCAGTGATTCCAATAAGATTTTAAAGAAAGTGAAGACATTATTGATTGCTAAGTCGGATCAAACTTACGATAATTACTATAGAATACGCTAAAGCTCAGACTGCTAGAATGGGAAGAAGAAAGATCGAAATAGAACCGCTAACTGATGATAGGAACAGGACAGTGACTTTCGTCAAGCGTAAGGCAGGTTTATTTAAGAAGGCATACGAATTGGCTGTATTATGTCAAGTTGACATAGCAGTAATAATAGTCGGAAATAACAATAAAGTGTACGAATTCAGCTCAGTGGATACAGATGAGCTCATTAATGTATACAAAGGTGTCAAGTCACCCCATGAATCGAAGTCTCCGGAAAACTATGGCAATTACAAGAAAAAGAGACACCTAAACGAGAACAATTCAAGAGGGATAATACATGACGACATATCAATTAATGATGACGATAATGATTCTGAATTTGAAAGTGATACACCTGATCAGAAGAAACAAAAGAGGAGCAGTGAGGAGAATGAGCGGAGTTATTTTGAAAGTAGTGAGAAGAGTGAAACAGACAGCAATAAGCAACCTAGGAAAACATCCATGAACAATATGCCCTCTTTCAATCTCCCGTTCAAACCATCTCGCCAAAATGATGACCGAAACGGATTCCTTTCGAATTCGAATGCAGATGATTCAAAAGGCTCATTGAGCCAAAGGCCAATCCTTCGAGTTCAAATACCCGTCGATGCAAAAAGTAATAATAATGACAGTGCTAAAACGTTAACTGCTTTAGACTCGAATCTACAGAATTATAGCGAACAGCATCCGCGATCTTCAGACTCTGCTGATTCTGCTTCTAATAATGCGACTACAAACTCAAGTCAGGGACCAAACTTGAGTTCCACAAAGTTTGGGAGCCTTAGGAAGCCTATTACCACTTTACCACTACCCATCAATTCAAAATCACAGACTTCCTCTCCATCAAGCCCTTCTGCACCTCAGCTTCCGGCAAGCGGCATATCATCCTTTTTGAACTCCATTCCACAAGGAATTCAAAGTCAGTATTTGAGCAATTCTATACTACCAACCCCCATAATGAATCAAGTATTTACTCAGCAATATGGTGGTCCACATTCAGCATCACAGTCAGGTGCAGGAGAAAATACGGCCAGTGGAGCACAAGCTGGTCTGTCAAATAATACGGCTTCCCAAGCAAATACAGCGCCTAATAAAGCCAAGTCATCCGCAATCATGTCAAATCAGTTCAACAATGGTGAACAGACGCCACTTTCTGGTTTGCCCTCTAGATACGTTAATGATATCTTCCCATCGCCCTCTAACTTTTATGCTCCGCAAGAATGGTCCAACGCGGCCACTGGTATGACTCCCATTCACAACAATCCACCGCATTATTTCATGCCAATGATGCCCAATGGTCCACCACCTCCTCACATGGCTTCACGACACTCTCAGTTTACGCAACTGACACAGTTTGGACACAATGGTCATGGTAAACCTGACGGGCTTCCATCTCCTTTACAGTTCATGGGACCTTTCAGCTCATCCTTAAACCATTCTACAGCTAACAGCCAGCAAATGAACTCAGAGATAGGACAAAATAAAAAGAGATGACAAGAGTATGTACTATGAATAGTCGTTTATAGATATGGGTATTATATAACTATATGATGGTCATATAGATTAAATGTGTGAGAGTTTCAAGCGCACGAATCTGTATATATGTAGGGCTTGGGACCACATCACATGATATATTGCTGATTTTTTTGAGTGTTTAATGATATTTTGTTACACAAATGCAATCTCGAAATCAAAATTTTTCATAGAGCGACCTCTGCAATGCCTGGTTACCTACAGTAGTAACTATAATATTGAAATTTTACGTTATTCAAAATTCGAAATAATAGTAAAATTTTTGAATATATTCTATAGAATAGATCGTCAGAATAAGGTAGATTAGTTCAAAATGAAGGTATGTTTCAATAGCATAAATTAAAACGAGAGGATAAAGCAAATAATTGAATAAACGGTGTATGTGTTGGGTACCATGTCATGAATAATTTCGAGGCTGGTATGGAAGAAGATTTAAAAAAGAACGAGAGAAAGATAGTACCATTATCACACAGCATGAATACTTAGAAGAATAAATGTATTAATAGTGTTTACAAAAAGACTCTTATAACTACTAATGGATCGGATGTGAAACTAGCTTTAATACAAAATTTCTGAAATAAGTTGCCATTACTACTAAGCATCATCAAATTTCAGCAGGCATTTTCCTCATGGCGTTTTTTATATTTTTGAGTTTATTACTAACATTTCTAGTTAAACATTTCTTATCCAGCCAACGGTACTCAAAAATGTGTCGAAATTGACGACGAACATAGATTACGTGTCTTCTACGACAAGCGTATGGGCCAAGAAGTTGAAGGAGACACAGTTGGTGATGAATTTAAAGGCTACATCTTTAAAATCACTGGTGGTAATGACAAGCAAGGTTTCCCAATGAAGCAAGGTGTTATGCACCCAACCAGAGTTAGATTATTATTAGCTGATGGCCACTCTTGTTACAGACCAAGAAGAACTGGTGAACGTAAGAGAAAATCAGTTAGAGGTTGTATTGTTGGCCAAGACTTAGCTGTTTTGTCATTGGCTATTGTCAAGCAGGGTGATTCTGATATTGATGGGTTGACTGACACCACCACTCCTAAGAGATTAGGTCCAAAGAGAGCTAATCACATTAGAAAATTCTTTGGTTTAACCAAGGATGATGACGTGAGACAATTCGTTGTCAGACGTGAAGTTACCAAGGGTGACAAGACTTACACCAAAGCTCCAAAGATCCAACGTTTGGTCACTCCACAGACTTTGCAAAGAAAGAGAGCCTTGAAAGCAAAGAAGAGCAAGAATGCTCAACAACAGAGAGATGCTGCCGCTGAGTACGCTCAGTTGTTGGCTCAACGTTTGCATGAACGTAAAGCCGAGAGGGCCGAAATCAGGAAGAGAAGAGCTTCATCATTGAAGGCTTAAATATAAAGTATATATGACTCTTGGTTTAGCATCATTTTTGTTGAACATCTACCATTAATCTTTGTTTATTTGTGTAATAAGATAAAAAAATAGGTTTATCTAGAATTAATTTCTATACCGTGTTCTCTGCAATGTTAAGAGGGTCCTATTTGAGATCGCTTATGTTCTTTTGGGTAATCCGTATTCTCTCTCTTCCTCGCTATTCTTTTAATGTTTTCGTAAACTTCATCTGTGGTTAAGTTCGATGAGAACTTAAAATTCTTCTTCATGAAATTATCTTGTTGTTCCTTATACCTTGGATCTCTGAGTAGTATTCTCAAATGATCGTCAAACTTCAGCTGAGGAATTTGCTTTCCTGTTATAGGACATTTAACAAGATTCTCCTTCGTATTATGTATGCTTTGGGTTAATCTCCCGATTCTTGATTCGCCAGCAGCCTTGATTTTCATCCCCTTTGGTCTTTTCCCTAATACTTCATTGTGGTTTGGAGTATTTTCTTTTGGCTCCAAGGGCGCCTTCACCTCCATCTTCGGAAGATCAATATCTTGTCGCTTAGATTCAAGTGTTCTAAAAACAAGAGAGTCCCTATTTAAAGGAGTAGAAAGCTCTCGCACTTGATCTATGGCATCAAACTCACTCTTTTCAACTATCGAAAAGTCTTGCCAATCTATGGAGGCATAACAGAGTTTCTTATCCTCTCTAACTTTCTTTTCCTTTTGTACTTTTGTCTTTTGAACCTTATCAGAGACTGCACGATCGAATGCTATTTTAAGGATACTATCAGCACTTCTTAATGTCCTATTAATAGAGTCGACCTCAATATTGTTTGTACCACTATAGAACTGAGACAATAAAGTGTATTGTTGAACATATTTCATAAATAATGGGAAAAGCGAATGGTCTTTTCTCAAAAATTCAAATTGAGCTTCATGGCCCAGGTCTCTTTCATGACTCAATAAGTGTTCCAAGTATCCAGCACCGTTTTCAACGACAGCTAATGCAGTGAACTTGATGACTTCCAAGTCCATAGATGAAATCGTAGGTAATCGTGTTAGGAAATTCAATGTCCTAGGCTCTGATATATTGGAAGCTGGAGTGTCACCAGGGACATCAGAAGCGTGAGATATTTCTACATCCGTCAGCTTCTCTCCATCGAGTTTCCATCTATAATATTGATGATATTTGTCGTCTTCATTCAAGAACTCAAACTTGTCTTCATTATTTCCTATCAACCTTTTCTCAAAATTCTTACCATTTCTCTTCACATATCCAACCGTCTTATCAATCACTTCCTTGATCTCTTCTGGGGGTTCCAAGATTCCTTGTGGCATCATATCCTCCTTTTTACTCCTCTTCCATTTCTATACTGCGATGAAGAGAAGAGTTTTGAATGCGCGATATCTAGATTGCAGACGTAATAATACTCATCCTTTAACCAAAAAGTCGCCTTCTATAGTTTTAGACAGAGATATGGAGGTTCGAAAAGACACAGATAGAGATGTTTATGGCAATGAATTGATTGGAAGCTCAGAAAGTGATAGCTGCTCAGAGTCAGATAATGATTCCTTAACGGAGGATCTAGATCAGGTTGGACGGTTAAACTTAAGTTTGCCTATTAAATTTAATTTCAAATCTTATATAAATAGAGAATCATTCAACTTTGCAAACTTGCCTCTGTTCGAAGTATCCAAGATTCAAGAGCTTTCAAAGGAACTTTCTAATTATTTGGCCAACTACAGAAACCAAAATGACACCGAAGCAACTCACCATGGAAATGAAATTAAGCAACATCAAGAAAGGCTTATTAATACGATAAAGACAGCTATTTCCACGAGAATACAGATGAACAACATTTTAAATGATTTAGATTTAGGATTCAGTATAACTACAGCGATAGATAGATTACAACCTTTAAAAGACATCGTTCATGATGCCATATCTCTTCCTGCTGAAGATACGAGCGACTTTGATGATGACTACGACCTAATAACCGAAGAACATACAGAACCAGTTGGAGTTGATGAGATTGTGAATGAGGATGGCCTTTTCATTAACGATATTGTTAGACCTGAGGATAGAAGAGCACATAGGAGATTCTTATTTAGTGAGGGAAATGATAGTAGTTCGTTCGCAAGTGACCTAGATAATGTGGAAGGTCTATCAATCGAAGAAGTCAAGGATCTTACTGACCTAGATTCGTTGGAAGACTTTCGTAAGGAAAGCTTGCTACGAGAGAAAATTCAGAAAATTCAAGGCTTTTCAAATTTATCTCAACATCTGAAAAGCAAATTAGTGACTAGATTAATGATGGGTAATTATAAAAAATATATCAGATTAGAACCTCTGAGCCCCAGTACTTTTAATATAAGGCTGGAACTAAGCGGAGCAGAATCAGATGGCAACGAATCAGATAATGACGCATTGGATGACCTAAAATCAGAGATCTCAGGTAGATCAGATGAATATTCTTTAGAGGATGAAGTAATTTTAACAGACAAGGATCAAGAAGCCACTTATTTTGATTCTCCATTTAACCAAATAATGGGTTGCCAGCATTACCAAAGGAATTGTAAAGTTGAATGTCCTATTTGTTTACGTTGGTTCACATGTCGCTTTTGTCACGATAATGAAATTTCGGATCACAAATTAACAAGATCACAAGTCAAGCACGTCCTTTGTATGAACTGTTTAACTCCACAGGTGCCCAAAAATAACTATTGTGTTGAATGTGGCCTTGAATTAGCACACTATTTTTGTAGAACTTGTGTGTTGTATGATAACGATCCCACCAAGGATATATATCATTGTGATCAATGTGGCATATGCCGCTTGGGGTTGGGTATAGGCAAAGATTATTTCCACTGTGACAAATGTAACATATGCTTGTCGATAGATTTAAAAGAGAAACATAAATGCCTATCGAATACTACACATTGCAACTGTCCAGTTTGTAACGAGTATTTGTTCACCTCCGTTAATAAGGTTGTTTTCATGAAATGTGGCCATTCAATACACCAACATTGTTATGACGAATTAAGCAAGCATTTCTATAAATGCCCTATCTGTAAAAAAACTGTTGTTAATGTTGAGGCGCAATTTAGAATATTGGACCAAGAAATAATTCAGCTGCCTCTTCCGGCTCCGTATAATCATTGGAAATGCGTCATTAGTTGTAATGATTGCAAGGGCAAATCTTATTCGCAGTATCATGTATTAGGATTGAAATGCAAATATTGTAAAAGCTATAACACTAATCAGCTTAAATTGATAAAACCGGAGGAAGAAGATGAAAGCGAAAGAGGTGAACCTTATCCCGCTAACGAGAGGGAGGCAGGTTCTCAATTGCTTTTGGCTGAGACGAACTTAGGAAGTAACTTTAGAATAGATGAACAAAATAACAGCCATAATAGCGAAAGACAGAATCACGAACTAGGTGAAGTTTGTGATGATAATATCAATAATATCGTTGATATTAAGAACTTAACAACTTCACTTGTGAACAATATAATGCCTCAAAGCACAACTGATTCTACGGTATCTTATCTCACGGCAAAACTACAAAGTTTCCTATCTAATCAGGACAATAGATCCGACAACGGAGCATCCGATAATACATTAATCTCTTTGGAAGAAAGGCAATCTCAAGGATCAACCGGTGAATAATGCAACTTACAGGGCCCTTTGTGGATAAATAGTAATAAACTTTTTCATACCACATGTCTTTTCTCAGCTTCTAAAAATTATATCTCCACGTTCTGAACTTGATCGAAACGTGGTCATCTCTATGTCGCACTAACTGTGGCTACGAATCACTTGTCTATGCTTAGTTATTCTATTTGTAACCTTAACCGAGCTTTTCCTTCTGGTGCATAAAAGTTGAGCATGATCAAATTTTCACGAAATCGCAGAAGTGCTTTTGGCTACCCAACTGTAGTTCAGTCATGCAATATGTCATCCATCACTGTTGGAGATACCCAAAAAAAAAATGCGATGACGACATTTTCTGCCGTTGCGGGTAGAGTGGAAGATTTTGGTTGCGATTGCCATTAGGGACTGCCCAAAATATGGACGACATTTTGCACCGCGATACGAAACATTGAGTATATTAAGCCCTTCATATGATCCTACTAAGAACGGGACATCCGAGATTCGTAGCTTCAATAATAGCAATAGAATAATATAGCCATTAAAGTGCGGCAAAGCACAGAATACTTGAGTAGAAGGATCGAAGGAATTAGCGATCAGCATTTCACATAGGAATAATTGCAATCATTTGGATTGAAGGCGAACCCACTGAGTGAGAAGCAAACCTAAAAGTTCCCCAAAAACCATTTCGCTTCCTCATTTCAAGAGATAAGATATAGATTACTCATCGACGAAAAGGATTGTAAGGGTCAATCAACTAGTAAAGAACTATATAAGCTTGTTGAGCTCCGATATGAAAGCAAGAGGACAAAGAGATCAAAAATGAATTCGATAAAGATATTAGTTAACTCCTTGAACAATGTCTATCCTACCAAATCCGATTATTTGGAATCTCTGTTGGATTTTAGGCCCAGTGAGCTTGAAGAAAAAGGAGAGGAAAAGCAAGAATCAGATGAGAATCTAGGGCTTCCTGCTTCCAACGCAAAAAGTCATGAGCACAGTACACCTCTGGAACCTCTGAAACAAACATACTTTAAAAGCAAGGTAGTTAATGAGATTGGAGAGCTTGCCTTGATACTCTGTCATGCAATTTTCTTCATTCCAAACAATTTATTAGTGAAACCTTTACTTTTCCTATGGTTGATGATAGCGTACCCCTTCACATACTTCTTCGAGAAACACACTTCAAATGACGATTCCTTGATCGATAGCTCTAATTCTATGGATACTCCTTCAACAACATCGCATGACATCAATGAGAAAATAGAGCTCTTAAAACGTGAAAATATCATCTCGAATACGATTAAGTCACCGACATCATCTTCAAAATATATTATCCCTCCACCGCAAAGGCTATATCCACTTTCGAGGAACCCTGGAAAGAAGAGGAAGAAAATACTTATATTGGACTTGGATGAGACCTTGATTCATTCCCTCTCAAGGGGCTCCCCAAGATCCTATGCCAGTTCTTCCACCCTGCATATGATTGAGATCAAGTTGAACAAAATCTCCAGTTTATATTATGTTCATAAAAGACCTTATTGTGACCACTTTTTGAATGAAGTTTCTAAGCATTTTGAATTACAAATCTTCACTGCCAGTGTCAGGGAATATGCAGATCCAATTATAGATTGGTTAGAGGAGAGTATACTTGATAGAAGTAATTCAAGTGGACAAAAGGTATTCACAAAAAGATATTATAGAAATGACTGCACATATAGAGAGGGAGTTGGTTATATTAAAGATCTTTCCAAATTTTTTCAAAGAGAAGATGATTTAAAGAACGTAATTATTCTAGATAATTCACCAATTAGTTATGCATTACATGAAGATAATGCAGTAATGATAGAGGGCTGGATTAACGATCAAAGGGACAACGATTTATTAAGTCTCTTACCTATGTTACATAGCATTAGCTTATGTATCGATGTCCGATTTATCTTAGGATTGAGAAGTGGAGAGAAGATTTTTGAACGATAATGATAAATGTGATTGTATTTTTAGACAGAAAAGTACACGAACGATTTTTTATCAGCTTTCTATCTTTTGTAGTGACCGGAGTATATGCAGTATTACGACATAATGTAAAGAGATATCGGGCAATAAGTTTCACGATTCTAACTTTGAGCCAATATGGATCTCAAGGAAGTGATTCGTGACTTGAACGATGATTTCTGTAATCAAATACTTCTTGAGAAACTCGGAGATTGTTTGAGAGATGAATCAACAAGGTCAAGTCTCGAAATCCAGCAATTTATTCCTATCATGTTGACCTCATTTGGCACAACGTTTCAAGATTTCTTTGGGGGAGCTGAAAATGGAAACGTAGTCCTAGAAAATTTAAGAGTCTTAATCAATACAGCTGCAAACAATGACCATAACAGAGAACTAATCGCTTCTATGGACAGCGATGGTGAGGTGAAATTCTGGAATATGATACTAAAATTAATAACGGTAAATGATGACGCTGTTAGAGAAAGACTGTTGATGTTTTTGACGCAATTCGTAAGAAATACTGAATTAAAAGAAAAATTTTGTGTTTTCTTTTATGATTTAAAGTTAGATCACCAAATAATGACTTTCATGATTAAAAAATTTGAGGCTAATTTTGAGACGAACTTAGAAGCTTTGGATGAACGCTATGAGCTAATCTCCTTAATTCTTGAAAACTGCAATACCAAGATAGTATCCGATGAATTTTATAAGAGCAAGTCAGGTTGTTATATTGATTTTCAATTGACTATACTCGAATGTTTGCTTCGAAAGTCTTCAAAGTTATTGGACATCGAGCTTGATGAATCTGTAATATCAGATATTATCACTACGTTATACTATTTGACTTTTATTGAGAGCCCGAATTCTTTAGATAACTACGAAGTGAATAAGAGAATTCTTGAGATACTACGTGACTTTCCATCTTCCTTCGAAAACATTACCTCATTTAAAAGGACTTTATTTTCTTGCGTTGGCAACATTACTTATATGAAATCATATGATGGATCTCAAGATTTAAATTTTGCCCTTGATTGTTTAAAAGATAAGGGGCTTGATCCATATGTACAGTCTGCGTGTATGGTGAGCTTGGGCAATTATGTTACAAGTAAGACGAGGTCCGACTTCTTGCTTGAGACCATTAATAAGAGTTGCCTGATTGAAACTTTGACAGATACTATCTTAGAAATTCAATTCAACGATCCGATCCAGTATCAATCGTTTCATTTCTTTAATAATATAATGAATTCTGTTGTAGCTCACCGAGCTTTACAGAATAAAAATTTAATTAAAATTTCATTACTTGTTGTTAGCAACGAATCTTATTATAAAGAAGTCAGCGACTTATATCTCAAATTTATTGGAAAGCTCTTAAAGCACAATTTGAGTGACCCGAAATTTGATGTTCTGGCTCATTTAGACTTGTGGAAATGCTTTGATGGTTTGAACTCGAATCGAGAGAGAGAAATGATTTATTTGTTGCTAGTTCAAGCATTGTTAAAAAACTCCGAATTGAATAATTCTTCATTCCATAAAAGTCTAATTAATAATTTAGTATCCATTGATTCTTTCTCCGGAAATGTTGATATCCAGTATATATTGGAAAAGTTACAAGCCTTAGGTGTTTTCAATCAAATAATAATCTCAAAGAAAAAGGACTTGAGCGAAGTTCTTGAGACAGTTTATAACTTCGATGATGAAGCTTGTAACACTTTTTTTCAATCTTACCACAATCTCATCTCAAAATTTTATGAAATCTTGAAACAGATGCAATCTAAGCCAGAGAAGCTGATAGTGCTTAATAATTCTAAATTTGTTAGTGCTACAGCTATCTCTATAATGAAGTCGATAAATGATGCATTGACTGACAGCATATGTGATCTTTGTCAATCAATACTAATTCTTAAATAAAAAGGCATTTTTTTTTTTCAAATGGAGTGATACAGTTGTATTTTAATGTCTATATCAATGCAATTATAAATATACAAGGCGTAACCACTCAAATAGGTAACTTTAAAAGCAAAATCAAAAGGATGTAAGTAGTAGTCTCCAACCACGTAATCTCATGGAAGACATTACATCAGAGTTTTCTTCCGTGAATCTTTTTCAAGTGTGCTTTAAGATTGTCTTTTCTATTAAAACACTTACCGCAGTTTGGTTCATCGCACTCGAATGGCTTCTCGGAAGAATGGCTCTTCAAATGCCTTTTCACATGTTCTGGTCGTTGAAATCTAGCTTGACAAATTGGGCATTGATGTTTCTTTTTCGGATCAACCTTGTCAGTCTTATATGAAACTTTTATCGGTAACTTCCCGTCTCCCTGAAATTTTGTTTGAGGATTTATAGGTGAGCCAAACTTTAAATTCAGCGGCTGGTTAAAGGTTGCAGACGGAGTGAGCTGAGTTAAAGTCTCACCAGGATGAATTCCCTGTAAGTTTTGATATTGCACGGTGGAAGTTGGAGGAGCAGAAATGGAGGAGTTAATTGGAGAAGTAGCAATAGAAGCCAAGTCGATAGAAGCAGGATAAGATTTTGTAAAAGATGCATTTCCCAAGTATGTCGGAAAATGCAGACTCTTAGTCTGATTGTTTAAATTATCTGAAGAAGATAATCTCTGAGTTATAATTTGAGGCAGCAATAAATCAATAGACTGATTCTTAAACGATTGAGAGCTGAATATCGCAGATTCTCGTGAATTTAAAGAGTTCGTTGAATCAAAATCACCTATGCCACTGGTTGAGGGAACCGAATAGGAAGACGGAATAGCAAAGGAATGATTTGGAGGCGAGTAGATTTTGCCTGGTGTTGAATTTGATGATAGCATGTTGTTATCAAGGTCTCTATTCAAAGAGTCCTGAGAGGCGATATTAAGGGATAATTCAGCTGTGTTGAAGAACATATCTTCATCCTTTGTGTCAACATGAAATTGAATTGGATTCGATAAATTTTTAGTAACATAAGGTGATTGGAAATTCGTGTATGACTTTGCTTTCTTCAATTCTTTAAGCGCATCATCTTCCTGATCCTCTATTTTAATAGATTCTAAAATATCGTTCTCTTTAATAGAGTAAGGAGCACTAAATGATTTGGAAGCATTCCAATTTGGAATGGGACTAAAATAACCACCTTGTTGAGCTGAATACATTCCCAATTGATTAGGATTTCTTGGTGTTGGCAATGGTGTGTTTAACTCTTCGAATTCAGCATATCTTTCAATTTTCGGTGAGACATATGGAGAATTATTAAAATTGTTCAAGTTCACGTTTAAATTTTGAAATGGGCTTGACTTGAAATTTGAATTTGTTACTAAAGGGATATTTGACGAGTCTAATGATACTCTAGATCTCGATCTTTCGTGTCCACGAGCCTTTGTAGAATGAGGTGTCTTATTCACTTTATTATTCATATATGCGATAGGTGACGTGCTTTTCGAATTATTTCCTTTCAAAGGGGTTGCATAGCTTGTGGAAGCACCCGAAAATGATCTATTTCTCTCAATCTTTCTTGGTGTAGCCATAGAATTTTGCTGCTGACTCAGCCTGTACTGCAATTGCTGAAATGACGAAGGAGAATCCAGTAAAGACTGATTCGAAATTGAAGAAGATAATGCAGGTACTGAATCAGCAGATCGTATTGTATTCGTTGAAAATGAATGCTGGTGTATGCTCGGACGAGAATGATGAACCAGCGGTGGATCCTGATTCACTGACACCATCGATGACGTTGATAACTTCGATTGATGGTTAGAATTCTTATAGTACGGCTCATGACTGATTGATTGCGTGTTATAGAAATCGTCACTTAAAGAGATATTCTTCGAGTGTTGAAATTTGGCCGTCAGCATTTCTAAGTCCAGTCTGAAAGATTCTGCAGCTATGGAGCCATCATTGTTGTTTAATTGAAGTGTATTGCTACTTCGAATACTGGCATTACTATTATTAGATACAGGGACCAACTCATTCAAATAAGTATCCTTATCAGTACTATCGTTGGACCTGAACTCACTTTCAAGACTATGACCTATAACCATGTTATTACTGATCAAATCTTGCTTACTTTCATGCTCTGAATCGTGCAAATCGATCCCTTCAAAGTGAACTAGAGGTGATTCATTTCCAACATCAAAGGGCTGGGCGAGTTGTCTTGGAGAGCTCATGAGGAACTTATCCATTACTCCTCTGCGAATGTCAATCTGCTCTTTACTTTCTTATGACTTTTATTGAATGTGTGATTATCTCGATTGTAAAATTTTATCCACTCGATAAATCCGCTCAATATTTCATGGGTCTTTCTTCGCAGTTCGATCTCTCAGATAAAAAGGATGAAATTGAAAGCGCGTTAGAGCAAGAGAATATTCAATTCTTCACACCGACAATGCTTTTAAAGTAAGGCCGTCTTACCTTGTTTCTAAAACCAACTGTGCTTACAAGTTCACTAACTGAGACAACCACTGAATTGAAGGTTTTGTATCTTAGGTATATCCGAACCCTCGGTGAACCGATGATATGTTTGCTTGAGACCGGTGGGGTTCGCCTTATTCGGTTAAATTGACATAACGCGTCAGACAACCGAATACAAAAAGTATGTTTTTAAGATGAAGTCTATATAATAATCACATTGAGATAATAATCAGATTTAGACCAGATCTAGAACATGTATCAAATCTTTGCTACGGTGTTGGGCACCAAATGAGTTCTGCTAAGAAATCAAGTCGATCTGGTAATACAGGTAGTAACTATGATATTAGAAACTTAAAGGATGAGATATGCGATTCCTAGATTCTATGTACTTAGTACTCGCAGTTATCCTGTTATTTGTAACCAGTTCTATTTTAAGATAAGCCTTTTGCCCTATTGAATCCCGAGCTCTCGGAATTCGAGAAGAAAGGATTTCTGTGAGTATCTGCGACGGACACGGGCCGGTACTAGGACCAGAAATGTCAATAAGATGGTTTTTTTAAGTATGCTAAGTGGGAAGAAGTATCAGAAGGGCCCATGGTCTCTTCAGGTAGTGTAGATTAAAGTATGAGCCAAAGAAGCGAAATCGTTAAACCATTGCGTATAGAGTGTCGGTCAAGGTGCTCGACACTAGCTCCTTGGCACACCCATAAGATCATGCGCGGTTGGCCCCTCCGCTATCTGATGTGATGCCACTGGATATTTGGTGTGTATGTTGCCTTTCCCTTGGTGCTTTCCGGATCGTTCTCCCCAAGGCTGAAGTGCGAAATAGTATAGTGCAGTGCACATATTTATAATCTCGAATGCCTGCGCCCTTTTATTCCAATTGCGCCTTTAGAGACCAAAGAACGACTCAAAGTAAGTATACGCCGGAAATCTTATGAGATAAGTTATCCCGATTGCGATTTTCATTAAAGACCAAGATTTCTATTAATTAGGGAAGCATTTTTTTGAATTTCGCAACCGCTCAGTGCAACCTATCATACCAGTCACCGATTGAGTAATGCACGCCCTTTATGGTAGATCACTATTGGCTACAAGTGACATCATTAGCAAAGAGATCCACGGACAAGACCTTCCGGTCTAAGGGAGAGTGAAATAAAGAGAAAACGTCGCACGACAAAAAGTAAGACTGCATATTCCGGAAACTCTTTCAGGGACTACAATACCAAAAGCGAAAGGTCCGTTTTGTGCAACTTCTCGCCAGAAGGATTTTGAAACTGGAGCTGCAAGAGAAGCAATTTCAAGGTACATAATTCGCATACTAAGGAAACTCATTCTTTGACTATATATCGTTAAGACATAAATATTATTTTTGTACAAGGAAACTAAATCTATGGGTTTTGCTTAACGAAGTCAACACCCTTCTTGATGTTCTTAATCAAAGTTTCCTTGGCAGTCTTGACCATTTCTTCTTCGTGAGAGGATAATTCACCTAATGGATGAACGGTCTTGATACCATCAACTCCTAAAGTAACCTTAGAGGAGAAGAAGTCAATACCCTCATTCTTGAATAATGGGGAGTCAACATATGAAGGTTCAACGACATCTTGTTCACCTGCTAAACCGTCCAAGACATGGCCAGCGAATCTTGCACCAGCTTGAGCCATGGACAAAGTAGCAGAACCAGCACCATTCTTAGCCTGGACAACTTCGTCACCACCGAATTGGATTCTGTGAATTAAAGCATCTCTCTTATCTTCTGGTAAATCTTTATGCTTGGTCTGAGAAAGCAATGGAACAATAGTTACACCTGAGTGACCTCCGACAACAGTAACCTTTTCGTTAACAGGGTTAGTGCCTACGACTTCAGAAATAAATCTAGAAGACCTTAAAACATCTAAGGTAGTAACACCAAATAATTTCTTAGGGTTGTATGTTCCCTTTGACTTCAAAACTTCAGCAACAATTGGCACAGTCGAGTTAACAGGGTTCGAAATGATACAGACGGCAGCATTTGGAGAAAAGTCAGCAACAGACTTAGCTAAATCTCTAACAATTGAAGCATTGGTGTTGAACAAATCATCTCTTGTCATACCTGGTTTTCTTGGAACACCGGCTGGGATAACGACAACGTCAGATCCAGTCAAAGCTTGTTCTAAGCTGTCTGGATTGTATCCTTTTACAACAGAGTTGGTTGGGATGTGAGAAACATCAGCGGCAACACCTGGAGCACCTTTCAAATCATACAAGGACAATTCGGTGACCTTGTGGTTCAATTTTAATAATAACGACAATGGTTGGCCAATTCCACCGTTAGCTCCTAATACAGTAACTTTGTATGCTGACGCAGCAGAGGAAGAAAAGGATCTTGTAGCAACTTTAGTAAACATCGTGAATAAATTAATCGTTATAATAAATAACTGTTCGAAGTTAGCACTATGATTAATTGAATTATTTAAGGATGATAAGCCTTATATAGTGATCGAGAAATCTTGCGTTTCCGTCAATCTCCAGTTCGCTCCATTAAATTACCTCGCGATGAATTGTGTCCATCCATGCCGTCCAATAAAATCAAATTATTTATTCCATGCCCGAATGCACCGAGTACTGTGGAACTGGTTATCGGTAATTACACGGAACAAAAAACTTGAATTTACCACGAAGTCTAGGAAAAGCAACAATAGGACGAATCCGACATCCTGCTCCTTAGGAATGAACTAGCGCATCACTAATTCGCACAGTAAGTTCTTCAATTAAGGAAAAATTGTGGGGATATCTATAAAATACAGGAGTTCGAAAGTTGGAGCATTTTAGTGGACGTGGGTGTAAAATATAGCTCTAAGGATACATCTACCTAGAAGAATGCTATTCGATTCTTAACAATAGTCACTAGATTTTGCTACAAGAAATGCATCCTTCTGGCGTACTGTATAACAAAACTGACACTATTTTTGACATTCTAAAAGCCTTTATGGCCAAGTTGGTAAGGCACCTCACTAGTAATGAGGAGATCGTCAGTTCGAATCTGGCTGAAGGCATTTTTTTGCACTGCATCTAGGTAGATTTGATATACTCTTTGTTTATATACATTATATTCCATACCATTTTTATACTGTAAAAGGTCCCAAGAGATCTCTCTCAGCCTCTTAAAAATGCCTGATAAACAGATTGCTGAAAAGCATTCAATGGATATCCCCCATCTTGCGGCAGTGGAGATGCCATTAAATGTGAAAGATTCAGCGAAAGCTATTGAAATGCTCGGAGGAAACAACAAAATATCGAAAGTAATAAATGCGTCCAGTAGGACTGGTGCCCAGGGAAATATTTTGAATGCCAATGACAATATATTAGAGCTAAGATTAAGAAAAGACCCATTTCATCACCCTTTACAGTCACTGTTAAATGCTAGCGAAAAAGTTCTCCTTAAGATATCAATACCTAAAGAAAGTATACCTGAAGACTACCAAGTTACACCTTCGAAATATTCTGTACGAGATCTAGTAGATATTAACTTGAAGAAGTGTGCTTTAAGGCACAAGGTTCAACCAGTCGGCATCATTAATAAAACATATTCTTTCAAAGCAATGGCAGATTTTCAGGTATTGACCAAAAATAATAACATTGTACAAGATTTCAAAGACTTGGGACTTGAGGCAAAAAACTTTGAAACTTTAAATAAGTATTTCGAAAAGCACGAAGGTTTTAATAGTATTTCAGATTTCAAAAATTCTTCTAACTTCGAAAATGGTGATCACAATTTACCTCCGCCTCCTATCCTAAGCCCAATACGTTTTCCGTTTGACTATCGGTTTCAGAAAAACCCCCTTACCACAACAATTAAGAACAACGAAACGGGTGAATTGAAAGTGATATCGAAGAAGGAAACATTGAAGCTACATACGATTATCATTGATTTTAACTCTGAAACACCACTGCTGCCTGCCGCGCCTTTAATTGATAATCTCAAATCTTTATCACAACAAAACTTATCACAAGCTAGTATAGATTATCATTTATTGGAATGTGTTAATTGGCTAAGATATGCGTTTGATTTGAAACCAATTTGGTTGCGAAAACAGTTGGAAGATATAGTCCCCTCAAACTTGAAAAGGGTGATGAAGCAAGCTTTACCATATGTATCTTATATTTACAAAAGTGGGCCATGGAGGTTTTGTAACGTGAAGTTTGGAGTCGATCCCAGATGTGACAAATCATTCTGGATTTATCAAAGTGAATACTTCAGAATCCCGGGCTTGCACTTTAATCCTAATGTAGTAGAGCCACCGAAAAGAGTACCACTAAAAACCATAAAAAGTGAAAATACTGAATTACTTATCTCAGAGACTTTGATTTTTGATGGCAATAAGCTTCCCTTAACTGTGACATACCAAGTTGGAGATATTCGTGATCCAGACATCGTGAATTTATTTAGTAATAATCAAAAGAATTTAGGTAATAAATTTTTTAGAGATACGATAGATTTTCAAGATGGTTGGATTAATAGGCAAACAATGGAATCTCTTAGAGGAATAATCAGATATAAATTGAATAGATTGGTGAAAGAACAGCCTATCGAAGCCAATAAGATTCAAAAGATTATTAGTTCTGAATATTCCGAAAATAATGATGACCTTGATGAAGAGCCAGAACAAGCTTCTAAGGAAGATCCTGATGCTTACAACTCTGAAAATGACGATGGGGAGCTTGTTGATATGGAAGGGGATCTCACCCAAGAAGATGTGGGCGGAGACACGATATTAAATGAAGAAGAAATTATGAAAAAGTTGAAAAAGAACGACAACGTTATTGCGAGCCATTTAAGCTCACTTATCGGTCTTGTTAAACAAGACTCAATGACCGATGAATAATGTGAATATGTACTATATTATATAAGAGAGTAACATTTTATGTCTGGTACAATTGTGTGCAGTCCTATAAATATATACTTTTTTCAGACAAACAACATCAAGTTACACGTAAATTATTGCGCTCAAGATTCAAAGATGACTAGAGCTACCGAAGCACTTTTGACGCTCTTCGCAACTTCAGCGGTCTACTTTTCGATATACGCTGGCGTAATTCCTTCTAGCGAGAAATTCCATGAACAAATTTTACCTTTCTTACCCTGGTGGGTTCTTGTTACATTTGGGGCATATTCTCTAGGTACTTTAGGGTGGGATGTCCTCACTTTTAAAGATAAAAAGGAGAAGTACGTCGAGCTTCTAGAGCAAATCGATGAAGCTAAGGCTTTTTATGAAAAAGAAGGAATTGATTTGGATTAATAACATAAGACTCCTCAGTTAACAATTGATATACTTAACTTATAAGCTAACTAAATAAGGGCAATAATAAACGTGTTACTCTATTTGATTATATTAAACTCTTAATAATAATATGAATTTATTCTACTAGGAACTTGCTTCTGCTTTTGATCCACCCGAGGCTTTCGCAAGTGCCCGTGCTCTGTTTCTCGCTTTCATCTTTTCTTCTGTTTGGGCGAAAACTTTTATATATATTGGTATATTGTCCCATGCTGCATCATTGCTTGTTGTGTCGTCTTCCTCGGCGGTTGTTTTTAATTTACCTTCTTTAGCTTTTCTGGCAAATGTTGGTGGCATGTTTTCTACCTTCAAAAGCTTTAAGGGTGCATGGAAATTCTCAGGCCATCTTCCCCCTTTCTTGCTTAACATTTTGGCCGCTTTCTCGCGCTTCCGGTTCCATTCTTTGATGTCTTCGTCAAAAATTTGCCAAACGCAATTTACACAACCACTCATACAACAGTTATCTGGTTCTAAGGGTTTATCCGGAACCATGACTCCACAGATATTCTTGGGCTCTCCTCTAATAACTCTACTGGTAGATCCCTTGTTTTCTCCTTTTATTCTCCCACCAAATACTCTTGCGATCTTTTCTTCCGGAGATTGTGAATCTAGTTGATAATTACCTTCAAATGCAGTTCCACCTTTCTTTTGTAGCTTTTTAATCTCATTGTCGCTGAGGTGGTAAGCTTCTATAGACAGCTTGGGATTCGTAGGGGTCTCTTTGACTAGATCATAAAATGAAAATGAATATTTAGGTGGAGACAGTGAAAATAGCCTTTTATGGTGTTTCGGTATTAGCCTCGAAATTATAGTGATAGTCATAACAGCTTATAATGTATAATTTTTCACTTGAAATCCAGTTTTATAATAAATTAAGCGAAAAGCTCACTCTATATATTCACAGTTCAAGAGCAACCGTTGTGACTAAAGAGTTATTTAATATGTAGACTTGCATATCTACAAATGTCGCAATTAATAAGGACAATTGTGTACAGGACTAGCGTACAACATATATACAATAATGTCGTTACAAGACTTCTAGCCTTATCGATCTGACTGCCTCGTCAATACTAAGGAAGAACCCATCACCCATCGAATTTGAAGAAATACCTATATTCACAGGCCGAGATGCCGTAGCATCGTTATGCAATTTTTCAATATAGAACTTGAAGGATTGATTGACCAAGTCTTGAATTCCAGATCTTATAAACTTGTCTCTCACCTGCAAATTGACTGGAACTCTGGAGAAGCATACCAATATTCCAAAATCCTCGATGTATTTTTTGATAATTTCAAGTAGGACTTGGATTGCTGACGTGTCGACGTAGTCCATACCTCTACAGTCAATGATGATAAACTTAATAGTGCTTTTATTGAAAGCACGTTTCACTGGCTGTGACGGATGTACAAGCAACGTGCCATACTTTTCAATCTTTGATAAGCTACTCTTAAGGTCCCATGAATTTGCAAAATTTAAGGGTTCGGGGATGCTTATGATCAACACACCTTCTATCTCTTCGATTTCTGCCACTAAATTGGCCAAAACAGAGTCTCTTCCGAGAGATTCATCAGTTCCATATTGGCTAGAATATGCACTAAAGCATTCCTCAATTAGTGCGTCGGCATTTCTAAAGGAATTAGAGTTTGGAACACGCCCCAAGACCTGAATTCTTGACTTTGTACCTTGTTTAATAACTCTAAAGATAGCAATCAAAAATCCAAGAGTAACACCAGCTTGAGCACTCCACAACATTGTAGTTAAAAAAATTATAGCGAACGTTAAAAGTTCGTCATATCCTCTAACATCCCAAAAGAATTTTAGATCTGAAGGTATATCTTCTAGGACGGTGATACCAACAATTGTAGTACAAATCGCCAAGACACAATCTGGAAGATAGTAAATGAAGGGCAAGAGATACAAAAGCGTGATCAATGCCAATATTGACATGAAAATACTAGCCATAGGTGTCTTAGCTCCAGATAAAATGTTAATTTTAGATCTTCCTATGGCACCAAAGGAAGGCAACACCCCAAGTAGACCTACCACAAAATTAACAGCACCTAATGCAATTAGCTCTCTATTAGAAGAAACGTCAAATTTGTATTGTGTTGAAAGAGCTTTGGCAGCAGTAGTAGAATCAAAATATCCCAACATCGTGCACACTAACGCCGTCGAAACCAATTCTTTGTAAAGAGGAGCTTTCGTCAAACTGAAAGGATTACTAATCTTAACTTTAGTAGAGTTACTGCTAACATCGCCTACTACCTCAAGTCCCAATTCTTTCCATTCAAAATTCCAACTGAGATATGTGGTAATAATAACCATGAGTAGAAGGTCTGGGATATAAATTGCTTGTTTTACATGGAATCTTTTCGTCAAAATTGTTTTCATTTTCCTGATGACAAGAACCGAAGTTAGAGTTATTGCAGATACCAAGAATGTGAGCCTGTGGGTACTATCATAGTGACGAAATATGAACGATAATTTGTTCAATGTTGACAGATGAGGTTCTGTTAATGATAATTTATAGATTCCGAATTGCGTTGCTAATTCATTTATAATCATAATAAGACCCATGGCCCCAATAAAACCTTTTAGTAATGCTCTACTTAAGAGCTTATCTAGAAAACCAATCCTAAATAAACCACTTCCCAAAAGAACGCCTCCTATGATAGCCGACAAGCAGGTTAGTATATCTAATTCTGAGTACTCATTAAGAGGAGGCTTATGTCTTGAAGAATCCATTACTTGACCAATGATTAAGGCAATAGAGGGCGTGGGACCCACTACCAAAATGGGTACAGTGCCGAAGATTGCATAAACACAGGCTCCAATAATGACAGAATATAATCCGAATACTGGAGGCAAATGAGCCAAAGATGTTGCAAATGACATTACTAGCGGCGTCTGAAAAGATGCTAATGATACTCCTGCAACAAAATCACCCACAATGTTCTCTTTCCAACGGTATTGTGGGAGCCATTTTAATACTGGCATGTAGTACGCTAAATAAGCGAACTTGTCGAAAGACTCTTCTTTATAGCCTCCGGAGAAGTCAAAGTCTTTGAAACTATCGCCCTCCTCCACGGTCTTGTATTTATTGTTCACATAGGTGTCTAAAAGAGGATCATTAAATGTGTAAAGATTCTGTAGACTTCGTAAAGATTGCGATGAGGGTACAGAATATAATGGAGGCCGAGCTGATAGTCTCAACGACGATGAGTTGCTAGGAAGTCTGGCACTATTGCTTTCCATTGGACTTCCCAAAGATCTAGGATCAATTTTATTCACCATAATTGCTATTCATGTTTGTTTAAAGGGATTACGTGTGTCATTTTTTAATGCGAGTTCTACTAAATCTTCATTCAATTCGATATCATTGAACAAAATTAGTTGCTAATTGAATATTTGACTTTCATACATTTACCTTAATATACGGTATTAGTGGAAGCGGCGCTACCTGACTTCCATCTCACTGTATGTTAAAGATTTTAAATGCAATGCCTACCTTTTTTTTAGGCATAACGAACATTCTTTGCCTGACTGTGCTAACCTCATATGGACTCCCCACGTGGGACATATGTGTAAAAGGCAATCTAATTAGGAATGGCTAAATCTACATTACCGTTTTAGTCGGTTGCTTTAAAAAGTGGTTCTAATTGGCTTCCAAGTGTTCATCGATAGTATGCGACCATCGCCCTGCTTCATCCAATAGATGTAACCATATACAAAGTTAAATAGCCTGGACCACGTTTTCCAGATGATGACGAACTCTGGCTTCCAAGAAATGGCCACGTTGTTATCGGGGATAATATATATATATACGATTGACGAATGCCAAGATCATTAGCATTTTTTTTCGCAGCTTGGAAATTATACCAAGAACTTATTGCGACCTCTACCATATTATTGCATACTATTATGAGTGAATCCAGGGCCGTATCTCTGTACCAATCACCTCTGGTAATTTGCGAGAGCATATATCTTTCTATATAACTCACCTAAACCTCCTTAGTATCTTGGATCTTTTTTCTTTTCTGCAACAAATAAAAACAAAGCTAAAATGGTCTTCCAACAATATGACTACATCTTTGCAATTGCAATGATATTTGCATTCCTCGACGCCTGGAACATTGGGGCAAATGATGTCGCGAATTCATTTGCTTCCTCTGTCTCATCAAGGAGTTTGAAATACTGGCAAGCGATGATTTTAGCGGCTATTTGTGAGTTCTTGGGTGCAACTTTGGTGGGAAATAAAGTATCAGATACTATAAGAAACAAAATTGTTGACGTGACCGTCTATGAAAATGATCCTGCTGTCTTAATGTTAGCGATGGCTTGCGCTTTAGTTGGGTCTTCTCTCTGGTTAACTTTCGCTACAAAGATCGGAATGCCAGTCTCTGCGACTCATTCCATTGTTGGTGCAGTTATAGGGTCATCGATTGCGGCTGTAGGAGCGAAACAGATTCACTGGGGATGGTCTGGAGTTTCTCAAATTATTGCCTCTTGGTTTATTGCTCCCGTAATTGCTGGTATCTTCGCTTCTATAGTGTTTTTGATATCTAAATTTGGTGTATTAGAGATCAAGCCTTTGAGGTCTTCAATAAGAAATGGAATAGTTTTGGTTCCGTTTTTGGTTTTCGCAGCATTTTGCATTTTGACAATGTTAATTGTTTGGAAAGGAGCTCCATCTTTAAACTTGGATGAGCTTTCTCTGGGAGCAATAGCAGGTTCAATTCTTGGAGTTGGTGGAGTCGCTCTTACTATCTATATGTTGTTTCTATTTCCATTCTACAGAAGAAAACTTATCTATGAAGACTGGACTTTAAAATGGTACGATGCTTTCAGGGGTCCTATCTTTTGGTTCAAATCGGTTGACGACATCCCACCAATGCCAGAAGGACATCAGTTAACAATAGACTACTATAAAGGAAGAACTCAAGCTCAAGGCAAAGTCGAGGAAAGAGATCATGAAGATTCAATTGGACCAGAAACTGCAGACAAATTCAAAGATGAAATCGAAGCTATTGAAGCTCCTAATATAATTACCACACTCTCAGCAGATACCGGAGTAGAGGAAAAACTTCCCACAAAAACTATATGGAAAAATTTGTTATTTCAGGGTCCAAAGAAATGGCCATATTTATTTTGGTTGGTTATTTCTCACGGCTTTACCAAGGATATTATTAGTTCGCAGGTTCAGAGTAAAGACATACTCGCAAGAAATATCCAGGATTTGCATTCGAGGTCCAAATTCTATGATAACAGAATCGAATACTTATATTCTTTATTGCAAGCAATTACAGCAGGAACCATGTCATTTGCGCATGGAGCGAACGATATATCCAACGCGGCAGGCCCATTGTCCACAATTTATCAAATATGGCGTACCGAGACAGTTGATCTGAAGGCAGAAGTTCCAGTTTGGGTATTATGTTACACAGCTGCCGCTTTGGTGATTGGATGTTGGACTTTCGGATACAGAATCATGGCCAATTTAGGAAACAAGCTTATATTGCAGTCTCCATCTAGAGGATTTTCTATCGAACTAGGAGCTGCAGTGACTACCGTTATGGCCACACAACTAGCAATACCTGTCTCAACAACGCAATGTGCAACAGGTGCAACCGTGTTTATTGGCTTGTGTAACAGAGATTTGAAAGCAGTCAACTGGAGAATCGTATCTTGGTGCTACCTAGGTTGGATAGTGACATTACCTATAGCTGGAATAATTTCGGGTGTTATAATGGCTATTATCATCAATGCTCCTAGATTGAGTTAAATAATGTATAATTAATACATCTTACTTTCTAATAAAATTACAACTTCAAAGTTGAAAGAATAGATATCCCATAATTTATAAAGTGTCTTTAATAACGTAAAGCGAGTACAATTCTGTAGTTTTAAGTATTCATGGGTCTTTCTGAAGTTCTCTGAAGTACTTTCTTGCGAACTCGAAATATACGACCCTTAATTTTTAGAGTAAAGATTTCCGAAGCTGAACATTAAACGCTATTGAAAAGTGATAAATTGCTGAAATGTCATACGAAGAAAAGTTTGACGCCTCGTTGGATTTACTCAGGCGTTTAGATCCCCAAAGAACGTCGACAAATCTCAATGACATTTGTACATTGATTCAAAACGATTCAACTGTAGACGAGGATTTAACCCAGGATCTATTGTCATCAGTAGACACCCCGTTAACAATTACAAAATGTGATACCACAGGAAAGCAATACTTATGCTGTGACTATAACCGAGATGGCGATTCTTATAGATCTCCATGGTCCAATGAATACTTCCCCAAAATAAGTGAGGAGGATGCTATGTCTGCTCCATTTCCGTCCGATTGGTTAAGACAATTAGAAGTTAAAGCGAACGAATCCTTCGAAATATATCGCGATTTGTATTACGAGGGCTCAGGTGTCTCTTCTGTCTATATGTGGGACACTTCTGATGAACCAATTGATACTTTAGAGAGTGGATTCGCTGGGGTAGTCTTGTTCAAGAAAGCCACTGACGATGGCTCAGGAACTTGGGACTCAATTCACGTATTTGAGGTCATTCCTGAATCTTCAAGCACTGCTTTATATAAGTTAACTACATCCGTCATACTTGACTTGCAAGATAAAGGGACGTCTTCTCTCTCTTTATCTGGAAGCTTAACAAGGCAATTAGAGTCCTCTAATTCCTTGAGTTTAGAAAGCGGTGCTAATTTGGAGACCGTTCACCTTATCAACATTGGTACTATTATAGAGAAGTCAGAATATAACATTAGGAATTTGCTTCAAGAGGTCTATTTTGATAAATTGAAAGACATTATGTTGAAAGACTTGCGTTCAATTGGCGATAGTCGTGAGAAAAAAGCGGAAGATCTGAAACATTCTGAACTTATCAAGGGCATTCAAGGCATTTAACCGCACTTACAATTATCTATGATGATTAATCTACGAATTATTATTTAAATTAAAATATAAAATAATTATAACCATGTAGTTTTTAATGCTCTTTTTGACCGTTGATTTTATTTGTTTGCAGTATTGTATTTGGTTTATGTGTATGCTCTAGCTCATTAAAATTTATTGTCGCTCCAGTTTCCAAGTTACATAGTTCTTGTCCATTGTTTCCTTCTGCAAACTTTTTGCCATGAATCTCTTCGTCTACTAAGGATGACAACACATTACTCTTCATGTCATTTACAAAAGCCCATATTGAGTTGGAAACGTTGTACATCATATCATCAGAATCCTCTGCGGATGGTTCAATGCTTTTGACGGAATGCTTCTGAATCGTACTTAACTTTTGGTTAGCTTGAGTGTTTCTGTTCTTCAGACAATGAGAAGTTGTCAAATTAATCGGAATTGGGGATGATCTTCTCTTCATTTTGTATGTGGGGGTCAATCGTTTCTTTGAAGTATCTTCCAGAGAATCCAAGCCTTGATTTATATCAGTGGTAGGCTGACTCTCTGATGGATATAAGGATTTCTCAAATTCTTGCAGTATCATTGAATCTAGCTGCTGTATAAGGTTTAGAGGTTTAGATAAGTTCGTCCAAATGGATGCATTTGCATTTTGGGTAACATCGTTTAAAGTCAGACGACTCAGAGCCTTTCGCATTCCTTGTGTAGAATTGAGCAAATTGTCACCCGTAGTCACTCCCAGTTTGTTTTTAGTGCCTATCATTTCATTATTACGTCTGTAGTTGCCGTTCACTTCTTTGTTCAAGGAACATTTTATAATTTCTCTTAATTTTCGAAGTTCCTTTTCAGTTCTCTCTAATTTGGACGTCAAAACAGATATGCTATCTTTGATTTCAACAGCCTGCATCTCTTTCAAAGCCAAATATCGTATTTGATCTTCTATCTCTAAGCTACTCAACTGATCAAAGGGAGGTAAAGGTGAGCCACTTTTCAGTTCAAAATGCATTGGTGAGCCATGTGAAATTTCCGACTCATCATGTACTTGAGGTTTATGTATCTTATTCAATGCACTAGTTCGGCTTGGCGTCGGAGAAGTAGAATGAACGCTTGGTGATATCGCTATGTTAAAGCTTATTCCTGCTCTAGGAGTTCTGATCTTAGATTGTGATTCTGTATCGCGCTCGATTGACTGATTTGAAGAACGCAGTTTTGGCATATTTTCGGCCAAAGGTGACACCTGAGTACATAGGTCTGGCTCAGTTGAATGAGTACTCATGAAGAATAAAATACAGTCAGAATAACTGATGTTTACTAAATGAGAATTTAATGAGATAGCCGCGACACATAAACATAATGCTGAAATCAACTTTCGCGTAATTGTCATATTGGAGCGTTCCCCTATATAGCGCTGCAGTTTAAAAAGGACAATTGATCTGGGCTGCTATGACTCTATCAGATATCTCGTCGGATCCATCAGTCAAAAAATGGTTTAAATGGTATCTTATTTTATTAATTGCAAGAGCGCCCAAGTCTTACTTCTGGAGCGCCTTTCTATCCTTGAATCCATTGATTCGTAAGATGATTCAAAAACTTAATGGAGAACATTTGAAGAATAGAAGTAAGAAGATCTGTAAACAAAATATAGCAGGAATTTCGAATGCTATCAGCTGTGGGTTTTTGTATTTGGCAACTGCAAGTAATAATAAAATTCCTAAAGATTATTTTCTGATTTATCTATGGCTCAATTATTTTGGAAATTTGGATAGGCCGTCTTCACCTAGGATCTTGACATCTCAACGAATATCACCTTATTTAAAGATTGATTCTTACAAAGGAAGTCTAATGGAAAAAATATACCAAAAGAAGAATCTAATAATTTTTCCCCTAGTTTATGCTCAGATTTTGTCATATTATTTGACTCCTACAAAGTATCGATTGAACCAAAGATATTTATCATCTTCTATTAAATCTAAGATCTTGAATCCAATTTGGATAAATTTTACTTTAGGTGCAAATGAGCGTCATATTAATTTGACGGGTCTACTAAAATTCTATTCTATTCATAATTTTGCATTTGGAATATTGATAGCTGCTATATCTTTCAAGGAGAAGTTTTTGGACGCATTCTATGAAGTTAAGTTTGGCTTGAAGGAAGGGAAGACAGGTAAAGAAGTTATCAAAAATTATTTAATGTACGTTGCACACAAGTCCAACTCAATCGTTAATTTCATATATGTGCCAAATTTAATCGCTATGTTCTTAATCTCATTGACAGCCCCAGTATTTTCAATTCTAAATAATGCTTCAAACTTGAGAATAAGACGAACCTATGCCGATCACATTAAATTGGTCTTCAAAATCTATATTAAGACAATTGGATTCATATCTGCATTTATCACTCTTTACGTCAATTCCTTGGATCTAGTTCCGAACTACGGCTACGAAAACGTTAAAGAAGAAGGGAATATACGTCGTATTTCATTTTTAAATGCATTAAATTTATATTTGATACGTCTAATGTTGCTATCGAAATGGAGAATCGTTAAAGAAAATCATCCCACCTTCAAGTTACTAAACATCACAACCTGGTATAAGATGGAGGCACTATTGATGTCTTTAGGAGTTTATAAGCTAATGAGCTTAAATGATTTCATCAGAAATCATGCTGCCAATCCCGAAGACGAAGATGAATGCAATAGATTGAAAAATGAAAGTTTATTGAAACTTGTAAATAGAATCATGTAACTAGTTCCTTTGGAATAAGGGGGGATATGAAACTAATGTTTATTTCTACAGAAAGGGTTTAGCGAGGTTAAAGAATATTATATATCAAAGATTCATAGCATTAATAACCACCAGCACCTGGAACATTTTCTTTCCCTTTCAAACTTTTTAATAATCTTTTGAATCTAGTTTTGTCTCTATCTTCGGACGTAGAGACCTCACCGACCTCGGTGACCAACTCATTTACTCTGTCCCACAATGTTCCTCTTTTCAAAAACTGGTCTCTCTTTTCTACGAAAGCTTCTTGTTCTTTCAATACTTCTTTCGATTGTTGTTCTTTGTTACTATTATAATTATCATAGAAATCATCAACTGTTTGTCTAGCCTTAGAAATAATATCTTTCTTCTTCCTTGAATTTACTTCTTCTCTTTCCGATATTTCAAGATCACGACGCTCTTTCCATTGTTTAAGAGGTTCAGAGTCTGCTTGGAAAACCTTAGGTTGAGGTTCTTTTTCTTCTTCCTCTTCTTTTTCGAAGCTCAGTTGTTGAGCTGGTTGAACAGGAGCAGTGTTGTCAACTTCAGGAAACTGTTCTTTGAATTCACTTATATCTTCATCACTTTCTGCCCAAACATCTTTATCTTGCTCTGTTTCAAATTCATTTCCCACTAGCTCCTTCTCACGGGATAAGAAATCCGAATCACCAACGTTTTCGGATGATTCAGCAGTAGAAACAGCCGTATCATCTAAGGCAGGAAATTTATCAGCCATGTTTTTTATGAATAGAAAAGTAAGGTTTGCAATTGATCTTTAATTCTATTTTAAAGGTACCGTTCAACTTATTGCGTGTTAAGTCGATCGAACAGAAATGTATCTTCCGCTCACGTCATGTCGTCGCATTTCAAATGTCGTGACAAGAAACATGGGAACGACATGAGGATATCATTAGATTCAGTAATACTCGATTCCATCTTTTGCTCATTAGACAATATTGAACTATTTAATACTTTCAAGCACTATCTCCAGAAGTGAAGCAGTTATTTCAGGAAACACGGATAACTTATTATTCGTATCAAGACTTACCTCTAATTCGGTTAGCAGATTTTCAGTTTATTCTTTATTAAGTTATAAATGTTCAAGATATATATATGAGGTTCCACTCATTGTATTTCATGAAGATGTGAATATTTATCTATATATCTTTGAAATTTAGGCTATAAATGCGTGTAGATGAGTCACTACTCCCAACACCAAGTAAAAGTTGCGAATTATTTGAAAGATGCAGACTTAAAGCTAATTTGTTGATGCGACTTGCCGGATTTATTGACGGATCAAAAGTGCAGATGGTTTTTAAATTTTTTTCACGTAGATCAGAAGAGATTATAACAATATCACCATTTTCTAAACCAGCAGCAATTATTAAGATTCCATTTGTCCTCGTAGAAAGATAACAGGAAATGGAGGTCACGGGGTGATGAAGCTTTACACTTCCTTCCAGAACAACATTCGTATCGAGACTCCATAGTTTCACTTGTTTGTCACGGGAGGCCGTTAAAAAAAATGTTCCATAGGGGTTACAGGGAACCCATGAGCAGTCCCAAATTATTCTGCTGTGAGCTCTTTCGTTAAGTTCTATTAGCCTAAAGGATCCTGACGATTCGTCAGCAACTTCCCATAAGCTGTACTGTCTATCACGAGAAACAGCAAGTAAGTATTTTCCATTGTCGGAAAATTCCATACTTGTTACTGTCAAATTATGACCACTCAAAGTTTGATTGCATTGTTGATAGTCATCTTTCACTTTAAATATTCTTATTACAGCATGTTTTGCCGAATTTGACTTGCATGCGGATGCAATCAATGTACCACCAGGATTTGTACAGCAACAAGTCATTTCGTATCCATGTCCGTATAACTTTTCAATCTCAGGATATAAGGTAAATCTTTGCAAGTGATCTTCCAAAGGCGGACTTGTAAGAGCTGAAAGCTCTTCTTCATTTTCTTGATAATCAGTGGTATTCTCTAAATCTGGAGAGCTCGTTTCTGATTGTTCCACCACAGATTCTGCTTTATTAGATAAGCCTAACACAGGTAACGAGGCAAACCCTGGAAGTCTCTCTTCATTGTTTTCTGATGAAATATCAATACCACTGAGGGTCTTCAACTGCTTACAAACCGACAGCGTGACTTCAAATACTCGCAATATTTTCTCATCACCACCGGAAACGAACTTCACTGGCGAAATACTATCGAGACAAATCATATCATATCCATGAATTTGTGGCCGCGAAAACTCATGCCATGATCTATGACTTCTTCCTTCGGACCACGGAGCAAATAATCGTGTTGTTTGATCTAAAGATGTAGCCATTAGAGTTCGACCACCATTAGCCCATATCACATCTGTCACATCTCTGATTGCTCCTGTGATACCCAAGGCTGGATTAAATGACTTGCCATCAACTGACTCATAAACTCGGAATGAACCAGTCTTGCCATTTGCTAGTATGTATTGCGATTTTGTGTCCTGATCACTGAACCATAAACATGACCAAAAACCTCCGGAGGCTCCTGTTGCAGTTGATGCTCCTTTGATTGATAATTCTCCTAGTCTAGAGACACAGCACCAAATACCTGATAGTTTGTCCATTTCCCAAATCATAAGGCTTGTGTCCGCACTGCAAGAAAGTAACTGTAAAGTCTTCTGTCCTCTGTGAAATGTATATGAAGGATGCCACTTTAAACAAGTAACCCAGTCATCATGACCCATAATCAAAGCATCAAAGCTGAAAGCTGCTCTAATTGATCCGATATGAAATTTATATTGCTTGTTAGATAAAAGAATTAATTTTGAATCGTCTTCATCAGAATCATCTATCGAATCACCTAAATTAAGTCTCCATAGCCTTATATATCTATCCTGAGATCCGCTTGCTAAGATATACGATTCATTTTCAGCTTCTGTAGCGAAAGTAAGACATTTAATCCAGTCTTCGTGACCACTCAACTCAGCTGCCTTCTCAAAGGCTACCATTTCATTCGAATTAGATAAGACAAATGAATAAACAAAGATCAAAGAAGATGTCCCACCGACAGCGAGAGTATAGTGGCCATCTACAATGCTTTGAAGAGCCAATGTTGTTGGATAAAAATTAAGTTTGACTTCGAAATCTTGTAAAAGGAAGTATTCTTGCGTTTCTTTATTCAATACCCATAAGCAAACCCGGCCATCAGACCCTCCAGTTAAAAAAACGTCCTTATTTTGAACAGAAAGACAAGTAATTGAATGTTCATTTACTTTTAGAGATTGATGCAACTCATATATATCTCCTTTTTTTTTCCAAATATTGACTTCGCCATCTTCTCCTACTGAAACTAAAAAGTCACTTTCAGGGATAAAGCGAACGCCTGTCACTTCTTTTGAATGCTTCTTGAGAGTAAAATAAACCCCTTTCTTATCAGCTGTTACTGGATGCCATAGAGCGACAGTATTGCAAGCGCCAAAAGCAACTAGTTTGGCGTTATCATTAAAATCAGAGACATACGATTGTTTATTACAGCCAATGAATATAGCTTCTTGATCAACGTCTTTAACCAACATTATACTTTAAGTTTTTAAATATTCATGGGCTCATCGCTGCTGCGTTTTTGCTAAATAAATTTTGATTTTAGCAAATATACAGTCGGCTGATGAAAGACTGAGGCACGAAACAAACATCAAGAGAAACGTAAATCACTACTATAAAATTGAGATGGCATCAGCGTAAGTAAATTTACAAGAGCATGAAATGCACCTGTAAGAATAATGCTAACGAAATGTCACCAAAAGGGTCATACTAGTTCAAAAAACAACACCAGAAGCTATTCTTAGATTTCATGATCAATTGTCAAACGAGCTACCCACATTAAAAGGAAAATGGCACTTTAGTTTCAAGATCTTTCGTAACAACATCTACTCTATAGATCCAACTGCATCGGATGATAGCGAATTCTCAAAAGATTCGAAGTTTTTACACATTTTAAAACCCTCGTACTTGCAAGGATCCACCGTAGCAGTGGTGAATAAAAAGTCTGTTGGAATATTCAGTGATTCAATTGCAGAAGAGGTCAAAGGTAATCCATCTGTACGGTTTCCAATCCCAGATTACCATTTGCATCGTGGAGCGACTACTGGACTAAATGATCCCTTTGATTACTTCACGTCACAAAAACTTCAAAGTTTGTGGACTCAAAAACAGAACATAAGAGGTGATAGTGGACAAATATACGAACTAGAAAATGGGAATTTGATAATAAGGACTTCAAATGTGTCTCTCCATGGAAACTTCCGGGGCCTTCTCATTCAGCTTGAGCTAAGTGACAATACGATCGAAAGCGGTGGTCAAAAGCATGTTAAGGATATACTTGACGAAGTGATACAAAAATATGGAATTCCTCAAGGTGAACTATGTTACGATGTTTTAGACTCCGGACATTTTGACAAGTACGGTGATTTGTGTTTGCAATACGCTCAGATTCTAAATTTTTAGAATTAATTTATAGATATAGGAAAAAAGTATTCTCTATAGAATGCTTGGGAATATACGGATTGAATTTCTCAAAAATCATATACTAGTCTATATGAAAAAGAAAATACTGCATACAAGGGATGCAATATGTAGAAGTTTGCGAGATGAGATGAGAGGAAGTTGATGTAGCTTAAACTCAGAAGAAGTACATCTAACATGGCTAAACCTAATAAGCCTAAGAGAGATTTACGACATGCGAAAAGGGACAAGGAAGAGGCTGAACTCAAAAAGTTGGAGGTGGCAATTCAGGAGTATGATCCGATAGTAGATGAGAAAAATGCATCTCGCTTCAGTGATCTTCCAATAACAAGTCAGACAATCAGAGGTCTCAAGGAGGCAGGCTTTATATCTATGACTGATATTCAGAAAAAGTCTATCCCAATTTCTTTAAAGGGCGAGGATGTCATGGGAATGGCACGAACGGGATCTGGAAAAACTTTAGCCTTCTTAATTCCAGTCATTGAGTCCTTAATTAGAAATAAAATTACTGAATATGATGGATTAGCTGCTCTAATAATATCGCCCACCAGAGAATTAGCAGTCCAAATTTTTGAAGTTTTGACCAAAATTGGGAAATATAACACATTTTCTGCTGGTCTAGTAACAGGTGGTAAAGATGTGAAATTTGAGAAAGAGAGGATATCGAAAATGAGTATTTTAATCGGAACGCCAGGGAGGATTTCTCAACATTTGAACGAATCAGTAGGGATTGAAACTTCGAACTTGCAGCTACTTGTCTTAGATGAAGCCGACAGATGCTTAGATATGGGTTTCAAGAAGTCTATTGATAGTATCTTGGGTCACTTACCTCCAACTAGACAAACACTACTTTTTTCTGCAACACAATCAGAGAGTGTAAAAGATTTAGCTAGATTATCTTTAACAAACCCTAAAAGAATCGGTATCTCATCTGATACTGTTCTCTCCTCAACACCAGAGTCGTTAAATCAGTACTATATTCGAATTCCGCTAGATGAAAAATTAGACGTTTTATGGTCTTTTATCAAGTCACACTTAAAAAGCAAAATTTTGGTGTTTTTTTCATCTTCTAAGCAAGTACAGTATGTCTATGAAACCTTCAGGACATTGCAACCAGGTATTTCATTGATGAAACTTTATGGCAGACATCGTCAAAGCACCCGTTTGGAGACGGTGTCTAAATTTTCTCGAGCACAGCAAGCATGCTTGTTTGCAACTGACATTGTAGCTAGAGGTTTAGACTTTCCCTCTATTGATTGGGTAGTCCAAGTAGACTGTCCTGAAGATGCAGCTACCTATGTTCATAGAGTTGGACGAGCAGCAAGGTTTGGTAAGAAGGGAGAATCTCTTTTGATGTTACTTCCCCTGGAAGAAGAGGGAATGCTAAAACAGCTTAATAGTCATAAAGTTGATATAAAACTAATGAACATTAAGCAAAAGAATAAAAAAACTATTAGACCTCAGCTACAATCTATTTGTTTTAAGGATCCCCAGGTAAAAAACTTGGGCCAACGAGCTTTCATCTCATATTTTCGATCTGTTTATATTCAAGGGGATAAATCTGTGTTCAATATTGAAGAATTACCAGCAGAAAGGTTTGCGGCATCTTTGGGATTACCAGGCGCTCCTAAAATCAAAATAAAAAATGGATTGGGCAACAAAGAAAAGAAAAATGCTTCTCGTCAGTTCTTGGCACTTTCCAATGGAGCCAATCTGGATATCATCGACGACCAGAAAAAGGTGAGAACAAAATATGATCGAATGTTTGAGCGAAAGAGTCAAACCATTTTGTCAGAAAATTATTTAAGTCTCATTAAAGACCAACCAAAAGAGGATGAACAGGACGATGATGATGATTTCATGAACGTCAAGCGTAAAGATCATAATTTAAATGAAATTGAATTGCCAGACATGAATATCCCTGTTTCTAAAAGACAAGGCAAAAGAGCCTTGTCTAAAAAATTGTCTCTCAAGTCTAAAGGAAATCCTACTAAAATGATATTTGACGATGATGGTAAGGCTCATCTGATTTATGAGCTCGAGGATGAAGAAGAATTCGTTCTTCAGGGAGATGCAAGATCGCAGAAAGATGCATACGTTGCAAAAGAAAGCGCATTAATGAATAATGCAGATATTCAGGATAAGATGACAGCATCAGAGAAAAAGAAGGAAAAGAAAAGAAGACAGAAAGAGAGGGAAAGAAAAGAAGAAGAGGATTTTATATCTGAGGACTCAGAAAGCGATCGTGTCGACCTTGAACGTGATATGTATCATCTGGAAGGAGAGGAGACACTTCCGAAGAAAAAGAAGCCCAAGTGGTTTGAAGGAAATGAAATACTTGAGGGAAATAAAGGGAATATTGTGGATGTTGAAGAACCACAGACATTGGAAGACTTAGAAGCCCTTACAGCTCAATTAATTGAGCGCTAATTATAACAATTCAAATGTGGCTACAAAGTTAATACAATTTTGCATGGTAACCACTTTATATGTTTTATATCTATTTATAAGATGATAAAAGGTTTAGTAGAGTAAGAATCAAGTCTATAATTAATTCCGGTCAAAAATAGACGGCGTACAAATGATCTTTTCGTCAATGGTTCCTAAGCGATGAAGATTTCCGCATATCAGGGAACCAGTATCATCACAAACTTGATAATTATTTTGACTACTTTCTTCATTCTCCATGTCTAAAACCACAACCTCTTGTAAGAAGTTCGAAGGTATGCCACTCAGAGGATTAAGCTCGATATCATTACCCAAATTAATTGTAATTTTACCTGATTGGTGGATATTCATATGACCAATTTCACCACAGGAGCTATGTAATTCCGAAGTCAACTTGCTAGGCAAACTAAGACCCTCATTAGCATTCTCTGTCTTGACCAAGCCAGGGTTTATACTATCCTCTTGTTCATATTGTGGAAGAATAGCGGGTAGATAAAGCATAATGAAGCTATCGTTACTCTCATCATTGCTTTCAGGTGACAATACGTCCAACTTTTCCGTCAATACATCCAACAAATATTCTTGATCCCCAAGTACTTTGTCGTGCTCCTTCTGATTTAATATATCTACCGGTTCAGATATTTTACTTTCTAGACTAGCCTTCAATTCTTTTATATGCTCTAACCTCTCTTCCAAAAGCTCACCTTTTGAAGGTGATTCCAGTTTACTACTATCATCTTTTCTCGACGGGTCTGGTTCGTCTGATCTGGTGATTTCAGGTACGGAAATACTCTTTTCTTCATCTCGGTGGGGCCTGACGGGAAAAAGCTCGAATTCAATACCCTCAACTTCATATGCCCTATTCATGTTTATTTTAGTATCATCATCTTCTTCCGAGTCAGGTTGGTTTTCAACTCTTTCACTCAATAGAGGAGTATGATTAGAATTAGCATGACTTTGGAGAGCATCTAAGGAATTTTCACTGCTGTGAAGCTCACTCGTAGATTTTGGGGTCACAGATATCTTACTAGATGACTTCTCCAGTGTTTTAATATTGCTATTGCCTGACACAGTCCCAGCCGCTAAGGGCCCCGATGAAATTATTGTACTTCCATTATATGGATCTCTTGATGCGATTCGTCCTTTATGTGGACCTTTTTGTCTAAAAGAATGTCTATTTGAAGGTTCTTCCTTCTTGACTTGAATTGGTGCTGAACTATCTCTCTCTTCTTTAGATTTCCTGACAACAACCTTTGGCTTAAATTTTAAAGGGGCTTTCTGTCCAGCAGTTGACTTTTTAGAATTCAAAGAATCCAACCTATTCGTCATTTTTGAATTTTTGGTATAGATTGATTAACATTATTCAGATTCAAGTACATGTATCTCGCGATGAGTTACACAAAAAATTTCTGCGGCTCAATTTTTTTAGTAGCATAAAGATGAGAACCAGAATCAAATTTCATCTATATAGCTAACTAGAGAATATGGCTAGAAAGAATCCAAAGAAGGCTGTACCTCAAGAGGACTTTGGCTTGAATGAAGTCGATTCGCTTCATGCTAATCAAGATAAGATTTTGTTGAATGCAGCTGGTGAATATGGCTTAAGACATATGGAAAATGATTCTTCTGAGGAAGAAGTCTTGAACATTAAAGAAATGGATTTTGATGATAATTCAGACGAAGAAATAGCAAGTGAAGATAAAAGCTTAGTTGGGAGCGAGAAAGAAGCAGATGAAGATGAAGATGAAGAAGGGTGGGGTGCTAGACAAAATTACTATGGAGGGGAAGATGACAGCGACGATGAAGACATTAAGCAGATGACAGAAGAAGCTATTCGTCAACAAAAGAAGCATCTTCAAGAGTTGGCCTTGGATGACTATGTGGATGATGATCTTGTAGAGAAATGGCAGAAGACAGGAAATACTTACGATGAAAAAGCAAGTGCCCCACAGAAGATCTTTGAAATTAATAAGTCAAGTGGACTAGAGAATTTAGATGACAGTGAAAGACTAAATATTTTGAATTCGTGCTTCCCTGAATTTTCACCTTTGTTGGAGGAATTGAATGAACTTATGCCAATCTTAGAGAACTTGAAAAAGGGGGAAAAGAATCGCCTGTACAAAATTAAAAGCGATGCTTTGTCTGCATATTTAGGGGCAGTAACAGGATATTTTTCCATATTCGTTGAAAGACTCAATTCTGTTGAGAGTTTTACGTCGATGAAAGGTGAGCCTATAATGGAGGCAATACTTAGCTCTAGGGAAGTTTGGAGACAAGCGGAGGAATTATCCGAATCTCCCAGTAAAAATAAATTCGCATCAGAACATAATCAAGACATAGAGGAACATACTTACGAATTAAAGCAGACTTCTCTAAGTGATCTGAGCGAAAGTGAGCATGATTTGGAGGATTCTGATGGGGAGATTGGGGCTACTATAAAAAATAATGAGTTTAATATTGATATCAACTCTAAACGTGAACTCAAACGAAGAAATCAAACTGTTCCGGAAGACGACTATACCGAAGTTGCAGCTCCTGAAGATGTAGATATGGAAGAGAAGCAACGCAGAAAACGCACGTTGCGATTTTATACCTCAAAAATCGACCAAGCTGCTTCCAAAAATAAAGATCGCTATTCTGGAGACACAGATCTCCCTTACAGAGAAAGGTTATTTGAAAGACAACAAAAATTGATTGAAGATGCTAGAAAGAGGGGCTTAGGAGAGGATCCGGCTAGTAGAGGTCAGGATATTGATAGCTTGTCGGATAACTCTGACCATTTGTCTGAGGGTGATAGAAATAGTCAAAATACCTACGAGGCAATCAGAAAACAAAAAGATGAGAAGAAAAAATCTCGTCAAGATGCCCATGTAGCTGCAGCTAGGGCCCTCAAAGAAGGAAAGTTGGAAGAGTTAAGAGAGGTGGTGGGCGAAGATGGTAAGAGGGCAATTAATTACCAAATTCTCAAGAACAAAGGTCTTACGCCTCATAGGAAAAAGGAAAATAGAAATTCAAGGGTGAAAAAGAGAAATAAGTATGAAAAAGCTCAAAAGAAACTTAAATCTGTCAGACAGGTATATGATGCTAGCAAAAATGGTCCTTATGAAGGTGAAAAGACTGGTATTAAGAAAGGTTTGTCGAGATCCGTTAGATTGGTATAGCATTGATGGTGTAAAAAAATATACGTATATGTCACGTGATAAATTTATAAATAAGATATGTATCTTTGTAGTTTATTTCCTTAACTTTTAGCATCAATAATTAGGCAATGCTGAAGATAGAAGGGAGGACAGAAAGCTCCCCTTCTAATGATAAAGAAAAAAAGTATATCACAGTTGATGATTTATATCGCCAATCAAGTCAGTTTGAGATATGGTCGTTTATTCCAGAAACATTAGAGCAGACAAGAAGACAAGCTAATCAAAAGGGTACAAGAGCTGCTACAGCGAAATTAGAAGATACACTAGCAGCATTTGAAAGTGAAAATACGGACATCTATAGAACATTAAAAGATGAACTTACGCCTGAGAAGTTATTATCCGTAGTGAGTTACGATGAAGAGGTCAGATACTTGAGTTTTTATAGCAAAAACATCATTCCGACCGCCAATTTCTTCAAAATGCCAACACAAGTGAAAGCATCGGCAGTATCATTCTTTAAAAAATTTTACCTTGTAAATTCTGTGATGGAATATCATCCCAAGAATATAATGTACACTTGCGTCTTTCTAGCTGCCAAATCGGAGAATTATTTCATTTCGATAGATTCGTTCTGTAAAGCGTTGAAGAACACATCAGCAAAAGAGATTTTAGATCTTGAATTCATAATTTTACAAAGTCTAAAGTTCACTTTGTTAGTACACCATCCTTTTCGACCATTATATGGATTCTTTCTTGATTTTCAGGCGATTTTATTACATCCATTACCAGTGATGTATGATGTTTCAGTGGATAGTATTGGTGAATTGTATGACAAGTCAAAGCTGTGGCTAAATGATTATGCCTTGTTGAGCGACGTTGCATTCTTGTTCACTCCACCACAGATTGCGCTCGCAGCAATGTATAATGTAGATAGAAAAATTACGGAAAGCTATTTGAAGCACAAGTTTCTCAAGACTCTGCAAGCATCAAATGATGATTTGAAGAATTCTGGGACGACTGAAGTAGATACAGAGAATACCCAAACAACAAATGAAAATAAAAGTGAAAGTGAACAGCAAAGAAGGGACCATTACGAGCATTTGGTGAGAACGATACGGAAATGCATCAAATTAGCAAAGCAAATACCCGACACAACTCGCGAGGAAAGCAGAGAGATCGATAGGAAGTGTTTTTACGCTCTTAAACCAAAAATGCTCATTGAAAAAAAAATTAGGAAACTCTCTTCGGCAACTACATGACGTGATATACTGCGGTTATTGTATATACATTATTTATATTAATAAAAAGTATAGCATTAATGGTTTAGCGACTGAAAGCAATATCATCAATACGTAAAATCGATTTGACGCATTCAGAGGCCAAGGTAATCGCACTTGTGCTCACTAAAACAGGTTGTAAAACATGCTCGTCAAATGTATTCGAGGCACCAGATCTCCTCACAGAAATTCCAGCATTCTTTTCACCACTTTCATGTCTGTTTCTTAAATCGGTAACCACGTTTATAGGATTTAATCCTGCATTTTCAGCCAAAGTTGTTGGAATAACCTCCAATGCCTCTGCAAATTCTTGATAGACAAATTGCTCAACACCAGAAAGCTTATTAGCTTCCTTCATCAAAATTTTAGAAACTTCAATCTCTGGCGCACCTCCACCTGCAATTAAAGCTCTTTCCTTGACTAAGCATCTGATAACACAAAGCGCATCATGAATTGATCTTTCAGTCTCATCAAGGACCAATTGATTGGCACCTCTTATAATGACCGATACCGACGGCTTCACATTTTTACTAGATATTCCGGTAATTTGAACAATCTTAGAGCCAGAACTCTCAATTTCTTCAACTAGGTCGGCAGTTCCCAATCTATCCTCGGTGAAATTGTCAACATCGGCTATTGGCTTACAGCCAGTGGATTTAGCTAAAAATTCTACTTCGTCTCTTTCGATGTCTTTAATGACCATGATGTTAAGTTTGGACAAAAAGTGAAGCGCCAAATCATTAACTGCATCTCTCAAAATTGATTTCTGGATCAAAAGAACATTGCATTTGGCTTTTTTGATCTTTTTACAGATATTAAGTAAATATGCTCTCTCCTCTTTTAAGATCTTATCCATTTGCCTGTAATCACTAACAACAACATTATTTTCCATATCAGGTTTTGGAGGAGAGAGTTGAAACTGAATTAACCCAATTTTTGCTCTCTCCATTCTTATAGGTCCACCTGCATTTTTCACAACGTTCTGGGTTAAGACAACACCATTAACTAATTCAGTATCATCAATGGTACCACCTACCTTTTTAATTAACCTGATATCATTTAAATCCACATTTGTTGAACTCTCATTGGCAACTCTCAAAACAGAGTTAACCGCTAATGGAGCTAATAAAGAGGAATGCTGGGAAACAATTTTTGACGATAATGAAGTTGAAGCAGCCCTAACTAATGCCTCCTTATCACTCAAGTCAATTTTGTAAGACATATCTAATAGGATTTGAGTTGCTCTCTTAGCTGCTCTTTGGAAAGATTCCGCAATTAAAGCAGGATGTATGCCTTTATTTAACAACTTTTCTGCTGCCCCTAAAAACGAGCCAGTTAAAATGGCAACTGTCGTAGTTCCATCACCAGCTTCTATATCTTGAGCTGCACTAACATCAACTAGCATCCTAGCAGCAGGGTGCAACACCGCCATGTGCTTCAATATTGTGGCACCATCATTAGAAATAATGATTTCTCCAGTTTTAGTCTTGATCATTTTGTCCATACCTTTTGGACCTAGCGAAGTTCTGATAGCGTCTGATACTGCTCTAGCCGCTAATATATTACTCTTACGGACTTCTTGCGGTTTCTCCTTGTCCCTAAATGTTGCATTAGAAGGAGCTACCCTTCCACTTTGTGTTGGAGCCATTTGATTGATTGTTAACCGTTTCAAACTAAGCTTTATATGTCGAAAAAAAGCTATTATTGATTTCAAGGCTTTTTCACTGAGACGAAAAAAAAGGGCGGTCAGGTGATTATTTGATATTAAGGTGCAATGCAACGCTTTGTTAATGTATAAGAACTTTCTATAAAAGCAAATTACGAATTAAAAGATGTCATCCTACGCCGTTTTTGAGAAAATAGGATTGACTGGGAATGATGTTTTGTGCTGTTCCTACTCTAAATGGTCACCAATATTCAAAGACCATATTTTTGAATCTGTGAAGCTACAGCCCTTACCGAAAAGCTTTATCAAATACTTGTCCTCAGATAGTATCAGGCTAACCGACGACAAACATGCAGATGACATAAACCTAAATAGCGAAAATGATTATAGTGACTGGGAGGAAGACGAAGAGAATAATGAGGCAGTATCTTCTCCTGAGATTCAATTTCAAGAATTACACAATGATCTTATCGAATCAATTCGAAACCTAGGTGGCAAAGTCTTTCCCAAGTTAAATTGGTCTGCACCAAAAGATGCGGCTTGGATGTTGCCGAGTAAAAGTATGGAATGTAACACAGCTGATGATGTGTATCTTTTATTAAATGCGTCAGATCATATCGCCGATGACTTAGACCACGCGTTTGACGATTGTGAGGGTACCATTCCCAACTTTGAGTACGAATTAGTACTAAAGAAATGGGTCGACCTTAATCCAGCCTTGGAATTCAGGCTTTTTATCAAAGATAAGAAACTTGTAGGGATCAGTCAGCGAGATTTAAACTTTTACGAATTTTTGACCAAGTTAGAACCTATGTTAAGGTCAAGATTATCAAAATTTTGGGAAGAGATTGTAGTGCCGTCAAGATTTGGGGTTATTTCATATATCATGGACGTATATATACCCAGTCCTTACACAGAAGTTTACATTATAGATATTAATCCTCTCTCCAGAAAATCAGACCCATTACTTTTCACCTGGAATGAGATCTTGACAGCAGATAATGAAACGTTTGACTTTCGTCTTGTAACTGAGAACAATGTACATAGATTCTCCAGAAAGGAGTATTCTGAATCTCAGGTTCCCCTTGACATGATTGATGCAGCCGTAAATAACAACTCCATGGTTGAGTTGGCCCGTGAATGGACTAATGCTCAAAAACGCCAGCCGAAATAGTGAGAAGATGTTATTCTCAAAATAGTATACCTCTTAACAGCTTTCGAAGAACACTTTTCCCAATTATAGAATAATATTGTTTACATTTATGATTTACAACCACATCAGTGGCTAGAACTTTTAAGTCGCAGTCTAGAGATGAGTCTTCTATATATAGACCTGGAAGTCCTAGGCATCTGTGGGGGTTGGCCAGTCGCACGTATCAGTACGGCCAAAATAGCGCAAATTTGCTAGGTGGTGCGTGAAACTATTACGGATGAAATTTAGAGCCTGTTGAGTCTGAATCTGCTTTGGAAAATACCTTTTCCAATTACTTTTTCTTTTATATTTAGATACGATTACAAGATTCAAAGGTTGAAGCAAGTATTTATCATACGCCAAATCACCTACCAATAATAGTTGAAGTGATTAAAAGCTATGGTGGAGAGCTTTACGTTGACCAAGGAAAATGTAAGTAGGAAGCAATAGATCAGGCGTTTAGGTTCTTGATCCATGCCATAAACAATTTAGAGAACTAACGATCTTCATAGATATTTCTTCCGGAGTATAGAGGAAGGCTCTTAGAAGGCGTGACCTATAATCCGTCGAATGACACGCTTTTATGGGTGGACATCATCAACGCAGAAGTTCACCGGGTTCCTTTAGGAAATACAAGACGCCAATGTGCCCATCAAGTTTTGAAGATGAAGGAGCCCGGAGAGTCTATTGGAAATATAGGACTAACGAGTGATGACAATGTTTTGTTAGTTTGCGCTAAGTATGGTATTGCAAAGGGAAGCTTCACTGATGGAACCATAGAATATATATTGATGTATAACCATAATGAAGTGCAAAAAAATAGATTGAGGTCTAATGATGGCTTAATTGATCCCTGGGGACACCTTTGGATTGGTGTGATGTCTGATTTCCCAATTGTTCAGTTAGAGGGTCAAGAAGCACAGGAAGGAAAGCTATACAGAGTGAATTGTCATGATTTAACAATTGATGTCATGTTGGAAGACTGCTTTATACCTAATGGATTGGCTTTTTCGGCAGATAGGAAGAAGTTATACTTTACTGATTCCTTGACAAATGCTGTGTGGGAATATGATTATGACTACATTCCTAATAAGTTGTCTAATAAACGAGTTGTATTAAATTTTAAAGATTACTTGAATACTTCTGATGCTGTGCCAGATGGATTAGCAATATCAAAGAATGAGGATATATTCTCAGCTGTTTATAATGGATCTATGGTGTTGAAGTATACGACGACTGGAAGAATCTTACAAAAATTTAATTTACCGGCAGAAAGAATTACCTGCGTGACGATCGGGGGCAAAGATTACGATGAGCTTTACATCACAAGTGCAAATGAAAATCTGACCAATTTTGATATTGAAATTGACGCAAATGATAAGTCTGGAGATCTTGGTGGTTTTCTTTATAGAATTGCATTAGGAGAATCTTTGAATGGTCATATAATGAATACGTGGGGAGGTAAATTGAAAAAAAATATTCCTGTATAAGACCCGGGTTATTTATTTTAGGATGGATATTATTATATGAAACATCCGAAAAGGGGAAAATGTAGGGTGTAACGGTAGGTCGTAGAGGAAACCGTGAATCCAGACTAGCATCTGCACTATCATATTCTGAATCATTGCTACTGTTACCCTTTCACTGCATCAATGTAAGCAAGAATGCTATTTCACATTCTAAGCTTACAGAATAAGATGATTTATCTTCGCAAATTGCATTACATACCCGCCTTTATCTTTGCGCGGACAGACAATACTGTCGTCTCTCACTTCATGCATTTGTGTAATATATGTCTTCTAATTTAATAAAATTTTATTGCAATTTTTGTGCTACTTCAATAGCTATTTCATGATTCTATCATATTGTAATTTTATCGTCACTGTCATATAAGTAAAGAAATCTTTGAACAAATTCTTCTACTAGCTGGTTGGCCTCCAGCCCACCGGATCGCAAGTCACATAATTTCATGTTGGCAATCTCTTTCCTATTTTCAGAACTAGGCTCATTAGTTACGCTAATATCGTTGATTATTTTCATAAGGGTTAGTAAATGAAACTGTAACGAGTCATATTGTAACATGCGACGAAGTTCAGAGTCCAGAATTATACGCAGAAATTTTGACCCATCTTGCTGGGCGGCCGAATCATCTGAATTTGTTTGAGGGGCGTTACGATCAGGCTCCGTTTTTTTTTCTTTCTCATCTAGTAAATTCTCATGATTGTGTACAGCAACGTTCTTGAAGCAGTCTATAGAACAATACAAAATTTTACAGACGGGGCATTTATATTTGGCTTGTTGTGTCTTGCAAACTTCGCATTTTGAAAGCCTGTTTTTCATTGTGAACTCCAACCCTCTAGCGCAGCGCAGGATAAAGGGGTATCGATAGCCACTAAAAATAAATTAGATAGAGGTATCTAGATCGGCAATAATATATTATGAGGAAGCTTAATTGAAAAAAGAAAAAACCTGAAATAATAGCGTAACTTACAACATACTGACCTGCTTTGTGCACGCAAGAATAACTACGATTCAATTCTGAACACGACACGAAGCAAGCGCGCAGATTTTAGGGCCCTCGCGGATTCCTCCCTTTACGGAAATGTGTTCGCGCACTATCTTGTTTTTCTGTGAACTTAGGTGGTCTAGAAAACGTAAGGAGAGACAAGCCGCAGAATATCTGGAATTTACCTTTGGATTCACTGTACAGCTCTACACAATAGTGTGTTAAACCCGTTTATAAATGTTTATTGATGCTTTCATGTAGACTTCGTTGAAATGCAAAAGGAGGCGTATCGTTAAATTATAGAATGCAATTTTTGAATTAAATCATTCGGAAGAATGATCCCATCGTAACTTCAGTATGACAAATAGCTTTGACCAGAAAAGGTATTCGTGTAGCCGCTGTAGGTAGAGTGCGTGAAACTACCACTATGTCTATTGGGCTTTCTCTTCTTCAAAGGATTAGTAAACTGCATAGAATATGGAGTTGCCGGGGTTAACGGCGAGTAAGCTGGCATCGAATGTGAGGATGAAGGAATTACCGGTGAGGTTGTACAAGACAAAAGCGGTGTGCAGTAGTAGTTAAATTTAGGAACATTCAAGAATGTTGAAACTGCCGATACCAGCGCACCAGCCATAGTATAACACTCAGGTAATGAACAAGAGTTGCTGACTTGGCTTTTCAAATGTATGAAGACCTGGTCAGAAACACTAATCCTTCCGGCATATATTTTCATTATGTTCCAGAATTTATCATCGGTATCAATCAATGCAAAGGACAACTTGTAATCTAAAACATGCAAAAAATGAGACTCTAGCTGATTTAAAAGTTTGAGATCTAAAGTTATTGCTTCAACTACACCTGACTGCTGCGTTAAAATACCAATCCATGTTTTTAAAGTGTAACACAGATCATCTAAAGCTTTGTTGGACAAAATCAAAGAAACGATCACTAAGTAAGCAACAATTGAAATATCCTCTTTATCCAAACGATTTATGTAGTTTTCTTTGTACTTGTGTAAATAGTATAAGCTGATGACGAGATTTATTGTAGTTACTTGTGAAAAAGTTATAGCATGTTCAATATGCTGGCCATATTTCTTTCTGAACAATTCAAACTGCCTCTCTGACGTCGTAACTTGAGAAACAAGAGTCCAGGCATACTTCAAGTATACTTCTATAAGATTCCTGTCCACCATAGTGAACACTTATGTATCTAGACCATCTAACAAATTATGAATGAAACCATTAACATATATATATATATATATATATACATATATTATGGTGTAACTGAATGCGTATTAAAAAATTGCAGCAGCAGAAGCTACCATCATCAGCCAGCGAACGACAAGCGCTGCATTAGAATCTTAAAACGTAAATCACGATAAACTTCTCAATTAAGAAAATACTGCACGTTCATAACCTCCCCAAATGTAATAATTTCGATGCAACTACTTGGCTCCTTTGTACGACAAAATTGGAATCTTACATACGGACACTCCTAATTTTACATACAATAGAGATCAAAAAAGAGAGTACCTTCATCCTACGAAAAGAAAAAAGAAAAGAAAAGAAGTACAAGCAAAAGCAAAATATGAAAAAATTTCATTCTGGTGGGTGTGACAAGCCTGGAATGATCCTTTCTCGACCGTAAAAAAGCTTTTAGTGGAAGGCCAAGACTGCAAGTGGCTAAATCTGTAACCAAGCCCTTAGGAAAAAAGTGCTTTTGTAATTATAGAGGTTGCAGAACACTGTTCTTCAATGGCAATACTGTCACTTTTCGAACGAAATCTTCCACTATTCCATTCCATCTCCTGACTCTAGTACTACTACCATAATAAAGTAAATTCAATTATGTGGTTGAGCCCATCATCTATTCCCATATCGCAAAACCACTACGCACAGTGCTTATAATTAATCCCCCCGTTTAATTGTTTCTACCTCCTATTAAAATGCGTACAATAACTTGGACGTTACTGCAAGAACGTGTCCGTTTCACAGTTAACTCCAAGGGGAAAATGTAGTAGTGCATAAAGAAGTCGGAGCTAAGATGAGAGTCAAAAATTTTCTTTGCTGCGAAATAGCACTCGCACGCAGTCATGGCAACCAATATTTTTTCTATTGTACTATACTTTTGTATCTGGTTTCGAAAATCGTACGTCAGCTTCGTATGAGCCGACAGGCATATTCATGCACATCTTTTTAAAAAATAGTGCCCAGTACTGCAACCGTCCATACTGTATGCGTTAAACAGTCTTCTTTTACAATTTCCCGCAGATTGAATGACCAAAAGAGAACAGCTAAATGTTATTATACAGCACTGAAACGCAATCATGTGTCAGTTAGTTCGGGCTCTGAAATTTTTAGATTTACTATTGCTATCCCCCTTCATTTAGTACCTCCATAATTGATCAGCAATTACCCAGCCAACGTCTTTAGCAGTTTCAGTGTTTCAATATACATAATAATGTTGCCTTAAGGTAAAGTCTGTTACCTTGTGTGATGTACATGCAAGTGGCAACTTGCATGACAAGTATAGCCTATTCCATATGGTTCCCAAAGGAAGAGATGCCACGCGTCATATGATTTTATTTTCTTATTACATCATTCTTTTTTTCATGTCGTCCTTGCTTTGCATACCGACGGGTATTGAAATTTCCGACAGCCGTTCCGTGAGTACGTGTTAATTTTGGAGAATAGCAATATCAAGTGCGTTCCACTTTATTGCACTTTATATGCCACGTGATAATGCTTGCCTTACCTCTAATTTCCACACTTGTCAACCTTGACTTCCTCTTAAAGTAGTATATCACGCGAGGACTATTTACCACGTCGCTTATGTCGGCTCATCGCTTTAAAGTCGTTTTAGGAATGTTGCTTGCAAAACGGTCATGGCATTGATTGCTTCATGAAAATTCCAAGGCTCAGTCAGCTTAATCAAGCACATATATGTTGTCTACTTTTCTTTAATCTTCTTGAACTTCGAAGTTAGAGTAGGAGCCATTCTGTTGCTACTGCTGTGTAATAAGAAGAAATTGTGAAGGACACAAGCTAGTTTGAGAGGTAGAGATCATAGCATCGGATAGGTTGGAATTAATTATCAAGTATAAAGCATAATAGAATAGATTGATAAAATATGGCTTCTCCTCGTTTATTACGATTCAAGAAGATCCATTACTTTTGGATTCCAATCATAGCGCTAATTGTGTGGTGGGGCATGTTAATAGCAATGTTATCGTGTTGGTCACTCCAGGGACAGCCTATCTATGCTTTTATGGGAGGTGTTCATCAGGATCCGGTCTACATTTCAGACGTAGGCGCTACCAATCTCCAGCCATTATTCATCTCGTGTGCTGGTTTTCAAGCAATCTTCTTTGTTGGAACTCTTGTCATGGAGTACTATTTAAGAACACATAGGAAGTTACAGCCCTATGTTTCAAGAAGGCAACCTAAATTTGCTATTGCCAGTATAATATGTGCTACAATCGGACAACTTGGAATCATATTTGTTTCGATCTTTAATACCAATTCCTTTCATCAGGTTCATATATCAATGGTGGGAATATTCATTGCATTTTGCTTCTTTGCTTGTGTTTTCAATTTCGTTAATTCATTTTATTTTGGTAATTATCCCCAAAAATTAAGCCCTGATCACGAAAAGGTTATATTTGGCAAGCAGAGATGGGCTAATCTATATATGGTTTCATTTTGGCTCAAATGTTTTTGGTTAGCTGCGGCTTTTTCATTTGCAATTTGTTTTGGTACCTATATGAGAGACGGTGAAAACAGTAGGTCTGCCATTTTCGAATGGACAATATCGTTCTGGTATGGCGTACTCTTAGTAATGTGGGCAATAGATTTATTTCCAAGTGCAGTAAAGCATTATAGATCTCGGCACCCGGAGCTCTATCCCAATCAAGTATATGGCCTACATGATGAAAAGGTAGACCAAGGAACTATATCGGCATATGGGTCGCCTACTTATGTTCCTGACTACAATCAATCTTTTGGGAGTCAGAATCGACCAGTTCCAGTAAATGACCTCGAAGCACAAACACTGGCATCTTCCAGAACTCAACACAATAAAGCTCCTTTCACCACAAACAATCACCCTTCTGATCAGATAGACCCGAAGGCGGTTGAAATTAAAAATGACAGTTTTCATGAGTCACCAGTATCAGGAGGGAGTAATTACGTGGAAGCTCACCCACAATCTCATCACATTGTAGTATAAATATCATTTGTATTATTTGTCTTTTATCATTTCACGCATAGATCGTTGAACTGAACTAGACTCATTTACTCTGTATTGCTCTATTAATAGAAATTAGAAATGTCCGCTGAGAATTTAGTGTAGCTACTTGCGTAATGGACCTCGTTTTCTTTCTAATCAGAACAATTTACGAAGTTGATTAAATTTTTTTTTTCTGGGATACTCGGCCCGACTAGAGATGCATTTTAGTTCCTACGTCAATTTATAATCGTTTAGATTCATTACATTTATCAAGCGACAGAAATGACTAAAAACCCTCGTATTGGTAACCATTCATACCCTAATAAAAGCGACCGGTCGAGTACAATCATGGGGACGTCAACTGGAAACTTATCGTTTGCTTCTACCGAGTCAAATGAACGGGCGCCGAGCAATAACCCACACACTGCTCTTCCTTCAATTAATCAAAATAATCCGAGTCCATATCCTAACGCTTCTGGGTATTCTCAGAACTTGATGGGGGTGAATCCGTATAGTCCATATGGCAGCATGCAGTTGCAGTCTCAAATGAGTCAACTGACACCGCAGATGGTAGCATCAAACGATACGAATTCACAAGCTGCTTCCAAAGGTAGACTTAGAGTGAGTAAAGCATGCGACAGATGCCGGAATCAAAAGATAAAATGCCTGGGAACTATGCCATGTAATAGTTGTGTTCGGCATAAGAAGGAATGTAAATTCTCTTCTCAATTACAGTCGCATATTCAGGCTCAAGCTTTGAAGAATCAGAAACTAAATGATCCCAGTTTTGAGACATATGGCCTACCAATAGTCTCAAAAACCAATGATAAGTCTTATGTTGATTTCTTAGAAAACAGGGTTCAGTATTTGGAAAATTTGTTAGCTGATGACTCTAAGTCCGTTTTTAAAAGTATATCGAATACCAAGCAAGAAGATATGCCAGATGATGGAATATTATATGCACCAAGTTCAAAATGGAGGTATCTGAGAAGACATCAGAAATGCTTGGTTGTTGATCTATGCAAAAAGTTGTATGATTCTCTCACGGATGATCTGAAAAAAAGCGTTAGTATTCCCAGAAATCAATACTTTGGATGGAATATGTCAGGTACTACCTATGCTACAACAGATAACTTACCTGAGCATCCTATTTTTTCGTTGTCGGAAGATTCTATGTTTTATATTGACTTTTTTTTCAAAGAGATTAACCCTCTATTTGCAATTCTCCATGAAACGGTTTTCAGAGAGCAGATGGATGCTTACAACGCATTGGTTAATGAGGAACGAAAGCTCAGCTTAGATAATGAGGGCCATATGAAGGAGGTGGACTCGAAGACAAATCAAACAAGGTTGTTTACAGCGATGTTGTATTTAGTTTATGCGCTCTCTATCCGTTTCATCGAGTTTCAAAAGCAAGAAGGTCCTTCTTTAGATCAATTGAATGTTGAGAAGACATTGTTCAAATACAGTCATCAAGTTATTTCAATCTTAAGCTTTGAATGGGAGGCTTTCGAATTGGTCCAGAGCTGGCTCTTGATCACTCTTTATCTTCGCATAACTCATCGACAAAATTCCTCTTATCATGCATTGGGGCAAGCATTGACAATGACAAAGTCCATGGGATTGGGCCAAAACTATCATAGACTTAAAGTTGCTTCACCATATGAACAAAGCAAAGCTAAGCGAATATTTTGGTCAGTCTATACAATGGACCGAGTCCTTGGTCTTCAGTATGGACGATACTGTGGCTTGGGAGATGCGGATGTCACTCTCAAATTTCCTTCCATGAAGTACGACGAGGAGTCTGAAAAGGATGACTGGATAACATTACCAGCTTTTGCTATGATACATATAGCTAGAGTAGCAAACTTTGTGCACACTAGTGCCACAGATAATCCAATGTTGATAAAATATCAACAAATAAATCTTCAGTTGAGTGAATTGAAAGACTGGTTAGAAGTTAATGGTTTCAGTAATGAACAATTATACAATCCTAATCTGTCCGATGAAGTGAGCTCGGTAGTGAAGACTCAAGTAAGGTTACATTATTACGACTTGGTTAATTGTATACATGGGAAAGTTCTTCTAAATTTTATTGGTAGAAAAATTGCGAATCCAGGATTGAAAATATCGATGGTTTTAGATTCATGTCAAGGAATTGTTGATGTCTTAGAAAAAACAAAAGAGGCTGGTTTCTTGTATACCCCATGGTATTCTGTATTATTACTTCTTTTTAACGCCGGTGTCTATGCTATTACATTGATTAGTACTGGATTATTAAGAAATGGTGCCAAAGAAGTGTTTAAAAAAGTCATTGATTTGTTGAATGTAATTCAAAGTGCGGCGGTTATAAATTCTAAAGGAAGAGTTCTAATAAAAGAAAGATTTACCATGGCAAAAGAGTGTTCTTGGGCGCTAAAGATGGCTAATCACATGCTCTCTCTTAGGTTGCAAGAAGATGTACATGATTTGAACGAAATTGGTATCAACCATGGATCTGCTGATGTAAATAAGGAAGTCTTTAGTCAATTTGGTAAAGATGCAGACAAGCAAACGTCTGATGACTCTAAGGATCAGTTCTCGGAGGTGTTTAACAGGAAGGTTCACAAAAGCATTAAAGGGAAAGGCTTCGATAAGGTACCAGATGACACAAGTAATACACCATCCACGGGTGACGAGCTCCCTAATCTATTACATGATAATGACTTATTTGCAAACTTGCAATGGTTTGATCAATGGCTTGACTTTGGATATGACATCTAGTCAGTAATTTGCGATTGCAACGTTAAGCATTAGTCCTGTATATACATTTGTGCAACTCTAGCATCTCATCCCATCATTTCATCGTCAAAACTCTAATTGAGAACATTTTCTTTTATTATATGCACTACATGATAGAAAAAACACGAAGGTCTGGACTCACAGACCAGCGACTTGTTTTCATCTTGCGGTCTCGTAAACTGAAAAGCTACATAAACATCGATTTAAATTAAATTTTTGCCCATATGCTAAGATTAAGATGAAAGACTCCGATCACTCCAGGGATTTGGGGTCATCGTACTTCTTAAAAGTTTGCTCCAGCAGTTTCCATCGTAGGCGGGATGCGCTAAGTGGCCGAATCAGCCAAAACCACTGCTGCTGAGGCCGACCTACTATTTCATACTGCATATTATGGTAAGTGGCCGCACACCGCAATTTACTGCGACACTGACCCCGGACTCCTGACCTACTCTCACCAATCTGTGCTGCTGGGAATGATTGTTCGTCACGAAGAGGTCGATATTAAACAAGTTATCCATCATCCGATGGATCCCTCTCTAAGCTTAACGGTTTTAAGCTTCTAGAAATTTTGCCTTTCCTTTTCGTAGTCAGTCGTTAAGGTTCGGCTCCCTATTAGCACTGTTCCCGCCACTTACTGAAGCAGTACAAGTTTTACCGGTTTTTCTTTTTTTCTTTTTTCTTTTTTTTTATACACACTACCAACCACCAGAAAATTTTGTTCACCACTTTTTCTCACAGTTTATTAACACAGGCTTATTCCCTTTTCCTATTTCCTGGCTCATCCTTCAGATCTGAAATAAAATTTGCAAATACAACTGGTTATATTAGCTTATAATTGGTACATTTTATTTCATTTGCAAAGCCTCAAATTAAAAGAACTATTCTAGTTCTGAGGTAAAAATTGAAACAGGAAATTTGCCCTTGCTACTTCTCAATCAGCACTAAAAGGGTATTATAATCTGGCGTTTAGCTTGCAAAGGGAAGGAAGAACTCTTTAAAATTTTGTTCCATCTTGCTGCTGGAGAGTTAAGTACGCTAGTGACTGCCTAAGGAACTCTACGGAGACTTATTCAAATAGGACAATAGCTGAAGAAACTATCAGTTTGAAGATAGGAAACGTCTTGACTATTTCACTTCATATCGAGGAACGAGCTTTTCACTAAGTTTTCGTTACATTATTTATTAGTTTAGACTGGTATTTTGTCTGATTAAATGAATCTGTCTCAAAGTTACTATCGTCAAAGCTTGGGTACTGCGGGCCATAGGGTTCCCTCGTCATATAGCTATATGCCACAGTATACTCCTAATTCTTATTATCAGCATGGACCTTCGGTGTCCATGTATTCGGGTGTTCAGTTACCTCAAATGCCACAGGTTCCTTATGCTCCTCACTCACAACCTAAAACAATGTCAAGGCCCAATCAATGTCAGGCTCAAGTTGGGGGTATCAATCCAATATCTGACTATGACTTGAATAACATGTCAACTTTTCTAAGTTGGTGCAGTTTCGGTATGTTGAAGCAAAATAGAAACCCTTCCAAGGAGTTTGAAAACTTGGTTTTATCGGTATTATATGCGACTAGGTTACCTAAATCGACCATTGTTATTGCCTTGGAATACATGAATCAAAGGTTTTCAAACAAAAACTTCAATTTTTTGTCAGAGTCGGATATCTTTTTAAAACTTACTATCGCCTTGATTTTAGGGAATAAATTCAATGACGATAATACCTTTACTAACAAATCGTGGAGTGGGGCTACAGGTTTGTCGTGCACTTTATTAAATACAGAAGAAATGGAATGGTTGAAAGACATCAAGTGGCAGCTAAATGTAGTTAATTTTGAAGAGAATATAAAAACATTAGAAGAATGTTGGAAAACGTGGCTTAAGAAGTACAGCCACAGGATAGTGCCTTTGACTCCAAACCTGCAACTCAGTGATCCTTTCAACTACCCATATTCAAGCATCCCCTCTTCCCCATCCTATGTCGAGCATAGATCATCACCATTATCATCATCCCCCGTCAAATACTCACGAGACACGATATGGTCTCAGAATCATTCTAATCACAACGACTTTTGGACATATACGCCAAACTATCAATATGTTCCTAATCAAGGCATTTTTGCTTCTGATCCTGCCGTTCAATATATTGGTTCTGCCAATAACTTTGTTGGATACACTAATCCGTATTATGGTTTTAATATGGCTTCCTGTTGAAATCAGGGAAGTACAAACATATGGTTTTTGTTCTGTTGTACTTGAAAAACTAAAAAAATAGGATCGTTTTAAAATAAAAGTATTTGGAAATTTATATAATATATTATCAGCCAAATTCTAGTTGTCGGAGAAGTTGCTCCATTCATAAACTCTTCTTCTGTGAGTCAATAATTCGTTCTTTTTATAGACAAACTGACTTTGAATGTATTTTCCTTACAGTAATAACTACAACTTTAATACTCGAATAAGTTATGTAAATTCCTTAATCAAATTGAGCTAAATGAAACTAGTTTATGAAGTAGCTGGGGGGTCTTCAAACTCATTATCTTCATCTTCTTCCTTAATGCCACCTTCCTCTTCTCGAAGTTTTTCGGCAGCCTTTTGAAAGTCTATGACCCTTCCTCTAGTTCTCCTTCCACTTGTAATGATATTTGACGCATCAATTTCTGCCAAATCATCATCAAGATCGTCATCTAGACCAAGATTATCATCATCCTCATCGTCGTCTTCGTCTTCATCATCTGACTTAGATTCTTTTGGCAAATCATCATATTGACGCCTTCTACGTTTGTGTTTTTTATGTTTATCCCCTTCACCGGACTCTTTTGACCTCTTATTTCCCGAAAGATCCTTCCCTTCAGTTTGAGCTTCGTTTTTGTTATCAATCTCAATGTCACCATTCTTCACGTCTTGTGACTCTAATGATTGTGCCTCACTTGTTTCATTTTCTGCCTTTTTGTTCTCTGTTGGTTCCTTTTCGATTTCGTTGATTAACTGTTCCTTACTATCTGACATGTTGCTTCCGTTTACCTATTGCATTCACGAGGGTAGCCTATGATATTTTTAAAGTCTATTTGACATTTTGAATAATACACGACCAATAATCCAGAATCTTCATTTTTGAAGCTGTCGCCAGAACAATATTGGTTTAAAAGACTGACTTTTTCCAGGAAAACGGTAAGATGGTGAGTATCTGATACAACTACGTAGTATTTCACTGACTTAAAACTAACTAACTCATATTTAGTCTTCATCTAACATATCTGTATCCAAGAAAACAAAAATGTCCGATTTAATAAGTTATAGAATGAAAGTCACAACCAAGGATAACAGGAACTTCGTTGGATCTTTATTGGCATTCGACAAACACTACAATTTAGTTTTATCTGACACTGAGGAACTAAGAATTACAAAGAAAACGTATCAAGAATTGAAAAGAAATGTGGGTGAAACTTCTAAGCTAATACTTGAAGAAAAGAGATCATTGGGCCTAATAATATTACGAGGTGATCAAATCGTTACTTTGAACATAGAAAGTCCACCCCCTCTTGATGCTACCAAGAGGATAAAATTGGAGAAAGGTAAAGGTGTTTCAAAACCTATGAGAACACCTGTTAGTGTCAAAGCAAGAACAAATCAATTACAAGGACCAGCCAAAGGCAATTTGGGATTTAGGCGTCAATAGGTCTTTATTCTTCAAGAATCTATTGTATATTTTTAACTCATCATAAATATAATTCAACATAAACGCTTCCAAAATATTGAATCAATCTGGATTACTTAAAAATTTACTTCATACCTTCAGAGAAGAAATCATACATCACTATTTAAATCCTAGGTCTTATATTAATGAGCAGAGACAATGCTAACAGCAGTTAGAATTTGATTTACTTTTCTTCTCTTGTGGAGCTGGAGTTAAGGAAATAGTGGGGCCACCAGATGGCTTATTGGCAGATGAGCCCTCATTCGTATCTAACTGGTGCTTGCTAATCATTTCGTAAATACTTTTTAAAAGTTGGTGAAATGAAAGATCTACGTTATCAGAAGATAACGCAGATGCTTCTGTAAATAACAAGTTATTTTCGTTGGCAAAATTCTTGGCTTCATCAGTTGGTACAGCTCTTAAGTGGTCTAAATCTGACTTATTACCTACCAACTCAATGACTATGTTAGCGTCTGCATGCTCCTTTAGTTCCTTTAACCATCTTGAAACGGACTCATAAGACTCTGTTTTGGAAATATCGTACACAATTAACGCACCAACAGCCCCTCTGTAATACGCACTTGTAATGGCACGATATCTTTCCTGACCGGCAGTATCCCAAATCTGGGCTTTTACTCTCTTTCCATCAATTTCAAGAGTCCTTGTAGCAAACTCGACACCAATAGTTGAGCGAGATTCTAAGTTAAATTCATCTCTCGTGAAACGCGACAACAAGTTAGACTTACCAACACCGGAATCTCCAATCAAAACGATTTTATACAAGTATTCGTAGTCATAAGAATAATCATCTGTATTTTCAGACATCCTTTACTCAATCTATGTAACAATAACAGATCTATTATTCTCTCCCCTAAGGTTTATATTAGTGATACTTAATCGAAAGCGAGTTGTTCCCTAAATATTAGTTGAGTAAATCTTGAGCTTGATATAATTATTCTAAATTCTTCGCTATATTCGACAAAGGAATAATTCTATTTGCAATAATTAACTACTCTCTATCGTGTCAGCTTGATCAGAAGTGTTCAACTTTCTCAAAAACCTGCTGTAAGAAAATCGTACAAAGAACTTTGGGAGCATATGCACTACCTATACTCATATTCACTTCTCTCGCGTCTTTCTTACATCCTAGTAATAAACAACGTACAAATACACTATGGAAAGAGGATTAATCTCTAAACTCTCTATCTGCTCTGGCAGCTTTCTTCTCCATTTCATCCCAATCCTCACCTTCTTCCAGTTCATCGAAGCTGTCACTTCCCCCTGAGGCATCTGACGAGTAATCATCCTCGCTTCCTGCCTCGCTGGCCACATCTTCATCACTGGGGTTTTCATCACTTACTTCGAATTCTGATTCTTCATCTTCTTCATCTTCTTCTGATGACTCTCCGTCTCCTGTTAAAAAGTTCCAACCACCATCAGCAAAGAACTGATAAGGATCAGACTGAACTGTTTTCATAATCTTTGCCCAATTTAAGTTCATTTGACCCTCACTGATCGGTATATCAACGTCAGTGAGCCATGACTTAACATCGTCCAATACTTCAATTGGAATAGTATTTATATGAACAACAGGCTTCGAAAAGTCTTTGAAAACTATGACTAGATCGAAATTTTTTAAGCCAAATTGAACTCTCTCTAAGTGAACAATTTCAATTTCTTCCAACGTAACCACAAGATACGGAGGATCAATTAGTTGAACTAAACAGTCACGCGTAGGCATACAGAAAACTGATGATCTAAAAGGAACACCTTGAAATCCTAACTCCCTGAATGGGACATCTAAATCGACCATTCCATTAGACGAATCCGCAATAAGCTCTGCAAAAGTCTTGAACTCTTTATCTAATAAGGCTTTTCTACGCCTTTCTTCTTGTTCTTGTTGTAGCTCATCTTCATCCCCATACCTATATCTTCTTTTTCTTCCTCCTGTTTCGTCAAAAGCCATGTCATTTGCCTCTCTGTAAAATTGAACGTCTTGAGTTTTCCTCTTACCAATTATTATTGGATTCTTCAAGTGACAATGAATAAGAACAATTAATTCATCCTTACACGGTTGAAAAAATAGATGCTTGATATTTGAAAACAACACATCGACTTTGTGGTCTGACTTGAAGGACGATAAATATCTCAATCCATTTTCATGAATCTGTAATACACCGCCAATTTTTTTAGAATCCGGCTGCGGTCTAATAAAAACCTGGTCTAGGCGCTTGACCCTAGAGCCCTTCAATTCAATCAAGTTGGCTTGTGAAACTACGTCTTCCATTTGTTTCTTTTCCAGTTCTCTTTTAACTGCATCTTTTTTAAGATCCTGAATAGCTTTTAAAACATCGATCATTCTCTGTCTATCCCTTGACCTAAGTGTGATGGATCTCAAAAATGAATAATCTGCCGAGTCCTCATAAGGTAATTCAGTTTTTCTTGAAGTATTTCCACCTGCTCCTGGGGAGTTAAAGTTTAATCTTAAATAAGTGAAATCGCCTTCTTCATTTTGAGAACCATTTTTAAATGAGTTGATATGGAAAGGAACAGGTCGTCCACAAACTGGTAAAATAATTGTCTGGTTTTTATAATCTATATGAATCTTTAAATCTCCCACACTCTTTGGAATTTGCGATTCCCTAATATATGATTCATATTTCTTGAAAACAGGCTTAAATTCAGAAGAATCAGTGGCATCGGCTTTAGAAAATCTAGTCAACCCTTCCTGCTGTCTCTTGTCGTGTAATTTTTGTTGAATCTCTTGGCGAACTTTTTCTGCACTTGCATTATCATCTGCCACAGTAGATTCTTGTCTCAACTTAGACTTTAAGACTTTAGAGTTGGTGTCACTTATTGCTTTCTTTTTGTTAGAGTCTTCTGATTTTATTTTTTTGTCAGTTTCTGGGCTCTCATCATAAAAAGAAACTTCTGTTCTACTCTTAGGATACGTAGTTAGTAAAATAGGGTCAGATTCACCAACTTTGAATGTATCCGATAAGAATAATGCATAGTTTTTTAACTTAGGATCTTTAGCAGCTTCATTATTCAAATTATTAAACCCAATTGTAAGGCAAACAATATGTCCATTCTGTAAGGTTCTTTCATTCTTAGAATTCAATACGAAAGACGAATCTCTAAATTCTATTCCAGTGATCCATCCACAGTTTTTCGTAAAATGAGATGCTAATTGAGGCTTCTTGTCCTTTATGAATTCCAAAGCCCCATTGTAAACTTCCTGTCCTTTCTTTCCATCCTTCAAAAAGTTCGAGGAAATATGACTCTGGAGTTCTAGCAAAAAGTCGTAATTTTCTTCTAATTCCTTGGTCGGATTTATCATAAACGTTCTGCCAATATTTGAACAGTATGATTTATAACGTAAACCAAGGGATGCCACAATGATGCCATCTCCAACCAACTGCGCATCAGTGGAAAGTGCACTGGGTTTCAAATCATATTGACCGCCACTTTGTATAATCGGAGAATAACACCATTCAACTAAATCTTGATCAAACTCTCTTAATGATTGGAGTAGCTTCTTACCTAAACCTGATTTAGTAAACCACTTATTGCTATCGATCTTATCCTCCACTTTATCAGCAATTGCCGAATTTGAAATTTTTTTCTCTTCATCTACTACCAGCATAATTTCATCAGAACAGTTATCCATCATAACAACCGAGCACTTCGCTGCAATTTTTGTAAGTGAGAATTCCTCCAGATCTTTTAATTCCATGGACTTTGATAATAATAGGGAGCAATCAGTAAAATGCAATGACTTTTCAGCAGACACCTCCTTCCATTCTTCTATAAATTTGCCTTTATATTGGTCCTTCAAAATGGTACCAATCGGCTTCTCTTCTGAGCTTATCAGGCTCAATTGATCGATTAACTCGTTAAAAAGTCCCTTATTGTGCTCAACATCTTTTGTTCTCTTCCAAATTTCAACCTCGCTGGAATTCGCAGTTGGCTTATTGCTCAAATGCTTCAAGTGTTTAGCTTTACCTTCTGAGGTGATAAATATACACTTGTCCTCTGTGATATATAAAGCTGTATGAACGAACTCGTACCCCAAAAGCCATGTTTGCAAAACTGTCGATTTCTTGTACGTATTTTCGTCATCTCTAGCTCCAACTAAAAAGAGGAGGCAAGACTTTTGATCTTGGGTGAGGTTCCTTTGAACGATAGATAATCTTTTATGGAAAGTAGTCGCATCAATATTAACCTCCGTCATGGCAACAATAATTGATGTATTGATATATATTAACCTTTTAGGGTACTTTCGAAGATCTTGCTTTCTGGTCGATATCTTATTTCTGGTCAGATTGTAATTTTACATGAATAGTGACAAAGTGACAACAATTTGTTACACAAAAAATCAGGTTTTGTACGCGATGCCTGTAAACTTCAAACGCGTTTATTATAGCTTTGTTTTTTGAGAGTAGTACTCGAAATAATACTTTTTTACTTACTAAGACACAACTAATATGTATAGACAGACCAAGAGAAGAACAGCTGGTCGAAGAAACTTCGAGCAATCGAGGGCCGCTGCAGTCTATCAGTCTGCTAAATTGACGCTGATGTATTCTTCTAGACTCTCGTTTTATGATATACCTCCCTTGAACGAGATTACATTGGAACAATTTGAAATATGGGCTATAGATCGACTCAAGATCCTTATCGAAATTGAATCGTGTATTGCAAGGTCAAAATCAATTAAAGAAATCGAAGCAGTTATTAAACCTATGCTTTTAAAGTACCTACCGTTAAGCCCAAATTCGAATCAAAACGATACGTTGATCGAGGAGGAGAGGATTAAAGACCATTACTCTCATTACATATTGAGATTGGTCTTTTGCCGTACTGATGATTTACGGAAAAAGTTCATAAAAAATGAAACTATCCTTTTCAAGGTTAGATATCATTTGTTGCAGCCAAAGGAACAACAGCAATTTGTAATGATCAATAGCGATAAGTTGGTATGGAACTATATCACGTCGGAGGAAAAAAACGATTTATTTGAAAACTTATATGCTGCAACTGGAACTACAATCAAAAACACATTGTTAATTGATTCAGCAGATTCAAACTTCACTATTTCAAATGACCAATTACGTCAACATATCAAAACTAAAGAAAATTTTATCAAATTGCCTTTTGAAAAAGTTCCGAATTTAGTTAGTTCGAGGCAAGTCTATTTGAAAAATGGAATGGCTTACATCCCGTCTTCATTGCAACTAAGTTTACTTGCTCTAGAATTTCAAGAGGGTCTTTCACAAAGTTTATTGAGAACATTACAATCATTACCTAGGTTGGAGGAAGATGACAGACTTTTACCTTTATTAAACAACTTGTCAAATAACTTTTCGAATATCCAGTATGAGTCAGCGTTTGGAACGGATCCATCATTAGCCTCTGATATCAATGCCATTTCTATAACTCAATCTTCAATTACAAAGCATTATCCATTATGTGGATCGCATTTGCAGAAGAATTTAATATTAAATTCACATTTGAAATATCAAGGGAGGCAACAATTGGGCTTATTTTTAAAAGGAATTGGTCTCAGTGTTGACGAAGCATTGAAATTTTGGGCATACCAATTCACAAAAGGTGCTGGTGCAATGGGTATAGAGAAATTCAATAAGGAATACAAATACAATATCAGACATACGTATGGGTTGGAAGGAGCTAGAATCAATTATAAACCGTGGGATTGTGCGACTATTCTCTCTAAACCGAAACCAGGAAAAGGCGAATATCATGGATGCCCCTATCGTGATTTATCCTTAGATGCTTTGATTAACAATCTAGGTGAAATGGGAATTACTGATCAACAGGATATTAATGGAGTAATAGATGACGTCAGTAGGAATGATTACACGGTTGCGTGCACCAGAGTTTTTGAACTCACTCATAAAAATCAATTAGAGAAGTTAAAAAGCAACAAAGGGTCTAATGAAGGTATGCATATCAATCACCCAAACCTTTATTTCGATCGATCAAGGCAATTAGAGAAGCTGGAAGCCAAAGCATCGGATAATTCTAGCATTTCAACTAAATAATCGTTTTTAGTGGTGTAGAGTTATCTAACTAGTTATCTATCTAGTTGTCTATCTAGTTGTCTATCTAGTTGTCTATCTAGTTGTCTATCTAGTTGTCTATCTAGTTGTCTATCTAGTTGTCTAACAGTCATAATAAATAATTTTTGGTACATTCAAAGTGATTTAGAAATTACTTCAAGTCTAGCGAAAGCCACAAATTTTTGAAGTTGAACCAAGATGCACCACTACCACAAAGGCCCACCCAAAATGGACTTAGGCACCCTTCGTACAATGACCAATGTACGACTAACGGAATTTGTATTAGTTGCGAAAACAAACTTATTCTCCAATCTTTGTTCCACTTATTCATTGGAGTACGTCTTAAAAGCTCGATTATCTCAATAACTAGATAAAGGCCCCACACTCTACAGCACCATATGTATGTTTCAACACACCAATAAGTATTATCATTTGTACCAACCCAATTGTGATCCGTGAGCCATCCAGCATTTTCGAGGAGTTCTAGAATCAAACAGTTCAAGGACTGTAAAAGGTTGATGATTCTGTCAAGTTTTGAGACACTACTACTTGGATCTCGAAGAGCAGTCAATTCTGAAAGCACCCATGGAATGTATTTGATAGAATCAAATAACCTATTGAAAATTCTGATATCCGACAAATAGGTAGATATTTCCTTCAAGTGTACAGCTAAGTTAGATGTTTCACAAGCAGATGGAGCTGAACTTTGTGGGCGCTCTTGGAAAAATCCGGCAATCTTCTTGTTTGATGTGTCCTTTAACTGAACTCCAAATGTATGAAAAGCTACTTTGTTTATTAAATTTATTAATTTGCACTTTTGATTTAACAAAAATCTTTTTATTTTACCCTTGTTGCTCAAAATACTCGATACCAACAATGTAAAATAGCAAATGAAATACAAGTTCGTGTCTACCGTTGAGGTTTTAGTCAATACTTTATCAGTGACCTCTTCATAAAACTTTTTGCTAAGAATGGTTTTTCTCAAAGAGTTATTTAGCTTCAATAAAACGTTCAAGGGTATGTTTGCCCCATTTGACTTTCTCATCTCTCTACCAAGGGAGTTAATATATTGCACGTTCATTAGTTTAGTTGTTTAAAATCTGAAATTATAAATTTCCTCCCATTTTGTATGAGGATAATATACAGAATTGAGCATTAGCATTCAACAAAGGAAATAATATATTATCCCCACTACAATTAAATTAGTCCAGAAATTATTATGGTATATTATAGAATAATCCGACAAATAAATAAGCTCGAGAAGTGAAACGAAATTAATATATAGATAGTCACTTTCAACCAAGAGATGTTATCATTACTAGTTATTTATCGCGAGAACTGTTATTGATCGATGTTGCGTTAGATCTCAAAGCTTCCAATTTTTCACCTTCTTTGATGGCATAGTTTTCTCTAGCGTTCTGATCAGCTGAACCTACAGTTTCCAAAACAACCTCATTAATCTCTTCAATATCGTCACTCGCGACCGGTAAAAGGAAATTCAAAATAACACCGAGGAAGCCTGTGACTGCGAATCCTGTTTCCATGACCAAAACAATAGCATCAAAAAACCCTTGTAAAGCATGGTTGTCACCTGTATATGTAAAAACATAATCGAACCAGGTTGGGACTAAAACAGCACCAAAACCTGGCAACAATGAGGCAGTCAATAAGAACCTATCTCTTCTTGTTAACTCAGTGATAGATATAATCTTGATACCAGAGACTGCTACTGAAGTGAACAAAAAGGAGGTCATACCTCCTAACACACAACTAGGAATGGATTGAATGGCTGCGGCAAACTTAGAGAAAATGCCCATAATAAGTAAAACAAATGCACACCAATAGCCTACTCTTCTATTGGCACACTTTGTGATTGAAATGACACCATTATTTTGAGCGAAGGTAGACATTGGAGTAATAGTCATCAATCCCGAGACTAAACCGTTCAAACCATCAGCTAATATACCTCCTTGGATTCTAGACTCGTATAATTTTCCTTCGACTTCTAACCTCGAAACATCAGAAGTTGCCGTAATATCACCAATTGCTTCCATCATCAAAACAATAAAAGACGCCAAAAAAGGAAGAACCGAGGGACCGTAAACTCTAAGCTTAAAAGTATGGACCCAGATAAATGAGGCAGGCTTTGCGGCATTCACTTGATCAGGACTAAAGTAACCACAAGCAGATGCAACTATACATCCAATTAAAAGACCAAAAATAACCGCACATGACTTTAAGATTGGAGGGCCCCACTTCTCAGCAATTATAATGCTGACATATACAAGAAAACCTAATCCCACAAATGAGGCTGAACCCCATGGAAGTTGATGAGCGTCACCACAAAGTTCTCCTATACATCCAGAACCACCGGCCCAGTCTTCGAATCCACTTTGGATCAAACTAACACCGATCAATAAAACGACAGGGCCCGTCACTATAGGCGGAAAAGCTCTCTGTAAAACCTTTGGAGGCAAGAATGAAAGCGCTATTTCAATTAAAGAACAGACTATAGCAGTTCCTAAAATGTAACCATATCCATCAGGACAAGGCAACGAAGTCTTTCCATCCATTTTACAAATTCCAGTTTTATACATCATTGGAAATGCCTTAGTCACAATGGTAATCGTAGCAAAAGATGTACCCACAACCGACAATAAACCTGTTCCAATATAATAAGGTGTTTTGTAAATGTGAAATCTAGTAATTTGAACACATGACAAAATAGCTGATACAATTAATGAGGTACTGACCAAGTAGTTTTCCACTTGTTCATCTAAATTACCGGATGCTGCTATAATAATTGGAGGAGTAATAACACCTGCCAACATCGCCAATGCATGCTGAAAACCCAAGATGAATCCAAGAACCAAAGGCATTTCTGAATTCAATCCGAAGAAAGGTTGGGTCTTAACTTCCTTCTTAGTGAATGGAAGCTGTGGAATGAATAAATAGCCATAATCATAGTCACCTAACAAACCTTCTTTAGTAGTCCATTTACGGAAAACTCTCTTTGCCCCAGCCTTGATGTCTATGTCGACCATTTTCTTTAGCTTATTGTTTTATGCTATGTATGCAACTATACTCTCGCCGAAAGACACTGTGGTGCACCTCTATATATATATCTGAGATCTCTAAAAATTTTGTTCCTTTATCTCTCCTTGTGAACTCGCATGAGCATTCTCTGATAATAATGCATTAGAAAGGGACGTTGAAAATCGGTAATTTGCGGTGTTAGCAATATTTCTTTTCTTTCTTATCTCCCCTATTAAATGCAGGCGTCCTACCTAGAGGCGGAGAATCCCATCATTGCATGTTTGCAACAATAGTCCAAGCAGTTATCTTCGTAATCGAATAAGTTATTAGTCTTACTGCTGAGGATGCAATATCAGGCTTGTTGTATAGCTATCGAGGTGACGGTATTAATCGTTTAAATTTTAACGTGTGTGCGTTGGGATTCAGGGCCTACAAAAATTTTCGAGCACTGATAGAGAATTCGCGCCGCCCACTTCAATATTGCTCCTGAGTAATAACAAGTTGATTTGGAAGACAACTTTAAGTAACCCAAGACGGAAAATTGATGTCAACGATGCTTGGATCAGCAGAAGCGATGCTTGAATCGCCGCTAGAGGTTAATTTTGATGCAATAATCCTCACCTGGTGCTTATAGTTAGTCATGCCAATGAGATGCATTCCAAAAGCGCAAGTGCCCGACATGGTATATTCAGTCGAGACATAGCATATGGTTTTCTCCGAGCTTAATCTTCGGTGAGCGCCGCTTCACAAGAAAAAAACTTGTCCAATAGAATTATAGGTACCGACAATCTCAGTCGGCACATGCCGTCTGAGGGCCGAAATGGTCGTCTCGTGGATAATTATGAAATTGGCCGCATTTGATTGTGCAGGTAAGAGGACTACCACAATAAGTAAGAACAAAAAGATAACGGTGCATATAGAGATATGGGATCGTACCCTTCGAGCAGACGAGACGGCCGAAAAACTCTTGGAAGTAATCTCCTATCACTCTGCAGTACGATAGTTTGTGGATAAGCGGCAATCAACCGCGTAAAAGTTAGTGGTATCGTAATACTACATAAACACTGTTGGAATGTGAAAAAGTCTTCATATCACATCAATTTAATTGGTGATGGCTAATAAAAAATTAACCCTCATAAGACGTTAATTGGTGGCACAATCTACAATCCATCCATAAGAAGTCTTTAAATTGACGAAAAGCCGACAGGCCTTCGAAACTGGCTTTCTTTTAATTTGTCACCTGATTCTCTGTGTTGCAATGGTGAGCAGAATTTTAGGTGATTAACAGACTCAGATTGATCGACCTTGTAATTGTTAGTATATTTTTTATACATTCTTCATCAGAATATCACTCTTGAAACTAAAGTACTTTTAAACTTCCCGGCCCCTCATGATATTAATTAATACACTAAAAGTGATTAGAGAATATCAAGTCTATTTTTTATTCTTGTATTCAGTAATCAAACAGAACATTAAAGTCTGAACTATCTGGTGTGCATATAAATCAATTAGTCTCAATTTTTTTATTGGTTTCTTGGATGAGATGCCCAGTTAAATACTGGCATATTTATTTTAGCCTCGCCTTCAACCTAAGATGGTAGGAAATTTTAAGAAACAAAAGCTCAGCGATGCATTAAGCTCTAAGACGGTAGCTGAACAAACTTCCAGAAATAATGATTCACTGAAAAGTACATATGATATGTCTTCTCTGACATCACCAAGCTCGATGTCTGATGACGAAACGGGAGGTTCCACCAGCGAAGAGGACGTTGAAAGCGAGAGAGACAGTGAATTCGAAGAATCGGGTGATGAAGATAGCGAGAGCGATCTTGATGCTCTCAAACCTAAGAAAAAGAAAAACAATGATGATGGCTCCACTTCTTTCGCAAATGCATTTAACAACATCATTGGATCCAAGATAAAGGCCCATCATAGGAAGGATCCAATTCTTTCAAGAAACAAGACAACTTTGAAAAAATTAGAATCCGATAAGTTGGAAGCAAAGGCGAAGAGAATGTTTCTTGCGGAAAAAAGGAATTTGCGGGATAAGCATAGAATGAGGGAGCTTTTGCCACTAAATGAGCCTGAGAGGATGAATGAATATCTTATTAAAGAAAAAAAACTTAGAAAAGTGGCCCAAAGAGGTGTTGTCCGATTGTTTAATGCTGTGTTGTCTACCCAACTTAGAACTAATGAGGAAGTTAGTAAAGAGAAACTCGGTCAAAGAAAGAAAGACGAACTCATGAACGAAATGTCGAAAGAAAAGTTTTTAGATCTTGTCCATGCAGCCGGTCAATCTTGAAAAATATAAGCACTTACTTGATTTTAAAACGACACTAATGCAACAAACAGATATTTCACGGAACTTTCTGTTTATGCTAGCAAACTGAAAGGCATGATTTGAAATATCCATATTGCACCTTCTTCTGAGTGTGGTGCTATTTTCGAAAATGTCATTCCTATTTCATTAATCGTCTTGCTCTGAATTTTACTCTTAATTCAGTGAGGGGCCATTGATATATCAAGAGGCTAAGTAAAACCATGTTTATCCGTTAGCATTTGATAGTGTCTAGACATTTCCACAGCTATTCATCCATAGCCACTCATCCATAACTACTAATTCATAGCTTATTATTCTCATTTATAGCTCTGATCGGAAACATGCACGACTCTGATTCGAATAAGTAGATAATATACAGTATAAAAGTGAGATTCATTCACATTTCTCCCGAGTATTGCAACATACATCCCTCTGAAAAAGTTGAATTGAAAAAATGTTATTACTAAGACCAATCAGTAAGTGTTAGCATTATGACTGAGAGCAGGCTTGCACTTGAGCAGCAACTGAGAGCTCATGTAACTCACTTGAGTCATTCACACACGGCTCCTGATCTGTCTATTATGATAGAAAACTGGGATCCAAGACCTTCGTTAGGGCCCAAATTCTCAAACGAAAACGTTATCAACTTGAACAGACAAGAAACAAATTTTGACAGAAGTTTTCCGCGCCAGTATAGCAATCAAATTCCAGACCTAATGACATCCCGCAATCCAAAAAGAAATATCTATAGGATTATTGCAATTTGCGTTTGGTCGTTTGCGGGGGGGTTTAGTGATGCTGCCCCAGGTGCTTTATTACCACATATGGAGTCTTATTATGATATAAGCTACTCAATTGTGTCCTTAATCTGGATGTCGAATGCTGTTGGGTTTATAACTGTTGCATGCTTTTCTCATAAAATTCAGCCATGGTTTGGGAAAAAGAAATCTCTTTGTCTTGGTTGCATATTCTCCTGCTTTATGTATGCATTAGTTGCAAGTGGAACTAAATACCCCGTTATTGTATTTGGTTTCTTTCTTGGTGGTATGGGGTTAGCAACTGTTTTGGCGCAATCCAATGTATTTTTATCTAGACTTGATAAGCTGTCAAAGTTTCTATCCTTTTTTCATGGAAGCTATGGAATTGGGGCCACTGTATCCCCATTGATTGCCACTAGTATTGTTAACTCTGGTATTGCTTGGCACTTTGTCTACCTAATCATGTTAGCATTGATGACATTCAGTTTAATCAATCTATGGTTTTCATTTACAGGAGCCGATGAGGATTTAAAACCCTGGGATTTCGATGATTCTGATTCTACTTTAGGGTCAGAAACTCCTAATTCTAGCCTAACTCACATCAATGAGGAAAATATCGAACTACTGACTTTGGAAAACTCTAGAACAAAATCAAGAAACCAATCATCAGCTCGAATTTCTAATAAAGGGGAAATGCTTCTTGCTTTAAGATTTCATGTCACTTGGATATTGTCATTTTTTGTTCTATTTTACCAAGGATCTGAAGTTTCTTTAGGAGGCTGGATTGTCACATATTTATTGGATTACAGAGGTGGAAATTCTTCTCAAGTGGGGTATGTTGCATCCGGTTTCTGGGGTGGTTTGACTTTAGGCAGATTAGTATTAACAAGGCCACTACATAAGTATTTTGGCTCAAGAAGAAGCGTGATTGTGTGCTCTCTTTTAGCGATTGGGTTCGTTATTTTGACCTGGGTGATCCCAAATATAACTGTTGCAAGTATATGCGTCTCTTTAGCTGGCCTTTTTATCGGACCTAGCTATCCATTGCTAGTTACTATTTGCTCTCAGGTTCTTCCTCGTAAAATACAGGTTGTCTCTATGACAATTATGACTGCCTTCGGTTCATCAGGAGGGGCAATCTTCCCTTTTGTGGTGGGGTTGATTTCGCAGAGAGCGGGCTCTTTTGTTGTCTTACCAGTGTTTATCGCCTTGTATTCAAGTATGTTATTTCTTTGGATATGCTTACCGAATGTGGAAAGAAGAAGGCTGCAACCAAATATTAATTTTAGTATTTGGCAAAGGATATGGTAAAGTTTGCGGCAATACTTGATTTTCTATTGACCTTATATACAGTAATTTGTAATACCTCAATTGGAATTCTGTAGAAAGTTCTTGATTGGTTTGAGATGAACTGTTAAATCCATTAAAACAACACTATATCGAAGTAACGGGTTATGATCTTCAAAAAAGTATGGCCGTGGAAAAGTTAATAAAAATTGGAGAAGAAAGGCTTAATGAAAAGGATTATCTAGGAAGCATAAGTGCTTTTTCTTCTGCATTGGAGGAAAATCCAAAGGCATTACAACCATATTTGAAAAGAGCCACTGCTTATCAAAATCTCAACAACTATGAAAGTGCAAAGAGCGATATATCTCAAGCCTTCACCATTGCTCATGAAAGAGGTAAAAGATCGGAAATAGGACTCTGTTATTTTAAATTGGGCTTAGTTTATTATGCTGAGAAGAATTTGTCGTCAGCAAAGATTAATTTCGAGAAAGCTGTTGAATTCAATTGTCCAGAACCAACGGCTAATTTTTGGAATAGTAAGGTACAGTATGAATTCATCAAGGCAGGATCTCAATTACCGCAAAGTTGTAATGCTTCATCTGCGGAAGCGCTTGCTAGTTCTGAAGAGCCGCCATCAAGTAATTTTGATGTCATTAATCAACAAGATCCAATAAAACTTAAAGTTAGAGATGACTGGTATCAAACCAATGACTCAATCATTATTACGTTTTACGTCAAAAATGTCGAAAAGGAAAAACTTCAAGTCGAATTCAATAAGCGATCAGTAAATGTTGCATTTCCAAGTTCTCCAAATGCAGAATACAGTTATAACTTGGACCCCTTATTTGCTGAAATAACCCCCGAAGATTCAAATTTCAAGGTCTATGGAACTAAAATAGAAATAGTTTTAAAAAAGAAAGTTTCCAGTAAGTGGACATCGTTAGAATCTTCGGAAGTCAAAGATCATGATTCTCTTGGGGTAAGGTCATCCACCTTTTCGTACCCATCTTCATCTAAGAAGTCTATTAATTGGGCTAAATTTAAAGTAGATGAAGATGATGACAAAGAATCAGCTAAAGATTCGGATTTTTTTGAAAAATTGTATAAGGATGTCGATGATGATACGAAAAGAGCAATGATGAAATCATATGTTGAATCTAATGGCACTGTACTAACAACAAATTGGGATGAGGCGAAGCAGAAGAAATTTGAAACTTCACCTCCGGAAGGAATGACAGCAAAGAAATGGAACTAATGGCAGATGAAGTTCCACATCGTTGCTTTGTTGTCCTGTATATATCATATAATGTCTAAATGTAATCTCAATTCTTTTTTTGCCATTCTTAGGATAGATGTTAGCAATGAAAAAGCTTCTCTCACAAGCTTCGAATTTTGGCCATATCATTAAGAGAAACATGCAGATTGAATCAATCCCGATGAGATGGGGGTCTGGTGACAACTACGCCTACTTGCTTATTGATTCGCCAACCAAAAATGCATGGTTAATTGATCCAGCTCAACCTAATGAGGTAATGGACTACATAAAACAAAGGAAACCTCAATACGAACTTAAGGCAATAGTGAATACTCATCATCACTATGATCATTCTGACGGCAACAAAAAATTCCATTCCAAATTTCCCGATTTACCTATTGTTGCTGGTAAGGATTCGCCGTTAGTTACATATACGCCATCACATGAAGAGGTCATTGACTTGGGCGATAACATTTCAATTACTGCGTTGCACACACCATGCCACACTCAAGATTCAATTTGCTATTATGCGAAGGACTCGAAAACAGGTGAAAAAGCTGTTTTCACGGGAGACACGTTATTTATAAGCGGGTGCGGAAGGTTTTTTGAAGGGACTGGTCTGGAAATGGACAAAGCGTTGAACTCGATCCTTGCTAAACTCCCGAAGGATACTCATGTTTACCCGGGTCATGAATATACTAGATCTAATGTGAAATTCTCTAAAACTGTACTCAATAATGAGGCAATTAAGAGATTGGAAAAGTTTGCTAACAATAACGAGTTTACAACTGGAAAATTTACGATAGGTGATGAGCTTGAGTTTAATCCGTTTATGCGATTAGATGATCCGCTAATTCAAAAGGCTACGGGCCGTGTTAAAGGTGGCGAGGTCATGACAAAGCTAAGAGAAATGAAAAACAAATTATGATACTCTTTATTAATGTCATAAACTTTTTTATGAGAAGTAACTGGAGGACTATCAATAGAAATCACATTTAGGCTCGTTAATTTTGCGATCAATAATATAACCATAAATTTCAAATTTGTAAGTGTCATATTCTTACAAATTGGGGCTTGTAATCTTCATCGTAGTGAAGCTCTGGTTGCCATAATTCAATAAATTCCAAATCAAATTCAGATTTTCCCATAGAGAACTTTTCGTATTCTTCGAAGATACCACTCATACACCAGCCTTGCAAAACTTTTCGAAACAATCCAACCAAAACGCCAATTCTGTGTTTTCCCTTGTTCGAGTGTATGAGCATAGGGAAATTCTTTTTATCAAGCATTAATTGTAGAGCTTCTGAAAGAGATTCCTGAGCTTGTCGGGATTGAATTGGAGAGTTGAAGGGCTCTTGAGAAGACTCCATATATAACTTATGAAATCCAATATCCGTGGTCGATATCCACTTTTCATAATTTTCCATTATTTCGGTAGTCCCATGCTTATCTTTTTTCTTTGATGAATCATGATCTTTATCTTTATCTTTATCTTTATCTTTATCTTTAGGGGAGACATTCGTCTTATCCTTCTTTTTATGTTCTTTGTTGCCTAAATCACCTAAGTATATTATAGTTTTGAGGCCCAAATTATCAAGAAAAGGGTAATTTATCGGCATGGGAAAGCCTGATCTATAGATCATATCCTCAACTAAAGAAAAATTCAATGGCGGAACGGCTTCCGGCTTTGGCAAAAGCATCCTTTTCATGGTAATTTTGTTTTCTATACCATTTGTTTGTTGAAAATTATTCATCTCTCCACTGCGATTGTCAGCTTCAAGAGATTTCCTCTTTGGGTACCTTAATGTGGGAGAACTTTTTGCTGGCGCCAAACTCATGGCTTAAATACTTTACAATTGCAATATTATTTGAATGTTGAGCTAATTGAACTTGATATTGATGTACTATTGACAATATCGGTGATATACTATGTATGCAGTATTCAAGCTTAAAGTAGAGCAGCCTATCTGGCAATGGGTCATATCGAGCATGTGGTATACTTTTCCAAAAATGCCAATTCCAGTAGGAAGTTCAAGGATTAGTCTATTCTTCAAGCATTACAATCTCTAGTTATGCTGGCCTAATGAATAATTTGAATACTCAGAACAGATTTTCGCAACAGCATATATGTTTTTGAAACTACATCCAAAATTCATCTTCGTATAATATTATCGACTAATGCCTCTTCATAAAGCATGTAATTGTGAATAAACAACGCAAATATAAGAATCTACTTATTCGAGTGAAGAAAGTGTAGCTTTCTTGATACTAAGCTTATTCCAAAAAATTACGTGGACCCGAAGTCACTAATCATCTGAGCGCTTCATTAAAGATATTGTATATTCCTATTCTTAAGATTGTAAGTTATCCATCACTCCTTTTCAGATGATGATAAATATAGAGTTTATGGATATAAGTTGAAATGGCTGTATTAGTTTTAGCCTTTGGAAGAGGAGGTTCCACGACGTTCTTTTTCTTCAAAAATTCATGTTCATCTAAAGAAACATTGAACATTTCAAATGCGAAAAGGACCTCTCTTGGCGGGGGTGAATATTTCGGAAAGTTGTAGTTATTCTTTTCAAACTCTTTATGAAGATTTTTAGCAATTTTTTTATTTAATTGTTCATTTGATGTGAAATTAAATTTTTTCAGTATTATATCTAGGCTATTGTTCGCCACAGACGCCCGTGGATATGAATCTTGATGAATGTGACCAAACTGATAGGTAAAGTCTCGTTTGTTCTCCTCATGGCCAATGTTGTGCTTCTCGGTATTTGAATCTGATGCGAATGTGCATTCAGCATCAGTACTCAAAGAAGAATCTGAACTGGAACAAATAACGTTGATATAAGTATCCATTGTCTTCAAAAGCCATTTCTTAACAAACAATAGGAAATTGTGGTCGAAAGAAATTGCTATATATAGTATAATTAGAGCATATCAACTAAAGTAAATGAAAAGAAACATGGAAGAATGACCTGAAATATAAAAAAGAGAGTACTTTATAACTATTCTAACAACATAGGAAGATCTTGAATGTGCCTTTTGTTAGCATGAGTTCTTTCTTCTAAGTATTATGGCACATACAGCACATATGTAAGTGAAGTTCTGCCAGGTTGCAAAATGTCGCGCAGAAGCAAATATGCCGACGACATTTCGGGTAACTTGTTCATCCATGAAAATTTTGAAACTCACGGTGAAAAACTTAGGCAAATTAGCTATATAATTAATTTAAACTAGCATGTCTTGGTTATTTGGGGGAAAAACAACTGACACTAAGGATTCTGATACTAAACAGTCATTAGGTTTTGATCCTTCTCAAGTCTCTAATGTTTCCGATATTATAAATGCACCCGGAGCTTTAGACTCAGCGAAGTTACACCCGTTAGCTGGTTTAGAGAAAGGTATTGAATATTTGGATTTAGAAGATGAACAATTGAATTCGATCGATGGAGCTCAAGGAGTTATTCCATCTAGGAGTTGGACCGATGATTTATGTTATGGTACGGGTGCAGTTTATTTGATGGGATTAGGAATTGGAGGAGCTTACGGCTTTCAAGAGGGAGTAAATAGTTTGCCTAAGAATGCACCTCCCAGACTTCAGCTAAATACAGTATTGAATCACATAACCAGAAGGGGGCCATTCTTAGGTAATACAGCAGGTGTATTAGCATTGACTTATAATTTGATCGATTCTTCTTTTGACGCGCTTAGAGGTAAGCATGATGATTTAAACTCTATTGGTGCTGGCGTGTTAGCTGGAGCACTTTTCAGAAGTAGTTCAGGACTCAAACCAATGGGCTATTCGGCGGGAATGATGGCTGCTGCGGCAGGTGCTTGGTGTGGTATTAAAAGATTATTGTCATGAGTTGCATTTCCGCTTTCGCATTTAGAGATGTCCCATTATTTTTATGTTATTTTCTAATGCTTAATGACCCTCAGGCTGTATATATAAAATAGGGTTATGTATTATGCTATGAAGAGAAAGATAAATGAGCTTTACACAGCGCTAATTAATGATTTTAGTTTCTTTTTGTTTCCCATGTCTACTCTGTCATCCACATCATGCTTTTTCATTTCAATCGTTTCGATTGGATTTACCAATCTATCTTTTTGTAAGAACTTGAATAAAATTTTACAGTCATTCTCATTTAATAATGCTTCTGCAATCTCCAAAAATTCTTCATTAGTTTTTGCCTGGCAAAACATCTGATAGTACTTAGATTTACCAGGTAGCTGGTTTAGCAAAATATACTTTGTGTTACTTGGATGGTTTCTAAATTTTCTTGCAATGGTGATGAACTCATATATGACTTCATTATAAGGTAAGGGGCGATTCAGAAAAACAGTTGGATTCGACTCGGCGGATTCCGCTATCATGCCACCTACTTTCGGACCATAAAGCGACTGTAACTTAATTAGATCATTTCTCGATTGGATGTTGCCATTCACAATTAAACTGACATTATGTGAGGAGACGCTTGCAATAATCTCCGGTAAGAACTTCCTTACTGGGTATTCCCTATTTCTCATTGAAGGTGTCCGACAATGCAACGTCAAATTCAGAATACCAGTTTTACAAATTCTGTTCACAAGATCTATCGTCGGGTTCGGATCATCATCATTGAGCAACCTTATCTTACAACTTATAGGCTTGTTAAATGGCTTTCCAACTTTTTCTACTAAGTTTAAAAGTATTTGCTCCAAAAGATCAGGAGTTTTGAGTAGGGCAGCGCCCATTCCTGAGTGTGTCGAGAACGGTTTAGGACATCCACAGTTTAAATCAATCCCTGCGACGTCTCTCACAACCTTTAATCCAGCAAGAACGGCCAATTCTGGATCTGCGGACCCTATTTGAAAGATTAGCTTATCCCTTTCGACGTTGGGAAATGTTCTGAAAGCCACTTTCTCTGGATTAGCCACTTCAACGAAATCTATTGTTTTTAAATCTTCATTCACCACTCTATCACATTTAATTATTTTTTTGTCTACGATTTCAGGAGACCAAACAAGATCAGCACCATATTTCAATGCCATGAGCCGAGTAGGAAGCTCTCCACTTCTCACCATAGGTGCTAGACAAAGCTTACCAAAAAACTCGACCATTTTTAGCATAAAATTTAATTATACTTTAGCCCAGCTTTTAAATTAGGTAATGGGTTGTAGTTTAATTCTATCCAGCCCCAAGCGACTAAAACTTATCTCAACGATTACAGAATTGCAGCTCTGTTTGAAAATTTGCGATGGCTTGAAAACAACACATTATATAAAACGTGACACATCTCGTGATGAAAATCTAAAACAATACATAGATCTGCACAATGTCTTTCTGTCGCGTGAGTTGGGGGATTAAAACGGGAACTTTAAGAGAATATGTCATCCACGGCTTATTTACAATCAGCCAATCATAGCAAGTAAATTAGCGGCATTTGTGTTTTAGCAAAGGATACAGCTGATCTTTGTCGTTCCGGTTAATTTGCGTCCACTTGTCTCACTACTACAATTGAATTTATAATAGTTATTCGATATAATCTTGAAAAGGTCAAGCACCCTATATGAGCTTGCAGAGTAGGTGTGTGACATCAAAAACATGTGACCCACATAAGCTTGTGTTTCAAGATCCTACAATTTTTTATGACCTGCTAATCCGCGCGACTTGGTTCGCCCTCAGGCGGTCAGGAAATTCCCATATGTACGCATAGCCGCCGTAAATCTCAGTCTCTACTCAGGCGGCTATCTCCAACACTCGCACAAAAGTCCTAAGTTAAGTTAAAAGCGCAGCCGAGGATGAAAGCATTCAAGAAAATGACGAGCTGAAGGTTAACAAAACTCTTTCGACACATAAAACGGAATTGATGATATTCACATTGTAGTTTCTTAATTGTCATTTCTATATTTAATTTTTTATTTTGCGTTATTTGCTTCGCTCTTATGACCTTAAAAAAAAAAAAAAAGAAACGGCAAAAAGAAAAAAAAATTTGCACCCTCTTACAAAAGAAAAGCAGTCATTTATTAAAAAACAACAAAAAGTATTTATTCTTAATTCGATCTATATTTTAAGAAATTTTGTAATATCAGTCATAAAATTATTATATTTGCTGATAGCATCAATTGATTTCACGTAACACTTTAATTATATAACCATTGGGTACTAATAATATCAATTGAAGGTAGCTGATTAGTTAGTGATTGAGACGCGAACAATAAGCAGAGAGATTAACCTGAGAACAGCAGGAACAAGTCACAGAATTTTTGTAAAGTCAGGTATAATACCTTTCAGAGTTAACTAAGAGTAACAGGAGTTACATATTCAATTCATACCAGGCAAGAATTGCGTTTTTTTGGGAGACGCCTTATTTTACTACATTGAGAATTATAAGCATGTCATTGATACATCCGAGTGCGAGATCCATTGAGAGGAAAGGATGCCTTACGCCATCATTACAGGAGGAGCAAAAATCTAAGATACATGAAGTTGTGAGCCGTGACAATTATTCTAATACTACGACGATTTTGTCTCCTCCCTTATCTCCATTTCAAAATGAGGAAGAAGAGCCTGTTCACAAGACGGATGTAACATTCTTGGAAAGCAGGTCGTCGTTTCCTATCGAAGATTTTAAAGCATATGAGTTGACAGTGCAACCATGGAATGGATTGAACTCTAACTATAAGAAAAGACAACTTGACTTTTTAAGTCAATATGCCATTGTCAGCTCGAGAGAGAAGCAATATGAGAAGAGGCCTGTTTTTAGAAGAAGGCAATTGGTATCAGACAGTGATTCCGAATCCACTGTAGAAAGAATCAGAACGAGAAGATTGGTTAAAGAAACTTCTGAAAATTTATCAGAATTAGAGGCTCCGTCCCGTGTAGCAAGTCCGTCTCCAAAGAAGAGAAAGGTCAGAAAGGATGTTACCCCTTCGTCTCAAAAACAGCTTTTGATAGACGAGAATATTCCAGACTACTCCCCAGACGTTTCAACTTTACCAAATAATAACAGATGCTTGAAAGTGGAATGGAAAGGGCAGCCTATGGATTTGAGGTCAGATCCAGATGTATCTAAATTGCATCCGGCTGAGGTTTTATTGGCTTCTATATTAAGATTACCATGTAATGTCTATTTGGATTCTAAGAGAAGGTTATTCTTCGAGAAAGTAAATAGGTTGAGAAGTAACAAACAGTTTAGAAGAACAGATGCACAGAAAGCATGTCGCATTGATGTCAATAAAGCAAGCAGACTTTTTGCCGCTTTTGAGAAAGTGGGTTGGTTAAATGATTATCATTTTGAGAGATACTTGTAACTTTAATGACAATTATTGGGCGGGATGGGCCCTCATGGTTGAAAGCAGTTGATTATTTGGAATCAGTCGCTAATTATAGAATAAATGTCAAAAGTATGGCGATGTACTGGTACGGAATTTTATTTTTTATTTTATTTTACTTGACATAACTTTTGTTTTTTCATTTCTTTATTTATAATTTGTGTTAAGTTTGGGTCTTTATGGACTTTCTCAGTGGAATAGTTTAGTTATTTAAACCAGGAAGGTTAATATATGAGATAAATGTATTTATGCTATCAATAGTAATTTTTTTGTCTCCCTTTAGCTCTATCATATGACTCTTAAATCGAATCCGGTCAATTTAAGTGCTTTGCAATTGAGCCAGCATTGCGGAATATTTATGTTTGCTGTTAATATTGGTTTGCCATAACATGTTCAGTCTTCGATGCTGGCTATTTTATAATTGCCGTGGAAATTTCGAACCTGTACTTTTGTAACTCATTTATCGCAATTAATTTGAGCCAGCATAGAAATCCTTGATAAGTTGAGTATTTCGTGAAAGCTTTATCCTACCATCGAAGAAAAGAACGTATAAGAATATATTAAAAAAAGAGAGCTATAATTCATTCGCTAGAGGCTAATTCTTTTTAAACCATTCGTTCGTTTGATATAGAGCTTAAGTTGGGCTTAAAGGAACCATAAATTAGCAAGAAATACAACATCTCAAAAAGTCAGAGCCATTCGGGAAGAAAAACATTGAAAGTCAACCTCAAGAGAAACCGAAACTGTTAATATTTAAGTGGCGGTATCCCAGGACCTGAGACATATTATTGTCATAAAGATGAATTTAAATCACTTCTATTTTGATACAAATTCTCAATGCAACAAAGAAGATGACCAATCACAATTGAGTAGAGCTGAATTTACAGTCCCACCTAGTCCCATCGCTACTTCTGATTTAGGAAACATCGAATTAATTACACCGAAGACCGATGTAAGTAGCACATTTTATCAAAATGCTAAGTTCTATTTGCAAACACCAACAATGGAACTGAATTGCGATTTCTTTCAGCCAATGTTGGTCCAATCACATCCTGGTAATAAAAATCAGAATAAGACTACACAGCAACATTCTGTGTCACCCATAAAGAGTACCTCGATGAATTCCATGAGCAGTGTCTCGAAAACTGCAGCACCGATAACACCGACTATAAATAACTCATCAACAGCATATTTGCAGACGCCAAATTCAGCAAGATCCTCAAGTAGTGGCCCGATGTCGGGTAGTCACTTCTCTCCTAGTCAAGTAGTAGGATTAGGGTTGTCTGTTACATCCAACAATGACTCCCGTCAATTTGAAAATCGTTATAAGCAATCTGATCAGACTGCCTATGGAGTTACACATGAGGTTCCAAATCAATTCACGCTTAATAAAAAATCATTGATTGAAAATGACAAACAGTATGAACTTGTCTACTCAGACCCGTACACCAAAACAAGAGATCACGATACGAGCATACAAGCAATTCCCAGCAGTGCTTTGATAGCCAATAATTCTCCGACAACAATCGAGAATGTGAGCACAAATTCTGAACCATCAGAAGAAGAGTTCTCGAATATACTTTCGAGTACTTCGAATGAGCTAGAAGTGTCTGTATGCAATTTGTTTGATTTTGATTTATTTGGAAAACCGCTGTCAGATATTCAATCAAACGAACCTAACAGTGATGATGTGTCGGTGTCATTTATCAGTAAAGAACCAAATGAATCTAGCTTCGATTTAGCTGATGTTGTTGCGCTTGAGAATGAGCATTGCCAGCAAGAATTAATGCAGCAAGATTTTCTAACATCAACTGTCGATAAGAAAGCTCTTGTCAAGAAAGCTAATAAAAGAATACCAAAACCCCATCCAAAGAAAATGCTAAGGCATGCAAAATCCTTTAACGACAGATCTGATTTAATGAATTCAGCTCAAAATAGTTCTACCCTTTTATTAAATTTAAACCCTAAGAGCCAGAATACTTCAACCTCGCCTAAACATGAACCTCAGTTTTCATTCAGCGAATGCTCGAGCTCTTTTCCTGTTAATGGAATAAATAATTGGTCGTTTGTCATGGAGCATGAAAATATCGATAACATAAAACTGAAGAAAGCTTTATCTTCGAGGATCGATAAACCGACCTTAAAGAGATCTACATCGACTACTTTCTTTGAATGCAATTCAGTGCAGAAGGGTAACTTTAATGGACCGAAAGTCTTGAAAGACATGAGATCAGGTATGGCACTGTTTCAAGTACAGCAATCAGGTGGCAAGTAATAAGAAGTCAAGAGATAATCTTGATTTTTGCAATATTTTATGGCTGTTTGAAGGATATCTTTTCAATTATTTTTAATGTGACGGAGCTTTGAAGAGAAGAGAGTTCAGCAGTTGGGATTACTTTTTTTGGTTGGGTTTAAGAATATGTAAATATGTTTTCATTTATACCAGGTTTTTGTTAATTTTTATCTCAAGTTCTTTTATTTAGGAACTTTAATATGGACAATTCAAAATTTCTATTACAGGTATGATTATCTGTTAACGTGTATTTCTTTATATGAATATGTGTAGACTTAAATTAAATGCTATGAACTATCAGAGGCTCCCCAGGGATCGTTAAGATAGCCATGAAACAACGTGAGCTCACAAATCTTTATTTCTTGGAACATACTCCTCACCACTTAAAACTTGATGCTTCCTGAATGCTCTCAGGAAATTAAATTGACCATCGGACCCATATGCATAATATACTAATCCAGCTGGAATTAGTCCCATGAAGACAACATTGAACAATGCAGATCTTGGCTTGAAGCGGAAATAATAACCAATTTTCTCTTTTGCAGTATTAAACCTCTGCAACGCTGGATCGGGCTTCAATGTATGTGCCATGATTGATTAATATGAGTAATGATTGATGTAAGATGCGCTGTAAATTCGATCTTGTCATTAAAATTTACAGTTCATTTTATTGGATAGCATCGATCACGTGATAACTCAAATAGTATTCAGTATATATGATATAAATGCTAGGTGTTCAGATGAGAGACTTAACGTACATAAAGTCAATTAGAGTAGTAGGTCATTCCTCTATAGATGAGTGAATCATATCTATCTGAATCTCATCTTCCGCGTCTTGCCTTGATCGCTGGGGCAGAGAGCTGGGGTCATGCTCTAGACCTTGGTTTATATTCTTAACTGATTCGAGGTCCGAAAGCGTAGTAGCCTCGACAGTTTTCAAAGCTTCAGACAGGTGATGTGGATTCTTCGCTAGCACACCAATATTCTCCAAAATTTTTAGTGAAACACCATCAGTGTATTTGTCTCTTAAACTTGGGACAAATTTCATATCTCTTATCCCTCCATTCTTGACATTACTAGACACCTTCTTCATAATTTCTTGCATTTGTAGTACCAATTCAGTTACTTGATTAAAGAGGAAGTATAAGGATTCATCTATAGGAGATAAGGATTTGAATGCCGTCTTTGCTTCCTGCGATAGAGCAGAGCCTTCATCTTTTAATTCAAGGAATTTAATATTCTTTTTTAACACGTTCAAAGCTCTGATCACTTTCTGGGCTTTCAAAATTTGAAGTTTTAATATCTTTCTCAAGTGAAGTTCAAACTTTATATCTCTAACAAGGTCTTTTAGTTTATTGTCTAAGTCACTTTTAAGTTCTGTGCTACTTTTGTTGAAATCTATACCTTCTTGGTGTTTCAATCGTATCCAGCCGTCATCAACTAATTGTTGAGGAATCATAAATATGTTTCTTAATGTGTATAGTTCAAACTTATCGAAGTTTGTGTCAATCTGGCTCTCGAGTAAAGTCTCTAACTTTCCTGTTCCAACTTGAATCTCCTCTGTGGGATATTTTTCATTAGCATATTCAGTCAAAACATCCCGATCGCCCGTTGGGGATTTTGTAGTGTCTTCATACTGCTTCTGTTGCCTTTCCATGAGATACCTCTCGATTTCGGTGGTACAACTATACATGATAACATTAACTGCATTTATCACATCATCAACCAAAGCCAAAGGAGGATACCCAAGATGCTCCGTAAGTAGAGACGTTACCCGATAGTCCACAGCAACCATCTCCTACGAAATATGATTTTTTTGGTAGTTGTTAGGAAATTAAATATTTGTTTTGAAAGTTGTGAAAGTCAGATGATCGCGTCATGCACTTGGGGTCCTCTACAAGGATAAATACAAATATAAGAAACAACTATTGAAATAAATAATCAGGAAGCCTTTTAGACAATCATAACATGTAACATGTAACATTTGCTGGTATGTAACTTCGGAAATATCTTCAATAAGCGTTTTTGTACTTGTTTCTGAATCATATAACTCTCTTCATCGGTAAGGATGATTCCAAGACAGACAGAGTCATTATCTTAGCAGAGCAACCATGTAGGCTCAACAATTCTGATAAATACAATCGTAGCTGAATTAAATATTCGTTCAATAAGAATATCATCTACTGCTGTTACAAACTAAGGCTTACCTGGTAATAAAATTAGTTTGATTACTGTGCGAAATAAGGCGTTTGACAGATTATCTGTACTCCGGAAACACTCTTTTCTTTTACCGTTATCTCTAATCGAACTCAAAAAATCAATTAGGAGGACTTCAAGTACGTCAAGATATATTGTAACTGATTGACCAAGTCCCAGCTACGGAACAATGTCCAATGAAACGCCGGAAAACTCAGGCGACAATGAAGGACCGAACTTCATAGATGTGCTAGACGCCAAACTAGTACAGTACGTATATGGAGCAAACAAGTTGCAACTGCTTATAAATAGTATTATCAAGTTGAGTGAAAACTTAGAAGACCCGCGGTCTTTGCCTATGCTTCAGCATATGGTCTTACTTGGTGGAAACGTTTTCAGTATAAGTGAGAGTGCCTTCAATGAAAAATTGAATAGTTTAGGTAACTTTATTCCATACAAAGCACTCAACATTCAAATTTCTTCTACTATCGGCCACATTCCTTATGATTCTGCGGATTCGCCAGTAGTACCGTTAGGGTTCTTGCCGGACTTTGATGAAGCAAAAAGATGTTTGAAATTATTCGAACAATTGTGTACGAACGCGTTACAAAGTTACCAAAAGAGAATAGTTACTGCCAAAGCCGAGAGAACAAAATCAGGTTGCTATAAGTCAGATCATTTTGAAAACATCCAGCAAATAGTGGAAAAAGAATGTTTTACAGATGATATGGATTTAAATGTTAGTAGAGGGTTCTTGTTTGAACTCCCTAAAGAAGACTCTTTATTAAAGGACGAACAATTTATAGAAACAAGTCTAGTTGATATGGATATTAGAATGTTGTTTAGTATGACAAATGCCTTAAGGACTACCCTTAGCAAGTTGAAAATCCCGATTATCAAGCTTATAACTTTAAAAAAACTACCAGAACGTCAAAGGCTAAGGGCCATGCAACAAATGCCCAATTCAAAGTATGCTTTACACCAAATTTTAGTCCTCGTTTTAAGATTGAATGATCTTTATACTATAATAAGGAAACTCGGTAGAAAAATCTATCTCTCGAATTACCAACATTTGCATGACCAAAGATTTACAATACAATCGAAAAACCCTACGTATTTTAAGCTGCATTTATTAAAAGAGATTGACGAGTATCTTAATAGTAATAAGAGAAATGGGACACTAATTGCCACCATAACCAGATTCGTAAGGCAAAATTCTAGGTATGAAGCGAATCCCAAGAACTTGGTTGATTTCATCAATTTCACTAATCAGGCCCACGTTATTATAGAGAAGTTTCTTATTAAGCTTGAAGAATTTGCGACTCACTGGATAACTTGTGAATTAAGGTTTCGAAAGACGTACAGCTTGCCCATAGCGAATTTAATTTCTATTTATCAGGAAGAACAACAGTACGAGTCTAGGGATAGCACACCATCAAACAAGAAAACATTAGAAGAGCAAACTGAAAATCAAGGGAATGTTTCAAAGGGGCCCTCTGATTCCAGTTTCAAAGGTAAGAGTGGAGTTGAGACTCAAAGAGAGGGGGATTCCAAACCTATAAGCAAAAACCACAGTGTAAGGCTTTCGAGGTCGTCATCTATATCTAGTGCACACAGCAACAATAGCTCTGGTAGAGGCTCCGTGTCATTAGGAAGAAGAAGCTCCATCAGTTCGCCGACCAATCGAAACACTATCATATCTCCAAAGATTTCGCATTCCCCTCGACCAAACTCTACGTTATTTTTACAAGGAAATAACCTGCAAGGTAATCTTCAACAGAATAGAGAACAAGTTTCGCCTTCAAATGGACGAAGGAGATCTAACTCACAACCAATACCAGTTTCTCAACTTCATGAAAATTCTAATGCTGCTGCTACATCCGGAGCTGCGGCTGCGTTGCATAAGAAGCAAAACAATCCTAATACAAGCTCTCCTGACTCTATACGTCGGTCTTTATCACTAAGCAAGAGGCAGTCAACTCCTAGCGTGACATCTCCGACACCTACTAGAAGAAAGCAGGACTTAATTGTTGTTAAAGAAGAAGAAACCCCCAAGACTCCTAGGCAGCTGGTTGCAAGTAGAAGAGTACATGATTTGCAAGATGCAGCAAGGGCTGGATCTATAATTTTACGACAACGAGAACAATTAACTAGTGTTATATTTGATCCAAATTGTCCTTCAGAAACCAACATAAGGAAAAAAATCGATAATAGAGTAACTACTAAGAGTAGTCCGGATACAACTACTGAGCCGGAAAATACTCACTCACGAGAGAGATCTTCAAGTAAAAGCGAGCCTAAATTTTCGTTAAAAGATGAAGCCAGTTTGCTAAACTCTGAAAAAACTCCTCAAGCACAAGAAAGTACCTCACTGAATATTTCAGCTTCTTCTTTAGAAATTACAGAAGTCTCTTTAATAAAGAAGGTTAGGTTTATAGGGGTGCCTGAGTATACTGAAGCAGAGGATGCTCCCACAAAGCCAGCAAGTAAGTTTCTAAGAAATTTTGCTGCTTTCAGACAACCTACAACCGGCAACCGTGCTTTCAAGAAGAGAGACCAGCTTTTGAGGGAAGAGAGCTTATCCTTCAAATCTCAAGTATACCAGAAATATGACTTCGAGCAAAAGAATATTAACACGCCTCTTGGAAGAAGCTTCGGTTCGAACAGGCTCTCGAAGTTGACCAATAAGCTAATATAGTGAAGAGTATAAAACTTCTCTTAGATATTACTTGATGAGACTAGGTTCTTCAATTCTTAATGTTATAATTTAAATTCAAGAATTTTTTTTTAAATTTTTTTTTTTTAAGCTGACGATTTTTTTTATCAGAACCTCATCTCTAACATTTTAGAATAAAGTTAAACATAAAATAATAAACAGCAATGAATTCGCAGACGAAGACTACTAGAAGCATCCGGTCTTCAAAGAATAGAGACTTCATATTATCCAAAAGTGTCAACCCTGTTAATGACGAAGGAGTAGCCCAATGTTTTTATATGGTAACATCATCGATGTACATATCACTTGCACCGTGCTATACTCAGCATCCAATTAATGGCATAAAATCGCAGCATCTAGATCCTATGATTATGACATATTTTTCAAAAGCTAAAGGGGTTGTGTTGTCTTACAGCAATATCAAGATATCTGGGAGAAATAAAAGTATAGACTCAGAGGGAAACCCATTAACGATTGCTAGAATAGAAGGGTCTTCACCTTTCACTTTTTTTTGGATATCAGTCGACTTTTTGATATGGCGACCTCAGGTAGGCGATTGCTTAGAAGGTTATGTATATATGCAAACGGCCTCTCATATTGGTTTATTAATCCATGATACCTTCAATGCAACTATAAAGAAGTACAATATACCCAATACGTGGAGATTTCTACCGAGTCAACAAGATGAATATTCAGAGGATTCTACCAGTAATTTCAAATCTTTCGGCCATTGGGTTACTGAAAATGACTTGAGAATAGAAGGTAAACTTAAATTTAATGTTAAAGCTTTGCATACAACAGGAAGAGTTATTTCAGTAGAAGGAACTTTAATCTCTCCAGGTTTTGAATTAGAATCTCAGCCGATTTTCAGAGAGCGCCGTACGTCCAGTACTTCGCAAGCTGTTAATTCGCATATGAAATTTAATGAAGAGGATAATAGTATGCCAATGGTGCCAGTAATCGAAGAAACTTTAGGACGCGATTTGCCAATATACTCAAAGGACAATGAAGATGGGGTACTGGGTGAAGATGATGCTATAGTGAATGCTTCCGATACAAATGATGATGATTCTGATTAAACTAGCATAAAATAACAGTAGCTGTCAAGCAAATTACAATGCATTTCCTGTTTGCAAAACAACTCACCTATATCCAGCTTTACAATCTAATATCATTATTATACTTTATGTATATACAAAAATTAAAAGAGGTTTTATGTACATCATTTCAAAGATCTATCATCATTAATCATTCTCCAGAGAGCATCTGCCTCTTTTGAAGTAGGATGATCAAATTTAGTTGCTCTATTTCCATAAATCAATCTACGAAACCATCTCTCTATATTTAAGAATCCCATGCTGCCAAAAGTATAATGCGGCTTATGTTTTGGCGTATCTCCCATCATTGTCAATTTTTGAACGTTACGTAATTTTTTAATATTTATCATTGTTATGATAACACCTTGTAATATCGATACAAGTACCACTAATCCAAATCCATAAGCTGAGTCTTCGATATAATTTTTCAAATTCATACCATAAAATGCAGGGAACAAGGTAGCAACAGTAAACCCTAATGTATAGACTGTAATCTTAAGCTCATATAGCATGAGTGAATTTCGATTCGTGTCTAAGATAATGTTGACTATCTCTTCGGTAGCCTTAATATCGCTTAATAAAGAACCAGCCTGTTGAACAAATTCCTCACATTGCTTGAAATATGACTCCAAGATCATTTCCAAGTCTTCACAATCCCCGTCACCAGGTTTCTTCGGAGCTGATAGGTACATTCCAGCCAAATCCTCATCATTATCGAGAAGTTCTTCGAGTACATTCTGAATTAAAACGGTCTTCTGATAAAAACTTGAAAGTTTTTTAGACTTGATTAATAAGTCTTGCAACTTATGTCTATCGACTTGATCTTCTAATTCTGCTAATATTAAACCACAATTAGCGGTATGAACTTTAAGTTCAGCTTCTAAAGAGCTCATGACACTTATTAGAATACTTTCCAATGCCCTAAATTCGTAACATATATTTCCGTTTTGTAGTTTCAATTTCATTTCAAGATCATACATGAACACACCAAGTTTAGAAGCCACAGCTGGATTAGATGTATCAAATATCATAACTGCATCCTTCTCAATAATAGCCTTGATATGAAGTAAATTTATCAAGATAGCTCTAGGAGGTCGGACGGTTATCAGAGGCACAACATCAACTGAGGATGTATCTATCTTCCTAAGATCTCTAGGAAATAATCCATTTTGCTTTAAAAAAGACATTTTGGGGAACTTCTTGGAAATTGCCGATATGTTACCTTTATCATCAAAACTAGTACAAGAAACATATGAATCATTAGGAGTAATAGGTTCAAGTTTATGGTAATTCAACTTTTCATGATCATACACATTTTGAATCCCATCCTGAAATTGAGGTTCAGGTGGCAAATCCTTTCTAATCCTATCCAAGATAGTTTGGTTTCGAGTTTTGGTGGATTTAAATTTATTCCACACATAGTGTTTCCTTTGAGAGACTCTAACGAAGTATAGCTTATTGGTCGTCGATCCTAAAGCTCTCGAGAGCATAATCAAAGTTTATGTCTAACCAAGATACTCTCTGTTAAGTTATTCCTTTAAAAACTTAGAATGAGGCTAAGGTACCACTCTAATGTGCCGTAAGAACTATAATTTGTATGCTAATTTCTTTATCAGGAAAATTTCGCAATACATCAAGTCAATTTTCACGAAACGTATGTCGTTGGAAAAGTCAGTCAATATGTTTTTGCATTCCTCTTGAAGAAAAAGCCTACAAGTAAATTCTACATTGAAATCAAGGAACTACTAATTAGGTTAATATGTCAGGTAGATATAAGAAAACAGTAAATATGGTATCGAAGGAGTATCGATGTCAAAGTTTAAGCTAGTTAAAAAATTTTCTAGTCTTAGAAGGTCCAAAAAGCTCGAGCCTGATGGCTGGTAATGCTTCTTCAGATAAAATTTTAAGTCTCTCTTCTAAAGTATTATCGACCTCAATCTTACCAGTGTCATTAGCGACAACTACTCCACCAGCGATGTTTTCATCAAGGAAATTAGTTTCATCAACTGTAACTTCAACGGAGAACTTCGTTTTCTCTTCAAAATATTTCGCTGCAGTGGCGGAAGCCTCCTTAGTAATATCAACATCAGATTTCTTTACCCTCACAGTTACTTTCTCTTCCAACAATGCCAACAACCCTTCCTCAATCAAGCCCTCTAAAATGGGCTGGTATTGGGATTTGTCCTTAGCAATATTTTTCAAGTCCTTTTCAGCTTCATCGAATATTTCATCCAAGACTTCCTCTTTGGTAGCTAAGATTCTCAATCTTGTCTTATTTCCAATTGTAGACTTAGTAATCTGCTGGGCTAAGGAGGCTTTCTTTAATTTTTGTTCGTACGCTGAATCGATTGCAGCGGTCTCGGACCTAACTAAGGATGCTTTTTCAATCTCATACTCTTCATCTGCCTTTAGTCTTATTTCTTTCGCCTTCTCTTGTGCCTCCTTTTCGATGAAGGCTTTCATCTTACGAAGTTCGGCGTTCACCTTTATATATGTTAGCTTTCAATTCTATAAATAAAGAAGGAAAACAGTTACTAGTTTACTTACTTGATCATCTGTTAACGACATTGTTTCGGTAATTATATTTAATATGATTTTAATGTTAGATGTTGTTCAAGACTCGAAATAGATATTGGCCTTATCAAGTTTTGAGTGGTAGGTTTTCTGGACACTTGTGCGAGACACTACTTCGATCAAGACGTATAAAATATTTACTAAGTTGACATCCATTAACTAAGTACGGGAGAATGAAAAAATCAGTGAATCGTATTCTTAACATACTACTATAAAGATTCTCAACAAATAAGTCATAATCCTAAGTTTTAGTTAAGTTTTACAGAAGAAATGGTATCGGACTTGGCAACAACAAATTTGTGTTGAACAACTTTTACTTTAATATACGATGAATTAAACAAAAAGGAACTCTTCTTTTATGTACATTTCCCATGTTGAAATGTGGATTGCAATAAATAAATAGACATTGAGATTTCAGCTCATAATTTTAAATGAGATCGTCCACGGCCTTTCTAAAAACCTCGACTCCCAAAAATGTGGCAGCATTAGCTGGAAATGATCTGGCCAATGCTGGGCCAACACCAGGGAAAAATGCCTTAATACCACCTCTTTTATAAATATTAGATGTGACCTTCATAATGGAGACGTTGGTATTAGACGACTGTTGAGTAGACTTAATCGTATCAACTGGAAAGACTCCTAACCACATAGCCACACCAGCAAATCCACCAGCAATAGTAATGGCAAACAAAGACAAGTCTTCACCTGGAGCAGATAATTTTTCTTTCAAATATTCGTATGTAGCAAAATACAACGCAGAGCCCGGTCCATCTCTAGCTAAGGTAGCAACTGATCCCTTGAAAATAGATCTTATGCCTCCTGTCTTGTACATTTCTTTAACGACAGAAGCCATTGAGGACTTTCCACCACTTTGAATTTGCATCATAACTTTGATTCTTTCGAAGGGAGCTGCAACTAATGTAGTAGGAACAGCAGAAATGAATCCAGCGGTTGAAATTTGAGGAATTGTAAATTCACTAGCAGTCACTCCAGTGTAAGAAGAGACCAATTTTTTCCCAACATCATAACCCCAAAAAGATACAGCAAACATAGGAGTGACTCCCAATAATGGAGGAAGCACACCTCGATAGAAACCTAGGGGCCCATCTTTAAGCAAGGTTTGTTTAAAGCACTCTGCTGTAGAATTATAAACACCGGTTTGTAAACGAACCTTGATCAAGTCAAATGGATGGCCTGTTAATACAGCACTAAAATGTGTTAGATGATGCTTCACATTACAACGCCTATCTTGTTAGGCTGCTATTGGATTTACTCACCAAATACCCCCAAAACCACCGGAAGCGAATGATTTCACATTATCAATCAAGACGCTGTCTACTTCTTCCATCTTTAATCTTATTATTTAAATTGTAAATGTTTCTAGTGTTCATGAAAATGAAAAATCTGGGGGACCCATATATATATGCAAAATCTGCGTGCTTGTCTATTTTTCTCTTCTGTTTTCTTAAGTACGCGAGATACGAAAGATCGAAGAATTAGCTACAAAAAGAATACTGAAAGCGAAAAAATGGGATACTATAGGGTTATTATTCTCCTCTCATTACTACATATTAACTCTATGTATATGCGCTAAGCTGGCATGAATAGTACTCAATATATACAAAAATCTATATCAAAAATCTCTTTGTGTGGGGTGACAGTTTTAGCGGCCTCGGTATTAGAGCGAGCGGGAGACTTCGCGCATAAATAAGTCACTTTTTAAATCTTTGACAAAACCATCGTAAATAACTTGGAACTCTTGAATAAAGAGATCTTTATATATTTTCTTCATTATCGACTTCAAGCTTATTTCTATTCGTTCCAAATCTTCGTCAGTATGTTCCTCTTCCAGCAAATTTTCCTCGATGTTTAATACTGCAATGTAGTTTGTTATTAGATCATAGTACTGTTTCGAGCCGACTATGAAGTTAAGAATGATTTCAAGAATCGAATATACCTGGTCGATATACGATCGCCGAGTATACTTTCCAACGACTGCTTCATTAAGAAGCGGATTTTGAGTAACCAGCAGAAGAAACTGCTCGTGGATTTTGATTAGTTCATCAATAGTTAACTCATTCATATTATGTGAGACTGTTGACGAGGCTAATCCTATGACCTTTGAGCCTATTGACTTGAGAAAATAGTCAGATATAGGAAGTTTTGATTTCATATCAGGAATATTGGATTTAAATATCTTTTCAACAATAAATTCATTAAAGTTATCATCAATAATATCAAAAGAAATGAACCTGACTAAAAAGTTTAGAAATTGAATAAGCTGATGACGAATTATATTAACAGTGCTAAATGACTTTAAAAGCCAAGCAACTTTTCTTTCCCTTATCCCTGGGCGTGACTTCCTGAGCCTCATTAGTTTCCTGTGGGTTTCTTTTAGCTCGGATCTTCTCATATTGCAGGCATCTATGAAATTGGAGTTCAACAAATATTGTAAATGCTTGATTCTCCAAAGAAAATTAAACATTTTTAAGTATTGTATTTTACCAGATTGAAGAATGCTGTGAATTGGTAAATCATCTAATTTATACTCTAATGTGAACACTTCCCAGACAACATGACCATGCGTAGGATCGAGCACCCTTGCGTCTAGCCTTGTGGAATATTTAGAATACTTGGCAGAGGAATGCTTGATGGATTCGGTCACTATCTTTGATAAGTAGCTTGTGGAAATGTTAGATGAGGAGTCGTTAAATATCGGACCACCTTGAAATATCAAGGCCTCTATCAAATCGTTTGACTTCATCAATAAGTAGTTCTGAAGACTCAGGAGATGCAAAAAGAATTCATTTTTCTCCTGTACTATGATAGAAAAGAAATTCAAAAGATCTTTATACTGAGTGTGAACTAGTTCAGATATTGTATTGAAGTTCATAGATTTGAGACCTGCATTAGCCTCAAATATAAATTTGGAATACTTTTCTCGATACCCATTAACCCATGTCAACTCTTTACAATACTGGGATAAAAATATTATCATTTTACCAATTTGAAGGATTTTCCTACTCAAATCCTCATTTATAAAAAATGGAGTCCTAGATGGAAGAAATACAACGATTTCGTTGAAGTTAAGTTTTTTAGTGTCAAACTTGATGAAAAATTCATCGCTACTGTCAATTAAGTCTCCGCATATAATCCAATGCTCTAATATTTCATAATAAGGAGTGATGATTTGCTCGAATATAAATCCAGCCAAAATTTTAACACGAGAATCCCCAAACTTTGTCAATTCATAAACCTTAGATATAAAATCATAACCATTTAAATGTAAACAATTGACAATTGAGTAAAGCAACCTTAATTTAAATATCCAGTCGAAAAGTTTGTGATAAACTAGCATGAGCGAGCTTGGCTCGAAGTTAAAAATCTCATTTACGTGGTCAACGTAAATATTAAGTTCTGAATTCAATGCTGTCAAGTATGCCGTTTTTATGGGAGAAGTTAATTTACCCTTATTAGTTTCGACAAATCTGCTTAATCTTTTGTATAATAATGCAGCTTCCAAAATATTTCGTAAAAGACCACTATAGCTTGAATTGAGATTCGTTGGAAGCTCCAATCTTTCATCATTTAAGAAGACTAAAAGTTTCGAGTCAGACCCAAGTAATGAATAAGATAAATATCTTAGTATTTCTTCTTCGGAAATGCATTCGTAGTATGGGCCGATAACCAGATCCAACGTCTTTTGATTTTCACCAAATTCTTTAGCCTTGTAAGGAGATGAAAGAAGTTGGTTCTCAGGTCGTGAACTATGCTTTATATTTGTAGTTTGAGATGGCAATTTATAAGGCGACAAGAAAGGAAGACTTTGACTCTCTCCCCGTAATGTTTGCAAAAAAACCAAATAGTTGGTAATCTGTTCTAGACTCTTATACTTAGTTAGAGACTCTAAAATTTCTTGAATTTTGATCCATTCATTCTTAAGCCCCTTGCTTAAAAACTGAATCTTTATTTGGTTGGCTATTTGTTTACTATCATATTTTTTTGATGTTGATGAACTGATATATCTTAGTAAATCATTTGTGACACTATCAACGTATTCTCCTCCAAGATCAGACGGTATTAATGAGTTAGCTAGCCTATGAGAGTAAAGCCGAATGACCTGGCTTTGATCTAGAACCATATCTTACTATTTTCCTCTTTAATGATAATAAATGATTTCGAGATACATGTTTTGATTTCGTAATATTATGGAATCAGAACGCGCGCCCATATCAATTTTTTGTGTCAAATTATCCAGAGATATTTTCAAAGAACTACTACAGCTTAATGTCCAACCACGTACATAGAGAACCATATAGAATAACTAAATAGTACTTATCGAAACCAGCAAAAATCAGAAACGTTTTCAAACGATGAATCGTAACCGCAAAAGGAAGGAAGGAGGGAAGGACGGACGCTCAAATCAAAAAAAGAACTCAAGAAAGCCTAAACTGCAACCACACCAGAGGAAACGGCAATAGGTGAGATAACAGGGTCGAAAACGTTTGGATTTAAAGCCTTATCCGACAAAGATAATTGACTATCAGTCCAAATGTGTTTGTTGGAACCAGAGTTAGCATCACCAACGCCACAAGAACCACCTTTTCTTTCCCAGTCACTAATTCTTGACAAGTTCAACTTCTTGAACACGGAATCAACTGCTTCAATCAAGTGATTTGCAATTTCCGGACTATGTCCAGGAGTTGGTGTGATTCTGAGACGTTCTTGACCAATAGGCACAGTTGGAAAGTTAATAGCTTGAACGTAAATGTCATGATCCTCCAACAACATATCAGAAGCAGTCTTCGCGTCCGCTGCATTTCCGACAAGCACAGGCACAATATGAGATGGGTTTGGAATCACTGGAATTCCAACATCATTGAAACTATCCTTAACGTATCTGGTATTTTTCTGTTGAGCAATACGATCCATCAAAGTAGCTCTCTGATATCTGATAGCAGCAGCAGAACCAGCCATAACGGTAGGCGGTAACGTCGTAGTAAAAATAAAGCCTGGAGCATATGACCTAATCCAATCAATCAAGTTAGCTTTACCTGTGACGTAACCTCCAACTGTTCCATATGCTTTACCTAAAGTTCCAGTGATCATATCAATTCTGCTCATTGCAGTCTTATTCTCTGGGGAAGCCAAGCCAGATTTCAAATGTTCTTCAAAGTCTAAGTGCTCAGATACACCACCACCATGTGGACCATACATACCCACAGCGTGGACTTCATCTAAAAATGTCAAGGCACCGTATTTTTCGGCCAAATCACAAATAGCCAGAATAGGCGCAATTGAACCACACATAGAATAAACAGACTCAAAAGCAATGATTTTGGGAGTGGATTTTGGATAAAGGGCTAATTTTTCCTCTAAGCTCGCCAAGTCATTGTGTTTGAAGATGTGTTTCCTGGCTCTTGAATTTCTAATGCCTTGAATCATCGAAGCATGATTCAATTCATCAGAAAAGATAACCAAATCCTTCATCTTTTGTCCGAACAATGACAAAACAGCGTCATTGGCAACAAAACAAGAGGAAAATACTAATGCACCTTCATGTTTATGCAATGCTGCTATCTCTGCTTCTAATTTAATGGCATGTAGATTATGCCCGGCTATATTTCTGGTTCCACCGGCTCCAGCACCGTAGTTTTCCAATACTCTTCTCATTTCCACTAATGTCTTCTCGTTTCTGCCCATACCGAGATAATCATTGGAACACCAAACCGTCACTTTGTCGGTTTCTTCAGCACGATGAGCCCTTGGAAATTCACGAGCTAAACGATTGATGTTATTGAAAAAACGGTAAGACTTGTCATTCCTTTTTTTATTTAATTCAGAGCTTAAAAATCCTTGGAAGTCAAATCCATTCTCATTGCAAGAAACATCCAAGCTACTGCCATTGAGATCACTCTCCTTGAACGAGTAGCGACTGCTTACGCTATCAGACACAGCAGGTACAGCAGTAGCTCTTGCTGAGTCTGATACAGTAGTAAATGTTCTGCTCAGCCCCTTAGCCTTCAATGCCATGCGCATGAAAGGGCATTGACGAGCTTGACTAACCAAACCTGAGTTCTTGCTCAACTGGCGTAAAGCTTGGGTCGACGACGACTTGACAAAGGGACAAACCTTCATCGAGGCACGGGTTACACTCTCCATTTTATATTCGATTTCTTAACTAGAAAACCAAGAGTGAATATTCCTCTTACGTTACTAGTAGCTTGTATTTAAAATTATTAAAATCGAACTTCGGTAATTTTTCCAGTGAAATTTTTGTAATCCTCGAGTTGTGACAGGTTGAATGTGATGTTTTCACCAAGAGCAATATCCGGCACAAAGGTTTTAAGTTCCGCTAATTGCAGTAAAGTAGTGCGAGGGATAGGTAGGCGAGAAGGGGTAAAATTCCTCCAACGAGAAAAAAGTCGCACCGGGTAGCCGCCACTCCCGACCGTCATTTTCCTAAGTCCAGCGCAAGGTCTGGGTGAGAAGAGTTGATCGAAAACTTGAATCAGAGACACAACCGGAAAGTCAATTTCTATGAAAATACTACAAGTAACCCACTACATACAGTTAAGCAATTGATTGGAACAAACCAACGAAAAAAACTATTTACAGATAATGGCTCAATATTAGTGAGGAGGTACGACATCGGCAATTATTTAACAGCCAAGATTGGAACTTTCCCCACTAGAGGTGATTAATACATAATAACTTGTTATCATGTCTCCTGCTATATCTCGAGATTAGCGACTTTTTGAAAATGTAACCAAATTGATAAAGTTTCTGTGCGCTGCAAAGAGATTCAATTTGGTGAAAGTTCTGTTCAGCTTGAAGAATGTTGTTGCGATCTGTATGAGTAAATGCAGGTTGACTCTGATGAGAATGCATCGATATAACATTTTAGCGTGGATATGACGAAGTGCTAGTCATCCTTAAGACATTAGTAGATCACTTACTCGCCACCCCGAAAATGCAAGAGACTAAGAAAGGGCAGCGTGTCTCTTTTAAGTAAGAAGTAAAATGTATTGTATATCTACGCAAAGAAAAGTAGGGTGTGCTATTATTAGTTGTGCAATATTTTGATCTAACAGTATGGCAACTTGTCCGAGCGGTTAAGGAGAAAGACTTGAAATCTTTTGGGCTATGCCCGCGCAGGTTCGAGTCCTGCAGTTGTCGGTTCACTTTTATTTTTTGCTTCCGAATCCAGTGCTAGTTATTCAAAGTAAGGAAACAGCTTCATGAGCCATACCCAATCCACATAGATAACCGCATCCACCAGCTCCATAATTGTGTATGACGTACTGCTCCGGAGAAAACTGTTCCTTCTCAATCCTAACGCCCCCTTTTCTAGATGGTCTCACACCTGCAACTACTCTCAAAATCTTCAAATCGGCAAGCTTTTCGCCAGAAAGGTTCTCACTCAAAAGCTTTGGATAGAGTTCGATTGTTCGCTTCAAAATATCATCTGTTTCGTACCCATATGTGCTCAGATCAAAATTTCCCTTTTGGTAGAAACCACCAAGAATCACTTCATCTGTATTTGAGTCAGGCCTTTTGATAATGTACGTAGATTTATCATCCCATTTAGAGACACATTCCGTAACGTGTGGAGCACTTATGACTACTACTTGTCCCCTAGTTGGGTATGATTTCTCATCCTCAACACCTCCAAGCTTCAATGAGCCGATGCCAGTACAGTTGAAGACTACATTTGTATCACCTTTAAATGCTTCCTTAATATGAAGAAGCTTCCTTCGGTTTACTGATACCTCTTGTTTTTTCAAGTAACTTAATAAGTTTTGAATCACCAATGGGCTATTAAACACCCAGGCTTTATATTTAACTCCAATTTTAGAATTCAGAACAGGATCCACTATCTGATAGTCGTCTAAAAATGCTTCAAGTTTCTTTAAGTATCCTGCGCTAGGAATCTCGCTCAAATATTCTGTCGAAGGAACAATTCCATAGCCAGAGTTTTCTCCTAATTTTTGTTGCACCCTACCAACATTTCTATACGTGTATTCACTATACTTAAAGTCATCTTCATCAATACAAGCAGAAAAATATGCCCCGGCATAAGGTGATGCATATTCAATGGATTGATCTCCTGGTAAATGTTGAGCAATTATTTCAATATCTTTCGGATTGATGTGTTCATCTTCAATAAGCAAAAAAGCTGTATATAGACCAATGATTCCCGCTCTATTACTGTTAATTATGCGTCTTTTCACAGAAACAAGGTCATTGACAAACGATACTTACCCTAATACTACGTATTTTGTCATTCTTTTCTTCTGGTGTGCCCTCGCTGTAAAGCGGCAATACTCTAAAGGATTATTTGAGGTTGATCAACGTCCTGCAGGTAAAATAAATTATGATATAAGCCTCAAATGCTATATAGGTAGAAGAAGTAAGAGCAAAAAGATAACGTTAGATTTCGAAATGAGAAGGTTGAGATTTAAAAGCATGAACTGCTGCAATCTGTATCAATTCATGTCCTCAAGTAAATGAGTTGTAGTGTGGGAAAATTTAATCTATTTCTTATCTGAGAAATTTCATAGATAATAATTTCTCAATGTTGCTTATGAGAAGTTCTACATATCTCTTCCCTATTTTCGTTAGGTATTACAGTATATAGTGACTAAGTGTATGTAAGTATGACGTACGGCTATTATCTTAAAAGCGTCGCAGCCCTGTGGCCCGGTGTATAGTGCATATCGCGTGACCTTTATTTACCTTAATGGGCCCGTGAGTATCACATATCTATCTACCACTCCAACTATCGCTTATTATAAATCAAGGGTCAAGTAATGCTTCAAAACAGATATAGTTTTATTTTCAAAGCCTAATATTAACTTATCTAAAAAATGGCTGAAGGAAACGAACAGAAGTTTGACCATGAGACACTAGGAGAGAAAAGGAAGTTCATAATTTCGACCTATGGTAAAAACTATAAAATTAAAGTGTTCTTATCTTTAAGGGCGATGGATTTGAATAAGGCAATCACAAGTAAGAAAGTCAAAACATGTGACTTAAAGAAGAACGTGGGTGTACCCGTTATCACTTCTAATGATAATGTCTTTGGTAGGAACGAATTATCTCTCAACAAGTGCTTTGTTCCTATCGGTGGTGACTTTGATCCAGAGATCGATGAACCTCAATTTTGTGAAGTAACGAAAGAGCAGCATAGTAGCTATAAGACTTTCAAATTTCAATTTACTCCTGAGGGTAAATCAGCTTTTACAGTTGCGTTATTTGCCCATAGACGCATTCCAATTTTAGATTTTGAATACAAAAACAATAGGTATAGATGGATTCGCAAGAGGGCTAAGTTTTCCCATAGCTATTCATATGATCTCTACAAGCTATCTGAAAAAGATCCATCACTTCTAGATGGATCGAATCGTCAGACTTTTGAATTGGACAACGAGAACGAGTTAGTTGGTTACAGTCTGATTTTAGGACTTAAGTCGAAACTACCTCAAAGTGAAAGGAATGCAAAAGATTATCTAGGCCAATTGAAATCTCAAAAGTCAACATCTTCCGTACGAAAAACTGCGGTGTTTTCTTTTATTGACTCTAGCTTCAAAACAACAGATGATCCAGAAGATATTAATTCAGTTGGTTTAGATTCATCTGTTTTTTTATGTTTGGCAACATATTTGAAGTATTTTGAAGATGAGAGAGAAAAGAGCGATAGTAGCAGTTACCATAGCGGTGAAAATGGTGGAGTAAATGTTATAGCGTAATTGTATTAAAGAAAAGTAAAGAAAAAACTAGCGATTGCCTTTAAAAGAAGTTTTAATGGCAAATAGTAGCATACTTTTCGAGAGCAGTTATTGAATTAGTACGTTCAAGATATACAATCAACATAAATATATAGATGTTTATATTCCCCACATCTAGTTAGAAAAAATTTTAATCTTTTATGCATAAGGTGCCTTAATATTAAATCAATCCACTCAATGTGAGTTTCTCAAGAAAAGGAGAAAGGTCTTCCCGTCTAATTTCGATTACAGAGCTGTCAAAACTATCAATTCTAACTTTAGCTCCAGAAGTGCTCGCAACCTGCTGAAATGCAACACTGAAAGTATTAAGACGCGTTGTACTTGAAACAGTTTCTTGCGCTTCACTACCACGTTTTTCATTAATACTATTCATTCCCCTAGGGTATTTAGGAACTAACCCTATAACAAGATACACGTCGCTGGACACATTCAAGCTTGCAACAATAAGGGGTCTTAATGAACGATTATTATTAACAAAATCTATCTCTGTTATATTATCAAGTAGCCAACTTCCAAGTTTTGATAACATTAAGGGATTACTGAATATTTCAAGGTCAGGTATTGATCCACTTTTTAGCACACATAATCTATACAACCTTAAATTTTTGATTAGTTTTCTCTCTAAAACAGATACACCTGTCTTAAATATAATTTGCTGAATCTGCTTGGCATGTTCTAGGCCCTGTAATAGCAAGGTTAGACCTCGCGACTTTTGTACATCCCATGAAGTATTAGATCGAGTCGCTTCCATGCTCAAAGCATCCCATGATATCCAAAAATTACTTACCCAAATTTTCTCTTTTTTATGTAATTGTGCAATTATGTTTCCATCAGAGCCAAAATCATCATCATCAATATTCTGATCTGTTATTGCCGAGTCTTTATCTAAAAGCCTCTTATCTAACTCCAAGAGAGCTGTTAAGGCTTCTACGCTCTCCATTGCAGATAACTGACCAGTATATCCAAATGTGCGAATAAAGCCATCTCTAACGATTCCTTCTAACCCATACAAGGGCAAGTATTTATTGAAGATGAATGGTAATTGTTTCTTGATTGAAATGTCCATATAGAGCCACTTTTGCTTAGCAATAGCTAAAGAAACTCCCATTTTTGCAAAGAGTTTATGCAACTTTTTCTTTCCTTCTTCGGTCCATAAATTGAGCTTTGCGTTCACTTGACTTGAATAAAGAAATGAATCATAAAGCGTCCAATGCCTTAATAGAAATAAATGATAGTCCTTACTGATATCCAATGATGTTGTATCTGCTGTTTTTTCGTTTTGTAAATTTGCTGAAGGACTTAATCTCAATACCTCATCCTTATAAAGTGGCTGAATTCGGTCGTATACCTCAGGGTATCTGTTATCAAGAGATGAAGTACCAATAATAGCCAACCACAAATTTTCAATGCTCGTTTCTCCAATTATAGATAACAATCCATAAATAGTCGCCGTCGTAGATGAGGAAATAGTTGTGCCTTGGTTATAGTAAGCATCAACTATGTCTTCAGAATGCGAAATATCAGCTCTCCGCTGTTTCTTCATTTTCCTTTCTTCCCTCTCCCGCTTTCTTCTTTTTTTTGGGGTCCCAGATTGAGAACCTTGTTCTTTTTCATCGGCATCAGTGCTTTGTTCGTCAAGCAGTTCTTCAGCTTCCAAATCACTTTCTTCAGCGGACAGGACATCACTCTCATCTTCTTCAATCTGTGATAATATCTTGAAAGCTTCGCTTTCTTCATTAAGATTTCTGTCAATGAATCCATCATCAAAGCAGATTATTGCTGAAGACCCAAATATATTATCCAAGTTCCACGGTCTGTGACCATCAATGATAAATATGCGTCTTTTCAGGCGAGACTTAAATATTTTATCTATTTTGGATAACTCACCATCATCCTCTACCGTTGTGGCTTTATATTCATAGTCTTCCAGGTCAATTTCGAAAAAGCTTTCTAAATCCAACATTGCACCACAGCCAATTAATATTACATTACTTACATCAATGTCTAAATTCTTGAAGTGAACTTTTAAGTCAGAATACCCCACAACGGGGATGAGCTGGTACTGTATTAGCTCTTTTTTCAATAGTACGCTCAAAATTTTGGCTGAACATAAAGAATCGATGCTTAAACATGAAACAAATATAATTAACTTACACGTTGAATGTGATAATGATGTACGTTTAATTTCCTTGAATACCTTTCCATAGTCTGAAGGTTGTATATACATATCAACTAAACCAACTCTCTATGAACGTGTATCCTATCTTACACATTAGCCTTAAAAACTTTGGGACAAAAACAACGCGTTCATATAAACCATAGTGTGCGAATCTCACAATTACGATTCAAAACTCAATTTCATTGCGCATTAGAAATTATTCACTTACGTATATATACCAAGACATACCGATATATACAAATGTAACCAAATGTATAACTTATTTTCCTGAATTTATTAAAAGCTGATCCTTAGTGGTCCTATATAAACAAGAAAAAAAGAGCATAACCACAAAATGTTACGCGTAAGAGAAGCTTCCAAAACTTCTCCGTGCCATGTCGTTAACATCCCAAGAAAGTACACCTCCTTCTTCACAACCAATCATTAATTTTCTATCAAACCAGTCCACTCCTGAAAGTTCCATTTCTCCATGAATATGATTTACAGACTGCTGGTAAGAGTCCTGGCAATAATTTCTGTAGGCAGAATTTGAGGAGGTTGCCGATTCCAACGAAGAACCCGAAGGGGGAGGCATAGATTCCAGGTGGTCATACATTATGTCATCATTTCTTGCTGCATTCAGTACCCCATTAAAAGAAGGACCAGCCCTTGTCGTTGGAGAAACTGAAATATGATTGTAAGCAGAATTATAGGTCGAATTCCATTGAGGCAAATTGAATTCAATAGGTGGATTGTAGGTCTCGTTTTCTTCCAGGCTCTTTGGTGGCAAGGGTTGGTAACTATAGTTCTTAAACAACTTAGGATTAGCATTAGTCAAATATTCTGATCCATAAACCAATGGCACTGGAAATTGTAATTCATCGTCTTCCGTGGCATCTTCCATATCTCCATATATACTTATTTGCTTATGTTGATGAAAGTCGCGTTTCGCATCATTGACTGAATCCATATCGTTGTCAATCGAGCATTCCTGTTCTACTTTAAGATCCTTTTCTTTTCTCATCTTTTCTTTATAGGACGCAAATTGATCGATAGCGAATGGGAATACAATAACTTGATGATCGTCAACACCATCAGAATTTAGATTCCTTAAATCGATCAAGTGCACTCTACCCACATGCTCCAGAACAACTAACATATTGTGAAGGGAATTATCTGAAAACTTACAGCATCTAAATGCACCTGATTGATGTCCTTGCCTAGTAGATTTGATCTCGACAATAGGCTTATTGTCAGACAAGTATCTTATATCATACAATAAACATGTTCCATCCTGGAACGCAGTTGCAAATAGATTGCCATTTGGATGATAGGACATCCCAAAGCCCGAATCATGGTTTGTCTTGATTTTCTTAATCCTTCCATCTTTTGACGTAGGATCAACTAAAAATATAGAGGATGAATCACCTGTTACATTGAGGATTTTTCCATTACTCGGACATTGAACAACATTATTCAAGGACGTATTAGCCTCACAAATAATTTTGTTTGTAATTGTGAATTTGTCGTTATTACCTATGTCGATCAGGTATAGGTTCGAGTCGTTATTACAAACATATGACTTAAACTGATTATTACTGTATTGTGATATCGAAACCGAATTGTTTATCATCTCCCCAACCTTAAATGTCCGTCTTACATCCAACTCTGGATTATAAAATGAAAAGAGACCCTTTGATGGCCTGCTACTCCTAGTATTCAAAGACAGCGGATAACTTAAACTCTCGACATTCATCGAAAAAATGTTGGAGGATGAAGTTATAAGCCCACCTGTAACAATGACACCATTAGCACCATGACTATAACAACGTGGAAAATAATCCAACTTTAAATGCTTTTCTGAAACGAGACCCTTTCGCCTTAATCTTCTGATAGACTCATCTTTAGTATAATATAGATCTCCATTACGTTTATCAAGTTGAATTAAATCTCTCAACTGCCAGTGGTTCACACTTGGCTTGACATCAGTTATGTATACTGGGTTTGGTTTCAAGTATCGCTGACCGTAATAATAATTCTGAAAGCATTTAAAGTAATTAGTATTCGTTACTCTTTGCGAATGAGAAGCGCTTAAAGTTTGCTTGCGCCCCTGTTGACTGGGAGTACTCTCTATTGTCATGATGAATCATAGAAATGAACCAAGTGGTCTACGCAAGGCTTCTAGTTCGATGCTTGCTCGTAATTATGCCGTGAATCTTATCAAATCTTGCAAAGTGTAGCTCTTATATGAAACAAGATTTCTTTTAACTATAGTTCAAAAGCGAGTCTCTCCGTAATATTACACCTTGAAATTATAGCTCGAATTCTTACAAATGCTAAATTATCAATCCTAAGTCTCCTAAGGTCAGCTCTGAGATAATCCGACAGTGATCAAGGAGCAATGTTCAAATCAGATTGAAATGCCACAAAGGCGTACCCCGTCATTTCTGGTTACGCAGCCCGGTAATGTCCGGGAGATAATTAGCTTGATGAGATGATCGACTCCTCCATATCTTGTGACCGGAGCGATGAGTAGTGCCAGGGTATTGAACACAGGACTAATTTGTAAGGCATGTTGTTCACACGAACGAGCACGAGTCACTCACCCCCAAGCTCGACATCACAACGGCACAGATATTAATCGCGCAGCTTATACACCGTTAGAGTCGCCAGGTTCAATTAGGTATTGAACAATAAAACTCTGATGAAAATATTACTGGAGCTGCTCCACATGTATGGTTGCAAATTCGAGTCCACCATTACTCAAAGGCACATCCAGGAGATACTTGGAATATTATCTTTCTCCAAAAGGAATGATGTGGTCTACTTTAGGTCCCATCGGCGATGTCATCTTAGACATGTACCCGACTTACTGTGTATAACACTATCGTTATGCGGTCACGTAACTGCGTTCAAAAGTGCAAGTGCAAATGTGTGAGCCAGGAACGAGGCATTGTGTTTTTCTAATATGTAGGTACTATTAATCTCATACCATTTCTTATCTTAATCATACCTGGAGGCAACGGGATCTTTTAACGAAGCGCGATATTTTAAGAGAAGTTCAGGATTATTTTATAAACCTCACTTTGAACCTGAGTCTACTAAATATACATATAAACGTTCCGCATGGCACTTAATTTTACTTAGACCAACACACATAGTGAAAGAAACGTTTTGAATCCTGTATATAAAAATTAACCCAAAGCTGATTATAGAGGAAACAGGGAAAAATAGGTTTGAGGGTAGGCAACGCCTTTTGCAAAGCAGTTTCTTATTAATAACAAAATAGTCATAACCCCATATATATATCCTTTTTGGAGTCTTTTGGCTTAATAATGGATTCGAAGGCTTATGATGTCCTTCCTATCTTGGAAGATGAAGTCAAATCAGGCTTCGTGTTACATAGTCAGATAGGATCTTTGTTAGATCATTTCCTCAAATACTTGAAAGAACCCCGCTACCAATCACCACTTACTATAGCCGAGCTATCAAACTTATTTCAAAGATTTTACAAAGATTTACAGTCAACTATTGTGGGACTTTACACGCTGTCTAATTCAACCAAAAAGCAACTCATAGCAAACTCGGAGTACTTTAAATCGGAGCCTCAGAAATTTGACTACTTGTTAGCAATTTCAAGCTATTCCTCTTCATCTATTAAACTAGTTAAAAGGTCTGATCCCGATGCACTTGTTCAATTGAGGATATTCAATTATTACAAATTCTTGAGAATTTTTGAATCCATAGAAAATGCTATCTTGAATCTTTTTACTTCCAAAAGCCTGGGAGAAGGTACTACTTTGTTTGAAAAGATTTTCAAATTTGATCAAAGGGATATAATATATCAAGAGTTTCTAGATGAAAAGCTAAGTGCCTTGAAAAATTTAGATATTCCTTTCTCTAAGTTCCATGAGGCAGATGACGAAGTACTCGGAACATTTCTTGAAAATTTAACAGAAGATGATATACTAGAAATCAACCAAGTGTTTGTTGAACTATCGCATAATATCACTCCATATTCAAAGCTCGTTAAGATTGTAGAGCTACAAAAACTTGTGTCGAAGCTACTTTCAAAAGTTTATGAATATGAAAAAATCAATAACGATATACTACTTCCAACAATTATTTATTTGATAATTTATAAGTTGAACCCAAGAGAAATATATTTAAATTTCGTATTCATTCGAAATTTTGTTTGTTTACTTGATCCATATAATATTGAATTGTTACAAATTAACGTAACCACTTCTTACGTTCCAACTATTAGAGATAATAAGTCCGTCCAAAAGCAAATTCGCAGGGCTAATTTGTTTCATTTACTAAACTTGGACGAAATGCAGAATAGAAGTCTAGAAGGGAATAACGCGGATTTTTTCAGCAATGATAAAGATCTTATTAATTACATTTCTAGCAAATTCTTGAATAATGGAGAATTAAATTTCTATTTAACTAACTTTGAAGCTGTAATTGTTTTCTTGTCGAACATACTTTTGTCTGAGCTAGCACCAGAAGAAAGCAGTACAAATAGTCTCTTATTACATTCGATTAATGTGCTTATAGATCAAGAGATATCTGCTCACTTTCAATTTCCAGAAGGAAAGTTAACAGAAGAGCTCAAGATTAAAGATGATTTTGAAAAGTCAAGTCGCTCAAGGTCATCGTCGCTTTTGAATACGATTAGCAATAAAATTACTGAAACAAGGTCAAGATCCAACAGCTCCATTGTCAATAGCTTGAAATCATCAAATATATCATTAAACAGAGAGAATTTCCCCACTTTATCTTCCAATGACGGCGATTCTTTAAATTCACCTGCGACTGAGGCAGATAACACTTCCAGTTTTGCCATGATGAAGAATATCATAGGACGGCTAAGTTCTGTGTCGGTGCCTCAGTTTCGGACAAATGAGGAAGTTTCAACACCAGAAGGAATGGATATTGCGAATCATAAGAGATCGACTTCCTTGATAAGTCGGATTTCACCGAATCATAGCAGAACTAGATCCTCGTCTCTTGAGACAGCTATACCAGTTCAACTGTCTAACAGAAATTCGATAACTTCTAAATTCACAACTGGAATGTCAGAATTGATGACAAAATTCAATACGAATATCAGTGATCAAACTAACACTGATACGTCTTCACAGATTCTTGAAACTATGAATCCATCAACATCATTGGAAACGCATGATACATCAATTATTACTTCACCAAGACGCCCAGACTATAGTAGGGGAAGAACTACAAGCTTGCAAGTCATGGATAAATGGTTCAATAATTTAAGCAATAGCAATAACAACGACCTGAATCACCAAGCCAATAATTTGACTCATTCAGATGAAGGTTCTATTTCATCTGGTTCTCTTCTAGATTTAACCAAGTACCAGAATGTTGATTTCGAATCGCTCAGCATCATCGATTTAAAAAATTTGAAGGCATGCTATGACCAGTTGTGCAAAGAGCTTTGCAAAGAATCTATTATTACAAAAATCTATGAAGAGCATTGATTTCTATATATATTTGAATTAGTCCTCAGGGTTTAGTCTTTTGTACCTGTATATACATATGATATTCCAGAATGATCCGTAACCAAATAGAAGAATATAAGAAAACACTAGATTCACGAAAATAGATGTGAGAACCACAATTCCATGTTACATGTCATCAAACAGAAAGCACGGTCGTTCATCTGATGATGAGTTTTCCATAGGACTGAAAAAAATAAAATTGGACTACTTGTTGGATAATTTGAAGCTTTGTGACGACAATGAAGAAAATAATACAAGTGCATCTGATCAACTGAATGTCTATGATATCAACCCCAATATAAAGTCTTATTCAGTGATCAAGACAACAGATGACTCATCTACTTCATTACCAAACATAACGTCTTACATTGCCCTGAAACTTGTATCCCATTATGAAAATACCATAAAATCCAATCTTTCACTAATACCATGGTATAATTATAAATTCTTAGTAGCTTACAAATTTCAGAGATGGCTACTCAGGATGTTCAATAAGTTTTTGAGGAAATATTGTAAACGGAATCATTCTAAATATAAGCCGCTAAGACTTTTCGATAAGATGATGAATTTGATTAGCCAAAATAAATTGAGCTTTCAAGATCTTTTGAAAATTGCTATCAAAGAGAATGATATTGAGCTTCGAAATTTGCGACATAAGTATGAATTGAAGGAGGTTTCAGAAGAAGATATTGAGGATGAAAGTGGAACTTTAGCTAACGTTAAATACAATTATTGGGATAATCTCAAATTTGATAAAGAGTTAGACATGCTAGATTCTGATTGTTCTGAACCAGAAAGCAAACAAAATAGCAACGAAACATTGAATATTCCTAAAATTATAGAAATCAGCGATGATGATGATGATGATGTCTCTGACGTAGAAATGGAGATTGATAGCACTTCCAGTTCCTATAATTCTTCCAAGTTTCTTAATGAGTCAAAATATGGATCTTATTACAATGCGCATAGAGATTTATGAGCTGGCTAGGCTGTGATACTCTTTAACATAACTTGTATATGTAATTAAAGATAAGATTATCATTGCAGGTTTTTTTTTTTTAATTTCTCATGATAACCTTTCCTGCACTAAATTATTTAATATATGAACCTCATCACACAGCAGAAGCGATCTAAATAGTCTAATTTAGACTTTAAACTCACAATGTCGGATCTAGAAACTTTGCCGAACGATATTATCCTTGAAATATTCTCTGAGCTAAGCCCGCGAGAAACAAGGGATCTTATTCTGGGTTTAAGTGTTTTATCCTCAAAATCTGAGAATAGATCATTAATAAATCTTTTGTATAAGAGATTATTCGGAGGAAAAATTATTGTTGAAGTATACAATAGTCAGTCTCTGACTAAAGACACAATCCTCACTATAGACTCATTCAAAGATAAGTTTTACAGTGGTGATTTCGAGAGTAAAATATTCTTACGAACAAGACCTAACATCGTTGAATTTAGATTTATAAGAAGATCAAGCGATTACTCAAATTTCCTTGGGAAACTATACGAATTTAATTCTTTATTAGAGTGTGACAATAGTAGCTTTTTGGCGTACCTCACTATGGCACTTCAATTAAATTTTTACCTTGATGGAAATTTGTTCTTAGTTGAAAATCCGGTCTCTTTCAGCGTAATTATCCTCAAAATTCTTATAAATATCTCGAAGGTCAAATGCTTGAGTCAGAGCCTCAAGAACTTGACGATCAAGTCTACTGACATTGGTGAATCATTTGTTGTAAAATGGTCACAGTTACTTGAGAGATTTTCTAATTTAGAATGTTTAAATTTAGCAAACAATTTAATCAAGTCGAGTGTTAACTATCAGGATGATTTACTATGCGTATGTTTCAAGTACCCAGCACGCTTGAAAGTTCTAAATTTGGATAGGAATTTGATAAATCATTTGACTTCTGATTTTCTAGAGATCCTACCCCATACTTTAGAAGTCTTGCTGATTGCTGACAATAGATTAGTCTCATTGAATTTTGAGTTCAGAGGGGATATAAGGATAATTGAATGCCTCCCTAACATCAAGCGTTTTATTTTGAATCAGAACCACTTTTTATCCTACATACATCCCTCGATATTCATTGGTGCTAAGGGCATCAGATTAGAAATTAAAGGTTGTAACCTTGAAGAAACTAATCTCAAAGAATTGAAAAGGTTAGCTGAAGTTCATTCATTCGATATTATAACATAATATGGTACTCCAGAACATATTGAGTGTCATATCCTGTATATCCGAACTCGCACTGAAGGAGATGAATTCGTATAAAATTCGCTAATAGTAATTTTTAAATTAGGTTTGAGTAAAGGTTATATATTTCATTGGTTATGAAATGCTTCCCTTAAGAATGCTAACCTTGCCAAGCGCGTGTATGAGGCAATGTTCCTATCCCCTAGGGAAATATTTTGCATCTTGTCAAATACGGCCGCTCGTTGCATATTCTTTGAAATATCTGACAAGATTGAAATCGGGAATCTTAAAGCAGAATGAAGTCGCACGAGGAATCTACAACATAAATGCTACGAGTCAAGCTATGTGGCTTTCTACATCGAGACCTAATAACAATGATTCATCTGAGAGTATACAGAGCCTGAGAATTAGAAAACCAAGTACGGTGCGTAAAGACGTTTTAAAGCTTTTGAAATTAGCGAAGCCAGAATACAAATTATTGGCGTTTGCTCTTGTTTGTCTAGTTATAACTTCTGCTGTAGGCATGTCTTTGCCTTTACTCATAGGAAAAATTTTGGACACAGTGAACTCGACTCCGCAGACGATACAAGCAGATGATCTTCCGCACGAAAAAGTTGTTGATACTTCGAGGATTTTAGGGTTGGATCCTTCTGTATTTTATACGGGCTTATGTGTATTTTTTGTGGTAGGGTCTGTTGCCAATTTTGGAAGAGTTTATTTATTAAGGTCAGTAGGCGAAAGGTTGGTAGCACGCTTGAGATCTCGTTTGTTTCTGAAAATTTTGGCACAGGATTCTTATTTCTTTGATATTGGCCCAACGAAGGAAGGAATGAAGACTGGTGATTTGATTTCAAGAATAACGAGCGATACGCAGATCATATCACGTACCCTTAGTAACAATATAAGTGAGGGAGCGAGGTCCTTTATCAATGGCATTGTGGGCCTTTCGATGATGTATTTTGTATCATGGAAATTGACGCTTTGTATGAGTTTAATTTTTCCACCGCTAGTCTTGATGTCATTCTTTTATGGTCGGAAAATCAAAGGCTTATCCAGAAAGATACAAGAAAATTTGGGTGAAATTACTAAATTTTCAGAAGAGAAACTAAATGGATTGAAGACAATTCAAAGCTTTGCTCAGCAGAGACTGGTAATTCATGATTATAATAAGGAAATAAAAAGAATATTTGCAAACTCGTTAAGAGAAGGTAAATTGAGCGGTGTTTTTTATGGCATTAATGGGTTCCTAGGAAACATTACTTTGATTGGTCTATTGATAATAGGCACACGTTTCATTACGGAGGGTGGATTATCAGTAGGTGATTTGTCAAGCTTCATGATGTATGCGGTTTATACCGGAAGCTCTGTTTTTGGACTTGGAAACTTTTATACAGAATTAATGAAAGGAATTGGCGCTTCAGAAAGAGTTTTTGAGCTCCTTGAACTGAAACCTCATATAACAAAAAGCTCCGGAAAGAAAGTCGATGCTTTAAGAGGCGATATTAAATTTGATAATGTGAGATTCAGTTACCCTTCTAGGTCCTTCACCGAAGTACTCCGTGGATTGAATCTAGTAATTCCTCAGGGGGCAAATGTCTGTTTTGTCGGACCATCAGGAAGTGGGAAATCAACGATTGCACACTTACTTTTAAGATTCTATGACCCGATTTCCGGCTCTATAACAATTGGTGGAGAAAATATAAGAGAGCTTAATGTTAATAATTACCGCTCAAAGCTAGGCTACGTACAACAGGAGCCACTATTATTTGCTGGTACTATACGTAGTAATATTCTATTTGGTAAGAAATCTGCTTCTGAGCAAGAAATATTAGGGGCCACAGATTTGAGTAATGCAACTGATTTTATCAAAAATATGCCAGAAGGTCTAGACACAAAAATTGGGCCATCAACTGGAACGCAGCTAAGCGGCGGTCAAAAGCAACGTATTTCCCTTGCTAGAACTCTCATTGAACGACCGAACATTTTAATACTCGATGAAGCAACATCTGCCTTAGATTCAATTAGTGAGGAAGTAGTCATGAGAAACATTAAAAAGCTATGCGAACATGATAATACGACTATTATCTCAATTGCACATCGCTTATCTACAATAAAGAACAGTGAAAGAATCATCGTTCTTAATAACATTGGCGAAGTGGTCGAAGATGGTAAATTCGATCACTTATACCTGCTCAATGATAGTCAGTTAAATAAATTACTCCAAAGCGATTTGGAATAAGTATTTAGATTTTGCATTGTATATATATATACCGAAGATCATCAGAATTTCAGTTTTCACATGCGCGCGGTATGATTATTGTCTTATAAATGATTATAGTATTATTTCTTTATACTATCGGACGATTAGAGATTAAATTCATACATCTTACCTCAAACACGAGCTGGTGTTGAATAGCCAAGCTGAGCAATATAACTGTTTGTTCTGCGTTGGCCTTTCCGACTTACGTGAATCGCCGCAAGAAAGAGGTATGATTGATAACAGATTGAGCGTTTCTCTACAATTAGAGGGTCATGGACGGGAGCAGGAGCATCGGAAAACCCAAGATGGTTCTAGAGCTTCAGATAATTCTTCAAACTCGGAAATTACATCAGAAAATCACAGGCGGCAATATCTTGAATCTGCGTCTCTTTATAGAAAATTTAAGCTGGCAATTATTCCTCCTTTGCAAAACTCGTTCTCATTCTTGAATTCTGGAATTGTCTCTCCAGCTGAAGAGTACTTAGGAAGTGAGAAGCATGAGGAGCTTAATGTGGAATCCGCGTCAAATGAGGAAGATGATGACATTGCTTCGGCTATTGATGGACTGAGGGTTCTGAATTATTTCTTCAGCTTGCTCACAACATCTATGTGTTCTGGTTTAGGCTCTCCACCTGTCATGAATTCAGAAAAAGAGGATGAAGGTGTGCGGAAGGATTTCAACAAAGGGGAATCCTGGCTCTCTTATGGCGCTTTTGAAGAGAGCAGTGATAGCGAGAGCGAAACTAAAAGTGGAAGTAATTCTTCAGAAAATAACATTCAACACAATTCCGAGCTAATAGAGAATGAATCCAATCCTTTAAATCTTCGAACCCTGCGTAATTCAAAAGGCTCGCATAAGAGCAAAGTCCGTGATGTCAGTAGTTCGTCAAGTATACCATATCCTCAAAATTCTTCAACTCTATCATTGACAAATTCTAAAAGTGACAGTAATATTGGTGATGCTAGTCTGCATGAAAACATGAATACACATGTCTCTCTGAGCGATGAGATGTCATCAAATAGAAACTTGGTAAAGGGAAGCCATCTGCAAAGTGACTTGCTTTCAAAATTTACACCCTTTCAAGAATCAATTTTGAAAAATCTAGATCCTCATTGGATTGAAGAAGGCATTTTGATAAAATTGAAAGAAGACTATAGTACTATTGAGTCTCAAGAGGCACAGAAAAAGAAAAATGCGTTGAGAATTAAGATTGCAAACAAGTTGCAAAGAGTCTTTGAGCTCTCTAACAATGACTATTTCTATGGTAACTTTAGTGCTTGGTTAATAAAAGATGTTTTGCTTCAAGGTCATTTATATCTCACGAGAGACAGCCTATTATTTTTTGCATTTCTTCCAGATCGGTACATAACGAATAACTCTGACGAGGGTGGCTATAACCAGGATGACTCTGACTTAGTGATACAATCTGGATCACTAGGTCTAAAAACAGCTCAATATGGTGATTCGATGTTCAGTACTGTTATAACTCATCGATATTGGGCAACATTAAGATCAGATACTTTAGCAATTTACAACAGCTCAACTGATTTGTATTTTCCTAGTATAGTTATAGATCTAAGAAGTTGTGTGAAGGTGGAAATTATAGACAAGCCGCAACCTAATAAGCAAGTATCTGCTGCCGTAACTTCGCCGAGATTATCTCGCCGAAATTCAAGTGATATTTCAAATTGGACTGATGATGAGTCAGAAATTGCCAGTATATTAGGACAAGAAAGTTCTGACGAAAATATTGATGAATTGACGGATGGTATTTGGTTTCAGTTAGTATCGAAAAAGAAAACATACAAGTTTCATGCTGATAACTTATTTACTGCAAGACAATGGTGTAATAATTTGACCAAACTAATCTTCCAACTACATAATGCGAACTCCAAGAACGAAGTTTTAATTAAAATTCCGATTGAAAATATTGTCAGCTTTGAAAGAAACGGGATTCTCAAGGATGATGCTTGCGATAATAATCAGGATGAGGATCCAGCACTTACTCTTAGTATCAAATATTTAGAAACTGAGGAAATACAAAGTGCTTCTGCCTCTAGGTTGAAAAAAACTTTCTCAAAAAGAACGAAAAAGACGTCTGTCATAGATTCTCTGTCAATGGACCATCAAGTTGGAGAAATATATTTCCTTTTTTTCAATAATGGTGAGCGATTATACAAGCAATTTCATGATATTGTGTATAAAAATCACGGCTACGAACATAATGAAAAAATGGAAGGAGAAGTGAAACACGAAAACTTTATAGATAAAGCAAGAAAGATGGCTAAAAAACATTCTTTTCAAGATCAGAAAAACATTGCTCGAAATATATCGACATTACTGAGAAATGGAACAACGAATGGTTTGGTGAGCCAGGTCACGCAACCAAAGGCTCTGACTACCAATAATTCATCGCCAACTTCACCCAATAGCTCAACATTGTTACAAGACTCTGGCATTAAAAGGCTAGGGAAAAACTTAAGTCACCCCTCAAGTTTTTTTGTAAAAAAAAGCGATGAAGGATCTGTTGAGTATCTGAAAAAGATATCCTCGAGCCCTCTCCTAAGTGAGGATTTACATCAATCGAAAGATGGTGTGCCCACTTTTCTGTCTGATTACCAGCATATCAATTTGCCACGGCCTTTATCAGTGAGTGGCTTAAAGAATCTACAAATGTCTTTTGAAACAACGCAGAGAAAACTAGAGGACGCGAATACTAGATACACTGACGGAAAGAATGAACCAGAAGATGCCTCCAATGACTCTTCTAAGAATGATTGTACTTCTAAAAGGCTCGAGTCTGACCGTATTGATACGCAAATGTTTCCTAGTCCTCTAATCTTGAGTGATCCTACTGACGTTGAAGTTCAATCGAAATCAGGGCAGAATAAATTAAAAAACCTCGGCAAACATCTTAAAGCACTTTCTCAAGTCAGTTCTATGTGGACAGGTCATCCCAACCATTTCCAGGCTGTCTTCGAAGGTGACCCTTATTATATTCAAGAAAAATCGACTAGAGAGGAGTCATTGGAACATTATAGGTCACATTTCACATTAAGGAATGATAAAATTTTGGTAGCTTCTTACTATGCTCACTTGCGAAGGTCGATCCCTGTATATGGAAAGCTATATTTAGGTAACGATGAGCTTTGCTTCAGGAGCCTACTACCTGGTGTACTGACCAAAATGATACTACCCTTGAGAGACATTGAAAATTGCTACAAGGAAAAGGGTATGAAATTTACCTATTCAGGTTTGGTGATTGTAATTCGAGGACATGAAGAAATATTTTTAGAATTTAGCTCTCAAAAAGCACGAGATGATTGCGAGCTACTAATCTTAAGAGAGTTGGAAAGAATACATGGAAATGATAGCTGGACTCCTCAGCCACATGATTGGGGTGATAATTATTCTTTTGGTTTGGATAATTTAAGGATGGATCATTCTATGTCTGTTTCTGGATCTTACGATGACCTGGATATTAAACTAGCTTCCTCTCGAATTGAAAATGCCAGATTAAAACTTTTTGAAGATAAAGTAAATGCGGCCGCTGGCTTGGACGTCCCTATAATATTAGAAGACTCCCCTTTTTTTAAAACTGAAATTCGACCTTCGACTTCATATAACTTTACGTTATTGACTATAGGATCCAGGGGTGACGTACAGCCATATATAGCCTTAGGTAAAGGTTTAATTGCCGAGGGTCACAATGTAACTATTGCAACTCATAAGGAGTTTGAAGGTTGGATCAAAGGACATAACATGAGCTTCAAAGAGATTGCAGGAAACCCCGCAGAATTAATGTCTTTGATGGTGACTCATGGATCAATGTCAGTTGCCTTTGTGAAGGAAGCCAGTAGTAAATTTAGAGGTTGGATTAACGATCTCTTAATATCAAGTTGGATAGCATGTCAAGATACTGAAATATTGATTGAGAGCCCCTCTGCTATGGGTGGTATTCACATTGCGGAAGCATTAGGTATTCCTTATATGAGAGCCTTCACTATGCCTTGGACTAAAACTCGTGCCTATCCTCATGCGTTTATTGTACCTGACCAGAAAAAAGGTGGATCTTATAATTATTTAACTCATGTCATGTTTGAAACAATCTTTTGGAAAGGAACTTCATCCCAGGTAAATAAATGGAGAGTGGAGCAATTGGATTTGCCAAAAACTAACTTGAGCAGGTTACAGCAAAGCAAGATTCCGTTTTTATACAACGTTTCACCAACGATTTTTCCACCCTCTGTGGACTTTCCTGACTGGGTAAAAGTGACAGGATACTGGTTTTTAGATGAAGGTTCAGCGAAAGATTACTCGCCGCCCCAGAAGTTAGTTGAATTTCTCAAAACGGCTAGAGAAGACAGAAAGAGAGTTGTATACATAGGTTTTGGATCAATTGTGGTGAATGATGCGAAGAGTTTAACAAAGGCAATCGTTGAAGCTGTCGTAAGTGCTGATGTTAGATGTATTCTAAATAAAGGTTGGTCTGACAGATTAACAGATAAGGATAAGTCAGAACCTGAAATAGAATTGCCGATGGACATTTTCAACTCTGGTTCAATTCCACATGATTGGTTGTTTCCAAGAATTGATGCTGCTGTTCACCATGGAGGTTCCGGTACAACTGGTGCTACTTTAAGAGCTGGATTACCAACCGTAATCAAGCCGTTTTTTGGTGATCAGTTTTTCTATGCCTCCCGTATTGAGGATGTGGGGGCAGGTATCTGTTTGAAGAAATTGAATTCGAGGTCTTTGAGTAAGGCTTTAAAAACAGTTACTACGGATCTCAGGATCATTGAAAAGTCGAAAAAGATAAGCGAGAAAGTAAAGCGTGAACATGGTGTCATGTCTGCCATTGAAACAATATACTCTGAACTTGAGTATTCTAGAAATTTGATTTTGGCAAAGCAACAATACAATGAGAACTACAAAAATACGCATTCTAATATGAGATCTGGGGCTACAACTCCAGGAGCACATACGCCACTTATTTTCATCGATGAGGATGGCAATGAAAGTGATGAATTTAAAAATCAACGTGATCGTCTGGCATATAGTTCTGATGATGATGATGATGATGATGATAGCGATGTTGACGATGATGATAACGATGATAACGATGACAATGGTAATGATGATGATGTCGTAGATATCGAAGCTACTGAAAAGAGATGATGATGTAAAAAGTGACCATGCTTAGGGGTATAGGAATTATGACTCTCTTCGATTAATGGCAAAGGGCTTTGCAGCCACACTAATGAAGCGTAGAGACGGAATAACAGTAACTTTCACCCAAAATAAAGGATTTTACATTTAAATCTTGAGTTCATGGGCCCTCTAATATACTAAATAATACCTTTTAATTGAGTAAGTCTGTAGGAGGTTGCAAACGACAATTTTTGGTGTAAGTTCGAATTGTGTACAAATTCTTTCGTTCACGTGTACTTCGAGAATCAATAGTAACGAAATAGATTTTTCTTTGACAAAATCGCCATTAGACTTCCAGTACTTGAAGATAATGAAAAAAAAAGTTTCACTAATTTTACTGCATCTGTTCAACTGCTAACTAATTAAAAATCTTATGCTATTCACTTTAATAAGTCGATAACTTTTTGAAAAAAATCAAGTATGACTCAAAATCCAGTATATAAGGATATCACTGAAGAACAAAGAAAGAATAATCAATATGCTAGACTAGTTCCTGGACAAACAATAGTAGAAGTTCCCACCTATACTTTGGAATGTGGTGAAACTCTAAAAAATTTTCCAGTTGCTTACAAAACTTGGGGAAGACTCAATAAAGATAGGGACAATGTGGTGCTAATCTTCCATGCCCTAACAGGCTCATCAGATGTTCAAGATTGGTGGGGTCCTCTTCTTGGGACTGATAGAGCATTTGACCCATCAAGATTTTTCATCGTGTGTATAAACTTCCTAGGTTCGCCGTATGGTTCATGCTCTCCTGTCACTATTGATAAAGCAACAGGGAAACCATATGGTCCTTCGTTTCCTCTCGTTACCATCAAAGACGATTTAGGTATTCAAAAGTTGATATTAGACTCTTTGGATGTACGTGCAATTGCCTGTGTCGTGGGGGGCTCTATGGGAGGTATGATTGCAATGGAGTATTCTGCGACTTATGATAAGACAGGTTACGTAAAAAGTGTTATAGCTTTAGCTACGTCAGCACGAGCCTCGGCGTGGTGCATCTCTTGGAATGAAACTCAACGACAAAGTATATTTAGTGACCCAAACTATGATGATGGTTACTATTATGAGAATCCAGAGGGTTCAAAGCCTAATTCTGGATTAAGTGCTGCAAGAATGGCGGCACTCTTAACTTACAGATCTCGTAACTCATTTGAAACTAGATTTGGTAGAAAAAAGCCCTCTGACAACCAAAAGGCAACCGAAGATAACAGAAAGCAAGAAGAATTAGAAAAAGGAATCAGATATCCTCAAAATAAGGATGAAGAAAATTGGCTTTTGCACAATGAAGGTTCCCGGACTTCATTAAATAGACTCAACCTGCGCTTGGAATCGTCAAAACCACAAACTTACTTCACAGCTCAATCATATTTGAGATATCAAGGAAACAAATTTATTAAAAGGTTCGATGCTAATTGTTACATATCTATCACCAGAAAATTAGACACGCATGATATCACCAGAAATAGAGTACCCAACTTGTATCTGGATGAAGATCCGCTTCCAAAGTATTTAGAGACATTGACACTTCCACACTTAATTATTGGCATCATGTCAGATGGACTATTTACTTATAGTGAACAACAATTACTTGGAGAGCATCTTCCGAATTCGAAATTGATACAGCTTAATTCTCCTGAAGGACACGATGCATTTTTATTGGAATTTAAACTTATAAATGACTACTTTATCGACTTTATGAAGGATAAACTCTCGGAATTTTTCGATCCTTATTCTGATAAAGTTCAAATATTCGATGAGTGGGAAAAGCATGTTCTTTCTGTTGATAATAATGGAGATTCTGTCTTCGGTGAGGCAGAGAAAAATATCACGAATTGGTGAGTGCTCATACGTTTATTAGAAAACAGAACTAAATAGATAATTACTTTTGACATATAACAAGTTTCAATTTATGTCCCAAGATATTCACTTGAAATTCTAGACTTCGAATATGTAAGTCACATCTGACCTGATCTTTCTGCTGTTGTTTAATTGCGCGACCTCTTTCTTTTAGATGAACAAATAGCTTTACCTCTGAAGTCCTACTATCAGAAGATCTTTCAAGACAATTGATCTGTGGTCAATTTTTTTATATTGTAAATACGCTTGAAACTGGCTCACTATAGTTTTCCTAGAAGCACACTACTATTCGCTGCAGAAAATTTTACTAAGGAAGACTGTTATGGTACAATATAAATAATTCGTATGAAGGAAATAAGAACAGTCACCGTGTGGTTAACGAGCTGCTTCACACTTAAGACTAACAAAGTCCTTAGTTATGCAAATTCGGTAGACGTTTTCAATCTAATAATTTTGGGAATTCGAATTTTGTAAACTGCTCCAGTCAAAGTTTGTATCATTACTCATGCCTATCTTCATAACTCCCGAAGTCTTTGTTCATTTATGTATCTATTAGGCTGACAATTTAAATCACAATAAAACTGGAGGGTTGGCCGAGTGGTCTAAGGCGGCAGACTTAAGATCTGCTGGACGATTGTCCGCGCGAGTTCGAACCTCGCATCCTTCACTATTTTTTTTAAGTTTGAATGTATATAAACTTTCTCAAATAAAATTCTATTGCTTTAAGTTGATTATTGTAGTTGAGACAAGCAGACCGTATGAATCATTGCTCTGTGAGGGTTTCTTCCGGTGAATCTACAAAATCTTTTATTGACAAACAAGTTAAAGCTTTGATCAAAGAATGCGAAATCATCAACAGATTAGATATTCTTTCGTTAAATGATGAATGTGAAGCCATATCATCTCAACATGGGAAATATTGTGAAATGGAATATAACAATTTAGCTCAATTGTTGCTGGAGATTGTTAAAACTCTGACCATTGATAATTTGATTATTCAAGCTGAAGCATCCTTTCAGATTCCTGAGGATACACTTGATGAAACAGATACATTTAGTTTTAATACACGAACATTCTGTGTGACATTAAAGCTCAAAGAGTCATCATTCCAGTCTACTCCGGGCTTGCAAAAAGTAGGAGAAATCAAAAGATTAAAAGAAACCAAAAAAGGACATGGATCCAGATGCTTCGTGAGTTATTCATATTCTATCCAAGTCGTTTTGTCGAGTGGCTCTTGTGTTCCAGCAGAGCTAACCTATATTTTAAATAAATTATTTGGCAGGTGTTCGTTACGTTTATCAATATATGGGGATAATGAGCAAATTTCTTCGCTGATATTTAACGATGTGAAAATGGTTAGAAAAGTTCTTCCCTCTGAAATTAATGTTCAAGTGTTTAGGGAGCTAAACTACAAGGATCGTCATGAAATGGCCAATGTCCATGAATTTTTAACGCTTTTGTTCATAAATAATACTGAGGTTTCACGACCGTCGGATGATTTTATAAGCACTTATGTCAACCCTGAGACGAAGGTAGGTTCCTTGGTTCAAATGAGACGAGATTCTGTGAAAAATATAAACCCAGCTGCTCTTTACGACATATCAAAGCTTTCTTTTTTTGCACTTAGTATTCTCACTGGAAGATCTCATATTTTAGTTTTGAAAGGATTCCCTGAAAATAGAATCATATCTTGGATATCTACATAACTTTAGTAAGAGTCCAAAAAAAAATTCAAATTAAGTAAAAAGAAAATAGTTCTATTACGATTTAAAAATTACTGTTATTGCTTCATTAAGTCATCTAACAGGAAACCATAAAATGCATCTCCATTAGACTCAAAATTCAACTCACCTTCAGTAAAGTCACCATTTAATGCTCCCGCTGTTCCATTTAACGGACCAAAACCGAAATCATTTTCGAGTCTTATATCCAGAACTCCACTCTTAAAGCTCATCATCTGAAGCCACATGTCGTCAATTTGTGTCATGGATACATTCTCGGGCGCCATCTCTTTCATAGAATCTCCATCGCCTATGTTACTATATGTCGAGGTGGCTGATGATGTACTTCTTTCTGTATCTGAACGTGAGACTCGCTTTTTTGAATGCCAGGATCTTTTTGATTTCAATTTATGTATGGAAGAGTTTAGTATTGTTAGTAGCTCATCAAGCATTGAGCTATTGAGCTGTAAACATTTTCCACGAATTTCGTCTTTCATCTGAAAATAAAACTCCTCAGAATTCATGATCTTTATTGCAAAAGACTGGCCCTTGTTTATTTTCCAAGCAAAATAATATCTATGGCTCAATCTAGAAACAAATTCCAATATCACTCGATGACATTCCATCATTAGATCTGATACTTGAGACAACTTTACGAAAACCAGTTCGTAAATTTTGTCTTCTCTAAGCTTCAATGCATGAGACTGACTCAGTTCCATTTCTGTGAGTTGGAACCGAATTCTTATAAATAAGCTATTTATTATCAGGAATGACTTGTGAACAGCAAGCTCGAATGCAGGAATGACAACCAAATCGGTACCACGTTCGAAAATAGCTTGTCCATATTCTACCAATTCGTGATGAAAAGGCATTAAATCACAAACAGTCACAACAAGCAACTTTTTAAAGTAGAAAAATGCGAGCTCCGTATTTTTCTTCTTCTCATAATAGTTGAATAAGTGAAAGAAAATTGATAATAGAAACGAATCAACTTCAAAATAAAGCTTCATTCTAGATGTCTTGTAAAATATCTCTGAAAAATCTATGTTATTTGGATAAATCAGGTTTCTCAAAGCTGCAAGCTCTTGCATGAAATGATACTCTAAGATATCTAAAGCACTAACTAGATCGTTCACAGAAATGGGCGATCTGACATTCGATATCATTTGCATTAGGCGACACAATGGCTCATATATTTTTTCAAAATTCTTAAAAGTTGCAGTTATAACTTTCTCTTCTTCATTGCAGCAGGTATTTTCATTACCCTCTTCATAGTATGGAAGTTTCGTGTCAAAAGAATCTGGACCTATGAGAGACGGCAAACCAGTTGATGTTCCTGCTTCCAAATCGAGAACTAATAGTATGTACCACATCTTTCTGCTCAAATTATTCATTTTCTGATCTGGAAACTGTTCTCGAAAATTATCGGGATCTCTATTTAAACCCATTAAGTAAGCCATTTGAACAAGTAAGGCATTAAACGTTGAATAATCATCACCAGGGCCATCGCCATCTTCAGGAGATATTTTATGATAAAGCCTCAAAAAAATAGTTAATTGGAATATGGTAATATTGATGTTTTTCAGCAAATTAAATTGATGAAGACAGTGGCGTGCTACCTCAATAGCGTCAATATTGATCGGATTGTTCAACATTAATTTGATATCCTGGACTTCAGGAGATGGATCCTGTGACAGTAAATTAGCCATGTTAATCGAATTGACATTTGTGAATAAGGTTAAATATGATGATCGAAGTATGATTAATAGAAGCCCTAAGTATGCAAAGTCCAACTTTTTTTCCAAAATAATTTTTATTTCACCCAAGTCACCTTCTTTTCCTATCAATCTCTCTATTTCTTTTTTCATGTCGCACTCATCGATAACTGGGACGAATGGATACAAATGAGTAAAGAAACGGCTAAAAAGCTTCCAAATTATTGGCCTTGCAGGGAGCACTAATTGAATTTTTTTCACAAGAACCCATTCTCTATCAAGTTCGCCCTCATATAGCATGAGGCCGACCGAGATTCCTTTCTCATTGAATGCAGATTTTGCACGATTTTTGCAATTTTCAGTCAACTTTTGATCTGTGTATTCCTCAGAGTTAGTATACTCATTTCTTACTTTCTCTTGAAAGTCTTTGTCAGTACCTTCATCATTATTAGGAGACTTATCCTTGGAAAGTCCGAAAACTTTCTTTCTCTCTTTATAGATTTGTTTCTTTGAATTAGCATATTCAATAATGTGGGACATAGCCGAATCCATCTTCATCAAACTCAAAGCTGACAAAGGACCAAAGTGGACTCTCTGTATAGGTTCTTTGTTACTTATTGCAACATATCCTTCGTACAAGTTTATCATTTCGTTTGGCGATGGTCTTGGATTGTGCCCAAAATATTCATCTGCTTCAGCATATCTTCCTTTTTCTGTATTAATGCCAGCATCATTATCAGACGATGCATAGATAGCATCACTATCAATATCTTCAGAAGGAAATGGCACACCTTTAACTGAATCCTCAAGGCTCTTAATTTTCTGCTTTAGATAGCTCAATTCGTTCTGTAGACCCGAGAAATCGGCTGGATTGTCAAGCTTTTGTCTCTTGTTGCTTTCTGTGGGAGAATTACGTTTAGTATGCTCTGTGTAAGTACAGTTTGCATTCTTATACTTTGTACAAGCACTACATGGGTTACCAAGATCGCATTTTATCTTGCGTTTCTTGCAAAAATCGCAAACTTTAGTAGCACGGTTTCTCCTCCTCGTAGATGAGTTTAAATCCTCCATATTCTGAAGTGAGCCCTCTTCTTTAGGACTCTTGTCACCTTTTTGTTGTTTTCACTTTTCACCGTTTGTTCCAAATATAGATACTTTTGTGAATTTATATTTTGATTTTGCCTTCGAGCTCGAGCAAAGTCAAGATTACGGAAAAGGTTGTTGTTTAGTACAAAAACAATAAAATCTAAACCGGAGCATCTGTTATGGTACCTAAGAAGTTTTTGCTACAATTAATTCAGAATTCTCTTACTGAACTCGGTTATCAAGATCTTGCCATACAATTGGAACATGAACTGAATTCCGAGAAGGAGTTTAATGATCCTACAAATGATGTAGAACTAAGCAAAAGTAAATACGTGAACTGGTTTAAAAGTGAGCTAAAGACTGGTAATTACTCAACTATATTAGCGCAGTTGATGTCAAGCTTGAATAATTTGGAAAATGAAATGGCTGTGGATAGTGATGATATCCAATTTTCCAATGCGTCAGATGTTAACTTTCTTGAGTTGTTGAATGACAATCAGAATAGCAAGAAGGTTCTTTTGGTTGTAACTTATTTCATAAAACGAACTTTCTTGTTGGAGTGTATAGTGCTAATGTCCCAGCCCGTAGATAACATCAATGGTGATATAGGTAAATCATCAATAGTTCAAGGGACCGGATTGATTGAGTATTTAAGGGATGAATTGATGCCTATCTTAGATTCTATTGAAAATGAGGAGGGTGAGCTATATGAATTAAACAATATTTTTGACTATGAAGTTTTGAAGAATTTATCAAGAGAGAAGGAGACAAACTTGTTCTTACCCTTTCTTTTGCAGCTACCACTTACGAAAGAGCATTTGGTGACGGCCTTCAATCATATTGTACTTTCGAATTCAACTATTGCTACTGACTCAAGTCTGTCGTTTTTAATCTGCTCATTGAGAGATCTGCTCCTCAATAAATGTCTATATAAGGTGTTCAAGAGTGGTATCCAAACACATGCTTTGTCTCACTCTAGCCTCCCAGTGAATTGCTTAGAGAAGCTCATTGAACAAGCAAAACTATACCAAGATCTGCAATCTCCATTTTATTTATCACCGAGATCAAAAGCAGATACTTTTATCGATATGTCGATCCCTTTCAGTCGAGAACAACATGAAGCTAATAAAAAGGCATTTCCGATACATTTATGTCACACGTTGTCTGAGCATGTAAATGAGGTCTGGTTTGCAAAGTTCTCTCCACTGGGGCTATTCCTAGCATCTGGGTCTTTGGATGGGAGAGTCATAATATATGATGTTTTAGATTCCTTTAAGGTACTTCACATTTTGGAATCTAATGCAATGTTGGACAACCAGGCATTTACGCCATTTTCCAAAAAGACGTCTAGCAATGCTAGCAAAGCTGTGATATATTGCTGCTGGGATCCTGAAGAGCGCTATCTTGTTTCTTGCCATTTGGACACAGTAGTCAGAGTTTGGTATTTGGGTGATTTGTGCCTAAAGAATACACCTACTCAGGAAGCCTCTCCAGAAGATCCAGTAAAACTCGTTAGCTGCTTTACTTTGGGTCAAAATATCCGAACATGGACATGTGAATTTTTACCCAAAACAATTGCATCTAAGCAGATATTTATTGTAGGTTCGCTTGATAAGGTCTTGAAAGCATTTGACGTGGATGGTGTGGAAGTTTTTGACTTTTTTGGGACTTCTGATGACAATACATATATTAATGATGAGATGAAAGGTGACGATGAAAAGCATAATAATATGAGTGAAGAAGAAAACGACACTCAAGATAAGACAAAAACTGATGATCCTGAGCTTAGCAAAAAAAAGATTCAAACTACTTTTAATAGAGTTAATGATTTGGGCATAACACCGGATGGTAAGATTTTGATCACTGCTAATAATGATAAACGTGTCAACTTCTACCGGGTGCCAGATCTGCTAGACGAACAGTCGATAACTACTAAGCTCGCAACTTTAAATTTGAATGGAAGGTTGACATCATGCTCGATATCTTCCAACAACCGATTTCTCCTTGTAAATGTTGTTCCTGAAGAACTTCAGGTTTGGGATATTTCAAAACTTTATGATGATACAGGAGGACCAACATTATATAAAAAATACTTCGGTCACAGTCAAAGTGCAAATATTGTAAGGTCGACTTTCGGATATTTAGCAAATGGTGAAGAAGAGTTAGTTTTAAGTGGAAGCGACGATGGTTTCATTTATTTATGGAAAACTAATACGGGCCAGTTAATTACACGGGTGAAAGGTCATAATGGATTGTGCAACTCAGTCGACTGGAACAATGGCTATCAAATCCGAGACAATAATAAAGATTATGGTAAGCTTTGGTGTTCTGTTGGTGACGACAAGACAGTAAAAATATGGGGGCCCCCCGATTGGAATGGGTAGTTCGATTTTCTGCATTCGCTTATAATTTCTGTTCTTTCTTTTTTTATTTCTTACTATAGACAAAGAGAATAAATGAATTAGAGTTCATCGTGTTCACCTTTCGTAGAGCTTTCTTCTGATTCTTCGTCATCTTCGACACTGCCTTCTGCAGATTTTTGCTCCTTCACTTTATGACCATCAACTTTGTCATGACTGCTTTCTTTAATGAAATCAATCAAAGAATCTAAATCTCTCGGGCTTTCATAAACTATAGATTCCCTGAAGCCTTTCTCGTCGACCTTACCATTAGCTGGGTAGAAAATCAATTTTGGGAAACCATCAATGACTTCAGAAGTTTCGACGTCATTAGCAGTGGCATCAATATTAGCGATCACAACTTGAGAATCCGGCTTGTTTGAGTCATATATAACTGCCAATTCTTCCCAAGTTGGGGCCAATTTTTTGCAATGACCACACCATGGAGCATAGTATTTGACAAAGACATCCTTACTCAAATCTTTCAACACATCGTCATGGTTATGTGCAACCAATTTGACGACTGGCAGATTTGTTACCTCCTCTTCAGTTGGCAATGGCTCAGACTTGATAATTGGTGATACTTTGCCTGCAAGGAAGTCTTTAACAAAGTCTTCGATGGCTGAGACTGATGGACCTTCTGGATGTTCAGATTGATTGATACCATATTTTTTATTAGTCTCGAGATGCTGGATTGCAAATAATGGGACAATTTCAGGGTCCATATTCAAGGATTCGGCATGTCTACCGAAAACCAGAGCATCCAAGCCAACAAAATTAATTTTGTTCTTGTAGGTCTTTCCGAGCTTCTTAAGAGTATTCTCGACAGCCTTTCTCTCATCTTCGGTGTTGTAAAAATAGTAAGCTAAAGGTAAAGGTGATGACATATACGTCATAAAATTTTCTCTCCCAATGTCATCAAAATAAGGAATAACTTCTGACTTAACGAAATCTGAGAGAGCTTCTTCTGTAACGTCACCTGAAAACTCTCTGACATCATCGAACTCAGAAGGATGAACCACTAAGTATTTATTCTTAGAAGGACTTAATTTGACGTTAGAATATTTCGAGTTTAATTCTTTAATCAAGTCTTTAGAATCGACATTAATGAAAGTAAAATCATTCCTCATTTTAGCGGCAATTGCATTAAAGGTGGCATTAGTTGCTTCCGATGAAGCGATCTGGACAATATATGGTTTGGTCTCTTCAAGTACAATCTCTTCAAAATCACTTATGTTATTAGCGACTATGACTGGTGGCAAAGATTGCTGGACCATATATTTTGCAATTCCATCAGCGTCCCTGGGTCCAGCGTAATCCTCAGGGTCATTTTCTGGACCTCTCAAAACCTTCAAAGTGGGATATCCTCTAATTCCCTTCTCTGAGCACAACGACTCTTCAACAGTACAGTCAATTTGGGCTAATTTGATATTTGGGTGTGAATCATTTAATGCGTCCGCAGCCTTTGAAAACTCCGGACCAAGTTGTTTACAATAACCACACCATGGGGCAAAGAATTCTGCCAAAATCAATGGGTTCTCTTTGATAAATGATTCGTATTCTTGACCAGTTAATTTAACGACAGCAGAGTCAGGATCTGCAGTGGCTTCGCCATCGGTAGGACCCCCAGCATGTACAGAAGTCACAGCGGCTAACAAGACAGCCAAAGTTTGCGTAGATATTTTCCAGAGCTTCATAACGTGTGCTAATTTTCTCTCTTCAAAGACTACTGATCAATATTTATAACCTAGAATAATAGATTCTTCGGTGACAGTGGATATTTTAGAAGATTCGCTTATTAAATACGATTTTCGAAATTATTGAGAAAATTAAAGATAACACGTAAACCAAAATTTGACTGCGTGCGACTGTACCAATGCTACGTTTGACAGAATTCTAAGTGTAAATGAATATTAAAGTAAGTCTGAATTATTTAAATACCAAAAAACTCTCTCCAACTGCCCCATGACTCCGTTTCAACATCATATATGTAGGCCATGCTATGTCTCAAAGAGCTTTGCAAGTACTGAGGTTGGTAATCATATATAAACATCACTAATGCCCATGTAAAGACAGCAAGATATTTCCAAGATTTGTTATATATAGTCAGTTTAAGTTTCTTCTGTTGTGATACTGATAGGTCTTTGTATATGATAGATTCGCCATTAAGTTGATACAATTTGGGTTGGTAACAATTGAGAAAAGTGTCTAAAATAATCTTGCACAGAGCTATCATAACTCTGGAAAAGCAGTATAAGGTTATTTGGTGTGTAATTCCAGGATGAAAGTAATTGAAGTTCTGGGAATAGACAACCCATCCACTTAAGCCTCCAGCTAGAAATTTTACGAGTCCTGAATTTTTACTACCCAATGCAGCGTCATTGGCCAATATTTTGCAAGCAATCTTGTAAATAACGGCAAATCCTGCTAAAACTTCAGCATGACTCTTTGTTGCTTTTATAACTTGTTTCAATCTTGGTTTAAGAGGCCCTGATTGGTATAAGAGATTAATCACTAATGCATGCGAGAATCGCAACTTACCACCATAAACTATACCATTTCTCGAAGACCGTATAGCCTCTAAGATCGGACGATAAAGGCTATTATTCAATATTGACATCAGAAGATCTTGACTCAGAATTTATTCAATCAGTCTTACTCGCTAGAATGAGTTTTTTAATCACTAGAATCAAGCGTTTTCAGGGGCGGGAAACTTTATACACAAAGCGAAGCTATTCACGTCCTTGTATAATATCCCCAGATTAGTATTATTTATTCAAGTATGTCCCAGCCACCTCAAAATACAATATTATATAATTTTCACCTGTAATTTCTAAAAAAATATGTTGTTAATCTTTCATACTCGGTACAAAAGCGTGGAGACAGTCTCATTTATGGCAATACCGTTTAGAGGTAATATCATTATATTGTGCAGGACCTCTATTTAATAAAATTGTCATTAGAAGTAATAGGTTAGCGTTGCATTGGGAATAAGAGCTGCATCGTTGGTAGCTGCTCTTACTTTGCATGAAATGCTATCACTCCTTTCTGGAACTTTCAATGATTTCTACTGTATACCTACAAGAATTGTTTCAGAAAAAGAAAGGAATAATCTGCTTCATTATTTCCAACTTTAATGAGGTGACTACATCATTTCATTCGAACGTGACATCGTATCCGTAGTTATCTTCGGCTCCAAGAATTTTGTATCTGTGCGTCTTCCGAATAATTGTCCTGCCCACATCTGTCTCTTACCTCGCATTCTCTTTCTCTGACGTTAAAATGAGGATTTTGGGGTAGTGCGACGATCTGGTCCACACCCATAATGTCCGGTGCGAACGCTTAAGGGAATTGTTAGGTTCAGACAGACAGTATGCAAATCATGTAGGAAAAAAAAATTTATGAGGACATTTTTGGTAACAAACTTTTTAGTGAGCGGTTAACAAAAATTTTCAAGTTACCGCCAAATCAATCGCTTTTAAAAAATCTTTTAGGTTGTTTCTTAACTTGAAAGATACTATTTCTTACCAGAGTACCGTCGATCAGGGAGGAGTACATAGGTAAATCTGCTGCATATTAAGATAACGCTTAAACATCGTCCCAACGTTCTGATATAGGTGCATAGCTAACAAGGGTGGCTAAAATATTGCAAAGGCAAATAGGCTCTCCAGAAGGTTCTACTATCCACGAGAGCTAAAGCATACTCAGAAAATTATTTCACGTAGCTTCAGCTTGTGAGACAGTGCAGTTTCTTTAAAAAGAATAGAGAAGCACTCCTAACAAAATTTATACTCGGAGCACGCTTTAACAGTTAAACGCAGATACGCAACTCACAAAGCTAGATCTCAACAACTATTCAAGTTTTTACTTTCGTCTGTGTATTTCGAAATGACATCCACTGTATCTTATGCTAATGTCGCTGCCAAGGGAACCAACCCGGTAGACAAGAGTATGGAGCTCAGTAGTGAAACAATGAGTGCTTTTGACTCAAGTAATCTGGTAGACACTAGCTCAAACGTCTTGTATCTGGTCAAGTCTCCCAATTCTGGAAATAACTCGGACACCACACTTTCTGCTTCGAATCAAGAGACTGGTGATAGCGACGATATTCCCTTGTCATCGAAATCGATACCTGTTAATGAAGGCAAGAAAGAGAAGAAGTCTCTTGCACCAGCACCTGTTCCTGAAAAGTCTGTATGGGGCTCTAATGGTTTACCCCCTAAGGATGCACTGTCTTCTGTTAATGTTGATGAGCATAAGTGGCCGACTCCAGATAAAGTTAACCAATTGGAGGGTCAAAACCAAAATAGATCTCAACTGCAGAAGTTCATCAAGCCAATCACGAATAAGTGGGTACCTATTAGTGCTAAGGTTGTCTTGCCAAACGCAAGAAACAATGGCCAGAAACAAAACAGAAATAGGAAGAACAAAAAGCAAAGTAATGGTGGCAACACCAATGTCAATAGTACGACTTCTGTCTCGCAGAACCAGACTAGTTCTAGGAAGCAGAATGGAGGTGTTAAAAACAATAATAAAAATGCTCCCAACGGAAATCATGATCATCAATCCCCTCAAAGTGATCAAAAGTCTGTAAATAGTTTTTCAGCTGGTAACGCAAACCGTGGAGTACCAATTCTGGATGTCCCTAATGATCTTGTATTTAATGGGTCCGAGAATTCGGCTTATATTCAATATCAACAATTCCAGCAACCTCCATACCAGCCAATTCAACAGGGTCAGTTTCCCCAGCAACAATACCAGGAGGCATCGAAGCCAAGGTACAATGCCAATGGATCACTTTCTGGCTTCGGTAAGAATAACTACAGGCGCTATAATGTTGCAACGAATACTCCACAACAATACAAGCAACGATTTCATGTTGGTAGTCAGCTGCCATCTCAGAATGGCTTTTATCATCCACAGCCATTAGTACAAGGTCAAGGTTTTCCTAATTTTAACAATCAGTTCAGGCAAAATCAATTCAGACCGCAAGGCTACCCACAAATGAGTGGGTATGCAAATGGCTCATTTGGTTTTCCGACACCAGAGGTTCAAATCCCCCCTCCAATCTCTCCAAAGCAAGAACCTCAAGAGGCTTTGAAGCAGCAAATTGATTACTATTTTTCATTAGAGAACTTAATTAGAGATGTCTATTTGAGGAAAAATATGGACGAATCGCATGGCTGGGTGTCTTTGCCATTTATTTTAAACTTTAAGAGGGTCAAGATCATCATAAATGGAATTCAGAATTCAATTGATAACAAAGAAATTGACGCTGACTCAATAGTTTTGGACTCTATACTTAAATGCGAAAACTTGGAGATCAATTATATTAATGACAAATCGGTTGATACCGCCACTGTTGATGATATTCAATTGAGGGTAAAAGGGAACTTCCGCCAATGGCTTTTGCCTAATGATGCTTGAATCTAAATAGGTTTGCAAGCACCTCACTGTCCTTTTTTGCATTGATTTCTAGTCTTAAGTTTAAGATTAGATTATAGAATTAATGAAAGCATAGGCATTTTTACGGTGACTTTATAATATCATTTAATTGAGCTCACTGTTAAAAGCCCAAAAAGAAAAGTTATTCAGAAAAGAATATAAATTCATGCATTAGTTTCAAAAGAAATGGTTGGAACTATTAATTACTGATATCAATATTTTGACTATTTTTTTTTTTTAAGATTAAGAGTGACGTTGACAAACTTTGAATTCTCTATGCTTGGAGATAATTCATTACTATCTGAAGAAAAATTGCCAAAAAAGAAAAAACTATTTAAAAAAAATTTACTTTCGAAGTTTTAAAATATAATATAAAAACATAAAAAAAAAGTATAACCTTATTTATTATTTGATATGATGACCAATAATCAACGCAGTTTACTTTCTCTATACTTTGAATATAAATTATTCATAAACATTAATATGTAAATTATCTTAAACTCACTAATTAGGTTGCAAATTGCAATTCATAACTTACAGCCGATGATAGGAACCGATACATTCAATGAGGGTATTAGTATAAAAATATGAAGTAAATAGCTTTAAATATCTTCAATAGAAGACATTTCGATGTCACTGCTACGCCAAGATTCTTCACCTTCGGGTGACCTTTTACCCTTGGGGTTCTTTATGATAACTAAACTTTTGGTGACAATTTCATCAGCAACTTCACCATCCAATTTATCCAATTCGTCACGAGGTATTATTAAGGGCCAAATCCATTCCGCACAAATTGCAAAAAACATCAAGACTCCAGGAAACCCCACGGCTCCTTTTGTCAATGTGATACCAAATTCAAATCCAAATGCAATTAGTTGCAAAACTAAGTAAATATAGAACCACTTTTTATTTTCCAACTTGTCAATCTCTTTAAATACCTTAGGACAGGAAGGGTCATTCTTTATATAATCTGATTCCATGAATACATACCTAATTTTATTTGTAATTATATTCCCATTCAATCCTGTGATACCCATTATAAAAAACAATCCGGCCAAAATAGCTTGCGGTATTAAAGCAAGAACAACTAAAAGAGGCTTCGTTAACAAAACAAACGTTAGCATTCCTTGAACCGTATTAGTGATTCTCTGTTCAACTACGGAAACTGCTAAGCCGCCACTGTCATGTATCACTAGCGAATCTGTATGCAAAGGGGCTTGGGGTATTAAACCATTAGGAGGTGGTAGACCAAGAAGACCAGAAATGCCTGTAGTAATCCCAAGTAAGAAGAAATCCCAATGAAAGGCTGATGGTTTTTTGAGGGGATAGTCTTTCAGCAGACACATTAATGAGGATACATTGTGATCAAAATAAAATAAAAACGTCAAAAGAATAGCAAAAGGTATTGCTAAAAACACATCTCCTACAGAAATATTTTTTCCTGGCCAAAAATGTATAAACCAGCCATGTGGACGATCCATACCACGATCAGTGGGTTGAAATGAAGTAGTGGTAGGCAAGGTAGCCAAGTGTGTGTCTTTAAGGTGACCACCAAAATGAATAAATCCTGTGAAAAATATAACTGAGGCTGGAACCCCATAATCTGAGAATAATTTACGAATTGATCCTTTGAAATAATGAAGTTGTTGTCCCAAGATACCGGACCCAACGCCACATATAATCATGCACAAACTAATCATAACAGAGCAATAACCACTGGCTAATCCTTCTTCAGTAAATTGTTTGTCTAGAATCTGTATTCCTTTCTGAATATAAACAACGCAAATAAAGAATCCAAAAACATCACAAGAAAATGTACTAATAATCTTCAAGAATGAAACCATGTTTCCCAAAGCTATGACAAAGTGAAATAGCATGGACCACAAGTATATCCAGCACATGAAAGGAAAATAAGGAGTTCCTCTGGGTTTCATTAAATCATAAACTGTATAGCTGAAAATAGAGATAGGGCCTGTTACCCCAACAATGCATAAAGGTTGCCCCGAAAATAATCCAAAGACAACGCCCGCAATTGCTGAACTCAATAAGACTTCGTTTACTCCATATTTTTGGTCCGTTTTATCTAGCATATCCTGAGCAAATGCTATCGCCGGTAGCACATTGGTGAAAAAGATGTACGTTATCGAAGGAATTACTCTATAGTTCCAGGCATCTTTAAAGTCAGATACATAGAATGGTAATCTATTTCGTATATCCCGATATATCCCAAAACCAAAGTAACTTAACATTGTGAATGAAATCGTCTCTGCTGAACCTCTTTCAAATAATATAATAAGTTCAATGTCCTTTACAAAACATTAGTCATCTCTACTAGCGAATCTCCAATACTTTTCCTGGTGCACGTGCTGATTTAGAGTATGATTATCTGACTCAAAATAAGCATCTCCATAAATCGTTATATAAGAGTTACCATTCATGGCTCTGCTCTCTTATCATTTCATTCAGGCATACTTATTCGTAAAATGTTTCAAATGTAAGAAACACTTGAGGGTTGTATAGCAATTTTATTTTCATATGTCAAATGTAATAAACGTTATCACACTTATGTAGTTTTGTTGACTTAACAATAAAGAAGTCGCTCGCTATCAAAAGTCATAAGGTGGTAGGTGTATATCTTCATTTACTAGAGATTTAGAACTAAGAATTAAATGATTTACAACTCTGGGCAGTCATGTGTATTAAGAGATATATATTTATATAATTGTACCTGATAATCGCGATTTGGTGATAATTAATGTAATGGATCCTTTCTTAATTGTAACGCACATAGGAGCGGGCAACCACTCAATTTCAAAGAGTTATAGTTACAAACGGCTACTTAAAGAAGCACTTAAGCAGAAGGATCTAATTTCTGCAAGTCAAGTCTTAGAGGCCTCAACTTTAACTAATACTGGATATGGGTCATCTTTAAACCTTGAAGGTAAAGTTAAATGCGACTCGAGTTTTATATATTTCGAGAATGGTCTAAAATCGCAAGGGTCATTATATAACGTTACTAAAAAGTATCCGATCCTGGAAACTGTTCGTTGTTATGAATTTTTGGATCTGCTTTATCTGCGTGAAATCAATAACATGGGATTAACAAGACCTTTGATCTTGGATCATGATTCGATTTCGACATTTCAAAGGCTAACTTCTCTACCTAATCCGATTGAGACCAGTGATCACAATATGGGGAATGAAGACTTGGTCATTCCAAAGATGCATAAGATATATGAAAGATATAGGGGAAGGTTATTTGAAACCGGGAAAAATGCAGAGCTTCATTCAGAACTACGAAACGAAATCTCAGATACAATAGGTATTTGCTGTATTCAAGAAAATAATTCTTACGTCGCAACATCTTCAGGTGGCAACTTTTTCAAGTTGCCGGGGAGAATAGGTTGTGCTGCTATAGTTGGCGCCGCGATCGATTTTATTAGAAGAGAAGGGTATGAAATTTGGTGTATGTGCAGCGGCAATGGTGAAGATATCATACAGATGCAGTTGGCACATTATATTGTGGGCTCATTAAACCTCAAAGATCCTTATGACTTTTGCCAAAATGTCGTTTCATTAATATGTGAACGCTCTAAATTTTTTTGCATGAATGGTATTAATAATGACGGTGAGCCTATAGTTTATGTAGGTGTGGTTGTTGTCATAAAGTGTCTCGCAGACGATCAATGTCATATTGTTTATTGCCATAGCACACAATCGTTTTATTTTGGGTTTAAATTGCATGATCAAGAGGAAGAGTTGATAATAAGTAGGCTTAAGCAATCTTCTAAAGCTGGAAAGACTTTTGCGAGAGGTGAATTCAAGGTATCTTCAAAACGCTCATTTAAAAAGTAATTGGTTAGTATTCAAAGGCATATACGGCTGATGCAAGATGTATATCACGAAGACTAAGATCAATTAATCTTTCAAGCAATGTCCGTTTCCTGTTACTGTTGGAGATTATTAATATGTAAAATAGATACATGTATATATATGCTATTTCAAGGAACATACAATTAAAAGAATATAAATTCTTTCAAAAGAAACCCACCAATATACTTAAAATACATAGTTAAATTGGTAAGATAACTTAACGAGAGGTAGCATGCACTTTTTGGAAAGCACCCTTTTGTTGTTGCTTAGAAACTCTAGATTGAGCACCAGCTGCAGCTGACTTAGCCTTTTCAGCCTTTCTTGAAGCCTTAGCTGCCTTCTTAGCTTCTTTGTCCTTGGCTAATTTTTGTTCTCTTGCAGCCTTCTTATCGGATGCCTTCATTGACCTTCTTTCCTTGATCAACTCCAAAGGAGCACCTACAATAGCTCTTTGATGCTTTACGGCTCTTCTAGATCTTCTCTTAGCAGTTTCTTCAGAGATACCTTTCTTGTGCTGTCTTCTGTATAAAACAGTCCAAGCAATCCTTCTTGGGTTCTTTCTTTGCTGAAACAAAGAGGCAGATTTGGATGATTGGAATCTGAAGATCTTTGAGTCACCTCTAACAAACAAGGTACCTCTACCTGGATAGATTTTTGAACCAGAAAAGGAATCGATTTCAACCTTCATTTTTACTAAAAATTGTTAGTACTCTAAGAAAATTTTAATCACTCGTTGTGTCACCAGGAGAAGCATACGAAGATTTATCTAAGTGTGTGAATCTAATTAGAATATGTCTTCATAGGCCCGTACTTTTTTCATGGGTAAATCTCTCCTGCCGCGTACTGACAATATTTTATTCATTCCTAGAATATCTAGATGCCCCAATCATTCAGGCTACTTCAAAGTAAATTCTGGCCCTCCTTTCATTTATTAGTCGTCTTCTATTTTGAACCTTAGCCAAGCCGTCACTTAGTTATATCTAACGCTATTCACATGCCTCGTTGTATTCAATGGTCACCATCGAGTATTCTGCAAACATTTACATACCTCTATCTTATATCAATATATTATCCTTTACTAAAATTGTGAAAGTAAAAATTTTTGAACAATTTTTCAGTGATTATTCGGGCCCGGCTCACCATTTTGGAAAGACTCTACTTAAAAAAAAAAAGTTAATGTGACACAAAAATACTAAAGTGTTACACAAATATAAGCAGCCTATGATTATCTCAATGTACGTGCATACGACGATAAACTATTGAGACCTTAAAGTCATTTGATTTACACGTGCTAAGATGACTGCTATTAAATGAGTTTGACACTACTGTCGCTGTCTTACTATGTGGCGCCTCCACTAAGGTCGCTTTTACAGTGTGCATATTATGTAAAAATCATACAGGAAGGGTAGTCTGAATGAAAAAAAATTTTCATAGCCTGAACATAATACATCTTTTTCTATTATATTTCAAAAGAATACAACACCTTCTTTCACTTAATTAATAAAGACCGGAGTGTAATAATACAAACACAGAGATGGTCAGTATATTTTCAGATCCGTGTCGTATTGGGAAAGGCTCTAGTCCAAGATGATTGCAACTTGTTCTCACTATTACTAGCTTTAAACAGTAACCATAAGATGAAGAACTTTAACAAATTGGGTAAAAGACCAGCGATATGGTAGGTTCAAGAAGAATGGTACTATTTCTGACCCAATACGATCTATCAAAATTTGATATTTACTAACATCGAATAGGCACCAAAATCCGCAAAGAACCAAGAGAACATTAGCGCCAAGTTAGGTTTAGTTATCAAATCTGGTAAATACACCTTGGGTTACAAATCTGTTGTTAAATCCTTAAGAACTGGTAAAGCTAAGTTAGTTATAATTGCTGGTAACACGCCAGTCTTGAGAAAGTCAGAATTGGAATATTATGCCATGTTGTCTAAGACTCAAGTTTACTACTACCAAGGTGGTAACAATGAATTAGGTACTGTCTGTGGTAAATTATTCAGAGTTGGTACTTTAGCTGTTATCGACGCAGGTGACTCTGATATCCTTTCTAGCCTTAACTAATTAAATCTACGTTTTGTATAGTAATAGACTGGACTTTGATCTCAATTAAAAAATTACATTTGTACATCCGACTCAGGCTTGTGATGATCGCTATTTCTTTTGTTTATCATAAAGTTACTCTAGACTCAATCGTTGTCTCTTATTTAACATGTCTTCTAGCTCCTTGATTTCCTGTTCTTCTTTTTTTAGATACTCGTCAATATCAACTTTTTCAGAGCTGTCTTCTTGGCTTTGTTGTGTCAATTCAGACCCTGATTTTACAGGGCTATTAAGGTCACTATAATTTATATTTAGATAGTTTAGCTGTTCTCTTTGATGCTGTATTTCATTTTCCAATCCTTCCATTTCATTTGCAAGCAAATCGTATTCACTTTTATATTGAACCAACTTTGTTACTAACTTGTCATAGCTATTAATTAAATTCGGATATTTCTCAATTGTCTCCAAAACTTTAATGCACAACTCTCCCAAATTTTTTGTCTCTGGAATCAAGTGAATTCCTTTGCTTGAATTTGATTGTGATCTTGTAGGGGATGAGTTCAACTCAAGTTCAGGATCATTCCTTTCAATTATTTTAGGAATTACTACTGCTGTACGCTTTTCTTCGTTTTTTCTCCGTAACATTTGCTCGTTAAAACTTCGATTTACATAAGACGTTCTTCCATCAATTCTTTCTGGACTCACATCGAGTCTAGTGTCCCTATCGTTGACTTTTTTAATTCTGTAAAGTGAATTTTCGTCTGGGGATGGGTCTTTTAATAACTTTGTTATTTCAGGATTGCTGACAATCGCATTAGTAAAAATACCTGGCGAGTTGAATTTTAAGTTCTGTAGCGACTGAATCGACTGTTCAGAACGTTCTAAGAAGTATGTTATTGAAGGCATTCGATAATTAATAGATATAATAATATATCATACATTTTTTGTTTATGTTTTGATAACGCTTTACTTATGAGAATATCAGTCCTGCACTTTGATCAAATCATCTTTTTGACACCAAAAAGAGATCAGAAAAAAGTCTAAGATGTAGAGTTTTCATTTTTGATATGGTTGTTGACCTTGATAAATATGCTAAGCCGGGCAAGGGTTATTATTTAGCATTAGGCTTAGAGGGTTCTGCAAATAAATTGGGCGTTGGTGTTATCAAACACAAACTAGGGCAACTTGACAAGAACAACCGTGCCGAAATATTATCAAATATCAGGGACACGTATGTCACTCCACCAGGGGAAGGCTTTTTGCCAAGAGATACGGCAAGACACCATAGAAACTGGGTGAGTCGTATTATAAAGAAGGCTTTAGCTACAGCAAAAGTGAAGGGACATGACATTGACTGCATTTGCTTCACACAGGGTCCAGGAATGGGGGCTCCACTTCAAAGCGTTGTGGTAGTCGCCAGAACGTTGAGCCAGCTATGGAATAAGCCCATTGTTGGTGTAAATCATTGCATTGGCCATATAGAGATGGGTAGAGAAATTACAGGTGCTTACAATCCAGTCGTTTTATATGTCAGCGGAGGAAATACTCAAGTAATTGCATATTCGAGACAAAGATATCGAATTTTCGGAGAAACCTTAGATATAGCTATAGGAAATTGTTTAGATAGGTTTGCAAGGACGTTGAAAATCCCAAATGAACCTGCACCAGGATATAATATAGAGCAAATGGCTAAAAAAGGGAGGCATTTATTGTCCTTACCATATACAGTTAAGGGAATGGATCTCTCTATGTCAGGTATTTTGGCTCACATTGATCTCATTGCGAAAGATTTGTTTTCTGAAGGAGAGAGCGATTTGAGAGATCCTGAAACTGGAGACTTAATTACAGCAGAAGATTTATGCTTCTCTTTGCAAGAAATCTTATTCGCTATGTTGGTAGAAATCACTGAAAGGGCAATGGCTCACGTCAACAGTAATCAGGTGTTGATTGTCGGTGGTGTTGGATCGAATGAAAGGTTACAAGAAATGATGGCCATCATGGTGAAGAGTCGAAGAAATGGCCAAATATACGCAACCGATGAGCGATTTTGCATTGACAATGGAATTATGATAGCACACGCGGGACTATTGAGCTATAGAATGGGCCAAACGAATGAACTTTGGAATACCGTATGTAGTCAAAGGTTTAGAACAGACGAAGTTCTAGTTAAGTGGAGAGAGTGACTCACGTTCAATTAGTTTTAATATACGTAAAATGGTATAGACCATAATATCTAAAACGGATACCTTTGACCTTAGCAAGACAGGCTAGAATGATTGCTACTTTAGCCTGTAATTGCAACGCCTAAAAAATTATTTTTTTGGGAAACAAGGTCACATATTAAGCAAACCATGAAAAGGCTCGATTGTAACGCTTCTTTAATCTTTTCCACTATAATCAAGTCAGATACGGGTTTCACAGTGATTAATTATTTTTGAATTAGTTTATGGAGTATTGCTTCAATGTTATCCTCTGACTTTCTTTCTATGGTTTGATCCAACTTACTTGAAATGGCATTACTGCCAGCGAAATTGCACTCTCTCAAAAGGCTAGCTAGTTTCCTTACTTTAGTGCCTTCCCAAATAGCAGCAGTAGTTTTGAAATTGTGTTTGACAGCTCTTTGAGCACCAGATCTTTCAAAAAATTCCACATTCGCAGACTCATACTTGAAAACCTTCCCAATGACTACACATGACTTTACTGAACCAAAAATTGACATTATTTCTGTCAAGACCTCAGCATTTATCAATCCTTCTAATTTTGGTTTGCTTTTCCACAAAACTGTAACGATATTGGATCTCGAATTTTTTAAAAATGAAGAAATTTCATTCACAGGTAAGTCCTGAAAGGATACATAGGATACGGGCACCTTATCAATTTTGAGAGCTCCATTAGTTAAAACCTCAAGAGCCCGACGCTTTCTGAGACCCTCTTCTTTTAACTGATTTATATTATATTTCCATTGTCTTGTATTTATTTCTTCGTGGCTATTGAACCCGGAACTTCTATTTCTAAACTCATTCTCGGCCCTGGCTAATTCACTTCTAAACTTTTTAGTAAGATCATCAAGCTTTTCGCTTCTCAGCCCTTTATTTATATTAATTAGTCTGATTCTATCATAATCACTTCTTAATTGAGAGTCTATTAAAATTTCGTAAATCTTAGATAACAAATTGAATTGCTCTTCATTACCAGTACTTTTGTCTGGATGAAATATCAAAGCTTTTTTCCTATACTGCCGCCGTATATCACCCTCTGTAGCAGTAGGAGAAACTTCAAGATACTCGTACAAGTCTATTTTACCATTTTCTATGAGCTTTCCCAAGTTGTTACTCATGTTATTTAATTCAAATGTGAGTAAGATGCGTGCTTTCATGCCTTTAAGCGCGAAATAATATACTGATCGGCTTAGGTACTAATTTACGACATTTTTTAAATAAATGTTTCTTTCGTTATCTATCTAAAATGGAGATTGTACATATAGCTCACCAATGAGTTCATAATCACTTTTTATGCTAATTAGCGGAGCCCTGAGAGGTTTAGTGGTGTTCATATTTTTTTTTTTCCTTTTTAAAAAACCTAATGAGTCCATTCAATGGAGAAATTGACAATTAGTAGATTTATACATTTGATTCGAAGTAGTAAGTGCAGACCTCAGTCCAGAGACCCCCAACTGTTTTGCTTTTCATGCATTTTATATTTCGTCATAAAGAGCTAAATGATTATGAGTTAAAAGTGTCCACTGATGATAACAAACTTTGGATCGCTTTTCATAAGTCTTAAATTACCATAAAAGCATTAAGACTTTTCAAATCATTCGTCTGGTTTATGCTTTGACATTTCTTAAGCCATAGGTAGATCTAAATATAGCATCACCTTCAGAATAACCTCTACCTAATCCAAATCCAATTCCGATCCATACGGGAAATGATCTCCTTTTAAAAAACAAAATGGAAGCTAAAACACCTCCACCGAATCCTAAACCAGTCTTGATTAAGGCATTAGATAAAACGACGTCCCACTGTAATGGTTAGTTAGTATATGAGCAAATAGTTTGAGCATAGATATGCGTATAGGATTTCGTGTCTGCTGCTAATAATTCGAATAGACTTACTTTATCATTTAACAAGTTCCGAGAAGGAGTACTGATTGCTTTTTGTTCCGTGGACATTCTCTCTAGCAAGTTAGTATTTATCTTTGTTTAAAAAAATAGGTTACGATCTCTCAATTGATCCTCCTGCAAACAAAGCATAAGAGATTCTTTGCATTCAAATTCCGAGATACGATATTGATACTACTTACCTAAAAGTTTCTTCGTCTTTCAAATGACTATAGTCTCCCAAAGGTCTCTCTATGAGTTGGAACGTAGTGAAATTTATCGAGAATTGGTTGGACGAGAAGAAATACCGAATATTTGTTACACAAAATTATATCCGCTTTCTCACACCAACTGGCATTTAACTCGTCCATGATCTTTCCTCATGAACGGTGTAAGGATACTAGATCGTTTTAGGGGTTCTAAGTTTTTGATTGAAAGCTTAAGAGTTTGTAGGGACAAAACTCTACTTCTCACATTGATGAGAAAACTTTTTACACTTAAACCTTAAAAGTGCAGCCATTTGCAAGGGAAAGCTTTAAAGTATTTGTGAAATCGAATTGGCTCTTTTAAAATGTCACTCCTGAGATAACATTAACTCTGTTACTCTACTTTCAAGGAGAAATTGATTTCAAATCATTTTAAAAAAATGATTCTGCCCAGGATCGAACTGGGGACGTTCTGCGTGTTAAGCAGATGCCATAACCAACTAGACCACAGAACCACTTGGTGAAATTTGTAAGGGGTCAGTCTTATAAGTATACACAATGTGAAGGAGTGTTGCAAAACAGCTCTGAAACAGTGTTGTAAAAGTATATAAGCGCGAGATACTCCCAATAGTAGAATATTACATTCTACTAGGGATTCTAAATAGTAGCACACTATACATAAGCTTAGAGTAGTCAAGTATTCATAAGGAATCACCTAAGTACGATAGTAGCCCTTGAAAACAATTATTTAGAACCTCCTATTCCTTCATAAAATTTATGATATATGAGTTTTATATGACAACCGTATGAAAGCCTCGTTAATGTAACACCAAGAAGCTACAAAACTGTATAAATTGTGATAATTGCCTAGGTTAGATTGATACATTCGACTGTTGCATTAAAAAGTAGTTGAGCTAAATGCTTTCATAGGGCCAATATATTTAGTCCAGTTTATTGTTGAACACTTTGATCTTAGCTGCTTCTATAGCTATAGGATCCATCTCTTTATTTTTTTTATCCTTTTTTTTAGTTTCTATTCAGATGTATTTATAAAGTGTAGCGTTCTGTTTACCCGTGCCACCACAAACTTTACTGTGATTCAATACTCCTATAAAGGACTACGAGCCATAGATAGTGATGTAGCATGTTATTGAAACTACCCTCAAAAAATGTGCCCAACCTATCGTCTCCTTTCATATATTAACAGGTTATATTTAAGATCTATGCGTTGTCTACTCACGCTTTACGGCTGAAGCAGCTCACGAGGCTTTATTTTTTTCTTCTTTCCTGCTTTTATAGGGTTACCTAATAAAGGTCAATAGCAAGTCAAAGTCTAATCCTATTAATTGTAGTTTAAGACATGAATACAATCTCTAGTCCTATCACCAAGTTAGACTCTCTCTCTTTTTAAACTTATTATTTTAATCTGAATCTTTTTTCTAAAAAATAAAAATTTTTAAAAAAAAATAATAGCAAAAAACAACCATGCAGCTCTGAAGTTTATCCTTCTTTATTTTACCACTTAGAATAAATTTTAAACAAGCCTTTCACTTTAGATCTTGAACGGTGTTAAAAAGGAGTCAAGACACCTACCACTTTATACTATACTCACTTTTTTGACCTTAATAAAAATAAAATTGCTGCAGTATAGCCCTAATAGACTTTGATAAGCCTAGTTGGAGTACCTATCAACTTAATCATTACTGGACTTGTAATACTTACTTTCACATATTAATCTTTTTCGCAACCATTTATTGCTTTTCAATGCATCATGCAAATAGATTGTTTGGAGTCGCGTGTTTTTCAAAACAAAATATCCATGATCAAGCTTTAAAATAATCGAGCATAATAAACACGGGCGGTATGCATTATTAGGCAGATTAACTTATCGAAGATGCGTGATGAAAATGAAATTTCAAACTTGCATCCAAAGACACCTGCCAGGGCCCATTCCTTCAGGCTGGATGGCGCGTCACCGAGTAAACACATGAGCAAAATTAGATCTCTAGGCAAATTGAATCTCAGATCACCACTTTTGACGCCAGGGGCGGCTGATTTTTCATATAGAATTGAACCAGATAGAGCACATACCCCGTCTGAAACCATTCAAAATAGACCCATAGCCCCTGCTACATTATACACTTTACGAAACTACTATAATGATTTTACGACAATTGATTGGACAAAGGCATTTATTCTGGCTAATAAGTTTAGATTTGAATTGAAGCATAATAAGCTAGTGAGTAGAACTATTTCAGATAATCACGATGATATTTCTGATGCCTTTTTACCATATTATTACAAATATTATCTAATTCTCAGTAAGTGGATGCTCATAATTTTGATTGGATTTTCCTTTTCCTTAATCGCATTTATAATTGATAAGTTTGAGATATTATTAGTGGGATTCAAACATGGCTATTGCAAATCCAATTGGCTCCAAAGTCAAGTCTCGTGCTGTATTCTCCAATCGTCAGGTTTACTGAAGGAACCTTTGCATATGAACATATTCAGGTCTGGCTACGTTTTTCATTCAAATCAAAATTTGTCTTCAAATTCATGTCCCAATTGGGTTTCATGGTCTGGTTTTTTTCATAAAAATTCCTTTGGCGATGTTATTAGGTTTGATTTTATTGTATATGTGATATTGACATCTGCTTTGGCTTGTGCCGCTTGTCTTGTAACGCTTACTACCAAGATAAGTGGAAAATCTGAAGGCGCAATGGCAAATAATATGACAGATCTTAAGTTTGGCACGATCAATTCAAATCACGAACCCAAAACAGAGATTATGTCTCTTTCTCCGCGAGTATTGTACACCGCAGCAGGATCTGGGGTTCCTGAAGTTAAAACAATTTTGTCTGGATACGTGATTAGGCGATTTCTAGGTCTAAGAACTTTAATAGCCAAAACTATATCTTTAATATTAGCGATAGCTTCAGGTTTAGTTTTGGGAAAGGAGGGGCCTTATGTTCATTTGGCTACAGTTGTGGGAAACGTCATGACAAGGTTCGTGAGTTCCATCCATAACAATGAACTCTTTAGAAAACAAGTATTGTCGGCAAGCGCTCTGGCTGGCGTGGCATTAGCCTTCGGATCACCGTTAGGTGGTGTTCTATTTATCTTAGAAGAGATAAATAACTATCTTCCATCTCATCAGTTATTCCAGATATTTTTTTGCGCCATAAGTTCTACTTTATTTTTAAAATTTTTGAATCCTTACGGCACTGGAAAGACAGTCTTGTTTGAATTAAAGTATGATTCGGACTGGAAATACTTCGAACTCATTTTCTTCGTAATGATTGGTATAGCAGGTGGGTTGTTCGGAGCATCATTTGTACGATTTGTGAAGTTTTGGCCGAAAACATTTCGAAAACTCAAGGTGATCGATTCCCATCCTATATTTGAAGTCTTTTTAATTTCTTGTTTGACCGGATTGGTCACTTTTTGGAATCCATACACTAAACAAGCTTCATCTGAATTAGTTTTAGATCTAGCGACGTCTTGTAATCGAAATGAAATGGATATATCATTATGTCCTAAATCTCCTGAATCATACTCCAAAGAGATATTATCACTAGGCACAGCATTTGTCATCAAGGTAATTTTGACATTCATAACATTTGGATTGAAGCTACCCTGTGGTATCTACGTACCTTCAATGGTTGCAGGTGCATTATATGGCCGCATTTTTGCTCTGTGCATTCAATGGTTAAAATTGACAAGTGGATCAGATAGCTGGTATGCCCACTTCTTTCTGCAATATGTTTGCAATACCAAGGCAAACGAGTGCGTAGATTTGGGAATTTATTCAATGATAGGGGCCGGTGCATTCATGGCAGGAGTCACTCGAATGAATATTACATTGGTGACAATATTATTCGAGTTAACCAGCTCTTACAATTATGTCTTGCCAATCTCAGTATCAATTGCAGTAGCTAATTGGGCCGGTGGATTCTTAGAGAAAAACTCTTTATACGAATCTTTATTAGAGCAGAATGACTACCCATTTATGTCTCCTGAAACTGAGCCTTTGGATCCTTTAACAACAGCCGCTGAACTTATTAGAGAGAGTGAAGTTTTCGAAACAAACCCAAATTCGGCCCAAATATCTCGTTTTCATGGCATCTTTTATCAAGAAACTTTAAGTCGAATTGAAGGATCTTGCCACAGCAAGAAGCTATGCTTGGATATTACGGAGTCTCCTTATGTAGTTATGTCTACACTTGAGTGCAAATTGTTACAATTAGCAGAAAGGTCTTTACTAGATGGCTGTATACCTTTGGTCAAAAATAAAGTGTGTGTCGGATTAATTTACTTTTCTGAGCTAGAGTTCTGTTTGGATAAATTGAAAGAATTGCTTTTGGAGTACAATATTACTCAAGATATATATTGTAAGTTATTGCCAGATGAGAAATACTCGAAACAGAAATTATTATGCGCTGATCACAGAGCGCATAATTTAAAAGTTGTACGGAACCGCTTTGAATGTGACATAGATTACTTCAACTATGGTTCCATTAAAGATCATTCTGCAGGCGACATGAAAAATTTTATGAAATTGTTGAATGAATATTCTGATTTTGGAAGTTACATAGACTATTCTCCAATATTTTTAAACTATGACTGCGAAGTAAGTCTTGCCCATTTGATCTTTGATAAAGTCGGGAATCGTGTCATAGTTTTATTAAAAGAAGGGGAGTATTTTGGCATCTTAGACAAGAAGGTTTTGATCGACTATTGCAGAAGGCAAGCATAAATTCTACACCAATTCTGTTTTGCTTCGAGCAAGCGACTCGAATTTGCAACTCATAATCTTTTTGAGTTTTCCGGTTGCATAAACTCTCATTAGAAGACTTTCAAATAAATCAATCTTTTTTTGAAGGTCCTCATAAGTTACCATGGATGACTGGTCAGGCTCTCCAAGATTCAATTTATCCAAAAGGTTATTGGTAGGACGTAAAACCTCATAAGTCCGCTCTTTAAAACTGGTCATAGTATTGTATTTCTCTTCTTCAAATTGCTGAAACATTTCACGATAAGTTTGTTGCGCTTCAAACAAAAATTCGATAATTAGTCTAAATTTTGCATTATTGGTTAGATTTGTTTTCCTCTGCAAGCTAATAATTATGGTAACTAGAACTAAATCAATCTCATGCTCATTATGATAAAATCCCAAAAGACATAATAATATTGCTCTAGAATACACCATCTGATCGTTGAATATGTTGAATGTAATAAGGTTTGCATCTTTCAAAGATTCGAAGCAAATCTTAGGGAGAATTTCAGGAAATGAGCAATTAGACGATTTCATTAGCATAGTACGCAAATCATTGATGCATATTGTGGTTTCTTTGTCCTCCTTTCCAAACAAATGGATGGTGAGATATTCATCTGACTCGCTGATTTTTTCAATAATTCCTAACAATAATATTCTGAATTCAAACAGGTAATTCGAAATATGAATAAGAAGGTTTTCAAACTGCTCCCTCTGCAATAATCTTAATGAAATCTTGCTCAAATTGAATGGAATCATTAATGTTAATATTTTAAAAATATACATGATCGAGACGTTATTGAGTTTCATATTAAGAATTTCATTAACGAATTGAGACTCGAAGTTTGCCAATAGAGTAGTCTTTATGTTTGAGCAACAAAACTCGAGACAGTTATAGTAAAGTATCAAGAATTTATCGAAATTGTCATCTTCAGCTTTCACTAGGCAAGAATGATTAAAAGAATCTGTGAATTTTTCAATAAATATAGAGCAAATGTCTGAATAATCATGGAGCCAGACATTCAAAGTGTTACTTTTTATATCAAGTAATCGGGTTAAAATATTGAATTGAAGTTCGTCTTCATCAATGAATATGAAGCTCCTAATGAGATCATAAACTGGAAAACATTTGTAAGTGAAAAATTTGGATTTTACCAAAGTAAATCCTTTTGTTTTTAGAATATTTTTAATGTACGCATCATTCTCCAAACATTCGAACCAAAGATCAACCAAAGTAGGAAGCTTTTGAAAAACTTCTATCACACTGTTAGTGAACATTTTCAAAAATGTGACTTGATAATTCTCCATCTCATAATACGATGTGAAGTTTATCAAGTAAATTCCGATACATTTAGAAATTCTTCTCAAAAAAGAACTATTTCTAGGAAAATTTACAATGTCACTGTGCTGTAAGAAGGTCATTAGTCGTTTAAATGATATCATCTGCTGCTCAAAAAGTGCTTTACAAACTTTCTTTATATTAAGTTTGCTCAACATTAAAAAGTATTCATGTTCAACCAAGAGTGAGATGATTCTGCTGCTTGACTTACTTAATTCTATCTGTTCATTAACCTTCACAAGGCACAGTATTAATTCTTCTGATCCTACTAGGTAATTTTGCTAAACAGCTCATGCGGTTAATAAAGTGTCCTATTAAGACGCCTCCCTAAGTCGTAAAAAGACGTTTCACTGTTAACTTACCGCTTCAAACTTTTGTATACTGTTTTGAGTCAAAAGTATAAAGAATTCGAGACTATGACTCTTTCGAGACAGAGAGTTTGATGGTGTAAACTTATAGTTTGAGTGTCCTTTCAACATTTCGTTTGCTTTTGATTAAGATCAAAGTTTGGAATTGAAGGAGTAACCATTGATCTGTGGCGGTTATATTATCATACTTAGAAACTCGCGTCTTATTTTAGCAGCCATTTTGTGGTATCAGACCTGTATATAGCTTTGACTGTCAAAACAGTTTTGAAACATACTCTACACACATTAGGGCTATATATTAAACAGGTATTAGCAAAAAGAAAAGTTTTTAAATGGAAAAAGAACTGGAAACTCCTCAAGATAAACTCAGAATTTTAAGATCAGCTTGAAGAAAAAATACTACTTACAGTATTGACATTTAACCAATATATAAAAATTAGCAGCATGGCATCATCTAGAAAAGATTTAGGAGGATTACCCAATAAATATACTTATAGTAAATTTGGCTCTAGATCCAATCAAAATAAAAATCAAGAAGATACAAACAATAGAGGTAATACCTACAGAAATGACCAAAAGTTATTTAAAGATAACGACTACTCAAATAACTATGTTCACTCGGGTACCTTACCGACCAGATACATCCGAAATAGCAATAATCCTTTAGAAGGTTATCCAAAGCTCAATAGGCTCCACCAACTTAAAAGAAAGCAGATTCTTAATCATTCTACCAAGCCATATGGTGCAAGAGTAAGCAGCAGCGAAATTATTCCAACTCTAAACAAATGGATTGACACATACGGTTTAAAATTCGACGTTATAATGATTGGCGCTCTTATAGAAAACCAATTTATTTTACCACTTTTGATGAATTTACCGATTCATAAACTTTGCTCGAGACCGGGGTATATGTTCATCTGGGCTACTACACAAAAAATACAAGAGTTGACCAAATTATTAAACAAAGATAGTTTTAACAAGAAGTTTAGAAGATCAGAAGAGTTGATTTTTCTTCCATTGAATAAAGAGTCGCCATATTACCCTTCAGAAGATGACGCATCTGGAATTCCGTTACTCGAGAGGCAGCAGTGGCATTGTTGGATGTGCATCACAGGTACTGTGAGAAGATCAACCGATAGTCACTTGATTCACTGCAATATAGATACAGATTTACAAATTGAATCCGAACAATCTGCAAGTAATAACGTAGTGCCTGATTCTTTATACAGAGTGGCCGAAAATTTCTCTAATTCAAACAGACGTCTTCATATCATTCCAACCAAAATAGGATACAATTCTCCCATAAAATTGAGATTGGGATGGGTCATAATGAGTCCAGATGTCCTCATTGATAATTTCAATCCTCGTGGACTAGAAGAAGAGCTATTTTCAAAGTCTTTAGTGAGTTATAAGAACAATGTAAACAACCCACAGTTTTTGGTTCCGCAGACTGACGAAATAGAAGAATTGCGACCCAAAAGTCCAGTTGCATCAAAATCTTGATGTATATTGTGTTTGGCTTATGAATTATACTCCTATCATCAAATCAATGGATTATCGATCTCAAAATTAGTGAAAAGTTTACTTTCAAAACTCACAATCGACATCATTTCATAGCCGTATTCTTGAAATTACTAAGGCTCTGGTTAGTATATACTATTTTGATCGATTATTCCGTGTTCATTTAGTGTTGTAAATCAGAAATTTGATGAATGTTGGAAATGGAAAATTTTTCAGCATTGAAGACTCTGAGTGAGCTGAGTTAGATTATCATCATAAACAACAAAAAGGCGGATAATATACACGATACATACTTTCAAGTGTAAAGTTTTCATTAACTCAATTTGCCCACATTATTGTTCTATATATTTACCTAAAGAAGTCGTCAAATAAGGACTCAATTATTCTGTAAGTTCGTCGCCGAGAAAAATATTGAGAGAAGAAAAATGAAAAAAAAAAGTCGTACGACATTTTTAAAAGTTTCAAGACGTTCGGAGAGCGGACAAAGCACAGAGAAGTGCGGAACTATATTTCGGAGGAGTCTAGAGTATTTCCAATTGAATAGGAGGATGGTGTCAAAGATGGTGACAGGTATATCATCCATAAAGACAAGCTAATTCACTTGATGAATCAAGTGGGACTAAAATTAATGAGGAACTGCAAACAAAAATCTTCGAATTGTTGAAGGAGAGCCCAAGAATCGGCCACTTTTTTAGGCTCCAGATCGTTTTTACTCCACACAAGATGCGCTGTCGCGCTATTCCTAAATATTCCGTAATTTTTTATATATCACTTCCATGATACGTGGAGAAAAATGCGTGGAGAAAAGCGGGAATTCCTGTTGGTTCATTACTTGATCCGAGCCACACTGCGGCAAAGATAACATTCTACTCCGGGAGAACCCCGGATGGAGCCTACATCAGAACTTTGACTTCTTTGTTTCAATGCACATCGCAGTAGTTCTAGTACACGATAATTGTATTACGATAGTAAGTCCATTCTGTAAATCAATTGTATATCGTTCTTCTTCACAAATGGAGAACCAACATTCATCCTTTAGCTTACTAGAGATGTTCTGATATAACAGAGATTCGCTACTGCACCTTTCAAACTTTAAAGGATCAAATCTCTATAATAAGACAAAAATTGTCGTTTTTTAGACTCGGGACACCCTCGGTAATGGAAAATGCACAACATCCCATTTTCACCCGAGTTATCATCGATAGTATATAAAAGGTCGGGATGCCACTCACGATAATCTTGGGGTACAAATCCTGTTGACGGAGCTAACGGAGTTGTATAACTCGTTTTTAAAGAAATAGAAAGGGATTAATTCAAGCATCACAAGATAAACGCAATGGCTATTCAGAAAATTCATGTCAAAAATCCAGTTGTGGAGATGGATGGAGATGAACAAACAAGAATTATTTGGGAATTCATCAAAGAGAAATTAATCTTACCTTATTTGGATGTCGATTTAAAATACTATGATTTGGGTATTATGTACAGAGATGAGACGAATGATCAGGTCACCGTAGATGCTGCTAATGCTATCTTGAAATATGGTGTTGGTGTTAAATGTGCAACCATCACGCCTGACGAAGCAAGAGTTAAAGAATTTGGCTTGAAAAAAATGTGGTTGTCTCCTAACGGTACCCTTAGAAATATCTTGGGTGGTACTGTCTTTAGAGAGCCAATTGTCATTGATAACATACCAAGAATAGTTCCTCAGTGGAAAGAACCGATTATCATAGGTAGACACGCCTTCGGTGATCAATACAAAGCTACTGACATTCTTATCCCTGAGCCAGGTGAATTATCCATCGTATTCAAGCCGAAGGGTAGCTCCGAGACTCAAGTGCATCATGTCTACAACTATGAGGGTCCTGGTGTTGCGATGACCATGTATAATACTGATGAATCTATTAAAGCATTTGCTGAATCATCTTTCAAATTGGCGTTAGACAGGAAAATGAACTTGTTTTCTACTACTAAGAATACAATTTTAAAGAAGTATGATGGAAGATTTAAAGATATATTTGAGGATATATATGAAAAGGAATACAAAAAGGATTTTGAAGCTGCAGGTATCTGGTACGAGCATAGGCTTATCGATGATATGGTTGCCCAGATGCTTAAGTCTACAGGAGGATATATTATCGCAATGAAAAATTATGATGGTGATGTTCAATCTGATATAGTTGCTCAAGGTTTCGGATCGTTAGGTCTCATGACATCCGTCTTGATGACTCCTGATGGAAAGGCATTCGAAGCCGAGGCAGCTCACGGTACAGTTACTAGGCATTTTAGACAACACCAACAAGGCAAAGAAACGTCAACCAACTCCATTGCGTCTATCTTTGCATGGACCAGAGGTTTGATTCAAAGAGGGAAAATAGACGACACTCCAGACGTTGTTAAGTTCGCAGAAAATTTGGAAAAAGCCGTTATCGAAACTGTATCGAAAGATAAAAAAATGACCAAAGATTTGGCATTGACTCTCGGGAAGACTGACAGATCAAGTTATGTAACTACCGAGGAATTCATTGACTATGTCAAAGAAAGATTGGACAAGAATTTAGGTTATTGAAGAGGCTGTCTCTTTTGACTTTTAATAGAATAAATATCACCACATACTTAACTATATTTCTTTGTATTCTCTACGCATCAATCAAACTAAATGTAGATGAATATCGAGCAATGAGTGCATTTCGTGCAGAGCACAATTTATATTCAATGAAACCGCGTAATTCAAACTGTCATTAGGCATACATTACATACTCTCATAGAATTCTGCCAACAAGATGAATGTAGGTTCTATCTTGAACGAAGATCCCCCGTCTAACAGTCGGGGTCGTGATTTTGAAAAGAATGATTCTCCAAAGGATGTCGAATCTCACAATAATCACCAGAGACACTCCATCGTGAATTTGCTCAACGATACGATACCTTCCTCTGATGTGACTAAGACTGAGCTACAGGACGAAAAAATGGAGATCGATGACTCCTTCAATTCTAATAAAAACGACGAAGATGTTGGTCTGTCTTTTCTATCAACTAAAAGTCTGGAAATCGAATCATCTGCACCTGACAAAGCTAAACAACCTGAATACAAGGAAAGCATTGCATCCGAATCTGTAAGAACCCACAATATAAGTGAAGGTGATAGCCAGCCGAAGGATGGATCTCGTAAATCAAAGGAGGAATTAAATGATGAAGACGAATTTAAAAAATTGAGCAAACTTCACTCCACAGATAAACCCAGAAGATATTTAGCGCCACCTATATGGGCACAAGAGTGGCATCCATCTGGTGATTCCCATTCTGCAGAATACTCACACATGAATGGGACTCTCACAGCCCTATCTAGCAAGCATGTTTTTGACCCTAGCTCTACCATAGGTACTGATTTAGAATGCTCAATCACAGGCGTTATTCCACCGCCATCAGTCACCAGAACAATTGCCGAATGGGTTTATGCAAACTTCAACGAAATATCGGACGAAAATAGACAGTATGTCGAATTAGAGCTAAAATTTGGAACTATCATTGATAAAAGACATTCGCACAGAATAAATATAGATGTATCAACAGAATGCATTTATACCAACACTTCCAGTATTTACTTCGATATGGGAGTACACGAAGTGGGTTGGAATGAGATGTGCCAGTTTTTAGATGATTTGGAGAAAAATTATCAGGAAGAGTTGAGGAAAGCCGGACCAAATGCAGCTTCGAAACCTAAAAGAAAATTCAATGTTTTGGAATCCGATATCACAGACTCTTTTTATCAAGTTATTAACAGAAATGAGCAACCAAAATCCATCAGAATTTCTAAAGATAATTTGTTAAATCCTCCAAGGTACACCGCTATCAATAAGCAAAGAATATCTGATCTTTACATTCACAATCCTTCCTCAATGTATGATCTAAGACTCTCTTTATCTCTTGAGTTGCCTATTCCAGAAGATACCATAGACTCAGTTCTTAAAAAAAATAAGCCAACATTGTCTAGAATAAAGAAAAGAAATTCGTGGACACATAGACCAACAGTAAGTAGGTTTGACATGACGAGAGTCTTGACACCAAAGGAACTAAAGAACAAATTAGGAAAATCAATTGTGGAGCAAGATCAAAGCTTTGAAGTGGAGCTAGAGATTGATACTTTAGAGCTATTTAATGGCTATGACAAGTTCAAAGGAGGTTCCGATACAATAAGGTTTGAAGAGTTAATAGAAATTTTTGTGAACAATGCAAGATGCTTAAATAATAGAGTGACAAGGTTGGCGAACAAATGATATCCCCTAATGCTTTAATACTGAGTGTGATCGCAACTATTAAAGAAAAGAAATGTACACTAGAATCTCAAAAGTACCACACATAAATAAATAAGAGACTTGTAATATCACACAGTAACACTAACACTAATGATACCACGCGGATAGCGATATGTAAATTCCTTAAGATAGCTCTTTCTGATGTTTATAGCAAATTCACTATCAGAATCAGATCAAGTTTTTTTGATTCAATGTATAATAATATGGAGCCTCAATTTCTTGCAGCCACAAAGTAAAATTTTAAATAGCCATATTTATACACCAAAACTAATTACGTATGTCGAATCAAAACATCTTTGGAGATCGCCTGTTGGAATCTTTAGGGTTAAAGTACTTCGATGATAATCAATCGAAAGCTGAAAATCCAATTCCGCAGCGGGATGCAAACCTCAGACAAACATTGACTGTGTCTGATCGAGACTCAAAAGAAAGTAGGAAGATGCTCAAAATCACATTACTTACAGTGTTATCAGTGATTACTTCATTTATGATGGGGGTGGCTTTCTTGTCGATCTGTTTTACTTTTTCTTCAAAAAAAGATGACCCGCTTTCTCTGATCATACTTGAATTGCGAGAGACAAGCAAATTATTGAAGACAAAGGACTTCTCAGGAAAGCATGTAGAAAGTTTCCGACTTTCCATTGACTTGACCCTGAGTGCAACTCATTGCATAATAAAATCAGAGGACAAAAACCTTATTCTAAGAGAACGCATACAAAGTATATACAAGAACTTTCCAAAGTACCAAATTTTTAAATATGGAGAGCATGTAATCAAGTTTCAATTTAGGAAGTCCTTCCTGTTCATTCTCGACAAATTGTGCTCCTTTGATTCTGGTGCCTTCTCTGAAAAGAATAACAATTATTCTGCACAAGAAGAGAGATTGCTGATATTAAATATTACATCAGCGATAGCTGAATGGGAGCTGAGTTCAAAATCCAACTTCGATACTTATATAAATGAGATGAGAGCCATGGAGGCTATTGAAGCATATCTTTTGAGGTCCATAGAAACGTACGATTTAGGTGACTCTGTTTATATAACCAATAAAGCCACCAGGGAGATATTTTTTGGCAATTTTAATAAAGACCCATTTATGTGAACTTAAAATTCACACCGCAACTATCTTGTTCAACCTGTTCTCAACTCCTACGAAGATTTTTCGATTGCCTGATGTTGTCAAAGTCTTTGGGGTGCACATGGTAAAAAAAAAAAATAGAAAATAGACACGTAAGATCGACAACATATAAACTGATGAGTATAAATTGTAATACGATAGTTTAAAATGATGTATTTATTGTTGTTTTGCTCAATATTAATAGCTGCATCATTACTGATCGTATATGCCATGGTGCTATATCTTTCACATAACCCAAGGAAACCTTTCCCTCTGGAACTAAGATATTACACTAACGATGATAAACAAATGCTGCATGAATTACCCCCAACAATTAATTCCACTCTGTCAACATTCGAAGACCATGGCATAGATATAAGCATTGTTATACCTTGTTTCAATGAAACCAATAGGTTAGGAAAAATGTTAAATGAAGCAATTGAGTATTTGCAAAAGAATTATTTAAATGCATACGAAATATTAATTGTGGATGACGGATCGTCTGATGGAACGGCCGAATTTGCTTTAATGAAAGCTCAAGAGTTGAAACTTCCTCCCCACATTTTAAAGGTAATAAAGCTTCAGAAAAATAGAGGAAAAGGTGGAGCTGTCACCCACGGTCTTTTACATTGTAGTGGCAGATTAGCTTTATTTGCAGATGCAGACGGAGCGACTAAGTTTCAAGATATTGAAAGACTTATCGAGTACCTTGATAGTGTTGATAGAAATGAAGCAGCAGTTACCATAGGATCAAGAGCTCATATGGTTAATACTGACGCAGTTGTTCGGAGATCTTTCATTAGAAATTTTTTGATGTACGGATTGCACACTTTGGTATTTCTTTTTGGAATAAGAGGAATCCAAGATACGCAATGTGGATTCAAAATGTTCAATTTTCAATCTATACAAAAAATATTTCCTCATATGCATACAGAAAGATGGATTTTTGACGTGGAGGTCCTCTTATTGGGAGAGATACAAGGCATGAAGATGAAAGAAATCGCTGTTAATTGGAAGGAAGTTGATGGATCAAAAATTGATTTGGCAAGAGATTCTATAGGAATGGCAGTCGACTTAGTAGTCACCAGGCTTGCTTATCTAATGGGAATTTATAAAGTAGATGAGTGCGGTGGACTAACGAAGAAAGATCAATAGCACAATTATAGATTCTGTTCTTTATAGCACAAAAAAAGAGCTGATTGTCATATAGTGTTATCTCTATAGGATGATTTTCCGGTCAATCAAAATTGAATTTATATATGTGGCTCATATCCCCTCTTCAATAGAAATTACGAAATTCTTTTGTAAGAAGATACAGATGATTGCATCATGTGCACTCAAATCATTAGAAGACTCCACAGCCCTATAAAACGGGTAAGATTTGCATTCAGTTTATTTATAAAGAAATTTAATAGCGATGTCAGTTGCTAAAGAATTCGAGATTGCCAATGAGGCGTATGTAGCACGATTTAACAAGGGATCTTTATCTCTTCCTCCAGCAAGAAAAGTTGCAGTGGTGGTTTGCATGGATGCAAGAATTGACCCCGCGGCGGCATTGGGATTGGAAGAAGGTGACGCTCATGTGATAAGAAATGCGGGTGGCAGAGCTTCTGATGCATTACGCAGTATTATTATCTCGCAACGCTTGTTGGGAACTCGCGAGATAGTAGTAATTCATCACACGGATTGTGGTATGTTAACATTTACGGATGATAAGTTGCGAGACATTGTAAAGCAGGAAACGGGCCATTCTGTTGACCACGTTTCGTTTCTTCCTTTTTCAGATCTCGAGCAGAGTGTCTACGATGATGTCCAGTTCTTTAAAGCTAATCCCTTAGTATTAGATGTTCCTGTCACCGGATTTATTTACGACGTAAAAACAGGTGCTATTAGACCTGTTTAAAGATACGGGTTCCCGCGGGCCCTCTTTGGCGAGAGACCCTTACTCATACATATTGGGCCCTTATCTAACAACGTTTATGAATTCGGGTTTTTCTTGTTATGCAAGCTCTTTATGTACTGTATGCCTTTAACATCATGATTAACCAGTAATTCGAAAGATTGATAGACGATATGCGTCCGAGCCTTAGTCGTCTATTGTGTAATTTCTGCGCGGATATTCCCATACTGCCTGTACATCCAGTAGTCAATTTCATCGGACGGCTCTTATTCTCGTAAGCTGCACAATTGTGATAGCTCTTGCATGGTCAAAAATTCTTTTATTGTAGGCTAATACGCAGTGTCCGAGTTATAATACTCACACTTTGTTTGGCAAAACATGCTAAATTCATCATTTAATGGACCGCTTTTGTTGAGAGAATTGGGCTAGGAAAGAATGCTTACATCTAGATAAGGTCAACTGCAAGTCTCTTGATGTCTCTTGAGTATGCAGACTTTTAGATTTGGAGAGTGTTTCCGGCCGCCGTCTAATAAATGATCCTGTTCTGAGATATTTCGCGAGCACCTGTACCTGAAAACGATTTACACGATCGAAAATACGACCCTATTGTCAAACGGCAAAGGACGTTTGACCTATTCCTAACATAGAATGCATAAAGTCGGTGTTTCTGGACTTTTATTTTTCGTAGACATGCATTGGGAATGCTGATGCATGCTGAAAAGCGATCGATCCCGTCTATCTAATGTAATTTGCAAAGATTGCACGAGTCTTACGAATATATAAAAGATGTAGTTATTCTCAACATATGCTCCACAGAATCGTGGCAAGACTGGGTGAAAATGTCTATGCTTCTCATAGCAAAAAAACCGACGGTCTCCAAAAAACTGAATATCAGGAGGGAAAATGTAACTGTAAGATCTGATATAAAGTTAAGTCACCCTAACTATAACGTCAAGGATAATGAGTCTCTTAAATCTGGGTCTAGTAATATTACTCGCATACCTACTGCAACATCAAAAAGCTCATCTAACTCCGGCAGAAGGAAAGTATATGATGTCAATAAATCTGGTTACGTTTGGAAAGATGTGCAAAACACCGCTGGTCTGGTGCAATCGCTTCTGTCTTGGCTGCCTAAAAGTCATACCCTGTCTACTTGGAACCACTCAAATTCTCGGTATATGAGAATTATAGAGAAGATGAATCAATGCTTTGATGATGAAAGAAATTTATCAGCTTTGGATAAGATCAGGATCTTAAGATATACGTACTTCGAGAAATTGGATACTAATATTGGTGCTATCATAAATGAAACCAAGATAATGAATCCTGACGGATCGCATAAGTTGAAATATTTGAATTACTTGCAGAAACTTCAAGCACGAAGTGATATGAGTTCAAAGAGATTGAGTGCAACTTTGGATCAAATGTCTTTATCGGACCACGAAAGTTCATGGAGTAGTACAGGGGACTACCCAAAATCAGTCATATGCGATCCTAATCATTTCAGTAATAACATTGACGATGACCCCTCGAGTATCAGAAGCCACTTGAAGTCTAAGCAGTTCTGGGCCGATGTATATGATGATATTGAACTCGAATCAATGCACAGTTCAATCAATTTCTATGAAATGCTACCTAGAAAAGATCAAGTCAGTCAACTCTTTGAGGACTTGAGCGATTACTTATTGTTTAACCTAGTGGAACAACCTCAGCATAATTCTTATTATCTTAAGGACTCTGGCATCGAATATATAAGGAGAGTAACAATGGAATATCGCACACTATATTTGGGAGAGTTTACAAAGCATCAAAATGGATCATCTCATTACATACCAGTATTTCAAAGTCTCAAGTTTTCAGATGAGGACAAAAAGTCTCAAGATAAAATGATGCAATGTTTGATTGATAAGGTAATTGAGAACTTAAGTGGCACCTTGCATGGACAAAGGAACACAGAAAACTTTAGCTACCTTTTCAAGATATGGAGATCATTTTTTAAATATGTATTCTGTGATTTGGTCATAGAGGAAGAGTTTGAAACAGACGAAATCGAATCAGTAAATAATGGTAGTAGTAAACATGATAGAAGGCATCATTCACAAATCGTCCAACTAGATTCCACATCTCTAGTATCACTCAGAAATATGAAGAAGACTATTTCTCAGAAAAATAAGCCTACAGCGAATAAATCTTCCCTTAGTTCTGGATGTGACTCGTTTCAGTCATCGACGATAATGAATAGCCCATTGGAAGACACCAGAAATCAATGCTCTGCATACATAGTGCCCCAAACCATGCAACAAAATAATACTGACTCGTCAGATATTAACACTAGTTTCCATGTCCAAAATTTCAGTACTAAATCAAATCACAAAAAAAAGTCTAAGCGTCTGCTTTTTGATAGGTTTAAAAGGTCGTAATGGTAAAGGTCGTTCAAATATCAATATTCAATCCTGCACATTATTATAAACCTATAAAATTATCGTTGCGAAGTAATGTAGCTCCGATAAAGACACTCCTGTATTTCGCAAATCCGCTTGCAGTTTACTCCTGAGAAAAACCAAAAAGGTAGGTCAGCCAACTACTGAGCCCAGGGTTGCCTAGAAAAAGGCTAATTAAAACATTCACTTCTTTTATGATCACAGGACGGATAATCCGTTATTTCAGTTCTTATACCCTCTTTAGGTGCTTACGTGAATATATACTTTAATTCTTTTCCATTGATAATTTTCTTGCTTGACTGTGGTGATTGGTTTATTATCTGTAATTAAGCAAAGAGCTAATGCTAGAAGTCCTATCGCTCAGAAAAAATTTTTTTTTCTTCTTTTGCTAATTTTTGCTTACCTTTTCCCCTTGGGATGTCAGTCCTTTACGAATCGCGGCAGCAACCGTCCAGTTTTGTTCTTGTTATTGTTTTTGTGCTGGCATATCGCTAGAATTTGCTTTCCCAAAACGGACAAATTGACTATCTGGTCGATCTGCTATTCTTAGTCGGTCCATGTTTAGTAAATAATGTAGCCTCTCCTTCAGGGGCCGGCTGGCGTGCTGACTGCCGGTGAGATGGGGCCCATCGGAAAAGTGCCACAGGTATATATCATTAGAGAAGTAGCACTTAAAAGGAAAAGCTTGTTCAATATTATCTTTTGGAAGCCGATATTACGGCATATGCTCGATAAAGTCTCTAACTAAAGGCGGGAGATTTAGTGATTAAAAATTTTGCTGCATTTGCGAAACTTATTATTGACTCAGATTGAAGCTCTTTACAACAAGGAGGACAAGGCAATATGATTCCTAAACCAACTTCGGACATGGCCTTATTGAAGGAGCATGCGTTTTATGAAACCAGGAATATCCAGTATATTATACCGTTTATTAAAAAACAGAGCTACATCTGGGAGACAAGTTCCGAAGAGAAGGGACTCGGAGCCAGAGATATCATTCTTTTAAGTATCGGTGTACTTCTTCTTCTTGCAAACTTGCGCTTCATCTTTAGATATATGAGAAAGAGAGAGAGACAAATAACAGAGCTGCTTGTTTAGCTATAATAGCGCATATTTTTCGTCATTCATTACTTGCAATTATTCGATTTGCTTTTAATTTACAGCATATATGATGGTCATTTTTTATTTCTTCGTCGACTTTAATATTGGATTCGTTTCAACCATTGATATTCCAAATGGTTTACTTTGTTATAATAGATAATTCAACCAAGTTATCGTATACCATTCCTTTTACAGGGTCTTAACTGACTTGCATTTACTTAAATAATTAATTGCTATAGATACAAATATTTAACATAATTGTAGAGTTACCAGTTAGACCTGTTTGCTTATACTGCTGCTGACCTTGTGCATCTCAATGTCCCATATGTTCCAGTCAAACCAAATCATGGAGGGAAATATCGTGAATAAATGCCATATTGCGTGGGCGTCCACTAATCTCCATATTGGAGCGAAGTCAAGCAATTCAAAAGAAAGTCCGCAAATAATCCAGATGTTCAAAAATATGGGAATAAGCGGGATTAGGCTGGTCTTCGATATAGAGATATAACTCAACTTTGCTAATATCTTTGTTTCATGAGGGAGTAGTTGAATTGAGCTGTTATAAATATGATTATCTTTTACGAAAACTTTATTGACGTTAAATGAATGTAGTATCCATAAAATGGAAGCCGCCAACCCAAATATTAAGTTAAATAATACATTATACCTGTAGTTCCAGTTGAGATACAAACGAATACAATGAATAACAAAAATTGTAAAAACAGACCCTCTCAATATCCTTAATTTAATGGAGTTCCCAAGTTCAAATAAGTTGAAGTACCTCATGACTATTGTAGTAAAATTCGATAAAATTATTAAGGCAGCACCAAAATAGTCTAATGTTTCTGTGAAAGCACTATCTCTAGCATGAAATAGCGCACTACACATCCAGCCAACTAACGATACCATAATTAATATCAAATACTGTTGGTACATCACAACATATTGCGTCTTTTGTATAGAGTTCCTTCGGTACTGATACAAAATTTTAAATAAGTTGGAGTAGTTAGCATAGAAATTAGCAACCGAAAATAGAACTGAGGGAAGTTCTTGCATTCCTAATACCCTTTTGAAGGGCCATTTTCCATAAAATTGAACCATATTTTCTTCATGTAGCAGGCGTTTGTTAGTTATAATCTGTTGACATTTATAATTACAATCAGAAGAGCAATCCCAGCGAAAAATGAACCTTGTTAATCCAGATAATGACTCATAATCCAAAAAATACTCTTTTTCGTATTTATCTTCTTCTGAACGGCCAGAATTGCTCAAACCTACACTTCTCTTGAGACCATATCCATGGGGATCACCATCGCAATTCAATAAATAACTACATCGGCTCCAGCAGTCAGAAAATTCTGGCAAATGGTCGCCTTCTGATGCTAATACCGACCTAGTAGTAAGTATAAGAAAGACCCCCAAAAATTTCATTCACCGTCGTTATTGATTATCAATACATGATTTTTCTACCTCTAAATGATTTTAGGCGTGCGGGCTATATGCCGGATCTTTTTTTAATTGCATAATAGTGAAGTAAAGCAGAATTAGTACGATGTTTGCATCCTCCTTGGAAGAGAGTCAAGATCGATATTCTATTCTATTCTATTTTCATATTGTGAAGGTATTTTGACTATGAAAGAAGGAACGAGAGTTAGAAATAAGATTTGTGTATATCTCATATTATTGAAATTCTTTTGCTAGGATAAAGAAATATACGTATGTGACCGTGCATAGTTAATTCAACCTTCCTCTAATTACCATCATGTAGTTTAAAAGCTTTGAGACCCTCGTTGCATTCATTTATTCAGACCACTCAAAAATGAATCTCAACTTTGTATCTAGGACTGCAGAATCAATACGCCTCGGGTTATCTGCAAAGAACTCAAAAGACAAGTGTTACGGTCAATGCTAATACTCAGCCGAATTCTATTTCTCCATGCTCAGCGAACCAGATATATTGCAAAGAAAACGATGCCGAAATTAAACTTGGTTTGATTTCATATGTCTCAGTCAGCAGATTGTTAGTATATGAATGCCTAACGGCAACAGCCTCTACTGGGACGTTATTACTCTAGTAGATCGCCGTTTTCGTATGTTTTGGTGTCGCCACCAATAGTATCCAATTAGCGTTGTTGGTTTTCATCTGACGGCAAAAGTCCGTATGGTCGTGCATGCTAGTCGCATAAGCTTGGTCCTACATGAGCTTAACCCCAGTCAAAGTAAAAAGAAAGGATTAAATAAACTTTGAGTTTGGGAGTAAAACAAGGACCATATCAGTAAATGACATTCATTTGGAATCAGTTACTTTCTCTTTTACCTTCAGTAAGTGCGCCATTGTAGCTTTTTCACTTCAACCCAAGCTTCTATTGTTGGTCTATCGACGAAAAAAAAAAA